AGAGCGCCTATTTGCGTTGCTCAAATAAAACACTTGTTCTATTTGCATATATATTTATTATTAATTTCAGCATTATAATATAATTGTTATTAATTAGTATCACTCTCCCTATAAATAAATGGGCACCACAATAATATTAGTCATTAGTAGAGAGTTGACAATTCTACATATGATACTGACTCCATTTTTTGAAGTTTGAAAATCCTAGTAATTTACAATCTCCAGTCCTGATTCAATTTCAAAAGAATTAAATATCCATAAGGTAAATTTGGGTAGTTAATGGGAGTACTTCACAAGATAGTTCTGCATCCCACTATTTTAATACAATTAATATTATTTGAATTTATACAAGAGAGATTAACGCTATCCTTCTTAGAATCTATATTTTAGTGTGATTTTAAATTCAAATTAAATTTAATTAATATTTTATTTTTGCATTATTTAACGTTAATGAAAATATTTATAAAGAAGAGCAAATTTAAAGTTAATCATACTATTTTTTAAAAGCAAATTATGACCTACCCAATTTATAGAATCAAAAATCTGGTGGCAACAACATAGAATTGAATTAACTAAAAAAAGAACATCTTTGACATGAAAATGTAACCAAAATTTAAACATTTTTTTGACTTGAATTTGGTGCACGTGTAAGAGGTAATCTTTATGAGAAATTAAATAATAGTCTTAGAAAACAATTTTATAAATTTCTTTCTAAGCTTTACCGCACCATGGATTGTTTTCCTAAAATTAGTTGAGGATAGGAATGCAATAATCCATGTCTTATCCGTTTGATTCTACACGATTCAAAATAAAATAAACAAGGGAGTGTTTGATAATGGCATTGATCTTGAAACTCAGTAAATAACTGAAAAGACAATAATTACAATACACCATCGTATGATCCTCCATTCAATGTGGATTTCACAACTTGATGAAGTTATGCTTGATCCTTCAACATCAATTCTGCTCGTAAAAAGAATGATAATGAAATATCTTAAGTTGATAACTACAGCTGATTTAAGAATTATATTAACTATTCATAATGTCTTTTTTTATTTGTTCTTCTTAAATTTGGCCATTTCTAAACATTTCAATTGCTATTGACATATTTTATTAAAAATTTTATTTGGTTCCTAATTACAACTGACTTGAGTTAATTGATTTTAAAAAATATAACCTAATTGCTTGTTAAGAATTATAACACTTTCTATTTTTTTAGAATTTAATACTAGATTCTCTAAAATATTAAAAACTTTATGAATTTAATTCAAAATGAAATTTTAATTGAGTTTATTTTATTAAAGTCATTTTTGTTGAAATTCCTCTTCATCTATTGAAATTTGAATTTAATGAAATCTTATAGTAGGAATGCAAATAGTAGTTGAAATTTAATTTAATATTCAAAACCTTAGAGTATAACTGAACTTTTCAAAGTTCTATGATGTCAAATTTATGTTTATCTTAATATCTATTTTATAAAAATGCAATAATTAATATACCTTTAATGAAGTATATAATCTAAAGGTACAATTTGTCATTAATTTATGGTCTAAATAACTTCTTGATTTTCAAACGACTCGAATTCAGAAATATTATTTTTGTAATGCTTTCCTCAATTAGATAAATTATCAGTACAATATTTAGCACCACTCAAAATAAAGTAGGAGTTTTCTCTTTATAATAGTTTATGATTCCTCAGCTCATCAAATCTCTCTAAAACTCTTTATTTGTACATTTTTATTCAATAGATATTTTTATCATAAACATTTTTCTAATATTAAGATTGTTTACTCCTCCATTATTCTCTAAAATACTCTGTGTCTCATGTAATGAACTTGCTCAAAAATTTTTCTCTATGCCACATTGCAAATTTGATAAATATATTACAATTAGTTGATCTTATTGCTTAGAAATTTATTGAAGGATGACAGGGTAAGAATTTTTGTTAAAAGAATATATCATTTTAATAAACTTCTAAATTAAAAATGAAATCGAATAATGGATGCAAATATTGTAACTTCAAACTGATATAAACTTAAAAGTCATTCTAAATAACTAACAATTGTTTGAGAGCAACTTTGTTTCAATTAAGAAATTGATTCTAATTTTACACAATTTTGTTTAATTATGGAAAGTTAGAATAATTCATTCTCAATGTTAAATAAATTTGGGTACATGTTTGAACCTACCGTTTTTTTGTTTATATAAATATCAGCAATGTCTGTTAAGTATAATTACACCTAATAATATAAATATCAAGAATATTTGAGAAAAGCCATTTATTTAATAAAAATAAAAGAAATAAATGTATCAAAAAATCCCTATTACTTTGTTTAGAGTAAGCAAGATTGGTATAAAAAAATATGCAACCAATAAAGTCTAAACAAGTAAATACACTTGGTTTAATTTTCTTCCAAAAAACATATTAGAACAATTTACGAAACAAGCAAACTTATATTTTTTAGTAAAATATATTATTATATCAAGATTTTGGCAGTTTTATAAGCAATACCAATCATTTCAATATCAGATGGTTAACCTACAATATTGCTACCATTAATTTTCATATTAATTGTTACTATGATGAAAGATTTATATGAAGACACAAAAAGAAAAAAAAGTGATAGATAGGAAAACGAGAATACATGCCTTTTAGAATCAGGCTAAATTTTATAATGGCAGGATATCCGTGTAGGCGAAGTTCTGAAAGTAAAAATCTGATATAACAAGATAAGAGAAAATGAATAGTTCCCGTGTGATGTCTTGCTTCTAAAGAGTGTTCAAAAAACAGGGGAATGTTATATTGAGACAAAAAATTTAGATGGTGAAACTAACTTGAAATAAAAAAAAGTTCCATAATACCTTTTATAATAAGGAGCTGAAATGCTTAATCATTTAGTAGTCGAATACGATATGCCTAACAATTAGCTATATAAATTTTCAGGCTCCTGTTATTTCGACTTGGATAAAAATTAAGAAAATGATATTTTTTCGCTCTTGAACCAAAAGGAGATTTTGAATGATAAATTAACAATTCTGCAATCTTAAAGGAATAAGGATTAATAAACAAATCTTTTAATATCCTAAGTAAGGACTCTGGATGAAGAAATAGAAAGAATAAAGATTTTAAAAATTGCATTAGATAATAATAATACCATTTTAAGAGGAAGCATTTTAAAAAATACAAGTCACATTATTTGTTTGGCATTATATACAGGGCACGATACTAAAATAATGAAAAATACAATCAAAGTCAAATATAAATAAAGTTCGCTTGAAAAGTAACTAGGAAAAAGAATCATATTTATTTTTCTTCTTTAGTTAGGTATTTGTCTTTTTTCTTCTCTATATTATTCTATATGGTTTAATGAACATTATGAAACATTGACTTATTTAGAAATAAAAAAATCAGGTTATGTTGACAATTCTTTTGCCTACAATTTTTTTGTAAGATTGGGAAATTGGATATTGATGTTTGGGTATTTTTCATGTTTATATAGAAATCTTGTTCCAATATCTCTACTGGTAACTTTAGAAACTGTTAAATTTTGTCAAGCATTTTTGATTTAATTTGATAAAAAGATGAGTTTAAATGAATAAAGATGCTCAGTTTAATCCTCAAACTTAAACGAAGAATTGGGACAGATTAGGTATGTTCTCAGTGACAAAACTGGAACCTTGACAAAAAATTAGATGATATTTAAAAAAATATGTATAGATGGGACTTCATATGGTAATGATTATCAAAATAATTCACCTATTGATTTTGTATAATTTGATGATTAAACTTTTGTAGATAAATTAAATTAAAATGATCCTATTATAGAGAAAACATTATTATTAATAACATTATGCCATTCTGCAATAATTTAGAAAGTTCAAGATGAATTGTATTATAATGTTACTTCTCCTGATGAATTGGCTTTATTAAACTTTGCTAAAAAATTTTAAGTCACATATAATGGGATTGATGAGAACAACATAATAACAATAAATTATAGGGGGAAGCAAAAATAGTTTTAATTCCTATATTTATTTGAATTTACGAGTGAAAGAAAGTGCAGTTCAATATTGGTATGTGATAAGGAAACAAATTTAATTTATCTATTCTCAAAAGGAGCAGATTCTGTAATGTTAAAGAAATAACTACACTAAAATATTGAAAAATCTAAGAATTAGTTTAACAAATATATATCTGAATACTCTGAAAGAGGACTAAGAATTCTACTTTTAGGGTATAAAGAAATACATTGGAGTGAATATGCTTAATGGGAATCTTTATATAAATAAGTAATAACTCAGATGGAAAACAGGCAAGAAAAAATGGAGGCCTTATAAGACTAGTTAGAAAAAGATCTAACAATCTTAGGGTTAACTGGGATTGAAGACAAATTGTAAGATAACGTTGACGAAACAATATATAGTTTGAGATAAGCTGGGATAAATATTTGGGTACTAACAGGAGATAAAATTGAAACTGCAATCAATATAGCAATATCTTGCAAATTGCTTGAATAAAAGATGAATATTTAAATAATATAGCAACCGATATATGAAGATATAATTGCAAATTTAAAATAAAGTGATGCTTTTGTTGTCTCAGGTGAATGTTTGACGTTAATTCTGGAAGATACTGTTTTAGAGAATTTATTTTCAAAAATTACTGAAAAATGCTAGTCTGTTTTATGTTGCAGAGTCAGCCCATTATAAAAGCAATAAGTAAATAATAAATTTATTTGAAGGTAGTTTGTTTTGTAAGAAAATATTTTTCTATGTCATCATCCTTAGCAATTGGAGATGGAGCAAATGATGTCAGTATGATAACAAGCGCAAATGTCGGAGTCGGTATCTTTGGGATAGAGGGATAACAAGCAGCAAGAGCATCCGATTATGCTATTGGAGAATTCTAGTAATTAAGATAATTATTGCTGGTACATGGAAGAGAATCATATAGAAAAAATTCAGAGTTAGTTTTGTACAATTTTTATAAAAATGTGATTTTGGTTTTTCCATAATTCTGGTTTTCCATTTACAATAATTTTAGTGGATAAAGAATTTATGACAACTTAATTTATTAGGCTTACAACATATTTTATACTTCTGTGCCCATCTTAATTTTTGCAATTTTCGATGCAGAATATTCAGAATAAATGCTTTATTAAAATAAATACTCAACATATTCTATAGGATTAACAAGTAAATAAAACTTATTATTAATTAGATAGTTGCTTTAATACATAATTGTTTATATTAATGTTAGTTAATTCAATTTACTCATCAATAATTATTGCGTTTTTTAGCATTTATATTTTTGATCAAAGCACTCATTAAGAAGGCCGATAATTATCGTTTTGGTACACTGGCACAGTAACGTTTTGGTTGGCAATTTTAATATCCAATTTAAGAATAGTAATCATTTCAAATACTTGGTCACCAGCACATATATTTTTCTTACTTGGGATGATTGCTATGTTCTTCTTCACTCTTTTAATTTTTGATGATTTTACTTCTTTTGACGGAGTGTATAAAATCTTTTTAAGGTAATTGATATATCCAATTTTAGTGTATTTAGATCAACAGGATTTTATTTAGTTTGCATTCTTGTAGTTGGTTCGACATCTGTTATAGATCATCTATTAAATAAATTTACTTACTTTAATAAAAAACTACAACCAATTAACAATAGAATATACTAGTTAGAATCGTAATGAAATTGATAAAAAATATGATAATAAAATAATTAAATATCTCATGAGAACACTATCTGTTGTTCTTTCTGGTTAGCGGAAGCATTTATATCAATTAATAATTATTCATAAACTCCTTTTGGATTTTCAAAATTAAGTTAATGGCCTGCATTCTCAATTATCCTAATATTGATGTTATTTTTATTCTTTGCTAAATTATATGCCCCTTTTTTGTCCATCCAATCTTGATCACCAAAATAAAAATAAATTGGAATATCATAAATATATTTTGTATGCTTTGTTAAAATATACTCTATTGAATCCCACCCTTTAGCTATTACTCTTGGGAATTGCAATAATAAAAATAGCGCCTTTTCTGAACCATCAGGTAAAGCTAACATTTCATCTATATAAGTTTGCCATACTTCATACTCTCTTCCTTCTAAGGACATTCGTTTTTTGAGATATTTTTTAATGAAATAATTTCCATACCACTTATCCTTAAGTTATTAGGGTGTAATTTGTTCACTCCACTTTTTGTGAGCATAATTGAAAAATATTCTCTACAGAAATGGGTACTTTGAGGTATCTTGTAATTTTCTAAATTAATTAATCTTATACTTGATCTCGCTATCATCATAATATGTTCCTCCTGCAGGACTTAATAGAAATAGCCTTGAGAATAAATGGGGCATTCTTGTGAATAAATGAGCTGCTAAAAATCCACCGAATGAATGACCAATTAAAATTATTTTTTAATCCCTAATAAAATTCTCAATAAATTATGATATTGTTCCCATAAAGAATTCGATTGCATCTTCGTATGATTCCATTAAAATATCTGATTTGCTTGAGTATCCCATCCCTGGCAAGTCAATTGAATATATTCGAAATTTTCTAATTAATTGTTCGTAAATCCTACAATAATGAACATTCGATCCTCCATACCCATGAAGCATCAAAACTATTTCCTGTAAAATTATGATGAAATAGAACCTTATCAGACTCCCCTCCACAAAATGTGTGAATTTAATACAATTTTCCTTAATATTTAACTTCATAATCATATAAGAAGCAATTCAATCCAATTTTAATATCTAAATTGATAATTCATACGGATACTGTAATGTTCAAGCAAATTTATCTCCTTTTTCCATCTCAATTCTTTTTTCTACTCCTCTGTCAATTAAACTGAGGAGGATTTACAACTACAATTTAACATATTATAAAAAATTAAAATATTATATAATTTTTAAAATCTATTGTTAATATTAAATCACATAACATTGTATTATTTCAAATTTTAAGACTTCCTTTAAAAAGTTTTGACACTCATAATTTATCTTACACCTTGCTAATTCTGTGGATCAATTTCTCTAATTTATAATATTGAATTCAATAATATGTTGTCTGCTTGAGTTAAATGAGATAATGTTGTTGGATAGTTAATTTTTAGATAATGTAATATATTTTAAACTATCTAAGTTTGTTGTGTTTATGACATAATTTAGGTAGATTCAAGATCAACTAGGTTTTATTTTTCAATTTGGTTTTCTTTTTTGTAGTGTGACATCTCTTTCAAATGTACCTCTAATTGATTATCTTAATATTCTAGATCAAAACTTGGAATCGTTTTTTCCTACTTTACTATGGAGATATATTTTACTTATGAAGACAAATTTTGATTCCCAATCTTTTAATAAAAAGTGATTTTTTCTATATAAGCAGCATATTTATTGAGGAAATTATTGAATAATTATTCAATTATTGATTATCTATGTTGTTCTTCGTAAAGAAGATTTGAGTTTAAAATTAAAAAGTGAATAATAATGAAATAAAACTTATAATTGTATACAGTTAATGCTCTTCCAAAAGTTAAATTCAAATATCCACTTGTGTTAATAATAATTTATCTTAAATGGGTATTTAACAGTTTAGAATTGTCTATAATTACTGGCATAAAAATTGAAATAAAAGTTTTTGGTAAAATTTCTTTTTATTATAATTAAAGTGAAAGTATATTGTAAAATTATTCTGTTAACAACAAGCAGCATTCGTCTAAATTATAGAATTGATAAAATTGCTGAATCAAAATAGAAATTCTGATATTATCTTCAATGGAATTATTTTTTTAAAGTTCTGAATAAACAAATTTTAGCATCTAAGAAATCAATTAAAATATATACTATAGATATCCACTAAGGTTTTGATTTAACAACCTCAGAGGCATGAATTGTGCTTTGCAAAAATAGTTTAAAAACACTTTCGATGGTTAATTTTCCTTCTTTTTCAATAATAGCAGGTAAACTATCATAAATAATATATATTATTTCTGTTAAACCCTTTGTATATGAAATGAATTTAGAGCAAGCATCAAAGATCTCATCTATAAACAATAAGTTTTCTGGTTGCAATAAATAATTCAAAATTTAATTTAAAGTTGGTTCTATTTAGGCCTATTAAATAGTCTTAATAAATACCGTATATTTTAGAGTGTATGGCTGAGATAATATTATATCTATAATTTTTATGCAACTAAAGACAATAGAGGTGTGATTAACATATTATGTCTGATTTGCCTTGATCTTTTTACACCCAAAATCAATTCTTCTTGCTATTGATTTCATTATGTCATCAAGGTAAGTATCCACAATTTCATTGCAATTCTAGACAACAATTGCAGCAAATTCATAATATATATCGAGTTCGCATAATGCTAATTGATCACAAAATTCAAAATGTTGGAATGCTATTGAGTCTTCCATCTTAAGTTAAACATCCTAATTCTATATTAGATTAATTAGGCATTTAACAGCAAATAACTTCACACCTCTTTTTTATTTAGGTTAGTTTAATATTCTAAAACAGAACTTTATGCATTTTTAAAAGGATTTCTCAGAGTTTGAAAATATTGATGGTAACACAATTTTTATGAATTCCATTCCCAAACACTTGCCAAGAGCATCAGCCTTTTTTTTCATATACTTTAAGTTTTGCTTCAAAAAGTATTCAACACTTTATCTAACATCTTTTCTTGTAGTAAGCTATTTATTTAAGATACAAAATGATAGAATTATTGCATTATATCTTAAATCAGGCGGGCAAGTAAAGAACTTACATTGAATAATTTCTGTTTGTAATTTGTTGCATAAATTTGTTTCTTAGATCACTTCAAAATGAAATAACAATAATTCATAACACATATCATAATAGTTCTTTAAGAATCCATCTATATTTTTGGAGAGTTTATCCAAAATTTATGCGATTAAACTTTTGATTGTATCATTCTAACTAAATTAATAATTTTTACATCTAATTTAATTATGGCTTATATATATTCATAAAAGTCTGTAGTATTTTCATAAAAGTTTGAATTTTCTTATTCGTCAAATATTAGGTTATCAAAAATTAAATTGAATAAAAGCTGATGCTGATTATTGTAAAAGAATTCATAAGAAAAGGAATAATTCAAACATTCATTTACAAATTATAACACTGATAAGGATGTTGGGTGATCAAATTTTTTTTCCAAAAATGATTATATAAGTAATGGTAATATTTGATTAGTTAATTAGGCTAAGTAGGGTATCTATACTGAATCAAACTTTAATTGAGCTTGGACTTAAGATTAATTTTTTATGAGTATGCATAAAGATTTAAGCAAGTTTGAAGTAATGATGTTTTCAAGCAATAAATACTTTGAAATAAATTTTAATAAATGTTAATCTTGTGATAATAACAATAATTTTTCTTGTTAATAGCAGTTGTATTTTTAAACGCAGATAACTATTATACTGCTTAATGTTTTTCCAATATGGATATCAATGCTTGAGTAATCAATGTATTAGAATTATTGAAATATTTGTTCTACAATAACCTACAATTATTAATCCAGAGTTCTAATATTAAATAGAAATCTTAACAATTGGTCCAAAATAAATAATATTGATGTGATAGATGTTGACATTTATTGATGATTTACTAAGGATTGTGACATTTATTGCAATAAAAAGTCAAATAATTCATTCTTTTCTTAAAATGCTTCAAAAACCATTCCAATAAGATGGGACATAAGTTTAATATGAGTTTTGTAATATTTAATTCCTAAATGTATGGATAAGGAAAAAATAATTTACTAATCTTATTCTGATGTAATTTGAGAAAGTTTCTTTAATTACATAGTGGCAAAAATGACAAGTTGCTTGAACCTTTGAGAATTGTATTTTTAAGGATTCAACTACATAATTGAATCAAAGTGATAAATCGATCTAATTATCATAATTAATTTTAGTGAGAAATTGTTCTCCATGTATAATTCAACAGTTTATAAATTTTCTTGGTTAGAATAAACCTTGGCGATGTAATCTAAAAGTTGATCCAATTCAACCACAGACAATCCTTCTGCAACTGGAAGCGTAAACAATTAGAGTAAATAACTTTAATTCATGATTATAATTTAATTAAAATATTTTACATAAAATTTGTAATATAAAAACTGATATAATTTGAGAATAAGGAGCTTAGAGCAGAAATTTAAAGGACCTCATTCTGAATAGCTATAAATTTAAAAGTTAGCTTTGAAAAATATAATTTATAATAATTTGCTTTATGTGGGTTATATCAATGCGAATACCATTTTGGCTATCCATTAGCATCTTATATAACTAGTCTTCCATCATCCTACAAAATCAAAACAAAAGGAGGAGCATAGTTTCCAAAGTTTTACCCAGTAACCCAATATGGCATGCCTTTTGCATCTATCATTTATAATTCTCCTCCTGATTGATCAAACTTCAACCATACCGGGGGGATAGGTTGTCGGTTGAAATTTATAGCCTAATGTTATTATATTTATAAATACCGAAAAAATTGGTTATCTTGTCTAATTATGGAATATGAATAATCTGCCATCATGAAAGAAAGATAAAGTAAACTATTAATTTGGACTTGTTAACATAAACCCTGAGACCATGGTTTTATTCGATGAAATGATATTTTAGTCATCATCCAACCATCTTAACCTGTTTCCATGAGCCCAAACTCCCTTTTTTTTCCCTCCATTTACAAAAGTCCATTCACTAGATATTTAAATATTAATACCCATTTCCATGCATATTGTTATCAACCCATTATCCATCATATTGCTATCTGTTGTTCCAAACCTGTTTACCTTATCCATTTTTTTTCCCATTTATAAATTGGCCTTCATATCTAGAATCCCCAATTACTAACACTCCCATCCCATTATACTAAAAATATTAAAATTCTCTAATACTTAATCATTAGCCCAATAACCTTCATAGTACCCGCCATAACTAAATTAGAGTCTACCTTAACCATGTTTAAAATTATTCATCATATCTCCTGAATATTGATCACCATTTGGGTAAGTGAAATCCACTCTACCATTCATAGGCTATTGAGCATAGCTATTTTGATATCTAACTTCATAATTTTGAACGAATTAATTCAATTATTAAGGAAGAACTTATTATTATTATTATTGTTATTATTATTATTATTATTATGGCTATTAATATTATTAAAGTTATTATTAAAAGGATTCCTTTGTAGGAGCTTCTGTTGATTTTTACTCCTTTTACAAATAATCTTAAGGTTTCGATGTCTTGAAAGTGCATTGTACCTCTACTTCACCTACATTTGAACCGTCATAAAATATTGTAACTGTTTACAATTAATTCTCTTTTAGTGATAATGAATCAGTAATTGAGGCATAACCTATAAGATTAATAAATTTCTTACCGCATCCTAAGAAATCATTCCATCCAATCAAGGACTCAGCCCAAACTTCTATGTATAAAGTATCCTCATCTGTTTCTCTTGTAAATATGATTTCGTCATTCCATTTCGGTGTAGTGTGTCCAGCAGCATCAACAGAAGTGTTCATAGTTTCATTACCAAAATGAATAGTTAAGAAGGGATCCATTTTTAATAATAGGTTGGTATTCTTCTTTAATCGACCAAATTTTGGTTTGACAATGAACTTTCCTTCTGTATCTGGAGCCTTGATTTCTGGTAAATCTTTTCCAGTTGGATCTAAAGTAAATGTAGCTTCCAAACTGATCTCACCTGCTTTTTCACCATTATGAAAAAGTAGAAATGAAATTCTTTTTGGTTCATTATTTCCTTATCTTATAGAAGTCAAAGAAAATGCCCCTTCCCCAATAAGAATGTCAGAGGTTATAGTATTTTCACACCAAACTTGCCCTATGATTACATCTTGTTCTCCTAACAATTTTTAAAATGTGTGTGTACACCCTTCCCATTTTCTATTTAAAAAATAATAAGAAATATATATATACGGGTGTTTTCCCCCTTCCTTTGCAACAGGAGTCTTAAACTCTTGTCTTCCCATTATTAATTTGACGTAAGGATCCATAACTCCTATGAATCTTACATCTCTCTCTAATAATGCATGCTTTATAGTCAGAAAAACTGGTCCTTTGAAACCTGGTGCTCTATTTTGTTCAATCACTGCTCCGGCGCTACTACCACAACCCATTAAGTAAAGTAATATATTTTATGAATAAATTAGATAATTTTGTTTGAAATAGTGAAAAAAATAATAATTGCATTAAATCCAATTATTACGATTCTATTATTTCAATTTTATATTCCCTATTATTGACACTTCATTCAATCTATAAAAGCAATGATGAGTAACACAAATAGGGTTAGCTAGTTTAATTAACACAAATTAAAAATAAAAATTATTATTATTATTGATTTATTATATTAATGTCATTGGCTTTTATTTGCAGAATATATGCAAATTCAAATTTAATCTTTTTATCCTTTAAATTATTGGTATAATTCTTTTTCGAAATTCTATAAAATTCCAAAAATTAACCAGATAATAATTTCCTCTAATAGTCATTCATTGACAATATTTTCTATCTGATTGCTCATATTAATAGATTAAATGATAAAATCTATAATCTCTAATGATGATGCCTCATTTTGAAATGAGGATGATCTCGAAATTCTTTAAATTTGTTATTATTTCTTATCAAAACTTTCATTCACTTAGAGTAAACTTCATTTTTGCTCATATATCTTTTACTCTCTCAATTATTATAGTTCTCATACACAATTACTAAAGCCAGTCCCTCCTATTATCTTTGTAATAATGTAAAGAATATTAATTTATCTACTACCTTAAACAAAGTGTTAGGAATTAATAAAAGCGTTTTAATAGATATAATCATGTTTCCAAGCAAATTAGTTCTAACTACTCTATTCTAGTTGATAACTTTACTTTTCTTAAAAACTCAAATTTAGAATTATAAATATTAATGAATATTGAATAATCAAGATGAGAATTTGCCTGTTCTATTCCAATTATCAATAAGTCTTGCCTTCTCCTTTGAAATACATTCCAAGAGCTCTCGATGATATTATTAACATAAATTAGGATCCTAAGCTGATTCTTAACAAGATTTCATTCTGCATCCAAGGGGTTTGCATCTTTATTCTGCTAAATGGTGTAATCTGACTATATCCATCGATCAAATGCTATATATTATTTATATTATAATTAAATAAATAAACACAATTAAAGTATATATATAATAAATTATAATATAAAGAAAAATAATGAATTATGCATTAAATGTATGTAAAATTATAGAATAATCATGCATCTGTTTGAGTTTTTTATCTCCAAGTTTTATAATCTGGATCATACATGAAACCTTTTTCATTTGAAAACATGTAATCTATTAATTAAGTTTGAGAATGATATCATACCTATCATTAACACTATTCCAAACATAAATGAAATAGTTAACCAAGCAAATCTAACAGCATCAATGGTCACAGCTGCAAATAATAATGTGATTAAGACGATCGTGAAAATAAGCGATTAGGAACATGAACAGCACGCCATTTATTATTAATATTTATTATTTATGTTTGAATTATGGATTAATACATCATTTTTTTCTTCTCAAACTTGTTTTTTGAGATCGAAACCAATAGCCTTACACTACTCTCTTCTTTATTGTGTTTTGTCACTACTTCAACGAAGGTCTAAAATGCTTAAAAATAATGGACTTAATTTATCATAAAAAGCTGAAGACCATACATATGGTTGTATTGAAAGTCAAACCTTAAATCCTACAAAGGAGATAGATATCGAGCATATTCTTGCAGATTATAAGTTTATGAAAATGTTAAAAGATCCTAAAGTCTATCCCTACTTATTCCCAAAAAGAAATTAGGCTTAAGTTTTCTTTTTTGATAATCAATATTTTTAGAAATATAAATCTAAATAGTAATTATGGAAAAACCGTGTTTCTCAAAGTAAATCTTAGTATTTTTCAATAATTCAGCAGCAAGAACATTTTTTATTTAGCAGATCCATATATTTTCTCTTTAAAGGTGATTGTAAATTGTAATATCCATCTAAAACAAGTGATAAGTGTGTTTTTTCAATGAAGATTTAATGTTGATATTTGATTTTTTCAGAAAACTTTGATTCCACGTCAGAAGATCTAGAAGTAATATCCATTAACACTGGTTTCCACACACCTACAAAGGCTCCAATTGCTAAAGTTTTATCGGCTACAATTAGTCCTTAGAATAAAGAGTAAGGTATGCAATCTATTTTTTCTTTCGGAATTGGAGAACCCAATGAAATCCAATATATGTAGTTAAATTGGCTAATTGGCTATCTTAATTAAGGACAAACAGAATTAGGAGTAGTTCATGAAGATTCTAAAAATGCTAAACTCAATACATTTTAATCAACTTGGAGATCAACCAAGTGCAGTCATTCCTTTTTTCACAGTTCTTAAATATACTATTTTGGATAAAAATTTCAAGACATCCTTCTTTTATTCATGAACTTGATAGTTTTTTGCGGTTTTCTTGGTTTCTTTCAAGGTTTCATGAATAAAGTTTTATCTATTTTCTAGTTCTATTTCTAACAATAATGGTTCAAACTTCAGAATTCTTAAGAATATCATCTCTTCCATTTAGATTAAATTCATTCTCGTTTTCTTATTCCTCAGTAAACGTATAAACTTTTCCGCTAATCATTTTTTTACTCAAACTCTCTTTCCACATCCATTTAGACTACAATCGAATTTCGATTCCTACATTCCTCCTTTGTTTATCAAATTATTTCTAAAAATCAGTTAGTTTGGTTCTTCAAATTTTGATTTGTTGTGATCGTCTTCTCTTGTTAACCCAAATACACGACTTATAATCGATGTCAATGATGAAGTTCCCACATTTATTTATCATCTTTCTTTTTTTTTAAAATATAGGAATCCAAATAATCTGAGTGCAATTTTAACTCTCAAATGAGTCAAATGTTCTATCTGATAGTTAGCTATATGAGCATAAAACAAATTTTGTTTATTTTCGATCATTTTTCTTGGTATTGCTACATTAAACAATCTCATCAAATTTTATTTTATATAAATATGCTGATCATCACTATCCTCTCCTCTCATCTAATAATATTTCTTTGTAATTTGAACTTCTTATATATCCCATTTATAGAATCAAAGATAATCATATGTTTATAAATAACCATGTTTTTTACAAACAACTGTCATTCTTAAAAATTCTCAACTTAGATTAAGACTTGTATATCATTAATTGTCTCCTATTATTACAACATCACTAGAAATTTTCAATATATTATATTTATAAATTGTTTATTAGAAAATCTAAGCTAATAAAAATTTTATTAATTCAAATGAAAATATCTGACGAAATCATTCTAATGTATAATATTCTAAGAATTCTGGGCTGGAGTCAAACTATGGCCTTAATAATTTACTAAACCAAACATGATATTGATGACATTTCAAATATTTTAAACATAGTCAAAGCTTTGACTATTGGAAAATGTTTCGAAATTGTTTTCATTAAACAATGCCAAGTTTTCTCTCAAAGGAATATATTGAAATATTACATATTTCTAATGAGGCTCATATTTTAATGGTATTTCATGAGACCCTAATTATGTTTTTGCTCATTTAGACAGACTATTAGTGGTTGGGCATTTATGGAAATTACTGAATCATTGTATTACGTCAGCAAATCTGAATTTATGAAAAAATTATTTTCGCTTTTAATATTTATCTTTGTCCCATTTACTTTAATAGGAATGATTAGAGTGATAAATCGAATAATTGAAAAACAAGAATAAGAAGATTATTTCAAGAGATTATTCCAATCGATTCTTGTAATATTTGTTGCTATTCAACTTTATATCAATTTTAAAAGAATTGATTTTGGATAAAGCAAGGTAGGAATTCGTAAAACTAAAGCATTTTGATTAACTTAATTATATTTATAATTAGAACGCTATATAACTATTTCACTAAGCTATATAAGATATCATAAACTGATTTAAACAATTCAAAATGAAATTACGAGACAATTTTCATTAATTAATGAAAAATATGTTCTTAAAATAAATGTTTTCTCTTTCATTTCTTAATCTCCTTTAATTACCATATGGATTATTAATAATCTCCTTTATTTGCCATATGGATTATTAATTATCTATAAATATATGTTATGGTTGAGATTCAACAATAATTTCTTGTATTTTGGCAATCATTTCATTATAATTAAGAATTGAAAATAATTATTATTCAGTCAATAAATGCAGCTTATAAGTGATCGTGAAGATCCAGAACACTTAATAACCTAGGGAGCATGTTCTGTAGACATTCCAATATAAAGAAACAGACCCTCCTCTCAATATATGTTTCACGGTTCCTAGAACAGAAAATTAAAAACTTAAACTACTGTTTCTATATTTGGGTATTGCAGTTGATTAATTGACAGGACATTTAATACCTAAGAAGATAAAACTACAATAACTAGAGATACTAGGAGTGTATTTGTAAGGATTGTAAGAAAATTGATCATCATATAATGTTTTTTTGATTCATTAGAATAATATCGAAAGGAGAGATTGTAATAGAGAATAGAGTTTTATTTTTAAAAAAGAACGAAAATGATTCCATTTTATCCAGATGATTGCTTTATTGTTTTGTGGATGAAAGTCATAACCCTACTGTAATTTTGCTCATGCATAATTTACCCGCTGTTTATTACATTCAATTAGTTAGAAGGAGACTTACAAATCATAGTGATTATTTTGGATATATTTTTCTCATTAGACATGCTGTTAACATTTTTGACAGCATACATCGATGAAACATCTTCATTAAAAATAAATATTTTTGATATTGCAACACATTATTTAAAAACATGGTTCACCTTTGATTTAATATCAATTTTTCCTTGGATTTAATTAGGTTTGGATGATTTGAGATTTTTCAGGCTTTGCAGAATATTAAAATATTTTATATACAAATAAAAGCATAGCTATAAAGGTTAAGCAGAACAACAAAAAGTGGTGCCATCATTTATGCCAGATAATAATATATAATTGAAGGAAGGAATTAAGTTTATAATTGATGTTATGGTGACAGCTTTTCTATTGATTCATATATTTGCTTGTGGATATCATTATTTGCTAGAGATAGAATATATAGATGCCTTTTATCAGTCTACTCAAACCATAACTACTATTGGATATGGTGATAGTTCTAAATTCATAATTTACGAATATCAAACTTTATGGCTGATTGTAGGAGTAGGGTTTTATACTTTTACAATAGGAGATTTTGCATACATGATGTAAAGATCAGGGATTAATTAGGATGATGAATGCTATTTCTAATTAGAATAATTGTGTTATGTATCTGATTTCCCAGAAAAGATAAAAAATTAGTTTTAGAGATTCATATCAACCAATTTAAATAATAATGCCTTCTGGTCAAGTTACCATAAGAAAATGGTTCACGATTTGCCATATTAAATATAAAACTATTTGGTTTTAAGTGGAATGCTTCAAATTTGTGAGGCTGTGCCTTTCTTTATGCAGGATATCAATTTTACAATAGAATTACTAAACAATGTCCAATTCTTTGTAATAGAAGAGAATGATCTAATTTATAGAGAAGGATAGAATTCGAATGAGATTTATTTTTTATTACAGGGCGATGTGAGAATTATGACAAAGAAAAAATTCACCTTATTAAATATCTTGGAAGGTACAATGTTCGGAGAATTCGAAGCGATAGAAGAAACACTAAGAGCGACTTACGCTGTAGCTCTATAAAGATCGTTGATTTTAAAAGTTGATTATGCAATATTAGAAAAATCTATGAAGATGAGTCCAAATTTATACTTTGAAGTTTAGCAATTATTTCATAGAAGACGCAAATTGCTGATAAATAATTTAAAAGTTGAGAAATGTATGTATCTATGAACCATATTAGTTAGCTTAACGAAACAAGATTAGGAGATCGGTTTTAATACAATTCAGCCATGAATAATTGCAATATACTAGATAAGAGATGAAAAAGTAAAGAGAAATAAGAGAACTAAAAAATATTAACGAATATAATCAATTGGTACTCCAGTTATTGATAGATAAAAAGAGACATAAATATGACTAATTATTAGCAAGATTTAAGTCTGTTGTGTTTCGAATTATTCATTTCAATTAATAATTGAATCGAACTCCTCCAGAAGATTGGAAAGATTTAGATAATTACAACTTAATTAAGAGAGTATTTCCACTGCGTTGTTTGTCAGATAAGTTTTAAATATTTTTTCGGAAATCCTCATCAGTCCATAGTTAATCAGTTCATCGAAGTTCTATTCGGCGAAGAATTGACAATGAGAAATATACTAAGTATCATTGGAGACTAAGTGATGTTTAAATAAAATAGATTATTTTAATGCATAACAAAAGATCAGTGAAAGTATATCCAACTTTAAGCAACATCGTTTCAACTTACTAAGGAGGTACTGTAGCATCTTCTCCTTAGAGAATAAATAGGTATTACCCAAGATGGATAAAAGATTTGGTGTAAGAGGAATACACTTCAGAAGAGATGGAACAATTTATATGGAAATATAATCAAATCAATAAAAGATTAGATAGAATAGATAAAATGTGGACGAAAGGATTAATCCTCAAATTTGACAAGTTTAAGTTGAAAAGTTAGAATGATTTAGATCATCTTGATACGGAATCTTCAGATGAAAAATGAAACCTTAATGAGCATCTGCTTCTTTTTCTTTTCAATTCTTTTATGATTATTTATATGAAATTTTTTAATGAATTACTTTTTTTAAGAACATAAGTTAAGTTTCCTTTACAATTATTATTTTATTTGTCTATAATTACTGAATGAATGCTGCTAACTTAAATTTAGAAAGAGACAATTATAAGGATTTATTGAAGAGTATAAAGGATGAATCAATGCAACTGGCCATACGACATCAAAGCAATTCATAACATGTTTTGGAGAAAAAAAGGAAATAAAAAACTGAAACTGATCATAAATTCACGTTGGCTCTTCCAAGCATAGAAAACAGTACCTTAGAAGATATTTCATCTCATTTTCATTCCATTCGAAGAAGCTAACCAGGAGGATTTTGTGAATTAATAGCCAATAAATCTTAATAAAAGTTTATTTAGCAAAGCTTTCTAGAATTACAAAGAAACAAAATGTCTCAAACGTATAGAGACATTAATTTAAGCGAAAGGAAATTTAAATCCATGCAACGTAAAGTTCCTCATCGAGAACCATTAACATTAAAATATTTAGAAAAATAATTAGGAATATCGAAAACCCCAGAAAAACAAATTTTGCCCACTGTTTAAAGACAATAATAATAGAAAAGAAAGATTACAGAGGAGGACATCAAAGAAGAATAGCCAATTGTCTCATTTTTTGAAGAAACTTTAAACTCTTATTCTTACGCTGTCCCTAGTAGAAGAGAGTCTGCCTAGATTGGAGTTGTCAGAGATAGAATGTACGTCTATGGAGGAATGAGTGGAGCTGGAATAAATAATGAAATTTGGTGGTTCGATTTAAGTAAATATTTAAATAAAGCCAATAGAAAAGCAGGAATGGAGTAATTATTGTTCAAATGTTTAATTATTTATAACCAGCCATTCAATGGTGGTATGGAAATAGTTTCTAGTGTTATTTGGAGGATCTGGGTATTATGATCATAAAATGAAAATCAGGTAAGTGTATTCCACACTCGGATTCTTTAATACAATAACTAACTAGTGGACAACATCTTTGGAATCAGTGGAACCCAGAAGAGAACATAAAGCTTCAATACTCTTTGGAAAATTGATGGTAATAACAGGTGGATTAGATTCAGCAGAAAAACTACTGGATGACACCTTAATTTATTCTTTGGAGTCTAAGAGATGGACTGGTTAGAAATTGATATTCGAAGAAGGAATTGCATAGCATGCTTAATGCACCGCATATGATAATAAGAGAAATATTGAAACTGTTTATATTTTTGGTGGATAAACTGCAAAATTGAACTCATTTCCTTTAATGAAGATGACATTTTACGGGCTTCATCCTGTTGGTTGGGAGAAAGTGTAATATTCAGGTTAAGCACCTGAGGGTAGATACAATCATACCATGGAGAATGTTGGTGATTATTTGATTCTGATTGGTGGCAGATCCTAAGAGAAGAAGGAATACTAGAATGAGATCTATATTTTCCATCTTCAAAAGAGTTATTGGACTATAGCTTAAAGATAAGGGTTGTAAACAAAAAGATGGAGTCATTCTAGTTGTGTATATGGTAGCAACATCCTATGTTTTGGAGGAATAGGTGAAAATACATATTTGCCTCCTCACATTTATTAAATAGAAACTGATAACTTCAAAATCAAAGGCAAGATTGTGGTTGTTAAACCATTATCAACTATAGATGAAGAATTCGCTAGCAACAGTCCTCCTATGATAATCACAAGAGAGTAGGAGTAAGATTCTAAGAAGGTTTGTCGATTGGAGAAATTCAGAAAAGCAAGAAAAATGTATGAACAAATTACAACTTATTTGCCGTTGCCTAAGTTGAAAACACCTAAAATGAGATACGATCTCTTAATTCATTTTGTTAAGAACGTACTGAAATAAATTGGTTATATCTGAATATAATTAGAATAAATATTCTATTCATTTTAAATTTAAATAATGGTAATATAATTATTTTATTGAAATTATATATACTCATATGGATGCCATGAGTTGTAATGTCTGCGGAAATAGATTGGTTATTAAGGGTATTTCACTTGTTTGCACTGGATGTGGAAATGCTACTGTATGAAAATATCACTTATAATTAGAGAAGCAATCATATATTCTCAACTGAACAAGAATATTAAAAATAAATACTCAAAAGAACTACCTCGCATATAATGCAAAGGAGAGAAAGAGAAATTCAACTCAATCTTACATTATCAGAACACATTAAATAAAATTGGATATAATATTTAGCAGCATTTACTAAGTTTATTAATTTTATAGGAAAGCAACTAAATTTAGATATCAAACCACTTTTTTCAAGATATTTGCATCATCACATCAATCAGCCGGTCAATTCAAATTGGACTATAGCAAGGAAGGGACATTAAGCATTTTCTGAGAATAGAGTTGTCAATTCCAAATACAAATTTAATAATTCCAATACAGAATCAACACTCAATATTAAAGTAGAAGATGACTTTGATCATGATTTCGAAAAATAACTATAAAATAATTTTACACAGGATTAATAAAATTAAAGTTCTATAATAGAAATTTAATAAATTAAAAAGAAAATATCCAAACCAAAAACACCATTCTATTAAAAAAGAGTCATCAAACTTTAATTAAAATAAGGAAGTAATCTAGGTTAAACTCTTTCTAAAAGAAAACAATCAGTCCATAGAAAAGGATCTCAGATACTAGACATTCCTGTTAATTAAGATAAATCAACATTTATTAATGGTTTACTTTCTTCAACTAATCTTACAAATACAATTTATTATGCTTTGATTGAAATCTATTTTGAAAAATACTACAGTACCACAACCAATGATTTAAATTTGGCAATCAAAAAGATTAAAAACATTAAAACTAATTCAAATAATACTCAAATTCTCTCCCTTAAATCAATAAGCTAAGAATTGCTTTAAGAAATGTCTCCCTTCTTATAAAAAGAGTATGTATTAGTTTAAGATATCCTAATTTATATGTTAGGATGCCCAAATAGTTTTTACGAGATGTCTGAACAGTGGAATCATTTTGATTTCAAGACTCTCAACAAAAATCTAAAGAAAAGAAATGTGAATTTTATTTCCAGAAAAATAAAGTACATTTAACAATTTTTGAAATCCTGTTAATAAAAGGAAATAAACACATAGGAAACTGATGTAACAGTCAATATAAACAACAAACTTTTTTCAAAAAAAAAATTAAATCTGATACCATTAGATTTTACTTTTGGGCTAATTCTGATATATGCTACAAATCTGATCTAAGGAAATAAGTTATTTCCAAGCAAATTAATCTAATTGATAAAACAAAAAGAAATCAATTATTTGGAAGGGTTTTCTCATTTAATGGGTGACACTACAAATCAATATTTAACAATCCCTTAGCATCTGCCTAAATCTGGATTCATTAGACATCAAGCTGTGAAATTATTAAAACAATTTAATATTGAATATTAGGAATCTAATAGAGAATAGTTTTTAGATATGTTCAAAAGCATTTGCATTGAATTGAAAATATCTCAATAAATCTATAGTATTGCATTGACATTTGAGTAAAAGTACTTTATCAATTTCAATATTCATAATAGTCAACACGATATCTATTCTTGTAGTTTAATCTTGTTGGCATTTAAATATTATATTTACATTGATAAGTTAAGCGCAATTAAAGATTTATCTTTGGTTTTTGAATATTGCAAGAATATCTAACCTTACGATTACAAAGATTTAGAGGATTGTACCCTAGAAAATTTAAGATAAAAATTGAATGCTTTATAAAATTTTGATCAATATTACGGTGATAGGGATCTGAATATAAAGTTGAATTCAAAATTATAATAATTAGATAGTTATTTTGAATAGCAAATAATACAAGAATATCATAAGCAGGTTTAAACTGTCGAGATAACAAATGAAGTCAAAATAAATATCATTCATGAGGATTGGGACTTTTATAAAACAGGGGATTTTGAGTTTGAGGCTCCAGAAGTAAGATTTTTGGAGATGAAATTAAGTAATTACATTGACGATGATGAAAATTCTATAATTAATTTATTTCATGAATTGGAAAGAGTCTTGGTATGATCAATTGTGTATAGCAACAGGAATAATGAAAATACTTAAATAAATATCTTATGATTATGTTATTTTAATATGATTATTATATGAAAATTCTTCACTGCAGATGCACTGTCTCAGCATAGTTGATTAAAAATCTCATATGAGTACTTGATGCTCCGGCATGGTAAACAGCACATTTCTCTATAGAAATTATTAAATTTGATTAGATTACTTAAACATTCTGTTTCGGACTCATTAAAATCTCTATTCACTTTTAATGCTCCACATCTTTTACTGCAATCTTTGGTTGCTCTTGTCATATAATGCAATGCTTAAGCACCAACTCCCCAATCAATTTCTTGTTCTTCAGACATTCGATGAAATGTTTAATATTAAAAATATTAATACTTGATTGAATATAATTAAATTTTATAGCATTCCAAATAAGTACAAAAAGGTTTATGTGGACTGTATCAATGGGTCATATAATATTGACTTATTTATTAAAAGATCAATAAGTTGTCTAATGATTTGAGAGGAGTTAAGTGAGTGAGATAGTAGAATTCTCAATTTTAGCTTCCTGAGTTATAAAAAATGGGGGAATAAATTTGTTACTATTTAAAAATATATTTGAGATTGGTTGAAGGATGATTTAATTTATTTAATTAAAGAGTAGAATGAATATAAATAATAAGTATTTAAGTTTTATAGAAAATAGAATGTATACCGTGAATAATTTTTTATATATTAAAATGCAAAATAAATTATTGGATAAAGTTTAGGAGGAAAACGCTAGCAACAAAATGAGCAAATTGTTCAAAGGAGGCTAAAATGATTATTATGTTTCAATGAAAGAGGAAGATAGCCATTAGATTGAAATGAACAAAATTTAGAGAAAGAAAGTGTTTTTATCAGGTAGTGAGGATGAAGAAGAAAGATTGCCAATACCAATAATTAAATAGGAGGATAATAAATGTAAGATGATTGTTATTCTATTAGAAATGTAAGTGTATCAGCAACCAGAGATGAGGAAGAGTGACATTTTAGATGAAGTGCCGTCATAAGAAAATATGGATGGGTTAAATGGGATGGGACAATTTGAGCTCTCTCCCATTAACATCCAAGCTGGAAAAAAGAAAAACAAAACCAAGAAAAACAAATCAAAAAAGAAAAAAGTGAAGCATCGAGCATTACCATTCAGTTGGAATACTTATAAATTCTTATTACACTATCCCTTATAACATTTAAAACTAACTATATTAGTGAATGTATTGATAGTATTATCAGCTGTAGCACAAATGTTATTACCTTGGATACTTGGTAGATTGATTGATGCAATCACTAAGAATGTGTAATAAACTCAAGGTTCAGACACAGATCCAATAAATAATAAAGATATTCCCAATAATCTTATTGACGAGGAATTACATACAAAATTATCAAAACAATTTTTATATGTATTGGCAACTTATACTGTTCTATCCTTAGTACGAGCATTTGCCAATTAAATATGGTAAGAACAAATATACAATGATATGAGGGAGGATGTGTTAAAATCCTTTTTATCCTTTGATTTAACCTTCTTTAACACATATAGGAATGGTGAAATTATATCTAGAATGACAAATGATTTACAATCTGCTAAATCAGCTGTCAGTGGAAATATTATTTTACTAATAAGAAATTGTTGTTTGACAATTTTCAATATAATAATCTTATTCGCATTGTCTTGGAAAGTGACATTGGCAATTTTAGCACCTATGCCCTTGTATACTGTTCTCACAACAATTCATACAAGACTCGGAAAGAAGTTCGAAAAATTAGGTTAAGAATACCAAGCAAAACTGACAGCCTTGGCAGATGAGATAGTATCAGGAGTAGTTACAGTAAAGAGTTTTTGCACAGAACAATTTGAAATCAAGAAATTTCACAAATAATTAGATTTAAATATTAAATTGGCATAAAAGAGAGGAGTAAATAATGGATGCTACTAAGCATCGAGTGCTTTATTTACCTAATTAGGTTCCTTAATAGTTTTATGGTATGGAGGTAGATTAGCAATGAATAATTCAGCAGAACTATCAGCAGGGTATAATATTATCAATATTATTTTAGTGACTTAACTACTATAATCTTATATTCAATACAATTATCTACATCCAGTTCAAATATAAGCGAATCCTTTGCTAAGATTGTGAGTGCTACTGGAGCATTTGAAGGAGTTCTTGATATGCTTAGATGGGAGTCTCTTGTAAAAGAAGCACCTGATGCTATAGATCACATAACCCCAACAGGAGAGATTTAATTTAAAAAAGTCGTGTTTTCATATCCAAACTCTTAAGTTTAAGTGTTGAAAGGAATCTCCCTCAAAATAAACAAAGGAGAATATGTAGCATTTGTAGGACCTAGTGGCAGTGGAAAGTCTACAATTATGCATTTGTTAGAGAGATTTTATGATCCATAATAAGGTTCCATATATTTTGATGAGATTAACATTAAATAATTCAAGCTCAAGGCTTTGAGAAAGGCCATAGGATTGGTCTCTTAAGATCCAGTATTATTCGAAGGAACGATAGAATCAAACATTATTTATGGAACTGAAACCTATACAAAGGATGACTTTGAATGGGCTACTAAGGCTGCTGGAGTGTGGTAATTCGTTTCTGATAAATTCAAATTCCCTCATGGATTTGATACTTTTGTTGGAGAACATGGTTACACATTAAGTGGAGGTCAGAAGTAAAGAATAGTCATTGCCAGGGCCTTATTGAAGAGGCCAAAGATATTAATCTTTGATGAAGCAACATCAGCTCTAGATGCAGAAAGTGAATTTCAAGTTCAAACTGCTATCGATGAGTTAATTTAAAAAGGAAGCAAAAATATTACTGTTCTAGTGATTGCTCATAGGTTGAGTACGATTGTCAATTGCAACAGAATTGTTGTATTACAAAATGGTGTAGTAGCAGAGCAAGGAACACATTAAGAATTGCTGAACAATCCTGATGGAATTTATAGACAGCTGGTAGAAAGACAACTATCGGGAGTTATTGATTCAAAGGACAATGATGGAGATTCGGAAGCTTAATGATATGAAATTTTAATTATTTTATTTAACAAAAATATTATTTATTATTTGATGCAATTAATCAAATCATTCATATTGGCACCTAAACAAGAATATAATAGACATGAAGCCTAGTTCATTCAAAGGTTTATGAAGATACTCGAAGAGGAACTCATTGTTTAGCATTCCAACAAATAATCTATTTAAAGAGAAAATTGCAACAACAAAATACCCTCGATTGTGAATCATCGATTAAGATCCTACAGTACTAATGTCTAGAGTACTAGTAAATTAAATGATTAACTTCATATATCCTAAATCGAAAAGACCAAAAAATCGAAAATAGAGTTGCTACCAAAATTATCCATTAGATAGTTTGAATTTAAGGACATTGAAAAGCCGTACAGGAAAAGAAAATTAATCTAAAGTAAAAAGAATATAAAATAATGACAGTCATTCATTGATGATTAATCTTCTCCTTAACATGAAATTACTTTTTTCATTTTCTATTTATTAAGTTAACTCTGAATTCTCTTTTCTTTCGTTTGTGAAGAATTCTAGTGTCTATTTTTTCCTTAATGATCTACTAGCCTATACACTCTTTATTCTGCCTGTATCTACTTTTGGTTTTGATTTTGCTATTATGTCCTTAGACTTATAACATTTTTATTAATTTTCTAACATCTTCAACTGTCCCAATCTGATCATTTCATCTGAATTTTCACTCACTTTTTTGGTGATCATCTACTTTAAACCAGTTATCCCTTTGTGACTTTGTTTTAAGGTAGTATTCCTTCGATTATGCCTTTTGATAGAATCTGGAGATAAATTCTGGATTAAAGATTCTCAAATTCATTAGAATTATAATTTATACCTTTGTTTTCAGTTCTATTCGTTAACCAAGCAAACGCAACAGATGCTGCATATTTAGTTTGTATTTTCTCCATAACTAGTTCTTTTCGTGTGTTTTCATCTTATTATTATTCATCTAAATTTCTTTAAGAATGCATTGGATTTTATATATCGTTGGTAGGATCGGTGGATTTTGAATACAAAATCGATTACTTCTTCATTTTATCTGAGGATTAATTCAAATTTTGCTTTAGTTTGAGTTTCCTCCTTATAACATTAAATATCGGTTCTAATTTCTTAGCTTTTAATCTTAAAGTGGCTACTTACATCTCCTCTTTTCTCTCCAAAATTTTATCGATGAGTAAAATCCTAAATTTAAGATGCTCTCAATAAATTTACCTTTCTTCAGCTGTAGACAACTATTTTAAAGATTATATTATTTAAGTTTTATCATTGAAATCAGATAGTAAATTATATGCTTCCCTCACTTTTTAACCTTTGATTCCATTTTATATAGACTTTATTACTTCTTGATTTTTCAAGCTGGCCTTCAATTTGTCATACAATTATCCTCTTTCCGAAGTTTTAGGAATTGTTGATAAGTCTCCTATTCTTGGAGATTCAACAGGAGAAACTAGAGTTGTAATACTATAAGGAGTTGGATTGTGCGAATGAACAGTGAAGGCTGGTGATTTGTGATTTGGACTATAAATTGGTCGAGACAACAATAATTAATCAAAGCTCATTTAATTTTAATAATTACTATATTATAATGCAAATATTTCATTCATGATGATCTATACTTTATCTCTTCTTCCCAACTTCTTCACTTAAACTTGTTTAGAATTCTTAAAATGTGATTTCCCCATCGCCATTAGCATCAAAAAATTCAAAGCATGCAATTATTTCTTCTTATGAAATGTTTGCCTCAATTCTCTTTAAGAGTAAGCCCATTTCATTTTTATCTAATCTCTGATCTGCTGATTTGTCAAACTAAATTAATCAAAACAAATTATCACTTTTTTAAACAAATCGAGCAAATTGATTTTATATTTTTAGATTGATAATTTTAATTTCTCTATAACATAATTAGCTCTCTCCTCAATAGAACTCTGAGACTTTAATTAATGTGGTAGAATAGACAATTTCTTATGAGATCCACCTCCTCTTTACTATTATTATGGATTGGCATTTGTAACAATCTTTTAAGTAATTGAAGATTTAAATACCTAATTATCTTCCAGCCACTTTTTAAATTCCTCAAACTCAATCTAATTATTCCCATCATCATCAAATTTATTAAATATATATTCTATTTCCTCTCTTGTGATGTCTTTGTCTACTTTTTATAGAAATTTCCCCAATTCATTGACATCTAAAGCCTTATCCTTTGACATGTCTAAATCTGCAAACAATTTATGAATGTCAATTTTCTCTTTACATATCATCTATCTAATATCATTAATTAAATATTGAGCCTTATCTTCTAATTTGTTATTTCCTTTGATAAAATCCTTAAAAAAGATTAAGGACAATTAGATACCGAAAAATATTGACTGATGGCTGGGTGTTTGTAGATCTCTTCCCAAGACATTCTTTTATTCTCATCTGCTTAGAGACACCCTATAATCAAGTCTTATGTTTCTTATGAGACTTAATTTTTGTCAGTCGGAAATTTCAAAGGTTAGGTTCTGATATTTTTGAGTAATTCTGCCGGAGATCTGGCTGTCCAGGGAGCTAGAAACGTTTAAAATGGAATTTACTTTTGCCAAATAATGCTTCATAAAAAATGAAGCCTATGCTCCATACATCTGTTTTTGAATTGTATCTCTTGTGATCCAAGATCTGAGGACTCATGTATAGTGGAGTACCAACCATTGAAGCCATCATTGTTTTTTTAAAATTATCCACACACTTTGCAAATCCAAAATCTGCTAGTTTATAAGTCTTTTATAAATTTTTAAAACTTACTTATTTGTCAATTAAAATATTTGCTGGTTTGAGATCTCTATGAATTATACCATTTTTTATGAGGTGTGTAAATCCATTGAGTACATCAACCAGGAATTTGATTGCCTCCTTTTCTGGGAGTAACTTCCTTTTTTTTAAAAGTCTTAAAGAAAAATATAATAATTTACTCGTCAAAATCCCCTCCATCACAGTATTCTTAAACAATATAATAATTATTGTTTGTTTCCATGACATCTAGCAATTAGACGATATTGGGACTTTTTAATTTCTGCATAATTTTAATTTCCTAAATCAATCCCTCCCTAAGATAATCATCTCTATATTAATAAATAGGTAAAATTACGCATTGATTACAGATTTGCTTAACGTTTTAATGGCTACTTTTTCTCCAGTTTTTTCGTTTGTTCCTTTAAAAACTTCCGCATAGGATCCTTAACCAATTCTATCTTTCACATTAAAAATATATTTGTCTATTCTTTTATCTGTCATCAAAATTAAATAATTTTTTTGATTAAATATCAATATATTATTATTAATTAGTGCATTATTATGTGTTAATGTAAGAAAAGAAAATCATCTAGAACCTCTGCCTTTCTTGGCTGTATTACTCACATAGGGCTTGGCATAGGATCCTGGTAAACCTGCTGCTCTACCAAAGTGTTTTAAAGCTTCCCAAACTCTTGGACCTCTTAATAAAATTGTTCCTGTTCCTAAAAACTCATATTTACTATCAATACTAGTTGGATTTTATTATACTAACTAATCAAAAGTTAAGACCTTTCCGCCAGCAGCAAGAATTCTTTTTCTTGCAGTCTCTGTAAATCTTAATGCGCAAACATTGATCTTTGGAACATTAAGTAAACGAATGCTATTGAATTGCTTTATTCATGATAATTACTCATCCGCGACAGTGCCAACAACAACCAAAGTTCTAGTTTTGTCTTTAGCTGTATTAATTTATTTTACAAGTCTGCTTACACTAATTGGATATCTGGCTGTTCTAGTTGATTGAAGTCTTCTTAAAACAGTTGCATTAAAATTAGAGTCTGTTCTTCTTGCCAAGAATTTGTATAACTAATTTAATTGTGAATCATCGAATTATTTTTATCAATAATTTCAAATAAAGATTTGTGGATGTTACTTTTCTAACTACATTTCTTTACACTCTAGTCTTCTTATAAGCATCAAATCCCTAACGTTGGATTATGCATATTAGTTACCATTATTAAAATAAATATATCTTTATTTGATTTATGGTTTAAGAAATCAATTCTTTAACATTATTATCAAAACGAAATAAATTACTCATAAAGCCTTTCCTTTTGCTTTTTTTGCATTCCCTTGGGGAATTGTCACCTTATTTTATTGCTGGGGTTATTCAGGTTTTTTCAACTCCTCTACAATGGATTCACTAAAATGAATTATATTATACGTTGCATTCTTGGCATTCAAATTTTTACTACTTTTGTTTTTGCGAACTAAAAATAAGGCTCCTATGATTCCAATATTAAAAATTATTTACAGATATTCTCTATCAATATCTCTAATAAACAATTATAAATTTCAAATACACTTATTTTGAGTAAATTAGAGGATTGTGAGCATATCCAGTTATTATCACTGTTAGAAATGCTAAAAAATACCCAGCCTTTTGGATTCCTATTCCAACAGCAAATCCAAGCAATGTTTATGTTATCCCAAAGGCGAGTATTATGTTTGGAGTGTATTGAATAAAATTAGCTGGTTTCTTATTTATTAAGTTGTTGATACCAATGTTTCGATATTCTCCAAGGATGATCCAATTAGATTTGTTGCATATGCATAAAATACTGGGTATCGTATGTTGACGTAGTGGATGTAGGAATCTTAATGAAAAAATTAAGAGAATCCTGCATGGACATACAAGATGGCTAAGAGGATTCTGCCAATATATTTAGAAAACCTCATTTTTATAAAATATTGAATTAATTATATTAAGTCGTTTTAATGATTTTAGTACTATTGGTAAATCTAATTTTGGCAACTGGTAAACTAAAGTAACATCATTTGAACCATTAAGTGATGTTTAAAAGGGAAAATGAAGTAGTCGTTTTAGATGCTTCAAATTTTGATGCAGCATTGATGAGATTTGAAGTTTTATTAGTAGATTTCTATGCACCATGGTGTCCACATTGGTAAATCAACATGTATATTTAGCCAAAAATTAATGCCCTAATTTGAAGAAGCTGCTAATATATTAAAATAAAGAAAAAGCAAAATTAATTTAGCCAAAGTTGATTGCACTAAAGAATCGTTTCTATGTCATGAATCTGAAGTTAGAGGATATCCTACTCTTCGAGTTTTCTATCATGACAAAAGGTTTCCTTATCTCGGTGACAGAACCTCACATGGAATTGTAGATTTTATGGAAAAGCACTTAAAGCAAGAAGAAGAAAAAGAAAAATAAATGTTGGGATATAGACATAGACATTAAGAAGACTTACCTTGAACCATAATTATTTGAGCAAACACAAAGTTAAAACATAATTTAACAAAATCATGGTGTATGTTCTTCAAAGTTTTGTAATTCTTGTTCAATCTATGCTTAATCTTCATCACCAACTGCATTTCCTATTAAATCTGTATCATCTTGTAACATTTAGTCCTCAGATACGCCTCCCCTATTTATTGATGAGATTATCTAGAATACATACAACATGATTATACATTCCAATCCTTTGAAACTTAAAAACTAACGACACTTCTACCAACTTAAATAGCCATGTTATTATTCATATCAACTGACATCAAAGCAGGTGATTTTAATAGAACTAAAGTTCCAAACTTTGATTACTAATCTTCAATCACAAAACCAGCTATTATTAGTAAGATAACATTTACAATTTATAAATTTAATTAAAGCATGACATCTAGATACAGAAATATCTGTTATCCTTACATCTGAATCATGACCTCTTCCTAGTTTTATTTGTTGTTTCTATGCAAAACTGATTATGTGAGTTCCTTTACTCTTGTTACGTTCTCTACTCAAGATTTCCAAAGTAATGTATGGAGCATCAGGCTTGGGTATAATTATGGTCTCAAAGATTCTGTCCTGATATCTTATTCTACCTAGATGTCTAATATTATCATAATTACTAGGAATAATGGCCTTACATACTTCGCAATCAAATTATCTCCATTGAAATGAAACCGAAAACTTCGTTGTTTTAGGGGATAACTTACTAACTAACCATGTTTATAGACATTATATATGTATGTATTTAACAGATCCTTAACATTTGCAACAATCAATCAATGGATTGTCTTTATTTGTTTAGGAATCATTATAGCATATTCTGCAACAAGGCTCTTCTGTTTGACTTCTTTTATCATCTTCTTAAGTATTAATGTTCATTGTATTTAAACATTTCTCTGAAACATATTTTTATAATTCTGGTTCTATACTCCCTTTATTCGCACTGTTATTATCAACAGAACATTTGATTTCTCTAATTCGAAATCTAACTCTCCCCAATTTCACATAATCTCCCTCCTTTAAATCATATCCCTTCATTAATCATTATTATTTCTTACTTAACCATCGGATAATTTACTTTTGGTTGATTTTACAACTATCCATGGGCAGTTGTCATTCAATCCTTCTTGATCTTCTGCCTTAGAGATCTTCAAACTAGTTTCAACTTAATATTTTGAAAATTGGCGTGTCAATTTAAGTAATTCCATGACGTCTTGTTGATTTTAGAATTACTATAACAATATACTTATTTGCTACTTATAACTCTTCTTTTGTTTAGATAATTTTTATATTTTCTTTTTAACGAATTAATCTCACTAGATTAAGTTGTTAGATTACTTAATTATGTATTTGTTTTGATTTGACCTTTTATAACATTTTTGTTTTCATAATCGAATAAACCATGAGAGAATCGCGATTCCAAGTGAAATGTTTTATTGTTCTTTTTTTATTTTTAAAACATTCTTACAATGAAACAGGTGAAACTTTGTTTGCATTTCTGATATCATCCTAACTAGAAACACAATTCCCCATTTATTAATTTTATATAATTATATTCTTTCAAATAAATTATAAATTAAACTTTTTATAATTACTCAAGAAAATAGCACCTAAATCGAATTAAATTTCTGCCAAACTTATAAATCTAACCACAGAACCTTGGTCTTTGACTATTGTTAAGATAAAACTATAACATTATGATTATATTCCTAATTTTTTTGTGAAGCAAATTTCAAATTTAAAATCATCCTAAATAAAAAAACAAAATACACAGTAAAATCAAAAATCAATATTCTTAAATGATTTCACAAATTGCTAGAATGTCAGAATCAACTTTCCAGATAAAAATTTCAAATGTTATTACCAATGATTATTAGTAGAGATGCCCAATTTAGAAACAACCAAAAATGAACGGGAGTTGCCTATCACTTAAAATTTCTATTTCTTCAAATTTTTATAAATAAATTATAGCTGATATCATCAAAGAAGAGTATTGATTAACTTATATTAAGTTGGTTATTATACTATTCTAGTTCACATTATAAAATTAAATCTGAAAAAAAGGATTATAAATATTAATTTAAAAATTTCAATTAATGATTATTGTGATATAATAAACTAATTTTTAAATCTAATGAATTTAAAAGACTTTTTTTAATTGTTGATTAATTGAAAAAAGACGTCCTATGAGACATCTAATAATAGAAAGTGGTTTTTAATATTTCCCATAATTAGAATCTATGGAAATTTACATTATTTATTCTCATCCTGTAACTATTTAAGATTATATATTATATTGCATAATGAAAATTTTTAATAATTGAGAAATAATAAATATTATAATATTATAAAAACAAATAGAGAAATTAGGTTACATAGTTAAAACAATAATATTAAAATCAGGAAGGCAATATCATTTAATGTTATTCTTCAATTAATTACATCATCTGAGTGTAGGTAGTTGTTTTGATGTACGGTTTTTCATTGAAAAATTGTTTGAGTCTTTCGTTTTGGATAAAAGTCTGATTCTTAAATAAAATGATAAAGTCTAATTTCTCATCGTATATACTATTTACAAATGAACCTCCTCTAGCTATTATTCGAGCTTTAAAAGTTTCCAATTCTACATCAGATATTTAGTGATTTAAACAATAAGGATAGAAAGACTTGTGCTAAAATATCCATAATTTTGGTAACTAGTATAATAATTCCTCTTCTAAAGATAATAAATCATCCTAATTCACAGTTTCATTAATTTTCATATTATCACAGATATCTTTGAGAGCCAAATCGTCAATCAATTCGAAATAGGAATCACCAAACCTATCATAGAATTTATTGACTTCATTCATGATGGCTAGAGGGGCAAACAAAATAAATCTAGGTGCAATATTAACTAATTATGATCTTCTAATGCATTCAATTATCCATTATGGTCTGATGATAGTAGTAGGGAACTTCTCAATAATTGAATTCACTCTAAAATCTATAATCGAAGCCACTACATGAGTGACACTTTCTACAATGTAATTTTATATACAAGTTCCTCCTTGGGCTAGAACTATAGATTCTAAATATTATTTATTATAATCTTCTTCTAAATTCACAATAAAAAATTCGCATCCTACAAATAGGTTGGATTCTTTTGTGATGTTTCTTGGATCTAATCCTTGAAATTCAGTCATTATGGTAATCTATTTAGAATGAGCTCCACCTTTCTTTAAGGGTTATTTTCTCTATTTAGCCTATCTAATAGGTCTATCCTCATTTTCAACCTCATCGTCTGTTTATTTATCATTGCCTTCTTTATCGTTCTTTTTTTTGAGATTCTTAGTGTATTATGAGTCATTGATCATACTTGATAAATCTTGCGTGGTCATCATTTCATACCAGTCTTTATCCATTCTTGTCTTGTAACATCGTGGAAATCTAAGAGTGTAATCAGTTGGAAAAGTATTAGACTTTGTGATTTCTGCAGCTTTAACTTCAAATATAATTGAATGAGCTGGATTATTAATATATACATCTGGTCTATCATTAACTCCAGGATTCCAATTTTATGGTATGTAATTAGGTTTCTACTTCTTAATCCAATGATTTCTTAATTTATTTCTGATTGTGGATAATTCATTATCAGTGAAACCAGTTCCAACTTTTACAAATGGTAATATTACACTATTAGTTGGTTGATTCTTATCTATTTTTTAAGCTAAACCCATTAAAAAATGTGTAATCCTATCAAATTCATCAAAAGTCTCCACTCTATGTGATTATGTTCCAAAATATCCACCAATAACCAATAAATCGCAATTATCTGTCATATTTTCAACGTAATCTCCTTTCATCTTAACCCATTTAGTGGATCTTTCATTAGGTAAATATTAAGAATCCATCTATTTAATTATGATGCCTTCTTAGTTTCTTTCGATAGCCATATCAAATTATTAAATAAGTTCTTCAAAAGATTTAATAGTTGCAGCTTAAACTACTTCTAATTAGTTTGGAATAGGTACTATAATTCTTTATAATAAGCTTCTTCGAGTAGATAAAGGAGCACTCATAGTGTTAACTTCTTACCCTTAGTATGTTTTGAGATAAAGTATATCAAAAATCTTATAGCAAAGTCCAAAAGCATCATCATTTACGTCTTTACTTAGAGCAACAGTTTTATTTAAACCAAATCTAACATTGTCTCCAGTTTCTTTATTTACAACTATGATTTCTCCATCTAAAATTGCACATTATGCTTAAACACTTTATCTAACAATATCTCCTAATTTATCCTTGTATAAATATGTGTAATCATTTGAATTTCTAGTAAAAAATCTGATGACTTCAGGGGTGAAATGACATTATATTCTTTCTCCATCAAATTTGGTTTCAACCAATAATTCTTTGCCTTCAATTAATTTTCTTATTTCTTCAGGTGATTTCTTAGCCGCTAACATTGGTTTGATGGCATGAAATATTCTTAATACATTCTTAAGAGTATGATTTTGATCAACAAATTCTTTACATACTTCATTTAGTGATGATGTTGCATTATAATATTCAGGAGCATCTTTATGAAACAATTGCAAAAGCTTCTCATATTTCAAACCAATTTTTAAGTCCTTCAATATAATTCTGATTATCCAAAGTATCTCATCAGCTGTACACACTTTTATTAAATCAACTACCACTAATTCCTATTCTTTAGTGTCTTAAGCTTTAACTAAATTGTCGAGCAATGAGTCCACTTCTGATATTGTAATTATGCTGTCCTTTCTGCAATAATCCTTAATCACATTATGCACAACCATGGGGAAATCACCAACTGGAGCCCCGTAGGGTTACATACTTGCTTATTTATAATTGGCCATTCTATGATAATCATCATCTGACAATCCTAAGGCAGATCTAAATAATTTAGCCAGGTTCTTTTCTTATAATTTATATACACCTCTATCCCTATCTTAGAATGGAATTATTAGTCTCATTATTATGTAAGTGTGTTCAGGTATTCTAGGAGGTTTAAAAAAGAATTAAGTCAAAACATCCAGGAGCTCACTTTTCTTCTTTCCTCTCACTTTACTCATCCTATCAAAAAAGCATCTCAACACATCAAATTTTACTCTGATTGGACCTACTGTTGAATTTACATTCACTTTTTATTAATCCTATTATTCTTTGTTTTGTTTGTTGGTTTCTTCTACTTTCTCCTTTATTTCCTTCGCGAACTCATGTACTTCCTTCTATTCTCTTCTTTCTTCTTCCTCGTCTTAAATCTCTTCGTCTATAAAATTCTCCTGCTGCATAATCAGAAATTAATAAGAATATATTTTTTTTATTGAAATTTGATTAATTGTAAATTTTAATAACGTAGTTAAAAGTATATTAATTCGCATATAAAATTTAATAAATTTTATTTACATTTTATTGTTCTATTATGAGTTTTTGTGAATTCATCTAACTCACTGTTGAAGGCGAAGATAAATTAGAGGAAATAAGAATAGCATTGGCTCGGTTAGAAATGTTTGAACTTAACACAGGTATCCATCTCATTGTTATATTGAGTGTACAAAAGACTCGATTAGCCAAGATAAAGTGCATTGAAAGAAGACTAGATAATTGAATTTCTGGACGATAACAACGTTTAAATTAACCAAGAAGAGTTAAATTACATTTTTAGAGTTTTGGATGTTGATAGAGACAACTTTATTACATTGGCAGAGTAACTTTTTATTCATTAATTCAAAGTTTCTAATAAGTAATCCTACCAAAAACTAATGACCAAGTTAAAGACCAAGCTCTGAATCATAAATCCTATGAAATGCCTTAAAGTATGCTCTTGCCAAAGGAGGTTGAAGCTACGTTAACGGCATTCTTCGAACAATTAAAAACCAACTATAAGTAGGAATTGTTTTCATTTTTAGCCAATATCAAAACATTTAAGATCCAATCAACCTTGGTGAATTAGCAATTTTCGAAAACGAAAATTTAATCACCCTAGATTCCCTCAAAAATTGGCTACAATCAATTGGATAAGAGATTGACGATTAAATTTTAGAAAAATTCCTAATCATAATTGACGGAAACCCCAACAACCTATAAAATCTGATTGATTAAATCTATTAATAAATAGAGTAATAAGAAAATTAGCAAATTGAAGACCCCAAATAAGCCCAAGAACAATAAGGGGAATAGCCAGCAGAAAATCAAATAGAAGTTCAAGATGTTAATTACTCTTAATAGGATTTGCAGAAGAGTGATGCTCTCTAAGAATCATTTAATCCTTCTTAAATCTAAAAATAGGAATAAAAAAAGGAACAATAATAAGATCAAATTGCTTAATCAAAAGTTCTATAAGAGAGTTAGTCTTATTAGACAGATAGTCCCTTGTTGAATTATTACCATTAACAAATTAAAGACGAAGAAGATAAAATTAAAAAGTTATGTGAAGAATTAAACATTCCTAATATCTATACATAAAAGAGAGAAGAATCAACTTTGATCAAATATTATGAAAAAGAGATTGCTAGAGAATAGGAAATCTATCATAAACTATTATCAGAATCAAAAACATCCGGAGTTCCTTCTAAACTATCAAAATCCAATTTCACTCCAGATCCATTATATTTAGATGAGTATTAAAAAGAACTCATTCGAATTGATAATGAAATCAGGAAGGAAGCAACAAACCTTAGCTTACTCTAATCAAAGATTGATATCAGCAGTGGATTATCAACCAGTTATTTAAAGTAATAATGAGTTTTAACTTTAAGGTATGAAAGTCCAAGCAAAATTTAAGAATCCTACCTTTATAACAATCTTTCAGGATAAAAGGTATATATTTAAATGTTATTTTTTATAGAAATAATTTGGTTTATATAAATGATTATTCATATAATTATTATCAATAATTTATAAAATAATTCTCAAACTTAAATCAATATAATGATTAATTATTTTGTTGATATTCATATTTATTATATTATTGTTGCACTCTTCCGTTATTATTATTGTTTGAATTATTATATTTTTTTTTATTTACATTGTTTTGTTAATTGTTCATTTATTAATTTTGATACTTCTAATATTAATTATGGTTAACCTATTAATATTGATAAGCATTCATTTATTAATTTTGAAAACTATTCACATTAAAGGCATTCATTTATTACAATTGCTAGAGATTATTTAATTAAATATTATTAATATTAGTTTTGAGTGTCAACGGATCCATAGCACTTTTTGGATCCAATAGTTTTTTTTCAATTTGATCTAAATTAATTAAATATTATTCTAATGTAATCCATTTACCAGGAGTTTCCCAAGAAATATTTAATTTTGCTTTTAAATATTTATGCTCAAACCATTGATCCATATGTTCTGTTGTAAATCCTCCTTAAATCTTAAATATTATATTAAAATATTCTTACCTTTCCAGAATTATCAACATAATACCACAGAGATTCTTTTATAGATCGTGAATGCAGTTAGGCTTGAAGGGAAAAAGGAGCAGTTTTAATTTTTTCCCTTGAAATTTTAATTGTAGGTTATGAAGGTACTTGAGTTTACCTTTGAATATGTATTCCCATCTCTTCCAATTACTCAAAAAAATCATCAGTTTAATTGTTATTGAAGTTACTAAAATAACTCTCAATTTTTTCTTGGGGTTACTCAACCTTAATGAGATCTTTCTATTTATTATTAGAAAAAGCCAATGCTTATTTTTCAACTTCTTCAACTGAAAGGACTTTTGTGTTGATTGAATTATTTAGCTTTGGCTATTCTTGTTCTGAAAAGCTAAATAATTCCTGTAATTTAGCTTTGGTTTCACTAGCAACCTATAATTGTTTTTCTTCTTATTCTCTCAATTACCTATATTTTTCTTTAGCTTATTATAGCTCTGATATTTCTTCTTAATTGATTTCATTTTACTTTTTAGATTTTTGTTCTTGTTTTTTTTCAAATGTTCCATGTGATTTTTAATATTCTATTCTCTTTTTTTCGATCTCATTTTCGATATCAATGATTTGAAAAGTCTCATTGGAGTGCATCCACTTTGGGTCATCTTCATCACTATGGGTGAATTAGGTTGAGGGTGAGATTAGAGGTTTTTACGAAATTTTGGTAAAAAGATGAGGTATTTTACCTATGAATTCTTCCAATTCTTAAGGTGGTTCAAGCAATTCTTGATATGCCAAAATTAATGAATGAGAATCATAAATTTTATTCTATGGTTGATTAATTTGAGCTCGTGCTGATAAATATTGGTTGTATAAATACCTAAAACAGGTTAGGATGGCTGATTATGAGAATTCTATTATTTTTCTTATGAGTTACTTCTTCTGTTGTATTTATTTTATTTTTTTTGATTTTAAACATTTTTATCATCAAAATTGTTTTGATTGGTATTCATCTATTAATAAGATCATTCATATTTACTCTTCTATGAGATTGTCCTTGGCCTTTTTGGTTTTGTTAGTCTTTGCATATATATGAGAGTTGTTATTGCTATTATTTTGACATTAGTAAATAATTAATAATTATAAATTAATATTGTAAAAAGAAGCATGTTATCAATTAATCATTTACAATGAAATGGGAATATTTTGGATAGATGTTAGCTTGGAATTTAATGCATTCTTATTTGTAGTTTTTTCTTAGGCCTGTATCCTAATTTGTATAGAACCTTCATTTTAAAAATCTTTTCATTTTGATTCAACTCTGCTATTCGATCCTAAGAACATACTTGCGATCGCTTAGTTATATTTCTTCCTGATTAAAAGTTATTTATAAATGGTTTCAGTGCTTTAATGTGATTGTTGACTGATTGATCGATATAAGAATCATCCTCTAAGACTTCTGTCTTGATGATCCTCCTTGGATTGCTTATTATTTGTTTTTAGTAATTAATCAGCGATTGTATCTTCTCGCAATATGAGGGATCATAACTTATGGACCGATTTTATGATCTATAATTATTGATGCCATTTTCATTATGGACATAAGAAAATGATCGAATTCCTTTATGTTCTTACGGTGGACTATCATTTGAATTTAGTTGATTAATTTATTACTCCCGATAGATGTAGAGTTTATTCTTACTTAATTATTATTAGTAATAGAAGAGATTTTCTGCTTAGACCTTTATGCGATGATTCTTTAAAATCTAAGTAATTTAATCCAATTTTAGAGAATACAAGGATCCCTCATATGAATGACAAACAACAGTATATTTATAATATCCTTTAGGCTCAACATCCAAATGTTCTATACCAAAGGTGTCCCCTTTTTCTAATAAACATATCTCAAATTACTTCCATTTCTTTAAATAAGAAAAAACAGGATTTTATTACAGTACTCTTTTACTCATCTCTATATATTAATTTATTTGGTTACTTTGAATTCTCCTGTTTTTACAATATAAACAGTCCCCATCAACTCATTTTCAATGTAAACTCTCTAATTTTTAATAAATTATAAGACACTAGCAGAATCAATAATAGCCTTGAGAATATCAAAGTGCAATTTGTTAAAAGCAGGGTGATTACGAAATTAATTGATTTTATCCTAATACTCTTATTTAAGTCTATTAAATTGCATATTTTTTATTATGATAATTTATTTTATAATATTTATTGTTTTATTTTTCAGGGTGAAATTTAATAAAAATATCACTATACTAAGTTTATCTTTTGGACAAAATCACATAATTTTTTCAATAGTAAAGAAAATGAACACTTGGTTTCTGATAAATAGTAACTTCAGCACTATAAATTCTGATCTCATATTAGAAAGTAGTGCAAACCATTTTTAATTATTGATTGAATCAATGACTTCAGAAATAATGCGTTTCGATTCTCAGTTAATTGCTAAAGAAAGACTAAATAATTTATTTAAAGACATATTAGACATAAATTATAAAGTAGTCATATTAAAAATTCGTTCATCTATGAATTTTACTCTATTTATCAAGTATAAGATCTTTGTAATTTTTCATTATTATGAGTACATCTGCTTCTAAGTAGGTATAGGATTCTTTGATCGATAATATCTAATCATTATGAATATTTTGAAGTTTATTCATTGCAGCAATTGTTGATTCTAATTAGATGAAGGGAATTTTTGAATCATCGGACAGTCTATTAATTTCTTATTGATGATTGCTATGATATTTAGGATTTCGTACTTTATTTAAGCATTAAGTTATTAAAATTTAGCCACAAACTCCTTATAGTATTCACTATAATTATTCAAGCTTTCAGAATATTTATCCATTTGTTTAGTATTTTGGATCAATCTTGTTTCTGCTTCCTTTAATGCAACTTAGACTTGTTATTCTAGTTTTTTAAATGAGATTTCTTCTTTCTGGAGAAGCTTTTGGAATTAATCTTGAAATTGTGAGAGTTTCTTTTCAAACAAGTTTAATTTGGAGAAAGTAGTTTCTTCAGTTACCTTGTTTTTTCTTTATCTCAAATTTGAAGCATTATTGTTGGTAGATGAAAGTTATTCATCATAATTATTAGTGCAGGTTGATCTTGATCTGCTTGGCTTGTGAAATTTAACTCCTGTATCTCGAACAGACTGATCATCTATCATTTCAGAGATTTAACTATCTTGGCGTTTGTATTCTTGCAATAAAATTTCATCTTTGAGAAATGGATTGCGATATTATTGATGTTTGAGTTGATCAATTTGAAATGTAAATTTAGTCAGGTTATCTTTATTATCGATTCTGGTTTCAAGTTCTAAGAGTTTATCTTCAATGTTTTTGAGAATGGAACGAAATAGTTGATTGCTAACAAATTATTCATTACCGGTAATATTGGCATCATAATATAAGGAGATCCCTAACTAATTATATTAAGAATGATGGATATCTTCTCTTTCGAACCTACTGGAATTTGATTATGATTTTCCTCTATATTGATCTTCCTCATTCTTTAATACTAAGTCCAACAATGTTAATTATTGATTTTAGAATTTGTGTGTTTACATGAAAAATAAATTAATATTATAACTATTCAGATATATTAATAAAAATTCATGATAGTTTTGTTGGTGATAACAAAATTGGTTTTTCTTTTCTGACAAATAATATTGTCAATTTAACTATTTAATTAACAAATTTGAATTTAATTTTGATTTGACGCATCATTAGGTAAGACCACTTCAATGGAACCATCTAAATAAATCAATAAATTTACTTTGAGTGACTACATAGACTTTAAGATTATTATCCAAAGACAAATAGAGTGGGAAATCATTCAAATTGACAAGCAAGATGATTTGTTTTTTGTTGTAATTTCTGCCATATAGATATTGTAAGGTATTGAGTACAGCAAAGTAAACGTTATCAAATCCTTATGCAGGTACAATTGAAGTTTGAGTGTCAACTGATTAGTAGAGTGCTTAGGTATCTTTTTGAGATTATTCATTGTCCAAATTACCATGTGGATTTTCTAAGAAATTAATCTAATCGAAAAGTGTAAATGCAAATTGATATTATCTGGTTGAGTTGTAATCTACCTACAATGTTGAAACCACTCCAGTGTCTTTTTCTATTGCAAAAATTACTCTCTTTTCACATTGCTCTACCAATTAACAAACATTTGGTAACTCTAATGCCTTGATGTATCTGATGATATATTCTTGATTCTTATACAGATGTTCTAAAAAGAAGAGTTATCCACTCTCATCCAAAACGAACTTACCTGGAATAGAGTCAAAGATTCCAAAAACACAAGAAATTATTTTATCAGGTCCTCCCTTTCCAATATGATAGTACTAATCATAAATATCCAATCTATCAATGTGGATAGTCTTGATTTAACCGAACTCCTATATAAACACTATCTATTTGATTTGAGCATCATAGAAAAACTACACAATTTCCTTATCCCATTGATATTCAACAAGTAATTCAGCTGTGTCCATTCTCCACAATTTGACTATTCCTTGATTGAAGGTGGTGACTAAAATATTGTCCTCCACTAATTTGCATAACTGTATTTCAATCTCACTTTAATCACAATTTGAAGCATTCAAGAGAAAATATTGTTTTGTTGCAAACGATATCAGATAAATATTGCCATTGCCTAATCCAAAGATTCCTTAGGTGTAAAATGGATCTAATACATAAGATGTAACCATAGCAGGTAATTGGATTCTCTAAAAGGCGAATCCCGAATCTAAGAAGGATTATAAAGTCAAAACTGCTTTGATATCCATGATGAAAAATGAATGTTCGATACTACCTAAAATTATCTTCCCTGCTGCCTAACTCACTTTAAGATAAGTGATTTCAGCATTAGTTATTTATTTTCTATATATTGATTTAAATTCCCCGTATTTCATTATCACTATTTCCCCTGACTTTAATCCCAATATCAGTAATTATGTAATTTGATTTTTATTTTATTATTATTATTACTATTATTGTTTCATCGATTCTTATGTTGGTTCTTATTATAATTAAGGAAATGACATTTAATTCTTAGAACCTTCTTCCAAAAGTATCTCTTCGGTTTTTACAGTTTATGATTATTAACTATTATCAAAAGACACTCTATCTGATAGATTTAATGATTATGATGTTTATTTATTTTTGCTACCCTCATAAACTACATAATCAAATGCTGTTATTTCTTCAAGTTCGTTTGTATTAACATTCTTAGGTAGGAATACATCAAAATATTCTAACTTATGATCTTTGGTAAAAGCCCACAAATAGATTTAATCTCTGCCAACTGTTGCGAATTCTATGATACGTTCTTTAGAGAATGAATATTTTGATATTTTAATATCATTTATTCTATCTAATGTATATGAAGAGGTTATCAATTTTTTAGTGGAGAAATCCCAAATAACAATTGTGCACTCCTTTCCATTTCCTACTGATATTAGGTACTTTTCATCTTCTGTAAGCAAAATTTAATGAACTCCTTAAGTATGAAAGTTCATCTGAGCTATTTATTTGAATCCCAATTGACTAGCATTATTCTGGATTTCATAAACATATATGGGAGCAGCATCTTGTACCTTCTGTGCAAGACCAACAATCAGATGCTTTTCAGTTTTATCAAGGTAGATAACACTCACAGTGGCATTGAAACTCAAAATTTATTATTCTCTATCCTACTATAATTTTTCAAAGATAACATAATTTTGAGATGTATATGCATACCAACCATAAGATTAACACCATATAACATTATCATGTGTTTTTGTGTTATAGCCAACCATATACTTACAAGATAAAGTAGGTTGTTATAATTAACCTTTTTATTATTGTAAAATGTATTATCTGAAAGGTAATTAAGTAGATGAATGCTATCTATTTTATTATTTTTTAATTTGACTTCTTGATCTTCTCTTATTCAGAATTTATCTCTCGAATTCGAAAGTTATAGGCTTAAACTCTTATTATAATCTGGATGGTTTGAAGTGATCAGGCTTGAATGGTGTGTTGACATTTTTGTTTGCCAACCCTTATTCTTCCTCTTATTCCTCCTTTTAGGGGATTTTTCTAACTAAACTAAACATTTCCACTAACTAGCTTTATTAAAATGTATGCAAATGAGCATCCTTATTTGGTTAAACATTCTCATTGTTTTCTTAGAGATCATAGTAATCATCCAATTTTTCGTTTTATTCATCCTATTGCTACTCTTATTATTCAAATTAGTCTGGTTACATATCAATTTTAGTACATTATTATACTAATTACTCCTATTCCATTCTAATCAACCTTTCATTTTTACCTGTATATCCCAGGAACTTCCAAATAAATATTCCTTCTTCTCCACCTGCTGTTATGATAGTACTACCATTATCAGCACAATCAATAGAATTTACTGAAGAGGAATGACCAATGAAGACCTAACAAGATCCTGGTCCCTTAATTTAAAATTCATAATCCCAAACCTTCAAATACTATTCAGCACCTACAGAGAATAGATATTTCATATTTGGTGAGACAACAAAATCATTTAATGATTACTTATGCATAAATGTCTATTCTCTCAAATAGTATGCTGTGATAGTGTCATTAACTCTTTCAATTCCATAAATAATAATTCTACCATCTGTAGTTCCACACAATAATTCTACATTATTCTCTGCCCATTTCAATATTTTCAAATTGAACCTTGTCTAAATCTTTAAAATTTGTTATAATGATGAAGTATCCCACAATTCAATATTGTTAGAATTCTCAATAATTGATAAAATAGCAGAATCTTTTGAAAATTATCCACATACATTCTGAGATTATATTGAATGTTGAATGGTTTTGATAGGCTGATAATCTCTGCTCACATCATAGATTTTGTAGATTGATTTAGCATCTCCAATAACCAATTACTATCCATTTGGACTATACTAAATGCTTTTGATCTCTAAATCATGATACTTTCCTTCAAAAAGTATTGATGTCTGCTCAATATCAAATATTCTATGTGTTCCAGACTTGAATCCAGCTGCAAAATACATTCCAATCGGAGATGATGATAAACAAACGCATTTGTCATCTTATGGGAATGTGAATTCATAAACCTAATCAGATTTCTCAATGTCCCACAATCTAATTGTGCAATCCTCTGACAATGTAATTAATAACTTTGAATATGGATGCACCTAGATCTAATTGATCACATTTGTGTGTGATCTTATAACAGTCTTGTAATGATGACTGCTGATATCTAAAATACCCAATCCTCCTGTTGAAGTTCCACATGCCACTTGTAGACCATCAATTGATATGTCCAATGAAGTAATTATGCCCTCATGTTTAGCTTCAATATAAAACTCATTGAAATCTAAGGGCCAAACTCTAAGGTACTAATCTAAACTACCAGTAATACAGAATCCAGCAGATAAACATACTGCTGTGACTGCATCATTATGTACTTTATACACCTACATTAATTTCTGAGATTGATAAGCTACTTAAAATAGATATCCATTCTTGGATCCAAAATAAATGTTACTAACATTTTGATCTTCATAATTGAATTCAAAATCAAAGTTAGTAAATGTAGTATTTCTCGCATGATGATTTAATACAACACTAGCTCCAGGAAGATGTTCTTCTTTGATTCTCCAAAATCTAATATTCTCATGTCCACAAGACAGTATTTTATTATTATCAACAGGTGAAAATTTGATTGCCAATATATTACATGAACTTGTTTGTTTAGCAAATAGGATGGGTTTTCTATTGGTTTCTATTTTCTCTAATCCCCAAACAATTATAATTTCTCTATTATGCTCATCTTATCCTACAGTCACTAACATTTTGCGATCTTAACTAAAAGATAGATAATTCAAATGTGAATATGGAGTGGCAAATGCACTTAAACAATCACAATTGTTCTTCCATATTCTTATGATAGCATTCTTTTCACTCTACCCACTCACTAGCCATTCACCATCTTTACTTACATCCAAACATGAAATTGCCTTAGAATGCCCCATAAAAAACTTCTATTTTCCATCTTATATATTGCTTTAAACTAATAATGATCCTGCAGCATATGTTATCTATTTCTGAGTATCTGTTTGTCGACCCCATTTAATATCAGGACAAGAATTGACTGTGAATCCAATAATTTTATCCAGTTGTTGGATTGGATAAGGCTGAAGAGGATGATCTTGTGCATCTACTGACTTGCTCTGTGCTACATTATAATCACCAGGTCTCTTTTTCACCAATTCCTCTATTTATTAAGTATTATGCTAAATTGAGTTTTATTTAAAGGACTTTTGGGTTTCTTATTTGTACTTCTCCTTATTATCTTAGATTTTCTATAAGTTTTCCAGAATGTCTGTGGTCACTTCTACCAAAGGTTATTTGAAAACATGAGGGGAGACATCCAAAGTAGGCCAGTATGCAATCTAATATTCTTCTGTCCATTTTTATCCTTTGGCCAATTTAAAGAGCATTTATTTTGGCAGAGTTTCCCAATCATAGAGATTGTCACTCGTATAGATACCTCTAATGTTCATGGAGCTGCAGATTTGAAATGACTTTAGTGAATGAATTCCCTTGAATTACTTATACAAACTGCTTGGTAACAATCCAAAATTACCCAAAAAATATTCAACATCCAAAATCAAGATAGTCCATTTGTTGGGAGCATTCTTTGGGTATGGAATTAAGAGTTGTGATTGCTAAACCTATGTATTTTATGATTTCGAATGAATACTTTGTGGACATCATACATGTTGGAGACTGTTAACTTGATCGAGGGATCTCTGTCTTTAATTTGCAAATCAAAGTGGATTGTGAAATATCTCCCTTTGATCGGAATGAATTCAATATAAATATATCGGCCAGTTAATCCCAGTTGTTTGATTCCTTAACAAGGATCTGGAATCTAGACCATATTATTTGCAGATATCGCTCCTAATAGTCTTATGATCTTTCTCCCGATTTGGTTATCCTAATAATCGCATCACAATTTTACTTGGACAACTGAAACCTAACCTTTGGATTGTGTATGTGCTATCTCGAATACACCAAACTACTTGAAAACATCAACGAAGGGGTGTTACCAATTCATTTATTCAAATTCAAATATTATTTATTTATTAATTTTAAGTTATATCCGTTCGTCTGTATAAATATTTATTATACATCTGCATTATCAAATTATCAATTTAATATTTGTAACATCATCCAAATAAATCATTACTAAATTCAAAGACATTCCACACATTTTTACTTTTTTTTTCAATGGACAAACCCACAATCGAACACCTTTTCAAAATCGTATTTGACATCAACAGAGATCAAAATCTTATTTTCTGCCATGCCTGTCAAATAAGGTTCCCCATCGTGGAACCAGAAGAAGCAACCCTCTACATCCACCACTTCTCCAAAGAACATGTTTATAATCTAACAACCATAGCTACTAAAGATATAGTCAAGGCTAATGAATCTACAAAAAAAGATACTCGAGTGCTATAAGTGATCCCCCTATTCGATTTACAAAAGGCACTCCACATCCAAGAACAAAAACCCAAAAATGGTAATTCTTTATTCTAACCCCTTTTTAAGTGCTCCATCAGTACCTCAAAGAGTGCATTACCAAATTACCAACCATCTACGAACAACTAGAACTCAATAACTTGGAAGCTCACATGAGTACTCTGAGGAGATTTTATCTACACCTCCTTAATCACAACACATCAAAATTAACTCCAGAACTGTGCTTCTCCTTTGTTGATATCTACAAAACTGAAAAGGATTTTCAATTGATAAGGAAATTTGTCAAAGCATTCAATTTCCCCTTGACTCATGATTAGATGCTCATTCTAAATCCCCACAAATAGACCTATCCAAATTTGTCTCAAGATTTGTAAGTAGAATTTTATTAAATCTTCATCAATGACCTAATAGACTTGGGATTATGTAAAGAGTCCTTGGTTTACCATCTTGCCAAAATAGGAACGCCAATTAGTAAAATCATTGATTTGAAACTCTACGAAATTAAGAATAAATTTAATGAACTCATTAGCAGAGGCATTAATGAAGACTAAAACATCTTCTTTCTAAGCATCATTGAAAAATTGGAACGCTATGAAAATCTTAATAATCACTCTTATGTTTTTACTAAGTGGAATACTGAATGCCAAATGAGAAAATGCGTCAGATAGATCAGAAATAAGCTTAGATATCAAACAACCGATGAGAGGTATAAGGTGTTCTTAGCCACGGCTTCACTCTAGTAGATACAGAATTGGTAGAAGATTCAGACTCAAAATGAGAAAAATAATACAACTGATATGATATCTATATTAGAAACAATCAATGAAAATAAAAATTAGTCTAGAAAAAGTAAGAAATTATTTCTCTAATAATATATTTTACCTAATAAAAGTCAAACCAATTTGGACTAATTTGAAAGAAAAGGATAGGAAGAAACTGAAAATAATGAAATCGATATCAGTATAAATGATTCGAATTCAGAATGTGATTTGGAGAAAGGCTTGTTTGTTAAATACAGCAATTAAATGGCAGATATAAATTCAACTAAATAGAATCAGAATGATACGAACAATTCATTGTCTTGTATAGAAATATTTGATAATTATAAGTCGAAAGCTTCACTTAAAAAGTCATCCAAAAGGTGAAATTATAATTAATATCTATATTGCAATCACATTATTATATTTTTATGTCTCTTATTTATTTGATGTTTCGGATGAGTTGCTAGTGAATTAAGAGAAAACCTTTCATAAATTATTAATTTTTCTCGATTGAGAATGTTTAAATAATTTGCAATTCAAATCGAATATGAAATAATATGGAAAATTTTATTAATAAAAAATATTATAATGAATCATCTGGGTGTTGGATAGTAATAAAAAAAGACTGTTGTTTGCAATAACACTGAAGTTTAGTTGGTAATACCTTAACAGCCACAGAATATTTAATATACCAGACAACCTCACGTTGTTTATTGTGCTAATTGTAACAATCAAATTTAAACACATGTTTAATTGAAGATTGGCAAGGGTCAATTGATGATGGCCTTGATAATGTTGCCTAAGCTACTATGGTAATAATGATCATCCTCTAAGTTATTAGTGCTTGTGTGATCCCCTTATTGATGGATGATTGCCGAGATGCAGTTCATTTATGTCCTGTTTGCAAGGCCGAAGTAGGAAGAAAGAATTTCATCTTTGAATGATTTATGCAATAATGAAAATCAACTTAATATATAATTAAATTATTTTATCAAAAACTACGACATGATAGGGAATCTTATGAGTTAGGAAAGCTTTCCAAATCAAATATTATAATAATAAATTTAATTATAGAATGTCTATAGAAGTTTTGATGGAGCAGATTCAAGAATTAGAGTATTATTTATATGTATATATATATAGATGGATCATTTTTTTAAAGTGCAATCATAGTTTATCAAATGCTTAAATAATCTTATACGTCATTAAAATAATAAGAAAAAATCGAGCATATTAGTGTTGCCATATTAGGGGACTCATTTATATGTATAATAGATAATAAAATTTATTCAGGTTCACTTTAAAGATGAAATAAATCTTAAAAAAGCAAAAGTGTTCGAATCCACTGATAGTACTTTTGGGCAATTCTCTTTCTTAAATCCTCAGATGCCATTTCTTCCTTGTATTACAAATAATGATATTTAGTTTCGGCTTACTAAACTATAGCTCCTCATTATTCGTAAGAATTCGCAATTTAGAGAATGAATCCTATTATGCAGAGTTAAGACAGATTTATAGGTTAGTCCAAATAAGTCAACCAATAAACTAATCATTTCAAAGTGAAAGACAAATTTATAGTATTTTCTGGAAAACCAGAAGAATCACAATCAATTCATTCGGATGAATAAGATGAAGATGACAAGTAGTCAGATCACTCATTCTCAATCAAAAAAAAGAAGAAAATCAGTAAGGTAAATGATACTAAAAATATTACCAAAAACTTTTCGAAGGCCATCATCAGTTACATCACTCAAAACAAAGATATCGGGTTGAAGCTATTGGACCCAAGGGAATTTGAAGACTTTTTATAAATATTGAAAGAGAAAAAAAACAAGATGACAAACATCCAATAATTAAGAGAATTGTGGGTTGATTGTGAGGATGAAAAATTAAAATCATTTAATAAAACATTTAGAATTTTCAGGTAATATACTAATATTTAACCTAATAGTTAATACTTTTTAAGGTAACAATCAGTGGCATACATCTATAATTCTCGAATCATGAACACAGGATGGCACTTAAAATATAGATATAATTTGCTTCGAGCACTAAGAGAACCCCAAAACTTCAAATACATTAAAGATATTTGATATATATTATATATTTCATACATATCATAATTTTGATCTATGAACTATGCCATCACTCTTGATTTCTTAAATGGATGTAACACCCATTAATTACATAGTTGAAACCAATTCTGACTATAATATCTAGAACATTTTGTTGAGTCCTTCCCTTCCACCAATAGCTGTACTGTAAATAGCAGGTCTTCCAACAAAAACGCATTTAGCACCTAAAGCCAAACATTTATAAACATCTGTTCCATTTCTTACTCCACTATCCACATAAACTTCCACAGAACCAGCTGCTGCCACAATTTCTGGTAGCATCTCAACAGTAGACCTCACAGTATCTAATTGTCTTCCTCCATGATTTGAGACCCAAATGGCATCTACTCCATGTTCAAGTGCCAATTTAGCATCAGCTCCACATTGAATTCCCTTCAAAATTATTGGAACCTTAGTGATTGACCTTAACCACTTAATATCATTCCAATTCACTGTTTAATCTAATTACTCCGCAAAGAATTTCAATAACCCAGATCCTTGGTTGTTGGCTACAGTTTATAGTTAGATATTAGCCTCTTTTGCTAATTCTTCAAGAATTTCCAACCTTAAATGAGGAGGCAATACAAATCTTATTTATCTTTATCTTAATACCTTTATTTTTCATCGGCTTCTCTCTTACCTAAAATTGGTGCGTCTACTGTTAATACTAGACCTTAAAATCCTTCCTTTTCTGCTTTCCTTACCAATGCCTCTGTTAATTATCTATTTTTTTGTATATACAATTATTAGAATCTCAAGCCATCTTTATTATGCTTAGCCACTTCAGATTGAGATAAGGTAGATAAGGTAGTCAATGTAAAGGGAACTTTCCATTAATGAGCTAATTAAGCAGTTACTTCTTCACCCAAAGGATGAGCCTTAAGATTAATAATAAACTTATACTAATTTTAACATAGCAACAGGAGCTATGCCAATAGGTAAATCAATTTAATGACCCAATATTTTTGTTTTAGTAGAAATTTTTGAGACATCTCTTAATACTCTAGGATTCAAGTAAATTCTTTAAAATGCATCAATATTCTCCTTTTTTGTAATTTCTTCGTTTGCACCTGATCTATAATATTGATATGCATTCGAATCTAGTTTAATTGATGCTAATTATTCTAACTCTCTTAAAGAAATAAAGTTTGTAGCCATTAAAAAAAACTTAGATATTTTTATTACACATTAAAGTCAATTAAAATCTATAAATACCTCAGAGGAGGTGATATTAAAATCAAAAGCTTTAGATATTCTCAAGCAAATTAGAAATCATTATATTGGCAAGGTATCTGAAGTATTTAAATTTTTGAAAATTACTCAAATTTTGAGATGGCTTACTAATGTTCCTAATTGTTGATCAGAAAATTAAAACATTTCTAAATTATTATATACCATATAAGTTAAAGGAGAAACCACTCACTAGAGGTTCATATCAGAGTGATAGACTTTAAATATCGAAGAAATTTTATAATGTAAATATCAAATTATTAAAAGAATGAATATGGGATAAGATTTCAAAATTTAAGTTTAATTTGTTATACTAATTGCAATACGATTAATTAAAATATTTTCGTTTTCTTTAATGATTATTTTATTTTTGTAATGTTAACCCATCTATTATTTAATCTATTTTGATTAGAAAAATAGTGAGATCAAAATTAATGAGCTTTTGATATTAAAAAGTTTGTGTGAAAAGTTAAAAATAAATTTAGCAATCATTAATTATATACGATAATTAAATGCTTTCATAAAGCAGCAGTAGAAATCTTTTGGAGAACCCAATAGGACCTGTTTTGCGTCATGATTCTAATCCTTACAAAAGTTATGAAAAAGATCGGTCACCTTCGAGATTGTCGATAGAATCTGAGCAGTAGCTTAAGAGAAACAATAGTGATGGTATCAAGATGAGTGTTCACGAAATGGGAGAAAAAAAGAAAACTATAAATTTTAATATTGCCAGAAGGAAGTCCACAAGACCATAATAAGTAAGAGTGTTGTAAATAAAAGTCAAACAAGCGCAAATCAGATTAGGCAAGAAAATTCGAAGGGTTGTCAATCTTAAGAACCATGCAACAGAATTAGCTCATTTAAAAGTTTGTAAATACACTACTAATGAAATCCTACATTTTGTCTCGACATAATAAGTACCTTCTAAATTAAGAAAGCTACATGCAATCCAAGGTTGATAAAACAAAATACTAAAGTATAAATATTGTATGAACAATTTGAGATAATTTTTATGATTTTAGAAATTTTTCTCATAATAAATTAATTATTTAAATGCTTAATTACATTAATCTAAATTATATTGAAGGTTAAATTATAAATACTCGAAGCGATATTCTTCTTAATTACCTTGGTAAGTCATCTCATTTTGACATTTGCTCAATAATAATATGGATTATGATAAGTTTTGGTGCAATCGAATAAGTTAGCATTATTCAAATGCTTGCAATACTCCTTGTGATCATCATTTTTGCTCGGATCTTCAGAGTGTATGATTACCTCGTTGAATAACTATATTAAAAAGGATTTGGTGGCTACGCTTTTGATCTTTTAACATTAGTAATAAGTATATTTTTCTTCGCTCATATAATGGCTTGTTTATGGCTGATGGTCGGATTGAATTCAAGTGGGGAAAAAATGAATTGGATCAGAGATAATGATCTGGAAAATGAATCCATTTGGACCCAGTATAATCATGCATTCTATTGGGCGACAATGACAATGGTTACTGTAGGATACGGAGACATTACGCCGAAGAATAACTATGAGATGACATTTGCTAATGTAGCAATGTTTTTTTCAAGTTGTGTATTCGCTTATTCAATGAATGCTATAGGTATTTTACTGAAGGGGTTTAATGATGTCAAATAAAATTACAAGTAATAAATTTGAATATTAAAGAAAATCGGTTGTAATTATGAATTAGTATATGAAATCTAATAATGTTGAGGATTAGATTCAGAACAAAGTAAGAAACAATCTAAAATATTTAATATATAGTTAAGATGGTGATAATAATGATGCAAACAAATTGGTTAATAAATTATCCTTAGGACTGTAATAAGAATTGCAGGCAGATATACTAGGAAAGATAATCAAAAACATCAAAGTATTGTCTTGCAATTTCAGTAAATAAATTTTACAAGAAATTCAAGGATTAGTAAAGATAGTTTAATTTTCACCGGGGGAATTCATTTAAAAAGGGGAAAACGTCTTAAATGATGATGATCTATTTTTGTAAGAATTATATAGTAATTAGATTTTATATAATCAAAGGGAATGTGAACTTCATTTCAAATACCACAAATTCCTTGATTTATAAATTAGGGCCAGGAGACACATTTAATTAGTATGAATTTTTTACTGGTTTTGGTGATAAGAAAATAGATATCATAAGTGATGACTTTTGCTAATTAGTTAAATTAAATAAAGCATAGTTTATAAAATTAATATTGGAATCAAAAAAGGATTGGGAAATATACCATTCGATTAAAGACAATGCTGCAAATAACAATGATTTGATTGATTTAAATTACAAATGCTAATTTTGTCAGAGGAGTACGCATTTAAGACAAAATTGTCCTCTTCTCTCTTATTAACCTAATATTTAGCATAAGTTGAAGAAGCAATAATAGTTAAGACAAAAGTAACATCGATCTTAGTTAAGTAGAAATTGTGTAAAATTGAATAGCAGAATGATTTTAGAGGAAGTGAAAATGACTATTTAATAATATATGATGAATAATATTACTGATTTTACTGAAAATCTTTCAAGGAAAGAATCAAAGGTAAATGAATAAGATGATGATTAACAATTCAAAAAGATAGAGTTAATTTCTAGCACTCCTAATTATAATAGAAATACTCCAGCTAAAAAAACCACTATTATCTAGAATCTGGGTAGTTAAAATTATATTCGAAGTAAGTTTTAAGCAGGAACTCCATTAAGAGCAAATAATCAACTGAAATTTAATAAAGAAACATCTCATTAAAATTCAACAAATTAATCATAACCAATTTTATCTCAAACTAATGTACAACCAACCCTTTCATTTAAAATGCTTGATCATGTTTTCGATTCAATGAAGTTTACTTATATTAACATTGATAAAATGCAAAATTATATTAATTATCTACCTCATAACAATTTCAGACGGATTTTGATTTAAATGGATACCCAAAATCAGTAGATCAGAGATAATGCAAAAGGACAAATCAAAGGGGATAAATCTTTTGGATTTACTGCGAAATTAAGAAGCCAAAAGTAGAAAAACAATGCTTCAAGATAAAGTTAATTTAATATAAAACTTTGAATTTAATATTATTTATTTTTAATGGCTGAAAGAGAAAGATTTTCCAGCTAACGAAAACTTCCAACCTTAGATTTTGTATAAGCTAATCGAATCCCAACTGAGGGTATCAATGTCAATGTATTGTCTATTAAAGGATATAGATCACAGTCTAGTCGGGTGATGCTTAATTTGTTAGTTTTCGATCTTTAAATGAGTTGAATCCAAAACTTCGTTTTCCTACTAACTCCATAGATTAATCCTCATAACAATTAAACTAAACCATCTAGAAGGATTTGTCTAAAAATAAGAAAATGATCTGCATGTTAAGGAAGACTCTTTATAAATAAGACTATGAATATTAGGGATATCAGGAAAACATAATTGTACTAATTTGAATTAAATTAGAAACAAATAAGAACTGTCACCAGAATACAAAGGTAAGTCAAAAAGGTTCCTCATCGAATAGATCCTGCTAATAATGGCAACGAGAAATCTAACAATATACAATAAATTGCCAAAAAAAAAGTGTCATTTCCTATGTACTTTAATGGGGCATTCTTTTCTAAATTATAACATAGTTGGATACCTGCAATTCGAGAAAATACAATGGCAGCAGATTTCTAAAACAAAATATACATGTTTGGAGGAATAGGCAGTGAAGTTATGGGTGATTTAATAGAATATGAAATATAAACAGGAAAATTCAGAGAGATCAAATAAAATGGAGACATCCCTTTAAATCGTTATGGCCATTGTTTACATAGCATAGGTTATCCAATGACTTTGTCAACCTAGTTTTCGTATGATAATCAGCAATACACTTAAATTAATGGAAAACAATTAATCTTGTATGGAGGGGAGATGCAGTATAATGCAGCTTTAAGACTAAGAGAAAATTTAAGTGACACAAGAATTTTCGATTTGGAAACTAAAACATGGCAATTACTGAAACCAAATTATGAAAATGTTCCTGAAAGTCGTAGATCTTTTGGGAGTTGTATAGTTGGAAAAGGATTAATCGTTATGGGTGGTATTAGAAGTAAATTTTCAGTTTTCAATGATATTCATTATTTGAATTTAAGTATCATTATTGTATATCGCTAGATCTATGTAAATGGAATCCATTAGATACATCTAAGAACCCTTTTAATAAAGGATTGGCATTCTAGTAATTAATTTGTGCTTATAATAAACCATAATTAATCTTTGACAGAAGAGATACTAGAGGCAAACCTTATAAACCACTTGAATATGAAGGTATTTACTGTTTTGGAGGATGCTACATTGACGATGATAAAAACACATAATTCTACAACCATTTTATGGCTCTCTTAAAATTAGATTAACCAAATAATCCTTGGGTTATTCCAGAAACTACAGGTAAGCCACCTCTTCCAAGAATCTAACATACTGCTTCGTATGTCTAAGAAATGAATGTTATAATTATCTTTGGTGGTAGAGATGACTCTAGGAGCAATCCCTATTTTAATGACATATTTGCATATAAAATTTTTGAAAAGGAATGGGTTTAATTAGATATCTATGGCAATATTCCAAGACCAAGAGCCTCTCATTCTGCTGTGGCTTACAAAAGTCAAGTCTTATACTTTGGAGGAGTTAGTATGAATGGATATCTGGAATTTTCGGTAAATGTTGCAGAGTTTAATCAAAACCAGATTAGACATTTGCAAGCAGAAATGAAAGTCCATGAATCAACTATTAATGTATAATCTACAAAAGAGGAAATTTAAAGGCAGTCAATTTTAAATAAATAGTATTTTTCTTTACATTAAATTGCGCCTATCTAAATACCTAGAGAATTAACAAAGACAGAGGAAGTGAATAAAAAGATCTAACAATTATCATTCACTAACTTTCCTCTACATCTTAAATGACTTAGTGATTGACATATAAATAATAATTATTAGGATTAATTCATATTAAACAATATTAAATACCGGTATGGAATAAATGTATTTTTTATATTAATTATTCTAAACTTATTTTTTTGGAAGATATCTTCAAATTTTTATTAACTGTGTTAGTCGGGTAAAATGTATCGAAAATACTACCTTATGTGTATTCTCTCTTTCCAACTTTTTTATTATAATTATATATATTTAATAATAATGATTTGACTTATGTTTATTATGAGTCTGCCCCTGGGTTTGATTGATATCATTTAGATCAACAGCAATTTGAGAAATGAAAATAAAATTTGTAAAATAATAATGATTATGTGGAACTGGAAATTTAATTTATAAAATGATTTATTTTTAGATTTTTAATTTATTGATAAATTCTGAAATTAAATTGTTTCTCTAATTTTAGTAATTACTATTAATAGTGAATAAATTTCATATAAATTTCAATTAGTTTGATGATCAAATATTAATAACTTAATAAAATGAAATACTTAATAGTAGCTACACTAATCTTATTCACTACCGCTGAGTAAATCAAGTGCCCACTTGAGATAGACACTTCAGTATCTTGTACCAAAGAAAATAGACTTACATGCGCATATTCATCCGAAGGATACGTAAGATTTAAACTTAAATTGTAGCAATTAGGAACTTTTGAAAATCCTTGTTTTGCTTGTAGAGCTGATAAAGCAAGTTATTATGAAACTGATGCATGTAAGTTGGAATCAGCACCCTCATAGCCATAAAGTTCAGATTCTGGAAATTCTTCATCCACCACCTCAAAAGGAAACACCATAATCAAATGTGATATGCCAAAATCTGATAGTCCAATATGTCCAGCAGTGTAAGATCTATAAATAATATTTTAGTTATAAACCTACTTGTGGATTGTTCAATGCTAGTATTCAATGCTTTAAAGCTCCTTGTGGAAAATCATTTGGAAATGAATGTGAAGCCTGTTCAGACAAAAGTGTTGATTCATATTTTTATGGAGATTGTGATGAAGTGCCTTAAGAGTATCTTAATTGATTTATAATTTATAGAGATCCATAAAATCCACCTGATGATAGTATCACCTATTGTACAGAACCTAGACCTGAGATTTGTACTGCTGATTATACAGACACTTGTGCTTTCCTCTCAACTCCATGTTTTTCAGATTCTTGTTTGAGATCTGCTGGAAACTTTTGTGATGCTTGTTCTAAAAAAGATGTGGTTGGATACGTTAAACAATCTTGTGATAAATACAAGTAATTATTTGTTCTAATTTTTAGATAAATATACACCTAATATCCAAGCAATCTTGATGACAAAGATCCTTAAACTTAGACTGAAGAGGAAGCCTAAGATTTAGATTCATAAAACTAAGAAACATCAAAACAATGTGGTACCAAGCCAAGTTCTTGTGACAATGTTGTGAATGAAGTGTGTGCAACCTATAAATGCAATGACGCCACTTGTCAAAAAGAATATTAAAATTCATGCTAAGCTTGCTTAGAAACAACAACTATTTCATATATTTAGGGTAAGTGTTAAACTCTATCTGGAACCATCCTGGGTTTGGCCTTATTATTACAACTAATCATATGAAATAATTGAAAATATCATTCATACATATATATTGAATATAACTTTATACATATATGCGATTCAGATATTAAATATCTTAAGACACATAGGCATTAATAATAAAATACTCAGAAATCATTTAACTTCAGACATCTCAACGTAGTTCAATTACTCTTGATCTGCTAAGGCTTTTAACGTTCTTTGGCTGTTTGGAAAATTCCAGATGTGGTGATCAGTGCCAAAGTATTCCTTATTGCATTCGTAACAGACCAGGAAAACGGCAACTGGGATTGTTATCAGTGATATTAATTTTAATAAAGAGTATATTAAAACCTATAACAAATAAAATTATACTGTTAAGATCGATGTTGGTATCAAATAGTTAGTACACTCTGTTGGATTGGAGGATGATAATGCATAGACAAATACATCCAAACTGAATTGAACTCCGTATTAAATCAAACCGCTTACTGAAAGAAAATAGAGAATTGAATTTACTTTTTAATATCTTGATCTAAGTAAGTCTTGTTTCTAATTTAATTAATTGATGAGAGAAGGAGTCATTTTTGTTATCCATCTTTTAATAGAGTGTAATTATACTAAGTACTCCTTGTATTGGTGCAAGTGATGAACACACTAAAATCCAATAAACAATGCTACGATTGACAGCATCAAACCAATGAAAGACATAATCAAGTTCGAAATCACATTGCACTGATAACTTGTAGTTTTTCCACAATAATATACACACTCTCTTGATGATGGTTTATGGTCTGATATAGCCAAAGGAATCCTATCAAGCATAATCCCAAACGACCTATATTAAAAACTTGCTCATGTTTTTCTTTGTCCACAATAACACTTATTAATATTATGCATATTAACAATTCTAAAACCAATCCTATGCTTTTTAAACTTATCAGCCAAATGATGGATTCTACATAATGAGAAACGAGTACTTGCAAACATGAAGTAAAACACTTGGAGAGCCATCTGAATAGTGCCTATGACACACAGAGTTTAATCGATTAATAGTAGAATTCCATTGTTATTTTCAAACATGAATTTAGCTTTCATTATAAAATAATACAGAATCCCACTACTTATGATGAGATCGATCAGGCTCTCTGAGCATTAATAATTGGTTTAACATTTATATAATGCTCCCATCGAATTTAATTATATTTATATAATGCATAATTTGGATTTGAAAGTGGCAAAAGGGGCCATTGTGAGAGGGATAAGCATTTCTAAATTTAGACTGCTAAGTACAATAATCTGTCAAAATAGCTTAATTCCGATTGAAAAGTGATTTGAAAATATGAAAGATGACCAAATTAAAATGCGCAATATGATTCTTATAAAAGATTTGATTAATTCAGATTTACAAATATTTGAGGTAATTTAATTATTGCTTGGAATGAAGTCTGGTGAAATAATTCAAAACATGAATGACGACACGTCTCTATCATCTGAGGATGACGAACAGACTTCCAAGATTATAGAAAATGATCCAACAGGTCGTTTTAGTAAGGTATTCAAATGATAACATAATTTGTAGTACAATGAAGAAATTGGAAAAGGAGCCTATAAGAGTGTTTACAGAGGATATGATAACGAGAGTGGATGCGAAGTAGCATGGAATGTGTTTTAATTGATGAATGTTTCTGAGAGTAATTTTATAATTCATTTTACATTTAGACGAAATAAGAAGAGCCAGATAAGAGATAACAATATTGAAAACATTGAAACACAAGAACATCATTAATTTTATACATTCATGGTAGAGCAGATCGAAGAGGCAAATCGTTTTCATCACCGAAATTGTTAATGGAGGATCGTTGAAAAAGTAAGTTTCAAAGCATTATCAGGTAGTTACCTTAGGAGAATCACAAGACCTAAGCTAAAAGTCATTAAATATTGGTGCAGACAGATCTTGGAAGGATTGGAATACATGCATTAACAAAACATTATCCACAGAGATTTGAAATGCGAAAATATCTTGATTGACACAAACAACAACGAATTAAAAATAGGGGATCTTGGCCTATCGATTTAGTAATGATTCACAATTAATTAAGAGAATGCAATCCAATAATACAAATTCAGTACTGGGAACACCAGAATTTATGGCACCTGAAATATATCACGGAAATTATGACACTAAGGTTGATATCTATGCTTTCGGGATGTGCATTCTGGAAATAGTGACTGGCATGAAACCTTTTTGTGAGTGCAAAGGCGGGACTGGTTAGGTCATCAAAAAGGTTATGGAATCTCAAAAGCCTTAGAGTTTAGAAGGAATCTTAAATGAAAAGATTAAATCCATCATTTTAGAGTAACAATACATCATTTATTTTAGGTGTCTCAAACCTGCAAATGAGAGACCTACTGCTACTTAACTGTTGAACCAATATTTTTAATCCTCCCACATTGATGAAGACAATTCTCCTGTTTAATTAAATGAGTCACTTCTGAACTAGATCTCACATGACAGCAAAAGTATTTCATGACTTAAAATTATAGACTCCTCCTTCTTCAAGAATAACTTATCTAAAAACATCAGTGAAGTCAAGGGAACTACTAACAATCACATTAATAATAATTTTACTAATTAACCCAATAAACTAATTCTCTTTCAGGAATGCAATCCTAATTCAATGAAACAATCTGATGTAAGACATTGTGAATAATAAAATAAGTTAAGCATGGATACTGCTGATGATTTCTCAATTGAGTAATAATTCGGCAAACAATACAAAGAATATTATGTAAAATCTTAATTGTTATTCTAGATCACTCAAAATGACGAAACCCTGTTGGACTTAGAATAAAGACAAGAGAGAGAATTACAACTATTATTAACATTACATAAACAGCAAAAGGCTGATCTCTCGAATAAGCTTCAATAAACAAATAGATCTATTATACCATATGGATCAGGGTTTTTATCACCAAAATCATTCTCCACCTTATTTGAATTCAACAATGACTAACATCAACAATTATAAGGAAACTAATAGTAATCTCAAATCTTGAAAGTCTTTCCTGTAAGTGAAAGTACAAATTCAGAAGAAATTGGAAGAAAGCCAAACAACAAAGAAGATGATTTGAACATGATTTAATCAGTAAGTTTTAATTTAATCTATTAGAAACAACCATGTAAATTATCTACAGATGTTGTTGTGTAATCAAAAGTTTAAAATGTCAGAACTCCTATTTAAGGTTGAATATTAACATCACTTTAATGTTAATATTGACTATTTATTTATAAATATAATATAAATCAAAATCAAAGATCTAATTTGTCACTAGTTTGTGATTAATACATCATCTATTGTGGTTATTGCTATTATTGCTAGTAGCAAGTTACATGATAGTTGTAACCAGGGAAATACTATTGATTGGTAGTAAAGTTATTATTTAAATGGGTTGGTAAGTTCAAAAATGATCGGGTTGGTTGAAGCTAATTAAAATTCATTTGATTATTCATGGGCAAACATTAATAATAATAGGAGTTCAAACTTTAATGTTCAGAGAAACCATCTAAATTATTGTTCTACTGATTTTATTACTAACCAAGTTCAAGATTTGCGTTTAGAGCAATGTTGTTTGAATAATTCAGATTACTAATTGGAGGTTGAGCCCCTAAAAAGCTGGATAAGTTGATAAGAGCGTTGTTATTAATCTGATGTTAAGATTTAATATAATTGTTAAATTACTCCTAATTTAAAAAGTATACATATCCTTTTTCTTTGTTAACTAAACAGAAACTTAATTAACTCTAATCCTCATTTTAATTATATTCCATAATTTACAATGAAATGCAATTAGCAGTATTGTTTGTTGGTTGGTTTAAACTAGAAGGAGTAAAATTCTCAATGTTTATATTGATATTATTGAAATTATTGACATTTTAAATTCTATTGTTGTTTTGATTCTCTTGCTATTATTATCTAGTTTTTAATTCACGCCTATCCAGTTATACCTTTTTGGAGACTTAATCCTAATGTTCTTACTTGATTTCATAGGAAGAACCATCTTATTTCATTCTCCATTCTATCTTTTTGATTATGGCTTGGATTTGTTTAATCTCATCCTGACTTAACTCTTCAGCTGATGGATCAGATATATATGAATCATGATCCTCATTATCACTTTCATTTTAGGATTATGGGACATTTTTGCCGCTTTTTTCCTTTCTCATTAAACAATTAAATCTATTTTTCACATTGTTTTCACTGCGCTATAATTTCAACTTTTTAGAAATTAATGCCCACTTTTTTCCATTTTAAATGGCCAATCTCATGAGCTCCAAATCTTCTAATTATTACCACGGATTTCTTATTTATAAGGAAACAGTTACCTATTAATCGATGGGTTTAAGTGATTATTCCACCTCTCTCGACATTACTTTCCATTTCTGTGAACATTTAGACCTGTTGTTTTATTGAGTTCAGTTGCAATTTGACTCCATTTATTTCCTCTGTTCTGAGCCTAAAACTCACTTATTATACGAACTAAGGCTTCATCCTCATTTTGTCCCCACGGAGCTTATTGAAGAGGCAATTTCAACATCTATAGCCACTTTTGCTTACATTAGAACGAGTCTCTTCGCAACATCATCGATGATATATTCTACCAGTCCTCCTCACACTAAAGAAAATAATTGTTGAAAACTTTACAATTAGTTTGAAATCTCTTTTATGATAGGACATGTACTTTCCGATAATCCATATTAAGATTCTTTTGTCTTCATCAGACCAGTTCTTTTTTAATTTTTTGGTTCCTGACTGAATGCTGAGTTAGTTATTCCTTTAAAAGTTATAAACCTCTTGGTTGTCAGGAAATTGCTCAATTCCAAGATTATATAATTCCTTCATGTATGCAAATCTAACATTTGTGATGTCCTTAACCTTATCGTAAAACTCCTTAAATTAAACAAAGAAATCTTCCATTTTTAATATTTATGGAATTATAAAATTAAACAAATTATACTTCTCAATCCAGGCTTATAAATTGCATTCTTAATGAAGTAGCAATTTGTCCTATTACATTTTGGAAAATTTATGAAGAAAACTGGAGGAAACACTTTTATATTGGGTAATAATATTAAAAAATTGTAGTAAACATTATTTGATATTTATATTAATTAGTAATTTTATAAATAGTTTAAGTGTTGAAATAATTATCAAATACAATAAACAAATGTTTAGTCCAAACATATTTACTAATCTAGTAAAATAATAAAATTAAAATTGTTATAATGTGTTATACCAGTTTAACTGACTATGTCTAATTTAAGGGATGGAAAACATATACTGGATTCACTTGAAACTTTATATATCATTAGTTTGATATCGGTGATCCAAATAGCAACTATAATATAATTCCTATAGTGGCAAACAAAGATAATGAAACTATTTAAACGGTATTCATTTTAAATGAAGATTTTTTCTAATTCTAATATTTAGGATTTCAGTTAGATCCAAATCATTTTAAAGTAACATTGCAGTTCTATAATAGCTTTTGGTTATAGAGTAATCAAAAGAAGAAACTATTTCTCGAATACTGCATTTTTGTTATTATGATGAAAATCTTAAATTAGGAGAATGTAAATAATTTGCTTCTTTGTCCTAATACTTAACCAGAAATACGATTCAAACTCTAAGATTTCAACTCTTGATAAAGTTTTAAGAATATAATTTTAGTACTCGAAAAATAGAAGAAGTCTCAAAATGAGAAAGTAATTGACACACCTAAAAATTTATCAAATAAAACTTTCAAATAAAATTCATTATTTGAGTAAGATAATATCCTAAGTGGCTTAGAAAGTTTTATTAGATTTAAATTTCTGATAACTATCTAGCCTTGATGTTTGCAAGTGTTATCAACTATAGATAATAAGGAATCTGCAGAAGATATTATATTAACTGAAGAATAAATAGAAAATTAAGAAAATATAATTACTATTATTATTGTTAGCTAAGCCATGATTACCCAATTAGTGATTGCAAACATGATATTACTCAGTATTTAATTATTTAGCTTCAAGATATAGTGCTAATCCAGATATTATAAAACTATCAAAGAATGAAGAAGAAATATGAATAATATGTCTACTTAATAAGATATGCTGAATTAAGAATTAATCTATTTTAATTGATGGTTAAGGATGCCATAAATATAATAAGAAGGAAAAAATAGAATGGCTTTGATGTAAAATGAAGATCATTTGGCAGTGATCAAATATTAAAATTCACTTTTAAAACCTATTAGAATAGTTCATCAATTCATTTTTTAAAGAAATGAGCTTGCTAATTGAGAGATGAATTTATTCTATTTTACAATTATCTGCAATTTTATAAATTCAACATTTCCTCAAATAATTCTATTGTTATTCTACCTATAATTAAATTTACATAATTCCATAATTTTGATATATTTACTTTTTTATTATAACAATCATTCAATCTACAAATCGCTAAATTTATAGATCATTTTTTGTAATTTTTATTATTTGCGCTCCTTTCTTGATTTATTCTTCCTGAAATTCTTTTATTTATCAGTTTTTTCATGGATTCTGGCATAATTGGTTTTCTTGGCAATATTTTGTTTAGATTTCATAATTTTTGCCTTTAATGAATCTTGCTCAAAGATTTGGGTATTTAAAAAGTGATTTATTTTTCCTTTATAAAATGTGGTTTTCTCCATAATTTCCTATAGAATTTCTTATTGCCTTTATTGTTGCATTCAATAATAAAATTTATCATGGATAAGAAGGTTTATTTTAAATGAATATATATATAAATTAATGGAAAATCAATGAAATATTTGGTTTCTCAGAAATAAATTGGATTTAAATTATGTTTTTAAAGTTGAGCATTTTATTTTTCAATGGTTTTTTTTAAGGTGGATATTTCTTCTTTGTATTCTTATTCCTTTAATTCCCATTTTTTAGTAGCAGCTTGATAGTTGCTCATCATCTTTTTAGTTCTCTCAACAACTTTTTGCAATTGCTATTATAGTTTTTAATTTGTTCCGTTCTCTTGGAATGGATTAAGATGGTTGGATTGCTGTAATATTTTAAAGCTGCTGTTAGAATTCCCTTTTACATTTTTCATGCCTTAATTCGGACTAGCACTGCTTGCCAAACTAATAGTTGTCGATTAACTAGATTATTTTTGTTTGTTAGGCTTTATCGACACTTCGATTTAAGCATTTTCAGTTTTGCATCTAGTATTAAATATGCTCTATCTCTTCTCATTACTATGTGAGCTGTTATTAAAAAATTCATGAAAACTATTTAAATTTGAATAGTTTAATATTGTGGGCTAACTATTTTAAATTCTATGTTTGGATAATTTCACTTTTGGGGTTCTTATTTAAACAGTTATCATAATATCAATAATTAATATTATCTTAACTAATAGTTTATTTATGATTATGGAATGTAAATTATTTATGTGTACAAGTAGCTAAAAGCCTTACAGTCAATAATTCTACAAAGATAGGAGGTTATTTGAAGAGTCTAGTAAAATATTTTTTTAGTAAGGAAGTATTTTTTCAGTATGGTTTCAATATAAAAATAAAATATGTATTATTAAAAGAGGGAGATGGACATAAAATCGCATGAATGACTTTATTACAAATTTTATGATTGTTCTGGAAAATGCATTATTTCAATATTATTTTAATAATAAATGAATTTATGAGATTAAATAATTAGTTGAATATAATTTATGACTAATTTATTCTATATTCAAACTGTTATTTTTATTTTATTCAAGATTAATAGTAAATTCCTATTAACTTGAATAAGTCATAATCTTGATCTGCGTTTATTTACTTAATTGTAATTATTCTAATATTTATGTATTTTTTTAATAATATATATGATTGACCAGAAAAATACTAAAATATAAAATGATCACATTCTGGTTGGTAGTTGCGAAATGGAAGATTTAACAAGTAACACAATAGATGATAACCACTAGTCTATCCGTATGAATTAGTTAATAGGGAGTTTTTTGGATTTATAGAGAAAACATCTTTTGTAAAGGAGAACTTTGAGCTGTTGTCGAAAGTAGGTTAAAATTTAAGATTGAATTATAAAGATTGGCCGACAGTTGATTAAGCAATCTTACTGTTTTAAAAGAATATGTATCAGTTTTGTTGAATTTTCAAGCTAAAATGCTAAAAGAAAATCAATCAAGTGGAGCGATTTCGAGAAAAAACTCTTTTATTGGATAGTCATGCGCTATTATATCTATAAAGGAATTAAGGATAATAAACAATTAGTATATAATATCATAAAGTTGTTAAAAGGCTACTAACGAATGGAGAGAGATATCAAAAATGACTTTAGGAAGAAATGCTCATTAATGTCGATTGAAATGGGAACAAAAATATAAAATTCCTTTATCTGAGGCACCTTGGACTGAACAAGAAGACAATTTACTCTTCCAAGTGCATGAGTATAGGCATTTCTAAATATTAGAGAATTTAAAAAAACTGGAAAGGAAAACAAGTGGTCTTAAATTTCAAGAGAAATATACAAAAGATCCAACAATAAAATATTCAGATAACCCAAATAATGTCGAGAAAGATGGATTAATCGTCTAGATCCAAATATTTCTAAGTATTGAAATGATAATAATAGTGATCCATGGGATAAGTAATAAGAAATTGATTTGTTGAAGACTATATTAATGAGAGGTAAGAAATGGTCAGAACTATCAACCCTTTATGGCAGGGTTAGAACTGAGAATTCATTAAAAAATAAATACAATTCGCTTCTAAAGAAAGAAAAATTGAAATATGAATTTGAAACGATAAATCCTCATTTATTTGAGAAAGTGTAAAAACTGCGAAAGGACTATGCTAAGCGATATGGGAACATCACTCCAATTGAAGAAATCGATAACTATGAATGGCAGTTTATAGTTTTAGCAATTTAAGGCTTATACATTGAGTAGTGCATACAGGAAGGGAGGATTGAAGAGGCTTAAAAAATCAATAATGATGACTTTTTTAATCTATTTCATGAAGATCCTTTAATTAAAACATCCAAGGCTATACTATACAAAAAGGAACTAACTATTAAATAGGTAGATCCAAATATAATTCTTAATAATGAAAAGTGTGGAGTCGTTATTTTTAATCATAAAAATAACAAATTATATTTAACACCTTATAATGTGATTGATTTCCAAAACATTGTCCTAAATCAAATTAAAAAGAAGGTTAAAATAGAAGATAATGCCACAACTTCATCCACTTAATCTGATCCAAATTAGACCTATCTAAGAACATCCATAGGAACGTAATCGATCTAATAATTTTTATACCTTACTAACCAACCTAATTATTATGTTCCTTTAAATTAGAGTATATTCAATAGCTATTGGCTTCCACCGGTTTTTCCATAATAAATTGTATCTTCTTAAATTTAAAATAATAATTTTATTAGAAATTAAACATAATTTTAAGAAGAAAAACAACAACATTAAAACCTCAAACAAAATAACTAAGATAATTTAAATGATATTTTTGAATAAATTGGAGTGGATATTAAAATCGTTAATTCTGATGATGAAAAATGACATATATATTAGTGTTAAATATTTTTAAACTATTTAATTAAATCAATAATTTAAAGTACTTTAAGTAATTATTATTATTAAAAATATAATATTCACAGAAATTACTTCTAAAGATCATGTTATCAAATAGTAAAAGATATCCTTGAGATTCGTTATTATGAATAGATCCTTTGTTTATTAAAATTGAAATTATATATTGTTGGTGGATGTATAATTATAACTGGCTTCGAAAATTTATATATATTTATATAAATTTAATAAACTAAATTAAAATTCATGCAGATTTTCTCTTCTAATCGTTATCTGTTTGAGTTTTCATTTAATTCAACATGTAGAACCTTTAATCTTGTTGATTCATTTAATTTTCGCTCTCAAAAGTATTCAATCTTTTGTTTTTTTATTTTTATGTACTTTGATATTCCATTTAATTATTTCTAGTACCGCCAGTGCTTTCCTGGAAATTGGCTTCATTACTATTATAATAAAATTGTTTTAATATAATTTCTTTCGGAAAATTTTCAGAGATATTCTACTAAAGAGGTTTGATAAATGCTAAGAATTCTGCCTCACCTTGACCAAATTCTTATTCATCGAAATTGAACGAATAGTGATCAGGTTTAAAAGGGGGTTCAATCTTTCTTTATAAAATATCTTTATATAAATTTTTATCTCCCCATTAGATCATCCATGGGTGTTTTAATAAAGTATCAATTGAATCAATTCTATTTTTCGGGTTTTTAGCTAATAAATTATTCAATAAATCCTTAATTGAAGAGGACATTTATAATTATGGAGGAAAATTTAACTTTTAATTTAGTATTCTCGTGTATATTTCTTCTGTATTTCTTGAATAATAGGGGGGTAAACCAGTTACAAGTTCATACAGTAATGCTCCTAAACAATACAAATCCAATTGAAAAGTGTGTCCAGACTTTAATAGCATCTCAGGTGCCATGTATTCAGGGGATCCACAAAATGAATATCCAATGTCTTATTCTGTCATATTAGGCTTCGATAACCCAAAATCAGCTATTCTAACATGACCATCAAAGTCAATCAAAATATTTTCTGGTTTGATATCTCTATAAATAATGTTATTCTCATGTAGGTTTTTCATACCTAAACAAATTTCAGAGAAGTAAAAAAATGCTTCCTCCTCTTTCATCCTTTTAACCTAATATATATTTTATGACATTACTTTTCTCAACAGATAAAACAACTCGCCTCCAGAACAGTATTCTAAGACAAAAACTAGATATTTTCTAGATTCAAAAGCATATTGCATCTTCACTATAAAAGGATGATTAAGAATAGACATGATATCTCTCTCATTTTAGATAATACTTTATTTATTTTATTAGATTATGGGACTCTTTTCTATCAATTTCATTGCATAATATTATCCTGATTTTCTTTCCCTTACCATATAAACTTTAGAGAATCCTCCCATTCCTATGCATCTGATAAATTCAAAGTCTTTTAAACTGACTCTAGGAGTCTTGATTTCATTCTCTAAAGCAAAGACTGGTTCAATGATTAACGGTTGAAGATGGCTAGAATTCAAAAGAGATAATGGTCTCTCTACTTTTGATAGGATATAATCGACGGGTATTGAAATATTACAAGTTATAATCCCAATAACTGTAGGTAAGGTTGTTCCGAAGTTTTTAGAAATAATTTGTTTCACTAAATCTACCAAATATTGTATTGAATTCGATTGGATATCTATGGTGATTTTCTCTTTAAGAGATTTACATAATAATATGATGTTTATTGTGTCTTATAATTACTTTCTATTAAATAAATAAATTCTTTACCTGGTTGTAATTGGTTTATTTGGAGTAAATTCAATAATTGGTTAAGAGGCTGAATGAGTTTTTAATTTTTAACTCTCTAATTGTTTTGTGCTACTTGATTTATAGGAGTTTTGTTGCAGAAATAGTTAGGATTGGTGTTTTGCACTTGAAACTCCTAAAGATTTTTGAAAATTAATTCTCTAAAGCGATTCCTCTTATTGTCTTTACTTCATTTCTTGAATGGCTAAGTCGGCTTTCTGTTTTAATGTGAGTTCTGTTTTATTAGTAGCAGATTAAGGTTGAGTCAAGACAATCTCAGATGATTTTGGTATTGCAGAAGAGATGAGAGATAATTATTTGTAATCTTCTTATGTTTTATCAATTTTTGTGATGGATGATTATGAGTTTTAATGAGAGTGAGGTTGAGTTTTGATATGATTTCCTCCTTATCTGATGACTGTTTTTTAGGGGACTAGCTTTTTCTCTTGACTAACAAATTTTGGTGACATAAAATCTTTTGATTTGAGCAAATCCGATTATTATATTTTTCTTTATGTTTACCTCAGATTATTAAATAAATTGGTACTATTATTGTGTTATTCTCAAATTATTTTGAGAACCATTCTATTTTAACAATGGACTTTGTTGATGAATTAACTATTTGTTAGGCTGAAATCAATTAATTATTTTACTTTGAAATCCATTTGTAGTGTTGGTGAATTGGAGAATCTTGCTTAAATTTATTCTCTATTAGATAGATAACTCATCAAGGCCATAGGTGAGATTTCTGAGGACTAAGTTTTATGATGTTATCTTTTTGGTGGCATACAAATTAAATTTATAAATAAAAATCAAATGTTAAATTTGTTTTTAGTTTAGAAGTTTTGAGTTGAAATTCAAGTAGGTGCTTTGAGGAGTATCAAAAAATGTGAGTAAGATTCCTTTTATTCAATATTCTATAATCAATAATATAATAATTTTTAAATTGTCATTATTTAGTTTTTACAGGACTTTAATTATCGATTAAGTGCATTAATTCTTTGATTTCTGTTTAAAATTCTTTACTAACACTTTTTTAAAACCTCTTTCCATTAGTCTAAGTATTAATTCTAGGTTTGAATGTACAATCAACCATTTCTTTTTCTTTTTATTTTTTCTATTGGTTATCCCTCTTATTTTTAAGTTTTTGTTTCCATTCTTCATTTCGCTCTGCAATAGCAGTAGGTCTAGCAGTCTAAGCTCTATTTGTAGATTAAGCAATGTCCATTTAATTTTATTCCTATTCCTTTTGTGGTTCCTTAATTTGAAGCTTAGAGTAACAACTTTATCTTTCTTTTTATTGCACATATTAGGAGTTGCTTTTGGGTTTGATTTGAGGGGATGAACTATTGATTGTTTTGTTCTTTAAGGAATTTTGATGTTACTTTTTAGTCGGAGAAATGCCTTAAGTATATTATTTCTAAGATTTTCGAGATTATTAGCTTTTAATTGGAGTTTGCATTAATTATTAATTGGGATTGATAGATTTAGGTCTTACAGAGATAAGCTATTCAGAAACATGTTAATTTTGGGATTATAATGTTGGTTCGATACATTTAGGTTTAATGATGTCCGGACTCAAACTTTTTCTATCTGTTTACTTTCTAAAGGAGTCGCTGCTTTTCAAGTATTCATCATAGAATTTGATCTTCTATTAAACACTTCTTTGGATATCTCTGATGATGCAAGAGGATTATTTAGCTGTAATTTTAGCATTAAACAATGATTCACTCAATTGGATAGTCTCTTTGTCAACCTTGGTATGAGAGACAACTTTCATTGCATAATCTTGTTCATGTATTCTTTTTTTCTATTTCTGAGTAAAAAAGAATGTTTCATGATTATCATTCATTTGTAAATTAGATTGTTTTACTTGATAAAAATAAAATTAATTTTATTATGGTTTATTTTGTAAATCATCTAGACAGTTTACATTAAGAATGAGAAAGTGTCAATATATTAGATGATAAAAATGAAACTCAAACTTTGATCTCTTTTCTTTTTTCTGGTTCATACTCCTCCTCCAAAGATTCAAGTAGTTAATACAAAATTGAACTTAAATATGAATTTTAGAAACCCTAATAATGAAATATAAATTGTACTTCAGAGGTTAAATTCGGTTTGATGAATTTGCAGAGATTTAAATATCCGCTATATTCTTATTCTCTTGGAAATACTCCCAAAGATCGTTTGTATCTATTTATCAATCTACCTTAGTAATATAAAAATATCCCTAAATTGTTTTGAGGTAATCTACAAATTCCATAAGACTCTGTGCATTCATTCAATTTATTGGATAGTTTGCTATTTCCCAACATAACTTTGAATTTATTTTCCATCTTATTTTTAATGGATGAGGCAACTTGCAGTTGATCATTAACAGAGACTTTAAAAGGAAGTTAATCTAAGGAATAGAATTTGATATATTCCTTTAACGAGTAATCGGGATATTTAATGGCTTCATCCTTTTTGAGATCAAAGGCTGAATATGTATTAGAGATGATGTCATCATTATAAATGCTCAATTCAAATACTTTCTAATGAGAATGTATTTTAGCAAGATCAAAGATAAAAATCTTGGTATAATTGTAGTTGCAATTAAATATGAAATCTTCTTCAATTAAAAGATGAGTGACAGCATTTAATAAGTGATATTTACTTTAAGGTGAATCTACTTTTCTCTCTTTCTCACTACTAATAGTCAGAGTGTAATTGTAGAATGTCAAGGATTCATCACTAGGATTCTTGAGGTTATTCATTGAAATGAAACAGACATAATAATTATTCTATGATTTATGACAAATTAAGACACTATCCCCTAAACGAAGAGATGCAATCTTAAAATTCAAGGCATATTACTTTTTATTGAATTATTATTATTCTTCTTAAATCAAGCCTTCTCCTCCATTCCTAGTAATTTGTTCATAATCTTATTTGTTTAAACATATCTTCTTCTTTGGAATATCAAAATTTAATAAAAAGTCACTTAAATCTTCTAAATCTTTAGTCTCCTTCTCAAATAAAATTATTAATGGAATTTTCTCTTAGAGATCGCTATTTGTATATTGAGATTTCTTCCTTCTTAGACGTTAGGCATATTCGATTTTCAACTCAGATGCTTCTGATAATTTGGCATTGTCTAAGAACAACCCAAAACATGACATAGGCGATTAAACTAGTTTTGAAATTCTAATTTTAAATCTCATTAATAAATTACTCATCAATGAAGGTCAAAGATAGTTTTGGTTAACGAATAGAATTATTCTCTGCCACCTTATTAAAAGAGATCTCCTCCTCTTATTAATTCCCATAAATCAATTAACAATACTTACAAACATTCTTCATCTCATCCCTTGAAAACTTTTATAAGTGATTTTCACTATCTTTCAAGTGTAATACCATAATGTCTTCCAGAACTTCACCCATACTTCTCAACCCTCCAAATACAATCAATTGATCCTTAAAAACAATACAACTATGTGAAAATCTTGGTTAAAATATGGGAGTCTTGGATCTTGGTACCAATTTGCTCCAAGTCTAACACTTTAATTAACAAATGCTACCTTCATGACTGTTTCAAATATCCAAATATCATTCTTAGGATATATAGGCTTTTCTTCCTCATCCCCATTCTAAAAATTATCCTCTTCGTCCTGTTCTAACGCATCATCCTCATTGTCCTTCAATTAATCATACGAGTATCTAGTTAAATATTTCAAACGATTTACCCTTCCCCTCCTATTACAAAAAGAAATCTATCAGCATAAGCCACTGCAGAATGAGAAGCACGAGGGGTTGGCTACTAAGATCCATTTGGCTTGATCTTCTCAATTTTAATAACAATATTGGTCTCACCATTTTACTTTTTGTCCTCCAAGGAATCTTATTGATCAAATCTTTGTTGCAAATCATTGATGTTCTCGAAATCCAACTTATACAAATCCTTATAAAATAATAATTGCTTTTATGACATTTAACCTTGACCCCCAAAAATGTAAACGCTCTCTCCGATCTTATTTGCAGTATGACTCTCTAATTTAATCATCTCATCTCCAGTGAAATTTGTGATTTATTAAAATCTATTAGTTTTTACATCATATAGCCAATGTGAATCTGTCATAGTGTTCTGGACCTAGTCCCAACCTCCATATATGTAGATTAATCTCTATGATAATGCTATCATTGAATGTCCTTCTCTGGCTTGCATATCTTTTGGCACTTAAATTTCAGTCCACTCCGATGTCTCAATGTCAAAGCTCCAAAAATCACCCATTATGTAATCATTACTAGACCCTCCAAAAAAGTAAAGCTTATTTTGAAGACAAACGGAACAATGAGAATCTCTACCAGCTGGATGTTTAGCAGATGGACTAGTCAATCTTTCCCATTAAAACGTTAAGCAATCCATTCTATAGATTTATTCCCATTATTTGGCATTGTCTGATTTGCCACACCCACTGAAAACATACATGTATTTGTCATGCAATACAGCAGTATGACCCCATCTCTTACAAGGATAATTCGGGCTCTTTCTTTTATTTACACTTGAGTTTTTAGACATCCATTATGCATTTCTAAAGATTTTTGTTGGGATTGTAGTAATCTCCTATTGAACTTAATTCATATGCAATTATAATTTAATAAATGTTCACAATCACAAATTAAATTAAATATTCGTTTTCCCCTCTCAGATCTACGCATAAGTACATCAACAATAAATTAAGACATAATAATAAAACCAATCTATCATATATTCCAATTTAGTCCCCTTAATTCATGAACAAAAAGATTACTCAATAATAGATGCTTAACTTAAAAAATTCAGATATTCATGTAATAATATTTTGAAATAAAGGGTTTTAAATAGTTGGATGTAGAATAAAATGGAAAGTTTTCCCGATTATTATTAGCCCCTATAAAATTGGCTAATTAATTAGATGAAAATTAGATATTTTTATGTTATAATATTTAAATTAATATTACAAAATTTCTTAATTATTTGATTTGAGAATATTCTCTATCTTTAATATAATATCGCAATATTCATTGTCCAAAATATTCAATATAATATATTCAATTTAATCAATTAAATTTATTTTATGTGTTCTTTCGTTTTACTTTTTGTGTGAATTCAAATATTAATCTTGGATCCCATGTATCTTTTTTCTATATTGATTTTGATATTACTGCTAAATTCTTATTTTCTGGACTGTTATATTAAGTACTTTGAAATGATTGATTAAGTCGTATTTATTATTATTAAAAAGTTAATTACTATTATTATTGTTATTAAATCTAATCACTCTTTATTTTATTATGAACCACTTTGATTGACAATCCATTATGAATCGGAGGCACAAAATTAGTTTTCTGAAACTGGAAATTCTATTTTTTTTAGGAGGGTATTAATATTTATTGCTGGCTCTGTTCCATTTCTTAATTATTATTAGATTATTGAGTCTTCAATTTAAACTTGTTGGTAGGAGTAATGTCAACTGAGATGTCCTTTATTTGTGATTAAGTGATATTCATTTATTAATGGAAGCTTGAACTCTTCATTTATCTCTTTTCAATCTTACTTTTGGGCATAGAAAAATACCGAATATTCTCGTAATTCTGATTGTTAAAGGAATTTAATTAGGGTTGTTGCAATTTCTTAATGAAACTGATTTCCTTCTTAATGGAAACCTTCTTTTCAAATCTCTTCTTTTGTTTGGGCTGTTTTTATACAATCATACCATTTTCAGGATCTGAATCGCTTTAGTCTTCAGTACTATAGAGGTCTTGATTAGTGTATTATTGCCTGTTCTTTTCCAATTCGATTGCAACCTGTTATTTTAAATTAACATTTGTATAGTAGAGTAGTAGACTTTTATACAGATCCTAACCAATTTGCAAGAGATCTGATTGAGTGAATTACTTGATTTAATAAAACTCATTATATCCAAAAAAGCTGGTCTCTAAAGTAAATATGTCATGAATTTCATTAGGAAAATGTTTCTTAACTAGTTTATAAACGAATGCTCGAGCAGTTTTCATTTTGCAGGGTTCAAGTGAGAAGGTGCAGGAATTGAAATCAAAGAACTTGCTAGTGGTTTTAAATATATATGGTAATATCCTGCATTAGACTACATCTTAGTCTCCTCTGCAAGTGTACATGAATGAGTTTAATCTAAATTGAATTACTAAAATACTTTTTAGAATGTCCATGCAAATCTACAAAGCAAACAATGTTCCTTGTTTGAATGATATTTTTCAAAAGATTTTTGGTTTCGATAATCTAAGAATGCAATTAGGGGTTAGGTTTATGCCATTATCGATTCAAGTCCTTCCCACTCAAATCGCATCTAAAATTTCCGCAATCAACTCCATCTGGATTAAAGAGGGGAATGATAATGAAGTGAAACCTTTGAGTTAGGACTTCATCTTTGTCAAGACTGCTCAAAAAGCCTTAGCAAACAAAAGATGATACAGTTTCTCCAGGATGTTAGCGAGCTATGACGACTATAACATCGTTATTTGGTGAACCATATCTGAGGATGGGAATTTTGAAGCCGGAGAGGGAGGTGGTGAGGATTTAGTAATCATTTTTAAGGAAGGCATATAGATCGGTATTGGTGTAGGGATAGTTAAGAGACAGTTTGAACTTTTTGTGTTTTGAGGGTATGATGACTGAGAGTTGGTATAATTTACACATGTGTGTGGGATACTAAAATGATTGATAGATTTACCTTCAATTTATAGTATTGGGAGGATTTGAGTTTGACGTTGGTTTCCAAGGTTTCCCATTTGAATCCATCCTTGATCATGACGGAGAGACCATATTTTAAGGATTTGTATTCTTTGATCTATATAAGATTAAGGGTATTTACCAGATTGATGATGTGGAAGGTGAGGACTTGGCCTTGAGGGTTATTGACTTCGAAATAGAACCATTGGGAATAGCCCATTGTATTTGTATCATCTTATAAAATTAAATTAAATTCGTTGTCCTTTATCTCGTAAGCAGCATAAAGATTGGCTGATTCGAAATTGGAATTGAACATTCCATTGGTTATGATTGGTTGTGACTTGATGAATTTGTTGTCGTCTAGTAGCAATCCATTGAAATGGTATTTGAAATTGTATGAGGTGGTTTGCTTGTGTTTTAAATAGACACATTTTTGTTCAATATTATGTAGGGGTGTTTGGATGTTGACGGATGTGTCAATAAAGAGGTCTTTGGGTAGTTTTAATTAATAATTATTTTAATCTGATTCTTCAGAAATAAATCCCTCATCATCGTTCATATTTATTTAATTTTAATTACCCGTTTTTATAAATTATTATTAAATAATGAAAGTGACAATCGCCCTTGTATTGTTAGTCACATTGGCATCAGCCACATCCACCAAAGACTAGATTCTTGCTCTCCTTCAAACAGGAACAAAGGCAAGCGACGCCATCGACACTGTCTTTGGCTTATTGAACGATTTGATTCAATCAAATAAGGATGCTCAATTCGCAGCAGATCAAAAGAATGAAACAGACGAATGGATCGGTGCATAGTAATTATGTTTACTAATACTATAGGACAATCGAGTAATTCACCAAAATCAAGACTTTGAATCAGAAATTATTCCAATAATCAATTGAAAACAGAGCCCAATTTGAATAAGACCTCCATGACACAAAGAATTATCTTGCTTGGAACGAACAAAGACAAGACGAAATCAACAGAAAGATCTAAGTCCTTCTTGACGAACAATGTCTTAGCAATCAACTCTTTGTCAGATCAATCAAACAAAACAGAGAAGCTCTTGAAGTCGTCAGATTACTAAAACAAGACGTTGCAGGATACATCATCAACGGAGACTCCTTTGAATTAGTTTAAGTTCACAGTGTCGCTGACAAATTGAAACAATACAGCAACACATTCTAAGAATAAGAGATCCAATCATTCCTCCAATTGGCCAACAAATAAGAAGACGGAGCATCAAGCAGAGGAGCAACCTTGGCAGAAAAAGTCTTGGGTGTCTTGGAATCCCTTGAAGCCAACCTTTAAGCCTCACTTGAAGCTCTTGAAGTCAATGAAATCAATGCATCCTGGGAATTGGCCGGTTGGGTTTCATTGAGTGAAGCTGAAGTAGCAAGCCTCAAAGTTGAATACGAAAGAAAACAAGTCTATGCTGACAGATTAGCTACTGTAACATTGTTTAATTAATTATTCTCTAGTAAATCTAAGCTGCCTTAGCACAATAAGCCAAATCCAAGATCATCCTCCAAGAATCACAAGATGCTTTAGATCAAGCCTTATCTGACTTGGAAAACAAGAGAGCTGACTATGCTGAAGCCAAGGCCAAAAGAGATGAAGAGAATGCCATCCTTGCCGAAGTCATCACTATGTTCAAGAAATAAGTTGCTTCATGGTCTGGAAGATGAGATTCATCATTTTATATTCAATATAAATATGAATTCATTTATTCAATGTTTCATACAGCAGGCAGTCAAAATGTCAATATCAGAGACCTATGCTTAGAAGATCCCCAACATCTTTGAAATCAACACTCTTCTGATGATAACTTTCATATTGTTATTTGTCTGGCGAATAATTACATTGAAGACTAAAACATTTGCAAATCCACTCAAGATCTTGGGTATAGCTACTTTGAAACTAATACACTATGTTTCCTCCTTATACAGTCTCATCATGTTTTCATTTTTGATGTAAGCATCGCTCTTATAATAAGTTCATACGTGGCAGATTAATTGGCCTTTAGGAATCTTAACAAATTCAAAGTGATTTAAATCTTCTTTGTTATTATCATCTTCTTTTGGGGAACAGACATCAACCTATTTTCACTTACCCTCGTAACTCTAATAGAAAAAATTACTAAAATGGTCATTTAAGCTAATTAAACATAAAAAGAAGACGAGATCTCCACTATTTTATCTTATGTGTTAGCATTAGGCATAATTCTCACAGTATCCATCTATGAAGTATCATTATTGTAACTCATTAGATATTCATTTCAGAAGAATTGGAAGGATTCAACATCATGGAATTTCCAATATTCAATTTGCTCATGATAGCCCTATTCTTGTTGGCCTTGTAGAAAATAACCTACAATATCACTAAAGAGTAACACAACAAATTCATCGGCGTCATAATGTGTCTCTTATTTTTGATTTACGAGTTGAAAGATAAAATCTTTGATCCCTTCAATCATTAAGTGATGTGGGTAAGTCTCTCTATTCTAGCTGCTCTAAACATCTTTGAGAACACAGAAGAAGAATCGCAATTGATCCAGAGTAATAATAGAATGCTTGGAGAAGATGAAATTTCATTCTAAGCATTCATGAATCATTTAAAAAATAATTCAGATTCAAAGAAATTGATGATTCAACTCTCCCTCAACTTTTCATTTATGTTTGTTGAATTAATCTATGGTTGGATAAGTAACAGTTTGGGATTGATCACTGATTCACTTCATATGCTCATCGATTCAAGTGCATTGGCCATAGCATTGTTTGCCAGTTTCATGGCTAAAAGAAAAGCTAATTCAACCTACACATTTGGTTTTGAGAGAGTAGAAATCCTATCAGGATATGCTAATGGTGTATTCCTACTATTTGCAGTTGTTGAAATAATCTCAGAATCCTTTGAGAGAGTCATTACTCCTTAAGAAGTTCTACCTGAAAAGATGTTGGTTGTTTCATTCTTAGGATTGCTAGTTAATGTGATTGGATTATTCTTCTTTCATAATCATGGGCACATTCATTCAGAAGAAGTGGATGAATAATTGGAAGAAAAACACCATCATCATTGTTCTCATCACCATGACCATAATCATAATTTGTCTGGAGTGTATTTACATATTCTAGCAGATGCCTTAGGAAGTGTTGCTTGCATCATTTCAGCTCTGCTTATATATTACTATTAGTTCCATATGGCTGATCCCATAGCTTCCATTATTATTTCATTACTCATTCTTACCACAACAATTACCTTACTTAAAGACACTAGTAAAATATTGCTGATGCATGTACCTTATTCAGGGAAGAAGGTGTTGGCTGCCATTTCTCATGATGTAATTACTATTCTTAATTTAATTTTAGTTAAATTATAGAGGGTTTGATCCTCAAGATATGAAATTGTGGTAGTACAAGGAGAAGAAACTGGTTTTTACTGCGAGATTTCAAATCAAGTCAGAAGATGAAGCTTAGATCAAATCAGAAATAGATGGCATTGTTTCAAAGCATAAAGAGGTAGTAATTAATGCAATTGATTTTGATTATGTTGACTGAATTAATTTTGTGTTAATTTACAATTCATATAAATATATTTAAATGGAAGACTAATTTTCTGAAGATTATCACCTCTCTCTTTAGTAAGGTTCAATTTTCTCTATAATTAAGCTTCTGCTAGACTGTCCGATAGATATCAAGACAAGTTTAAGCCTCATTCTATTCTCTTAGAGTAAAATCCAGTCCCAAACAAAAATACAGATTCATCTCAAATATAAATTTGGGAATCGGCTTCCGATACTCCTGTTAAGGAATCCATTTAATAGCCATCAATCAATGGTATCAACCTCAGAAATTCATTGGTTTTGCAAGTAACTCATATTTTTGATTAGAATCGAACAATGACTCATATACCGACAGTGAAAAGAATTAAATAAATCATAAGTAGGAACAAACTGATATTGGAAGTCAAAGATAGACTCATGAGGATAGGCTATATCTACCCCAAAAATGAAAAAACCAATCTCGTTAATTTTCTTAAGGAGACCTATCTTGGAGATTTAAATAAGGATTAAATAAGAAAATAAATTTTTTTTGAGCCAATTAAAATTAAAATCCCAACCTTCAGTCCCACTAGTGCATTTATCCTGATTTGGCAAATTTTTAGAATAATTTAAATCATGTTTTTATTGTGGTGGGTTCCATTCAAAATTGCCTTCACTCCTGAGGGCTCTACTGATATCAGAAATATAGAGTAAGCGTTGGTGTACTTATTGATATTTGACTTAATAATTAAGTTAAATGTTGGCATAATTGATCAAGGCCAAATTATGAAGGATCGCCTTTTCATCCTCCTCTATTACATCAAATACGAACTGTATGAAGATATCATCTATTTGATTACCTTGATCATTATCATAAGAGAATAGCCAATCGACACCTACCTAATAAAAGAAATAATAGTCTTAACTTAGTTCTCACTCAATTTCTTTAAATTAAAAAAGAAAATAAAAACTTATGAAGAAACGCTTACTACCTAATCAACTCTAATTGAATTAGCCAATTTGTCCTAATTAATTATAGTAATCTTCTACTTCGCCCATTTTATGGCCTGTGTGTGGTATTACGTGGGGATAAAAAGTTTGGATCAATTCAATGAATCTTGGATAATCAAATACGAATTGATCAACGCTCCGATATCTTACTGTTACGGATATTCATTTTACTGGGCTACTGCCACCATGGTTACTGTAGGGTATGGAGATGTTACTGGGCAGAATATTTATGAAGTTCTTTGTTCTATAATATTGATGTTTTTGGCCAGTGGAATATTTGCATTTTCTATTAATTCTATTGGTTAGATATTCAGTAACATCGACAACCAACAACAAGTGTATAAAAGAACACTCTTGCTTATTAACCATTACATGCAATTTAATGAAGTTTAGTTATCATTGCAAAGCAGGATAAGAAATTATATTAAGTACTTTTTCGAATAGGAGAACAAGGGAAGCAAAAGTGAAATCGATTTAGTCTTAAATCAACTGTCAAACAATTTGAGACAAGAACTGTTATAGGATGTGCAATTAAGAGTACTGAAATAGGCTGACTTTTTTAGAAACAATTTCTCTCAATCAACAATCAGATTAATTGCTGATCATGTTAAGTTTTAACAATGCACACCTAAAGAGTTGATTTATAAATAATAAAATAATGACGACAAATCCATTTATATTATTTAAAAGGGAGAAATCTAATTAATTGATGATAATTCAGGAAAGGTCCTCAAAGTATTTACTAAAGGCTAAAGCTTTGGGGAATTAGAATTTCTCTCCTTTTAAACAAGATTCTGTAGTGCATACAGTGTGACATTCAGTCAACTCTATAAAATTACAAGAGAAGACTTTCTAAATTTAATTAAGGACAATCCTATGGACTATTAAAAATTTCAACAAATGAAAGATTAAATTTAGTTAAAATATCAGAACGATTAATTCAAATGTTATGCATGTGATTAAAAACATCTTATTTGGGATTGTCACTTCTTATTTTATAAACCGAACATTGAAGTATTGATTAAGAAATCTTTGTTCTACACTGAATAAAAAAGATCTCATTTTAAAAGATCTGATAAAAGATACTTGAACATCTTACACAAGACTCTAGACAATGAAGATTCTATAGAACAAACGTAGAAGGTCGGCACTGTTCCATCTGATTCTTCCTCTGAGAATTCCTCATAGGAAAGCAAAACACCAGAAGTGGAATAAACAAAAGTCCGAGACTCAGTTTCAAAGTTAGGTCAATCACATTAGTCAAGAAAAAGTTCAGCACATAGTAAATAGGGATAAGTAATTATTGAAGATTTTAATTTTCAATTAAATAAAAGACAATCTAATCGTCAAAGTGTCAGATAGACAGATATTGATACCCCATTGACTCAGAAAAGAAAATCAATGCAATCAATATTCCCTTAGGATGCTAAGAATTCCGTATCTGCTACTCAATTGGCTCCAATCAAAGAGGAAATCAGAAAGGAAAATAAGGATTATAATCAGAATTTTAAAAGTTTTCATTAATTAGATGAATTAATTGATAACAAGTAATATGATGAAGATGAGATTGATTCAGTATTTTCATTTTAATATTATCTTCCACATAATAATGTGGAAAATGTTTTGTAAGAGTATTAAAGATTTCAAAAGTAATTTAGATAAAAAAAAATCAAAGTTACAAAAAGTAAGTATATGTTCCACAAAATTACTAAGATTAATAGGCAAAAATAAAATAAGCATAAGAAAGATCAAACATCAGCAAATTCTTTAATAATAAGAGAAAATGTATGAATTCAATCAATTTTTAATCCTTAGACTTATAAAAGACTTTCTAAAAACGATGAAAAATCATTATTTCTTTGCACTTTATTGAAAAACTCTTAAGTTATTTCTTTTTTTTCTCTTTTCTTAACTTTATCAGTGAAAAATGAATCAATCATCTCTAAAATCGTTTTATTAGTGCGAACATCCTATACAAATGACAGTAAGAATTGATTTTCTAACTCATCCTTTGATATTTCTTCATCCTCGTTCAAATCAAGAAGATCAAAAAATAAAATGACTTTCTACTCTAACTAACCAAGTTAAAGAGTACTGCATTGTTTGAGGAATAACTGGATTTCAGCTAAATTCTTTTTCTTCCTAAATAAACAAAAAGCAATTCGATTTAAAAAGATTTTATCCTCAATTCTCAAAGAAGCATCCTCTATTAATATTAACTCCTTAATCGGAACAATCTTTTCTACTTAAATTCTAAAATCTCTAAATTCTAATCCAGGACCTCTTAAGTAGTAATCTCCAAATTGATTATACAATTCATTCAATTTAGGTTATCCATTTTATAATTGAAGTGGAATGTAAAAGTACTCAATTTTTTTCCAACATCTTTTTGGTTCTGTTATCTTAATTTAAGATTTCATCTGCTTAGATAACTCATTTGGCACCATTCTCTAACTAGGTCTATCAATAACTACATTCAATTCTATTTACTCTAATATTTCATTTTTCTTAATCAATAAATTAACATTATGCGAAGTTTGCTGTGTGATGGTATGTAACTTTTAATAACATGCAGCACAAAATAGTTCAGTGCACTCAATACACTCTAATATTGTTGGATTTTTGCCGCATTCTTAGCATATTGATAGGGCTTATGATTTTGCTTATAAAAATTACAGCATTCTTTTGACAATTAAAGCATTATCAATTTGATAATATCTAATTTTCATAACACTCTACACTATCATATCATACTCTGTCATAACTATTCTATCTAATTTTCTGTATTTTGAGATGCTAAAGAAATGCTATTCCAATTTGACTATTTCTGCATCCAATTACTTAAGTTTAATTTCAGTAGAATATTCCATTTCTCCTTATTCTTTTTTTAGCTTCTTATTATCCTCCCTAATGACAATGAAATACAAATTACTTTAATTCTTTATAGTGCTTTTCTAAATCTTTTAATTTGATCTAAGTTTTCTACTATTGTTCAACAAGTTCCCTATGATTTATTTTATCTATCTCTTCAATAACCCAATCAGGTCTATCTGGTATTAGTTCTCTGACTAATATTTTGATAAGAGAAACAGCAATCACACAACTCATAAAGTACCATAATTCTAAATCATTTTGAATAACATAATCTACTTAATCAGTAAACATCCTTAAAGTAGCATATCTGTGCTTGAAATAAAGTAAAACAAAATTAGTAAATACTCCAGTAGCACTTAGAAATTCCAACACATTAAGCCATTAACCAATACCAGGGACTCTCTCAGATTTTACTCTTTTTGTCATGTAAATCAATTTATATAATTTTACCTGTATATCAATTGTATTCATAACAATGCCAACAAATGGCCCTATTGGAAAAGCAGCAGAGAACAAAATAAAATATCCATAATCAGTGATGGCTTCCATAAAATAATCAAGAGTTCCTTCAAAATCATCTTTTAAGGAATTCAATTCTATTGCATCCACATCTATTTTTGTTTCAAAGGGCATATATTTAAATTTAGGATTCTTAGTTTCTTCTAATATCTTTTCCTCTAAAACTTCTTCACTCTCTATTTTTAAAACAGGTCTAGCTGCTGATTCTAGTAAATCTACATCTATGTTGTCTTAGGATTCTAGTTTTGAATTTTTTAAAAACTCATCGTAATCCCAAAATTATTCAATTTCATCTAAGTATAACAGATGTTATTTATTGGTTTATCTCACCTTCTTTTGCTCAATAGTTATATCCTTTACTTTTTTAAAGTAACTTCTTATGCTTCCTCTCAACAATATTACTGGTATAAGAAAGCTAACCAAAATATAATATGCCTTTTTTACTAAAACCAATGGAATTATAAAGTAGAAGATATCCTCAAGAGTATATTTATTGGAAGTAACAATGATATACATCAATGGCATATATGAATTAATAAACCTGAAAAATACATTCTTGTAAATCAATGACTTTTGATAACTTAATTCAAATTTGTGATTTTCTTGATCTGCATACCATTTAGAAAAGTAGAGGAACAGAATATTTAAAATCTGTATGGCAATAGCCTACAATGCTCCCAATAAAAATATAAATCCTTTATAAACTATAAGTTCTTATTTAAGTAAATCAATCCCATAAACAATGGCAAAACTACAAAATAAAAAAACGGCTAATAGGAAAATGAAAAGTATAAAGTACACTGCCATTTTGGTTATTTATTGATGCTTAGTTAATTTTCTTGTGATGAAATGGATTTCTTCATCTCCTGAAAACTTATCCTTCAAAGGTCCTTCATAATATGAGGACTCAGCTTATAACATTTAGTCTATGCAACCCCATCTTGTGTTGATTTCAGATGTTTTCCTTTTCCACAATTCTATTTATACAGTAGACCATATTGTTACAAATAATACCCAATAAGGTATCAAATCAGAATGAAAATCATATAAAATTGCATATAATTAAAGTGCAAGTCCTGGAATGGCTATAATTAGTTAAACACACGACAAGTAACTTATCCATGCAAAATAAAATGAAATCTATTCCCCAAAATATAATCTCATAGTTGTTAAAGAAGTGAAATTTCTTCCTCTGCCTTCACTAAGATAATCCTTAATCTAACTTATTGGTTAAGGTATGAAACCAAAGGATAATTTCTACCATTATCTTTTGACAATTTAAATTCCTCCAGACGTATGCATAGCATAACAGGATTCAACAAGTTTTGATTTGAGTAATGACTCTAAATTTACTGACTTAATTAGATGATCATATACAATTTTTTACCTTTAACTGGATCGGAACGGCTCGAATTTATTTCTTTATTCGGATTTAAATTATTCTAAATCATACGAGTCAATCAATTTAATTTACATTTCCATTTCTTCTGCCAACCTCTCCAATTTCTCTTCTTTCAATCTTAACATAATGTAAACTGATTCTTTAGCTATAAATGATTGCATCATATATATTTCAAATTCAGCCTTTTATAATAAATCTAATTAAAAATTAATTTATTGATCTATGATTCTTTTTTGTTCTTCTATTTCTGATCCTTTATGTCTTTTAAAAATATCAATTAAGTTCGTTTTAACTGATTGATCAAATTTCAACACAATGTCCGGTACAAATAATTAACTTGAAAATAAAATTAATTGTTCTAAACAATCAAATGAATTAGTTTTTTTCTTTTATTAAAGTGAAGTCGATACATTTAATGGAATTACCTAATTGTTATTTTTTTTAGCTTTGGCTGTTTTGTGTAGAAAATTCTTATTCTCTCTTTAAACTGAAGACTTGATTGAATCTGGACTCTTCTAAAGCTCATTCTCATTAAACTAAGACAAGCTCTTTTATTCTCTTATTGACTTTTAAGCCTGGATTTGCTTCTTTGTTTTAAGTTATGATTTATAAAACTATGATTTTTTAACTATATTTTCCATTAAGTTATATTGATCTTCAAAGTTAACTAATTATTTCTGTCTTTTTTATTTATGCTTATCAAATATTTCTGCAATCGATTAATGAACCAAATTTTGATTTTGAGCATATTTCTTTTTTTTGATTAAACCATCATAATAAATCTACGTAGCAGTATCTTTTGTTAATTGTCTTGCTCTGAAAAACTCATTGTTTTCAGCCTCAGGATCTGCGTATTTATTCAATAGAAATTTAATTATTTTTTAATCACCATTTAATGATGCCAAATGCAATGCAGTATTTCCATGATTATCCTTTACATCAATTTATAGGACGTTCTTACAAAATAATTCCTTAGTCTTATTATAGAACTCTTTATCATTCTTTAATTCATGTTATTGCAAGAATCTTGTAGTTATTTTAAGTAATTCTTCCTTGTATTTTAGATCTTGCATTCTATACCTTTCAAGTTCATGGTAATATCTTTCCTTGTAAATTGATGAATCTCTGTTATCTAATATATAAGTTATTCCTGGTAATTCTTATCTACTTATCGTCTCTAAATAGCTAACTAATGCTTTTGAATAGTAGTTTTTTCTGTCTCTATATTTTTTCTATGGTTTCTTCTTATTAGTTGATTCAGGGCCCCTTATTGACAGATCCAATATTTCCGATTTTATGATTATCTTCAAGGCATCATAATTGTTCTTTGAACAACAAGCATGCAAACAAGATTAACCCTCCAAAGATTTAATGGGAAACATAATATAAATTCTAGGCAAATTCCTTAAAATATCTTAGATGTCCTTATTAATTGAATAAAAACAACACCAGTACAAAACTTTGGTGTATAATAAAGGGTTTTACAATTCGGGCTCGTGCTTGCTACAAATCTCTTGAAGTTATATAAATTCAGCTTCATTTTTCCCTTTTAATTCACTATTCCAAAATTGCTAGCATTCTGTTAGAAAATCAATTGTTTGTTTTATTATCAGTCGCAATACATTTTCATGCCCGTTCTTTCCTGCTAAATCCATTGGATAGAGTCCATTGTTATCACACAAAAAAGTATGAGCTTTCTTTTTGAGAAGGAATTACACACTGTATGAGTCCCCATAAAATGCACACCAATGTAATGGAGCCCATCTGCTATGAGGATTTATACAATTTACATCTGAACCATTTTCTATCAATATCCTTAAACATTCCTATCTATTGTTTTGCAATTTAGGGTCATTTAAGAAACAGCAAATTTATATGGGGGAACATCCAAAGATATCTTTTTATTGAACATATTTTTTAATTTATTCTTAAACTTCTAATCCATCGTTGTCCTCAAAATCAAAATCAATCTCAATTATTTCCTCATCATCTTCATTTTTTTAGGGAATCTGTTTCTTCTATTATCTAGTACTTTTGATCTTCTTTTTATTATCCTTAAGCAATATTTTATAATCTTCAATTAAAATTTCCAAAACTTTATTATCTTGTCTTAATGCAGTTTAATGAAGAATATTCCCTATTTGTAAATCATAATAATAAATACTTTTATCCTAATCTTCGACTGTAAAATCACTCTCAAATCTTTAATTTTGATTAGAACCTACATTCTTAATAAAATTTTCTTCAATAATCATGTCCTCCTACTCCTCAAATTCATCTCTTGATTGCATTTCAGACCTTACAGATGGCGAGTTCGGACTGCTATTCTACACTTTAGGGGAGGCGAATTAAGTCCAACTTGAGATTTATTTTTAAAACATAATCAATAATTTGTAAAAAATGTAACTATTTATTAAGGAGAAAAAATCAACAATTTAACTATATTCATTTGTTAATTACTTCCACCCTAATCCTTGAAACTTCATAAAACTTGATTGTGTTGAATTTTCTTCTCACTGCTTACAGTGAATTTAGTTCTGCAGCCTGTAAGAGTTGACATAATTCTTTAGCACAAGGTTTTAACTAAGCCTCATTTTAAGCTTTATAATTGGGAGATCTAATCATAGACATAGATGTAATACCTTATTTTATTGACCAAAAATATGGCAGCTTAGGTTATTTAGGATGGTTTATAAGCTATAAACTTGTACTCAACCAAAGCCAATTCTAATATGTATTAAGCTAAAGCCTTATTTTTGGGATCTAGTTCTTTCGAATACCTTGATAAAAATTAGTAAGCAGTTGGATTGCAGATGTTGAAATTCAGAGCCTGCAATATTAGACCTTCCATTTCCAGGACATCACTCTTAACATAAGCATTGTCAGTGATGTAAACAAAATCTTTTAATGCAGGGGGATATATTTCTTCGTATTTGCATGCTATGAAGAGAGCTGCTACACCTACTAATTGTAAACGCAATCTTGTGACTTATGCCTTGGCCAAATATCTATCTATTAGAGAGATGGTAAGATATAATGTTTCATCTCTCAACTTAAATTTAGCATGCACATCAATAAGCCAATCCACAAGAATTGCTCTCATTTTGATATTTATATTCGGCTACATCTCAGGAGTCATGTATTAATCTATTTAATATTTATTCTAATAAATTAGCGATTGATTGAATACCTCTTCGATTAATAAATGTTGGAAGATCTCATCCGTGTACATATGTACATTTTGGGGGATTTTTGTCTCTTTTGGCTTCTCATTCTCTAGTTCTATTTGAATTCTTTCAGATTCCCTTCTGAAGATTTTATTTTCTTTCTCATCCAAACTGATAGCAAAAACTCTGGGAATTATGGAAAAAGGTTTTTTTGCTTTTTCAACGATTACTCCTGTTTCCATTGATTGATAGAGAGATGAATTTACAATTTCCTTCCCAAAACACCTTTGATTTTCGACGATCATTCTGTTAATATTAAATAAAATTATTATTATCGTTAAAAACTTAATATATATAATTAAAAATATATTGATTAATTAATTCTTAAATTAATACGAATATTTTTAGACTTTGAGTACTGTGTTGGTTTGAGACTTTTATTCAAGGGAAGAAATTTCAACAAAAAGATAAAATTACTATAACTTTTTTGTTAAAAAATTTTAATTTGAAATATGTAATAATTAAATTTATGTTGTTTTAATAAACATGGATGGATTTAAAAGAATCTATGAATACTTCCTATTACACGAGTTTCATTTATCTCTCTATTGGAGCAATACTAAATACTTCTCCGCTTTTGGAAATGTATTACCTATTTCTTAAATAGATATCTAAAAATTTCAGATAAGAATAACTATTAACAAAATTAACTTTACTTAATATTGGACTCCTTAAATGTTGGCAAGTATTTATTAAAATCTTCAATCCTACATTCAATTTATATTCTAATTATATTTGCCTTCAACATATTTATTATCCTTTTGTTCATCATCTTGTATTACATAAAGAAAAAGAATGCGAAGACAAACATCGCTTATACCATTTATGGCCAAGTAATTCATGATGTATAATTATGTAGATCCTCGGATATATAATATAACCCTACTTTTGGTCGACAAATGGATTTTTATTATAAATCTAAAACACTTATTTGGAATAAATACAAAATTTAGCTTTTATTGTACTAGATTGTATTGCGATCCTATTATAACTATTAATTTTATTAACCCTGACCCTCTTTCTGCATTATGATCATTCTTAAAAAAAAAACTTCTTAAAAATTAATTCCCCAAAAACTCTCATGTTTTACATTATAACTATTTATTGTAATAGCTGTTTAGAGTTATTTATAAACTCTAGCAATAATTTGAGTGTAATTATCTATTTTATTAAAAGATAGCATTTCCAATAGTATTGGCTTTCTTATTTTTAATACTTTTTGCATAAATGCATTAGGATCTACCTGTTTTCTCAAATAAATACTTAACCAACTACTTTTAGATTATTATTGGTCTGCAATTTGCACTGGCTTTAAATTTGTTGATATCATACTTTATTTACTTATTTGAGGATCGTTATTGCATATAGGTTCTATTAACTTTCATACTTTTGATTAAACTAAATTCAAAAATAAGATAATATCTAATATTAAGATCTATCATTAATTATAGTGCCACAAAAATGATTGATTCAAGAACAATAGTCTATTTGAAATAAAATCCCTAAAATTTGTTTTTGTTGAGAGGAATTATTAATCTTCATCAGTCTTTGTGTGTAAATATAAACTGTTTTTATCGTTTAAAATCTATATATAAAATAAGTTCTAAGGGAAATAAAAAAATATACATTAATAGAGATGCAATCTATGAAAATATTGGTAGAATTTCAACATTCTTCCTTAAATGTACATATGAAAGTGCGCAACTTAAAAAATAGGATTAAAGTACAAAGATACTTTTAATTGAGTTATTATGTTATAAGTTGAAATTATATTCTGAAAGCCTGGTTTAAATCGATAAACTAAATTCAGATCACCTAAATCTACTTCAACGAATTAATGTAACTAATATTAGATTGATAATCTCCAGACTAATAAAATAAAAAAATGAATAATCTTATAAATCAAAACTACCATTTGATCATTTGCTGTTATGTGAGTCATATATCAAAGAAACAGTGGAAATAATGATGAACATTTTTGGATAATAATTACAATTTTGGAATTACTTGTTAAATGAAAAAATCAGATTATCGGACGAATTAATACTTTTAAATGAAATCAATTAGTTGATAAGAAAGTTTTAAAAATTAGAGAAATTGATTTTAAATTTGCATTATAACCACAAGGTACCTATTAGGAACAAACAATGGTTTAATTACTTTTTCTTTAAATTATTCATTTTAAATAAAAAGTTAAAATTGCAAGAATTAGAAATTCTACCTGATTATTAAATTAATTTAGAATAAATCATAAAGGACGATCAGATAGATGAGAAGTCATCTGATGAAGAACCTGTCAATTATTACTAATAAAAGTTTTTAATCTCTGGTAATACTTTTGTAATTCAAATTAACTAAGCTGGCATCGTTAAGAATTGTACAAATAATACCTATTAAATCTTAAATTACAATAGATAAACCTTAGTGAATAGTTCTGCCTCTATTTTAATGCCGCAGATGTTTAAACAACATCATTCCAAATATATCAACCACTTTTAATAAACAGGATAATCCTCCAATTTATACAAGAGAAAGAAGGCATTCTGTATGCATGATTCAGGATATATTATAATTGTCTACAAGTACCTGAAGTGTATATATAATTATAATTCAAATCAAATTGAATACATCGCCATGTTTAGATAAATACAAACAAAGCAAGAGTATCTACTATTAAATGAAGATTGGGAAGTAGACTCTTGTACATAGTTGTTATAGGATATAATAGGAATAAAGTCTTTGAGCTTATTCATTTTGGCTCCTAAAACTATTGTATATTCTCAATATGAGAAATTTTTGACTAAGGAAAATAAAAACTTTTTTAGTTTAAATGCTCCAAATTTAGAGAAGAATATATCTCGTTTATTTTACACATAACATTCATCTCCTATGGTGAGAGGTTCATTAACTTCTAGCAATGGATAGATATCGATCTTGTAAAATTAAGCGGAATTGAAAAAGAGTTTTCAAAATTTTTTAAATCAAGATGATGTTATTAATTTAGAGGATCAATAAAAGTCAAAAGTAAAGCAAATTTTGTTCAATTTAAGAGTTCCAAAATAAAAGTATGAATTGGTTTAAGAATTCTAATCTAAATTATCCGAATCTTATAAGTAAGCAATATACTCAGAACCCTTTCGAAAGTAATTAATAGTGAAGAGTGCATCTGGTAAATTTAAAATAGTGAGAAGTGAGTTTATCAGGAGATGCAAAGTTTACTAAGAAATCATTAGAAAAGAGAAATTTCAAATTATAAGTATTTTATTTAAACTTAAAGTAGAGGAACTATTCTTAAAATATACTTAATCCGAAGATTGTGTTGATAAGATATTAAGAATAGAAGGGACATTAAAATTAGAGAAGACTTCACAATCTAAAAGATACATACTGATTAAAATAGTTAGAACTGAAGTCATTGAAGAAAATCTTATGACTCAGAGATAAAATAGTTGTTTTACTTTATCACTTTAAGCCCCTTAAATGATATCCTCGGTATGATATTGAATTATCTTTAGTAGCCAACTAAAAGAACCTCTGTTACTCAACAAAGTCCCAGGAATATAAATGTTACAATCAATGGTATTTTGATAATAAATAGTAGATTAATTCGATTTATATTCAAATAGAGAGTCAATGGGAAAGGTCTTATTACAAGAAGTATAAGTGAATTAAGACTTTAATTAACATGAACACTATAAAAATATCAATTTTATCACTTGCAATAGTGATCTTTTAAAGGAGGATACAAATAAAATTGAAAAAAAAAATCCATCCATTATTTAGTATGAATACATCAGTAGGTTCATATTTATTTTACAAATTTTGATAGTGTTTTTAAGTTTCTTCTTAACTTCGTTCATTTACAACAAAAGTACATTAAATGAATCAGTAATTAATAATTATAATTTCTAGGTAATCTTAGTTGATTATCTCTTTCATTATTAAATAATAGTAGCAGAGTCTTATAATGCTTAGATAGACGTAGAATTATTTAATAGAAATTACACTTAATCAATCATAACAAAAGGCGATTTAATTGGATATAATTCAGCAGAGCAATTTTATTAATATAATCAAATCATAACCCAAAAGTGTGGCGATTACATGTATATAGTTTTTTGGGAACCAAATTTTTTGAAAATGCTGTATTAGAATTTTCATAGCAACTCGAATGAAAGTGGATTAGATATTCAAACGATTTATTAAGCTAATGTTTATCTTTTAAATATGCTCTCTACTTAAGAGTTTAAAGAAGATTTTGGAATTTCAGATACGTTTCGTAAATATATGGTATACAATCAATTCATGTGAGTTAGATTCCCCAATTTTAATAAATCTAAGCCAATTCAATCAATCACTTATTAAACTAAGGTTTAACATTCTAAGAAATATCTAATTCAAATTTCCTACTATTTCTAATTTTATAGACAATCCTCCAGTTAGCAAGTTTGTTGTATTTAATCCGATTTCAATTTTTAATATAGAAGCAATATAATGTAGAATTTATTCAAATTTCTTAAGGTCCTATTCAGAGTTTAGGCTATCATACCTTTTAAAGAGAAAATTGCTATCATTGATAAACTCAATATAACCATAAACCAGTTTTGTTATGTGACAAACTATGAATGTAAATTATTATTAATTATTCTAATAGATGGAAATATAGAAGAATTCATTTCGATGAACAAAAAGAACCTTTTAAGTAAGGCAATTTCTAAGAGGAATAGCACGAGTTAGAAAGGGTTTGAAAAAAAGATTTTGGATGCAGAACAATACATTGAATAAATAGATAATAAGACGAAAATCAAATTCGAATAACTATCATCTTTATACAGTTTGAAAGTAAAGTTTTTCTTAGTATTGCTAGTAAATTGCTGTTAAAATAATAGTAAATCTGCTGTTGATAGCTTTGATAAGCATTGCTGGAGTTGTCACAATTTATTGTACTATTAATAATATAGAGTTGTTTAATAAGAATTAATTTATGTTTAATAGTTAAAACGTTTGGATATTGCCTGCTCTAAAAGAAATATTTACTAGTTAAAACCATGATGATTATTCTTTTAATGATACAAATGCTTTTATAATTCTTCAAGCTTATTTTGATCAAATATAATCAGAGTTTCCGGTGTACTACCAATCAGATATTGATGAAATCATCTACTTTTTTGATAATAATATTTGTGATGGCGACAGTATTAATTTAACATATTCTCTTAAGCATAAATAAACATGGATTAATGCACTCGTAGCATTAATGGAGCATTAACTAGAGGAATCAGAGAATATGATTATTTACTATCTTAGGTAGCTCTCAAATTGTTACTCCCAAAAGACGAAAGATATGACAATATAACATATTCTGCTATATATGAGTTTAATAAGGTATTGTTAATGTAATTTAGTTATATTACTTCGTTTTTGATCATTACATTCTAGCAAAGGACATATGGGTATCAGTCTCGAAAGCAACTTTAGAAAAGCATGATTACATCAGTTTAATATTATTGTAATTATAGTAAATATATGATAGAATAACTGTTATTATAGGAATGTGTCTTTATTTTATAATATTTAATGAAATAGGGTATGTGTTGCTAAAAAAGAAGGAGTACAAATTTATAAAAATGTTCTATAAATCATTCATGCCCAATGTCTCAATTAATTAGCAAAAGCGATTAAGAGTTGAATTAATCAAAGCAAGATTCATAAGAAAATGATATAAAAATTAAATAGATACTAATTAATTTAATCATTTATCATATTTTTTTGGTTTTAATCAAAGTATTGATTAATGATTAATTAAATGTGTATTTTTTGTATGATTTCTTCAGTTCATTTAAAGCTTCTAATCCTTTCTTTTTATTATTCTAAATATTATTGTAGGCTTTAATGACATCTGCTGAATTATGCCCAGGAAAATAATAACGATAATTTTGCATTTGATCAATATTATTTTGATGGAATATCAAAGGTACGCTAAATGTTTCAAAATAAAATTCTTCAGATCTTTGTTTGAATATATATGTCTTTTGTAATTCCATAAATGAGGTTCTTTCTATATTTAAAGTAGTATTTGGTTTCATAGTTTTCAATTATTTTAAAAAAATGCCAGATTATTCTTTCAAATCCTAGAATTATTATGGGGAGTTTAAACTTTTATTTTAAGATTTTTAAGCCATAATGTCTTAGGTTTCTTAAGCAATCATTTTTGTTAATGTTTAAGCTTATTCAGAATCAGTTTTCTCATTTTAACCATTTTGTTCATCAATAGATTATCCATCAATTGTTTATTAATATTTTTAGATAGATTCAGAAATGATAGATTATGCTACTAAAGAATTGTATTTCGTTTATTTTCTGTTCCATTGTTACCTATCTTATTTCGAATGGTAAAATTATTTCTTAAATCTTTATTCTAAATCTGGTTTATATTATAACACACCACAATCAACAATCTAATGATTATATTATCCACACAAATGACATTTTAAAAAGATTTTAAAAAAGTTATTCTCGAATAAGATTGAATCTTTTATATGATGAAATCTTTCAGCATCTTTATGAAAATTAGATAATTATTCTAACAAGTTATCTCTACTTATTTTACAAATTTCTGAATATCCTTATGAGATGGCAGTCACTTTGGGGGGAAATCCAGTAAAAAATTAATATTCACCAAAACAATCCCCTTTCTTTAATATTTACAAAGACTTTTTAGTTCTTTCCTCTTATAATTCTACTTAACCTTCAATTATGAAATATCTAATATATTCATGAAATTTACAAATTTTTGTCGTTTTAATCATATTGTTTAAAAATGCAATCATCGGGAACAACTTCAAATTTCTTTAACTTTTTAGAAAGTAACTTTAAACATTTTTTACTAAAATTCTACTTTAAAAACACAATTTTATTGATCAAATTGTTCTAAATGTTGTTCAACATGTCTGTTTTTAGACTCTGAGGGAAGGTTTAGAATAAGCATTCTAACTCCTCAGTATTTTCATTTTTATCATTCTGAATGTTAAGTTATAAGAAATTTTTCACTCTAGCCTATAATAATGGGTTAACATTGTTTTTCTTCATGTAAGAACTTACTATTGCTATCTACTTTCTGTACTTAAATTTAGTATCATTTATATGTTTAACAAGTATTCCTATGGAATTCATTAAATAAGCATATACACAGCTTGATATTAAGATCATTATGCTAGTAAAAATAATTTCGATATGATTTTAAGGTGTGATATCACCATAACCAATAGTAACCATAGTGACAGTTGCCCAATAAAATGAATAATTATATCTTTGCCATGCTGATTCATTGATTATATTATATTTAATTAGCCATGTATTTTCAAAAAGATCATCAAAGGACCCTATATAATGCCAAATGCTTGCCATAAAGTGAGCATAGAAGCAAATCAAAATGATTAGAGTTACAAGATCAATTAAACTATTCACCCCCCCTTTTAAATAAAGATATTCAATATAGCCAAAGTAATTTTTAGTCAATTTTTTTATAGTAATTAAACAAGACATGATACATAATACTTCGTTAACAATAGAGATTCTATTAGATTAAAGGAAATAAATTATCCATATGCTTATCATTAAAATATCATAAATTAATTATTGGGTCACATAGTGTTTTACTATTATCTTACGATCTTCAATTATTTCCCCCTATATTATAATAGCTCTGTTAAATGAAATAATAATTTCTAAAGCCAGGCCTAATATGATAAATATAGAAATGTGAGCTATTTCATCATTATCAGGCATAAAACTAGTCAAAAATGGGGTAAGCCATAAACTAAATAAATAGATAATGAATAAGTAGGTATCAAAAACTATCATAAAATTTGAACCTGGTTAGAATAAGTATCCGCTAATTTTTTAACTATTTTGATCTGCCTAATTGTAAATATACTGTACCTAATTCGTTTTAAAATTAATTTTCTTATAAATAGCCCTCTGACGATATCAAATTTTTTCTACTAGTAGGAAGCACATATGATTTTAAGAATAAATTTTATTAAAACTTCTTAATGTATCTATTTTTAACTAGCAAACCCAACATTTTCTTCATTTGTGTCTTAGCTGCATATAAGGATTGGGAAACCTATTAATGAATGTTTCCCTTATTTTTGTTTAAAACTTGGGTTTACACAAGCGGAGAATTCTAAATTTAAAAGTATTGGGTTACATTATTTTTTGTTTAAAATCTTCTCAAACTTTCTTTTTGTTTTATAAGTTTCAGTTTACGCTAATCTATGATACCTTAATCATTATATTTCTAACTGAAATCCTCGAATGGATCAGAAGGCATGGATGTAAGAGAAATTTATCTTTTTTAATATTGCCTTGTTGATTATTAGTGCAAATATGGACCTATGCATTATACATTTTCAGAAACCCTTGAGTCTGACTCTTGAATACTGTCTATATACATTTCCCTTTATTTAATTTTGATATTTTTTAATTTATTAGATTAAGGATCAAAATTTATTTTCAAAATAGAATTCTAAAGAAAAATAGAAGCCTTGTAGTTGGATTCACATAGTATTCTACATTATTGAGATTCAAACCCTTGGTATATAGATAAAGAGTAACAATAAAAATATTTTATTGTCATTATCATTATCACAATTGATATTTTTTAAGTAACATATATTGATTAAATATATATTTTATTAAAATGAGTGAAAGTTAGGAGTCATCAGAATTTCAATCAGGATCCTCTAAACTTGAATATAAGTATAATTTTCTTTAATATTAGGAGAAGTAACTAGTTAGGATTGACTAATGTTGAAAGTGGGGATGAATAAATAAAAAAGAAAGCAAAATTAAATGACGAAAATGGACAAATTAAAATTTCAAGAAAGGTAAGTGATGATCTTATCAAAATATTCGAGAGATTGCCAAACGATTAAATCACAAAATTATTAGATGTCATCAAAGTCAAAAATTCACGTATCTATGAATTAAATATTAAATAGCTGATTTACATGTTAAGGTGAATCTTGTTGATTTGATGCAGAAGGATGAAGATTTTGCTTTGGATAGTTAATCTGACTCATAAAAAGAGAAAAAAAGGAAAAAAAGAGAATCCAAAGAAAAGGAATGCAGATGTTGTAAATAAGTAGTGAAACGTCATCATTGCACACATACAGAATGCGAAAAGCCTTGTTAAATCTTAGAAAAAATGAAAAAATGCAAAACTTGAATTTTGTTTTAATTTCAATACTAATTTCCTCTAATTATTTTTTCATACTTAATCACCTCTCCAAATATAAAAACCATTTCTTATGATAATAACTAAAAATAATTACATTAGATATTGAACTAAAAATCCTAATATTCCTTTCAAATGTGGATTTCATAATATTGGATTTTCATATTTTTATTATATTCAAATTTAAGTTCAATTTTAAAAGTGTACTTTAATTTATAAATCAATATATTAGAATTTCGATAATTTAGACTCTATGGATATGAAAAGTTAAGAGAAGTCTATTATTGTGAAATAGCTGTTGTGAACAATTAAGAGAATCACAATGTGTTAACCTGATTGATTTTAAAAACAATGATATTTTTATTAATTATAAAAATAACAATCGCATGGAAAGTCTAGAATGTGAAAGATAATATTTAAACCTGTTAAGTCTTTCAGAGTGGGAATCAATAGGAATGCGAATTAAATGATTTAATCATATTTAGACTAGATTCATATTTTGCTATTTGCTTAATCTCATCTGAGATTGGCATTTCAAGTGTGTTATATGAAGACTCTCAAGGAAATTACTAATTTATTAGCGTACTTAAAGAATAAATAGTAATATATCCCTTACCCTATATCTGCGGTAGCTTATATAGAACAGTTTAACATTAAAATCAATTTTCAAACTATTCGTTAACTAGAGATAATTCATCTTTGTACATATTTGGTGGATTTGATGGATCTAAGTTAAGAAATCAATTGTTGGAATACAATATTGATGCTCTCTTGAATAACCAAATCACTTATTAAATTCTACCTAATAATTTTATATCAAAATTAACTGTATCCTTAAGCTTATGGGATGGGACTATAGAGGATTTTTCATTCACATCCAATTTTCCTCGGTTGTAAAAATTAAAGAATTTGGAATATAAATATACTCTAAGTTCTGTACCAGAAAATACTTAATGCTCAATTTCAAATGTTCCGAAATGCTCATAACATAGTGTTATTGTCTATGTTGATGAATGCAATTGCATAAAATTATTTTATGGAAGAGACTCTAATTATGTGAATTAAAATTCTTCCTGGATTTACTACCTAGATGATTAAGTTTGGTAAGAAACTACAACTGAGTCGCTTCTGAAATTTGGAAATTCCCCTGTTGGGCAATATTTTCCTGAAATAAAGATGGTGGGATTTTTTGCAGAAAATACTTATTACTTTTACTATGATTGGGAGTGGTATAAAAATTATGAGGTATTAAATTTTGGATTTACCTTTAAATAAATGATTGCCTATGACAATAAGACCTTTCTTTTAAATTCATCTAGTATCCTTTATAGTTATTTTTCTGATTAGCAGAACATGAAAAGTTAGTAATATGGCATCTATATGTGTTAAGATGATTATCATGGTTATGATTGTCAAACTCAAGACTTACAATGTCCAGGAAGCATTTGTTTTAATGATTTATTATTTGAGAGAATTTGTGTACATTGTTAAGGACATGGTAAATGCTTGAATGGGAACTGTAAATGCGACGACGGATTCAGTGGCAATGATTGTAGTTAATAAGTGAAATGTTTAAACGATTGTTCAAATGAGGGAACTTGTATTCAATATTTCCCAACACCTCAATGTAGATGTAAATAGGAAAATAAAAGGGGAGGAGAAGATTGTTCTACAGTCTTTTGTCTAAATGATTGTTCCAATAATGGAGTATGTAAAAATGGGGCATGTGATTGCATTAGCGGGGTAAAAGGTGATGATTGTAGTATATTAAATCTAAAATTTATTGATGAATGATATTAAAAATTAGATTAAGTTATTATAAATTATATAGCATAAGTGTTTAAATTTAACTTAAAATTGTTATTAAATGAGTGAAAAAAATATAATAATTCTATTTCTGAGTATTAGAGAGTGTGATAATTCTTTACCATAGTGTTGAAATCGTATTCAATTAATAAATTTATGTTTTCATATTTAAGTGATCTTAAAATAAATCTAAAAATTGATGAATTAATTTATGTTATTATTCCTTAAAATTATTTGCCATAAAAATGTCAGAAAGTATGAACTCTTTACTAAAATTAGGTTGCTTATTTATTTTCAGATAAGTTAGAATTGTACTATAATTTATTAGTCTATAATCTTAAAAAAGTGTACAATTAATTTATAGTTTAATCAAATCTTTTCGATTCAGCTGCAAATAATGATAATATAATATCATGTCTCTGATGATTAATTATAAGACTAAGTTATTTTAAAAAATAAGATAACTATTGATGTTAAATATTGAACAATTTTATGATTAATAATAGTCTTAGATTATCTGGGTTGAGACTATCAAAATCACTATTAAGTATTTACGAGTGATTTTATTATCATATTCATAGATTCGATTAGCTCCTTCATTTTAATAAATAAAGAATCCTTGTTATTTTTAGCATTGAAAATGACAATTGTTATCTTTTGGATAAGTAAGTTAAATATGGTAAATATTTAGATTGATTAAAAAATAGATCAGAGTGGCGAATGTATTTCAATCAAGATTTTTCTGTAATATAATTCAATCATCATTAAGAAGGAATGATTTTGATAAATATATATATATTTGAATGTTAATTTAATATTTAATGGGATGAGTACATTAATCACATATTAAAATCTTTTTATTTAAAATAAAAAAGCAATGGTCAGCAGATTGAGGAAATGCCGTAAAATGAGAGGACATGTGTGCCACGGATATGGTAGAGTTGGTAAACACAGAAAACATCCAAGCGGTAGAGGTGTTTCAGGAGGTTTAACACATCATCGCATCAATTTCAATAAATACCATCCAGGTTATTTCCAAAAAGTACTCATCTTTCTCTATTCCTTAGACCGGAATGAGACATTTCCATTTGAAGAAGAATACACTTCATAAACCAGTTGTAAATATTGACAAATTGTGGTCACTTGTCACTGATGATACCAGAAAAAAATATGCTAGTTCAAAAGATAAAGCAGCTGTGATCGATGTTACAAAGGCTGGCTACTTCAAAGTCCTTGGAAAGGGTAGACTCCCAAATTAACCTGTCGTTGTTAAAGCCAAATTCTTTAGCAAAACCGCAGAAAGAAGAATTAAAGCAGTCGGTGGTGCATGCATACTCGTAGCCTGATACATTACATATTACAATATCAAATAGACAATATTCATTCAATCTTTTTGAACTACAAAGCACAATTAACAGCTAATTCCCATTATTTGTATTGCTTCTCATAAGACTTTTTGCCCTCATAAATTTATTAGACCTTCATATTCTAGATAATCTACTGTTCAGTCAATAGATTCAATCCCACTGCAGCAAACATGGCAGCTCCTGAAGCAGTAGATTCAATTATTTCTGGATATACTAACTTCTTTTGAGTGATATCTGCTTACAATTACATCAATTCCTTATTCTTAGTTAATCCACCATCCACATGAATCTTATTAATCTTAATTCCCGATTATTCCATGGCCTTTATAACATCCTTTGTTCTATAACAAACTGATTCTAATATAGCTCTTCTGATATGATCCTTTGTTGTGTAATAACTTAAACCAATCATAGTCCCTGTTGCATCGAAATTCCAAAATGGAGTAAATAAACCACTAAATGCTGGCACTATGTAGACTCCTCCATTATCTTCCGCATTCACAGTACTTTAACTCAATTATTCCCAATTTTCAAACCATTATAGTTTATCCTTTGCCCAATTGAACAATTACCCTCCACTTTCAACAGCTCCTTCAAAAGCATAAACTGGCTTCTCATTTTCTTTCTAGTATAAGACAGTAGTCAACAAGCCAAAATCTGAGATTTTAATATTCTCTCCAATGTTAGCCATAATAAAAAGTCCACTTCCCTGTGTATTCTTGCAATCTCCTTCATGAAATAAAGCATGACCTATAGCAGCTGCTTATTAATCACCCAAGACACAATTGATAGGTACACCTTCATACTCCTCAATTTTCAATGAACCAAAATTACTATTTGATGCCTTTATTTGAGGCAAACAATTTTTGGGGATGTTGAATTGACTTAATATAATACAAATTCATACTTTAATAAGTCTTCATCCCATTAAAGAGTATGCAAATTCATCAAATTAGTTCTTGATGCATTTGTTACATCTGTTAAATGATTCTATTCCCTTGTTAAATTCCATACAATCCAGCAATCAATAGTACCAAATAATACATTCCCTGAATTGAGATCGTCTCTTAGAGCTTGATTGTTTTGGATCATCCATTACAATTTGTATGAGCTAAAGTAGGTATTAATTGGTAATCCAGTTTTTTATTAAAAATAGTTCTTTGGATATTTGTTTAAATATTCTTAGCAGATATCATGTGTTCTTGTATCACTCCATACAATTGCATTCATATATGGTATTGCAGTATGCTTATTCCATGCAACAACAGTTTCCCTTTAATTTGTGACTCCAATGGTCACTAATTTATGCACTCCATCCATCTTCTTATGAGCTTACTTAATGCACTCAATAGTATTATTTAATATCTCATTTGGATCATGTTCTAACCACCCTTGGTGAGGAGTGATTTGTTTATGAGTTATATAATGGTAACTAAGCTATTCACCATTCAAATTGCAAATAGTAAATCTAGTCCCAGTTGTTGAGGAATCAATAGATCCAATTACAGATTACATAATTTTTATATTAAATACGTAATTTTACTATTCTAAACTTTAATAAAACATTTAGTATAAAGTTTTTAATATACTTAAATTTAAGATTAATTAATTTTCAATACAATAAATCAATTAGATTATTACTAATTCTAAGTGCTTTTTTCTAAATCTTTGGATTGCTATTTACTAATTGATTGTTGTTGAGATATTGTGCGATTTTGCTTTGAGGAGATAGAATGGTTATCTGAAGAGAGAAGTTCACTTTAATTCATCCGACCTTTCTATTTAGTCTAAGAAGATTTGCTTTTATTATTGCAAAAGTTGAGAATATACTGCAAATCTTACTTGCTATTCTTTATTGTCTTGGATTGGTACAATCGATCTACTTATTGTTTTTGTTCATTAAAAGATGGTTTACATAATGTGGGGAGTGAAAATTGATACTCTTTCATTAAAGATTCACGAAATGATGAATTACTATTTAAGTAATTGCTTAGCTGTCCATTTACTTTCAATTACAACATAGTTGGCAATTGAGCATAAGGACTATTCTACGACTCCTTAGGCAATTTCTATAAACTATAGGACTTAGAATTTTATGGTCTCAATCCAGCGATGTTATTGTATTCCTTTATGCTTAAATTTAATGCTGTCATTAGATTATTTTTCAAATTATTGCCATGTAGTTGAGAATCCTTTAATTTACTTAGATTGATAAATTAAATATATTACTTAAGCAATCTCTGTTCTTCTGTGCTCATCTAATCACACAGTGCTTATTACTCTTACAATCGTTTTGCAATTTAATCTTTAAATAAATTTTATTCTTATTTAATTCTCTCTATTCTTTCTGCTTTCTTCTATTCCAAATCTTGTTTCATATTAAACTCCCATTCAGAAATCTACCTTATTAAAGAATACAATTTACTCTCGCATATTGTTGTTATTTCTCTAAAAGTTCTTCTTCTCTTTTCTTTTTGTTTTGATACATCTACAATTGCAATTCTTATTTCACCAATGCAGTTTTCAAGCACTTCTCATCAAACATATCTTATTTCAACTTTTTTGCTTCTTCTTGCTATTGTTATTTGTTTCTTCTAATTAAATTTTGTAATCCATTATCATTGTTATTGTTAGCTTCCATGATCTTGCTAAGCTATTTAATTACTATCAAGTCATACTTCCATTTGATCCTCAAATTTCTATTTCTTAGCATTGACAATCTTTTCTACTTTCCCCTAAACAATATTATTGTTAGCTTCTTGTAAATTAAGTTATTGTTTCAGTTAAATCAATCGGTTTTCAAGAGCAGCAAGTTCCTGGTTTTTTTAATTCAGATGTTTCATCTATTGAGAAACTGTTTCCATATGCTATTAGGAATAATAATTAATCAATGATAAAATTAAGAATTCTGTAAAATAAATAGAAAACAAAAATATTAGAACATATGTAAATGACCAGTTTTGCATTATTTATAAACAATAAACACTCATTTTTTAATATTAACAAAATTTATAATTAGTTAGTTCTCTTCTATGGAATTAAAGAAGTTATTTTAGATGGGATGTATATACATTATGAGAAGTTTAGACTTCAAAGAAGAGTAAATAGAATATCGTGATTGGGTCAAAAAGGTTATTACTCTTAATGAGCATAACGAGTAGTTCAAGATTTGCAATAGACAACTTATATACTACAGATAGATGTTCAAATTCCAAACAACTAATCAATTTATTCCCAAGAGTATGAAATCAATAGGGGATTTTGCAATATAATTTATCGATTTTATGCATTTAATTAAAGCAAATTAAAATTATAATTTATGAAAAACAATCACAAGCGTCGATTTTAGGATGTAGATCATTTGATTTAACTCAGAAAAAAAGCAATACCAAATAAAGGAGAATACCTCTATGATTATAAGCTGTAGGATGCACTAAAAAAAAGAGATACCTATTCAAAGGAGGAATTCAAATAAAAATTCAAGATTGATTTTGAAGATCTGCCAATTTCAACCAATACACTCAGAGCCTTGAAATAGAGAAAGTTTATTAAGATGACTGAGATCTAAAGGTGTGTTATACCACATGCATTGGCAGAAAGAGATATTCTAGGTGCATCTAAAACAGGAAGTGGAAAAACATTGTCATACTTGTTACCTTTGATTGAGAATCTTTATGTGAACAAATGGACTCCTCTGGATGGTTTAGGAGCTCTTATCATTTTGCCTACAAGAGAATTAGCTATGCAAGTATTTGAGGTTTTTAAGTCACTTAATACTTACCATATTTTATCAATGGCATTGTTGATTGGTGGTAAAAACTATCAATACGAGAGAGACAGAATCACTGGAATGAATGTTATTATCTGTACACCTGGAAGACTCTTATAGCATTTTGAAGAGAGTCCTGGATTTGATGCAAACAATTTAAAGGTCTTAGTTTTGGACGAAGCTGATATGATGTTAGAGTTGGGTTTTTGGGGACCGTTAAAGGCAATAATGAACTACCTCCCAAAAGAGAAATAGACTATGCTTTTTTCTGCTACTCTCAATCAAACAATCCATTAACTATGCAAGATTTCTCTATAAAATCCAGAGAGCATTTTCTTACATGAGAAATTGGCTACAGATTCAAATGAATAGACAGACAATGTTATGTCAACACCAAATAAATTATAATAATTTTACATTGTTACACCTATAGAAGAGAAAATAGATGTTCTATTTTCATTCATAAAGTCTCACAATAAATAAAAAATCGTAATCTTTGTATCTACTTGTAAATAAGTGAGATATTTATTTGAAGTGTTTAGAAAATTAAAATTGGGAATGCTATTATATGAATTACATGGTAGATAAAAGCAGGATAAAAGAACAGCCATATTTTTCACTTTTTCAGAAAAGAAGGCTGCAGCATTATTTACAACTAATATTGCATCAAGAGGCTTAGATTTTCCAAAAGTAGATTGGGTCATTTAATTTGATTGTCCAGATGATCCATCCACCTATGTGCATAGAGTAGGAAGAACTGCAAGGTATATAGCAGGAGGGTTCTCCATGCTCTTTTTATTGCCTTCTGAGGTCAAGTTTATTGACAAGGTGAAGTAGAAGGGAGTTGAAATCAAATAAAAATTTTTGAATTCCAATAAACAATTAACAATCAAATAGACGATCTAAAGTTTAGTGTCTGAAAACATAGAACTAAAATATTTAGCCTAGAGAGCTTTTATTAGTTATGTTAGATCAGTTGATATCAATGCAGACAAGGAGATATTCAAGTTAAAGGAAATCAAAACTGACTTATTAGCTGAGAGCATGGGATTAGTCTAAGTTCCAATTCTAACTGTTTAATAGCCTGATGAATCAGATTAGGAGGATAAGCCAGAGAAAAAATCTAAATTACAAAAACTAAAGGAGAAGATTGAAATCAAAAAGTAAATGGCAATAGACCAAAATAAACCAATTGAAACTAAGAAACTTAAGTAGATTTCTAGAGAGAGTGGTTTTGATAAGTTTGAGGGTATGAAAGCTAAGACGTTTGATTTTGAAGGGGAATTTCTAAAGCGCAAACCTTAATAGGAAATTGAAGAAGAAGAAGAGGAATTAGAGCAACCAAAGTTTGTGACATCCAAAAGATAAATGAAAAAGGTGAAGGCAGACGGAATATTTGGAGGCAGAAACAAAGTGTTTTTCGATGATGAAGGTAATGTCATTTTTATATAATTATAGGAAATCAAATCACAGCAGAGGAGAAGAGAAGATAAGAAATTTTAGAAGGATAGTAAGAAGTCTTATAGAAGGATGAAGATAGAACATTAAAATATGGACAGAAATTAATTGAGCATGCCGAAGATGATAAAGCAAATGAAAAGGATAGAATCAAATAAAAAAGATTAAAGAAGAAAATTAGAATGCAGGAAGTTTAAGAAGAGTATTGATTTTTATTGTAATTAATATATATAATAAAAAATGAATATAATCAAGAGTACTAATTCTTTTTACTAATTTTCAAAGGAATATTAAACCTATTTTAAAGATAAATCGGTAGAATAAGTTGAAAAACCTTAAAATCCTGTTACTTTAATGAATTCATTTTTACGTAATTCCTCCTTTTCCAAAAAATCTGTGTAACCTTTAGATTGGCCTTCGGATTTAGATTTATCAAATATTAGGGAAGAATATTTCATCATAGATCCCACTTAAAGGTTCTAAAGAGAATGGAATGAAAAGAAACTATTTTTTAAGCACAGATAAAGTCCTTTAAGAACAGATTCATTTAACAGATTCAGAGAAAATATCCGTTCTTTAAGTAAAACCTACAAATTTTAGAAGGATAATCTTTAGTATGAACAAGCTGCTGTGTTACCAAGTTAAAGAAAGCTTGAATTGCAAACTACAGTGTAAGCACAAAAAGAATATAAAGATAAAAAAGAATAATTTAACTTTCTCAATAAGCAACATCGTTTGATTGAAAATCTGCATCACGACGATATAGTTTAAAAATCAGTTACAGAAAGTACATAAAGTAATTTATGTAGACTATTAGATGAACGGCAATAAGGATTAAACATTTTGTAAGGAGAATCATAGACTACTTAGAACAAACTATGATAATGAAATCTCGAGTGATTGGGCAAGAAAACGAAAATCTCCACTAAATAAATTAGATACCTTTCATAGGGTCATTTCCCAAGAGGACAATGAAAAAAGTAAATTGGGTAAGGCAAAACCCAATAGAGTTAAGTAATTTGAGAGGAAAGGGAGAGAATATAACATCGTAAATTTTGGGTGTAATTGAAATTTAGTTTATAAAAATTTATTTATTGTTAATCCCTTAATAATATTAAATTTGAAATGAAAATATTTGAATAGAGTTTTGGTAAATAAGAAGTGTTTCAAAAGACAGCTTAATTCTTTAATCCATAAATTGGAAAATTGAATGAAAACTTTTAAAAAAGAAGGAGGGAAAACTCACTGCCTCAATAAAACCTTGAGGCTATCAAATAAATACTATCTAAGACAAAAATACTCCAAAAAAATGTAATTTGTAGAAAAACTACAATTCATTCCATGCATGATTGCAAGCTAGAGAATCTCAAGAGTCATCAAAGCACTAAATAAAGTACCAAATAAAGTACTCAATAGAGCACACAAGATTCCTTGGATTTTAGCAATAATATTCCTAAAATGTAAGATTTGATCATCAAACATTCGATCAATCCTTATAATGCTTTTAAATACAAATCTAATTTCAATATTAAAAAGCCAATTCTCAATGAATATAGTAGTTGCGCAACATAATAATTAGAGAATAATTCTGCAATCAGCAAAATATCCAATAGTTTAGAGGGGAAGAAATATGTAATAAAAGTAAAGGATCCATTTGGATAATCAAAAAAACAAATAACACAACCTACAAGAAAATATTCTTCGAAATCTTTCGTAAACCAAAAAGCACAAATAAAATTGGTAAATAGAATATTTTCCTCGAGATCTGAGAGCTTGTAAAAATGACATTAATGATTATATGTGTTTGAATTATCTTTTTAAGAGTATTTCATGAAATTGCTTGGAATAATTGGTTAATTAATAGTGTTTCAGAGATTCTTATTATTTTCTGAATTCAAAAGATTTGGTCTGAATGAGAGTGTTGAAGGTGTAAGTGCTTCCATGAGAAATAGATTTCTTAATTAAAATACTATTATTATTTTGTTTAAAAATTAAATCGTTAAATTGTATGTATTAAAGTGCATCAAAAAGTGCCAAAAAATAAACTAATGCCATTGGAAAAGTATTAATAATATTTTAGCATCTAGCCTAGCGAATCAAACATAGCTCGTAGGGTTTAAACAGAGACTATTGATTATGATGAAGCTGAACAAGATCTCCAGACCTTCTAAGACATCTCCAATTTCAAGCTTCGCAATAAACTTATAACTTTTAATAAACCTGCAAAGAAACCTATAGTGAAAGATTTTAATACTCAATTTCAATTGTGTTTAAAGAATGAGAACTCAACCAAACCAACATCTGGAACTGTTAAAAAATGTTAGAAACCCTAAGGTATAGAGAAGATCAATACAAAATCCTTGTTAATCCCAGCGAAGACAACTAGACAAGATTATTCTACATACACTTACTAAAATCTTAAAACCATTGGTAGTGGATCATTTGGTACAGTCTATAAAGTAAATAACAAATAAAGATTTATAGTCAAAAGTGAATGAAACAGGGGAAATAGTTGCTATTAAAAAAGTATTGCAGGATAAACGATACAAAAACCGAGAGTTATAAATACTGCAAGAGTTGAATCATCATAATGTGGTGAAATTAAAGCACGCTTATTTTACACCTTCTGATAACAAAGATGAGATGTACTTGAATGTTGTAATGGATTATTATCCAGAATCCTTATACACTTACAATAAATCTTTTAGATAAGCATAGGCCAGAATGCCTGAAATATTGGTGAAAATATATTCGTATTAACTGCTAAGATCAATATAGTAATAGATCATCAAATAATTAGTTATATATCATTGTTGTCCATATGCCATAGAGATATAAAGCCTCATAATATATTAGTTAATCCAAACCATCATAAACTTCAGCTCTGCGATTTTGGAAGTGCAAAAAAACTAGTAAAAACAGAAGCAAACATATCCTATATTTGTTCAAGGTGTTACAGGGCTCCTGAGTTAATATTTGGAGCAGTTAATTACGACAATCAGATAGATGTTTGGTCAGTTGGATGCGTGATAGCTGAGTTATTTAATGGAGAGCCTTTGTTTTTGGGTGACAGTGCTGTGGATTAATTGATTGAGATCATCAAAGTACTTGGAACTCCAAATAAGGTTCAGGTATTAAGTATGAATTCTGATTATGATATGCAATAATACAAATTCCCACAAATAAAAGCAAGAGATTGGAAGAAAGTAAGTTATTTCATTCATCTCTTAGGTGATTAAAACAAATGATTCATTGGCTACTGACTTAGTTTCTAAATTGCTTGTTTATTGCCCCAAAACTAGATTCACTCCAATTCAAGCATTGTGTCATCCTTATTTCGATTAGTTGAGAGATCTCCATCAGATGAAATAACTATAAGAAATCTACAACTTCAACATTTAAGAATTATTCGATTTTAGCAATTGTATTTTATTTCTTATAATCAATTAGTGGAAACTAATAGAATGACAAATGATGAAATGAAAAAGATTATTCCAGATTGGATAAGCTGTAGTTCCACTAAAATTGTTAAGACCATAGGCTGAAAAAGTGATAGAATTATTTATACTAAATTATATGAATAATTTGAAATAAATTAATTAAGTCATTTATTTGCAAATGAATTTCTAGATTCAGATGTGCTATATTAATGGTTAACCCATTTTAGCGAGTTGTTGATTATTCCAATTATCAACATAAACTTCTTCTTCATCTGGTTTTTCTTCGAAATATTGGTATTCCTATTGTTTTTCCTTCATTATAAACTCCAGTTCTTTTTGATAGACATTTTCACCAACAAGTTCCAAATATTGATCAGTGTCTACATATTTCTTTTTTGGCTTATCCTTTATTTTTTCTTTGAATTATTCATCTAATTTCTTGCTATACAAATTGGAATGTTTTGCTAAATTTTTAGAAGATATTCATACTATTTGTTAAAACTCTTTCAACTTATAAATATGGATTATCAATAACCTTAGTATTGAAATTACTCTATATGTCTGATAACACAAAATTTTATTATTAACTGAGATGTTCAGCCTTTTAGTCTTTTACGTATCTATTAACTAATCTACTAGTCATAGGAATGCTTTTAGGTTTCTAAGTCGTAATCAAAGAAAATGGAGGTCTGTCATCTTTACAATCATACCATCTTAGTCTGAGATACCAAAGTCTATCATTATGTTTTTCATCTTCATTTTTCTAGGATTCAATGATGTTCAATTGGGTTGCTCTATCTCTGTAATGATCAGAACGAACCAATATCGTATCTATAGGAGATCTGTCACAATTGGAGGCAATTCGATTATTTACAAATTCCCACTTCTCTTTGGCCTAATCAAAGGATTCCAATATCCTTTTATCTCTGGTAATTGCATTTCTGATATGAAGTGGAAGTTTTTGTTCTTGTTTAATTTTATCTATCTTTTCAGTTTCAATTCTGCGTCTTGCTTCAACCAACTTTACCAATGCATCCTATCTTGGTAACATCTTAAATTCGCCTCTGGGTTTCTTTGGAATCTTTCTAGATTGATTCATTCCAGACATTTAAGATTGAGATTGCTATAACCCAAAAGGTTTTGAAGATGGCACATCATCAGAAAATGATTCATCTCCGTCTTGTTTTCTTTATTTAATTACAACTCTCTATCTGTTTTTATTTCTGACTGCCAAAAATTGTTCAGCCTTACCAACAATAGACCACTTGACTATCTTTTCTTTTTTGTCATCCTCATATCTTGGACCAACTTAACTATCTTTATATTTCTTCCTCTCTTCATTGTTAACCTCTATGTCATGATTATCACAATACCATCAAAGATATTTCTAATTGTATGTAATGAATTAGGTTTCATAAATATAGATTTGCATGTGCTTTATTGGACATTACTTTCAAACAAAAAGTCACTTCCTGTTGCTGCTGCCGTGGTTGCAGGACGAATGCTTTCCTCATTACATTTATAACCTAAATCAACTTTTGATGATAAAAACAATTTTCCCTTTTAACTCATTTTTATATATAAATTAATTAAGATGTGGTAATTGATGAATATATTGCATTAAATTCATTTTTTGTTAGAAATAAATCTTCCCTTCTCTCTTTATCGAGATTTTGCCTTTTTCACTCTGTAATCATAATGGTTCTTTTTAGTAAACTATCTGTTATTTTTTTTTTGCCTATATTTTTAAATTTTTTTCTGTCTCTCCTAATAAGTTAAGGGCCCAATCGATAGTTAAGTTGAGAACTTAAATTAATTGAAGTATTCTATCATCTCTTTTGTCAACCCTTCCTTTATTGGAAGTAGTTATTTTATATCAATAAACTGAGCCAAGAATGCATCTGCCTTCTAAATGTTGGCCTAAGTGAAGGGATCACTAGTATTTGTTTCGTTCATAATTATTTATCTGAATTAAAATTACAAAATGTAATTTACAATTATTATTATGAAATTACTCTATTTATTAAAGTAAATAAAGTGAGGGTTCCTTAGATTTACGGATCTTAACCTATTAAATCTCATGAAGAGAATACTCAAAATAATAAAGTTGAGATTGATTTTTATCTCAGTCCAAAAGGAGCCTACATTTATAATATGTCTGCTACTATTGCTTACATATTTCTATTTTCGCCCATCAAATAACAATACATCTCACAATTGTATTAATTTAAGTGTTCTCTGGAGCAATCTAATTTAAAGAGTTAGAAACTTAAAGACGTGCCATTGTTTCTTTTTTTAGACAAAAGTCATTCAGCTTAAAGTCAAGTTCTCAATATATATGTAAATAGCGGTTCTAAGTTTTGGCAGATATAAAGTGGATTATTTGAATTAAATATTCTCTTCCAGTACATCTGGTTAAGAAATAGAATTTTCAAATAGTTATCGGTTATCTAAATTTATATTTTGGGGATTCTTCTTATCCCTTTATAGAATTAGAAGTTTAATTGCTTAATATTAGTCATATTAAGGAAATCAGGTTATCATTTCTATAGAAAAATTTGTGATAGTGGCATAGCTAAAAACTAATTTGTTATTTTAATGGCTAATATAAAGAATTCTCTTAATGTTATTTAATTAAAAGTATTATTAATTATCAATATCTACGATATTTCAAATAAATGATGACAAAATTATAGACATTAAGATTAATTCTAGTGATGTGAGAGATTTTATTTGAGTTCTTGATTTTTAAAGGGGCTTTTTTCATATGAGAATAAAAACAAATCACTATATGATAGGAATAATTATTATAAATGAGAAGAAAACAATAAAACAAAAAATACTCAGAATCTGCAGTAAAACAAGCTACAGCAATTTTATGAGAAAATAGAATAGGATTGTTGAAAATCTTAAGATTACAAATTGATTGCAACATATATAGAAGGCATAGTTGAATCAATATGAATCAGAAATAGTGTTAATACGACTATCAATTCTGATTAAGCTCTGTTTTATTTGAAGATTATTATTTATGTATTAGAAATTACGTCTTTTATTTATGATGTAATAATACAATTAATGATTAACTAATTGCTTTTCGTATCATTCTTGTTCTTAACTAATGGAGTTGGATTATTTGAATAATACTATCCATTAGCTGATGAGATAGCCTAGTCTATGACTTTGCAGTAAAAGATCGGTCAAACATTATAAGTGGATATTACAAGCTTTAATGATGATTAAGGAAATACCCATTATGAACAAATATCCTAACACTTCTTAGGTTCGATATTAGTAGGTGGTAATGGATGTCCAGATGGAAGAGGAAACATAATTGCATCAGACAATTGTTTCGCAGCAACTAATGCAAATTGGAGAGATGTAGCTTAGAAGAGCTTGAAATAGAAGGTAGTTGTAAATGTTCCTGGTCATGGGGAAACAACCATTAATTTATTATTGGGTACTGATGCAGTCCATGGAAACCAACATTCTGTTGGAGCAGTGCTCTTCCCTCACAACATTGGTTTGGCTGCTAGTCACAATGTAGAAAATTACATCAAAGCTGCTTATTGGACCAAGCAAAGCATTTTGGATTGTGGTTTTAACTTTGCCTTTGCCCCTACTGTGGCTGTTTCTCATAATCCAAAATGGGGTCGATTTTATGAAACCTAGGGAGCAGATCCTAAATTCATTAAAGAAATTGGCAGAGCATACATAAAGGAGTTATAAGATGACGATGGTAAAAAAATAAAAGGAGTATTGGGATCAACCAAACATTATTTCGGAGATGGCGCCACTTATAATGGATACGATGAGGGTAATTGCAGAGTTGAGAATTTCGATGTGTTCTATAACAACAATATCTAGGGATACGTCGGAGCTTTGGAAGCTCATACAGGAACCATAATGGTTAGTTATAGTGCTATTAATGAATTAGCCATGAGCATTAGTGATTTAATTAATGTGGATTTGAAACAAAATTAAAAATTCGATGGGTTCATTATCAGTGATTATAATGCTGCAATTAAAGTGGCTTATCAAGGTCTACCTACAACTCATACAAAAATGACGATTGAAGATGCATATACTAAATCATTTAATGCTGGAATGGACATGTAGATGGTAGATGGTGCAGTCGGATGGTATGAAGAAGTGATGAACAATATCATAGCATAAGGCAGAATTTCAGCTGAAAGATTGAATGATGCAGTAAAAAGAATTTTGGCTGTTAAATTGGCTATGAACTTGATAGATGTGCCTTAAACATTAGCCAAAAAGCATAATTATACATAAGAGAAAAAAGAAGAAGAGAAAGTTGAACAAAAGGATGTGTCCAATGACAGTAATGATGCTGAATATTATGATGCTTTGAGATCAGCCAAGGAATCTTTGGTCTTATTGAAAAACAAATAGAATTTATTGCCAATTAATAAATACAAAATCACTAATGTTATTCTGTTGGGAGAAAGACTTTGGTCCTTCAAAGGGGAATTCAAGAGGGTGTATTAAGATTTCGATAACATTGGAGCATAAAATGGAGGTTGGACTATAAGATGGTAAGGATTCAATGGAAATGAATATTGGTCGAATGATCTTAAAACATCATCAAAGGCTTCATCCATACTTGATGCCATTAAGAGCAGATTCAACACAGCCAATATTTATTATATCCAATACTCAGATCCTACAAATCTATAGTTGATAAATTAACAAAGAGGCAATTTCAGAAATGAGATCATTAATAATTAAGATTAATTTAGTAGAGAAAACACATTGATCATCAATACTCTTGCAGAAAATCCATATGCTGAATTCATGGGAGATATAGATTGCGAATATTGCAAATCTTAAGACAAATACGGATGCATCTATAATAATTGGCTCAATCAATATCTACCTGATGAATAACCAACCACTCTAGAGATCAATATTGGAGATTACGAAAAACAAGTATTTCATTATTCTTATTTTAGATTATCAATATTGTGAGATAGAAGGATGTGGATATCCCTGTTGTCACAGTCTTATTTAGTGGTAGACCTATGATTATCACTAATCCACTTTCAGTGAGTACAGCATTTGTGGCAGCTTGGTGGCCAGGTACTGCTGGTGGTGAGGCTGTTGTTCAATCTCTTTTTGGCGAATATTTATTCAAATCTTAAGGTAAACTCAATACACTTCCTGTCCCATGGATGAGAAATATGTACTAGATCTCAAACTATCCCATCTACGGCAACGAAGTCCCCTAAATTGAAGATCCTCTTTTCGAAGAAGGTTTTGGGTTAGAAACAAGACCACAAAACAGTTAATGAGTCATTAAATATTATACATATAAAACACACAAACTAATATAATTCTGTTTTTGTAGTATTTCATCTTTATTAATACTATTTTATGTATTTGGAGAGATCAAGTTCAAATAATGAAGAAGTTTTAATATCTAAGTAATATTTTAAGCATTTTACAATTTTCTTAAAGGTAGCAAATTTAAGAATATTCTGAAAATTGTAATTAAAAAATTACATATTTATAACTAAAATATCTCCAATTATTATGATAAATTATAAACCAAATTGTTGATTCTATCTTGGTATCAAGAAAGATTACATGTAATCTAAAATGATGTATATATTAAAATGAATTAAATTGTTAATTATGATGTTTCATTATTTTAATTAAATTTAAAGTGTTATTAATTAGATTAAAATGTATAAACTACAATATAGTAAAGGATAAAATCAGGCGTTTTAAATAAGTTCATCTCTTAACCTATTAAAGTTCTTTTTATCATATTTCTAAAAGTCTTCCAGATACTCAAGATCTAAGTTTGTTTAAGATCTAAAATAACGAAAATATTTACTCAATCGAATTATTATTTAAATTAATTATCTTCTAATTCTAATTTCTTTATTGAGACAAATGAAACTTAGATTTAACAGTCTTTAGAAATGGCTTATTTTGATCATCCTATTTTTCAAATTCAGTTCTGCTCTTAACATACCTATTTCTTATTGATTAAAATTATTTTTTGATATCCTCTTGATTAGATAACTTAACTTAAATTGGGATGCTCTGTTATTTTTTATAGAATTGCAAACTGGCTTAGAATTATGACTTAAGAATTTTATTTTAAAATGGAATAGTAGGAAATGATGCCTAAGAAGGGATTATACTTAATTTACTTTTTGTTCATTTTAACTCTGATGAGCAAAATAGTTATCATAATTATTCCTTTTTGATGTTGACTCCTCATTTTAATATTGAGTATTCTTAGATTTGCTAGGGAGAATCATTTTGACTACCTTTGGATCTAGTGATCTATTGGGTAATTGTTCCATAAGTTAAATAGAGAGTGAATATGATAAGATCTAATTTTGGTTGATTTGTGGTTAGCGTTTCAACCTTATTTTTTTCATCTGCGTTTAGCAGGTATTAGAGTTAGAAGTAGTTCTTTTGAATTCATGCTTATATTATTTTAATTATAAAAAACTTCTATCATCTGATCTTCTTTTTGAATCCAATTGTTTTTATGATTATTAATTTTGTGAAAATGCAAATACATCGTACCTTTTTAATCGTAAATCCATTATAATTGTATATATAATAATTTATATTATAATATAATTTGTGTAATTCCATATAAGCACACGTAATTTGTGAAGCACTCTATATTTAATTTTGACAAAGTTGATTTCTTGTTTAATTCAAAAAATCTAATCTATCAAGGAGGATCTTGATTTACTTTGAATATACATTGATCTATCATAAGAATAGTATATTTATTTTTTTTCAGTGAAATGTTGAAATTCTAACTAGAACCTTAAAATTAGTCTTACATTTTAAAGTGTGTTTCTGACATCTCTATTAGACAATAAAAGAGGAAGGAGATCTGGGTTGAAATGGAAAATCATTCTTTTTTGTTTAGTAATATTGTGTCATTCAACCAATTCCTCAAATTTAACGATAATTGATCTAATTTGAGTATGGAGAGTTCAGGAATAGATTGGGATTTATTCAATTAATATTTTTTTGGGAATGTAAACATAATCAGAATATTTCGGATAATGCATATTATTCTTATATTTGAATGATAGAGCAATTAATTTATTTTTTGCTATTTAAGAACTCACGGAATTCTTAAATTTATAATAAAAATAAATTAAAAGAAAAACCATCTTTCATGGGACACTTATCAGCATTACTAAGAAAAAACTGGATATTATGGAAAAGAAACTGTTTCTGCTCGAGCTGCGAGTTGATTTTGCCATTGTTACTAATTCTTGCATTGGGAGGAATAAGGTAATTCTTAACTTTATTGTAGGTCTGCTGTCGAAAAAGAAGACGTTGCAGAGGCTAATTTTTACGATCCTAACAATCTGAAAGATTGGAATGGTCCTCCTTTTCTAGTTTAGCTCTAACCTTACATAGATGAATAAAGAATCGAATAAAACCTCATTCAATTTAGACTTAGAAATTAGTCAGCTAGTGTTGTGGAAAACCTGATGTAGTTGAACACGAAAAGTCGACTTCAAGTACTGCCACCTATGAAGTAATAAATCAATAGTATAATAGGAACTGTTTGGATAATTATAGATAGGATTAGAAAAGATAATGGAGAAATGGTGATATAGCAATGGGTCCAAGTGCTGATCATCCAATAGTAAAGGAACTGACTGAAGTTTTCAAAAGTAAAATGATATTAGTATTCATTAGAGTATTATAATTACTCAGTCGTGATATTTAAAGACAATAAGGAGTTGGATGATTATACTTCTTCATCCAAATATGGGGATCCGGATTATCCCAGGGTTTGTTTTGGTGTAATGTTCAATGAATCCTCATCAAATGTCTATGATTATTCACTGAGGTTCAATTCTAGTGGTATGATTAACAATGAAATCCCCCCTACGAATTTTGTTGATATTGATCCTATTAAATATGAGGATTTGGACAAGGCCAATGAATATTTGGAATCAGGATTTTTGACTGTTCAAAACTTTATAGACAACATAATTATAAGAAGAGAGGTGGCAGCTGATGCTAAGATCACCCCAACTTATTCGTTTAGTAAGTTATTATCTAATGCTTTAAGTCCACAGGAGAGAAGGAGTGATTGACGATTTTGCTTCTTTCTTGAGAGGAGGCTTCGGTATCTATCTAATATTGCCACTGATGATCATCTATTTGAGAATGACCTATGGTATCATCTACGAGAAGGAGAAGAAGCTTAGAGAAGGGATGAAGATGATGGGTTTGAATAACACATCCTTTTATCTCTCATGGATTATACAGTACTTCATCATTTACACCTTGATTTCAATAATAGCAACTATTCTACTTAAGGGAATGGTGTTCAAAAACACTGATGGATTTGTACTATTCATAAACTATTGGCTATTTTGTATGGTTCTCATATTCCAATCGATGTTTATAAGGTAATTAAATGTAAATTAAATTTTTAGTGTGTTTTTCACTCGAGCCTTGTTTGGACTGATTGTAGCAATCGTCTGGTACTTGTTGATGTACATGGTAATAAGTTTGGTTGGAAGTGGTTAAAATCTGGTCCCAGAAGCAACCTATTGGGGGGCGTCAGTTTCGAGTCACGCGGGTATGTCATTCGCATTTGACGTTATGATTCTGTTTGAGGCCCAAGGAAGAGGAGTGTCAATGTCGACTCTGAATACAAAGGTGGAAAACTACTCTGTCAATATAGCCTTGTCGATGCACATTCTAAATATCTTCTTTTACTTGTTGATGTCCATCTACTTGGATCTTGTGTTCCCAAATGAATGGGGTAAGAAATTGCATCCCTTGTTTTGTATTCCCTATTTCAACAAGCCACACAGAAGTGAGAACCAATTAAATAGGAAGGCATCCTAGATTCATTAAGAGAGATATGAGGAAGTTGAATAAGCATTGAAAGATCAAGAATCCAGAAAGGAAGTTCTACAAATCTAGAATCTCACTAAAATCTATCCTAGTGGCAAATAGGCTGTGAGTAATGTAAATTTAACAATGTACATTGGGTAAATTTATGCCTTGTTGGGACATAATGGAGCTGGTAAAACCACAACTATCTCAATGTTGACTGGTTTATTAGATATCACTGAAGGTTAAGCAACAGTATTTGGATACGATGTTGAAACATAAATTGAAGATATCAGATCATTCATGGGAGTGTGTCCTCAACATGATATTCTTTTTGATAATTTGACAGTCAAAGAACATTTGGAAATGTTTGCTACCTTTAAGGGAATGAAACCTGAAGATATCCCAGCTGCTGTTAGAAGAATGATTGAAGATGTTGATTTATTAGAAAAAACTGATTATCTGAGTAAGAATTTGTCAGGTGGACAGAAAAGAAGACTGTCAGTTGCTATGGCCTTTATTGGTAATTCCAAGTTAATCTATTTGGATGAACCAACATCAGGTATGGACACAAGTGCAAGAAGATACATTTGGGAAATGCTTAAGAATTATAAGGAGGACAGAATTATAGTGTTAACAACTCATTTTATGGATGAAGCAGATTTCTTGGGAGACAGAATTGGTATCATGGGTGAAGGAAAATTGTAATGTTCAGGCAGTAGTGTATTTTTGAAGAATCAATTTGGAAATGGATACAATTTAACAATTGTGAAGGAGAGTACATTGTCAGATTCAGAACCAATTATCGAATTAATTTAAAAGATTTGTCCTGAGTCAATTTTGATATCTAAAGTGTCAGCAGAAATCTTGTTGTAGTTGCCCCTATAAGCAATATAGAAATTCCCATAACTCTTTGCAGAATTAGATAAGAATCTGAAACCCTTACACATGTAAAGTTATGGAATTAGTATTACCACCTTAGAAGAAGTGTTCTTAAAAGTGGCTTAAATTGGAGCTGGCCATAATCAAGTGAATGATTATATGGAAAAGGAAGGTTAGAATCAAGCAGCTATGCAAATAGATGACTTTGATATCAACTAAATCAGAATTGTAAGTTCTGTCTAATTGTTCTTCAATCACACTCTTTCATTGATCATAAAGAGATCTCGATATTTCAAGAGAGACATTAGAAGTTTGTGTTGTGAAATCTTGTTGCCTTGCTTGGTTGTGTTGTTAGGTTTGATTCTTATGACAATTGAATTCATCACTTAACCAGAAGTTGTCCTATTGACTCCCCCTTCAGAATGCTATTCAACTGACGTAGGTTATTTGTGGGGAGGCATCTAAGACAATACTCTATTCAACAGTATGCAGATGAAATTGTATGATGAAAAATAACAAGTCTTTGGAGACCCAACATTGAGTAATTTAGAGAAAATAGATATGAATTATTTTGAAACCTCAGATTTAAGATCAGACATAGGATGGTATTATTTGACATAAAATACTAATAACGATTTCCAGTATTACATGTTTGTCAATTCTGTTTTCAGAGAAGGTCCAGCTGTATTGCTTAATCAAATGAATTAAGCCATCCTCAAAAAATTGAAGGGAAATAACTATGAAATCAGAGTTACTAATTCTCCTATGAGAAGAACATTTGAAGAATTGCAGACTTAAAATACAATTTCTGGATTTTTGGCAGCGTTAGTATTTTCTATGGGGATGGCATTCATTCCTGCATCAATTATATCGTATATTGTGAAAGAGAGAGAAATTAATTTGAAACATTAATAATTGGTTTCTGGTGTGTCTGTCAAAGCATATTGGTTTAGTAATTGGCTAATGGATGTTGGAAAACATATCGTACCTTCCGTTGTTTGTTGTCTATTGATTTTGGCATTTGACATTTCAGCTATGATAGATGATGAAAACTACGGATTCTCTTGGCTCATCTTTTTCCTGTATGGTTGGGCAATCATTCCATTTTGCTATTTATTCAGCTTCGTCTTCAGATAACAAGGTAATGCTATGCTTTTGAGTTTCTTCTTGCATTTAGTTGTTGGATCTATCATCAGTTTAGTAGTTTATATCCTAAGATTGATTCAATCCACCAGAGATATCGCCAAAGCATTGTAATGGATTTTCAGATTTATCCCATCATTCTCATTTGCTTATGGAATTGTCAACTCCTGTTCCAAAGCTACTTATAAAGTTATTGAGGGCTGGCCTGAAATGAAAAGCACCTATGACATCGAAGTAGGAGGTGCAGATCTGATATTCTTGGCATTCACTGGTGTCTTATACATCATATTAGTGTTTATAGTTGAGTACTTCGAGGACAATGGTTAATTGCAAAAGTTGGGATCAAGTGAATAGAGCATTCCCTACATTCCTAAAACAATTGATGATGATGTTGCTAAAGAAAATTAATTATGCGAAACCTATCAACCAAATGAAAAAGCCATTCTTGTAAAGAAATTGAGAAAAGTATTCATGTTAGGAGCAGGAAAACACAAAGTTGCAGTTGATTAAGTCTCCTTTGCTATTGATTAAGGAGAAGTCTTTGGTTTGTTGGGAGTCAATGGTGCTGGTAAAACAACTACTTTCAAAATCTTATCAGGTGAATTAAAGCCAACTTATGGAGAAGCCTATATTGCTGGAAAGAGTGTCATAGATGATTTAGAGGCTGCAAGAGTCAATATTGGTTATTGTCCTTAATTTGATGCCTTGTTGGAAAATCTTACAGTGAGAGAACATATTGAATTATTCTCTGATATCAAAGGAATCCCTTATTTCAAAAAAGAGGATTTAGTTGAAAAAAAACTAAGTGAAATGGATCTAAAGAGATTTGAAAATATATAAGCTGGTTAACTCTCTGGAGGAAATAGAAGAAAATTGTCTGTTGCTATTGCTATGATTGGAAATCCACCAATTGTCTTTTTAGATGAACCATCAACTGGTATGGATCCAGAAGCTAGAAGATTCATGTGGAATGTCATATCAAGAATTGCCACTCAGAGAAAATAGAGTACCATCATTCTTACTACCCATTCTATGGAAGAAGCTGAAGCATTATCCACTAAAATTGCTATTCAAGTCAATGGAAATCTCAGATGCTTGGGATCAGTACAACATATCAAGAATAAATTTGGAAAGGGATACGAAATCGAAGTCAAATTAGAAAAACCCACTACCAACGAAATCAATGGATTGATATCCTAAATGTAACTACCTCTAGGTTCTCGTCTTGACTAATAAAAAACTATCGAAATTCTAAGATCATTAGGATAAACACCTTTAGAACAGGAGATCAATATGAGAGGTTCGGGATCCCATATTTATAATGATTTAAGAAAACCAAATGGTCTGGCAATTGAAACCTTAGCAGAATTCATCATTGTAGAAGGAATGGGTCGAGTTCTCATGGATTTCATTCTAAAGTCCTATGGACAATTTGAAATTATCGAACACTTTTAGACATTTTATAGATTCCGACTTATGGGACAAGTAACTGTTGGTGGATTGTTCGATGGCTTTGAAAAAAATGTAATTATTTTCATTAATTTTAATAGAAAAAAGTATTAAGAATTTCCCAGTATTCCATTAAGTAAGCTTCAATAGAGCAGATTTTCAATAACTTTGCTCAATAAGATCACATTGAAAACTAAGGATAAATACAAAATCAATAAGCCGTCCATATTTAAATTCCTCCTAATCAATAGGAGATGTAGAACCTACAAAAATGATTAATTTAAATTATTCATATTGTTATATAAAATACAAACTTAGAAGTTCAAATCAACGGATTTTCAAAATTAGTATCGGCATTTTGTAATATATTAAAGATCTTAACATATTTGGCACAATCCCATTTTGTTTAAAAGTAAAAAAGATAATCAAGATCAGATTTTTTGGACCCTCCATCTAAGTTCATTATCTATAAATCCATAACTTTCAATCCTTCATTAAATTCCTCTATATGTTCCTGTAATTCCTATCTCTACTCTTCAGTCATGTTTGCATTAGCCTACTACTACATTTAGCACAGAGACTCTCGAATCTGAAAAGATATAAACAGTTTTTACTTGTTGTCCTTGGACATGTAAATGGATCTTGTAATTCTTTTACGTTACTTGAGTCTATAGAAAATCTTGATTGACTTAAACTCCAATCACTTCAAGAACAATAAAGTAGGTATTATAAACTAATAGTAGACAATTCTTGTATCTTGTGTAGGACTCCTGCTTTTTAAAATCTATTATGGTTTCATGAATAGGAATTTGATTAACAAAGGGATTATAAATATCTTTGAAAGTGAATTAATGGAGCATGACCATTTGAGCCACCCATGCTTTGATTCCGTTGTTGACAGCCTCAGATAGTTTAGAAGAGTCAAATCTTTAACATAAATTACCAAATAGTTATTTTAGATTTTATCCTTTTTATATGAATATGATTCCCAGTACTTATGCTAAATTGACATATAACTAATATTATTATTTTTGTAAGAAATCGTTGCTTTAAAATAGAGTAGACATCGATGACAGTTTTTTATCTAATTTTTGCATACACATGGTCAATTCATCAAAGAAGTTCTGGGCTCCAATTTATTTATAGATTTTGCGTAGAGCTGAGAATATTTATGTATAATCATCCTATCTTAATTCAACAGCACACATCAGCATTTATTTAAACACTATTTGTATAGTTTTGAAGATGCTATTGACTAATTTCAATTGTTGCAATAATTGACTAAATTATGTAATTAATGATAATACTTTTTATTGAGAGATTAAATGATTTCTTTAAAGTCACTCAGAATAATTTGAATGGTTTTATTAATTAAATAGCATGTTTCTAAGTATTCCTCTGGTTTTGGAGCAGAAAACAAAGGTTTTTTTTTTAATAACTTTTATTTCGATTCTATATCTTTAATGGCTTTCTTTATTTTTGTTAATTTGGGTTCTAAAACAACAGGCAATTCATTGCTTTATCTTAATTACTTAATTATTTCTTCTTATACAAACTTTTAGAAATTAAATGTATTGTCACTATTGAAAAAGAATATCATATGTCTTCCAATCAATCTATAAATTTTAAACAATTTGATTGAAACACATGAGTTGTACCAATCTGAGGCAGCACATAGTTTAATGTACCCAATCAATTTCTCCTTTTATTGCATTTCTGTTAAAGCATTGCAAAGTATTGATGCTTCAGGTGCAAAAATGATGGAAATGTAACAAGAATAGAGAAAGGCACTTGTAATTAAGGCAATCTTGCTCTTCTGACTGCGAGCAAGTGACATATATTCATAAAATTAGTCTTCAGAGAATGATTATAAATCCACCATACTATTTGCCAAAATCTTCTTCTGTTGAACTACTTCAAAAAATTACGATGAATATCTTGATATATTTAAATCCTAATTTTGAGGATATCCAACCAATTTACTAACAATAGCATGTTTACTTAAACTGGAAGTGACAACCTTTGATTGATACTCATTTCCTTCTGATTGATTTAAAGCCTCTAATGAAATTGTTTTTTCTTCTAAATCTAAATGAACATGTTAAATAAGGGGTTATAGACAAGCAAGCAACCTGTCTACTCCATTCTGAGATGAAAATATAGTATGTTAGACTTCAAAAGCACTGATCAAATCGTCGATGAGATCAAGAGATTTATAATTAGGGAACTTAACAATCTTCCAATCCTCCCACTATTCACAACATTGCTAATACAAGCTTCTTTTGTATTGGCTTAAAATATCCTCCACAGATTAATTATTATCGTAATCGAAGTCTTCAGCCAGATTAACTTTATGCATCTTATGTTTCTTAGATTGCATTAAATCCTTTTAAGCTTATATTTCCTTCTCAATTTCAGCTCTCGCCTTAGTCAATTGTTATGTCTAGTAATACTTTTAAAAGTTGAGAATGTTGCTAATCTGCATCAAAACTCTAAAGAAGTTTAAGTGAGTAATATTAATACCAAAGTCAGCTAATGGATAATAAATCTCACTTACATTCTATGGATTGAAACAATGGCTAAATGACTAGACAGATTGATTCTATCGACAATGGTGTTTTAATATCAGTCCCAGATTGATCTTCTAATCTTATTGCTTCTCCAATCTCAAAGAGAGCCTTTTGGTTAAAGAAATTATTTCTTAATTGGGAAGAGTAGAGATATTGAGTTAATAAATACACACAAGAAGCACTTAAGGCAATTTTTTATCTGGTTTGATTCTCATCTCCTCTTGTATCTCTACTCATATTTGTTCGTAATCTAAATACATATTATTGGATTACATTTTATATGCAACCACACATAAATTGGATGATGATGTATTTTACCTGAATTGATATGAAACTGGATTTGCATTAGACGATACGATATTACAAAAAATCATCAATAAACAAGAAATTTCCTAATGTAATTTAATTGTTATACTTCCTCTCCTTATCCATCTGACAATAACTATTAGAGTTTTTCCAATATCTTTTGCATAGTTTTCAGATCATCGAATTCCCATTTGCGACTTGGTATATTTGATAGTAAATATGTAGTTACAATTCTGATTTCCTCCACTGGTGATTCCAAACAAGACAAAATGATGTATTTGTAATTCCATTATTCTAAACCTTTCAATTTATCTTAAAACTTTTGTATGTCATTTGGATCCGAAGCTTTCTTTTGAATGCATTCGAACACCTTTAAGATTTGAAGTACTGCATATTGTAATTCTGCTGTTGGCATATTAGCGAGTGTATGTTCAGCAGTTACTTAAACATTGCCATACACTCGGGCCATCAAACAAAACTCATTATACAGAGTCTTGGACAATAGCAACAAAGTATTATTAAAATTTTCAGTATTGGAAACTATTGAACCTAAATAGAGATCACACACTTGACTCTCTAATATCGTTACTAAAAATTAGCAAAGACTTCCATATATATATGGATCCAATTTCTTAATGGTCACTAGTTTTAAGACTTGAATAAAGATGATTTTCTCCTCTTTCTTATCTGATTTCGACTTCTCATTTAGACTAGCTAGAAGTTCCCTCTCTTTTTTTTTGATTGGATCATTAATATCTTTATCTGTCAATATTTTTGTATATGATGGATTATCTACTAGAATCTTGCCATATGCTCTAATTAGAGAACCTAACTTCTTGTTCATAATTTAGCATTGCTCTTGAGTTTTAACAGATTCAGAATTAGCAAAATGATATCTTTCTGATTCCAATTCATCAATCATCTTGCTAATTTCTGTTGATATTTTATCTGAATATTTTTCTTTTAAGACTGGATTTGATTTTTTGAGAAATCTGTTTAAAGAGCTGATCATTTCAAAAACATAGACTATAATCTTATTCTTTGTAAATATTTCATCCGCTTTGGCCTTCTTTGAAATAGAGAAACAGTAACTCAAAATATCCATCACTCCATCCATTGTAATGAATTCTTCTAATTAAGTGGCAAAGGATTCGGCCACGAAACATCTACTCATCAATTATAGTGTGCATTCTACTGATTAATCAATCTTTGACTTATCGTCTCTGAATATAACAAAGATTTATTCGAGCCATCTCCCAAAAAGAATACATTGTTAATCGGTCATCCAGTCACCTAGTTTGATTTCTGATGCAAAATCAGTCAAACCCTTAAGTAAACAAATAGGAATTGTAAGAAAACTCTTTTGCTCCAAGTTAGTAAGGATGTTCTTCTGGATTGTCTTCTTAAGTAATTATTTTAAATCCGGGTTGTTCTTATACAATATCTTTAAAGATTTCAGACATGACTCACACAAAGTTTCATCTTCAGGTTCATTAATTGTAACCAAATTTGTTAAAGCCATAATTATAATCTTCTGAACTGGTTTCTAATTCTCTACTAATAAGGTACAGTTGGACAAGAATTAATTGATCTTCTCATGAATTTGATTTTTCTGAAACCTAATATTTATTATTCTGATTACTAAATTTTAGAATTGAAATGTTTTGACCATTTAGAAGGATCAGAGATGACATATGATATCTTGAGAATCAAGTCTGTACAAAGAGTTGCAGATTTGTTAGGATTATTAAGACATTATTCTGTCAAATGGATGAATAAATCCAAATATTTGACATCTTAATTCTCCTGTCCCACTTGATCAAACACAGAAACATTCATCTCCCTTGGATCCTCTTGCAACACATCTTTGATTATTTCAACATTCTTATTTGCAATAATCACATTCTTTATTGCTGAGGCCAATTTAGAATCTCCAAGCTTCATTATATATATATTATATAAATTTTAATCTTCATTGAATAATCATATTTTATTTAATTCATTTATCTTTTTCTCCTATTAAATAGTCTCTTCAAGAACGATTTTATCATCCTTTGTTACAACCCAATCATAATTTTTATAATAATAATGGAATGGCAATCCTGGAGGATGTAAGATATAACTAGCCTGCATGTAAGTTAATACAGTGTCACCCCCTTAAATTATTATAATTTATACTAGTTCCATAGACAAGTGTGTAAATTTAAGATTAATTTATCATTGACTCTGCTGTCACTCTCATATAAGCTGATCCAGCATAACTGTGCACATCAAATCCACTTATACCTTATGCTAAGATATTGTAGGCTGGATCCAAGGAATATATTGAAGGCACCATTCTAGAAAACTTTTATGCTCTGATAGTCTGTTTGTTCGAATTGTCAAGAAATTGATTGTAAGTAGAATAATAAGTCCCAACTGATCCTGCTAAAGTCAAGTAATTGTTTGAAATGAAATAGGCAACATAAAGTGATCTCACATGACAAAAATCTCTTGTGAGGAATCTGACATCCATGCTATTTGAAGTGGGAATACCCATTTGAATTCTGACACTCGTAAACAGGGAATTGAATATTTCAAAGTCTGCACCTACAATGAATGCTGTGACCTTTGGTGCTGGATAGCGAGGGTAATAGGATATCATGAAATCCTGCTACCTTGCTCCGAAACCTTGGCTTAATTGATGTAAATCCTCTTCTTGATAATGAACATATTGAATTTCAACTTGATCATCGACCAGAGCAACCCATCTCACACTAAGAATAGGTATGACTGCTGGACCCCATATGATATAATTTATATTAAACCCAAATAAAGTTACGTCTGAAACGTATGTTTGATAATTTATGTTTCTTCCTCTACTCCATTAAATCTCTTAATGCATCAATAGCACTTATGGGCGACTAAAGTTTTATAGGATGCAAGACATACACACTAAATCTCCTTGGAAAAACAACTTAACTCTAAAATCTCATCGGATAAGTTGGAAATAAAAATTGTTCCTATTTGGATATGCTGTTGTCAACTCCTGTTTACCACTCAGCATAATATTCAAATCCGTATTACGCTTAGGAAATTGTAACACACAATATTACAATTAAATAAAACATTAAAAATAATCAAAATGCAAAAACGATAATATGAATATTTCGTTTTGATGTTGTTTAACTTAATTTTATGCCATATATCTGATTCAAATGATGACCATACTTTAATTGAATTCACATACGATATCCAGAATAGATATTAAGATAATAACTCAATCTATTAATCATTTCAAATTTATATATTTAAGAACTAGGGGGTTTTTCTTTATTGGATCTTCAACGCTCTTAGTTTCTTATTTGCGGATATCCATAATATTCTGACAGAACGATAATAAATCCAATAGGTCTTAATATAATTTGATTTTCTACATTTTAAAATAATTTCTAATTTCCAAATTTTCTTATTGATTCTAGGATTGATTGGTTTATTAATTAATTAAATTTTAAAGTTACTCAATTTCAAATGATTGTTCTTATTTTCTAGAATTGATTGTTCTAATAGGTCGGATATTCTTATAAAAAAAGTTCTTGTGAATTAGTCTCTTGGTCTACTTTCAATATTTAATTGATGTAATGAAATGTATTCTAATGTTATTTTGATTTATTTATAGAGTTTTAGGATTATTTATAGCAATCAATTAATAAATACTCTTATAGGCTTTCCAAATATGGTTAAAGTCTGTACTATTTTTTTAGCATCGATATCATTTTTTGGAAATTAGAATAATTATGATATTTTCTAATTTACTTATGACATACTGAATTTATTATTATTTATGGAAAGATAATTCAATGATTTAACTTAAATATGATAAATATCATGCTTCTGTAACATTTTCTTAACTCTTCTTTCTTAACTATTAAGATTTCTAAATTGAATGAAGATCTCTTGAGTAGATCTTGGAAATTAATTTAAGATTCCTTATTGATTATTGTAAATTATTGACTCTAGTTGCAGTTTATCAATACAATTTAAATATAGAATTTATATTAATGTCATAAAAAATCTGTTTATAACAATTGAGTTTTATGAAGTAAAGGCATCTTGGAAATCTTGAGGCTGCCTTAGAATATGAACAGATTTTATTAAAAATTACTTGAATAATAATAAGTAAAGTAAAATACAAGTGCAATCTAGACTCTTAAAAATTATATTAATATATATATAATTTTTCAAAGAAGATATATTAAACACAAGGTCATTAATTAATATTAATCACTAATTTAAATATGATAGATATATTCACTATTACAAAGATATCTTATTTGTTGTCTTTTGATTGTTGCTCTCTTCCGAAATTGGTTGTTTGGTTCTTTATTTTTTGGAAGAGAGAGTTTTGAAATTTTAAAAATTTTCTATAACATTACTAATCTGTTATGCCAAATCTACGAATGAAACGATGAGCATTGGGAAAGCTTCTTAAAAGTCTTAGTCATCTTTTAGTTCAGTTAATATGATGGTTGATAATTTTTACATAATTTATGTAAATGTTATGGCGAATTTTTCATCATTATGAATTAAATAATAATCGCTTTCCTCAACCCTTTTGATTATTTGCTATTCTCTCATTATTCTTTTAATATTATTCTAAATAAGAATATTAATATTAGATCTCTAAATAATACAATTGTGTAATTATTCCCTTGTATGTTATGGTAAATGATCTAAATTTCCAACTAATCCGAAAAAATCTGTAAACTTTTTGTATAATATAAGAAGATCCTTAACAGATTATGCAGTTTCGCATCTCTGTTCAGGAGGTCTAGACGATGATTAACTTTGAGGAATGGATAGCACTTCCAAATATGGTTATTCAACTATATTTAATTCCTATGATTGTAGTTTCTATTTTTTGTTCTATGATTTTGTTCCAGAGCATGCTCCACCCATATTTGAAGAGTAAAGGTAATAACTTAATTAAAATACTAAAAAATTTATAACACTAAATCGATCACACTCTTTAATCTCTCCAATTAATATTTTGAAGTCTGAAGCTCTATAATAAACAGTTACATAAATAATTCATTAATAGAAATAGTTTTATTTCAATAAACTTTTTCTTTGGTTTTCTCTCGAGTATGTAGACTGTCATTCCCTAGAAATTTTTATCAAAAAATAAAATATTTTTAAATATTCATCAAACACGATTTATATTGTTTCTAAATCCATACTTCTTGGATCCTAATCCACCTACATGGGAACTATTGAATAACGAGGTAAGTAAAGTTCCTTTTCTCAATTTCAGACGATTTATACTGACTATTACTTAATCAAAGTGCATAAAGAAACCAAGAGAATGGCATTTCAAAAGATTTTTATTTTATATTACAAAACTCACATTTTGTCATATTTATAACGTAATTTAATACAATTCTGTTTAATTGATTCCCACCATTTTAGAATATTGTTTAAGCTCTCTCTATTATTGTATTAGAGGATAGGAGAGGGCATTATTCTTGATAAAAATAAAATTACTATCCTTAAATAGAGTTCAAATTCTTAAAGAATTTAGCCAAATCAATCTCACGATATTTATATATTTAAACTTATTGTAATTTAAAAAGAAAAGATAGGTTATGAAAAGAAGAATGATGGTTGATTATTTTGAAAGTTTACGATCAATTTCATTATTTTGATCCTAGAAGATTCTAATTTGACTTAATAATAAACCATTGATTTTAAAATCATGAACCCTTAGATATTTATTAAATTATTTATCTTATTAAAATGAATAAGGGTTTGACTCTTTCATTCTCCAAGCAGTCAACTAAATAAGACCTAGATTAATCCACAATTCAAGAAAATTCTCCAATATTATTGTTTCTCGAAAAATAAAAAAAAAGAAATATCTTTTACATAAGCTTTAAAGTTGTAGCCGTATAGGTTTAACTAAATCATGCATATTATTTAGTAATTTAATTTTCTAAAGATTTTAGATTGAAGTTAATGAATATGGAAAAAAGTGGGTCATGAGGATTCGTTATAGTTAGTTATAATAATTGAACAAAAACTTGTGCAAACTCTATCGGATTAAACTCACTCTTTCATCCAACTTTGTATTTAATAGATTGAGACCTGAATACCTGAAAAAAAGAGCAATCAAAATTTAATCATTTTTAAATGAAATAGGGGTGTAAATTAGTAAAATATAAATTAAGGAATTTTATGATTCTGAATTCTTTCCATTGCTAATAGTTTTTATAAGAGTAAAAATGCCTGGGAAAGATCCTGATAGATTACACCGAAGAAGAGACCCTTTAATTAGAATGATGAGTAGTTATAATTAAATTAAGAAATACTCTCTCTATTATGAACTATCCCTTTTCCAATATGTCTTTTTGCTATAAGAAAGATAATCCATTAAATATTTATTGAGTTGAGATCTGCATATTTTCAAGAAAATTGTAATTAATTAATTCTGTTAACAATTTCAAATATGTTTTACAGCAGATCAAATCCAAAATTGTCAGATTATTAGAATAAATTAAATACATCATCTTATTCAAGTAAATCACGTGGATCTTTTAAGGAAATTTCTCCTGAAACTAGAAGTAACGGGTTCATCAAATAAACTAGACATTACTCCCAACAATTTAAATAGACCATTAACTGCTCGTAATGAATACACAAATCCATCAAAGGTGAAGTAATTACTAAGCAATTTGATACAACCTGATTAACAAAAGACTTCAACATAATTATTTGGATAAAACTTAATTCAAAAAAAATAACTTGATAGCACGTCAAGCAGATGTGATAGTTTATGTAAGTTAAAATATGAAATCATTAGTCTCAAGCAGAATTTCTAATTTTGGAAAATAGAATGCAAAGTCGCCTCAAAATAATGAAACTTTTCTAAAATCTGGTTTCATAGTTACAGAGACTGATTAAGATAAGAAACTACACCAGAACTTGTATTATATATCTAATAAACAAAACGAATTCAATTCATCATAGCAAATAATCAATAAAAACTAAAAATTGCTAACCATTTCATAAATTGCTCAATAATGCAAAAAAAACAGCATAACACCAAAACGATAAAATACTGTAAATAATGAAAATATCAACAACTTAAACAATATAAATAGCAATTCTAAAAACAAGTAATAAAGTAAACAAATTGTTTAAGTTGGAAATATTAAAAAAAAGTATTTTTTGATATTTAATCTTAGCAAAACAACATACGTGGACACTTTTAATATTTTAAAATAGAAGTTTGATAATAATATTCAATCAAATTAGACTAAAAATATTACATCAGGAAAGAAATAAAATGAAAAATCAATACCAATTAAATCTACAACTTAAAGTTCAACTGTTTAAAAGATTGATGATGTCACTTAATAAAATATATATAAGTCACTTTTGTAAAAGGAACAGATTTGGAATGATATAATCAATTTAATAGATAATCCTAATCAATTTACTCTAGCAACTAAGTGTACTTAATTATAAAAGTTAATTCGGTTAATCAGTGAAAAAAATTATGTATTAATTATCAATATATTGTTAGAGTGAATATTTGTTTCGAATAGAACCTCAAATACTTGAAATATTTTTGTATGAATCTTTTGCATGTTATCTTATAATTAGCGATTACTTATAAGATCAAACTAATCAAGATCATAACATGAAGAATTTGATATAGTATATAATTAATAGCAATCTCTATGTGCTTTAAGTGTTGGAAGGTGTGACAACCAATCCATTAAATTTGAATTTATTGAAACAGAGAATAGATTTGAGAATTTTTAATGTCCGTAAAGTTTGTCCAAAAGGAAGACAGGCCTTACAAAAGAACAATTATATCATCAAGTCTATTTTGAGTTTAATGTACTTTATCTAATCAATATAAAAGTCCAAAAGGATTGACGAAATAACACGCCCAGAAGTTTTTATGATTTTATCTCGAATAACCACCACTCCAGATTAATACACATTGCAATAGAAGAAAATTAATTCTATGATCGAGTAAATTATGCCACTTGATTTGGAAAGAGCTTTGGCTGCTTCCAATAAAGAGTATACTCTAGTTTTAGACTTGGATGAAACTTTAGTTCATTATTAAGAAGTAAATCGAGATAGTATTTGAAAGTTTCCAAAAGGAGGAGGACAATTTCTAGTGAGACCTTTTGTGGAAGAATTCTTAGAGTAGTTGTCTAAATACTATGAGATAATTATATTTACTGCTGCACTTCCAGATTATGCTAATTTCATCATCGATATCATTGATAAAAAGGGATTCGTCAAATAGAGATTATACAGAGATAAAACTATTTTTAAAGACTAAGTCTACATTAAAGTATTTACATTATTAAAAATTTATAGGACCTTTCGATTCTAAATCGAAGTTTATCCAAAACTATAATAGTCGATAATATGCCTGAGAATTTTTAATTGCAACCAGAAAATGGAATTTATATTTAAAGTTGGTTCGGAGATACTTAAGATAGAGCATTAAAGGATTTATAACCTTTATTAGAACGTATTACTTTAACAACATACTTTTAGAAATAGCCATTAAAAAATGCAAAGATATAAGAGTAGCATTGAATTAATTCAGGGAACAAATGATTGAAAGAGTCTAAATGGGAATTAAAAATCCATATTAATATCTTTAATTAAATTGAATAATAAAGGCAAATTTATTATTAATTTAATAATTATCAATATCTAAAAATTTTTAATTTGTTATTTCTGCTTCTTTTTTATATAAGGCATAAGTTTTAAATCAGATAATCCTTATTCAGGTATATTATGCAATATAATAGAAATTTAAAATTATTTTGTATTATCTATTCAAAAAATAAACTGGTTGTAGCTTTGTAAAAGTTAAAGAAGAGGACCTTAAGAAAGTGAGATTAATTATTTTGTTTGTATATTTATCCATTTTATACACATTTTTCTTAATAAAATCATTTAAGCCAAAAATTACTGATTGCCATAGCGAACAGTGTTGCAAACATAATTCCTGTATTATTTGTCATAGAATTTATGCACATGCACAATTCTTTACAATTTTTAGGCAAGAATGTTCCAGAAACTATAAGATAGTTGACATTAACGTAACTTGCTCCTCCCATTAATCCAACCCATAACATCAAACAAATTTGTATTGCAATATTTAATTGATAATTTGAATAATAATATGCTATAGCTATTGCTGCCCACAATCCGCAATTGACTCCTTAAATGATAGTTAATAAAGTAACATTTTTAATTTATATAATTTTGAGTGATGATCTTGATACGAATACACCAATTTAATAACAGAATGCCAGAATAGCATAAGCATTATTTTAAAAGTAATTTCCATCAGTTTGGGCTGGATTGGCACGATCTGCCCAACAAGTTAATACAAAGTATTCAAAAAAATAGACTGCTCCTAAATTTAAGGAGTATGTCCATGCTAAATTAACGACATATTTCATGTTTTCAAAACTCATTTATAAGTTGTCTGTGCTATCATCTTCTTCCTCCTCCACCAATTAAACTTTTTATAAACTTTTTCTTTTGTTATCTAACCATGTAAAATTGTATAGATATATTAATAAAAAGGGAATAGCTGTTATAAATATCTAGTGTTAGATTACAATATACCCAGAAATCAGTAAATTTAAGGGCTCTAAGAACTAAGAAAAATCCGGATCCAAAGATTCCTGCAAATCCTGTTCCTGAACTCCAAAATCCAATCAAAGATGAGCTAAATGATTTACTATAACCAAGCATTGTGGCTTCTCCAAAAGATTACATGCAACCACACAAAGTAGCTCCTAAGAGGGAAATGTAGAATGCGTAATCCTATTCAATTGTGGTGCTATTTTAATAATTATCTATATATTCTACCATACTGCTATGATAATGAAACTCACAGCGGATAGTGATATAGCAACATAAATTCTTTTCTTATGTTATATTTTGATAAATAGTTTTGCATTCATGAAGACCATTCCAATGGATAGGAAGATTAAAGAACTATTGTGGAATTGAAGATTTACAAATTGAATGCACTCATAAAGGATTCCTTGTCAAAATGTTTGGCAATTGATTAGGCTGAAGTGGCTACTAACACATATCCTGTATTATTGATTAGACCACATAAAAACATCGCTATTGAATATTTCATTTGGTTTTATTAAACGTCTCGTTCCTAATTACTCAAATATACCTTACTAACACAGTTTCTGCAGGAGTTTCGTCTTAATTTAATGATTAATAAGTACCATATGTTTAATTTGTTTAGAGCTATTCTTTCATTAATAAATGTTTCTTAATTTATTATAATTATTTAGAGGTGATAAGTAAATCGACCATCCAATTCTTGGTTAGTTGTCATGCAAAACCTTATAAGAAGCATACAAAAACTGCATGAGTTTCATTGATAATGAATAGTATCAATAAAAATAATGTCGCCCATATTATAATTTATGTATATTGCCATATGATTATTTAGCTGTGTCGTGTTTCTAAGTTAAGGATGATGTAGAATTTTAGCAATTCATAGATGATAAAATAGACGAGAGAAGAAGACTCATCAAAGTAAACTCATTCTTTATTTAAGTTCTTAAGAGAAAATAAATCCTAATTGCCAGAATTGCAAAAGTCAAACTAATAACAATTTTTTAATTTATTTCAATTTATAGATAATGAAGATGGACAAGAAGAGCAAGCCAAAAACTTTTATTAAAAATAATAGCAAGATAACAAAAAATATCTATGAATAAGTAATGTATTTGCAAGAATTTTCAAACCACAAATAATCAATAAATTACACAAACCTTAAGTTTTAGTTCTTTTTCCTTCTCTTCATTGTCCTATCAATAATTAATGAATCTTAATCAGATATATAATCAATAATAGCATATTTGATTGATTAGAAAGGCAGAATCATTTTGGTTTATATAAGCATTTATCTCTTAATTTACTTAATCCTACCTATAATAACAGAATAATAAAGGAAACAGACCTTTCATAATAAAACAAAATTATTAATAGATAATTTTATCTACTTATTAAACATCATTTTCATCTCATATTTCTAATTAGGGGAATTCCAAATTTCCTTTCGGATTTTTAATTATAATTATTATAAGAATCACTTGATTTAATAGTATAATATATCTGTCAATCTTTTTATTCAAATTACTTCATCCCCTTCTTCAATATCTATGATTTTATAAACCATTCCAACTCCATTTTTATCATATTAAATGTATTGAATAGTCTAATCAAAATAGTAGAATGGATAAAAACCTTTGATAATATTTAATTTAGGCCATAATTTATTAATGTTTGCTAATCTTCCTGGAAAAGTAGCCCTGATAACTGGTTCAACAAGTGGTATAGGTTTGTCTGTTGCAAAGAAATTGGCATCTTAAGGTGTTCACATAGGACTGAATGGGTTTGCAAAACCTGAGGAAATTAGTGTAATCAGAAAAGAAATAGAGAACTAATTTAAAGTAAAGACCTTTTATCATGGTGCTGATTTGAAAGAAGGCCCTTAAGTATTTTATTTCAATATAGATAGGTTAAAAATATGGTGTAGGAAACTAGGAAAGCTTTAGGAAGTGTTGATATCTTAGTAAACAATGCTGGAATTCAATATATTGAGTCAGCAGTAAACTTCCCAGAATAGAAATTCAATGACATAATTGCAATTAATCTCACAGCAGCATTTCTTACAACTAAATATGCATTACCATAAATGCTTGATAGAAATTGGGGTCGTATCATCAATATTGCTAGTGTTCACGGTAATAAAGATATCTGAATATTTAGGTTTGGTTGCATCTGTAAACAAATGTGCATACGTAGCAGCAAAACATGGAATAGTTGGATTAACAAAGGCAACAGCACTTGAAGTTGCCAAAACAGGAGTTACTATTAATGCAGTTTGTCCTGGATGGGTAATGACCAAATTGATTGAGACATAAATCTAATAAAGGGCTGATTAATATAAGATATCATTTGAAGAAGCTTAAATTAAATTATTAGAAGAAAAGTAACCTTCTGTAACACCAGTTTAAACTGAATAATTGGGAGATTTGATTACATTCTTGTGTTCTGATTCAGCTTCATAAATAAAAGGATCTGCATACACCATGGATGGAGGATGGACAGCATAATGATTTATAAATAATTATGAAAAATTAATAAATCATCGTTTTCTATATAGTCTGAATTATAAATTGTCCAAAAATCTTTTTGGAGAGATTAAGAATAATGATGTATAATATGATTGACTTAAATTTTAAGATTTATAAAATGAATTTATTAATTGCGAATTATTGTATGTATTTGAATTATATCTGTGCAGATATGAAAACTTTTGATTATGGTGAAAATTATATGTCACTACTATGTTTGTTAATAAACGTTAAGAATTTAAGACTAATTCTAGTATATTCTTAAAATGTCTAATTTGCTGAGGACAATACAGTATTTTGTAGATTCCTATTAGTTCAATGCAAAAGGTAAAATATTTATTTAATTATACCAAAATTCTTTATTAATTTTATTTGCTGCTTAAATGAAAAGGTTTTTTCTAAAACCATTACTGCCTTATATTAGTTAATTATTAACTTACACTTTAATTGTTCATTATAGATTAATTTTATGTAAGTTTTATGAATAAGCAAAGGTGGGTAGAAGATTTTATTGAATAATCTGATTTATAGTAAATATCGTAAATTAAATCAAATGTTAAAATATATTAAATTAAGAGATACAACTAAACTATATAAAAGGATAGAATAGTCTTCATTAAATAATTAATTATTTAAGTTCATTTCCTCATTCTTATTTACTTTCTCTTTTTCTCATTATTTTCACCTATGCTTAAGATTTAAGATTGCGAGATCTACTATGAACTTCTTGCATCTTATCTATTATTGCTACTCATCAATATTGGAAGATATTCTAAGATGTCATCATAACTGGGGATTTGAAACATTTTAGGTTAGTACATAACTTATTCATTCTATTCCAAATCCCTCCTTTTAGTTTTGTTATATTTTTATGATCGCAATTTCTTTAAATATTAAGAATAGACACTCATCTCCTTCAAAAATGTCCTTAACACTGCCTTGCTGTAAGAATTCATAAATTCTGTTAGTAGAATGCTATCATTAGGTATCAATCACATACTTATAATTCTCTTGATTCTAAAGTAAAAAGATATATTGCTAATACATCTCCTTCTTTTTCTAACTTAATTGATTATAATTTTTAAGTAGTTATTCTTTAAAATACTTCTACCAAACACCCCCCAATAATTTTTTATAGTTTTTGAATCTCAATAAAAACTCTTAAACAAGTTATCTGATTTTTTAAATCTTGAGATGAGTACTGACAACTTGATTTTTGAAATGGTGGAGTTCAGCTCTTTATTTTAGAAAGGGCACAATTTTTTAAATGTGTTCTTAAACTTACTTCTAATAAACAGCTCTACAAAAGCATTATGAAGCCCTGATTATAGAATAATTTATTTTACAGTTTAACATCGAAAAATACTCTATCATACAATGTCAATCCTTTAATTGCAATTAATCTTTTATGAATTCTTTTCATGATTCTTTTAACTTAGAATGCCATCAAAGTAGATTGATTTTAAGCTTCGATTTTGTGTTAGTAAACGTGGAGTATCCTACTACTTATTAAAGCCATATAAATGAAATTTAGCCAATGATGACATACTTTATTTTTCAGTGTTTTTTTGGATTGTACAAAATTAGATCTTTGTCTTAATATTTTACCTAATTCTCTGGTTTTTTGTTCATATACTTTTCTTGATTGTTCATTTTAATTCAACTATTTCTTTCTAATCAACACATCTTCTATTCTATTATCAGATTGTACTCTTTTCAATTCTCTAAAACTCTTTTATTATTCTTCATTATATTCTACCACCTTTTAAATGTTTTCCTTTATCAAATCCTTGAATATTCCTCTTTGTCTTAACCTTTGTTTCCTTCTTTTCTTAATTTCAGCCACTTGTGCTAACAGAAAATCAGAATTCATTCTTTCTAACTATTGTTGTTAAGGATTTTAAAGAAACATGGATTCAGTTTCCATCTTTTTTTGCATAGTTTAAGGTCTTTTCATCATTCTTGAGCCAAATTAGTATTTTAGTTTTACCTAAGTATCTAAATCACACACCATACTAATGTAAATATAATCGCAATGAAATATTTTAGACTCATCCACCTTATATTTCCATCCCTTAACTGATATTATCTAATCACAAGAGAAATTGGTCGGAAATGGATTGACAGAGGATACAAATATTTTAAAGTTTGTGCTCTCAATTTGATTCATGTAGAATTATAATGGAACTGGCTGCATTTTGGATCTAATCTTGTAATAATAAAATTCCATCTATCTCACTGATTAGACATTCCATAATTCAGGTTATAATTCAATAGGGTGCTTTGGAAAAACTTGTAAATATCTTTTATACCTTATCATGCTAATAGTTAATAAGGGTTTCTCCAAAACTCAGCTGCTGACTGTTTACTTGAATTGGTTACTCAGTTTGCTCAATACGAAAGTCAAGCACCTTGTCCCTCTTATAACAAATCCATTTTACTCGGCCTGAGAAATAAGTTGCATTCTCCTTTGATAATCTGGTGTCATCTTCTGAGTCAAATAGGCCATCTAATTGAGGATCTTCGATCTGGGCTTAATTGAACTAGCAGTCTTTGGGGGTTTTTAGCTGCTCTCACGAAACAAGTCATTATCAGAGTCTTCACTAAACAGACTCTACTCTTTAAACATATCTGTTTTATATTTCTCTTAGCCACTGGGAGTGTTGCACAGAACCTGCGACTTCACTTTCATGTGTCTACTAGATTTTTATTGTAAGGATGATTTTTGACTAGACTCGAGAACACTTTGTGAAAATAACAAATTTCGTTTAGTGGCCGTTCTGCTTAAGACTTACTTATTTAGCATAATAAAATTAATAAATTGTAATAATATAATATAATCCCTCAATTGAGTTTTTGTTAATTAAAATCTTCGAATAAGATACAAACAAGTGATGCTAATAAATAAAAACAAATAAACAATCATAAACATATTGCGATGTAGGTGTTTACTAGTGCTATACAAAGAAAAGTAATGCCCGCAAGAAAATTGAAATTTTTCTCAGACAACTTATTTGCAATCAATTTTCCGCCATGGACTGCAATGACAGTACAAATAAAGTGGGCTACTATGGCACCTAAGAAAATGTAATAGGGGTTGTAGATAGCTGATAGACTAATGGTTGTAATTTGGCTTTTATCTCCCCATTCTCCCAAAAGCGTTAAAGTAAAAGCCTACCAAACCACCTATTAGAATTGTACTTATATGAAATCTAGGGTCCATATCGAGATTCTTACTTTTTGTTACGTTATCGTTAACTTGATCTGTCTCAGGATCTGGCAAATTCATCAACTTTTTATCCAAGGTGCTTAACTCCTACTCAACCTCTTGCAAATCTTCCTTCTCCTTTTTCATGGTGTACCAGGTGTAGAGAAACTTAATTCCGAAACCATAAAAAACCAAGGAAACCAGAATTTGTGCATATAGGATTGAAATCAACTCAGGAATCACAAGTCCAAAAATGGTGCTTAGGGTGGTGATGAGAATAAGGGCGAGAGTGGAGCCAATTAACACTGCTATTCGATTATATTTAATTGACATTATGGCGGCTAAGAAAAAGGTCTATTGTGGTAATTGTATATCATATATTACCTTATCTCCCAATTCGGTCACAATAATCGAACTAAATGATTGGGATAAACTCAGTATTATTGAATCGCTTCCATCAAAGCATAAAGTCCGAGCTATTAGAATGAAGAAGAATATTATGCCATTACATTTCATAATATAAATAATTCTTCTTAATAATATATTTATATTTTTTATAAAATTATCTTATTATTTATTCCCATTAGGAACATATCTTACTATTATAAGATTAAGTCTTGCAACCTTGGTCGTATCTGTGCTCAAGATTCTCAATATTTCATTCTGAGTCGAAGAACAAGGGAAAATTATATTTCTTAAAGTATTTTAATAAATTATTAAGTTGTGAAAGGGGCTTAAGGAGTAATATGAATTTATTTTAATATTAATTAGAATAGTTAATAAATATTCTAAATACAAGATGAGCATCCAATAGTTTCCAAATTATTACCCTTATGTCTTAGAACCTTAAGTGCCATTTTAAGGAGAGATCGAACAACAAAGTATGGCAATAATGCATTATTAATTCAGAACAAAGCTCCAGTTCAAATTACAATGAGTTTAACTTTATCCATCAGAATTTTCATCCTACAGCATACCCTCATTATTAATTCGAGTACGTTCAGGACCACGAAATCCCAAGTTAAATAAAGAATAAAAAAAATAAAAAGAACAAGTAATTAAATTATGTATTGGCAACAGGTCCAACGATTAAAAGGGGTTGTTGCCCAAAACCTTGGAATCAGAAAAACAGGTGGTTGAAGATCTTTAACAAATGGCTGTGTAATAACAAGGGGAGCAGATGTAAATTACTAAATTAATTTCATTCAAGGCTAAAGCCAATAACTCCATACCCAGTTCTACATTTCGCACAGGGGAGTCCCATGCCAAAGCTCCAATCCGATTTAGTTTCTAATCAACAAAATGAGGGGGCAGTATCCCAGGAGGGTTCTCAATAAACGTAAAAGTAGAAAGGATAGAATCAATTAACTAAGAAACCTAAAAAAGAGAATGTAAATACTGGCCATTGGTCAACTGATGAGCATACCACTTATATCCAATTTCTACAATAGTATGAGAATATTATGACATCTTCAATGATGAAGAAAACCTCTAAGATCTTCAAATAGATGAGTGAATTGATTGGAACCAGAACTCCTAGTTAATGTAGGAGCCATCATTAGAAATTCAATCCCTATGCATTGAGAGGAGAAAACGGCAAACGCCTACCAAGAAGTGAAAGGAGTCGAGCTGGCAGAAAGAAGAAGAACCCACAATCTGATTTGCCTAAGGCAGGTATTGAATTTCAATGAATAAAAGAGGAAGCCAATTTGATTTTAAATTATGAAGCTGCCGATCCTTACTATTTTATGTTGTTAGAACAATAGAAATACTACTACGCAGGTTTACATTAGGATTACTGGAACTAAGGATAGGAAATAGAATAGAACTAGAATATCAAGAAGGAAGAAGAAGTCGATCATTTACATCATGGATAAATGTAATAGCCAGAATTTGATGAATATTTAAGATATAGTTTCCAAAGGAACTTAAATCATCAGGATTACAATTTTGAAGTTAGAAATTAGACAATAAATGATTTATTAATATGATAATTATAATAATTGACATATAAAATTTAAATATTATATGAAGTCTTCAAATTAATAGTACAAATGAATAAACCAATTATCACATATATAAAATTATGATATACTTCTAGAATTACATTTATAAGATAAAAATTATTATTCTTGATTAAAATTTAATCATACATATATACTACTAAAAAATAGAGAGAACAAGATCTATCAAATCTTTCTTAATAGAATAAGATATCGGAATGAGAAGGAAATTGTTGATAAATATATTCCATGTTATATAGATTGACTGATATGTGTTATAATTATTACAACTATTTGAATATTTAATTATCAAACCAGTTCTTAGAAATTTAATTTGTCAAGATGTTCGAACTCTTCATTCAATGTCACTTTTCTATACATAAATCTTGTGGCTGGTAGATTATTTCGATCTTCAGCATCTATAAATCATAGTAAATTATAAATTACTTTTTTATGCTATTCTATCATTATAATTTTCACCAATCCAAAATTCTTTAATTTCTTTCTCAAAACTGCTCTACCTAACAGAATTTCTAGCTAATTCTGCTTGATCTATGGCTGATAAATCAAAAATTTATGATGCTATTGCATACTCTTCTAACAAAGGCTCATTTGTCAGATGTAATATCAAGGGATCATCTGTAGATAAACAAACATTCAACCCAATTTAAAAGTACTTTTAAAAAGGAGATTTCTAATAACGACAAAACAATTTGTTATTTGAAACAGGTGACATTGCTATTCCTATCTATTTTAAATAAAACAAGTATTCCAAGACTGGAGACTTTTACAACTCCAATCCATGATTTATACCATCAGATACTAGATAGGCTGTGGCTATATGATCAATATTACCAGCTTCTCCACAATGAGGTCGAAATTTAAAAGTATTTAGACCTCTCTATTTTCTTAAGGCATTTAGAGTATATAAATTTGCGTAGATATAATAAATCCAATAAGTATATGGTGGATTACGATCTCCAGCCCAATCCTTAGGAGACTATTTTAGATCTGAAATTGCAAAGTATTCATACAAAGATTCATCATCCACTGTGTCAAAACCTGTTATTTGGAATAATGCTTGATATAGAAATGGATCTATTGTAGGATTAATTGTAATATCAAACAATGGTCTAAATAAATTATCAATCATATCTTAGAAACAATGAATCATGCCAGATTTTTTATAAACACTATAGAGTCTAGGAATTTATATCATCCATCTAACTTTGGATGAATAGAGCTTGTGCTTTATAAGCCATTTTCCCAGCTTATGCCATTCCTCCATAGATTTTCCATATATGGATACTCTCCATTCGCATCCAATATATTGTTGCTATTCCAATTAATCCATCAATTCCTTGGTCAAATCTGCAAGATATTTGCCTTTAATATAATTATCAGTTTTCAAGAATATCTCTCTTAGTTTAGGAGTACCCAAAGGATTATATTTGTTATTAAATCTATCAAACCTTTTATAGATTCCTTTGTCTGCTTGCACATCCAGAGAATTCAAAGATAAATCAACTGGATCGACACTTATATTTTTGAAGATATCTTTTAAACAAATCTTAGTTCCATCCTTGTTGATATCTACATGATCATCACCATTTTTTTCATATTTCCTTTATATGAATTCCAACAAATGTTTTGCACTCATTGCTGCTGAATGATGGATGTGAGTGTCTACTTTAAATACATTATAAAAGTCTCTTCTTATAATATTTTTTTAATCTTATTATTCATTTTAGTGGTTGAAACTAATATTGATAAAATATTTACATTTCATGCATTTAAAACTTTTATTCTAAGAATTTGAGTCTGTCGTAACAAAAACTAGCAATTGAATTATTACCAACACATTTCATTAGATTAATTAAATCGCTTATAAATTGTAACATAGTTGGTACAATTACATCAATAATATCACCTGACTTCGTAAAAATGATTCCATTTTCTTGTAGAACTTCAGTATTCTCTAAAATGGGTAATACATCAACCCTTCTATTCCAAATAATGAATGGTTCATTTTTTGCATTATGTTAAACGAATTTACTTGAGATCTAACTTTATTCATGTCCATCAAATGAGTAATAGTCTCTTAATTTCAGAATTTCAAGGATCTTGGATGCTGATTCTCTTGACTCTTTTGTTTTTGCTCCCTTGTATGGTTTTCCAGGTTTAATTTGCAATATATCGAAATCCAAAGCCTCCTTTATTTCATCATCAGCTGTGTCACTAATCCTTCTGTTGGTTTTAGCAGCATAACCGAATTAATTACCAAATACAGTTTTTTACTATTTTTAGGATCGATTCATACATTCTTTGTCTCATCTCTTACTAATTTTAGATCAAGATATTAGGTTTATAGATTTTTATTTTCAGCAACATATTAAATAGATAGTCCTTGAGCATCTGGTTCTATTGAACCTTACCTCTAACTTGATCTCCTTTAAAATTCACTCATATATTTTAATTAAATATGTATTCTTAAATGATTAATTATCTGAGAAAATAGATAAAATCTAAATGGTACAGTATATGATAAGATAGTAGAATGTTATTAGATGTATAATAATCTTATAAATATATTCAAAATTTGTAATTTTGGAATGATATTAAATTGATATTATTTGTACATCTACTCAATCTAGTAAAACATAATATTGTTTTGTAGAACAGATAATTTTATATTTGTGAGATTCGATGAATAAATTTGAATTTCTTAAGAATTTATAATTTTGGTTTTCAATTTACCTTTAAACTTATCATATTTATAACCTGCCATTTTAGAATTGATATCTGAAATGATTCGTTTTCAATTGGAAGATTTGAATTGATAATAATTAATTAAAGAGTAAATGAGTATTTCATCCATATTTCCAGTGACAAATAAATAAATTTAATATAAATAGCTAAAAGAAAGCTACAAAATTTCAACTTTTGTTAATGAATATTCTCCATCTTCATGAAACTATAGACACAATTAATTAACCATCCTTTTTTAGTTATTTTTCGTTAGCTGCAATTTATTCTCAAATTTCCTTATTTAAAACAATCTGTTCTAACCAATCAGAAATAATGTTAAACTTCTGTATGTACTTTTTTGAATATGATATTGGTTATTTTTATTACTATTTTGTGATTCTCTACTTATGATCATATGATATCATGGCAAAAATAAGTTGGGCACCAAATCTACTAAATAACATAAGAATTATTTTGAGAATAGCATTGAGATTCAGTCTTAGAAGAGGAGGTTTTTATTGTAATCGTATTGACAATTGGCTAATGAGATTTAATTTTTAAGAATATCATCTGCTTTTAGTAAATTGTTAAAATCCATTTAATTAAAATGACTGAATTTGCATGTGATACTTGTGAAAAGCAATTTAAACTTAAAAGAACATTGGATGCTCATAAAATGATACACACTGGTGAGAAACCTTATGAATGGTATATAATAACATATTAAAAATATCGAAAAGTTCTCAGTGTCAATAGCGTTTTAGATAATATTCATCCTTATAGAAACATCAAAGAACCCATTCTGGAGCGAAACCTTATGAGTGTGAAGAATGTAAACAAGCATTCTCTCAAGTAAAATGTTCAATTTTAACTAGATTTCTAATTTAAAGAGACACTAACGAAAACATTCTAATGAAAAACCTTACAAATGTGAGTAATGTGGCAAGCAATTCATTACTAGTCAAAATTACCAATAACATAATTCAAAGCATTAATAGGACAGAAAATAATACAAATGTGAAAGTGGTTGTGGCAAAACATACTTTTATATGTGCAGTTTAAAGAAACACGAAAAGGAAATGCATAAAAAGATAGATAAGCCCATTTTCACAATTGAATCATATAATCGATAAATTAAGAATCTAAAGGATTTCTTTACTTGCAATCATCCACAAATCATTCATAAAAATCATGTAGATGTACTTTTCAATGGATGTTTATATTATTACAATGAAGGTAGTTCAAATATGATAACTAGAAAATTAAAAAATTGAATATCATGAACTTGTTGATACTGCCAAACAGGAATGTGACCCAGTTGCAGATGATCAACATTTTCAAAAAGGTCATTAAAATACATAGATAGATTGTACACAATATCCCCAAGAAATGAACTGTTGTTCTACGACTAGTCAAAGAAACATCCAAGAATAAGAAGCTCAACAATCATACGACTTGCATTATCATGGGCCAAACTGTGGACATCCTATCGTCTTGCACAATGGCCATATCGATTATCTAGTCAATGAGATGCTTCATTACCCTCATGATGGGCACTGCGATAACCATGGAATTCTGAATAGAATCACAGTACAATGATGATATTAATAATTATATAATTCAAAAATGTCATTAAGAAGTGTTGTCGAAATTGTAACTCATGTGGAGAGTTTTAGAAATGTTGATCTCTATTACTAAGGTGTATATTTTCTAAGAATCACTATTCATAATGATGCTCCATAAGATGTAGACTCATTTAATACATTTTTAGGCGAACAAAATCTATGCCCATCCACATGACCCTTGCGAATCCTATAAGACCTATCCACAAGAGGCTTAGCAGAATGTCAATCCTCCAAAATACTACGAAACTCACATTTTTAGACCAGCCTCCATAGTTACATCCAATTCAGCATTTTATACTAAAGCATTTTTCATCAAGTTTTGTGAAGAGGAAATTGAACTCAACGATATTTGCAATTTCAGAATTGAATTCGATGCTGGTCCTAAAAAGGAACAATCATTAATCATGTAGGTTGATTTAATGTTCTTTGATTGTTTGAATTCTTAAAAGGATCAACCAAAGCAAGAACCACTCTATACAAAATAAGATAAGGAAGATTACGCCATTCCTGATGGTAAAATTCAAGCCACAGCCAAATTTAAAATCAAAAATGTATTACTACCTAATCATTAATTTGTACCAATCATTTTTGAAGAACAAAACTTTTGTTAAGCCAACATGGTTGTACATACTATAACCTTGGATTATCGTTTTCGAACTCATCCCATTTAGTTATTTTAATTTGCAAGACTCAAGTTTGAAGAACGTAATTAATTGCTCGAAGGGAAAGTGCCAAGCACTCTTGATAAAAACAAAAATCAATCCAAACCCTTAATAAATTCAGATCAAATCTCAATGTATGAAACCATATAAAAATAATTCAAAGAGATGAAGGGACTAGATTATTACAGTATGCAATAAGAATTTGTGGAAAGCTTAAAAGGCTATTACGAATAACTTTACTAACATTATAATTTGATATATTCCAAATGTATTTTAGAGAAGCAAAGAAAACACTTCAAAAAGTATCTATACCCCCCACTTAAATTAATTGTTCCTGAATACATCACAAGTGAAACCTATTAAAACGTAAAGGGGTAACTAACCAGAAAGGAGTTGAATTAAAGAATAGAGGAGAAATTCCATACTGCAGATCCTGAGACTATCATACATTCAATTCTAAATGAAACCAATTTGATCAGTTGTCAACTATTCTAAATGTGGATCAAAGTACTTGATTTGTATCGAATCAGTCCAAGATTTTGTGTTGCATTATTACAATTTGATTACTAAAAAATCATTAAGAATAGGTGGTAACAATTTTGTATTAAACAACCACCCTAATAGTTATTGGACAAGAATTTGGGAATTGAACATAAAGCCAAAAGTGACAAAATGAGATAAGAAAACAAAGTGCAAGAATTAGGTGTTGAAGATCTAAATTCCTTCCCTAAATTGGAGACTTAACCAATCATCTTTGAAGAGTTTACTGCTAGAGAAGATAAGGACAAAAATGAAGAAAATATAGTAGATGCGGACATAACCAATAGTGAATATGATATAATGTCATATAGAGGCATTCATTTAATCGTGCTTGTTCATGGATTCTAAGGAAATTCATATGATATGAAATTATTTAAGAACTACATCTCATTAGCACACCCTGAAGCTATGTTTTTGTGTTCATCAATAAATGAGGAAAACACTGAGGGCAACATCCAAGAGATGGGGGAGAAGCTAGCCACTGAAGTGATTAATTTCATATCTGAAAATTGCCCAGAAAATACTCTAGGCAGATTAAGCTTCATAGGACATTCTTTGGGTGGAGTGATAATCAGAGCTTCAATGCCTTATCTTGATAAATACCAAGACAAAATGTATACTTACATTAGTCTTTCATCTCCACAATTAGGTTACTATTACAATGCTAGCAAAATTGTTGATGCTGGTATGTGGGTATTGAAACAATGGAGAAAAAGCAAATGCTTAGAATAGTTACAAATGACTGATAATCGTAATATTGAAGAAACATGTCTCTAAAAACTGGCTTAGGCAAAAGGTTTGGCTTGGTTTAAGAATGTGTGCTTCTTCAGTTGCATCTAAGATAGTTATGCTCCTTACGATTCTGCCAGAGTCCAACTCTCAAAAGAAGCTCTTGAAGATCCAGTATGCATATATCTATAATCAATTTAAGGAGAAATAAACCATATGTTTAGATGGTCAAAGCATTATTGAGACATCTTGAGAACACAAATGTTTATCGTATTGATGTTAATTTTGAGATTTAAGAAAAGTAACTTTATTTCGATATTATATAGAAATCTTGACACATTTATTGGCAGAACTGCTCATATTTAATTCTTAGAATGTTAACCCTTGTTAAGAATGATTGTTAGTCTTTATGATCAATTCTTCTGTTGAAAATTATCATTTATTAATGGTTAATTAATAGTGAATATTATCTATTATATAATGACATCAGTCTCAATTGATAATTCGCATTAATTTTAATGTAAAGAATTCAAACCCTTTCCAATTAGTTCAATCCAACAATCGCTCCCCCTGCTGGCAATGTGACCTATCCTTGGGTTATGAAGTACCCTGACTGTTTTCCATTCGAATAGGTCGGCAATCTTAAAGGCAAAACTGTGATAATCAGTGGAGGATCAAGAGTATATCCAAATGTTATTCATTCCTTAGGGTATTGGATTGGCTATTGGAATAAGAGCTGCCAAGGATGGAGCTAATGTTGTCATTCTTGCCAAAACTGTAGACCCCCATCCTAAGTTACCAGGTACAATTGCTTCAGCTTGTGCAGAAATTGAAAAAGCCGGAGGCAAAGCATTGGGAATTCAATGTGATATCAGATTTGAGAAGGATATTTAAGCTGCTGTAAAAAAAACTGTTGAAACCTTTGGTGGAATTGACATAGTTGTGAATAGTGCTAGTGCAATATCACTTACAGATACAGAATCTACAGACATGAAGAAATATGACTTAATGCATCAGATCAATACAAGAGGAACATATTTGATGAGCAAGACTTGCATTCCTTATCTCAAGAAATCCTCTAATCCTCATATTCTTAATTTGTCACCACCTCTCAGTATGTAATCCAAATGGTTTGCTCCACATTTAGCCTATACAATGGCTAAGTATGGAATGAGTATGTGTGTTTTAGGAATGAGTGAAGAATTCAAGGGTTAGATTGGAGTAAATGCCTTGTGGCCACGAACTTCGATTGCAACTGCAGCAGTTCAAAATGTTCTAGGAGGAGACTCTATGATGTAAGCATCTAGAAATGTGGAAATTATGGCTGATTCTGCACATGTGATACTAACAAGTTGTCACAAAAAGACTACAGGAAACTTTTTCATTGATGATGAGGTTTTGGCCAGTGTGGGAGTAAAAGATTTTAGCATTTACAGATGTGATCCTAAGTTCACTGATTCATAATTAGCACCTGACTTCTTTATTTGAGATGATAACAATATTCACAATCAATTTAATATTTAATCAGTTAATAATATATATTTTTCATTATAATTTACAATATTTAAATTTTGTTTTCTTTAATTAAAAGTTTTTATACAAATTTTTATAGAATTGTAGAGTCAAACAGGATTCTGTTTGTTGTTATAGACTTCATTCTAGAAATAGTTGAGATTGTTGTATATGTGTGCAGTGTCCTGATTGCTCAGATGATTTTAAGTAAAATCTTAATTCTGCTTGATTCGTTGAAGAATCAATTATTTAAGTTCTAAAAAATTAAGACTTTTTTCATATTTTTAAATTAATAAACTTATGGAAACATTGCATAAACAATTAGATGTAATTAGTTTCTGTTAGGAAATAGGTCTCAGTCTTTTCATACAAGCCAGACTTCACTGATAAATCAAAAATTATGTACAATATTTCGATTACTTTTGAAAACCAGTCCTGGATAATTACTAAAAGGTTGTTGTCTTTATTGACTTATTTAGATATTCCGAGTTTGATGATCTTTAAAAATAATTAAAGGTCTGTTTTAAAAATTAGCTGCCAGAGTTACCCAAAAAAACATACACATCCTTCTTGTTCTCAAAAACACACGACGATATTGAGTAAAGAAGAGTTGGACTCGACAAATTCTTGAAGGTTTGCAATCCTATCTATCATTAGTTGTTAACTTCAAAATAGGAGATTCTTTCTTCCAATCAACTGAAAGAATTCCTATAATTAGAAGAACACGCCAAAATCTTGGTTGTGAATTAGCCACAAATTGTGCACGAATTTTGTGGTTTCTTGCATGGGGTCAGAGACTTCAACCTTTGTATCGGATAGGGAATTTTGTTCGTTGTGAATTCAGATTATTCTATATTCAATCGACTTGATGCCTATCTGACAAATATGAAGGGGCCTTGGGAAAAGGAAGATGGACAGCAGGCAGTGATGCCTGTCGGATGCATTGAGTGTTGGATTCAATAATAGGATGGACTCTATACACGTTAATGGGCGAAGATGTATAATTCACAGGCAATCTGTTGTTTTTGGGATCCCTCCTCCTTCGTCTTGTTAGTAGGGTAATTCTATCAATTATATCCCATTTAGCCTTGACAGTGGTTCGATTAATTATCTTGAAGTACCATATAGTTAGGGTTTCAAGAAATGTGAAACTGACGCGGAGATTCAGTAGCACTCCAGCAAGGTTACAGGACTATATTATGACAATGAACGATGCTTAATCCATTCCGTATCCAAAGATAAAAGATATAAAATAAGAAATGCCGTTAAATCAATACTCATCTATGGTACTGTACCCTAGCTATATGTAGATAATGAAATAAGTCCATACGAATTAACTGATTTGGTGGTCAGCAAGTCTCGCAGAAAGTCCTTCATCTCTGACAAGAACGGATTTATTTATATGTTTGATGTTAGTGAAGTATTAAAATCTTAAACTTTAGGATAAAGTAGTTTAGTTGAATTTCATAAATACCAATATAAGACTCCTAAGATGTTTGAAGTTAGATTCAAGTCAAAATCTTCTGATGGCCATTGGTCAGGAGACTGGAGAGATTGTAATGGTGGATATAGGAACAATTAAATCTGAAAAACAGCTTAGATGGATTGGTCAAATAAACACAAAAGTCAAGGGATATAAGTTTTGTTGGTCCCAAAAACGTAAAGAGCTCTTTGTTGGAACTAGTGACGGTACTGTTTAGTTTTGGGATTACGATACAAAATAACTAATATTTGTAATGAAAGCTCATGATTCAGAGATCACATAAATGTAATGGATCGAAGAGGATCAGCATTTATTGACTTCAAGTAGAGATAAGGAAATCAAAACATGGTTATTACCTTTACATTGGAGGAATCAATAAGTCAAATGAAATTAATTCTCATTAACTTTAGTAATAAATTAGTATTATCATATATATATATAAATGAGTGTCCATTACTATAATTTTTATACTTACTTAATAATATTATTATATGTCTAAATTATAATCAAAATATGATATTAATTCAATGCTTTATTTCCTTTTTTGTACTCAGGAGGGTATTACGAAGATGAATACCAGAGAATGTCTTTAAATAACAAGTTTAAATCATTCTTTTGGAGAAGTTTCGTTGAGTCAATACTTGGATTTCTTGCTTGATATTCTAATTTGATTGTCCTCTTCTGGGACTACTGTGTTTGGATGAATAGTCAAATGTTTCTAAATTCGGGGCAGAGGCTCTGAGTGATATGGGTTTCAATATCAATTGGGTTGAGTCTGTTTTGAGATGTTGGTTTGCTTGTTTTTAAGGGGATTGTTCCCAAAGATATGGTTTCAAATTTATAGAGGGCGTGCTAATTAATTTATAATTTGAGTTTAATCTCTTTGAAATCGGACTTTCGATCTTGGGTCTGATTTTGTGAGGACTCATATCAATAGAGAGGAGAGTTGTAGTAGACTTTAATGATTTTGTTGAGATTGTGAGTAAAGATTATTATTATGGTTGTAAATTTGAACTGGACCAGAATTCTTTAATGGATTTTTCTGATTTCGGTAATATATTATGAAATTTATTCATTTTATTTGATCTTTTTCCACATTCATTACAATGACAGCTAAGTCTCCGTTACTGGGATTCCTTGAATTCGTACATCTTATTCCTCGACACTCGTTACTTTTGGGATTTCTTATCCCTCTAAACGAGTTTGTCTATCAGCATCGTTCGATGATGAAAGAGCAATCTTCGTGATTTCTCTTGGCCGTCTGTTTTTAAGACTGTAGCTTAAGAGAGTCGAGTTTTTGGCACTTATGCAAATTCGTAATAATACGACGCATTTAAGCTACGAGCTTTGAAATCTATTTCACATCATACCTCTTAATCTTCCCTCAATGGAACAACTCTAACTAAAGGCTTTAGATTTCATCTACAAATCAAATATTATTATTTTTTATTATCTCAATTTTATGGATATTATATACAAGAATAAAGCCATCAATTCTCATGTTAAATCATCAAGTAACTCAAACATGATGGCAAGTCCTTTTTCAACTAATACGCCATTAACTTGTAGGTCAATTATTTAATTGGTTCCTTTAATCAAATCATCTGTTAAGAAATAAGAAATGAATAAATTTATTTTAAAGGAAAGAAGAGAATATGAAAAGAGAAAGCAAATAGTAGAATCAGGATAGTTAACTTAGAGAGGCATGACCAAGTATCTCAAACCGAATAGTAATTCAATATATCATTAAAGGGTTGAAATGGTAAAAAAATGAACTTAAACTTTGTGATACAATAATTGAAACAAAATTGAAAATTGCTGATTTGATATTAAATAGTAAAGGAGGACAATCTCGGAAGGATATCTTAATCGAAAAAATCTAGACTCAGATCGAAAGCCCTAGACAAATCATTAGCACAAGAACTATTAAGAGTGAACATAATGTTCAACAGTTCATGGATAGAATAAAGTTTTAGACTATCCCCTTTAAATTAAGATCAGATCACAAATCTCCCTCGAAAATTAATCAATCTCAAAAAATCATCTAGAATTTCACCACTACATATTAAACAGAATGATTTTATTATACAATAATTTGATATCATTATTTAAATTGCTTCAACTTAGCAATTTATTTTTCATTATTTTTTGTAACTGTGCATCCACACTCCTTGCAATACATTATGAGTTTTTTAATATCCAATTTCAAATGTTTTGCTAATGGAATTATGTCAAATTAAAATTTGTGTATGAATAAATGCAATACTATGATGTAACATATATACTTATCCTTCAGAAAGTTTGATCTGCTAAAATTAAATACATTCTCTCCTTGTCCAGGCGTTGCTTAATAGAATTTCTCCAAAATCGGAGTCACCAATTTATGATTATAAATACCAAGTTCATGAGCAATATTTTAAGCATTTTTATTTTAGAACACTTATTTGAATTAGAACTTAAATAAAATATTTAAATATTCTAAGTATTTCAAGATCGTTAATTTCGTTTTGTTATCAAATATTAATCCCTAAGCTATCTATATGACTTAAGGATGATAGTGATGTAAGGTATCTTCCCTTTTTGTGCTAACAAATACCTATAATTTTGAAGTGTCCAATAATTCCATGTCTTCTTCCGATACGATTGACCTTACATTGTATATTTAGAAAACTGGGACATTGCCCTTAACGAATTCAGGAAGCAACTCTTCTTTAATCGCAGCCTCCTCCATCTGATGGATTTCTTTCTCTACTTCCAACTGCTCCTAAATTTCCTACTATTTCTGATTAAACTTTTCTTTTATTGACTCTGCTTAAACAATGTTCTCCTCCTCGACCTTGTTTGTTTCCATCTACCTCATTTTTCTTCTACTTTTATTAGTACCCATCTCTTCAGCCACCATTTTCCTTTGTTCAAAATAAGTTAATCCGTCTTCAAGTGCTGAATTTCTAGATTATAATTGCTTATTTTATTTGTGTATTTATTATTAAAGAGTAGCTTGTAGTAATACAGGATGTAATGAGATTGTGTTGCCTTAGTGTACACCTGTGTTTATGTTTTATTATTACCAACAAAATTATTAGATGATATATGGTTTTGTCTTCCAATCCAAGTCATTTGATCATTGGATAATTTAATTACTTTTCTAGTTTAAGGTTCACTTACATCTTCACCATTCTTTGTGAGAATCTAAATATTAGAATAGTTTGGGAACCCTTATGGACACCCTATAACCACTGGGTTTGGCTCTTCTGTAAAATTTAATGAGACTTCCATAAATATTTATAATTAAAATGAGATTAAATTTCAAGCCTTTTATTTTTTTATCACTCAAAAATTTTATATGTTTTTATTTTTGTAATTAAATTTATTACTAAATACGTAGAGTAAGGGCATCAATTAAAATTTTACTTATAAGAAAACAATATCAATTTTTATCAATTTCTTAGGGATTCTGTTTTAACATCTTTTCTACTTAAAAATCCTGAATCTAAGAATTATTGTTCTCCTGAATTTTTTATTCCTTTTAACCTTCATCTGGATTTCTTGATTATTTCAGGCCTTCATCTGGTATTTTATTTTACTCATTTCCATCACCTTTATTTAAATCTTCTAATTCCTTATTATTCAATTGACTTTGTCTTAAAGAATCATTATTATCACTATGTTGAGATCTTTATTTGGTCAAAGCAATATCTTTTTATTCTTATTAGTTTAAATTATGATTCTAAGATGGTTCAACTTCTGTAACTTCTTATTTCTAGAGCTTTTCATTACTTTATTGTTTGCTGTTATTTTAAGAAGAGGCCATTTAATTTGTGATCTAATTATTTTATTCATTCTTTTTATTTTTATTTAATAATTGCAGAAATTCTTCATCAAATTTTTGATTATCATTTAAGTTTTAACTTTTGATATTCTTATTCTAATTGCTATCTTCCTAATTACTTCCAATTATTTATAGTGATTTTTGGGTTTGGTATTTTTTATTTTTTGTTATATTTTAATCAGATATTTATTGATGTTAATTTTACTTATCATCATCATTAATTTAACTTTTTTCTTTTTCTTTATTTTTATATTTATCTTTATCAAATATAATTTAATAGGCTCCGCTTTATTACAAACTCTTTGGTTAAAACTTGAATCCTGTTTAAGTAAGTTTTATTTAATTTGATTAATTGTCTTAGAATTATGTCTTAGCCAAGTTATCTTTTTTCTCAACTTTATTGTCAGATTAAATTTCATGAATTAATTATGATTTTCCAAGATCTTCATTAGATTTTAGATTTAATTGTTGATTAGATAATTTATCTTTAAATTGCTCTTCCTAATTATTTCCTAATTTTTCATTTTACGATTTATTTGATTACTTTTATTAATCATTTATTTCTTCGTTTTAAGCTAATTAATCCACAGATTAATGATCACTTTATTATTTTACCAAATCATGAGGTTTAACATAAATACTCTTCACAATTGAAATAACTTCAGATTATTCATCAAGGCTTTTATTTAAATTCTATTTCTAAGAAGCTAAATTTTTTGAGTTTTATTAATCCTTACTTTAACTTAAATTTGATTGATTTAATTACTACTTATCCTATTAGATTTTTATTTATTATTAATTTTTTTAAGATTTTTAAGAAATTTGTGAATTTTCCAATTTTTCATCAGTCTACTTAATATCTGGTTATTTATGAGAACTTTCTTCCTTAGGTATCTCAATATTCGTGTTGTCTTTTTATTGATTCATTTTACCTTCTTCTTATTAATCTTAATGATCAATCTATTTGGCTTAAGATTCTAATTTCTAATTTTAATGATTTAACTTATCTTCCTGATGCACTTAATCTTTTTTATCCTAGTTTTATTGTTGATTTTATTACTGTTTTTTATCTTCTTCATTTTGATTTTAATGTTAATTTTATGGAAGTGCTTAGATTTTTTCTTTTGAATTCTTATTTTAATTTTATTTATTTATTTTATCCTCTTCTTTTGGATTTTATTGAGGACCTTCGTTTTATTTATTATTATGTTATTTTTCCTATTTTTATGCATTATCTGGATAAAATTCAGGATTTGGATTAATTTAGAGAATATTCTTTGATGAATTTTGTTTTTATGATAATTTATTTATCTATTATTTATTTTACGTATTTGAACTATTTTTGGTCAATTATTTCGTTTATTCTGACAAAAATTCATTTGAAAATTCATAATCCCCTTGATTTGAATTAGCTTATAACTATTATGGTTTACTAGATTACTCATTGTTATTTTACCTCATTTCTATAGTTTTTTGATCAAATTACTTAGGTTGATCATGATTATTAATATCATTTTAATTTGTATTTTTAATTTAAATTGGTCTTTTTTTTACTTTTGGAGTTTTCTATGCATTGACTTACTTTTTCTAACTCATTTATTAATCCTAAAAAGAGCTTTTGCTTAATAAGATTTCTGGATCGCCATCTTCGAAATCACTTAATGAATATCGATTTGAACTTATCTATTATATAGATTAATTTCCTTCTTGTTTATTTTAATGTTATATAATCATCGCATTTTGATTTGTCTTTTATAATTAATGTGCACTATTAGTTGGTGATCTCTATTATTTTTTTTGAGTTTCCACTAAATATGTTTATTACTTATTATTTTAAGGAGTGACATGACGTTTATTTTTGAGGTCTGTATGGTTTTGTGTTTGATTTTATTAAGAGGATTCATAAATAATATTGGATTAATCACTGTTTTGTTGTGTTTAATTACTACTAATTTATTTATTGGTATTTTCTTTTTAGATTAATTCGTCTTCCTTTTGATTGCCATAGCAAAATGATATTACTTGGGATTGTACTCTGTTTTTTCTATTTTAAGGCAGTATTTTATCAAGCTTTTATTTTTGAGAGGACTAAACAATATTAGGAAATCTTGTTGGTCTTTTTTCAGTGCCATCACTTTCTTCTGTAAACTCAGTTTTAATTTTGGTTGTTTTTTTATTAATGTAATGTTATTCTACTATTTGAGAATTTGCTCTCATCTATTTATTAGGGGTTTGGGTTTTTTTATTGACTTTATTGACATATTGTTGCTTGCTTTTTAATTAAGATTGAATATATGAGTGATCAGTTTATTATTCTTGTGTAATTTTAAATTTTGCCATTTGTCTGACTGGCTATGATTGGTAAATTTCGCTAGGAGGATTTTCATATTATGATACAATGTATTATACATTTTCAACAGCGAACATTATTTAGTCGAGGAATTGTAATAATTGCTCTCTGGTGACTGGCTTTTAGAGGTTGCTGTTAGTGGAATCTAATTTTGGTAACGAAACACCACCTTCTCTCTTATTTTTGGGTGTATTCTATAATCTGGTGTGCATATGTGGAGACATTGATTTGTCAGGATATTGATTTTGAGTGTAAACTCGATTAAGTTGATTTTGTCTCATACTTGGTCGTTGATGCAGTTGCTTCATAAAATTTATAATTTATATTTACTATGCTTTAATTTAATGATAAAACTGAAGAGTTGTTTGGCTGTCGATTGCTCTCCGTATGAAATCTTGAAGTTCCTTTGTCCTTCTGCTTTTTGAGCACATTTTGATAGTAATCCTTCAAGTACTTGTCTCTTTTCGAATCATATTATTTCACACCGCCTTGATGAGCCATCTATATTCCATCAAGTAAAAATGCCGGACGTCTACACTGTTATTCTATAAGTGTACTTTTAAGGATTCATCTAGAAATTATAAAAAATTAAAAAATTTAAGCAATTTACTTAACAAATAATAAAATGAATTAAAATTTTTTCGACAGTGCTAACCTAAAATAAGTATAGCTATATTATCTACTCTATTTAAGCAACTCTACAAGGCATTATCAAAATACAATGGACCGACCACCTCGACTCCGAGTATATTGTCAGAATATTTATCTTCTGCAAAAACATAAACATCAAATAATAAATACAACTCTAATAAAGTGAAACCTTTACTCAGTCCATAAAATATTAATAAGCCTATTTAAAATGAATCCCTGAGAATCAAGACTTCTACACTTCACTTCCCCCAGAAGCAAATGGTTTCCCATCACATCAAAAGTCTATCTTCCGACATCAAACAGTAACCACAACCTCCAATAAGAAGGAGAGGCAGATAAGAAAAAATGATATTTTAATCTGATTCTTCGTAAGCTCCATTCCTGATCATCTAAAATAAAGTCAGAGATACAAGAAGACTGGATACTTTCAGAAAGAGTACTTTGCCTTCGTTGCAATTAGAATCTCAAAGAAGTATCTAAAACACATCTCATCGAATTACAGATGTTCCTTTGGTCCCTATTCAACAAGTAACAGAAATTTAAGATTCAAAAAGCCAACTTTTTCATGAGCCAGAAAAAATATGTCTTGATTAAGGAAACGCTTTAATTGAAAATCAATTTTTAGATGAAAACTAAAAAGCCTCTGAATTATTCAATTTATTAAAGAGAAAGGTGAGTATTACTGAGCCAAATGACTTAATTGGCCCTCACGATCCTACTGAATAACATGAAGAGATCTTAAAGACTGACAAAGAGGTTACTTGGGATGAGGATGAATTACAATCATCGAATGCGATGAAAAAACTGAGTGTCAAAATGAAATTCAAAAATGTAGTCTCGTAATAAGTGCAGAATATGTTTAAAAATAGAGAAGTACTATATATTTATATTAAACTAGTTAAAATCATTATTTACAGTCATAATTTCACCTGAATTCAGTTCAAAACATGAGGAGGAAAGACAAAAAATCAGTGATTAATTTGAATTAGGAAATTTTATATTAGCAAAGAATTTGTAACCAACCAAAGATAACTGTAAGTCTAGAAAAACGATTAAATGTATTAAGGAAAAATATAATTTGAAATACAGCCATAAAATTAATACTATTGTTTAAAGTCAATTACAAAAACTACATACTACAAATAAAGCATTTTAAAGAAAAATTTAAATGATTAAATCCACTTAATGGACGACTAAAGAGTGTGATTAACCATAATAATAATAGTTTTCTTTATTGAACAAATTTAAAAAACAATCTGTATTCTCAAATCAAATTGGATTAGGTCCAGTATTATACAGTAATTAAGACAACATTTTACCTAATTTAATGGATGATACTAATAAAATCACTATCACAATTACTAATACTCTGTTATAAGATGCACTTCTGGAATTCAATAAACCTAGATTCATTGTTCATATGGATAGTATCATAGATGAATAAGTAATTCAACCAATCTCACCTTCTAAAAAAGCCATCTAGCATTCCTCCTCCTTACACTCATCCTTCAAATTGTAAAAAGTATAAAATTCAGCATCTTAATCTGTTATTATCAATAAAGATCTTATATCTAATCATAATGCATATAATAGTATTTAAAATACAAATGCTATTGATGAAAACAGCAATTTAGATTTTAATTAAGAATATTCTAAAGTAAGAATGAAAAATATTATAATTAGTCAAATTTATATGTGAGACTATATTATCAAAATAGATTGCATAAAATGCCTTAAAAGATTTCTTATACTTAACATCATTTAAAGGAGATTGAAGATGTGTTCTACTAATACTCCTCTATGATAACTGGTTCTTAAATGTAAGTGTTTTTCATTAGAATTAGTTCTTTCTAAGCAAGTCAGCAGTTCACAAGATATTCTAAATGCATCGAAATATTTAATTTGTTTTAAGAAGTGCAAATAGTTCTTGAGAGATATGATGTTCTCTAAATTAGAAGGTAGTTCTCTTTCGACTTCGATAATTCAATTAGTCTACTATCTAGTTAATCAGATTAGAGTGCTTCATTTGATAAAATTTTAGAAGAGCCCAATCAAAGTAAATTATTTAATAAAACTAGATTAGGACTGTAAGTAGATGATAGACATGAGAGCAAAATGTAAAACATTATTCAATCAATGAAAAATCTGAGTGAAGAATCTTAATCATTAATCTTCCTTGAAGATGTCTTCAAGAATCAAAAATGTAAGTTATCTATTCAAATTTAGAAATCTCAACTGGATTGTTAAATACTATTAAGAAGGTGAAGAACAAATTCCACGCTCCAATTAATATATAGGCTATTCTGAGTGTTTTAGAATAAAGTACTAAGAATGATCTATTAACATTTCATATGATGGAATAATCTGAAGAGCAGATTCAAAAACTAATTCATGGAGATTTTGATACTAATGCATTAAAGAATTTAGACTATTTCTATAAGTAATCAGCCCTACGCAAAATGATCTACAATGGCTACGAATTGAGATATGAAAAGATACTCATTGGTAGATACTAGAGTTAGTAAAGAATGATTGATGTAGAGCATTCCGATCTTGTTTAATCATCTATTCTGGAAGCACCCTAACAGCACATTTCTTCATCCTAACAATCTCAACAATCTCAATAATCTTAAGAACTCTTACTCCTTCAAAAATAAAAACTAATCAGTCTAAAACAGTAAGGTCGAAGCAGAAATTTATAGAGGGATAGTTTGACTGTCATCATTAAACCAAAAATCAATTCCAGACAGACTTCGAATTCACCAGATATCACAAATGTCCATAGCAAACCAACATCACAGTATACAAATCAATTAACTAATAACATTTTCACTCAAGCTTCAACCTAATATCTCACAAAGCCAACCAATCAATCACAACAATCAGTCAAAGTCTCAAGTGTATAAAATCTAGAAGAAAATCTGTCACATTTAGAAATGAGTCCATAATCATCCTTAAAATCGATTAAATCTAAATCAGCAATAGATTCTTCCAATATTATATTCTAAACAAATACTCAGAACATTAGAAAAAGCTAAAATATTAAGGATTTTGATAAAATTGCCAAAGACAAAGACAAAATTAGCCAACCTAAAGAATAAATCGAAATAAAAGAAGAGATAATACCTTCAAATAGATAAAAGCCATCCAATGTTTCATTGTTTTAATAACCAATTTTAGAAAATAAAGTATTCTATCATTTAATTTAGACTTTGAGTATGTTTTCCTATTCTTTGCGTATGAGAAACCAAGCTCTTGGTCACAGTAGGAGACAGAACCTCGATTAATATAAAATATTAGAATAACTAATTTATGACAATGATATCCAAGAGGTAATCTTCATACTCAGAATAGTTTTTGGAACATATTTAATAAGTGCCTTCAATGTACCTAGACAAAAGATTAGAGAATAATGACACGTTATTGACTTTGGCCTCTAAAAGTGGGTGTAAAGACATAGTCAAAGAACTGATTAAGAAGGGAGCAGATATTAACATTTAAAATGTATTTTTTTACTTAAGCAGGATGATGGAAATACTGCTGTCCATTTAGCTCTTTCGTATGGCCATTATAAAATTGCAGACATACTTATTGGAGCTGGGGCCAACACTAATATTCTAAATAAAATTGGTAAAAATGCTTGGAGTATATTATGATGATGAATAATCTCTACTATCAAATTCGTTTTATCTACTAACTTTAAGTATGCAAAAAATCTTTATAGGCGAATTGGTTTGTCTCCTCTGACTTCTGAATTGCAAACATTGAGTGTGAATGTATAATCTGAACCACTTATCGAAGGTCGTGGAGATTATGAACTCTCCTCTTTTAGAATTAGTAATCCTTGTATTTATTTTTTGAGTAATTCAACTTCTTAATGTAAAGAATTGATTTTGTCATCTCTTTGTCTGTTCTCTTAAACTATTTAGTCAACCTTCTTTTGGAGTTATTCTTTCTCATTCAGAGTTTAGGTGTATAGCTTTTTGTAGTCCTGTCTATTTTCATACAAATATTCATGATTTTCATCATCTTCTGTCAATAGATTCTTATACTTTTATGTCATATTGTTTCTACTCTCTTGTTTGTTTTATAAATTTATGATTTTGTGCTCTAACTAATTCAAACCCATCTTTGCCTCATTTATCATGATCCCAAACTTTTTTCTGTCATTCTCATCCTGAACTGTCCTAAGCATTGGCGATGTACTTTTTCGAGCCTATTAATCACGTTGAGCATCTAAGAATTTAAGTAGTCCATTTATATTGTCAAATCCTTATTATTTAAAAAGGGAATATAACTAATTTATAGTCTTCTCATCAGGCTTTGTCTTTTGATTCGACTCAGCATACGATGAATTGGATGAATAAACAGCTGACTATCTTTTAGATGAACCTTAAGATATTATACTACTTGTACATGAAGATATATAGGGACTATTACATCTAGTTTTGTTTGTTTTATTCAATATGTCTTGGAAAGGGACAGAATTCATGTTAACTGATAAATTAATAATAATTTATAAGCAATTTAGTATTATTATTCTTATATAGAATAAACAATAATGAGTTTTAATGAATTTTGTTTATCTAATTTACCCATCTTTGAAGAAAAGGTTAAGACAAAAATTAGGCATCTCATAAATTGGCTAACCAAACCTAAATAAATTATTTGTCTAACATTATTATTAATTAAATTTATAAATTACTTAATTATTCTCTATAATATAGGAATATTTTGAAATATAAAATTAACTGAATTATGATCCTTATCAAAATCGAATATGTTCATGCAATTCTCTAGACAAAATTGATTTTTATTCGTTTTTTAACTTTTCTAATGAAAAAATCCTTCAAATTATTAAAAACTTAAAGGGATAGAGAACAGATTTTGGTAGGATGATAAGAAAATAGTTCATTTTACGAATTCTCAATTAAAATTATTAATTTATTTAATTATTATGGATCCCTCAAAAACACAAATGTTAAAGTTGTCCTAGTCAACAAAAGAAAGGGTGGAGGCTGCGAAATAATATATAGAGAAGAAATACTAAAAGCTTCTTTACGAATAAAAAGAGAAAAGGGAAAAATGGGAATAATTAATTCAAAAATTGACAAATTTGAATTATACTTAAATTGAACAATAAGTGATAAAATAGGACTTATTTCATAAAGAAGCTGAAATACTGAGATTATAGAGATAAAAGTTGAGCATAAAAGATTTCGAATCGGTAGAAATAATTGGAAGAGGAGCATTTGGTGAAGTCAGATTATGTCGTAATAAGTTGTCAAATGAGATTGTGGCAGTGAAAAAAATGAAAAAGTCAGAGATGCTTTATAAAAATCAGGTATTGATTATCTAATCAAGGTATGTCATGTAAGAGCCGAAAGAGATTTATTAGCAGCCTCGGACAACACTTGGATAGTTCAATTGAAGTGCTCATTCTAGGATGAGAAGTACAAAATTCTCTCGATTGTAGATACTTGTATTTGGTGATGGAATATTTGCCTGGGGGAGATCTAATGACTTTACTAATGAAGAAAGACATTTTCACCGAAAAAGAGTCTTAGTTTTACATGGCCGAATCAATAATGTAATTTAGAATTCAAAATAACAAGGGCAGTTGATTAGGTGCATAAATTGAAATACATACACAGAGATTTGAAACCCGATAATATTTTACTCCAGGCAGATGGACACATAAAGTTAAGTGATTTTGGACTATGTAAATATGTAGAATCTCGTGGAACCAGATTGGATGAACGAATAAGTGTGCATAAACCTGAGGACAAAGGTAGTAACACTACAACCTTTAAAAGAAATAGAATCAAAGCATATAGTACAGTTGGAACACCTGATTACATTGCTCCTGAGGTTTTCGGGAAATCTGGTTATAGTGAGACTGCAGATTGGTGGTCTTTGGGAGCAATTCTTTTCGAAATGCTTGTAGGATATCCTCCCTTTTTTTCTGATGATCCTTCATCCACATGTTAGAAGATCATTAATTGGAGGAAGACTCTTGTCATTCCTCCTGAAGCCAAATTATCTCCAGCTGCAACTGATCTTATTCTTAGGCTAATGACTGATGCTTCAAATAGACTGGGCTTAAATGGAGTTAATGAAATAAAGGCACATCCCTTCTTTGCTGGTATTGATTGGAAGAGTTTGAGAACTAAAGTCTCACCTTACATCCCAGAAATCAAATCTGAATTAGATACTAGAAACTTCGACAAATTTGAAGAGCAAGAACCTTGGGTTCCATAAGAGTAACTATTCATACAATAATTTAAGTTCTGGCAAGTCCATAAGAAAAGATGTTAACTTTATAGGTTATACCTTTAATCGGGAAGTAGAAGTTTAAAGGTCCTATCTCTTATAGGCTTTATTAGATCTTGATGCTTTGCAAGCTTAAAAAACAGTAAGTCCATCTATTTGTATTTAGGTACCCACTGAATCCACGTTGAGTAAGTCTTAGGAGAAAAAGGATCCCTTTGCTATTCAGTAAATGCCCATCAATTTGTAATTGGATTCTGATTTGCAAAGCAAATTACTCAAAACTTAGAAGTAGTTGTAAAATAATTCATCCAAGTAAATATTTCTTTTGAATTTAGACCTGTTCTTACTACAAAATAGTAGACACCCGTTTCAAAGCTCCAATAATAATTAAGTTTAAGTCCAACTCATCAAGGCTTCAATCAATAAAATTACCTTAAATAATTGATAAGTCCATAAAATAAAAAAATGGCTATTTCACCATAATCTAAACCCGTAAGTGAGCACTAAAACCCTCCTTTAGCATAATTATATAAATAATTTGAATTGTAGAAATAAGCCAGCAATACCCAAAGGGCCCAACCAAAATCATAGATTCAAATTCCAATCAATAATAATATTATTAGCAAGAAATGAGTCCTTAAATAATATATATGATATTATATTTTAAATAAATAATAACTTTATTTATAAGAGTTTCCTTAAAATTTTAAAATCAATGCACTTAATTCCTTGGAGTGTTTGATTAGAGTAACTACTGGGATTCAAATATGGATGAAGTAAAGTTCTGTTGTTTAAAATGTATGGATGATTATAACATACTTTCAGCTCTCTGATACTAATTTTTTAATATGTTTTTTAAGTAAGCCTTCTTTGCCAGATCAAAGATGGCTTAACCATTTTTCACTCCAGTCTAAATGGCCATCATTGCAAAAACTGATTCTTTATCAATTCCCACAGCCGTTTTAGTGTTGATGGCTAGTAATTCAAATGGGTGACCACACTCCAAGACCTTCCCTTCTTCAAGTACTAAAATCTTATCATAATCAGCAATAGTGTTGAGTCTATGAGCAATTGTGATTATTGTGCAATCATTAAACTTCTCTTTGATTGTATTCTAAATGAAAGCATCAGTAGCCATATCAACATTTGCAGTTGCTTCATCAAGAATGAGAATCTTCTTTTTGTTTAGTAAAACCCTTGATAAACAAATAAGTTATTTTTATCCAATAGAAAATAATTCTGGTTGAACCTCTGCTTATAATTAATTTGGTAATTCTAATACATACTCTACCAATCCAGTATCCTTGAGCACCTTCCAGATTTTTGAATCTTCAAATAAATTTAGAGGATCTAAGTTTTATCTTATAGTAGCTTTGAACAAGAATGGCACTTATGGTATAATTGCTACCTCTTATCTCAGTTTAGCCAAGCCAACCTCTCTGATATCCTATCCATCTATGAAAATATTACTAAATTATAATGATATTCGATACCCACTAGGAGATATTTCAGTAATTCTTAATAAGGTTTGAATAATTGATGATTTTCCAGCACCTGTCCTTCCAACTACTCCAACCTTTTCTCCTCCTTCAATTGTGAAGCTCATTCCTTTTAAGATAAATGGCATATCTGTTCTATATTGCATTTCTACATTTTAAAATTAGATCCTGCCACGTTCAGGCCATCCCATTACCATAAGATCCTCATCTATGGGCTGAGTAACTTAAGCCTCATTTACAATATCACAAATTTCAAACATTCTATTTACACTATTCATAATTGAATCAAAAGCCATAAATTATCTTAAAGTTCCCGCTTATGTATTAAAGGTTGAAAGGAGTAAAAGAGCTTATGAAAATAAAGTTGGATCTTCAATCATAGCAATGATTAAGAAGATTCCCACAATATTGGTGAACTATCCAAAAATATCTATATAGAAACCAAAGCATCGTTAAGAATATGAAAAAATTAGATTGGCTTGCATAGATTGATTACACAAATTATTAAACTAATCTCTTACCCATTCTTTATTATTGTTGATTCTTATTTAAGTAATTCCATATAAGCAAACTTTAAATTAGTCAAATAAGGGAGATCTCTGAATAAGATCGCAAACTTTCAATTGTGACACAACTTGTCTTGTGATGGAAAAGATTACAATAGTCATTGTTATAGTAAACACTAAAGGAAATGAAAAGAATGGTTGTAAAATGGCTATGGTAACTAAGGATACTAAAAATTGAGATCCTTGCTCAAAGATATCAGTAATAATCTATTAAATTTGATTGTCAGCCAAAGATAAATCCGTTGAGAATCTATTGATTAATCTCCCTGATGGATTTGTATCAAAATAACTGATAGGTGCTCTGATGAGTCTACTCAACATTTAATTATGAATTTGGTTATTGGATGTAAGTACTCCAACTATATTCAGGAAATACTTGATAATGTTATTGCAATAAGCAGCTAACACCAATAATCCAGCATTATAAAATAATTAAGTATTAGCTGACCTATTAGTCTCATCATACAAAGCCATAGCTCTATAATAGTAATTATTGATGATTTCTGTTGCAACATTTTGTCCTAAAATAATCGCGATCATAAAAACTGGTTTCCAGTATGAAAAATATCTTTTATATGTTTTCCAACTTGCATCTGTCTAATTTAATTCTTCTTTTGAAAATAATTGAACAATTTCTTTTTTTTCCACTTTTTCCTATTATTTGTTAAGCAGAGTAGCCAATCTCGTTTATTTTCTGACTAATTATTTCTTAACAGGCTCTACAATTGTAGAATTAAATAAAGCTAAACTTTCTTTGACCTACTTGTAAGTACCTTGAGTAATGATAGTGCCTTTGTCTAATATGATTACATAGTCGCATTCCAAAGCAAATTAGATTTAGTGAGTCGATAGAATTACAGCAGGAATTGATAGTTGAAATGCTTAATGATGCTTATTGTGTTTTTCTTATTAGTATTATGGTTAAAATTTAAATATAAATTCTTTTATGGCATATGTAAAGATCTTTCTGGCTACTTTGGAATCGACTGCTGACAATGGATCATCAAATAAATAGAGGTCAGCCAATGAATATAAAGCTCTTGCCAAACTTAACCTAGCTCTTTAACCTCCTGATAAATTTGCACCTTTTTCACCAATTTAAGTTTTGTCACCATCTTAAAATGATAACACATCTTAATCTAAACATGAAACCTACATCACTTTCCTGTACAATTCAAGTTCAAATAATTTTCCAAATAATATATTATCTCTCACTGTCCCTGTATAAATAAATGGATCCTATTCAACAAAAGCTATACTAGTATTCTTTTTCACTGAAAATTCTCCATCAATTTATGGTAACTCCTCTAATATTCCTAATAGAAGAGTGGTCTTTCCAGATCCTACCCTCCCTATCAATCCTATCAATTGACCAGGAATCACTTCCATGTTTAAATCTGACAAAACTGGAAATGACCTTGCCTTCCATCTCAACCCTACTTCTGTCATTGTTACATATGGTGTCCTTTTTATCACCGAACTCTACATCTTTACTGTATTCCTTTCAGATTGCTTTCCTTTTATATGGATTGTATTTGCTTTTCTGATTACGTTTCCATTTTCAATGCTTGTTAAAATGTGCCTTTTCTTCTCGCTCATAGATGAAGGTGAAGTCATTATTTGCACCACTCTTTAAAATATAACATTAAGAGTCATAAATGCTTGGAATGCATAGGAGACCTAAAATACGCAATAATATTTGATCATGGACATCAACTGAATTGTTCCAATAATTGATGATACATCGATGTATATATCGTTGAGGTATATTATCAGTAGAAATAGAAAAGATCCCCAAATATGAACACTGTAATTGAATGATCTATCAATAAGATTCAAAAAATGAATCTTGAAATAGCAAATTACTTCCTCCTTTCTCAGTAACTGTATCTTATCTGAAAACGCCTTTTCCCATACATACATCTTGATCAGTCTAATTCCCTCTATCAATTGATTTTAGGAAGAAATTCTGTTGTCTTATTTTTACTTTGCCCGGGTCAAAACCCTTTAAACTTGCTTCTGAATAAAAACTTACAACGGATAGATCACGATACATATCAAAATAGCAATTAACCCTATTGGACCATCAAATCTTAGCTAAATTAATATATTAGATATACCCACAAAATTACTGACGCAAATATTATTGAACCTGGTATGATAGCTAAAGAATAAACAAAGTTTAATTAGAATTCAATTGCATTAATGTCACCACTTACCAAATTCATAATTTTACCCATATTAAGCTCATTAATTTAGTATCCTTTTAACTCCAAAATCCTATCAAACACAAAATTAGTTAAAATCATTCTCATTTTGGTTGAAAAATTGTTAATTATATACAATTAATAATGCTTACTTATCAGGGCTATCAATGATAATAGACCCAATACCATTGCCTAAATAAAGGCATCTTATCTGTCTCCATTCTTTACTGCTGCAATTAGAGTTTGTGTTAGAATGGACATTACAAACCTAGAATATGTTTCACTCATTGCTAGGAGTACAATTTTTAAGGTTAGCCATTTGTTGTCATGGAAAAAGAATGTTCTAAATAATGAAAATGAAGTTAGTTATTCAGAAATCTATGTTAGTTATATTATTACTTTTAAATTAAATAATTTCTTAGCCTTTGAAAAATTAGGCTAAATTTGATCGTCTTCATCTTATTTTGGAAGATGAGTGAGATTGAGTTTAATTCCCTGCACTTTAATTAGTTGTTAAGCTGCCTTCATGTAATTAAAAATGTGAATCAGAAATATTTAGGAAAGAGATGAATAATTTTCATAAATTGTAGATGGGTAAAATTCTTATTGTTTAGGAGATGATTCTTTATTTTGTGGTTCAGGAATGATTTTGTTACTTTTATTTTTAAATATTTCTAATAAACCTTGTTCTGTTCTTTAAGTTTGTTCTACGCTTGTTATTTACGTTGTTTGAGGGAGTTATTTCAAAATGGCTTGGTTTTCCTATCTTTAATAAGTGGTGTCTTTGCTAATCATGAACTAATTCTCTTGGTAATTCTCTTCAATTTATTCAGACGGTTATGAAATTGGTACTTTTTATTCAGCAGCGACCATTTCGTTTCTGTAAATTTGAGTAAAATCTATGTTATTGGAGGGAGAATCATCGTCAGAGAGATCATCCTTGTCATTATCGTCTTGAAAGTTTGCGATTTCCATTTACAATGTTTAAACGACAGTTTTAGAATCATTATCTTGCTGCTGCTAAATTAAAAAACAATTTTAACTTGGTCTTCTATAATGGAGTTATCAATTTTGGCAAATACAGATTTTTTGGCAAATTGAGATAAATTATCCTTGTTTTTCATTTATGGGATTTTTCAAATTTATCTAATTCCTTAATTTAATTAACAAAACTAAATTGATTCTACGTTGATATTGCACTGTTTTATTAATTATCCTTAAGTACAACAAAATTGAATATTAAACCAAATAAGATTAAAATCAAAAAAATCAACTAGTAGTAGTTTGGAAAAATATTAAATTATAGATTAATATAATAAAATTTAAGTGTCTATCCCAATAACGTCTCATCAGTATAAATAATATTTAATGACTATATTCAAAATATACAAATATCTAAAGTCAATTAGAATATAAGTTGACCTTGGTAATTTTTGGACTTAACTATATTTGATTATAACAAATAAAAGAGCTTTTCAGGTGATTTTGTTATTAAATCCTAAATTTATTGATGCTTTGCTTAGGCTACTTGAGTATTGTTCTCTGACTACTTGATGTTTTTAATATGCTATGTCTTACGCCATCATCCTTTAGAGGAGGACTACCACATCTGTAAGTGATAAATGGGTTGATGGACATCTCTTCTGAATTTGCAAAATGACTCTTGCTTCCAAATTATCTATTTTGACCCTCGAGAACAGAAGGACTTTTCTATCGTAAATTCAAAGTTGAATCTTTTAATCCTCTATGAGATTTGAGGAAAATCTGGAATAACCCATTTGTTTATGGAGTAATCTATTAGTTATTTTATTTTCTTCTTTGTTACTCTATGAGATTATCCATTTTCTATTATATCATTTGATTCCTGGTCTTATTATCAAAGTTCTTCCATTTTCTATTTTTACTAAATTTGGTTGAAACCTAATCTTATTAAGTGTCTAATTCTTCATCTATTTCTGTTTTATTTTAGAAAAATCGTGGATATTTGAGATGAGTTGATTGTTCCTAACTTACTTTATAATTGGCATAAAAATTAATTTCATTTTTGTGTTTGTCAAGATCTTAAGAATATGATTCGAAGATTTTTTCAATCAGTGAATTTCTGTGTATTTTATAAATCCAACCTTTTGAAGATAAACAAATAATGGAATATTCATAGGGGATCTTATTATAGAGATGATAAAATCCAAAAACCTACATTTCTCCGATTTCAAATAACTACAATTTATAGGAAATTATTACAACTAATGGTTGGGACTTGTTCGTCTATTTTCTAACTTAAAATAAACCTTATTTGACAATCAGAAAACTATCCGACTTTTCACCTTCTTGGACGACTACTTGGTTTTTTTCATATTCGTACAAAAATGAGTTCAAATATATCGAGGTTAATTACGTTCGATTCAGTTAATTAAAAATTGAAATTTGAGAAAAGAAATCAATATTCTAAATTGTTTAAGATGCTTACTTGTTCTATCTTTTTAGTCTATTCATAATGTAATATCTTTTAAAATTATTATTTATCCAAAATAGCAAAAGTACAGTCAGTGACACATCTTATAGTCGCCAATCGAGGTTGTTTATGAATAAGTGCTAATTCACCGAAGGATTCTCCTTTTTTGAGGATTCTAACAGATTCTAATTCATCAAATCCTCTCCTTCTTATTAACACTTCCACCTGTCCATCTAAAATAACATAAAATTTAGTTCCAATTGTATCTAATAGATGTAAATTTTAATACCTAAATGAAAGACAACTTCAGTTGATTAGAATTTTTCTATAAACATGTATTTGCAGCACTCACGATGAATAATTAATCCATTTTCTTGCCTCTAATACTACTTAAAAAATGGTAGTTCCTAGGTCAGTTAGACCAAGAGATCAATTTCGGCCTTGCATCTGTGTTGTGGTTACTTTCTAAGCAATTGCAAAGTGTCTGTAAGGTGTGAATCTAGCATTTTACGAAATTTAGTTTATTTAATAAATTAATTAAATCAAGTTATACTGCAAAGTTATTTTTCAAAGTATCTGTTTTAACTAAGAATATTCATTATTTTTGTATTAATATCTACATTGATTGTAATATATAAACGCATAATAATAATCATCCTACATTTTTGGCTGCAGATCTTTAATTATTTTCCATTCTATACACACTATCACTAACTTTTCCGAATTTTGCATCATACTCATTCAAAAGAGCATGAATTCTTAAAGGTAGATTTTTCATTGTGCCTAATTGCTTGATTTATTTATATTTAGGTTATCTTTCTATAAAATAAGGATGTAGAGTACCAATTTTTTTGAACCATTCAAGCGCATCAACTACTTTTTCTTCATCTGCCAGTAAAATAGCAGTATCAAGATAATTCGAAACACTCTAGAATGTAGGTTTCATTTTAGTACTTACAATTTCAAACATTCTGTATAGATCCAATAGTCTTTTTTCGTTAAACAAAATTTCTAGGAAATATAATTAATGAGATTACTAATAATCTATTCATAAGTGAATTGATCCTTTTGAATTTAGTACTAATCAAACAATGGTAGAACTTAACCTTCAAGATCAGGTAATCGATTGGCTGCTACCATTAATTCGCACATTGAATTTAGAGTTCTTTGAGATATCATTTATTTAGATGCTGCTTCATTAAATATCTTCCAAGCATCTTTTATGTATTCCTCAACGATTTTGTTATCTAAATTTGGCAAGGAACATGCTCCAATGTACACTCTTATAATTTGAGTGTAGATGTATTTATTCGGTGTGATTTAGTACTATTTCATTTGTTTAATGACTTCGTGAGCAATTTTGACATCGCCACACTGTGAACAAGCCTTGAGAGTGCACACAATAGTATCGGAATCTATTTGAACAGATGTCAGGACCATTTTTCGATAGAACTCCAAGGCTTTTTCGGCGTACTAAGAAGGGAGGAGTAAATTTTACATCTTTTCTTGAACCCAAGGCTTTGATGATAGAATTGTAGATGTAGGTAGTGTCTCTAAATTCCATGTCATTCATTTAGTCGTGGAGTTGGATTGCCTTTTCAGCTTCGTGTGTCTGTAATAATAGATATTAGGAAGAATTTACATCTGCGCAGATTTCGATCATCAATCCAATGAGGTTTTCGTCAGGTTTCAAGTGGGATTCTAATCTGGCCTCATCAAATAGATCCCAGCATTTCTTCCATTGTTTGACTCTATAGAATGAGTTAATGAGGGTTGTGTAGATGGGGATGTCTGGCTCGAATCCGTCTCTTTTGAGATCATTAAATATTCTCAGTGCATTTTCAGATTAGAGGTTCTTGCAATACACGTTTATCAATGTATTATAGAGATGCAAGGAGGATCCAAATTCTCAATAATATTAAGTTATACATTTTTGTGCTATGTGATAATAAGCTTCAGCTTTCTCGACATTTCTGAACTTACCATATGCATTGATTAAGCACATGTATGTTTATTGATTGGGTTTAATTTTGAGATTGTCCATGAATTGCTGTATTTCATCAATTTGATCAAATTTATTTTATGCAACTACAGCTTATAAGAGGAAGTTGACGGACTTGATGTCAACAGCACGTTTTTGGAAATAGTTGGTCAGATTGGTGTCGATTTGTTTGAGGATGTGTTAAGGTTGATAGCTCTCGAGGATGCTTTATTTGATGTTGTCTTCGTCGTTGATTTTGGAGAAGAGTTTCTTGACTTCCTTGAATTCTTCACTCTCTTTAATGGGTTGAGACCTTTGAATGGGTGCAAACATTGATTTGAGGGCTTGTTTCTTAGCGAATTAGGCAATTAGTTTTGTATGAATTATAAACATAAATTAAAATAATTTATAAATGCTCAGAAATCTTTAATTTCCAATCTTGTTTATATGAATTAAGATATCACTATATAAGCAGAGGATTATTAAAATGAAATAAATACTTGATTATACTTTAAATAAAAATAAATAATTAATTAATGGAGCAGCTCAAAAAACTAATCCAAGAATAAGTGGAGGAATAAGATATTGTCGAGGATTTAAATATCGATGGTGTGAAAATCACTAAATTCACTGAGGAAATGGCTGCTCTCTTTACTCAGCATCAATAGCTGTTGGGTTTGTCATTTGAAAAATGCGGATTGACAACTCTTGACGGATTCCCTAAATTAAAGAAATTGTAAAATTTGGAGTTTGAAAACAACTCATTAACAGGAACAGCAATTAAATTTATAGCAGATAATTTCAAGGAGTTGATCAACTTGAATTTATCACAAAACAATATTAAGTCAGTTGATGTAATCATGACCAATATCCTGATAGGATTTGAAGCCCTTAGCCTCTCTAACCAAATTGGAATCATTGGAGTTGAAGGATAACCCCCTCACCAAAGAAGCAGGATATCATAAAAAGGTGTTCCAACTTCTCCCATCCCTCAAAGTATTGGACAACAAAAATGAGAAGGGCGAGGAAGTTCTCGACGTATGACATAATATTCTAACCATTAGGATGAAGTTGATGATGAAGACATAGACGATGACCAATTAGATGAAGATGACTCATTCGATGAAAGCGAAGTAGATGATGAAGAATCCGAAGAGCCTGTTAAGCCAACAAAAAAAACAAAAAAATGACATTCTTTTGTTTTGCCCATTAAAACATATAAAATCCCGCCAATAATCATTTCAATATTCCATCCCCTATTAACTCATCAACATTCCTGATACCAAACTACTTACAAATCTCATCCCTATGTTCATTCAAATAAGGCGCCTATTTTGGATAATCCAAATTTATATTACTAAAACTAAGCGGATTTCTAATTGCTTTCTCTCCATTCTCAAGTTCCATCACCATATTCAATTACTTCGTATGTGAACTCTCCAAACATTGTCCCACTGATTTAACTTCCCCCACTGGAATCTTATTCTTTTTCATTACCTCTATTAAATCTTCCACATCCCAAATCTCCAAAGCCTCCTCTATAATTTTCTTTAATTTCTCGCTATTCTAAACCCTACCTTTGTTCTCTTTGAATTGTTCATCACTTGTTAAATGATTAAGATTCAAAATCTTACACAAAGATTAGAATTAATTGTCTTGAGCCACTCCTATCACAATATATTTGTTTTTTATTTTGAAAGTCCCATAAGGTGAGATTGACGGATGTTGATTCCCCATTCTATGCATGTCCTTTTACCCATTCAAATACATTCCACTCACATTCACAAGACTAGCTATTGCACTCTCATATAAAGATGTCTAAATATGACATCCCCTATCTGTCTCAATTCTTTAGTATAAAGCTCCCTAAATTCCATTGCAGAGGTTTAAGGCTGTCAGTACATCAATAATGGCAACTCCAACTTTCATGGGTTCTCTCTCCTTCTCCCCTGTGATGTGCATAAAACCAGTTTCTGCCTACATAATGTAATCGAATCCTGGCTGATTATTATTCGATCCAAAGCCATTGACTGAAGCATATATTAATCTTGGGTTTATTTTCGATAACTCATCATAACCTAGACCCAATCGATCCATGACTCCTGAAGTGAAGTTTTCGACTAACACATCAGATTATTGAGCTAATTGTTTGATGAACGAACTTCCCTTCTTGAGATCCACACAAATTGATTACTTGCTTCTATTGATTGACAAGAAGTAAGTGCTTTGATTATTAAAGAATGGAGGTCCCCATTTCCTAGTTTCATCCCCTTCAAAAGATTCGACCTTTATAACCTAAGCACCCAAATCTGATAGAAGCATAGTAGCATATGGTCCAACTAAAATTCTAGACAAATCCAAGACTTTGAGCTATTTATACATATTCTAAAAATAAAATTATCTTATATCTCAATAGTCTGAAATATCAATTATTGTTATCAAAACTGTTCTCTTGATAATCCAAAAATATCCACTACTCACTTAGAGTATCTATTTCCATTTTGAATTAATGGTATTATGTATAGAGCATTGAAGATTAAGCTTATCTATGGAACATACAAAAATATCCTTCTTTTATATTTTAGTTAGATTTAATTTAATTATCAATATAGAGTAATCATATTTATTCTCTATTCTAATTTTTATTGTTGTTCATCTTCCTTTTAATCTTTTGGAATCGAGAATATAAAATGTTGATTAATTTTGTTCTTTTTACTACCTACTTTTTAAATCCATATTAGATTCTTGATTTCTTGGCTTTTAATGTCTTGAAACAATTTCAGAACTGTAATCAAAGAAAAAAATTGCAGTGTTGATGACCCATACAAATATGTGAGTTGTCCAAGAGGATTTCTTACTAAATCAGTTAGTAGTACTGTAATACTCAATACTCCAAACAAGATTTCTAAAATAATTCCAAAATACACCAATAATTGTATCTTAAATAAGATCTGTCCATCTACTATCAAATTAGCTGATTTGTTATTGTACTTCTCTTAGTGCTCATCAGATTGATAGCGAAGTTACTAAGTCTTTTAGTCTTAAATGCTATTAGTGATGTAATTTAGTTGTTTATTGGCATTTTTTGATTTTTATTTTGGAGTCAATGTTTCCTATTATTTTCGTTTTTCAGCCATTTGTTTGGTTTCTTTCACAGCTTTAATCTACAATTTGATTGTTTCTTGATAGGTTTATCTATCATCATCATTTTCCCATTTGATATCATTCTATTGGTCCTCCTTTAGACAACAACTATTTATCTCCTCACCTGGTTACTCTTCTTAGAATTCATTCTCAATATGGTTTAGATTTGGATCAAGCCTTTTATCTTTATTTTAGAGTGATTTCAATTGTTTTTGACTTTCCTATCGAAAGAAGGTTGAACCACGCATGCCTTTGATGAATGTTGTAGCAAATGAAACTGATTTAATTTTTGTAACTCCTAATTTTGGTTTGACCTGTTCAATCTATTTAACATCCTCTTTTATTTCATCTCTTATTTCGCTTTTCTTATCCTCATTACTCACTTACATGGACACTCTGAGATACCTTTGCATTGATTCTGGAGACTTACAAATACTATCGTTTTAGGGCACTTATTCAATTTGATCAACATTATTCTTCTGCTATTCGAGGTATTACCTTTTGCAATTGTGAATCTATTCCCTGATGCACTTCTAAAGAGATCGTCCATAAATCAGAAATTCAAAGATAAAGATGAAGAAATTGACCAAGAGGAATAAATAACAGAACATCAAAAACGCAGGGTATTAGACTCCTTTCCTTAGCCCTAGTTTAGTGCTTTAAAATTGATACCATTCATGGTACTGACTGAAATCTGGACCAAGAAGACTACGAAGAGTCTGAACTTCAATGTTTCCTTGTAATATTTGAAGATGAACTTCCTCTTCTCCTTGTCCTGATAAACATTGAAGGAGATCTCATCATACATTGTGTACCACACGATCAACAGACATCCGTATATGTAAAATAGCAATGTGTAAACCACCTCTGACAACAGCCTCTCGATTACTATTGTCCTCCCTTTCTAATATAGGTTTACAATCTTGCGTTTACGTATATTTCAAAGGGATCCAGGATCAGCCATATCAGTTTACACGTTGACATTACGATTGTCAGAACAAGGATAAAATTCTAAGGGGACCCTATTAAAGCAAAGGCATACTGCAAACAACTACATTTGTTCAGACCAATTACGTGTAATAAGATGGAATTTTGGATGTCTTTAAAGAGGCCTAGAATTGACGAATTGTTATAAAGAGTATAAAAACAAAAGCTGCACAGTATACACCTTAGAATGTGTAATAGGGTGCTTTGTAAATGTCTTATAAATTATCAAAGCACTCATCACCAAATGCCCCTATATCGCAAAGGCATTTTCCATCAATCACTATTCCTTTGTCACAACACTCAATCTCGCATTTAGACATTATAAATTTATACAGTAAAATATTTAAGACTATTATATAATGTACTTATACACATATAAATATAAATATCTTACACATTAGTTTTCCGATTCTCAATTCTAAAGTAATAATTATTCTAAAAATAACAAACACATTTTCAAATTTAATAAATGATCGAAGAAGAAGATGTAATCAATACTACATAGTTCAACAAAATCATCTAAATTTCTTACATGGGAGGGAAATTATCAAAATTACAACTCCAACAGATGAACCTGGAGAAAATTATTAATCAGTGTATATCCTTTATTTAAGATGGCGCTTCCTTTAGAGAATGTACCAATTACTTACATGGGTTGGCCATGGTTTATTTAAAATAATATTAGCTTTTAAGACAAGAAATACTCAGTCTACAGAATTCAATGATGAATAAAGAAAATTTTGTCGAAGTCGAAAAAAAAGATGCGCGTTCAAAAAATAAATAAACAAAAACAAGACCAAACTAATAAAAGGAGGCCATTACTGAATTATAAGAACATTCTAATAGTTCAAGGGATAATCCAAGAAACATAGCAAGTGCTGAGCGCTTGTAATTAGATTCATAGAAAACTCCATTTGATATTAATCTGTATTTAAGAAAGGAAGACTCAGACAGTTCAAATGGTTTTGGAACTGCCAACTTCATTCTTAAGGATGTGTAATCAATTGAAAAACAATCTTTAAAAGAAATTTTAAATAATAGAAGAAATTAAAAGGAATAATCCCAAGCATCTTCAAAATAGACTCCGTTGCTTCCATAAATCATCATCAATGATGCAGATAATGAAATATAGGAAGAATAGTTTTAGTTTCAAAATGAAGAAGATGAAGATGAAATCACGGATACTAGAGTTGAAGTGAGACATGGAAACATCATGAGAGCATTAGAAGAATTTGGAATCAGTTTTGATAATAATCAATAAGCTATGAATCAAACCAAATTAACAGATAGGAGTAAGAGATAAACTAAAAAATAATAAACAACCCTTTCTAAATAATTAGATCATCAAGATAAAGACAGAGTGCTTCAGGAAAATTATCAAAGAAACTTAGAAGAATTCATTAAATATCAAGATAAGATGGATGATCTTCAAATCAAAATGGATCTAATGAATCTTCAACCTGAATTTTGGTCTAAATAAGATGATCTAATACATATGATCAATCAATATGAAATCCCCCTTAACTAAACTGTCATCAATAAGTAAAATCATCTAATTATATATTTAGTAAGAATTTGCCACTCTCCTCCTATTCCAAAATGCAAGGGATGACAACAATTGAGAATTCCAACAATCAATTCTAGGGAATCAATAGTTTTGATGATTAAGAGGAAATACCTGAATTTTAATCCATGGATTCAAATAGACATTCTAAGAGTATCGATGTAGATAGCAATGAATATCACGTATATAAGAGATTGATTTAAGATTTAAGAAGTGAATTTTCTAAAGAAAAAGTTATTAGTTCAATTAATGTTATTATTTATTTTGATTATGTTTTAGTATTTCAAGTTTAGATCAGAAGAGAACAAAGCAAAGAGCTTCTATGATTTGTTATTGATGAGTCGATTGGGTTTCTGTTAAATTAAAAAAGAACAGCAAATAGGAAACTATACAAACATGTTAATAGAATTATGAAATAATTAGAATTTATTATATATACATTTTCCTTAAAGATATTATTCAAGGTTGGTTTTAAATTATCAAAATAAATGATTCTCTTGCGATCTTTAGTTAAAAATCTAAAAAATGTAATTAAATAACTGGATTATAATTATGAATACATTTCTACAATAAGAAAAATTAATATTAATATTACTTATTTTTAAATAAGTTTCATAATATTATTAATAATTTAGCAGTTTATAATTGTATTAATTAAATTAAGACAATCAATTGTAATAAAGATATTGATAAAAAATGTAAACTTATAAACGTATTTGACATATAAATCAATATAAAATCATGATTAAACTTGAATATGAACTTCGTGATCCCTTTATTGCAAATCTTGTTTTGCAAAAATGTTAAATATCTATTCAATAGATGCTTGCTTAATAGAGTACTGGGAAATCGTCAATTATTATTTATTCTTTTCAAAAGCTGAGAATAACTTTCCTGCTGTAATATTGGAAAGTAATCTAACTCTATAAAATGTTTGGAAGTGCTCAATAACCTAGAATTGTCCAAGTTGCTACTATATAAAATTTAGCAATTCTCTTCCATTTGATTCAACAAGTACATACTCTGCTAATGTTTCAACACTAATTCCATGTCTACTTAAATCATTGTACAAGTGTGATCCTGACTCTTTAGGTTGGATAAAATTCATCAATTAAGCCTAGTTAATCTTTTATAGTGCACTGAGAGTGGCTGATTGATTAATTCTGATACCTTTGCTTAATCCCATTTGGTTAATAACTGCATCAAGTAGATTGGCGTGTGGTTTCTATAATTTGATTTCAACTTCATATCCTTAACCATACTTATTCTTAACATGCTAGACAGATCCAAAGCATCTCAAATTACCATCAACTTAAATGGCAATTTTGGTGGACAATGCCTCAGCTTCTTCCATTGAATGGGTAGTCAGTATGATTGAACTTTGTTTTCTTTAAGTGGATATTCTTGATATAACATTCCACATGAATCTTCTGGCCTCTGGATCCATACCAGTAGATGGTTCATCAAGAAATACAATTGGAGGATTACCAATCATAGCAATGGCAACTGATAACTTTCGTTTGTTACCACCTGATAATTAACCTGCCTCCACGGATTCAAATCTCTTAAGATCCATTTCAACCATCTTTTTTTCTACCAACTCAGCAAGATGAAATTGAGAAATTCCCTTAATTTTAGCAAACAATTCCAAATGTTCTCTCACTGTAAGATTATCCAACAAAGCATCAAATTATGGACAATATCCGATGTTTTTTCTTGCATCTTAAATTTAATCAATAACACTATGTCCAGAAACATAGGCAACTCCAGATGTAGGTTTTAGTTCTCCAGATAATATTTTGAATGTAGTTGTTTTACCAGCTCCATTGACACCCAATAAACTAAATACTTCTCCATTTCCAACTGAGAATGAGATATTGTCAACTGCAACCTTATGCTATTTCTTTTCTAACATAAAGACTTTTCTCAAATTCTTAACCAAAATGGCTTGGTCTTATGGTTGATAATTCTGACAGAGTTATTATTCTCTCTCCACATCATCATCCAATACCTTCGGTTTATATGGAATGGATGCTTCATTTGATCCTAACTTTTATAATGAACCATTATCTTCAAAGAATTCCAAAATAAACACTATGATCATATATCCAACTCCACTGATTGCAAGTACAATCAAATCTTCACCTGCTACTCTCATTGCAAAAGTATTAGGTGGAGTAATAGAGTTCTAAAATATCAATTCAAAGAATTGCTTCATGCTTGTCCTCAACAATCCCAAAGCAAAGGAGAATGAGGGCAATGGTCTAAATACCCACACCAAATAGGAAGCTACATCTCTAGTAGTTTCAATTAGGAAGAACACATAAATGACAATACTAATGATCGAGCCAAACACAAGGTGAATGAAGAAGGATGATAACAATGAATTTCCTGGCACTTTGAAAAAGAAACTCAATGCATAACTAAATGGTATGATGGCCCATCCATATAGTATAAAGAATAGAAATATTGCTCCGTAATTACCATCCAAAATTAATGCATCTATATCAAATGCTAACACCATTAAAGCACTTACGATTGCAGGTATTAAATGCTTGACAATGTCTATTATCCAATTACTTGCCCAATAAGCTAGAACTGATACACCTGAAACTAGTTATTGATGTTTAATATTGATTTCCCTTTCTTTTACAATGAATGAAATAATTGAGGCAGGGATGAATGCAAAACCAATTGAAAATATAAAGGCTGATAGATATCCTGCTACCGATTAATCAATACTCTTTTCACTATGAGTTTATGGGAATGGATAAAATGATATTTGAAGACTGGCTGATGCAGTATTTGTAATTTTCCTTAGGATTGCTTAGTTCATTTGATTTAAAAGTAGTGGAGAACTTTGAACAAACACTGAATTCTGTAAAAACCAATAGGAATAAGTGGATCCAATAAATTAATTTAAGAAATACCAACCTGGACTTTCTCTTAATTCAAATTAATCAAAGTATTCTTTATCGGCTTATTCTAAATTTGTAGATAATTGCGAAATGGTCCAATCATCGTTTGAGAAATATTGCATCAATTCTAGACCTGCTTAATCTCCTCCCCAAAACGTTTATAATTTCAAATCACCATAAAGACCTTCTGGTGTAATCATAGCTAAATCGTCGTCTTTAATCCATTTCACAGTCATTATAGCCAATCCAGATATAACCACTAAAATAGGCACGAAGATTTCACAAACCAATCCTCTAATATCTCTTTTGAAAATTCTGAATCTCTTCTCCATCAGTGCAAACAAATGCAAAAAGAAAGTGGAACAGAACCCTTCAATTCTTTGAATATTTAAATCTACATTTTAATTAATCTGATCATTATTCTCCTTATTTTGTACATCATCAACTTATTCATGACCAGCTCCTATTTTAGCCACTTTTAAGAAGACTTCTTCTAAAGTAGTAATGCTGATTCCATATGTGGCAATGTGTAAAGATTTCAAGTTTGCATCTAGATATTCAAACAAATTTGGGAATTTGTCAACTGAATCAATAGGTAATTGCATAACTACTTCAGCTGAAACATTAGACAGAACAGTTGCTGAACTGACATATTTAATAACGTTGTCTATGATTGGTTAAGACTAAATTGATGTACTGTCTTTCACTAGAGTCAAATTGTATCCAACTCCAAATCTATTCTTTAAGAATACACTGCTTCCAGAACACAATAATTTACCTTCGCCCATGATTCCAATTCTATCCCCTAAGAAATCAGCCTCATCCATAAAATGAGTTGTTAAAACTATGATTCTATTGTCTTTGTAATTCTTTAACATTTCCCAAATATATCTTCTTGCACTTGTATCCATTCCTGAGGTAGGCTCATCTAAATATACTAATTTTGAATTTCCAATAAATGCAATAGCAACTGACAATCTTCTTTTTTAACCGCCTGATAAATTCTTACTGAGATAATCTGTTTTATCAGTTAAATCAACATCAGCTATTATTTTAGTTATTTAATCTTAAATTTCACTTGATTTCACTCCTTTGAATTAAGCAAACAACTCTAAATGTTCTTTCACAGTCAGATTATCAAATAATATATCATGTTAAGGACAGACTCCCATTATTTTTCTTAGCTCTGATAATTAACTTTTGACATCCAAACCATACCCAACAACATCTCCTTTTGTAATTTCCAGTAATCCTGTCAACATTGAAATTGTTGATGTCTTACCAGCTCCATTATGTCCTAATAGTGCAAAGATCTATCCTTAGTACATGGATAAATTGAGGTTACTCACTGCCTATTTTCCATTGGGATATGTTCTATACAATCCCTTAATAATAAGGGCCTCATTTTTCTATTCCTATTCTTTCAAAGCCTATTCTACTTCTTCAAATTTATCATCATGAGTATTCATTCTTTCAATTGACATTGATTTATGACTTACTCTGTCTGTTCTATTCGATTCCCAAATCCAACTGATGAAGAACAATGGATGTTTCTTAACACCCCATTCATTTGGAAATACTTAGTCCAAATATACGGCTAAAATAAAATATGCAATAATGTTGATGATGTGCCAAGTCCAAGCTATGGAAATACTATAATTGTTTATGGTAGTTGTCAAATTGGACTCATTAAATCCATTACCTTGTGATTCCATAAGAGTGATCACGCCAGTTGAAAATGCTAATGAGGCTTGACTTGAAAATGACACTCCCCAATATTGACTGCTACTTGGAATAGCATTAGCAGGTACCAAGTTCAACATCAAAAACATTAGTAAATACCAAACAATTGAAACTATGAGTCCTGTTAAGGCTTATGAGAAAAACACTGATAAAAAGAGCGATTACACTATCAGAACCACACAATACAGATAGTAATTTAGGAATACAAATCCCCAATCAGACTCTTTGAATATCATACTTTCTAAGATAATATATATGAGAACATACTTAGAATAACTGTTGCCAAGGCTGATATAATTCCATATATTATCAAGTACTGAATTATCCAGGACAAGTAAAATTGAGTGTTGCTTAATCCCATTATCTTCATTCCTTCTCTTAGCTTCTTCTCTTTCTCATAAATAATCCCGTGTGTCATTCTTAAAAACACAATCATCAAAGGTAGTGCCAGGTAGATTCCATAAGCTCCGTTTACAAAATCTGGAAACTTATCTTCAATGTGATCTCTTGATCTGACATGACTTAGAGTAGGCTCTATCGTTGCAGATGTATCATATTGTTGTATAATTAAATTATCAATCCAATTTTAAATAGTTAAAAATCCATTCTCATAAAATAAGTAAGTAATTTCTTGGTCTTCGCTAAAATATATCAAAAAGATAATTACTATTTAAATGAGTTAATCTTGTCCTTTCTATTTAATGGGTATTCTATGTAATCTGTTGAATCTGAAGTGTTGAATCTTAAAGAGTAACTAAAATTCTTAAGATTAATGTCATTTGTTTCAAACATAATTGCCAAGCAGAGTCCTCTTGTTTCTTCTAGCTTATCATATCCTTCCGATCTCACATAGTCGTCAATTTCATCATTAGAATTGAACCACTTAACTTGGTACCCATAATAATCAACGAAGTAAGTTGATAATTTTTAGGCCAAATTATTCTCCTCTGGTCCAATGCCTATCAATCCATTTCTATAAGAGGCTCCTTTATAATTTGTATTATCTATGCAGTTCCTAACATATAATCAAGTATTTACTTTAATTGAGGCAGTGATTTCAACAAATCTTCACTGTCTTGATTTGGATTCTATGGAAAGTTATTCAAGTTTGGGGCTAAAATCCTAGGCAGATCTGAGTCTTTGGTGAGTTTTAGGTAAGATGTTTCAGGAATATCATCTATTTCAACTTAAGCTCTAGTCTTCAACATAAATAGTTACCTAATTGTTATCAATAACCCAATGAAAAACAAAGGGAGTAAAATTTCACAAACAGAACAACAACAATTCCTCTTCCACAATATGTAGTTCTTTCTTAGTAAGGCTGTTAAGTGAGACATGATTTAGTAATTTATTTAATACAGACTTTCTATAAAATCAAACTCTTAAATGGGAGCGTTCTATAAAAAATTTTCATTTTTATGGAACATTTTAATTTTTCCCTATTTATAGTATATTCAATAAAAACAAAATATGTATTCTGTGTAATTATATATTAAATAATAATAAATTTTGTAATTAAAATTATTTAAAACTTAAGTCTATATTTCTTAAATTTCTAAGTCGAAATCCAAATGTTTCCCCACATCATTTCTTAAGATACAGTCATATTTATAGTGTTTTATTTTAAGGTTTTAAGACTATTTCGAATGGTAATTTAGATTATAGATTTAACTGATTAGTATTCAAATTTGATCTAAAGCTTTTCACAGTGTGGAATTTCAAAAGGGTAACAAATTTACAACGGTAGAATGTTGGAAACAGAAGAAAGTTAAGAAATATTTACAAATTATATTACTATAAAATATAATTGGGGAGTGAATTAAAAATTGAATATTTTTTATTAAAGAGAAGAGGGGGGTTTATAAACTTGGTAACTCTTAACTAAATTTGAATTTTTTATTTATTTTTTGAGATGAGCAGCAGAGACGAATTGCTTTATATGGCCAGACTCACAGAGTAAACAGAGAGATTCGAGGACATGGTTAACTACATCAAACAATTAGTTAGTGTAGGATAAGAATTGTCAGTAGAGGAGAGAAACTTGCTCTCTGTTGCTTACAAAAACAGCATTGGAGGAAGAAGAACAGCATGGAGAGTCCTGTCTAGCATTGAGAACAAGGAAGAAGGAAAGGTATAGAAATCTCACTTTTTATTAATTCAAAAACTTATACCTTATATTAAATCATCTTTATATCATTATTGTAGGCTCAAACAAATCCAGCAAGTCAAAGAAACCTCACATTAATTAGATCTTACAAGAAAAAAATTGAATAGGAATTGAACGGATTTTGCAATGATGTCCTCAACCTCATCGACACATCCCTCATCAGGACAGCTACAAACTCAGAAGCTAAAGTCTTCTATTACAAGATGAAGGGAGATTATCATAGATATATCTCAGAATATTCAAGCGGAGACCAACATAAGCAAGCTGCTGATGGTGCATTGGAAGCTTATCAACAAGCCTCAAATGTTGCTAATTCAGAGCTCAAAACCACAAATCCAATTAGATTAGGTCTTGCTCTCAACTTCTCAGTTTTCTACTATGAAGTCTTGAACGACCCAACAAAGGCATGCAGCTTAGCTAAACAAGTATATATATTTTCAAAATATCTTCAAGGCTTTCGATGATGCTATCGCTGATATCGAATAAATCGAAGAATCATAATATAAGGATGCCACCACAATTATGCAATTAATTAGAGACAACCTCACTCTTTGGACTTCTGAATTAGAAGATGAAGAAGGACCCAAATGATAGAGGTATATGAAATATATATATATATAAAATATAAAAATATATAAATAAACACCATTAAATTAATCTAGCCTTTAATCATAAAGGTAGATTCTTGAATCAAGTCTAGGTAAAGTTTGGGCTTAGTAAATACTTATGAAGTAAAATTTATTATATAAATATTAATATGAAAGGAAAAATCTTTTTTCTTATTTATAAACAACCATATGATATACAGCGAGTTTCCAATCTTGAATAAATTAAATGCCATTTATAAATTTTAGTACAAGTCATTTTTTTGATTTTTAACCATTAGAGATTATTACTATTGAAAATCTTGTTTAGATTAACTTGCTTGAAATTAAACATATTCAAATCTATAATTTTGTCTAAGGAAAATAAGTTAAAGGGATCTTGAAGAATGAATCTAAATAGAATAATAGTTAATAACTTAACAAATTCAGTGTTATTTATTAATTTAGGAAAGATTTAGTTAAAATGACATTCCAAATATAATAGATAAATTATTATGTAATTTCATTAAGCGATTGATGATAAATAATAATATAAATCATGAATGAATGTAAAAGCATATTGGAATAGATAAATCTCCAACATTTTGAATAGTTACTTATTTTTTAATAATATTTAAGGTTTTTGGTTTGAGAATTCTTTAAGAATGAGTTGATGTACATAATATATTATGATATTGATGTCTGATTGCAAATTTTAACTCGCAATCTTGGTTCAGAATTAATTAAATGGATTAATTTTGTTGTAATCTTATTATGAATGCAAATCCTGATTCTAAGATTCTATATTTGGTAATAAAATTTACAATGCTTGGATTCGTTAGATATTTATTTAGCTCCTATGTTATCTCTTTTTTTTAATAATTAATTAGTTAACTTAGGGATTCATTCATTTGTATTTCTGAAATTGAAGATTCAAATAAATGTAGTGGATTAATTAGTTTTTCAATGTTTAAATTGGAAATTTCTTAAAATGAATTAATTTGATTGATGATCTCCATTTGTGATTCTTCTTATTATTTTCTTACAGGAGTCTAGAGACAAGAGGCAGTGAGGATCTGCTGATTGAAGACATCCTTTTGTTAATGTTCAAGTATTATTTGATAGAGATTCTTTGATCTTGGTTGCAGCCAAGTTGTAGTGTATTTATATTCGGTTGACTTCATAAATTATAAAATAATAATCAATCATTTAGTAATGCCATTCTAACATTATTTCTACAGGATGGACATAATGGTTTTGCGTTTAGCCATTCATCAATACAAGTATCATGGAAATAATGATTACATTTCGGGAGCTGCACTACAATTTCCTCTTATTCTAATTAGCATAAACAAATTGGACAGTCTTCTGGTTATGGTACTTGGTATTCAACCCATGGTTTTCTAGTCAACTTCAATAATTCTTCTGGAGATAATCCACGATTAACTACTGGGAAGTCTCCTCTAATCAGTCCGAAAATCACGATAAGGACAAAAGTGATTATAATGCAAAAAGAAAGAGCATAGCAAAGTGCATTACAGAGTAAAAACAAATCGAAAACCCATTAACAAATCTATTAATTGTGTATTGTACTATAATGTAGATTGATCCACTGGGAGTTTAGGCTTGGAATGAATTAACAACCTTCACAGTTGCTAAGAATATTGTCATTTCATATTCAAATCTGCTTTTCTGTTTATAGAATCTACATATAAGAAATAGAAGACCTATAAAATGCAAAACAATTTTCGATTCTTATGAGCAACAACACATTAATGCTCATCAATATTCTTGCTTAATTAGCATTCAAATTAGGCCACTCATAAATAATAAACAAAGTAAAGAGGATAGGCAGTACATATTTGAAAAGTCCTTTTATTAAAAGTCTTATGATATTTAAGATCATTCTCAAAGTTGTTTTAGGTATAAATTTTCCTAATTTATATTTTTTAATTTAAAGAAATTCATTAAGGAATTAGAAATCAATGTATTTTTATATAATTAATCTAATCGTATGAATAATATTTAGAAGACATAAAAATACCAAAAATATTATATCATTCTGTCATTAATTATTTTTCTTTTTTATTCATCATCAATGGCTTTTTAACCTTATTTTGGTATAATAGTCCAAGCTAAAATACTCCGAACATAATCCCTACTGTAATTACACTTATAATGTATGAAATTCCATTTCGCCAATTGATTCCTGGATATATCTCAATTCCTGACACCAAAACATAGAACATGTTTACAATTAAATAGATAATTGCAATCACTATCAACACAACAGATTATCTATATCTATAATATTATTTTACTTCAATTAAAATTAAATATCATTGAGTATAAAGTCCACAAAGATGAGAATGCAACTAACAAAATGCACATCTACATTCACCAACCATGAATTAAGTGTGTGAACATCGTCTTATGGAAATATATAGCTCCAATAAATAACCAAAATAGGTAATTCAAAGCAAAATGCTACAATAAACAAAATATGACACAATTTCCACAAACTCTCATCAAAAAATTATTTATTAAACTTATAAAACGACACGTTCTCAATACTAACCAATCCAAAATAAAAATAAGTAGTATAACCTCCCCATAAAGTTAAATAGAGGAAATTTTGTGAAAATGTAGGAGCCACAACACTTACTTAAATTAAAGCATAAGTCATGAAAATTGAAGCAAAAAGTCTATAGATCATTAAGTATTTAAATTAGACTCTATGAGATTAATTCATTTCATTAACAATGCCCTCATATAATAGTTGTTCTAATTATTTCATTTAATATAAATTATATATATAGAATTAATCAATCAATGCTTCTCTATCTTATTAACATGTGATACTTAGGAACCATAGTAGATAATGTTTTATCTTCTTCAATAAAATCATCATCAATCACAAAATAATCATTTTAAGATTAAATTAAACTTTTGAAGTATTTAGATTCAAATTAATTTTCCTCATTTTAATTTTATTTTTATAAGAGTGGAGAATCACAAAAACTTCCCTTTTAGCCCCACAAAGGAGTGCTGCTTTTAATAATGTTATCTTAGTTTTTACAAATGCACATTTAAGGAACTAAATTGACTGGCAGATTACAAAAAGTTTCTGTTTTTGGATTAGTAAACCATTCATGCAATAAAGCTTCCTCGGCTGTAGGTCTTTTAGATACATTTTCTTCTAAAAGTAATTTCACCAAACTCTAAGCTTATTCACTAATATTTTTATTGTGAAACTTATCGTAATCGATTCGACAAAAATAATTACTCATTAATAATTCTTCACTATTTTCATAATTAGCAAATGGCATTTATCCAGTAAGTAAAACAAATAAGATCACACCTGCTGAAAAAATGTCTACTTTATGATTATAAGCTTAGTCCTTTAAAACCTCTGGGGCAACATAACCAACTGTGCCACATTTTTAAAATAAATAGATCTTATTTTCATTGTAAATATCAGAAAGACCGAAGTCTGCAATGACAATATCTATCATATTAGATTTAGTTCTAAAAATCATGTTTTCTGGCTTGATATCTCTATGGATTATATTCTTAGCATGTAGATATTTTAAGGAATTTAAAATATTATTCATTAGATTCTAAACAACATGCTCAGAATAATCTTCCAAAGAGTTTTATACCTTCTTGAATAGATCCCCTCCTCGCAGATGATCTATAATTAAATACACCTTTTCCGAGTCTTCAAAAACTTCATAAAGTTGAATAACATTCTCATGGTCAAGTTTTCTCATCACATCTATCTCCAAAACCAAGCTTGCCTAAATATAATTAAGTTCATACCACTCCTTTCTCTTTTTATACTATTTTCGCTTTTTTAAAAATTTTGACAGCAAAAATGCTTGAATCTTATTTCTTCTAGATTTTGTACACTTTTGCGTGTGATCCCTACCCAATAAGTTTGAGTATCTTATAGTGCTTTAAAAAATTCCTTTGGATTGTGTATTTAGCTATGTAGGATTTCCATTTCTAAATTACGTGTTCTTCACCAAACAACTAAAAAAATTCATTTTTCCCTGACAATTACAAACCTTGTACCTAAGCTGATATGATATTTATACTTCGTTATGAGTTATGCTCTTTAAATTTAGATTACTTATATTAACAAAACAATTAGTTGAAATCAAGTATTAATTAACCAACTAGTATTAAGGTCTGGCAATCAATTGATCACACTGATCCTTAATGTAAATTGGGCTATCATTTGGAGATTATCGTAATTGACGATCTATTTCTGAGTATGTTGGTTAACCTTGAATCCATAAAGATCTCATTCTTGTTGGGTATTATTCAAAGATTGAATAGTCAGATGAATTCATAATAAGAGAATAATAATGATTTCAAATAAAAAAACTGTCGAGTATTTATAGACAGAATTATGAATTTTTTGGATTATTAATATTCTGCTCATATAAATATACGAAATTTAGTTTTATTTAATTAAAAGCCTATTCATTTATTAATTAGGATATTGTTATTCATATATTATAAATATTATTATTACCAAATTTAGATTTTTTAGAATTCCTCTAACAGGATTAAACTATATAATGAAAAACATCATTATATACTTAACTGAAATACTTTCATTTTGAATAATATTATCGTTGTATTATATTTTATTTAAAATAATTTCAGAAGAGTTGGTGAACCTTTCTAAATTGTGAAGTGTATAATTAATTTTAATCCACTAAATGATGAAATCCATTTTTTTCTTAGTTTTGTCTAAATGAAATATAATCATAAAAGACAATAGTTTAGATTAACTTCTCCAAAATATATACTGGAATAGAAAGGAGTTATTTTGTTAGATTATAAATACGCTTCAAGATAGTTTAATTTCTATTTTAATTGATTTTTTGACACTATTTTATTGGAATGTAAGAATTTAAATCTGAAAAATCACCTTCTAAAAGAAATAAAATGTTTCCCTAATATTTATTTATAAATATTTATAAAAAGCTGTTATTAAATTTTAATGTCAATTAATGATCAAATTAACTTATCTATAGATAAACAATTATCTTTAGAATAGTGTTTCCAGGAAGAAAGCCCAAATATAAAATCTCTGAAATAAGTTCTTTATTAAATAAGATGATAAATTTATAGGAGTTAGGATGAATTAGATGAAGGACTTAATTCAGAGAAATATTTCAGTTTAAATTAGAGTCAATTCTGATATACACCCTAAAGAATTCATATTTAAAAATTGGTATTATAAAAGTAATTAGACGATCAATGGAGAGTAAATTGTAGTATAATTGATGATTCAGACAATGAAGATGATTAATCTAGATATATCTAACATATGAAAAAATCTTAATTAATGTCATTAAAAACCAATTTACGAAAATGATTTTATCAATAGGTATAAATCTAGAATATCAAAATGTAAACTATAAATTTATTCTGTGAAGAAAAGTTTGAATCGAGATATAAAAATTAAATACAATTCTAATTAAGATGAATCAAATCAAGATAATATAATTCGTATACTGATTCAGTTGAAATTAAATATTTTGATAATACATAAATTTATCTAGTTAGTCGTCTTTTTACCATGCAAGGAATGTTTATTTTTATTGAATAAAGGAATGAGTTCCTAATATTGTTCTTAATATTGTAATGTGAATAAGGAAGGACCATCAAATTAAACATTACCAAAAAGATTAGCAAAGTATTTCTTGATATTTATTTAATTTATTTTATAGATAAAACTATGTATATTAAATTAATCACTAAAACTCCTTACAAACAGTTGGATACAATGTTTTATATTATTCTAAATGAGCTATTGAAAGAGGTGGAACTTCAGGATACTTGGCGGCCAATTTTTGTAGCCATTTAGGATCTGTTGGATCTATTAAGAATTCATAATATATTCTTGCTAAACATAATTCTATTTAAATTAGGGTATTTAATTACTTTTAAAGGCTTCTAATTAAAAATAGACAGCTGCTTGAATCAGTTATTTGAGTAGTTCACCAATAAATGGATTCACTGAGAGCATCAATTCTTTATCGTGCTAATTTAAAAATAATTAATCTGCATTTAAAGCTCCTCCCATTATTTTTTATGGTTCAAATTTATTATGTTCATAATATTTCTTTATGTAAACAAATGCTTTATATGTTACGCAACTTTATGGGATTTCAATGATCTTATTTAAATTTTGAATAAATTACTTCATCAGGATCATTTTCTTTCTCAAAGATTTCTTTAAAAAAACTGCTCACATTTGCAAACCTTTGGTCTATTTGTTCAATCTCTTTTTCTATCTTCAACTTAATAATTCTTAGCTCTGCTTACTGTTGATTCATTAATTAAATGATTAATCGATAAACCCTTTTTTAGGAATGCTATCTTTTATTCCCAAAATGTACATAATATTTTGTAATATCATTTAGAAGAAGATATTTGTTATATAGTGGATAAAATAAAGGTTAGGAAAATATTTGAAGGCTAAGTTGAGTTCGATGAGAAAGAAATGGAAATCCTAAAATAATTCGAAGCATATCTAATATCTAAACGCTTTATGCCCAAGTTCTCACTCAATTAATTTTAGGTGGACTGAGCCTTAATTGCTGAGGATGCTTTATGCTACTAAATTTAAGTTTGAAAAGACATACGCAGCCATACAGGCCTATATATAATGGAGAAATCAAGCATTTCCACTCAAAGAAAATTAGGAAACAACAAAATTCTTAGTAACAACTGCTGACATATATTTTTTAGTCAAGTGGTTCAATTTATCTTCATGGAAGAGACAATAGATTTCGACCAATAATAGTGGTCAATGCAATTAAATTGGCAGCATAAAAAAATATCGACATCACCTTAGATTCCATGACAATATTTCTCGAACATGTGTTATCAAATTACATGTTACCTGGATAGATAGAAAATTGGTAAAATATAAATTCCTAACTCTATAATAGGGTTGTTGTAATGGATTTAGGAGGTTTGGGAATTACAAGTTTGCCCAGATAACAACTCTAAAGAGTATTAGATTATCTTCAAAATAACTATCGATCTAGAATGCATAAATGTTATGTAATCAACTGTCCTAGTACAATCACCTTCTCTTGGAATATTGTCAAAGGATTTTTGGAAGAAATCACTGTAAGAAAAATCTCGTTTGAAAAATCTTCAATTCCAACCGGACTGTTTGAACATTGTCATAAATCATAAGTGGAATAAAAATATGGTGGAATTTCTTTAAATATTGATAATAAATTTTGGTATTGAAATAGTTTATTTACTTAAGGCCTCCTCATGAGATTAGTGAATAGTACTTTTTACCAACTGATAATATAACTGATATACTCATTTCAAAGCAACAATATAATCAATTATATCAATTTGGTAAACTGTCAAAGAATCGACTTTGTAAGGAGCTTCTTGAAGACATGAGATAATCCTTACAAAATACTAATACGGAATAACATTTAGACAAAAAAATGAAAGAAGAGGTACCTGATCCAGAAGAGGAACAATAAGTTATTAATGATCTCATTTAAAATAATTAAGGTTTTTACAAACCAAGAGTTGAAGAGTCATTCGATATGCCTCTTTGTGAAACTAAAATATAATTACCTTTCAATTTTATAGCTCATAAAAAAATGCTAAAATATTGAAAGGAAATTATTATATATATATATTTCTATATTTAATATAGTAATATCATCTTCTAATCACTTAAATCTTAATTATTTATAAAGTATTAACATATTTAAATAGTATTAAGATGAATTATATGACTAATATATTAATTATATATTTCTAATTTAAATCAAATGGGGAATGATTGTTCAAGTGCATGCAACGTATGCAAAAATTCAGAAACTGTTATTGATGCCACTTCGTTTCCTAACGATTTAAAATAATATGAGAACACAAAAAATTTAGATTATACAAATGTGTCTAATTAACAATAATAACAATCACTGTAATAACAGAACTTTAGTTAATTTTAACATCAACCCCTCGTGACAGAAGAAATGCATTCTCCACATCCAGAATAGTTTAGATCTAATTCATAATTACAATAATACTTCTCTTAAGCTGACAAATAGGAAACAACCAATTATCAAAATGATCTAAATGCATACCCAGAAAGAAGACCACCATTTACCTTTAAAAGTGGAGCTATATATGATGGTGAATGGAGAGGCTAAGTACGAGAGGGTTTTGGACTTTAAATATGTAATCCTATGATCTGAAGCTAGGGCCTGATGGAGCTAGGTATGAAGGATAGTGGAAAGATAATAAAGCTTGTGGTTAAGGAAAATTTTGGCATGTGGATGGTGATATTTATGAAGGGGAATGGAAAGAAGATAAGGCAAATGGCTTTGGAGTTTATATACATGTGAATGGAGCTAAATATGAAGGATAATGGAAAGACGATTTATAAGATGGAAATGGAGTTGAAACTTGGGCTGATGGCTCTAAGTATGAAGGTAGTTATAAAGAAGGGAAAAAGCATGGGTTTGGTAGATATATATGGAATGATGGATCATCATATGAGGGCAATTGGATTGATAATAAAATATGTGGAAGAGGAATCTATTGTTGGACGGATGGTAGAGTATGAAATTATTTAATTATAAGAAATATGATGGGGAATGGTTAAATAACAATATGCATGGTAGAGGAGTCTACACTTGGAGAGATGGAAGAAGATATGAAGGAGAATATTAATATGATAAGAAACATGGTCAAGGAGTATACATATGGGCAGATGGAAGAAGTAATTAAGTATGATAAATCTAAGAATATGATGGACAATGGGCTTATGGAAAACAAAGTGGGTAGGGAAAGTATCATCTTCCTGATGGAACTATTCGTCTGGGTTTATGGGAAGATGGAAAAAGAGTTAGATGGCTGGAAGATGATGCATCAGTGAATAAAAGTAATCAATAACGTTACTGATCTAATCAATTTTATTTTTATTCCATTAAATTTAATTTTTTCAATTTCTAAAAACATAAACTAAAATGTTGATATCAATATCCTGTTATTTCTGACAATCTTACAATTTCTTTTGAACCTTAGTTTTAGTATATTAAACTTCAACTAAGTTGTCCATTTCATTTTTGCAATAAAATACAAATTATTTTCATCAATAGAATTATTGCCTTTAAGTTTAGACCTAAAAATAATAGGAGCAAACCAAATCGTCTAATATTTCGAAAGATGAAAAAGGAATATATATAATTAACAATATAGAGAATATAGAAAAGTAACTATGACTGAAACGGAGATTTTAGGTTTTAAATGGTCTTAATCATTTTAATATATAAGTGCTACATTATTAAATAAATAAATAAATAAATAAATAAATAGATGTATCCCTAAAATTCTGAATGAGATTTAGAAAAGAATATTATAGTTGTTATTTAATCATTTTAAAAACAAAAGTGTTGATTTTAAAAGAAATAATTATAATTTTATATTGAATTTGTTGAGATCTAATTAATTATTAATTAAAAATATCAATAAAATGTAGGAAAACTAAGACTCAATAAATTAAGATCGAAATTAATAAACTAATAATTCATAATAACAATAACTGGAATAATAGAACTTCAGTTAAGTTTAACATCAGCCTCTCGAGACAGAATAAGTAGAGTCTACATATCAGGAAGATTTTAATTCAAATTCACCATTACAATAATTATTATCTTAAGATGACAGATGGGAAACTAACAATGATCTAAATACATATCTAAAAATAAGACTACCAATTAACTTTAAAATTGAAGCTATATATAAAGGTGAATGGAGAGGCTAAGTAAGAGAGGGTTTTGGAATTTAATTATGTAATCCTATGATCTGATACTAGGGCCTGATGGAGCTAGGTATGAAGGATAGTGGAAAGATAATAAAGCTTGTGGTTAAGGAAAATTTTGGCATGTGGATGGTGATTATTATGAAGGGGAATGGAAAGAAGATAAGGCAAATGGCTTAGGAGTTTATATACATGTGAATGGAATTATGTATAAAGGATAATGGAAAGACGATTTATAAGATGGAAATGGAGTCGAAATTTGGGCTGAAGGCTCTAAGTATGAAGGTAGTTATAAAGAAGGGAAAAAGCATGGGTTTGGTAGATATATATGGAAAGATGGATCATCATATGAGGGCAATTGGATTGATAATAAAATCTGTGGAAGAGGAATCTATAATTGGGCAGACGGTAGAGTAAGAAACTATTTAATTATAAGAAATATGATGGGGAATGGTTAAATAACAATATGCATGGTAGAGGAGTACACACTTGGGAAGATGGAAGAAGATATGAAGGAGAATATGAATATGATAAGAAACATGGTCAAGGAGTATACATATAGGCAGATGGAAGAAGTAATTAAGTATGATAAATCTAAGAATATGATGGACAATGGGCTTATGGAAAACAAAGTGGGTAGGGAAAGTATTATCATCCTGATGGAACTGTTCGACTGGGTTAATGGGAAGATGGAAAAAGAGTTAGATGGCTGGAAGATGATGCATCAGTGAATAAAAGTAATCAATAAAATTAATGATCTAATCAATTTTATTTTTATTCCATTAAATGTAATTTTTTCAATTTCTAAAAACTTAAATTAAAATGTTGATATCAATATCCTGATATTTCTGAAAATCTTATAATTTCTTTGAACCTTTTTTTTTAATATATTAAAAACTCAGTAAAAGTAAAAATTCTATTGAAAAAAAATTCTTTCCCAATCAATCAAAATATTGTTATTCTTATTAATATTAACACACATATAGTATCAAATTCTTTATCTTCGTAATAAATTTTTCTAATTTCGTTTTTTTAACAATTTTTGCTAACATTTTTATCTCTTAATTGAATTAGAATTCTTACTAAGATAATTTTGAATGGTATTTTCATTATATGATGAAAGGATAAGTTGTAATTTTGCTATTTACAAATTTAAGGATATAATTTGAATAATTCTGTAAAATTATTAGGAAGACAATCAATTTTTATTGATTCAGATCCTTTGTTTTAAATTTCGATCATATTCCTTGGTGGTATATAAGTAATTTATCTTAATTGCATTTTATAAGTTGCTTATTAAGAGGCTCTCAGAATTAAGAACTAATGATTTGGTATTAAAGAGTAAGTGATTTCTACTAGATTTTTAAAACTTCCTTGTAAATTTTTTCTAACTCCTTAAAGATATTCTTTTATTTTTAGGAATGTATTGCATTTTAAAAATATAAAATATGGGGAGTAATTTAAGTCTACAGATGGTATTTTATTTCCAAAAAAATTGGTGAGATATCCATTTCAACTTCAAATTAATGTAATTAACTAGAAATTCTAGTTTATGAAAATTCTATGTTAATTTTCCATTGTTAACTACTAAAAGACCGAAGTATTTGTATTCTTAAAATACAGGAAAGTTCATAATATCACTGAAATTTGTAGGATTGTGAAGTAAAAAAATTCCACACTTTCGTTTGTTAATCTTTAGATTAACAGTATTATTATTGTTACTATTATTATTATTATAAATAAATAAATAAATATTAATTTATTAACAGACTCAATTTGTTTGTTGTCAAACCTCTTATATAAAATAAAATTTCATAAAAATAATGTTAAAGAGATATACGAATTGATTTAACTCTAATCATAAATTTGTAATAAAGTCCAATTAATATTAATTAAATAATCAAATAGTTTTTTACATATTAAAATCCTAAATTTAATGAAGAAACCCATCTTTCAAATCATTATTCTAAATCCATTTTTAAACAAAATCTTAGACTTCCTATTCATTTTACTTGTTATTTTATAAAACTTGAGCTGACTAATAGAGTAATAGTATTTTATCAAAATCGTTAATATTTTTATAATGCAATAACAATATTCAAAATAAGAAAACTCAAGAGATTTTGAAGAATTTCACAATATTGAGGAGTTGAAAGAATTATTCCTTTTGAATTCAATAAATGATGGATCAAGTTTTCAGAAAGTTTTGAAATTAGGAGGGGATTAAGGTTTGGCAAAATAATTGAAATCGCATCTATTAGTATAATTGAAAATTAATTAAAATAGAAAGGAATAGATTCTGAAGCTCAAGTTTAAGAGAATAGGGAGAAATTCGGAAATAATGATCCAATCGAAAAGGAGCCTGCATAATTATGTGAATTAATTTTAGAATGTTTTGGGGATACAATGTTATAAATTTTGTTAGCAGCTGCTCTGGTTAGCACTATAATTGGCATTATAAATGAAGGTGTAAAAACAGGATGGACAGAAGGGTATAACTTTAATCATATATCTAGAGCAACAATATTTTTAGCTGTTTTTTTAATTGTTTCAATAACAGCTGGTAATAATTATTTAAAAGAGAGATAATTTTAATAATTGAGACGTAAATTAGATGATGGAATGGTATAAGTAGTTAGGGGTGGAATAGTTGAAATATCCATAAAAGAAATAGTTGTCGGTGATATATTGTAATTTGGTATTGGAGACATTTTCCAAGTTGATGGTATTTGATTAAACTTAAATTTAGGTTTGATGATATAGGGTTCTTAAATTAAAGTTGATGAATCTCCAATGACTGGAGAATCAGATGAAATAAAAAAATTGCCATTTAATGAAATGACTCAATCATAATCAAATAGCAAGGATCATCATCATTATAGTCCATTTTTAATAAGTGGCACTCGATGTTTAGATGGAAATGGATATATGTTAGTATTGCAGGTAGGATAAAATACAATACAAGGATAATTAAAACTGTTATTAAATTAAGACAATCCTCCAACTCCTCTTTAATAAAAGTTAGAAGGAGTGGCTGAAAATATTGGAAAATTGGGTACTTTGGTAGCAATTTTAACATTTATTGCTTTGATGGGCCATTTGATTTATGATGTATTTGTGGATCATAAACATGAATTACTTACATTGCTATCCTTATAATTAATAATCGAAGCATTTATGATAGGAGTAACAATAATAGTTGTGGCTGTTCCAGAAGGTTTACCATTAGCAGTGACAATTGCATTGGCATATTCAGTAGGCAAAATGAAGGATGAATAAAATTTAGTAAAGAATCTAGCATCATGTGAAATTATGGGTGGTGCAAATAATATTTGTAGTGATAAGACAGGAACATTAACATAAAATATTATGCAAGTAACTGCATTATGGATTGAGAATCATACTTATATGAACCAAGAAATCAATGTAACTTCAAAGATTTCAAGATAATCTATAGAGATTATGTCTGAATCTATATGTTATAATTCAATTGCAAATCCAACGAAGGATAGGGATACTAATAGATGGACATAGATAGGGAATAAAACCGAGTGTGCTTTAATTGAATTAGCTGATAACTTTGGATTTAAATACTCTAATTATAGATTAAATGAAAGGATTCTTAGACAAATCCCCTTCAGTAGTAAAAGAAAGAAGATGGTGACTGCTATTTTAAATCCTAAAAATTAAGCTATTAGAATATTTTGCAAAGGAGCTTCTGAAATTATTTTAGCATAGTGTTTTAGATATGTTTCTACGAATGGTGTTGAATAGGTTCTTGATAAAGTGAAAAAAGATGAAATTTTGCATAATATTATAGAAAATTTTGCATCTCACTCTCTAAGAACTATAGCCATAGCTTATAAAGATCTGGAACCTTAAAGTTAAGCAATAAAGGGATTTGTAAATGCCAAAGCACATGTACATTAAATAAATGAGGATGACATTGATAAAGATCTAACTTTGATTGCCATAGCAGGTATCAAAGATCCAATTAGACCTGATGTTGCTGATTCTATAAGATAATGCACTAAGTCTGGAGTGACTGTTAGAATGGTTACTGGAGATAACCTAATTACTGCTTAGTCAATTGCACTTGAATGTGGGATATTAGAGAAGAATAGAGCCTAATAGGAATTTGAAGTAATTGAGGGCAAAAAGTTTAGAGATTTAGTGGGAGGACTAGTGAGTGCTAAAAATGAAGAAGGAAAAGAAATAAAAGTAGTTAAAAATATGTAGATCTTTTCGAAAATAAGCAGAGAAATGAAAGTAATGGCTAGAGCATCTCCAGAGGATAAATATCTATTGGTTACAGGATTGATTTAGGAAGGCAATGTTGTTGCAGTAACTGGAGATGGAACGAATGATGCACCAGCCTTAAAAAAAGCAGATGTTGGATTTGCAATGGGAATTACTGGATCAGATGTAGCAAAAGATGCTGCAGATATAATTCTAATAGATGATAATTTTAGTTCAATTATTACAGGTACAATTTTGTCTTATCAAATAGCTATGAAATGGGGTAGAAATATATATGATTGTATAAGAAAATTCATCCAATTTTAATTGACAGTCAATCTTGTCGCACTATTCATGTCATTTACAGGTGCTGTAATATTAAAATAATCTCCGTTAAATGCAATAGAGATGTTGTGGGTTAATTTGATTATGGATACTTTTGCTTCTTTGGCTTTGGCTACAGAACCTCCTTCTATCAAAGTCTTGGATAGATAGCCATATCGAAGGAGCGATTAGATTGTTTCACCAACAATGTACAGAACGATTGTTGGGGCGAGTTTATATTAAATCATAGTTCTTACGTTTATATTATTTCTACTACCGAAATTCATCGATTGTTCCATTCCTGAGGAGTTGATTGATTAAAAAGTAATTATTTTATTTATATCTATAAAGTACCCTAAGAATGTAGTGCAAATGAGTATCTTCTTTTAAGCATTTGTGTTGATGTAAGTATTTAATTCAATTTCCTGTCGATAATTAGATTATCACACTAGGAATCCTTTTGCTAATTTTTGTAATAATCCTTTGTTTTGGATAGTTTAAATAATCACAGTTATTGTTTAGGTCTTGCTTATTCAATATGGAGGAAAATATGTGAAAGTGTCTCATTTGACGTTGGAGTAACATTTATTATGTGTTGGTCTTGCCGTTGGTGGAATTATCTTTTCTGTTCTATTTAAATTCATTCCAGAAGGATTATGCTAAAAAATCCACTTATTTAGAGAAGAGGAGATCAAGACAGAAAAGATGGACTATACTTTAACAAGTAAATTAAGACGAAAGTCAACTATGCGTTTGCACACTAGTTAAAGAAGTAAGCACGATTTTGGTAGTTTGAACAAAATGAGCTCAGATAAAATATGAAGTTATTAATTATACAAATTAGTAATTTATAATAAATATCAATTTTTCAATAAAATCAAATTTGTTAAAAAATTATATTTGGTTGAGAACCCTCTATTTGAATTCATAAGAAATTTCTATATTTACATAAATCCATTCATCAAAATCAAACTAGATTTACTCTAATTTTAGTTTATTTTCACAAAAGTCTTTACAAGTATAAATCTAAAATAGATTTCTTACCCAAAGTACCTAAAATTAGAATATTCGGGCATTTAATCTAAAAATTCAATAATTTTAGTAATTTTATTATTTAACTAAAGCAAAAATTATGTAAAAGTAATGATACTATGATATTTAAAAGGGAAGACGTGGAATTCACTTACAAGTACTTTGTTTATAAATACATCTACATCAATATCGTTGTTCTCTTGTTCACCCTGTATTAATTTCAAGGGGCTCCTTTTGCTCTACCTCTCGGCTGCATGATATTAAATGAACTTGTGATTTGGATTAAATATTCAGGTGGATAGATAACAGACAATGTCGATCACGTTCTTCACATATTATTTTATGTAAGTTTGCTTCATTATTTAGATGTATGTCACAGTCATCTATTATTTAGATTTAAACTACTATATTTTTAGCAATACATTTGTAGTTTTCTCTTTCATTTTCAAGATAGCTTGTGATAAAAAATGTGAAGAGCATTATGAATATACTACAATTATACGATTAGTATTTTGTATTTATAATATAGAGTAAAATCTTTTATCGATTTTCATAATTGATAGCAATATTTTGTATCACATTAAAATTAAATCGATATGTAGATTGGACATGGTCATAAACATTTTGGTGGTATTGGATGTTTTTAAGTGCTTTAATAGGATCCGCAATAACATTTTTATTGATTTTAATTTCAAAATTAATTAGAATCCACAATAGCGCAATAATAAACCACTATAAAAATGAAAGTATAGCCTTATAATCTAATTTAGTTAAAATTCTTTTGTGGTTATTGTATATCGCCTCTTTAAGCAGTCTAATAGCAGGTATCTGGATAGTAAATACTTTGAATTTACTTGGAAATAATATAAATATCGAAATAGGAGATTTCTATATGTACATTACAATTTCTTTGAACATCCTCATTTTTTTTGGCATCTCTTACTTGCTTTTCAATTCTATTGTTGAATTTGTGATATCAATAAATTAAGTTGAATCTAGAGATTCCTCTCCAAAAATAACTACTTAGAATACGGAAAGATAAATGAAAAAAGAGTTAACAACAACATCAATTTTCATGTAGAAACTGTCAAATGCTTACTTCAAATAAATAAAAGATCTAGAAGGGGTGACACTTAAGGATACGAATTAGAATGAAATATTAACTGAGAGGAATGTGAATAATAAAATTATTAAAAAAAATAAAACTAGCCCCAATAATTCTAATAATAAATGCATTATTTGTTGTGAAAAGCCAAAAAATGCAATACTAATGAATTGTGGTCACGGAGGAATTTGTTATTAATGTGCAATTCAAATGGCTTAGAAGCAAAAGGAATGTTTTCTATGCAGATAGATAATTTAGTTTATCTATGAAGTTGATGAAAAGGATGCTAGTATATTGAAAAGAGTGATTTCAAAAACTAGAATATCCAATTGATACTATTTTTATTAATATTTTTAACAGTTATGAAATCTCAATTCGAAGTATACCTCAGACTGAAGCCTTCCAACAAGTAAGAGTAATCATGTAAAGAAGCTAATCCTAAAATGCGATGCAATACTAAATATATCAAAATAAGAAATTACAAGTATTATTGCCTAAACATGTTAAATTCGGGTTGATTAACAACAGCAGAGACAATTTGGATTTCAATTTTACTCATGTTTTCGATCAAAAATCAAGTTAAGAACACGTTTTTACAAATGTCACTACTCCTGTAATCAATAGGTATTCAACAATTTATTCAAATTTAGTTTTTTGGATGGCTATAATGCTACTATTTTTGCATATGGCTAAACAGGATCAGGCAAGACTTATACAATGAGTGGAGCTGAAACATGGTAGTTGAGAGGTATTATACCTAGAACACTCTCTTATATTTTTGATGAAATCGATAAAAGAAATAAATTTGAATATAAAATCTATATTTCATTCATGGAGATATACAATGAAAATGCTTATGATTTATTAGAGAAAAAACATTTAGAAACTCCCCTAGAATAATGGAATAAAGTATTTATTTAATAAATTTTAAGATAGCATTATATGAAGATGATTAGAACAATATTCATTTAAAAAACTTATCAATTCATTAATGTAATAATGAACAAGAAGGAATCGATTTGCTAATGATGGGAAATTTTATTAGATAAGTCAGTTCTACTCCTATGAATTAATCAAGTTCCAGATCTCACTGTATTTTTACAGTAACTCTTGAAGGATATGATACCACAAGTGAGACTTGCTTTGTTAGCAAATTACATTTAGTTGATTTAGCAGGATCAGAAAGAATTAGTAAATCTTAAGTAGAGGGTAATTTATTGAACGAAGCAAAATACATCAATTTATCTTTAACTTACTTAGAATAAGTTATTATAGCTTTAAATGAAAGAATGAAGGGAGCCAATAGATAACATATCCCATATAGAAACTCTCTGATGACCACATTGCTAAAAGATTCTCTGGGAGGTAATTGCAAAACTGTGATGATTGCTACAATTAGTTCTGAGAATGATAACATCGAAGAATCATTATCCACTTTACGATTTAGTCAAAGAGTGGGACAACTAGAAAATGAGATAAGGCGAAATGAAAAAGTAGATTTGGAAGCTGTTGTAAAACGACTAGAGCAAGAAAAACTCGTTCTCATAAGGGAATTAGAGTAATATTAAAGAGGAGGGGCATCCACTTCAAGCAATAAAAAGATTTAATCACAATAATAAAATCTATTACCATAATCAAATGGAACACCTATTAGTTAAAAAGATATTTAAGAAAAAGTTGAACTTTATCTTAATGAAAGGATTCCAATGTTGGATGTAAAGAGCATAGAGGAAACACAAAAGTGCTTTGAAGCAATGAAGGATCTCTATAATACAAGAATGAAGGAGTATGTTACAGAACTGACATTCATCTCTGAAAAGTTACAAAAATATGATGAAATACTAACAAGAAAGTATACAAATAGATAAATATATCATTAGGAAAGAACAGAGTTCCTTCCTTGAATAAAAAGAGAATAGTTCTCCTGAAGCTGAAATTTATAGAAGAAACGAGTCTCCACAAATAACATTTAAAAAAAGGGCAAATTAGTGATAATAAATTATATATATTTGCTAATGTAATTAATTAACCATATCAAATGCTCAACGACGTCACCTTTCCTTCTAAATCTGCTACTTCTTCCTAACTAATATTCGATTATTTGGCTTGGATTTAAGCGTTTACTTATGGACCCAATTAATTAATTAAAAAGCTTAAACCTTTATGATTGACTTCTGTGGAGTTCAAATTGACTGAAAGGTTTACTAGAATTGGCAAATTATGAAGGAACTAATTTATTATAATATTTCATTACTTTGCCTAACTTGCGAGCTCCTTGTTCTGTAATTTTATTATAATGAACACTAATATTGACACTCTTTAATGAAACCCATTTATTGGCAGAGAACTATTTATTCAAGTCTGCCAATGATTTATCAGTTAATTAGTTTCTTCCAACATTAATTGTTAATTCTACAAGACTGTCAGCAAAGTTTGATACGTGTTGGATCAATCCACTAAAGCCATCGTCCTTAATAGTATTGCTTTATAATGAATATCCTGAAAGATTAAGTGTTAGTTTCTTAACTCCTTTGTATGTGGATAAGGCTTCTCCTAATTATTGAGCTGACTTATTGTCAATTTGAGATTGACTACAGAGATATTGTATTAATATTATACCTGAAATTGAATAACACTCTTTTAACTTAACTACCTCCCACTGATTTCACAGCCTTTGAAATATGTTAGACTGCTGAATTAACATTTGATTATTCTGCCAACACATTTACTTCTTCCAAATTAGGTAATTTCACATCTTTAAATTCAGTAAAGAAATCTTTGGCTGAGTTTGCTTACACTTATTAGGAGAATGAAAAGGTCAACACTTTTAATTGTTCTGCTTAAGAAATAGCTAGATAAATTTAATTAATTTTATACCTTAAGCAATATGAGACAATCCAGAGGCTTTTCCACTTACTTTCCAATTAACTTGTAAATTCAATATGCTTGTTAATTTCTATATTGATTCTGCAATTGATTTTGACTCAGCAACTGTAAAATCTCCAATGTGAAGTATTATTCTAGTTTCTGTTGTGATCATTGTATTTAATAGCAATGCAAATGCTTCAGCAGTCTCAATATTCAGATTCACAAAATTTTATTGTTAGATTGAAGAGTCTTCTTAGATAATGTTCAATAACTAATCACCCAATTTCTTAATTTAAGAATTCCAAAACTTTAAAGCTAGTTCAGTTCTATCTTAAATATTCTAATTCAAACTCTATTCCAAGTTTTCTCTATAGAATTACTCTTTAGTTTTATTCCAAACACACAATTCCTCTGGAGCATTTCTCCATGCTCTCACCTTTTTTGTGGTTGTAAACAAATATTCTGGCAATTCAGGAGCTGCTCTTAATTAAGAAATCTTTTAATTTTATAATTTTATATTACTTTATCTACAATTTCTTTTGGCTTGGGAATTGAAGCTTCCTATTCTGGATCGCTTTTCAACACTGTCTACAAGGAATCAAATGCTTTTTACACATTGCTACTCTCACCTTGTGCATTACCAACCAATTGAGAGACAATGTTATTGCAAGCATTCTCATAACCTTATTATAACTTTTAATTCAACTATTTAAATGAGTTAACTTGATCTTAAACTTATCTTTCATATTCTTGTTTTTTAGACTTAAAATTTTAAACAAGGGATTATGATTCAGCATCTGGAACATAGGCTAATGGAGACTTTTTGGTCAAATCCCTATTTTATTAATATATTTAAGCTATATTTACTATAAAAAGTCTTAAATAACAACTAATTCAGATTTTCCTGCAGTTTCATGAAGTTTTTTAGTTACATGTCGAGCTGTCAATAACTTATTATTCGACACGTCTTTTGATTCGAAAACCAGAATAAAGGGTTCGTTATCGGTAGGGTCTAATAATTGAGGGAATTCGAAATCCATTAATTAAATATTTTCTCATCCCGCCTTCACTTAAATTCAATTATATTGTATATTCTAATTCATAGTTATTTATCCAATGAAATTTAATATAAGTTTAATATATACCCAAATAAAATTAATTGAAATTTATTAAAGTTTTAACAAGTCACACATAATATCTGGGCTTAGAATTACATTATTACAAAAATATCCAAGTCTATCCTATATTAATCATCCTTCTAATATTTTATTTTGGTTATCTGTTTAACATATTAATTATAATAGTACTCTATATTTTATTAATAAAGATCATAAGAAATTAACTTTTTATAAGTAGATTTATAAATTATTTGGAATCTTATCAATGGGGTAAAAAATAATTCAAATTTATTATCACTATTGTATATATCTTGAATGTTTAAAAAAATAGTTCCATAAATTTGTATCTTAAAAAGTGAAATAATATTATTAAATATACATTCTTCAAAATAGAATTTTTTGTAATACAAGAAGTACTGAAATTTAATACTTCAAGATGTACCCAAAATGTGTATTTTATTTCATATCAAGCAATTTATTAATGGATTATTTTCATGAACAGAAATTTGATAAATAATTTGAAGATAAATAAATTTTTTGAACAAATCTAACTCAATTCGTTCTTTTTAGATTAATAAATTATCATCAGAATTACTAATTTTAATTCCCTCTTTGTTTATTAGATGTGTTTATAAAGCAACTTTATACAATTTGAAAATTCTTTATTTATAATATTCTTACGTTGAGTTCTATAACAGGGTTAACAGCACTCTCTCTTATTTTTAGTGTAGTCTTTTACACATATATAAAAATAATTTATGTGTTGAAATGGTAAATTTAACTTTTGTTGATGAGATTAGAATTAATTTATTAATTATAAACATTTTATCAAAAATAATTAATGTTTTAACGAGAATAAAGGAATACGACTAATTCTGGATATAAGAGTTCTTCAAATGCATATGTAATGGCAATGAAGGCACTACAAGAAAAAATAAAATTAATGGAAACACAAAAAAATCATTTGTAGCCTTGTAATAAAATGAAAATTAACGATGAAGAAAATTTGTCTTAGTAAATATAAGAACTGAGAAATTAAAATGAAACATTATCTATTTAACTATAAAGACAATAAAATGATAAAGAAAATATTAATAATTATATTTTATAAATCGAAGCTTTGCAATAGGAAAGATTAATATAATTGAAGGAATACCAAGATCGTGTTGCAGATCTTGTTAAAAAAATAGAGGATGGTAAGAAGGAGAGATCAGAGATGTAGAGTTAAATTGATCAATTGTAAAAGCAATTAGAGCAGTATAAACTAAACGAGAGAGGTTTGATGCAGAAGGTGGATCAACAAAAATTAGATGAGAACTAGAAATAGATTGAATAGATATTGGATTTGAAGCATAGATTAGAATAAGGATAAACCTATGCAAAGAAGCTTGAAAAGAGATATGAAAAATTATAAAATGAGAAAAACTAATTGGAATCAAACTATTTAGATTATAGAGAGAGATGTCCGATATTTAAATTGCAAGAATATGAAAAATAAATTTAGATTTATAGAGGTTAGTTGGAAGAAAAAGAAAGAGCATTTTTGAGAATGATGGAAGAAATATAGAATTAACGTTAATCAACAGAGGATCAATTGACTCGAAGAATCTAAGAATTATTAAACAAAAGTAACGAATATTAATCTAAAATACATAAATTGACAATAGAATTGAAAGATCTAAGTTTAAAGCATCAATAATTATAATTAAGGATGGAATACGAAGAGAAAAATAATAAATTTAATCGTAAAAGATTGAGGAATGTATCATCTTCTGAAGATCCAGATCAAGATATGCCAATACACAATCCAACTTAATAATAAATAAATAATCATAATTAGAAAGTTGCAAAACTTAATTTTGAATACTTGTAGCCCTAAATGTCTAGTCCTAGATTTGAATAAAGTTTAGTTAAATCCAATGTTCTAAAGTAAGCAATAAAGGATTGTTTAGAAGATATGAAATAGACAACTCCATTTAAGTCTGATCTACATTTTCAAGCTGATTAAAGTTTGTTATAACAGCATTCTAAAAAGAAATTGTTATCACCTCCTATGTCAGCACGAAATAATGAAACAGAATATCAATTGAAATAATTGAATGATCGTTATGAATAGTTAATAAGATAAGCTTAAAAAGAATCAGATTTTAAACAAAAAGCCCAAATTCGAAAAGAGTTATTGGATATTGCTGAACAAATAAAGGATATAAATAGAAAACAATGAAAATAAATCAGCTTTGAATAATGATATAATTCAAATTGATAATAGTTTTTACTTATGCATCTCGGAGTTGAGAGAATGATAATTCATTACTTCTTCACTTGGGAATTTTCTTCTGCAGATTGGACAAATATACAAAATCAATCTAGTTTACGCTTCTACTTGATTTATAATAGGTTTCAAAGGAGCAACTTTAACTTCTGGTTTTTTTGTTTGTTATAATTTTTCCCATTTTTTTAATTCCAATTCCGCTTTTTTCCTTATTTAGGCTTCAGTTAATTGAGGCTGTACTTTATTTATAGTTTTTGTAGGTAGAGTAGATGGCTGATCATCCTCTTTATCTGATTTTACATCTTCTTCTGTCTCTTCAACATTTTATTATTTCTTTTATTATTAAGATTATTATTGAATTGGTAACTACTATTATTATGGTTTCGGATTATGAATTTTGGGTAGAAGTGTAGACATTAGATTCATAGGAGGAGTCGATAAAGTAAGTTTTTGTTCTTATTTCAATATGATTCTCTCTTAAGCCAATTAGGCAGCTTAATACGGAGCTTAAATAATTGGCTACACAATAGAGACTTCTGACATTTAGATTGGTAATTATGGAATAGGTTGAGTTTATGTTGGTTGGTTGTATGGGAGAGGTGGAATTTAAGGGATTTAATGAATTGAAATAGGAGGAGGTATTGGCATTTACATTTGTATTGGAATGGGTATTTAAATTTGAGGTTATTGTTGTTATTGAATAATATCCTATGGTTATTATGACTGTTATGATGGAATCTATGGTTGTAATGGCCCTTGTTGTTACATCACAAATTAGTTATTTGGATAGAATCTAAATTTAGTCTTGTAGTATACCCAAATGGTTTTTAGTGGTCTTCATATCGTGAAGCTCTGTTATTTCTGGAATACTAGATTATCAGTTAGTCACCATGAAGTCTGACTTCATTTTAAGTAACATATCTATAAACATTCTCCGCGTCTTCAACACTAAAGAATTCAACAAAAGCAAAATCCTTTTATTCTTTCATTCTTGGATCCTTTGGTACTTTATTTTTGACCAATCTAATATCTTTAACAGCTGCAAGAGGAGCAAAAATATCCAAAATATCACTATCTGTTGCATCAGCTATGGACTTGATTTCAATAAGGAAAGATATACTTTTGCTTTGATCATTAAGCTAGTATTGCAGAGGGAATCATCAGTGAATCCAGTAGTAGGAGCCATCATGACACTCAATATCTTACAATTTATATTTCTTGGATTTAAACATTTATTGCATTTGTGTCTTTTGGCAAAATTCTCATAACCACATTTATCACATATCCAATCATAACTTGTAGGAGGCTAATTAATTAAACTATTTTTTAATTCATGTCTATTCTAATTATTATTATTATATTCATTACTCTTCTCTATCTACCACTAGTATCATCATAGAAATCAACATTAAGTGTATGTTCACCTATTGATATTTTACCTTTTAAGTAAATTAAAACTTTTCTTGCATAATCAACAGTACAATATTTTATATATGCCTACCCAAATGCATTAATTATAGATATTTCCTCATGAGGAATTACATTAGCTTCCATTGCTGCTTCATTAAATGCACTATCCAATTATTACTTTGTTAAGTTTTCAGGTAAGTTCTCCAACAGTAATACCATATTATCATGATTTTTGGGCCTATATCGAGGCACTTTTTCTGAACTTGATGATGATTCAGATTAGGAAACAGAAACAGAAACTGAAGATGACGGTCTTGACAAACTTGATGATGAATATTTTCTATTTTTTCTCTTCTAATGACGATCCTTTCTTTTTCTGTCATTTTTATTATCATATCTATCATTTCTTTCGTTATTTCTTTCATTGTTACGATCATTATTTCTTTCATTATGCTTTTCATTTCGATCATAATTAGACTTTTCATTCACATACTTATTATTTTTCTCATTATTTTTATGATGAAAATCCATTTTTTATTTAAAATAATATGAAATTATACATACAAATAATTACAATTTATTATAGTGTACTAATATTCATTTATAATTTAATAAAATGAAAGCTAAATTAGATTATTGGTTAAAGCAATATTTGTAAATATAGGAATTTAATTCTCTAATGGTTTATAAATAAGAAAATTCTTGGGTTCAAATAGAATATTTCAGAGAAAGATTTTACAGCTATTCAACTTTTACAAATGTCTATCATCCTTATTAGTTTGGATTTTAAGTATTTTGGAATATTAATGAATAATATTTATTTTCATTTTCATAATTACAAGCATCCGTTTTATATAATTTTATATTGAAAATGAAGATGGGCTTATTAATAGTAATGGCTTTATTCATTTGTATAAATGGAATTTAGCAGAGTAATGGAATACTTGATCTCTAAAATTTAAAAGCGCATTAACTATTTACAGAAGTAAACAAAAATGTTACATAATAAGAATGTGTAATTTGATTAAGAATTTGATGAAATTCCATAAGTGGTCGTATCTATAAAATAAATAATTGGAGATCAGTTTGAGCTTTACACCAGAGCAAGTAATATCAATTTGAGAGGTAAATATACAATTTTTTACTTAGGTAAGGATTTGATTTATAGATAATCAGCTCTTCCAATATTGCTAATATAAAAATCAATTATCTTGCAATTTACGATAACTCCTTGAGTGTTATTTGTGAGAATTACCAAACAAAAAAAGATGAAATTAAAGTTCCTTTTAATATAGAACATTCATAAGTAGCAGCATTTATTACAGGATTGAAATTGTAACAAAATGAAAATGTTTACTTCAAATTAAATTCTATAAGCAATTCGTAAGCTGTTTTTCAGACTAAATAAAAGGCAATGGGTCTTTGCTTAGTTTTTGGTGACGAAGATAAAATTGCACATTAATAATCACTTATAACATCAACTTTGGATGATAATAAGCTGGAGTTTAATGTTGAGAATATCGAAGATTCAATAATATTGTAATATTGATTCAATATTATGATTAGACCTTTAGATAATTAAATTCTATCTTTTGATGACATTGTAAATAAATTATCAATTGAATCAAAGGAAGAATAATCAATCTAAGTGTAAGATGAAGAAGAGAAATACCTCGATATTGATAGTATCTAAATAGAAACTTTGGGGATAAATACTATTTAATAGAATATTGAAGATGAAGTAATATAATCTGTTGATATTTAATTTTTGTAACCTGAAAAAAAGAGTGTATAGGATGAATTGTTAAAAATTGAAGAAAACCATATAGAACGAGTTTAAGAAATAATAGGTAAGGCTGTGGATTAACAAATACAATTAGAAGAGTAGGAAGAAAAAAAGTTTTTAACATAAGTGAATTAAGCAAATGTGATTGATATGCAAAATATCCAAGACACAATTGAATAAGAAATTATTATATAAGAAGCATATGAATTAGTTCCATAGACTGTAGATGATCTTGATATGGATGCATTATATAAAGAATTCACATTGAGTCAACAACTTAATGACGATTTGTTTGGATATAATAAAAATATAATTAACTAATAATAATAATAAGTTTAATAGTAAGTACAATAATAAGAATAGTAATAATAACAATAAGAAGAATAATAGTAATAAGAACAATAAGATTATTAAAAATAGTAATAATAACAAGAATAATAGTAATAATAACAAGAATAATAGTAATAATAAGAAGATTAGTAATAATAATAATAATAAGATTAATAATTATAATAACCTTTATAATAATAATAGGATACTCTTGAAATAATAGAATCTGTTGATGTTGTTGAAGATTAATTAGTAAATGAAGTATAATCTGAAATTATTACTGATAAAACTGAAACAGAAGAATAAAAATAAAAACCAGTTTAAAAGCACCCATAAATTGATGTTCCGTTGTTTGATGAGGATTTGTAATTTGATGACATTGATGTAGAATTAGATTATAAAAAAGAAGAAAAAGTGGAAGAATAAATATCTCCTGCTTAATATATAATTGATGTGTATAAATCCTTTGCAAATGATGATGCAGATCAATAGAATTAAAAAGAGAATGAAGATCATCCATTTGTTGAGGTGAGTACAGAAACTTAAACAGAAGAAATGTAGGATGAAGTAGAGAATGAATTAGACGGACTGAAAGACGGGCTTGAAGGGGTTGATTTCTCTTTATTTTTTGATGAATTTTCTAAACCCGATGAAATGAATGTTAGGAGACAAACAAAATAAAACTAGGAAGAATCATATAATAAATAAAATCAATAAAAATATGAAGAACCTAAATAATTCAAATAACCAAAGGAGAAGATAGAGGATGTGATGAAAGATCTGTAAATAACCACAGATATTACAACATCAGAGGATGAAAGAAAATTAATCACTTAACTGAAACAGAAATCAGCTGAATTGAAAAAGAAATTATAAGAATAATATGATGCTGTTCCTAAGTTGGAATAAGCAAAGAAATAAACTGAAGTTTCCATTCATCCAATCACTGATTAATGTAAAATATTATAATATTTAATAGATCCAAAAATAGAATCTGACTCCAAGATAAATTATGAAGTTGAAAGCAAGTACGTTGAATGGTCAATGAGTTAAGAGTAGAGTATAAAGAAAATAGGGTTAGATCTGACTGAAGATGATCTGAGGAATCCAAGATTCTCGTTGTTATAAATGGATCAAAGGTCAGAATTAGATATTCAGAGATAAATTAATGAATTCTTGGGATTTGATGACTTATCATTTATTATGATTAAGTAAAATCTCAGGGGAAGATGACATATATTAAAAATAAAACATTTAATTATTTATGAATGGAGTATCGCTCTAGAACCATCTTAACAGAGAAAAGAAAATGACTATAAAAAGCTTTTATATCGTTGGAATGATTGGTTAGGGTACATTTCCTCCTTGATTAATTAATAATAGGGGCATATTCCGAGGTTTTCGAGGCTGTTCATTTGAAGAGCAATAAAAAGGTGGCAATTAAGAAAGTATTCAAAGAATCGATCACACAATAAAATAAACAAGCTGAAATCTATATTGAAAGGCATATGATGAAATAATATTCATTAAAGCATCCAAGTTAGTTATGATCTATGTGTTAGGTATGGTTGATTTTATAGGGAGTTTTTAGGATAAATAGTTCTTATATTTTGTATGTGAGCATTGCCCTTTTGGAGATTTGGGAAATATAATATGGGATATTTATTAGGAATACAAAAGAGATAAATCTTAGGATGTCGAAAATCTTATTAAAATTTATATATATTAAATAGCCACAGCAATTATATATTTACATAAAGAAGGCATTGCTCATTTAGATATTAAACCAAAAAATATCATTATTGACAAAAGTTATAATCTTAGATTGACTGATTTTGCAACATGCTACTTTTTTGAAGAACATAGATAACCTCCTGAATTGATTGAGCAAATAAAAAAATTTTAACAAAATTATATAAAATCGGTTAAAAGGATTGAAAATGAAATTAGTGAATATAGATCTACTTTTGTAGGAACTCCTGAATACATCTCTCCAGAGATGCTCAGTCATAGCTTAGCCTCTAAAGAAGCTGATTTATGGGCACTTGGATGCATTATTTATGAAGTAAAGCAAATTCTTATTTTAGTTTTATCATGGAAAATAACCCTTTTCCAATAAAAGTGAGAATGAAGTATTTAATAGCATTTTGTCTCTAAATTACTAACTCGATGACAGTTTACCAGAGGATGTTTCTGATCTAATTAGATCATTGTTGACATTGGATCCAGAAAACCGTTTAGGCTATGAAGATTCTGAGCAAATTCTTGACCACAAATATTTTGATAACATTCGAAATTTTGTACTATGGTAGGACGAGATTGAAATTCCTAGTCAATGCAAAATACTCTTTTAAGAAATTATTCCAAATTAAAGTAAATCAAGTTTAATTTATTAAACTACATCAACCAATGTAGAAATGAAATAATAATTGATTCGCAGAAGACAAGATCGATTAAAAACAATTATGGAAGAATTAGAAGAAACGGCAACTCCAATCCCTAACATTTTTAAAAGAACTCAAATGATTCCTTATAATACCAATGCTCCTATAATATTTGAAAAATAAATTACTTACTCATCAAAAAGTCTTGATAATGAATAGCAATTTACTTCAAGTTTAAAGTAGTTTGATAAGTCAGTTGGATTTATTCAATTAAATACCAATAGGTGGTTCTGTATCCCTTAAATTGCTATTTTGTTTGGGTACTTAAAACCTCCCTGTCTATTGATTGATTTTATTAAAGGAGAAAAGAAATATCTTCCTATTGATGATACAATGAAGATATCTTAGGATGGTATTTACTATGTAATTTATTAAAATTTATATATAGATTCTGGAATCATCTCAGTTTTTCTATAAATTCAAAGATGCAGAAGCAAAACCCATCAATTGGATTTAAGTTGTTCAAAAAATAAAAAATGAATATCTGGGTAAATGATTATAATTAATTACAATAAATCATTTCCCTGAAGAATTTGAGTAATTAAAGAATTTTGCTTTTGGAGTATCATTGCTTGAATTCCAAAATTTAGGACTCCTTTCTACAGCATAATATTTTAATTTAGTCTATTATAAATCTTTCTCCATTGACTGGTACTTTAAGCTTCTTGAAGGCTAAGCCTAAATCAAATTCTGTATTTCCTATTTGCAATCCTTAAGTAATAATTATATTTTAAATACAATGACTTCTTATAATAATAATTGAACCGATTAGATGATCTTCTCACCATCCTCTAGTTTGTTTGATCTATTTTTTTCTAATCCCAATATCTAGTATAATTTGCACATTTGACTATTTAGCCTTTAATTCTCAAGTAATAGTTTTTGCTATTTATACAAATTTGGATATTACAGTGTCATAAATTAGCTTTGAATGAGCATCGACGCCATAATAAGATTTAAATTACCCATCTGAGAGTCTAAACCTATGAGATGAGGATGGAGTTTCTCTCATCGACATATCCTACACAGTTTCAGAATATTTTGATCCTGGAATGTGTTGACTGCCAACTGATCCTCTCTTTGATTTCAATACTTCATCTTAAAGAATTTAAACTTTAAACAAAGCCTATTCCTTCTATTTACTTATTTGCTAATTCTCATACTCTCTTTCAGCCTACAATAAAGAATGCAATTACTAATATTGTATTATGTTCCTATTCAAGTCTTGAATATTGATCTTTGATTTGCTTTATTTCATCTTCCTATTGCTAACAAAATTGATTTGCCTTCTCATGCACTTCCTTCAATGTCTACTCGCTTTGTAATAATGCCTGCTCCAATTATTCAATAATCTGATGTTATTATAATCATTTACTTTCATTTTCTATTCTAAACTCTATTTGAGTTTCCTATTTTCTTTAGCCAATTGATCTTATGAATTGAATGAAGCATTAAGCATTGAAGCACTATTTGAATTCTAAAATCCATATTCTCTCTAAGGTGTTTTCTGCTGGAAAATTCTTTTTTAAGTTTTGCTGTCCGAACTGCCATATAGAGTTTAACCCTTTAAATAATTGATATATATTACCTTAACTCCTTTGATTGGAGAGAGCGTATTGTCAATTTTGCTTAACAATTCAGATGCTTCATAAATTTTTTATTTTTAGCTATGTTTCTTTTCAAAGTCAAGTTACTATGATAATTTTTTAGTTTATTATTTGTAATCTTCTACTTGCTTTTCTTAAAATTCCAATTCTCTTCTTAATCTTTCAACTTCTCGCTTATAGGATTCGCTTTGAGCATCATTTATTTGTAATTGTTACTTTAAAGAAAACAACTCTTTTGATAGATTTGTCAATTAATTAGATTATTATAATATTTGGTTAGTTTAGCTTAACTTATTTTATTCGACCTAATTAATCAAAGTATTCTAAGCCTCTAATTACTGAGTTTTGTATTTTACTTAATCAGATAATTTGTAAATAGTTTCATCCTTCTTCAAGACTTCTTCCTTCTCATATTTCATATCTTGTTGAATTTCATCTAATTAATTATTTAATTATTAATTTTCTAACTTCAATTTTTCATAATTCTATCTAATTTGCATATTCTACTCTCTCTGCTCCTATTCAGACTTCTTTATTTCCATTTAAATCTTCCTGCTCTGTTCTAGCTCCTCCTATATTGCAATAATCTCTTAATTGAACTTAGACATTTCATTTTATTATTATTAGGCTAAAACCTTATTCTTTTGTTTAGTTTCCTATATTTCCTTTTTTGAATGCTACAAATCATCCTAGACACTCTACAACTGTGCTTATGCCTACTGATACTTTTATTGAACTTCTTACTAGCTCTTCTGTAATTCACTTACTTTTCCTTGCAATATTTACTTCTATAGTTTTATCTCTTCCAACTCCAATATCCTATTCTCTTGTTATGAAATCGATTCAACTAATTTACTTTTTTCTTATTTGTGTTATTCTACTTCTTTTTTAAGAGATACTATCTATTATTATTGATTATCCAGCAATTTATTTAACTTCTAATTCTCTTATTTAATCTAATCATTGTCGTTCTTTTGACTTTAATATTGTTAAGAAATTTATTAAGATAATGACACTTCCTTATTTAATTTATCCACTTCTTTTTTATAGTGAATAACCCAAATCTTTTACTCTTCTACTCCCTGATTACTGGATAGTAATTATTGTTACAACTCTTTAATTTGATTTTTGAATTAATTTGACATAATTTCTTTTTCTTTTAAAGATGCTTGTAACTTTGATTCTAATTAAATGATGGATGTCTCCTTTTTCTAGATTTCCTCTTAATAATTAATCTTCTCCTTTTCCAAGTCTTTCATTCTTTTTTCCGTAGTTTTCATCTATTGAGAACTTTATTAATTCTGTTATTTATAAACTTTATTCTCCTCTTCCAATCTCATTTGTAGATTAGCAACTTCATTTTATTTAGATTATAAAATCTCATTGAGGGATTTCATCTTTTCATCATAAATTTGAGTTGATGTGTTCTCTTTAATTTTAATATCATTTAGTATTTATTATTACTTTTCCAATTGATGATTTAATGAATCTATAGTCCCTTTCAATTCAGAATTGCAATTGGAATACCTATCTATTACTTTTGATGCTTCTTTTAATCTATTACTATGATCATCAAGATCCTCAGTCAATTTCTTTATTTCAACATCTTTTTGTTTGATCATTTCAAAAAGGAGATTTTGTTAATTAATGAAATCCTCATTTTGAATTTACAATTCGCTTTCCTTTTACTCAATATCTGCTCTTAGCTGTTCAATTACCGATTCTTTCTCTGGAATAGCCTTGCTTTTCAGTTCTAAACAATTATCTTCAAACTCTTTCTATTTTTCGTTAACTTAAGCTAATTGTTCTTAAAATTCTTCTTCTTTTGTTATTATCTCTTAAACAGCTTGATTCAACTCTTCCTTCTTAATCAAAAGTTCTTACTCCTATTATTTCATAACAGCCTTGTTCTCTTCTATTTATTATTCTAATTTAGTTTAATTTTCTTTTAGAAGCTAAAGATAAAATGAATAATACCTCAAATTCTTTATTTTTATTTACAAGTTACAATTACTTTTCTTATAATTCTTTATTCAATTATTAGATTTAATTTTGTAATTAATTAATTTATGTTTGAATTACTGATTCTTATTAATTAACAAATTAATCCAGTTATCTTTTGTTTTCATCTTTCAATTCTTCAATCTACATTTGATGCTTCTTCACAATGGTTTATATTTGACTTTCATACTCATTTTAAATATTGGTGTTTTCAACTTTAGAATTCTTAATAATAGTTTGAAGTTCATTTTAATAAACTAACTCTTATTACTCTTATTTTTGAATCAATTATTTAACCTAATTCAAAAGATCATCTATTTATTTGTTATTCTATAATTAAATATCTTATTTTTCTCTATTCAATAATAGATTCTATTCTTTGAGTTCATTATTTTCTTTTAATTGAGAATGAATTTAATTAATCAAGTTATTTTATTCTTGTATAGAATTTTGTAATTAACTTAGCAATGTTTCATTCTATTATTTCTATTACTACAATGAGTTGCTTAAGTCATCTTAATTTTGATTACTTTAAACTTACAAATTTTATTTCTCAGTTTTTAAAGTTTCGATTTGTAATTTCAATTAATCGTTCTCTAACTTACTTAAATGCACTGTATTTTATAGGGAATCTTATTATAATTTTGCCTATTCTAATTCATTTTATTATGATAAGAGTTGTTAATTCAATTACTTAACTTCTTGGTTTGCTTCCCCTATTTATTCATTTAAATGTTGGGCTTCTTGAATATGTATTTGATTTTGTTCTACAATTTATTGTATTTCTTATTCTTTTTGAAATAATTGTTGATTTAATTATTCTACGGCTCTGCTCTTCAGTTCCAATTATTCATTTTATTAATCTAAAGTTAGATCTCTTTATTTATGATCAATGATTTTAATTTCATCTTCATCGTGAATTGTAATACCTATTTAATCAAGTGATTATTTGATTTTATCTTCCTTTTCTACAAATTTAGTTAATTTTTCATTAATCTTTTCTTTTTCACTTTGCAATTAAGTAAACTCTTCCACTGGTACATAAACTTAAGAGAATTATTGTTAAATTTATTTTTGTAATTTCTTTCTTTCATCTAAGGATTCCTATATTAATAAATAGAATGAATTACATTGACAGTTGTTACAATGGTATTGAGCATTGATACATTCTCATTTATTTATAATTTAGCTTTTTCAACATTTTTGGCTGATCCCTCTTTGATTCTAAGACTATCAGAGAATTTCTTCATCACTGCAGCTTGACTCAACAGGGCTTTGGAGAGTTCTTCTTGATAATCATTAGATAAATCTTCAGCTCCGTTAGCGTGTTTCAATCTGACGATTTATTCGTTTTACAATCGAATAATTAATTTTAGTTGTTGTTCCAATTAAGAACTTAATTAAAATGCTTCTCGTAATTCTTTGATTCCACTTAAGTACTTTTCAATTTCTACATAAAGGGCAGTCTCACTCTCAGTAGATTGTTCAAGATATACTTTGAGTATTTCTTCAAGCTTGATATATCTTTAATCTTTAGCATTAAGATCTTCAAAATTGATATTATGCATGACTAATTTATGATGAGTATTTTACTAATGTTTTATTTCGAAGGAGATTCTGCTAATTTAGAGGTAGTTTAGAGACCGACAATCCATTTGGCTAATTCTTATTTTAATCTTTTGATTTCATTTTTGAGACTCTCCAAAGATCCACTTTCATCTTCATTAACTCTAGCCTTGTTCTTGACTTGTTTGACTCTTTTAGAGAATTGAAGCGTGGAGAATGTTTCCTAATAAAATAAATTGGATTATTGTATATTTGCAATGAGATGAGTTCTGGAATTACCTCCAAGTGAATCTTTGAGTAAGAAGGTGAGTTTTGAATCACGATAATGAACATATCTATTTTATTCTTTGTCTTCCACTAATGAATTGATAACATTGCCCAGTATGTGGAGACTCCTATTGATTTGACAACCTTCTCGAAGTCTCTCGCCTTAAACTTGGGTATGTTTCTGTCGTTCACTACCAGCCAGATCCACAAAATGGAATCTAGAGAATCTGTGATTGATGAGTGAATGACTTTATCTTCTGGATTCCAATTAGACAGTGAAAACACTATGAGAACGGGAAGATTCGAAATTCATTTAAGTTGATGAGATATGTCTATTTTCATTGCCTCGTTGGACTACTTCCATAGCCTCTACAACATTGGAGCAACATTCTTCAGTCAGAAATTCAACGTATACTCCTTTGTTAAGATCCTCTCGCAGTTGCAAGTTACCCAAATCAGGATTAAGAAGATCAATGATGTGTTCATTATAAATTTCGAGATGTGAGCACTTGATTAAGTATTCAACTGAGGGATCTTTTTCTTAGTCTTCAAAGACACACCGAAAGAGATAATCGATTATACGTGGTAATAGTCCTGGTTACTGAGATGTTCCTGTCATAGTGTAAGTTTTGCCTGACCCTGTCTAACCATATACAAACACACATCCGTTGTAGCCTAAAATTACAGTTAATCATACCTTCTAAACAATTATTAGCTTATTGCTCTCCAATCATGAAAAAAATATCTTCCTATGTAGTGTCTGGTCCAGCCACATTATCAAAGGAGAAGAATTTCTACTCTTACTGATTCTATCCCTCTAAGATGATGGTATTCTTCAGGTTTGGATCCAATCGTATGCACGTCTTTCCTTCTTCAAACATGGGTCTAGTTACATGTCTTTTTAATGTACTTTATTCTTATTGAAACTTGTATGTTATCTTGTTCTTGTTGTTTTCTCTCTGTCATTTTAATTAAATAAATGCAATATTTACTCAGAAATTTCATTCGCTTACCCCTCTACCACTATTCCTAATCCACTCCCTCTATTGCATCCACCCTTAAGAATCTCTCTCCCTCTTAGCTAACTCAATTCAATCAACTCATATCAAATGAAGACGAGAAACAACTTAAATTAATTGCCTATTTAGTTCAAAAGCTAAAGCCAGGATTAGTACCATTTAAATAGGTATTGCTCCAATAAATCAGAAACAAATCAATTGAATCGAATTAGGATTTGGAATACGCAATCAAATTGATTCAAAAATTACAAAATCCAGAATTCTATCTCAATGAATATATCAATACTATTCAAGAAAAGAGAATACATTCATGCCTTATTCAAATAAACTACAAATATCCTGGTCTTTGCTCAAATGAATAATTAATTAAAATTAAATAGCAATTTCCAGAATGCACTCAAGAAATGGTCATCAAACTTACTTAACTTAAACAGTGTCAATCCAAACAACAAATATATTAGAAGATCCAAACATTCACACCCAGAGATATACCTGAATAGCATAATCAACCTGAACAATTAGAAAAACATAAATTTGTTACTCAAGGTAAGATTGTATTAAGATTTCCTCCTGAACCCAATGGATACCTCCATTTGGGACATGTTAGATCAATTAGATTGAACTTTCATTCTGCTGAATAATTAAATGGCCATTGCTATCTAAGATATGATGATACCAATCCTGCTAATGAGAAGTAAATTTATATTGATGAAATTGAAGACAATGTAAAATGGTTTGGACATAAACCAACTCATATCACATATGCTTCAGATTACTTCCCATTTATTTTTGATTGTGCACTCAAATTGATAAAAGAAAACAAAGTACATCTATGATATTTAAATTAGGCCTTCGTTTGCGAATAGAATAGAGAGGATATGAAGGAATACAGAAAAAACAAGTAGCCATCACCCTATAGGGATAGAGAAATAGATGAAAGTTTGCGTATTTTCAAAGAGATGCAGGAGGGGAAACATCCTGAAAGCAAATACACACTAAGATTAAAAATTGACTATCAACATGCCAATCCCACTCTTAGGGATCCAGTAATCTATCGAGTTTTGTATACTGAGCATCCCAAAAGTGGGGATAAATGGAAGGTGTATCCCATGTATGATTTTGCTCATTGCATTTGCGATTCAATAGAGAACATTACTCATTCCCTTTGTACCTTGGAATTTGAGATTCGAAGGGAACTTTATTATTGGATATTAACGAATCTGAATCTGTATAAGCCATTTGTGTATGAGTTTTCACGCTTAAACGTTTCCAACAACATGCTGTCCAAACGAAAGATTGGGAAGATGATAGAAATGGGCATTGTTAAGGGGTGGGATGATCCCAGATTATTGACTTTGGCTGGACTGAAGAGAAGGGGTTACACTCCTTAGGCTATTAATGAGTTCATCGATCAAGTGAGTGTGCCAAGGGGAGGCAATGAATAAATCATCTCTATCAAACTGTTGGAGAATTGTATAAGGAAGGAATTGGAAAAAACGGTTCCTAAGATCATGGCCATTCTGAATCCAATCTTGATTGATGTTGAAATTGATAATAATACAATAAAATAAGTTTACGTTTAATAAGATGATGTGAAGGTGGTTGGGAGTCCTGATTTCTATGGTTTAACACCAAATAAGTAGGTTTGCCTAAGGTTTTTTGGAGTAATCCTTTGTGAAAGTATCATTTCGGAGGATGAGAGGGTCAAACACATAAAAGTAAAATTAGTAACCACAGATTTGGATGAGAGGAAGAAATTAAAAGGGTAAATAAACTGGTTAGATAAAAATGATTGCATCAATGCAACTGTGAATGAGTATTCCTATCTGTTTGATACTGAGAATCCTGCTGACATTCCGGAATTCTGGAATAATATTAATAAAAACTCATTGCGAATCTATGACGTCAAAGTTCCCAAGGCTTTAGAATACAGAATTGGAGATAGATTCTAATTTGAGCGTAACGGATTTTATATAGTTGATTCCATTAAGGATGGGCATATCTATTTCAACAAGATAGTTGGACTTGCAGAAGGAGAAAAGAAAAGTCTAAAGTGAAGAGTTTATACGTCGGAATAATAAAAATATATTGCTTATTTTATTTAATTATGTAATAAATTACAAATTAGAAGTTTGAGTCCCTTAGAGAACAATTGGCCACTTCCTATAAATAATCTCAAATATTTTCTACCTACAAACATCAGAACTAGCTCTATTAATCTTCAATAATCAAGAGCGAGGACAGTTGCTTGGAATATAGTAACTTTGAATAAGAGTAAGAATAAGGAACAATACATTCCTCTGTGAAATCAGTCAAGAAAAAAAAATAATAAGCTCGAGTGGTATGGATTTCATTCATTCCTTTAGATGAATTCACAATACAACTAAAAAGAAATACTTTAAAGTGTTACTAAAAACATAATCCCAAAAATCATTATGATATAGAGGAACTATAGGAGATATTTAAATATGAAATCATTTCAAAAGAAACTTAGATAATTGAGAAATCGGAAATATGTTGTTGTTGAATTTCACTAGATTGAAAAAAATTATAATGAAGACCTAAATATTATTGTTGGCAGATTGATGTCAGATATCAGGTAATTCTTATAAATGCTATTTAGTAAGACGTCAATCCATTTTGACTGAAGATGAATTGCTGTCTCTATTTTTGAATGTTGAGTAAATACAACAACTAAATTACAAATTCTATATTACCATACAATGTAATTACCATTTCTATTTAAGAAATTTTACAAAATTATCGACATTTTATTATTATTTCATAATAATTCAAGATTTACATCCCTTTTTTTAAAATCTATTATGATTACTGCAGCAGATTTTAATTAGAATATATAAATAAACTACGTAACACAAAAGTATTATATTGGCTTAATTTATAGGCAGAATTCAACTAGTACCTTCAGAATATTGAAGCCAGTGGACTCCTCAAGGGTTTGACGTTTGAATCATTTCTTGTTAAACCAGTATAATAATTACCTAGATATGTGTTGATGATAGAAAAGCTAATTAAATACACAGAATTGAGTCATCCAGATTATCATGATCTTAAACAAATTCAAGAGTAATTCTATAAAATCAATGAGTAAATCAATTAGATGATGAATACGTATCAATTTCAATATTCTGTTTCTAGTACTCAAAGCAATTTGAAATTACTGGCCTAATTCGGAACAATTGATTAATAGGAAATTGAGATGATCTAAAAAAAGTAGTTAGAAGAAGAGCAATTTCTTAAAAATTTATAATAATAGGTGTCTATACACATTGTATCCACTTTCAAATAGAAAGATGGTATAAATACATTCATAGTCTATATAATCTAAGTAACTTTATTATTTCTATTGAAAGATTTAAATTAATAATTATAGGATCAGAACATATCAAAGGTATAGCGATTTACTGGAACTTGAAACGACTCTTTTAGACAGAAATTTTGATATAGAAGGATTACAAAGTAACTGTGCAAATTTAATCTCAGAAAATAAATTAATCAAACTTCGTCAAGAATCCATATTATATTTCTTAAAATCCATATTCTTGAACAAATAGATGAAGCAGTATGAAGATATTCTCATATCACATCTTGATCTACCTGAAAATTTCTTCGCAATCGATAAAATCCACAATGAAACTCTAGTTACAATGAGAGGCAGTTACACAACTTAGATGAGAAACACCCTGTTTTAAGAGGATGAATTTGAAATCAAAGTAATTTTACCAGATGATAAAAACATTACTCTGAACATTACTTAGCACTGCAAAACTATTGATTTAATAGACACAGTGTGTAGATCCATCTTTTTAGATAGAAACTTCGATTTCAAATTGATGATCTTCTAGAACAATACTTGTCGATATTTAGATGACAATGAGGTTGTTTATAAGGTTATGAAAAACTACAATAACAAATAACAAAGTATGATAGTTCTTTTATAATAGATTTCTTATCTAAATTTTTCAACGGGATATATTATTCAGTGAGTTCTAAGCAAGAGCCAAAGTTTTATTTGAAGAAATACTTGTATCTCTGCTATGAAATAGAATTTTAAGAGTTTAGTAAAAATAAAAGGAGATCTCAATTATTATTTTACTAGGAGTTATCACAAATGAAATTCAATCATTCTCACATGAGTTAGCAAGAATATGTAATACAATGTGCACTTGCCATTTGCATTCTATATAACAATGATGTTCATAAAATTAAGACATTCGAATAAGTGAGAATGTAATGGTTTCAGAACTTTGTGCCTTTACTAATTTTAAATAGTATTAAGAAAGCTGAATGGAAAAGATAAATATTCTAATAGATTCAAAACCTTTTGACAGAATTGCAAGTTCAAAAGTTTCAGCTAAGTTTGAACAACGAAATAAGAATATTGGAAATTGAGTTTCTAAACAATCTCTATAAATAAAAACTACATGGAATCAAGCTATTTACCGTAAAAATGTTATAAAATTCATTTTTAAATTCATAAAAAAGAATGCCTATTAAAGTATCCTTAGGTATCCTTCATAATGAAATTTAAATATTTGAATAAAATTAAAGTATTCCACTGATGTCATTGCCAATTCAGTAAATGCAGCAATTGTCTATTTAGAATAGTGTAATGACAACTACTTTTCTTGAAGGGGTTATCACTTTTCAACATTAGTCAATATTGGAAGTCTACAGATTAATGGAAGAATACTAATAAATTAGTCTTCTAAAATAGAACTTAGGTCATCCAGATATGATAGAAACGAACGATGTCAGTTAAAGTTAAATTATATGACTTTATTTATTAATTTATAATTAAATTTTGAGTTTAATAATCATAAATGTTCAAAAATGATCTCAAATCTAAATTATTATTTTATCTCTCCTTACTAATTCTTATTTGCTTTCATTTAATGATTGATCAGTATTGGAACTAAATTTCATATTTTGAATATATTTAGATTGGTACTGAGTTGGATTATTTACTTTTTATTATGTTAATTCAAGCCAAGGATACTTGTTTTGAATAAGTCTATAAAATGGACAATTTTATTATTTTTGCAATCATAAAGTCAAGCATTTCTGATGAAAGATATGAAAATAAAGAGTTTCAATGAATTCTCAATAATTAAGGGATTAAGTACCTATAGATTCTTTAGGTGCTTCTACTTATACTTAGTTCAATTACTCAATCCTCATTCCACTTATACGAAGAGCCTATTATTGGCTTATAAATTTTTTAGTTTTCCAAACACTTAGAGCACAAGTAATTAACAATAGAACCCCTATAACAGTTCCAAAAGTAATAATTATTATTTTATTCCTTTCAATATCCCCATAATCTGATGATTCATTTGATATATAGTGAAAATCAATCGAAAATGAATCAATTGATCTGTAGATGAAATAGTTATTAATATCTTCTGTAAAATTATAATATCGAAATATGCTTTTTAGGACTTATTATTATATAATCCAATGTAAAGGGTATTGCTTACTTCTTAACTTTCAATTAACCTGGAAAGTTCAATTTCCAAAAAAGTACCATTGGCTAAAATTACACTTTTAGACAAGTTAGGAATTTCCAATTAAGAAATTTGTCTAAATGACAAACTATATACTTGATGTAGATTTATACAAATATACATACAGATTTATCATCTATGCTGCTATATTAATAAAGGAAGAAATTCCATTGAAAGGAGTCTAAAATTACACTTACTGGAAGCACTAGTCATAAGATAGTTGGATGAAAGTTAACAAAAGAAACAATAAGATTTACTTACAAATTCTGGTTATTGTATCCCTGACAATCATTGATGCAACCTGATTTATAGGAATCTCTTTATAGGTTAACAAATATTCAATTTGAATATCTTATTATGATGATATTATAATAAATAGATCTAGTTAAAACAAAAGTATTCAATAAGTTATGAATTGCTATTTGATTGTATTACTATGAAAGTGATAAACATTTTAGTTTTGATTTGATTGTTTAATTTCAAATTTGAATGTCATTATCTGTAGGTCTAAATCATCATTTGATACGAAGCAGGAAGCAGTTTAATCCTTGTTAAGAACTAAAGGTAATTAGAATTTGGTGACTATGCTTTGAACCATTTGTGTAAAATTGGTTTTCAAGAGAATAGTTTGATTAATTTGAACTGTGCCCTTATGATTATATGCATTACAAATGAGAAAGATGAATATAAGTATCATCATTATAATTATATTTTATATTTTAAATGGGAAATTAATGCAAGGGATAGTATTGTGATAATGAATATCGAGAGGAAGTGTCACATACTCCATTGGACATATTCAATAAGATTGTAAAAATATAAGCAATCATACGGGGATTCCTGTCAAGAAGATAAAAGCTTATATTGAAAAATAATAAATAATTATTAATTGAGGAAAGGAGGATCTTAAAAAAGTTTGGATTTCATAAATTGGAACACATATTAACCTGCAGGATTCTGAGGAAGAAAAACATTAAGATTTTAGTTTAGGATACCTAGGCATATGTTGGTGAAACTAATAGTTAAAATTAACCACATGGAATAGGAAGAATAGTGTACTCAAATAATAGTTATAAAGAAGGAGAATTTCAAAATGGAGAATTACGTAAAGGAATCTATTATTTCAATGATGTTATATTGCAAGGGTAATTTCAAAATAATTTATTACATGGCAGAGGCAGAACAAAGTTAAAAGATGGAACCATTTATGAAGGTGGATTTGAAAGAGGAATCAGAAGTGGATATGGCAAATTAACAGACACCAATGGCAATATTTTCGAAGGTCAGTTTAAAAATGGATTATTAAATGGAGATGGAGAATTCGTTGGAAAAGATGGTAGATATTATAATGGAGAATGGTTAAATGGCAAATATCATGGAAGAGGAGAATTACTGTTTCCTGATGGTTAAAAGTATGTTGGAGAATTTGAGAATCACAGAAGACATGGCTTTGGTCAACAAATTACCTAACATGGTTAATATATAGGAACTTGGAAAAATGGGAAATAGTGTGGAGAAGGCTAATTGCTCTTTAATGGTTAACAGATAAAATGTATTAATGGATGTTATAAGTGATTTTGAAACGAATTTTCTACTTATTTTTATTTATGACTCTATATATATGAATTGTTAATCCAGTTGTTTAACCATAACTAACTAATAGATCAGAATGCTGTTAAATATATTTTATATCATAATATAAGAATTAGAACATCAATCATTGGATCTCTTCAGAAAATAAATTTTTGTTATTTAAACTTAGTTTCTTCATTCATGGTCAATGTACCAACTCATTATATTATATCAATTTGTAAGAGACTTCAAGCCTCAACATAATTCTTCAATTTATTTAATATTGGCTGGCATGTTTTCTCATTAAAGATGCCATCGCCATTCTTTTTTGAATGAACTACTGATTTGTTACCTCCTTTAGTAACTTCTATTTCAAAATAACCAGAAACCTAATTATTATTTTAATGTTTTACATTTGGAGTTTGTTCACCTGTTACCTTGGCATTAGGATAGATAATTGATAAACATTCGACAAAGAAATTGTAGAACTAGCCATATCCTCATCCACTGCAATAGACAATATGAATTGAAAATTCTGCGTCTTTCTTTGTACTCATTTATTTAACTGATTCAGGAACTGTAGGTTTAGAGCCCATTTTATATATATATTATTTAAATTAATAAATCTTGTTTGTTATTAAAATATAGATAAATTATATGAATCATTTCTTAATTTCTTAAAATTATCACTAACTTTTAATAATTGCTTCATTTAGATAAATATATTCTATATGATCCTAAAATAGATGGAGGAATTTTATATATTTATATAGATTTAAAATTTTGAAATGACTATTTCTATTATTTCCCTGTTTTGGATTCAAGAATTGTGCTTTTTTAGAGAGATTTATTATTAAAAGTTTGGAACAGCAGGGAACTTAAGTTATATTAAGAACTAGATAGAATTAACATTTAATTTTGAAATAGGAATTATTATCATACTAATTATTACCAATCAAAAAAATTTATCTTGAATATAGAGATGAATTTAATTGAAGAATTTCATAAGAATTAACAGAATATCAAAAATACTTAACAAAGAATAAAATGCACAAATATTTAGATAATTAAGTGGAAGACTTGAATAAGATTAACATACTGGTTTAGATGATATGTTAAGAATTAATCATATAAATGAAAATCGTAAATGGATGATTAAATTCAAAGGAAAAAATCAAAATTTATGTTTACATTAACATTATTTTCAAAGCAGCTTAATAAACTTTTTAGTACGTTAATTGTCTAAATGAGTACAATTCAACAACCGAATATATCTCTATAAATTGATACTACATCATCTGATTTGTAGAATTTAGAATTTTTTAAGAAAATCTTTTTTGTTTTACTAAAATAGTTGGATCCATAATTAAGTAGAGTATAAAATTAATAAACAGCTCCTTACATAATGTCAGTAGAGTAATCTTGGATCCTTATGTTTTTTAAGCAGCCACATACATAAATATATATATCATGGTAATAACATAGGCTCCAAATAAATATTAGTGATGAGAAGTAATGGAAATGAATTCGAAATGAAATAATCTATAACCAAAGGAAATTGAGCACTTTATGTATAAGATCCGTATGATAACTACCATGAATTAAAGGAAATCAAAAGATTAAATAATCAACCATTATTAAGATTATTAAAAATACAATTGTATATATATGCTTAGTAAATTCTTTTTTAATAATTCATTAGTTAGCTAAAATTATTGACTAATAAGCATACTCAAGTTGAAAAGATTGAAGTGACCAACACATCTAGAGGATGGTAGATTGGAAATTGAATGGTTTGTTTTATAAGGTAGATCAAAAGTGAATTACATTAAATGGTTGTAGAGGCACTAACGATTGAGTTTTCAGATACTAATGAATGTACAATTAAAACTCACATCCTTAAATGAATGATATTATTTGTTTTATACTAAAATCTAATTTAATTATGTTTTAGGGCAAACCCTCTAAGATCTTAACCCTTCTACTTATACATCAAAATAACTAGATTTTGTTAGCCATGAAAAAGAGAGGGTTTGGAATGGGCAAATACAATGGATTTGGAGGTAAAGTGGAAAAGAATGGAGAATCAATTTTTTAAGCAGCAATAAGGGAAACTTAAGAGGAAGGTTGTATTACTCCTACAGATGCATAGTTTATTGGGTATATCAAGATGGATTATGACTGTGAAAAAGAAACACTCAAAGTACATATCTTCAAGGCCACTCAATTTGATGGAGAAGTTAAAGAGACCGAAGAAATGAAACCACAATGGTTCGATGTTGCAAAAATACCCTACAATTAAATGTGGATTGATGATTAATATTGGTTTCCATATATGCTTGAGAACAAATGTTTTTCTGGCTATTTGCAATTTGAAGGACATGAGAAATTAATCTTATCAGAATTAAAAGAAGTTACAAATTAAGAGTTAATGAGCATTTCAGAGATGGAATCTGAAATAAGATTGTAATGATCAATTATATTTCGTCATTAATTAAAAATGTATAATCAAAGTTCTTGTGTTTACATACAGAAAAATGCATAAATTAAATTATTAAATGAAGAAAACACTTACAAGATATTTAGTTGAAATACCAACACATGAATATTAAGATAAGAAGGTCTATTATGTTATCAAAGTAACCAATTTGGAGACTAATGATTACAAAGAAGTCAAAAAACGTTACTCTGAATTAGAATCCATCCACTATAAAATTTTGGACTGGATAAGCATATTCAAAATTAAAATCCCTTAGTTATAATTTCCAAAAAAAAAACTTCTTTTCAGCACTAATCTATCGGAAGAGAGTGTTATTAAGCGAGTATCTTATTTTATTATGCTAGAGGGCTGAATTATAATAATATTTTAATGATGTTATCCAACATCCTGAATTACAAAGTTTAGGGTCCATCGAAGAATTCATACCAGTTACAAAAAACCGAAAACTTCCTGATCAGAATTAAATTACACAAGCAACTAATAATTAATGGTCAGAAATAGAAGCATTAAAAAAGTCTTACTTGGCCAAACATGAGAATCAAGTTTTTTCATTGCCTTTACAAAAACCATAATAATAAATTAAGTATATTTCATCGATATCTTCAAATTAGATAACAATACACTTTTAAGTTTGGAGATCATGCATTCTATGATAATTCTGCTATTTATACCATCGAAATTACTGATCATTATGCTAATAAGAGCTGGAAATTTAATTAAAGATATCAAGACTTGAAGGAAAATCATAGATAATTAAAAAAAATCAAAATTCCCTTTGAATTGCCAGAGTTTCCCCAAAAAAAGGTCATAAATTCCATGGATAATAGTGATTTAAAAGACAGAAAAACATAATTAGAAGTGTACCTCAACTCTATCTTTAAGTAAATTTAATAGTCTAAATCTTTAGATATCATGAATTAGTTTCCAGTAACCTTATGGTCTTCTTCATTGCCAAAAGCCAATTGGATGGCAATGAAATAGGATGTAGATCAAAAGGGCCTTCATAAACAACCCTAGAAAATTCAAGTATAAAAAGCCAATCAAATATCTTGGATTAAAATGATGACTTTGATCCCAAACAACCGAGAAAAATTACCTGTTGATGTTCTCCTACTTAATTTGTATATATAATAATTTTAACAGTAAAATAATTAAATATTCAAATGAGCTACAATAGCAAAACTATTGATTTGATTCTCAAGGTTTAAGAACCAAATTAAAAGTAATTCACCTCTTTCCAATAATTCTTCAAAACTAATAACCCACCGCCATTATTATTTGAAAAAAACATTACTCCAAAAAATGTCAAAGCATAACGTTCCTTCTCTAATAAAACATAAGATTCAATTAAGGAAACTAAAAGAAAAAGTCTTAGCCAACTTAAATATCCAGAATATAGGATGCTAAAAATATATGCTAGAATTAAGCCTGGAGAATGCTAACTTAACTTTGATAAGTAATCAATTCTTATTGAAACCAACTCTTATAATTTTGATAGAGTATTTGAATAATCTGCCACACAAGTATATTAATAAATAATCAAAGGTGGAAATTTTCGATGTAGTGGCAAAACAAACAGTAGATGATTTTCTTCATAATATAAATGGATGCTTAATAGCATATGGACAGACTGGAAGCGGAAAAACGTTTACTATGTTTGGAGAATCGAATGATCCTGGAATAGTTTTAAGAACATTCACACATTTGTTTAAAAGAAATTAAGAAACTATTTATGTTTCAATTCTTGAAATATATAAAGATCATGTTTATGATCTTGTTTCTGGAGTTTAAGACTTGAAATTGAAAGAAGACTTGTAATTAGGTTTCTATGTTGACGGATTAAAAAAGATTGTAACAATTTAAATAATTTAATTTAGAAAGTTGATAAATTAGAGAGTTGCACTGAATTACTCTAGATAGCTGAAGAAAATAGACATGTGGCTGAGACTAAATTGAATGCCTTGAGTAGTAGAAGTCATCTAATCTTGACCATTTAGATGGGAAGAGCTAAACTTCATTTAGTTGATTTGGCAGGGAGTGAAAAAGTTAATAAAACTGGGGCTATTGGTGAAACACTCTAGGAAGCAAAGAAAATTAATTATTCATTATCTTGTCTGGGACATGTCATACAATGTTTATCATAGGGTTAGGATCATATTCCATATAGGGATTCTAAGCTTACTAAGTTATTGATGGATAGTCTACAGGCAGACTGCAGAACATCAATTGTAATATAATATATGAGATTTCTAGATTGTGGCGATATCACCTGAAAATAAAAATTAAGATGAAACTGTTTCATCTTTAAAATTTGCTTAGAGAGCTAGATTTATCAAAAAGGAAATCAGGATTGCCACATAGAAAAAAACATACAGAGATTTAGAATTGGAAATTAGTTAACTCAAATAGGAATTATTGGAAACAAAATAGAGAATGAGCTAGACAAGTTCAGTTTCACATTTTCAATGTCGATATATTACTGATTCTGAAATTCCTTGTTCTGACAGTTTAAGATTGACTTATAGAAGTTTGAACACTGAAAACAAGGAAAACTGTTTGCCCAATCTCAAAATGCAAGAAAATAGTGCTTAATTAGAATTAGATAAAAAGATCAGTTAAATTCAGATAGAATTACAAGGATTAAATAAAGAGTAGAATTTAGATAATGTTAAAAAGCAACTTTCAAAAATAAATGAGTTAACTATTGAAATGAAGAAATCCTATAAACTCTTAGTTAGTACTCAAGGTTTGAATAACAATCATTTACAAATCCAAAGTTAATTTATAGAAACTTAATAAGAACAAAATAAACAGTTACAAAAAATTGCAGAGTAAATCTCAAATATGGACTCTAGCAAACCAAGTTTCAATATTGCCATTAATAATATGATTAAGAATCTCTAGTAATAATAGAAATAAAACATTGAAGATATGCAAAGTAAATTAGAAAAAATGTATTATGATATTAAAAAAACTACCATTGCTTAAGACTATAATTTAAGTCATCTGGCATTAAAACTAGTTGCATCTCCTAATAGATAACAATAATACTAATAATAACAATATTAATAAATAAAAAGATCGAAATCAAAAACAAGCATGAATCCTTCTGTAAAGTATTTGAAAAATAAAAAATGATTATAATTAATCCATATATTATACTATATAAAGATCATTTCATTTTTCCATTTGATTTGAGCTCTTTTCTGACAATTCTTGAAAATGGTCCAATATATCCATCAAATATGTATGCTAAAATTGCTAATGTGTAATTTGTATGGTATGGCAATTAATCATAGAATTCAGGGGCGATTTTCTTAACTAGAGGTAATCTAGACCAAGGAATGTTTGGGAAATCATGATGTTCGGTATGATATCCTAAATTTAAAATAAAAAAGTTGGCAATGCCGAGATAATTATATGTTTCTAATCTATTAATAAATTCGTAATGTTCTGTGATTAGGTGAGCAGCTAGAGGGTGTACACTATTTAATATTGATTAAATTAGTACCTTAATCCAAAATAGGTTGATAATATTAACCATCCCAAAGCTGATGGTCCTATGTACATATATATCAGTGTATTTGATACTATTATTGATACTAAGTTTAAGATTTCATATTTATTTGGCACCAATGGTCTGATAAACATTGGTCTAAGCGAATAGAATAAAGGCAAAAAAAGCATAAATAAAAATTTACGCAATGGTCCTTTGATATGATCTATCTCCCATTATGATGGCAAATCGGGATCTAGATCAGGCAAATTCATAAACGTGTGGTGATCTGAATGATATCTATTAAATAAAAATAAAAATATACCTTCCAAAAGTAATGGCAGATGGAACTCCCTATCCAAAATTCAAGAAGATGGCCATTAATTTATTGTATTACACACTCTCAAAGCACAAATAATGGGTAAAATCATGCATTAAAGCATGAAGAGCATGGCTTAAGACCGCTCCGATGCAGTAGGATGAGACTATATACAATAACCAATTTGTGGTTGCAAAGAAATTTAAACACCAAAATTGAGCCAGAACGATGCCAATCCCTAGCCATGCTGACATAAGGTCTGGACCAAAAAGAATTTTTATTTCTGGGTGTTTTTAGAGTATTTGTTTCCTTCTTTATGCATGGGGTTCCTCATGTCCTTGAAATATTGAATTATATCATACCCATGATATGAAAATAAGTCTTATTTTTTTCAAAATTCGTTTTTGAAAAAATTGAGTCATTCGAGGAAGAAGAAATGTGTCCATTTTTCAGCACTTGTTCTTTAAGGAGCTCAGGCTCATTTGTATCTTCTAATAAGCCTTGTTTGTTAAGGAACATTTTGAAATAAATTATTAATATGTATGAATTTTTTTAGATTTCTGTTTTTGGTTTAATAATATTATAGCAGAATTTATTAAAATATTGCATTAAAAATAATAATACGTATTATTATTAGGAGAAAATTTTGGCTAAATAACACTCAGAAGGTTAGAATTTTACTGTGTCTATTGTTCTTTTTGTTATTTTTAATATTGCCTTAATCTAGTAGGGAAGACAATTTACTTTTAATATTCCTTACATTCCTAGTTATTTTGCAAAATACATTCTTTAAAGCACTAAGTTTACATATAATAGATGAAATAAGTGTTGTTTTAGGTTGATAACCACAATTAAATGATAATCAGCGTATGAAAAGCTAAAGGTTATACTTTCTTTAAATGTAACAAAATTCAAATAAAAATTATCAATTCATACTTGAATGATAAATATTTAAAAGGATCCTTTAAAGAATACGTAAGTAATAAAAATATAAAGGAAAACCTAATAAATTTTACAAAAGCTTTTTAAGGGACAAGTAGAACTTCATCAACATTCAACCTTTGAGAAATAATTTATTTTAAATAAAAAAATTCCTTTTGTAAAAAAAGTCATTTTTTTAATATAAACAATTATTATATTAAAAGTATCTAAATTAATATAATTTATGAATTGCGTTTCTAATTGAATTGATTATAATGTCAAGCTTTTTAAGCAGTTGATAATAAACTTAATTTTTATTGAATTGACTTAATGTAAAGTGCGTCTACCTCTTATGCTTTTTCTACTGCTTTTAGCGGTTTGGTAGTCCAAGAAGCTTCTACTATCTAAAAAAATAAATAGTTAATTATACAGATTCCATGCTTTTAGTTTATTTTTCTAATCTATTTACTTAATCTGCCTTTTTTTTCAAGTAACTCTCTTGTTATGATGGTTCACCATAGGTTTTATCATCAATATACTAAGATAATTAGATAATGGCTTACTTTTTTTTTAATTTTGTCAACCTTTTAATTATGCAAAGCCAATTTCTTTTTTCTTAATTCGTCTTTCTACTCTTCATCTAAATCATTTATGTTAACGACTTTTCTTGGTGTTTATTACTCAAGACCTTCTTCTCTCTTTCGTCTTTCTTCTTCTTTTCTTCTTTCTTCTTCCTTAATTTTCTCCTCCTTTTCTAATCTTTCTTTTTCCTTTCTTTCTTCTCTTTCTTTTTTAGCTTATTACAAAACTTCTTATAAATAATCATGTCTCTCAAGCTAAATAAATTAGAATAATTAGTACTGTTCCTAAGGTTTAGTTTTTAATAATTTTTGGAGTGGAAGTGATTTGAGGTAATTCTAACTTTTTCTTTTTCTATTATTCTTGGAGTAATTTCAATTATTTTTCTCTCTCTTCTTTTTCTAATTCGAGAGCCTTTTAATGTAATTCTCTAAATTCTTTTAAATATTCCTTTCCTTTTTATTTGGCTAGGGTTTCTTCATATTCGTAATCAAATTCATCCTTTTTCTTCTTATCTTCTTCTTTCTATTTACTCAATATGATTGACTATTCAAGGTCCTTTTTAGCTTTCTCTTATAATTTTCTATATCTCTCCAATTCTTTTTCTTTAGTTTCTTTTTCTTTCTATTATCTTGCTTCTTCTTGTCTTTAGAATATTTCAAACTCAGGTTCTTTTTCTTATTCTTTATCATTTTTTTTGACCATTCGAATGTATCTCTCAGGATGAATTGTTTTATCCCTTTAAACCATTAATTCTTCTTCTTTTTCTTTATCTTTTTGAATTTTAATGGTTTCTTTTACTTTCTTATCATAATCAACGATTTTTTATTTTTTTTCTTTTGCTTAATTAATTAAAGTCTCTTTGGGTATGATTGAAATATCATCAAGTGATTTATTAACTCTAGACTCTTATAATAACCAGAGCTTTGAATCAAAACTTGCATTAACATTTTAACTATATTTACCAGCTTCTAAACCTAATTTTTCAAGGGCCTTCATTCTTTTTTCTTCATATTCTCTTTTTTTCATTTTAAGTTTCTTTAAATATTCTTTCATGTGATCCTCATATTCTTAATTATAAAATTCATTCTTTTCCATTTTCAATTTCCTTTCCAAATTCACAATTTCCTGTTATTTTTGTATTTTTTTATTAAACTTATCGAGTACCCTCATATACAATGGTTATTCAATTTCAATTTTTTTGGGTGGATGTATTAATTTACTATTGGGAGATGCACTTTTGGGTCTAATTTTTTTCTTTTTATCCTTTTTTTAACCCTCATTTTTGTATGGTTTCAATTAAACCTTAGGAATATCGACGGATGCAATTAATGATCTTTCTTTATTCATTTTAGATAATTTGTCATTTAAACTCTTGAAATATTCATCTTCGATTTTATCCATTTTCTCAAGTCTTTGTTTCTATTTTGCTTTCAAATCTTCTATATTTTCTCGTAATTTAGCATGTAACTGTTCTTTCAATTATTTCCTATATAATAATAAGGCTAATGATTACGTTTTGACAGCATCTTCTAATTTTTTCCTTTCTTCTTCTTCCTTCTCTCTCTTCTCTTTCTCACTCAATATTTTATTGGTTTTTTCTCTTCTTGTCTTGGCTTCATTTTGGATCTTCTAGACTGTCTCTTGGGCTTGTTGTTACTTGTTCAGATTCTCTTCTTGCATATACAATTTGAGAGTAGGTTAACTATAGGCACTATAGGCATTGTTGATTTTCTGGCTCTTGAGTGTTTTCAATTCAGTATCAACATTTTATAGTTTGGTTTACAATTGATCTTTTTCTTTTTCAACAATCAAGACTTTTTTATCCATCATATGTCCTTCGACATAGTTATATTTAGAATTCTTATAAAATATTAAGTTTCTTTTTTACTTCTAATTACAAGACTCCCTTGCGAATTGCATTAAGAATTTTATCTTCAACCCTTTCGGCATTTCTTAAAGAGAGCTAAGAATAGAATAAGGAATAACCTTTTGAGAGATGGAATCTTGCTTACTTTTGAGCGTTTCAAAATACTTATTTTAAAAGTCCATCATTGTTTGCTTCATCTTTTGGATGTGATCCTAAAGGTCATAAAATATTAAAATTACTATATCATTAGTGGCAGCTTTGACAGTTTCTTTTTTGGGTGAAGATGGCTGGACAGTTTTTGGTTATTGGATCGGCTGTTGTTGTTATGGTTGTTGTTATTTTTAATCAGTAGGTTTGCCAGTAGTTTTGGGAGGATCCTTGGCAGGAGGTTGTTGTTATGGCTATTATTTTGTAGGTGGTGCTACGGGATTTTATTTCATTATTTATAAATATTAATTTGCACATTTTGCGTATAAACTCAATAACAATTCTTTGCAAATCGAGCATAAGTTTCATCAAGATTTCCTTTCATATTCTAATCAATAGCCCATTGTCTTTAACAAGCATCCGATGTAACAACACTTAGACCGGCCTGAATCATCCAATGAATAGGCACCACCACTATCAGAAGTGTAAGAATTGTCATAATGAGAGTTTTGGTTTCTTTTATTTTGAGTTCGTAATACATCTCTAACAAGTCCTCTTTGATAATGTACCTATTATTTTTATTAATTTGAATATATATATTTGTAATAATACTAAAAACTATAAAAATTCAAAAAGGCTATCCTAACAAAGTCTGATTAAATAAATAAAAGGCAGTTATCCTATCATTTTATGGCACCATGTGTCCAGCCCCCCTAACAGTGACAAATCTCAATTTGTTTGAATACCCTTGAGTATATCCTCCAAGTTGGTTGTTTTTTACATAATAGGGTCTCCATTCCTCAGTGATGGATACTTATAATTTCTACAAAGCTAAAACCATCTAAAAATACTAATTACCTTGCATAGTATCTATCCATGGGACTACACTATCGGCATCTCCATTGTATAATAGAATGTTGTAAAGGTCATAATTTAGCAATTCTTGCAACCCTTTCATAACAAGAGGAGGATCAGACACATATTTAAATTATTTGTTGTGTTATTTGGAACACAGATACCATTGGATGCTTTCATCCACATGAAGATACTGTTTAACTTACAAGTTATTCAAATAGTTCTCAATGTTGTCTATTTACACACATGGTACTCCTAAATCATGATTAGTCACTTTAACAATGTTGTCATTGTGAATCATCATAAATTGTTTCATATGCAAGATCCACTCTTCTTCATCTTCTAATTCATTTTCCTCATAATAACAATACCCGTATATATCATATGGATTGATTCTCTTTGTTATTATCCAAGCATCATAATTTACATCTTCACAATCTTCTGATGTAACATTCTTCTCACAAGCAGAAATATCAAATGTTGGAGGCAACAATTGATGTTACTTTTAATATATTAATTATGAAATCGGAAGATGAGTTAAGTTTGTTACTCCATTTCCAATCATCATTCCCTATAAATTTATTACAGCCACTTCCAAATCATTAAATTTCTTTATCCTTTATGCAAGCAATGGAATATATGCTCCTGCATAACTTTCACCTGCCAACCATAATGGATTCTTTTGATATTCTGGATAATTGCTATAAAATTCCTATAAAACTTTTAAATTGTGATCTGCTGTTTATGAATCATTGAATGTTATGTTCAATGGATTATGCGAAAAACCCACTCCACTTGGGCTTTCCAAAAATAATAAATGTGCTACTCTATTCCAAGAGTACTCATTATAAGATAAGGTTTCATCATCCTCATTCAAAAATACAAAAGGGCCAATCTCTTAAAGAAATCCTATCATTGACGAACACCCTTTAATATTACAAATATTGTCTACCTGGACCTCCATTTAACCACAAAACCAGTGGTACAGTATTATCCACATTGTTGAGCTAACTCTAAACAAACACATAATGAAATGATTGATTGCTATCAGTTATCGATAAATAGCCTGAATATATCGAAAAATTAAAATCAGTCATATTAAATGGCTATTCAAAATGAAATAATAATCTTACAGGTAAATAAGTCACTAAGTCTTCAATTTACAATCCAAATATATTAACAGCTGTTAATATTAGAATTAAAATCATAAAAATTTATGATAATTTTTTATGTTTTGATATTATAAAACTTTTAATCTTAGTCATATTTTTAATTGTTTAATGACTTACTTTATAATTAAGACATAAGAAATTATTCTAATAATATCATTATTCTAATTAAGTCATTTTACTTTTATAAATAAAGTGTATTACAATAACAAAAATAAAGATGTTGATATTTAAGAATAAATCAATTACAAAGTAGATGTAATAATTATTGAAATTACAATACCAACAATTGAAAACATTTATTTGAAATTAATCAAACAATATTGTATAAATTAATCAAAACATACTAAAGGATAACCAAACTAATCATTGTTGTAACTTAAAATTATTTATCTACTTTTTTTTTTATTGATAAAAATCAATCAGCCTATCTATGTTAAGATAATTTAATAAAAATCCAAATACTTTTGTAGAAAATTCATAATTTACAAATACGTATTACATTAAATGGAAGAGAGATGTTTAAAATTAAATAATTTTAGAAAGGTAGAAGTAAAACTATGCATATTTGAAATAATTAAGTTAATAAAATGATCATCTATACTCATTTCTTATGCTTCTTTGACTTTTTTTCTTTTCTTCTACTTCTACTACGACTTTCTTCTTTTTTGACATCAGCCTCTTAAGCTCCTTTTATTTATTGTTGTTATAATGCAAGCTCTTTTAATCTCTTTTTCTCAGCTTTCTTCTATTCCTTTAATTAAATTAAACGCTCAGCCTTTCTCATTTCCCTTTCAACTTTTCTTTCTAATCTAGTTTTCTCTTCAGCATCAAAATCAAAAGCTGTGCCTGGCTTGAATTATTCTTTATCAATTCCAAAAGCATCTCCAATCTTTTTCTCCTACTCTTCCTTCTTTTAGGTTTTGATGTGAGTATCTGCAACATGACTAAAATATTAAAACACTTATTACTCTAATTGATATTCACCTTTATTTAACATGTCCTTCAATTTATCCTCCAATCTTTAAACTCTTTATTAAATTTCTTCTTCTGGCATTCCTCTTGCTTCTAATTCCTCTTATAATGTAATTTTCTTCAATTCAATGTCTCTCTTCATTTCGTGTAAAATGATTTCTGGATTTGCCTTCTTTCTTGCTTATATAACATTTTCCTAAATTTTATTAAATAGTAATCTCTACTTTCATAGCCTTAATTTCTTTAAGAAACTCATCTTGCTTCCTTGTTGGTTTAATATGAGCTAGATTTTTTTATACGTATCCAGAGGTGCCACTACCTCTGGGAGTCATGAGACCAATATTATTGTACATAATTAATATGTAAATTAATTTAAGTAATATAATTTATTATCATCCAAGAATAAGAATATTCATATTTTTGATAAATTTGATTCCTGTAGATCACTGATTAATGTTTACATTTGTGATAAGTTTGGTTTAGATTTACAAAATTAAATATAATGAATTATTTTAAGTCAATTTTCCAAAAAAAAAAAAATAGAAACGTGATTGATTAAACATCGTCTGAAACTTCTACTATTTATGATTAAAACTCCTTAACGGTTCATCTAGATGATATTAAGGCGATTATTAAATGTTAGTAAAGGAGGAGGGAACTCTATTTTAGGCCGACGAAATCCCTATTAGAATAATTAAAGGTGCTCTACTCATTACATATGATGATAATATCGGAATAAATTAATGATGAGAATGAATTAATCGAATGTTTTTCATAAGGAAAGGTATTGTGTTTACATGATTGAAGATAATTTGTTAGTAATTTAATGTTTAAAGATGTGCATAGAGTTCTTTTGTCAACAACACAGTCGGAGGATAAACGAATCATAATTCAAATGAAGTTTAAATGAATTATTCTGAAGTAAAAACTATTGATATCATTCAAAAGTATCCCATTAAATTTTATAATGTTGAAATCGAGTTTGCTCAATAATATTATTCATACTTGCAAAGGGTGGCCAATAACATGGATATTTATTATGCATCTCAGAAAATGCAATATCCATACTTAGAAGAGAATTAAAGCAGGAAAATAAGGTTTTTGTGGCTATTTAAATTAACAAATATGATCAATTTCAAAATATCAATGATTCCCATGATTTAAAAGATAATATTTTAAGAGTCCGATTTCACTGTAAGTCATTTAGTTATACATAGTAAATAACAAAAGAAATCACTATTTTAATATATAAAGATTGCATAAATGAATATTTATTCATAAAAAAAGAGATAGAAGAATAATTGGAACAGTATTAGCAGCAGAATGTCAAGGATAGTATCAAATTAATTAATTATTAGCAATAAGCTTATATGAATTATATATTCAAGCTAAATAAATCACTAATTCTCTTAAATTATTTTATAATATAAGAAATCACTTTTTGAAGTATGAAAGGATTGAAAAATTCAATTGGCTTCATTTGGAGAAGCAACAAGAGAAAGATGTGGAATTATATGTTGAAAGAATTAAACTAATAAATTCATCGTAGTTTAAACACACCTTAAAAGTACCCTCTTAAAAAGACATTTACGATAATTTATAATAAAAAATGACTTAATCAAAAATAAAATCAAAATCAAAAAAAGTAATTTACTAATATAAAAAGGGACGACGTATTCTTGAACATCTATCTCCGAAAACAGATAATAAGAAATAACAATCAAAGCAAAATAGTCATAGAATCATTATACAATCCTGATATTTTAATTTTCTTTGCTTTAACTTATATTAATAATTTATATTCTAAACATCAAATTTTTCGAAAATAATAATATAAATCAATTAAAATTAAGAAGACATTTCTAATTAATAAATATGTTCTTTTTTATTGATTATAGGTTTCAGCAAATATCTCATCAAATACTCCCTAAGGTTTTTGACTTTAAAAGCATCAAACTCAAAAGTTTCAAATGAATCAAAAATTGCTCCCAATGAATTGTAATTTAATAATAAGCAAAATTAAACCAAGCTTATAAAACCAAAATGCTTTAGAAACCAGAAATAGAAGAATAAAAGAGCTATATTACAGAACTAGAGAAATTTAAGGACAATAATTATACTGTTTTATTAGCTTTATATATTGACTTTTATGCTGAAATATATTATTATGTAACCTGCTTCTAAAGAAAAAATGATTAAATATAGATCTTATGGAGCTCCTCCTAAATTTTACATTATTTTTAGAATAACACCATATTATATTTTTAGAGGTTAAGAAGAAGTCCTATTTAATTAATGGCAGCTATAAAATATATGCCAAAGTAAAGAAGGAATAGTATGTTGGCAATATTAAAAGAGATTTAATGGTTTAAAAATATCTCATATTTGATAATGGGTAAACTGGAAAAATCACAAGGTATAAACTAATTAAGGAAATAGATAATTAGGGGTTATTAATTATTGCTAGCCTTATAAAAAGTGATTGCATTCAGTTTAAGTATTGAATTTCAACATATTAGACATTTATCCCTGAAGAAATTTTACTGGTTAATTGTATGAATTTAAGGATCATTCAATTTATGCGTCAATTATCGATAATTAAGACAATGTAATAAATCTAGTAAATAGAAAATCTCAATGAACCTCTTCATATAAATGCTACAGTTAAAATTTTATGATAGAATATTTAAAAGTTGGTCATTTCATTTTGACTTAAAGAGGAAGTGAAAATCTCAGTTTCATTATTTCACAAAAATGATAATAGAGAATTTTCCTTGATTTTTCTTATAAACTTATTGCAGGTTAAATTTTTTGTATTGCTTGGGTGTAAATAAAAAATGGGTTCAGAAATAATTATTAAATGAATATTATTCTAATATAGAATTTTATGATCCATTTACTTATATAAATAAGATAGAGTCATCAGTGGTTTTATAATGTAAATAGTTTATGTTAGTTTAGGTTCAAATATTTCTAAGAGGATCTATACGTAATTAAGGCAAAATTATAATTATTTTGAAATGTAATACCAAAACTAAAGAGGAGGGGAGATAAAGTATAAGATTGTAGAATTAGCATGGATTTTGTTAAAAGGGGGAAGTAATAATAGAGAAATGAAAAATTAAAATTTATTTAGAGTATTTCCTTTTATTTTGATAAGGAATGATCATTTTATTAAGGCAAAAGTGGTAAAAGAAGTGCTTTAAAGGGTGCTTAACATTATTATAGAGATGAGAGAATTTACAAGTAGGTAATAAGGGGGATTTTAGAAATTTAGACTGAATTGTCGGTTTTTTCATTTATTTTCAATTATTTATATTGAACAATAATATCAAAGATGAATAATAAAATTAAAAAAACAAAAAGAAAACCTTACTATGTAAACTAAACCTTGCGATTGGATTTGTGTAGAATGCAGAAACTTGAATTACTCATTTAGAAAGATTTGTAATAGATGTCAGTAGTGCACAAGAGATACGCCAGGAACTCGATTTATTGCCAACAAAGTTGATTAGGGATAATAAATACTTGAAACCCTAAAGCTATAGGAAATAGATTTGGGAGGGAGCAGTCACAGTTCGACAGACAGCAATGAAGATGATGAAGATGGAGTATTTTCTCAAGCCTTATTTCTTGAGGATCTATCCAAAAGCTCTTAGAGTGTCAAAAAATCATTCTCTTTCTTGAAAAAATGTTAAGTATGCTGCAATTAGAATTACTTTTACTAATAAAAGTGTGGTCATTGTGGATATTCTTCGTTTATTTGATTCTTTATTTACATATTATATATATGAGTCTTATATTTCCAATAATCTATATAAATTTTGCACCAATAGATCTAGAACTAAATTTAATCGATAACTTCAGTTAGAAAAAGGAGATGAAAAAATTTAAATTACATCTCAATAAACTGAAATTTATAAATTAATATATAAATACTATTGCAGATTATAGTATTAAATATAGTGGAGATTCAATTTGAAAATACGTTCTAGTTAAGATCAAAGGATTAAATTATTATGATTTCTTAATTTTGATTGTGTGTCGTGTTTTTATAGAATCGGATTAATTTTCTATCATTTGTAATAATAAATAAAATTGAGTTAATAATTTTATTCATTTAATTTCAAATTATATCGACTATGGTAAAGCAGTGATTTTTGATTTATCGAGAGGGGGTCTCATTAGTGGTGGTGCAAATAAGTATTCAAATTATTACCCTCTTACAACCTTTCCGACTGATGAAACAAGCCTTCTTCCAAACCATGCGATAACAGTTTCAGATTCATCTAATACTGATAAAAACAAATAACTTTCCATGTTCAAACTAGTCGTATCAAAAAGGAAAGCAAACTTCATGTTATTAAAGAATGCCACTTTTTGTACATTATTAACCTTATCAGTCTTAAAAGAACAAATTTAATTATTCTTATCTAAAAGAGGTTTGCTATCCATCATTAGAAGTCCTTTAATAATCAGTACTGCCTGATCTAGAAATCCATTGATATTGATAAGCACAATTAATAATTTATCAGTATTTTCTGTGGAGTTCATAGTTCTTCTTGATGCTATTTTTGCTACCTATTCACTAGGAATAGATTATTAAAATTTTGATGTTCCGCTTTTATGAATTTAAGGACGACTTTCTTGAATTTCATCGTCATTGTATTCTTAATTTGGTTTATAGTCAAACCTAACAGAATACGAAATCTTTGTATTTATTTTTTTAATAGCCGTGTAATCTACAGGAGGAGCAGGTACTTCTCCTTAAAACAATTTACCAACAAACTCTGAACTATTGAGTTGACCATTCACAAATAATTGGAAACTTATCCATCCCAAATCTTGAAAGGAGATGAAGACATAAAACTTATCTAAATCGACTTTTTTATGTAAAAGTTAAGTGAGTGGTAATTTAAAATAAGCAAATCCATTGATGAGTACACTTTAATTAGCAGATGCTTGATATTTTTTAGAACTAGTATAAGCACATATGATTCCATCTTCATCAATTGCTGGTTCATTCCCATTGTAAATTTATATTGTAAAATCTACTGATTTCTAATTCACATAATCAGTTAAGGAATCGATTTAAATAACTAATCCTTTATTTTAATCGAATTAAAGATTTTCTTATTTTTCTTTGTTGTGTTGAGCATACTTTGGTGTTTCTTCGATATCATTTAGATTTAAATTTTCTTCTTGAATGAAGAAGTACATTTATCGATTTGTCTTTTTCCCAATTTTGCCACTGCCATCCAAATCATGAACAAATACACTTTATTATCCAATGTTTAGTGTTCCACTACTTGTAAACAAATTCATTTAACAACTTCCAATAATTTCATTTTTGTAGATAAAATTAAATAAATAAGCTAATTTCTTAAATGTCAATGTATAAGTATCGATTAGATATCTTGTACCAATACGCAGAATAATTGTATGATTTACAATCATTTCTCCTTTGCCTTGCCCTTCAAATATTTCAATATTATCATGTCTAATACATTGTCTATCCAAAACATCTATAATAATATTCTCTCGTTCTATTACAAAAGTTTTCATAATGAAATCTTCCTTTTATGAGAAATTTTTTAAAAGTGTGATGTCCAATCTGATTTAAGTGTTCCATTTAGGATTTGCAACACTGTAAAGTTTCTTTTTCTATTCTCTATCTTCTTCTGTTAGCACTAATAAAATTAAATGATGATGACTTACATTTTTAATCGAGCTTATAATTATCATAATTTGGCAATTAAAGAACCCTATCATCATCTTACATAATGATAAAGTTGATTTAATTATTAGTTCTCTTGGTTCTATTTAAATTAAAAGGAGGTGCTTAACCTGGTGGTCCGTACAGATTTTCAGAGTAGATGCCACTCCTTATTTTATATTAATCGTCTGTAAAATCAAAGACTTACAAAGCGTGCCAACCAAATAAATCTATTTTATCTTTGAATATTGCAATAAATAAATAAGTATTCAAGATATCTTCTTAATTCTACTCCTGAAAATAGTTGGTTAGATTTAAATCAAAAGTAAAGGTTTCAGTATAATTAAAATAATTATCGCCTTTTTCATCAGGTTCTAATTCTTTATTGAATACACACATGTTCTTAGAGTCATCTTCTATTAGTTTAATATTTTGGAAGAGTGCTAATTTCATGTAGAACGATGTAATCGACCCAGCATGTAGTTGAGATAGTGATCTTAATTTAAAGATTATTTTCCTTGGTTTTGTAGACATTATAGTACTTTTTTCTTTCTCTTAAACTCTTTAAGCACTTCTGCCTTCTTATATTTTTTACATTGAAGTATCAGCCTTACTATCAGGTCGTTAGGAAAGTTCTTTATCTCTTGACTTTGATTTATTTGTATTAGGTGTTGGTGTTCCCTTCTTTAATGCTAGTCTCTACTTAAATGTTAGCATTGTGCGTTTTTTGTCTGTTTATCCTCTTAATGCTGTACCTTGCTTACCAAAGATTCTTCTATTGGGTCTATTTAAACGATTCTATTATCTTTCATTATATTCTAACTATTGCTATTTCACTGCTGCTTATTGTTCATTGAGGAAACCAAAGTCCATCAGTTTGTATACATTAGGAGGAAGTTCAGATTTCCATAATGAAGGATTGTTGCATTGCATATATAGAAGTTCTTTTGGAATAGGGAATACTCTATGTTCTTTAAATTTAAATTGCTTTTCCAGATCTATAACATCCTATTACTTTTAATGCAAAGGCTGTAACTTATAATCAACAATATTCATTATCTTGGTATCCATGTCCAACACAGCGTCACCAGGCATGCTGATTCGCAAACCCAATTTGATTTCTTAGATTTCCACCTGCTTATGTAAATCAAATGTGAATGAAGCATTGTAAAATGGTAAAAGAAAACATCCTGAAATTAGATTCTCTTCATCAAACACTTTATGCAGAGTCCATCCTACTTAAAATGGAGCTGCACCGTTACCATAATCTTAATTGTAACACCACAGAATCATATAAAGATATGTATCCTTGTATACCTCATGATTTCTTTCAACAAACCTTTCCTATATTATACATTTCTTCTAGAATATATTTTCTTAGGTACACTCATGTGATTAAGTAGTCATCTTTGTGTGAGGCTCATCTAAACTAAGTTATTAAATGAACATTACTTTCTAATAAATAACCCATAACTAATCTTGACATGTTCATAAATAATGGGTAATTTATTTACAAAATCTAATCTAACAATGAATCCTCCATCTGGATCATAATGCAATGGCATTGTACCTATTTAGCCCTAAAGGTATTATAAATAATTTAATTTATCCTAAGGTCTCCCTTTAAAATTCAAAACGTCTTCTTCAACTTATTTCAATTCCAATTATTCCTATACTTTCTTCTACAAGAACCTCTTTTCGTAAATCTCTTTTAATTTCTATATTTCATCATATTTCCTTTTATTCTCCTCAGTCATATGGTCTGTTAACATTATACTAATTTCTTATTATCTTAAATTTTCAAGCATCATCTCATCCGCCTTACTAGAGTCGTCGACATCAACTGGATTCCTCAATAATTCCTTGTTTAAATTTGGATTTCTTCGATCCGCTTCTCTCTAAATCTAAACCTAGTTTTCCAACTCTAAAATCTCTTTTTAAAAGGTTTAAGGTAAATATTAGTATATAGGATTTTATGTAATGGGCCCTCTCTCTTCTAGATTCATGTTCAATTTATCAGGCATCTCTTACCTTCCTATAGGATGATTATTTTTGTAATATCTCTCCAAATTATTTACTGATATCAGAAAATTAGGATCTGTTCCTCCTGAATGGATATAATCTTTTCTAATTTTATCAATCTCTGCTAAGGTTTGATTATATTCAACCTTATGAGTACTTTCTTACTCTTTAGTCATATTTAATTTAAATGGCATATCCAAGATAACTCCTTAAAGTCCTCTGTCATCAATATATTATTCAATTTTGTTTCTTAATGTACTTAATGCTGCCAATTTTTATTAGTCATTGCCTTCAAATTTGGTTCCTTAATATAGGAATCTAGCCTGTTTTTCAAATGTATTTTCAGCCACTTTATTAAAATAGAATTGAATAGTTACTTTATTATAGTTTTTTATCAAACGGAATTATTTAATTAGAAGCTGGATCATTGTATTCAATCTTCATAGCTTCTACTTTCTTTTCTTGTTAATTGATAAAGTCCATCATAGATCTGTATTATGGATTGTCAAGAATTTGCTATCCCACATTAGATAACTTAGAGCGACTAGTAATTTATTATTGTTAGATTTGCTCAAAATTCTTCAACAATTATTTCCTCTCCTCTCTGACTGAATTTAGTTTTGTTTAGATTTAATCATACTTTTATTTAACTTCAGTTTCCAAGTTGTGATTTCGAACTCCATAATGAGAAACACTATCTTAAAATCTTTTATTGGTTTTCTTCAAATCATCAATATTTTTATATAACTATTCTTCTTATTTCCAAAGAAACTTCCGCTGTGCTAATACAACATCAAATTGGTCAGCTCTTTCCTTCTGAATATTACTAAGATATGCACCCGAGGTCTATAATTATATAAGTATAATACTATCGAATCCTTAGCTCCTTGGATCATTGAAATCTCATTCTTAAAACTTTGATGCTCATCCTTATAATTAATTTGAAGCACTTCTCTCATCTGAGAATCATGTTCACTTAGAAGGAAGGTTTTATTCATTATTTTGGAGATGTGACTTTATGCTATAGATGAGTTCAAGGCAGTGGATTGTTATAAAGTAGATTGGTTCATTTAATTTATAAACAAAAAATATTGAAATTCATTTGATACTCTTTATTTGATCTAAAATATGCTACTTGTATTGTCCCTCCATATCAGCTGCTGCAGGTTCAAGCATCTCTCTTTTTATATATTTTTCTAATCTTTTCATCATCATAGCCTCAAAAGAAAATTCGTCATCATCCTCCTTAACTTGTTTGTTTAATTACTTGACATTTCTTCTCCTAAAACATTCTGGATTGCTTTTCACAAGCTTCTAGATCTCTCCTCTATAGGTGTCTATAGTAAGTTCTGTTTTCGGCAAGACATTCTTCCATTTAGGATTGATTTCCCATCTACCACAATGGATTCGAGGGTCAATTATCTGATACCCATTCAAACTATCTATAGCAATTATGTTAATAATTACCTATTGCCTACTAGACTACTCTCGCATTAAACCCTTCAAATTCAAATTCTTATTCGTCCTCTAAAGTCTGAAAGTGCAATCGAATTCGATCGTATCTCTCAATTTAACTACGGATAAATGGGAAACAGATATTAGTCTCCCAATCAATTGAGGTTGTTTCTGAAACACTCACCACCAAAGGGTTCACACAGAGCAATTTTTCCAGATTTTTCTCTTCAATTAATGACCATTTGAAATTTTATTTTTAAAACATAATTCCGAAGTACCTGTCTTCTACTCCGACTTAATTAGCGCTTAAATATGGTATTTCTAAGGTTTGCATTGTAAATAGCAGATTATTCATATCTTTCTTTTTCCTTGATGACAAATTCATCACCAAATCAGCTGAATAAAAGAGACAATCATCGTTCCCAGTTGCAAATAACAAAGGAGTAAAAACTTATAAGCTTTCTTGACGCAATTAGCTTAGCTTTTTTGCAAGCGAAAACTTTTTTAAATGAGCCATAAATATTTCTAATAAAATAGTTTATAATTATTTATAAATTAAATTCATTCCAATTTAATATAAATTCTATTTCCTCAAATTAACAATATTTAATTATACTAATATTGTTTATTCTAGCACTCCATTTCACAACTATCATACCTTTATATTCATCATTTTTGTGTATTGGAATGTACTGCAATTTCGAAATGCACTCAGTGCCTTGGTGGGAATAGATTAATTAATGCGTTATTATAAATTATAAAATGAATTAAGTATGTTCATATAAATATTGCACGAGCAAGACAGTTCTAGAATTGGGATACATTTGTTCTGCATGCTAAATTATGAGATATTGCTCTTAAAAATGCAAGGATAATGATTGGTAGATAGTTTGATTTATTAAAGGACATTGTCTCATAAGAACAATTGCAGACCTTACCAACCAAAGTCAAAGACAGAACTCAACGACTCAGCTTCAACTTTGAAATCGATTAGAAGATCAGCTGAAGATTTTGAAATCATCATCAAGGATAATAAAATGGAATTGGGAAAAGGCAGTTATGGGTGTGTTAAACTTGTCAAGGATCGCTAGAATGGATAAATGTATGCTATGAAAGTGGTATTAGTGTTTATTAAGTTTAAGATGAATAAAAAGTAAATATTTGAGTATTGTTCTGTTGAAAATCTTAAAAGAGAGATTAAAATCTAAAGAAGACTATAGCATCCTCATATCACTAAATTATTTCATTATTTTGAAGATAAAGAGAATGTATTTCTTATATTAGAATTAGCAGGTATCTAAAATCTGATATATTTTAAGAAAATGGCAGTTTATTCAGCTACATTAGGAAAAGAAGAAGACTCCCAGAAAATGAAGCTTTTGTATATTTCTTTTAGACTTGCTTAGGAATTGATTATTTGCATAAGAAGAATATAATTCATAGAGATTTAAAACCAGAAAATTTACTATTAGACAAATCAGGCAATATAAAGGTTTGTGATTTCGGATGGTCAGCCGAAACAACTTAGAATGGTGTAAGAAGAACTTTCTGTGGAACCCTGGATTACATGGCTCCTGAAATGCTAACCAATAAACCATATAGTTTTAGTTTAGACATTTGGTGTTTAGGAATTTTATTATACGAATTAATACATGGTTTTGCACCATTCAAAGGAAGGACTGAAAATGAAAAATGCAATAATATCGTTAAAATGGCAACTATAGATTATGATCCAACATTGTCTACTGAAGCTAAATAATTAATCCAAGGAATTTTAAAATACAACCCTGCTGAAAGGCTTTCAATGAACTAAATATTCGATCATGTTTGGATGAAAAAGCACTATAAGAGCTATGGAATCGACTTAAGGTCATATATGTATAAGGAGGAAAAATAGAATGATGTGTCTAGTAGATCTATATCACCTCAGAATGAGGATATAATGAGTAGATCATTTGTTAAAAATACAAACTAGAATAGTAATGGTGATTTAAAAACTTTGTCAAAATCATCCAACTATCCGATCCAGTAAAATGTTAATAACAATTCTAAATCCACAGCTTGTTCAAATTACAATTAAGAAGATGATTTTAAAACTAGAGTTAGCAGGGTTTCCCAAAGGTAATAAATGGCCCAGGGATTAAGAGAAATATAAGGGCCATAATAGAGATAAGAGGAATTGGGATTTATGGATAAGGTATTTTCTGCTTTTGGGTGTTTGAGCAGAGATAAACAATAATCATAATCTCATAATTATTGAATTTTATGTAAAGTTATTTTTTATTTAACTATCATAAGAGTGTTCTTGTGTTATATATCTTTGATTATATTGAATATTTTAACATTTATCAATTATTTTTTTTCCAATAGCTTGCTAAATCTCTATCTAAGTTATTTTCTTTTGTGTTTGATCCTTTTCTTGAAAAATATGTATCTAATGCATTGTCTAATTTAGAAGAGGCTATAAAATATATCAGAATCAATACCACTGTTTCCTACTACTTATTAGCCGCTCTTATATTATTCTAATTGTTTATCCAATTTATTTTCTAAGTTTTCACTTTTATTTTCAGACAACTTTCTAAATCTTCTTTTTCCAGTTCTGAATGCATCAAATTTACCAGACTTTTTGAATCTAAAGCTGCTTTTGAATGGTCTTCTATCGGCTATATAATGGATAGTCTATAATAAGCCAAATACATTGATTATTGTTGTTGCGATCACTATCATCTTTGCTGAATTTTCTTTTGAAATTTGATCTTGGTCCTTTATTATTTCTAAAAGGTCTATTGGATTGATTAAAGTTTCTTCTAAAATTTTTCATAAATTTTTATTATAATATCTATATATTATCATCAAAGGAATAATCGGATATTAATATTTTTTGAATCTTCTCTTGAATTTGAAAATCGCCAAAAAATACACAAGCACGAAAAGTACACCCAGCAGAATCTTGATGCTATTACTCTTACCCACAGGAATACCATAATTTAATCTAGATTACAATAAAATGCCTAAATGTATTAATGTCTAGATTTACCAAATGGTCCAGCATTCTATAATCTTATAGAACACCAATCAATGATTATTTATTTCATCTCAATAAATTCAAAATCATGTTACAATTCATGATACCCATTCTCAAACAATTTAATAGATTTATCTTGACTACCACATTTTTCATAAAATCTTACACTTTCATGATAACTCGAAACAGCATCCTGTTTACCATGTAAAATTAAGATGGGGTATTTGAATGTCTAGACTTTTGATTCCATATAATTTAAAGTTTCGAGAATACTTTTTGCCATTCCAATACCTAGCAGAGGCATCATCAATTTATCTTCAAAACATCTTTAAATATGTTGGTCATTCTTGCTCATTCCAGTTATGTTCAATTTTGTATTGATTACTAAATCCTTTAAAGATATTAACATAAATTTATACTTCCATGTAATGTCCAAAATATTTCACAGCTATATATTTGATCCCCTTAAGTTTTCTATCCATGGGAAATCCAAGCATAGGAGCAGTAGTAATGATCCCTCTTACTTTTAATTGAGGATTCCTAATCAAAAAACTGATTATGAGCAAACCACCCATGGCATGTCCATAAAGAAATAATGGGATATCTTTAGATACTTGTCTCAGTAACACTTCAATGTCCATGTGTAATTCCTTCAAGGTTTACGATCCTCTTGGACCTCCAGAATATCCAAATCCTCTCAGATCTATTAGATGGACAGCGTAATTCAATTTAGCAAACATGTCAGCAATCTCAATATATAGGATTTTGACATACGTGTAGAAATCTTCCTTAATGTTCTCCGAAGCCATGCACTATGCACAAAGATGCCTTTTTATTTGGCGGATCAAATTTAGTGTAATAGAGTCTCAATTCATCTCCATATCCACCGATGTATCCACGCATAACCTTATAATCAGGCAATTAGAATTCCCCTATAAATTTTGAATCATCTTTAAAATAATCATTAATTGATTCTTATTCTTTTAAGTTCATTATATTAATTTAACAGATTAGTTGATGAAATTGGCAGATCGTAAGAAATTTTCTGTTCATTTGGATATGTCTGCTTTAAAATAAATTATCCAAACTGCTCATCCACTTTCCACTAAACGCAAAATTGATACTACACCCACTAGTCCAAATACTTCAGGATTGGCATCTGATAAAATATTCAAGCCAATTCAACCTTTGCACACTAATACCAATCTAAACAACACCAACACTATTCAAAATATTATACTCAACTTCAAAAATAAAGCGAACAAGGAAAAAGAGAATGGTCCTATTTCCACAATGACGAAGTTCCCATTATTGGTAGATTAATTTATTCGATTGTTTAATTTGAGTAAGAGTGAAATACTTGAAGTTTAACAAATGAAACAAGTTTATTATTACAAATAATCAAAAATATAACAAGATGGTTAAAATGGAGAATATTTATGTTATGCCAAAGATCATATCAAATATTAATATGAGATTATCAATCTTATTGGATAAGGTAGTTTTGGTCAAGTGTTTTAAGTTTTGGATCACAAAACATAAAAAACATTTGCACTCAAAATCATCAGAAATCAAGACAAATTAAAAAAATAAGCTTTAGTAGAAGCCAATCTACTTATGATGATAAAAGAGCGTGATCCATTAAACAAATCCAACATAGTGAGAATAGAAGAATAATTTATTTTTCGAGGCCATTAATGCATAGTATTTGAGAAATTGGAATTCAATTTGTTTGAAGTCCTAAAACAGTAAAAGTTTCGAGGTTTAGATTATGAAACTTTAAGAAAATTTTCATATTAAATTTTAATAGCCCTGAATTATTTACACAAACTCAATATCGTTCATTGTGATTTAAAACCTGAAAATGTCATGGTACAAGATATGAAATCAAAGATCGTAAAACTAGTTGATTTCGGTTCTGGATGCATAGATGGGAACTAGGTCTACACATATATATAAAGCAGGTATTCTATCTTTTTTCATATTCACTTAGATATTATAGAGCTCCAGAAGTGATCTTTGGTTTGAAATATGGAATGGAAATAGATATGTGGAGTTTTGCATGCTTGGTATCTGAAATTCACACTGGATAACCAATCTTTCCTGGAGATAACGAATTGGAACAGTTTAATTTGATAATGGAGGTTATTGGAGCTCCAACCACTGAATTTGCATTAAAGTGTCCACGAAAGAAGCATTTCTTCGATGAGAATGGTTAACCAAAAAAAACAATGAAAACTTATAGGAAACCCCAATCCATTTCATTACAGGAAATTCTTAAAACTACAGATGATGACTTTATTGATTTCCTTTAAAGATGCTTTACTTGGGATGCTGAATCAAGACTTAAACCTCAAGATGCTTTGAATCATCCTTGGATTTTATCTATAAATCCTAAAGAGAATTGTTCCAAATTCAATAATAAGTTCTTCAATAATGATAAAGACTCTAATAGTGCCTTTAAAAAATCAAAAACCTAAACAAATACTATATTAAAGGAATTTGAAAAAAAACTAAGTAAGGATAACATATTTCTAAAATTATAACAAACTCGAACATTAATAGCTAATAACACTTTTGAAAATAAGCCAGGTATTTTCATATAAATAAGTATTGTTTAGTGCTGAGCAACAGGTATGTCAATGATAAACCAACTTCATCGGATAGGATAAGATCGAATATTGCCCATTCTATACATTAAATATTGTCATGCAGACAACATAATGCAAGTAACACTTAGTTCATAAGGAAACCATCTTTAGGATGATAGGATAATTTAAATCATACTCTCTGCAATATATATATATATAAATATATAATCTAATTATGAATCAGTATTATCTTTCAAGTGAATTTTATTTTGACCACGAGGTATTCTTGATTTCAAATGTCTACTGTATCTTCTTCTATAGTTAATTATTATGTATTATATAAGGTCTTAATGGTTTGAGAGTGGATTTACTTTTTGGTTTTGTGAGTGTCAAATTAACTTCTGTGCTTTGTTTTACCCTAGGCTTTTGACGAGGAGAAGAAGTAAAAGAACAAACTTGGAGATTTCTGAGTGAAACACAAGATTGAGTTTGAAAATGTTATATGACTCCTTGAGTTTGTTGAGGCATAACATTTTTTTAGAGTTTATTTGATTAGAAATGAAACATTTTGAGATCTAGCCATTTAAAGTAACGCTCTTTCTCTAATTGAATTTTTGACTTGTTTTAGGGTTTTGATGTCAAGGTTAATTTGGGAGGGGTTTTACAGGAAGGAGGTCTTTCCATGTTATCATATTCTTTTAATAGTATTTAATAGTAATTACCTATAAGAGATTCTTATTTGGAAAGCTTTTTGGTGAGTTTTCGAGTTGTTACCTTTCTTTGTTTTCTTTCTAACATAATTGCAAAACTTGTCAATGCGAGTTCCTACTTATTAACTTGTTTATGTTATTCTATCGTGGTGGGAAAGGATTGCATTTCCTTTTGTGTCAATTGACCAAATAATAATCCATAAGTTGACTTCCTTCTGGGCAATTGTTGTTGTCTAATTTCAGTGATTCTGGCAACAGCATTCTTGAGAGGTTGGAAATACCGCTTCTTTATTCTTTCAGTTAAGGTCAGAGTTGTTGAACTTTGAATGCCATCGGATTAGGGGATTCGATAGGAGTGTGGAAGTGAATTACTATTTAATTTCTTTCTTTTAAGTATGAGGAGCTTCTTTTTCTTAGATTGAGTGTTTGTTGTGTTTTTAGCTATGAGATGCTAATGATCTCTTGCATTTCTAGAGGAAAAGAATGAGAAACCACTAGGTTCTATATAATTGAAATATATACATGAATGAGTCAATGTTTGCATGATTATTATTTAATATTTAATATGAATATGAAGCCTCATCAAATAGGATAAATAGATGAATTTGAACTTTAGAACACCTCCAAAGATGATGGCCACAGTACCATTTAATCATTTAAAGAGTAAGAGCTTTTTCATTTGAATGCAATTCCAAAAAAAGTACTTATTGTTTTAATGAGATCGTTGCCATAACTATTATGCTGACTATCTTAGGAATAACCTTCTTGATAATTGGTGTATTGCTTTTGTTCAAACAACCATCAAATTATGATCAATATTTACCATTGTTATTCATTGGGATTCTAATGACCATACCAGGCATTTACTATAGTTATAAAATAATTTAATTTGCTTATTCAAGATCAAGATAGGAGCAGGAATAAATAATTCAAGAATTGCCCATCGATTACTGAAGTTGAATATTATTTATAAAATTCTAATTATATTTCAGCAATCCACAAATATGCCAAATAATTAATATTAGAAACTATAATAATATATATCTATTATGAAATCAAAGATTCGTCACTAAAAATTATAGATCCTTTGCCATTCTTATCAAACACTTAATCATTCTTTATTCCATTTCAATCTGCTGCAATTGTTGCCACTGCTACTTAGGAAGACATAAAAGATGCAGTAGATAATAGCATACGAAGCCATTCAATGAATTATTGTCCTATTATTAATGTTGATTTTACTCTTGAAGTATACAAAATAAACTCATTCAACTTTTTACTCTCTAAATCCTTGTGTTTCCTTAACATCCTAACAATATGATCACTGTAGAAGTGAAACTATGGTTCTTGATCCATTTGTTCCAACTTCTAAGAAATAACAAAATTCCTGCTCTATTACTCAATCTTCTATTCCTTCAAATCAAAAGAATCCAACGAAATAATGCTTACACTGATTGTTTTCAAAGTACTCTCACTACCATCATTTGCATTGAATTTAGAGAACTTCTGGTTCTCATAATTTACACACTTCATAATTGTGTTGATGAATACAGTAAAGAGTATCTAAAGTATTATTAAATCAATTACTTCATAATCACTAGACACCTTCATCATTAAGCCATCAGTCTAGTATTAAGGTTTCCCTCTACTCTCAGTAAAAGTCAATAGTTTTAATAACAAGTACTTCTTGTCAACAGTGATCTTTCTATTAAGCAATGTCAAATCTAGGATGTTATTATATAGTTCCAAAAGATCACATTCTTTTATGAATTCTGCCTTGTCCCTAGCAAATTTATCAACATCCGTAGGTGCTTTGATAGGCTCTCTTGATTTTGACTTGATTTAGTTCTTGAAATATAGAACATCTTCTATGGCGATACTTTTGAGGTTTATTGATTTCTCATGTTTATTTGAATTGATATCAAATGGTTTATTGGCGAAAAATATATCTATCTCTACTATCTTCTATTGGAAATGTTCTTTCATCATTCTATTAACATTTATAAGATGATCTTAATATTCATTGACAAAGGTTGGTATAAATTAAGTAAAAAATAGTTCTTCAACTTTCAAATGAGCATCTCCCATTTTCTTTACGAGTCTCGATAATAACTTTTCAGTTTCCTTATTCTTTTTCTAAATTTCATTATCTTGTTGTTAATACAATATTTACAAAAACCACTTCGACCGAATAATTGAACTGGAGCTTATTATGAAGTTTATTGAACTTAACTCGAATCATCTCCATAAAATTATCTAAGTGACCCAGCTTAAAACTCTTTTAAACCCTCTTATAATTCTTTTTCCTAATGAAAATCTAACATGATAACAATTAAATTTAGTACAATTCTTCATATTATTTTTTCTCTATTCCTTGTCCAAAATTCGTTGCTTCTCCTTTTGGCTCTATTCATCCATCTATCCTGATTATGTTTACATTAATTCGGATTAGTCACCTAACTAAATTCAAATTCTACCTCTGAAGTAATTTGATTATATTAGATCATTTCTAATGTTGCCCTTAAATGCATTAAAATTTATTTGCTTTTAGTTGGGTTTGTTAACTACTGAAGGAGTGGATCTTTTTAATAAGTAAAGTTAATGAATAAACATAACTCCGGCTGTCACCAATAATACCTTTAAGATTTCAATATACAATTAACTATAATATGAATCTCCATATACATACTTATTCGAAATATTAATACCCACCACAGAGAATATTACAAACCCTCCGAAAGTAATTAGATTGAATGTTGAAAATGCAGCCATTTTATTTAATTTAAATATTTTATCAATAAATGAGTCCAAAAATTATGTGAATTAATTGCAAACATATAATTAAAATTTTTAACAACTCATATTCAATAATAAATCATTAATTAAAATAACTTGAGTTTTTCATCATTTTACCACCTAAAACTCCTATACCATTCTTAATCTACCTATATAATACGGTATTAGTCATTCCATTTATATAATATATATCTTTATTTAATTATCATTAATTAATTAATTAAACAATTGAACATGATTGAGGATAATCGCGAATCAATTAATTCTGCAGATTTTTTTTAATGTAATCAAAATGAGTTCTTATAAGAAAGTCTCTCCCAAACAGAGTGACGAATTCAGACCCCATCTAATAAAAGTCGATCTTTCATTGGCTCCTATAAAAGAAAATACTGAGTCAGTTCGATCAGTCAATTTTCCTTCTGAAATCTAATTATTGCCTTAACCAATTGTACCAACAAGGACTAGTATACATGTTAAAAAAGTAAATCTGATCAATTATTCAGCTAAATAGAAATAGTGAAAGAATGTTAATCATAAAAAAAGATAAAGATGCATCGGAATATTTAAAATCATAAAAAAATGTTTTGATTTATAAAATGTTTTAAACAGAATCATTGGTAAGGAAATTTATAGAAAAACTAAAACGGTAAGCTTACATTTTACCTAAAGTAATTTCAAATCAGATGCAGAATTTCTTAAAAGAGAAATACATTGATGATGTTATAATTTTAGATAAACTAAGGAAATAAAATCAATAACCTAAAAAGGAGTTATTTCCAATTTTGAATCCAACTGCCATCTTTATATTTTCCTGGAACATATTGAGGGCTCTTCAATTGATGTTTTTGACATGGTGGTTACCATTTAAAGTAGCATTCCAACCGAATTATTAGTTTGAAAGCATAGAACTATCCTTAATCTATATATTTATTTTTGATATCGTTTTAAAATTGAACTAAGGTTTTATAAAGGAAGGAGATTATATCATGGATAGAACACAAATATTAAAACATTATGTTTCAACAGAACTCACAGAAGATACTATCTATTTTCTTACCTAACTAATTGTCATCGATAAAATTGATATCAAAACACATATACTTTTTGAAATATTAGTTTTGATTTAGTTTGCTATTAATTATAAAAAACTTAAGAAGAAAATTAAAAAATTTGAAGAAATATTTGCAACCAAAGCAGGGTACATCTAATTAACTAATTTATTACAACTAATTATTACAGTATTCTATTTTGCTCATCTTATGGCTTGTATTTGGTATTATATAGGGGTTATAAGTTTGAATGTTTACGAAGTATCTTGGACTACCAAATTCTAACCTCACTCTTCAGATCCCCTCTATTATTATTTATATTCATTCTATTGGGCAACAACAACAATGGTAACAGTCGGTTACGGAGATATATCGGCTTAAAATAGTTACGAAGTTTTGTGTGCTACAGTGTTAATGATATTCTCAACAGGGATGTTTGCATATGCTATCAATCAAATAGGAGATATATTTACACATATTGATACAGAACAATAAACATATAAACGTACTCTATTATTAATTAATAATTACATGAAAAAAAATCAAGTAGATTAGTAAGTTCAAAGTAGAATCAGAAATTACATCAAATATCAAGCTAAGATAAAACAATAAAGTTAAAATGATGAAATCGATCAAATTTTGAAATAACTTCCCTCTTATATATTTGCTGATCTCTAAAAAAATATATAAAACAAGATTATGTCTGAAATATCCTTTTATAAATCTAACTTTTCTAAAAGTGTTATTCCCATTATATCTTAAACATTACAAATATAATCTTACACCCCTAAAGAAATCATCTTTTAATAAGGTTAATTAGATGATTGCAGCTTATATACTGTTTGGAAAGGGGAAGTCTTGATAGTTGAAAATTAAACTGGCAAGCTTTTGGCAACTCTGGGTAAAGGATAAAGTTTTGGTGAGGTAGAATTTTTAACTTCTCAGCATAGATAATTTACTGCCATAAGCAAAGATTTAAGTTAAGTGTTAAGGATGCCAAGAGATACCTTTTTGAAAATTATCAAATTTTCTACCATTGATGTTGAACATTTTCACAAACTCAAAGATTAGTTAATGTTCTATCATATAAATTAAATTTCATCATGCTATTGTTGTTCAGAAAATCATAGCATTACCGATTGTCCTTATTCTTTCTATAAACCCAATCGAGATATAATAAGATAAAGAGATAATGCTTAAGAAAGTGTATCAATAAGAACAATGTTTGAAAGAGTTGAATAAAAGAAGGGATAATTTTAACTTCAAACTTTGAAATCATATTCTGATGATAAAGAAGAGTTAGGATCTAGATTGCAATCAATAAAAAATGAGACTGCTCCTGCAATAAGTCCTCAAAGATCAAGGAAAAAAACATTAACTCCATTTAATTTTAAAAATTTTGGATAACATTATACAGATGAGAAACTATTAGAAAGCCCCAATTTTACATAAAGTTAGTTAGAAATTTAAAATGAATAAAATTCTAACAAAATAAGTGTTCATCAAATATTGGAACTTCCATCAATAAAAAATAGGCAATCGAACTCAAATAATCATATTATTATATCATCGCTTAGTTAACTCGAAATAATAGAATAGGAGTTCCGAAAGGTTTTTATGTTGGACATTGATAAGATTGGTGTATTTAAAGGATATTTTCCTCAAAATAACATAGAAGTGGTTTTGCTATCGTTTAGAAAACTGATGAGGAGTAAGAAAATAGTTATCACTGAAACTCTTTTAGAATTGACAAGAAGGAAAATATAAACAGAAAATAACTAATTTTTATGATTTATAAGAATTATTGTTCCTCTTTAAATATTGCAATAAAGTATCAATAGATTATTTTTAAATATATACTAAAAGATTCTATTCCTCAACATAAATTTATTGATCTATATACTAATTTGTAATTGAAATAATTATTTATCTTCATAGCTTAATTAATTGAATAGATATCATCTATTTTATTAATTTGAAGATATATTTTTATAAAATTCTTTTTGAATAATAACTTTAATTTTATAAGTACCAATTAGTATTGATTACATCTGAAATTAGTATCCTATTTAAGCTAAGTTATTTAATTTAAATAATTAATTATTTCAATTCTCAATTTGTATGACTGATGATTTAGAACAAACTTTGTACAATGACTTAAAATTAGCAGGTGTAATTTTTGTTTTAAATTAGGATCTTCTAGAATCTCAGATTCATTTAGGCCACACCTAATTCATCTAGATATGTAAGACATACCTTTCAAGGAGAACTCTGAATCAGATTCTGTGCCATAAGCAAATTCTTTAAGAAATTTGCGTTTTAGTATTTCCAAGGGTAAAAATTAAGATATCAGTTCATTTAATAATTTCCAATAATAAAATAATTTTTAAGATAAGAACGATAAGCAAAAGCATTCAAGGAATAGTGGAATGGCAAAAATGTTGGTGATTAATAATCTGGTAAAATAATTTATTGAGAAATTAAAAAAGAATGCATACATATTCCCAAGAATACATGGTGATTAAATCAGAGACAATATGAGGGAAGCGTTGAATAAAAAAAAAAATTGGAAAAAGATGAAATAAATATAGAGTTCTGAAGATGGCAGTAAAATATAGATATAAAGAAAACTTCCCGTATTTAATCCTGCAAGTAAAGTGATGTTAATATGGGAATTTTTTAGAGCTATATAATTAACAATATTACTGTGGTGGTTGCCATTTAAAATTGCCTTTAATCCATCTTCAAGTAAAAATATTGATGACTTTGAGAGTGCTTTAACATACATATTTGCAGCAGATTTAATAATTAAATTTAATAGAGGTATATTTGATTAAGGGAAATTGATAAAAAATAGAATCAATATTCTGAAACATTACGTTTCTAATGAAATGCATGAAGACATTATATATTTTATTACATTGATATTTGTAATAAGTGATGTAGGAATAAGGGCTGGTGGATTTTAAGAAGTAATTGTATTATTACAATTTGGTTTGAACTTTATTAAGTTGAAGAAGTACTTAACCAAATATGAAGAATCTTTTGTTGAATCTTCAATTCTGACAGAAATAGTAAAATTAATATAATTGATAATAATCACATTTTACTTTGCACATTTTATGGCATGTATTTGGTATTATGTGGGAGTCAAAAGTATAGAATTGAAAGAAATATCATGGACACAAGATCCAAAATTTGAAGATTCTACTATTTTATAGATGTATATTTACTCATTTTATTGGGCAACAACCACTATGGTTACTGTAGGATATGGAGATATATCTGGTAAAAATATATATGAAGTATTATGTGCAATTGTCCTTATGATATTTTCAAGCGGAATTTTTGCATTTTCTATGAATCAAATAGGATCAATATTTACAAACATGGATGCCTAGAAATAGTAATATAAGAGAACTTTATTACTAATTAATTAATACATGAATAATAATTAAGTTGCAGAATAGCTTTAGGGTAGAATTAGAAATTATTTGAAATATCATTATCATAAATAAGAAAAACTTTATAAAAATGAAATAAGTGGTATTATTGATAAATTACCAACAACACTGAAATCCGAATTAATTCAGGATGTGTAATTTAGAGTTATGCAATGCATTCCTTTTTTTAATAAAAACTTTTCATAAGAAATTCTTCCTTAAATAGCCTGTGAATTAAATCTATAATCTTATACACCAAGAGAAATTATTTATCAATAAAATCAAATAGATGAATGCAATATCTTCATAGTATGGAAAGGAGAAGTCAATTTAATCGATGATAACTCAGGTAAAGTACTCAAAAAATTTACTACTGGATAATGCTTTGGAGAGTTAGAATTCTTAACTAATTAAAAGAGATTAGGTACTGCTATTAGCTGCGATTTCAGTCAAATATATTTTATATCTAGGAATCAATTTCTGAAAATACTAAATTCTTATAATCATGATTTTCAACAATTTCATTAGCTAAAAGATGAGATTTTATTTAATTACAATTCTTCTTCTATTGAGTGCTATTGTTGCCAAGAATCTCATTCTATTTGGAAATGTCCATTTATCCATTATAAACCTGATTTAGAAAGAGTTATTAAGAAGAATTTCTTTTAGGATTCTCAACAAGAACGCTTCTAATTCAAAAGAAAAGGAGTTCGTCATAATGTTTATTACTAAGAAAGTATACTTTAAAGCTCAAAGCATTTAAAGACATCAAATGATTTGGATAATAATACTGCAGGAGATATTCAGTAAATAGGTTCAATTAATGAATCTGAAGAATCAGCTGAAGAGAGTGCGAAATATGAAAAAAAGAGTGATCAACTATTAACTCTGTCTTATGCTTTACCTAGCGAAAGTCGGAGAAAAAGTCAGAGAACTAAATTTATATCAGCATCTCCTTTACAAGCAGAATCCCCACTTCTGAAACCAACTGATATGCTCCGATATGGTTAGAGACCAAGGAAAAGCCTTTTCTTTGCTGGGTAGAGTATAGTTACCGCTTTATAAACCAAACGCCATGAATCAGTACAAAAAGCTGCATCCTTAGGCTAATTACAGAATCTAATTTAGTAATAATCTATTTATGAGAATGAAAATAATCTTGAACCATTAAGTATAATTGAAGGATTAGATAAAATGATAATATATTCTAATTATTTTCCAGAAAATAATTACGATAAGATTATTGAATCTATAATGAAATACTTAAAAAAATTTAGATTAACTAGAGTATATATGATTCCGAATAAGTATTCTTTTGTAAGGTTGTAAAAATATGATAAAATCAAATCTTAAGGAAAAAAGGCTATAATTTTAAAATAGAATGATTTTATTAAATGAAATTAGTGATGAGATTGATATCTTTAAATTTAATTGTGCCTGTGAGTTAAAATACAATAAAATTCAATAATTTCTTAATGTCATTCCTTGACCTTTTTTGTTTAAACAAAATATCAAAAGGATTAGTTCTTTAAATAAAATCATGTTCTTTCATTATCAAAATATTATTTAATCTACTCTCTATATGCCATCTTGTATTAAATATATCATATACTACGATATAATAATAATAATATAAAATATGTAAAATAGTTTAAACTAAATAAATTAAAGATTTTATTTTTATTTGAAATATGACCAAAAAAACAAAGAAGGTGGGAATCACAGGTAAATATGGTACCAGATATGGTGCTTCTTTGAGAAAAATAATTAAGAAATTTGAAATTTCTTAACATTAGAGATATTTTAACACCTTCACAGGAGCAGTATGAATTCAATTGAATATTAAGCACTCATTAAAAAGACAAGCTATTGGTATTTGGAGATGCACATAAACGGGATTACAAATTGCAGGTGGAGCATGGGAAGTAAAGTAAGATTATAATCTATCGTGAGTACTCCAGCTGGTTTGTCTGCTAAATAAGGTATGCTCAGAATTAAGAAATTGAAGGAGGATGCAGAAGTCGAGGTCAAAGATGAAAAGAAGGATCAAAAAGCAAAGCAATAATAATAGCCAAAAGAACAAAAGGAATAAAAACCAACCTAATAATAAAGTTCAAAGGGCAAATAACAATAAGGAGGAGATAAAAAGAAAGTACAAGCAAAAAAGCAATGATATCGAATATATTATTTTACAGTACATAATAATAGCATTTACATTCAAATAACTTCCATAATTATTACTAACTTAAAGATTTAATATAGATTATAATTATAAAGCATATTATAAATGATATTTAAATAAATATGAATTTATTGATTTCTGATAATGGAAGCTTGATTTAACCAATAATATAAATTTAAATATCCAATAATAAACATGAAAGCAATTAACGTTGGAATTGAAGCCATCGAGATTTATTTCCCTAAGACTTATGTTAACTAAGCAGAGCTAGGTACTAAAAATAAATAAGATTTCAGAATTATTCGATAATGTTTCTTAAGGGAAGTATACAGTAGGATTGGGTCAAGTGAATATGGCCTTTGTAAGACCTTTTGAAGATGTAAATACTATGGCATTGACAGGTAAATCGAAATCTAATAGTTAGTGGTCACAAATCTATTAGAGAAAAACTAAATTAATCCTGCATTGATAGGTCGATTGGAAGTGGGCACAGAGTCATTGTTAGATAAATCGAAATCAACTAAAACTACACTTATGAGATTATTTGGTGATAATACAAATATTGAGGGAGTGACTTCAATAAATGCCTGTTATGGAGGCACAAATGCTTTATTCAATACTATTAATTGGATGTAGAGTGAGGCTTGGGATGGGAGATATGGATTAGTAGTCTGTACTGATATAGCAGTTTATGCTAAAGGATCGGCAAGAACAACTGGAGGAGCAGGAGCAATTGCCATGTTAATAGCCCCGAATGCAACTTTTACCATAGATCCAATTAGAACAACTTATATGAAGGATAATTATGATTTTTATAAGCCAAACTTTCACAGTGAATACCCTACTGTAGATGGTCAACTATCAATATAGAGCTACTTATAATCAATTGACAATTGTATTTAATCCTATTATAAGAAAAACAATAATTTGGATGCTGATTTTTATTGTTTTCACAGTCCATTTCATAAGATGGTTTAGAAGTCATTCTTGAGAGTTAAATTAAATGAGTCGTTTGTTTAAAAGGGTGATACTGGATTCACATTCTAAAATTTTAATGAAAAATAATCACAAATGCTTAAATTCTATTAAAATGATTGGTTGAATAAGGCGTTTCCCTCTTGTCTTTTATCCAGGGAATTAGGAAATATCTATACAGGAGCTCTATATGCAGGATTAGCAAGTTTGATCGAAACCTAAGATGATTTGATAAATAAAAGAATAATGATGTTCTCCTATGGTTCAGGCTGTGCAGCATCACTCTTCTTTTTGAGATGCAATAAATCAACAAGAATGATGAAACAGAATTCAAAGGTTCAAGAACGATTACAATAGAGGATTAGAATTTCCTGTATAGAATATGATCACATTATGTAATAAAGAGAGATAAATTACAATAAGCATAGCTAATAATATCAACCAAAATAAGTGGACTTATATCCAGGGACATTTTATCTGAAATCTATAGATGATAAATACAGGAGAGAATATCTCGTGCATAAACAAATATAATTGAACTAAACATCTGACATATTAGTACTTGACGAATCTAGATCTAACAAAAAAATTCAATAAATTAGAGATTAAATGACTAATAATAATAGTACAATTGATTAAACTTCTTAATAAACTTAAAAGTAATATAATCAATTGTGGACTGGATTTTATAAGAAAACTATATAATAAAGATTGGACTAATTGGAGAAAACAATGAATGTAAATGTTGAGCCATTCAAAGATGGAGGATTATCATTGTAGAATGCCAATTTAATGGTTGAAAATTGCATTGGAAAGATTTCATATCCTCTTGGATTAGGATTAAATTTCCTAATAAATGGATAATGCTATTCAGTACCTATGGCTATAGAAGAACCATCTGTGATTGCAGCGGCTAGTGCAGCAGCGAAAACTATTAGTGAAGCTGGTGTTGGATTTCAAACATATTCAAGTCGTCCAGTGATGATGGGCTAAATCTAATTATTAGATGTCTCGAACTATTCAAAAATCGAATGTTTAATCGATTCCAACAGATAGACCATTATTAACAGAGGAAATTAAGCATGCTAAAGTATGGTGAAGAGAGGAGGAGGAGTAGAGGATGTGAAATGTAGAAACTTGAGTTAAGGACAATGTAGTGTGGATATATTTATCAACGTATGTGATAGCATGGGAGCCAATTTAGTAAATACTGTTTTAGAATTCATTGCCCCTTTGATAGCAGAAATCACTGGCACTAGAATTGGGATTAAGATACTAACCAATCTATGTATGAATAGAAAAGTAACAGCCTAGTTTACCTTAGATATCGATAAGATGAATTATAAATCATTAAGTGGAAAAGATGTTGCTAAACTAATGTTAGAAGCATATCAATTTGCAGATCTTGATATTTACAGAGCTGTAACACATAACAAAGGGATTATAAATGGAATTGAAGCAGTTTGTAATGCTACTGGATAGGATGCAAGAGCAGTCAATGCATCTTTACATGGGTATGCATCTATGAGTGGACAATACAAACCACTTTCATAGTATAAGATAGTCGATAATAAATTCATTGGGGAATTAACAGTTCCAATTAGTGTTGGAACTTAAGGAGGAGTCTTGCCTCAAAATCCTCTATATTCATAGATCTTGTCGATTTTGGACTACCCAGATTCTCAGAAGTTGGCTGAAATTATTGTTTCTGTAGGATTAGCTTCAAATTTTGCAGCCTTGAGAGCCTTAGCTGTTGAGGGTATTTAAAAGGGACATATGACATTGCATGCAAGAAATATTGCAATAGCAAGTGGGATACCTGAACATCTTGTTGACGAAGCAGTTCTATTTATGAAAAATAGAAATAGCTTCAATAAATAAACAGCATTGGAATTCCTTAAGGCTTATAATGTATTCTTCGAGATTGGTAAGGCTAAAGGGAAGTAGATGAAAGCATTTTGCACATTTTCAGGGTCTTTCGATATGATAGGCACTTAAGAAAAAGTAGATTTACATGTAGTCTTCGAATGCGATTAAAACAAGATTAATTTAAATTATGCTGATGATTCAACAATGAACAGACAAATATTTGGATTGAAAGGTCAAGAGTGGTTGAAGAATTTGTTTTCAGTGTTGAACACAGTCAAAATAAATAAAGAGGCTGAATTATACTAGTCTAATAATTTGACATCCAAATTGAAGCTATTGGCAATTTTGATAAATTTATTATCTTTCAATATGTTAAGTCTTGATTTTGAGAGAGCAAAGAATTTCATATTGAATTAAAAGCCTTGTTTAGGAGGTGCTGTTTCGTTGAAGTATGGGTTATCACTTATGAATGAATTAATGCACATCTTTGAATACAATATAGACTAATTCATTGGATTTCCTTAATTAAGATAAGCATTGATGGCAGAATTGAATAATGTTATTTTGGCACATGTCAAATCATTTGAATTGTTGCAATAGGCAAAGCAAGGTTAATTCAATTGTGAGGAATTCTTATGCACTAGATAGAAACGTTTGTCTTGTACAATGATGCTACTTTGTGATTGTATTTCATTAAAGAGTTTCAATCCCTCGATTATTGAAGAGATCAAATTACTTGGAAGAGTAATTGAGATTTAAATGACTTTGACAAGAGATACTTAGAAATGGAATAAGTAAGATAATCGTTACTATTATAGATCAACTCTCTCTGAACCTAACATGTATACTTATTGGCTGATTGCTAATTAGAAATTGATCCTCGGTGAAAATAAGGAGATCTTAAGTTCATTTTATAATGAGCATAACAGATTATTGATGTCTCTAATTTAAGAATTGGAAAAGAACATATCTCCTCAATTAAGTCATCTGAAAGATTAAGCCATGAATGCTATTCAACTATTTTATAAACCGAGATTGTGATAATTATATTAATGAGTATTTTGAAATAAATATCCGATTCGAATCATTAAAATAAGGATCTTCATCCTAGTGGTCCTAGGTTGACTTTTGATCAGGAACAATTGCAAAGATATCAGTTTTAATAAATTGACTCCAATACATCATTACATCCACACAAAATGACAAATACAATTCATTGTGATTCAATCATGATAAAACAAGATGTTAGCAAATAGGTATTCATAATAAACTTCCCTTTATATTCAGTTGACAAGAAAAAGAAAGTCTGAATTTAAGATTGGGTTAAATCGGACAAGTTTCTTGAGGACTATAAACAGAAATTCCCTTGTGTAAAAGTTCAAAAACATTCTTCTCATGCGTTCTTATGTTTTGAGTAAAGAAAATAAGTATCTTTTACTTCAAGATTGGTGGTAAAAACCAACCAAAAGTAAAATGCATCATAATTTTAAGGAAATCAATATGCTCACAATCGCATACCATTTATAATATCTGGTAGTCATGTTTCAATCATTTTAACTATATGGTCTCTATTCATACAAATAGTCACTCTATGGATTACTCCTTTTATGATTTCATTTCAATAAGAAATCTCCATTTTCAAAGTTATCTTCCTTTTTATTGTATTCTAAGTATTTTTCGATGCTTTTCTTAAAATCAACAGTCCATTGATTGTAAATGGTGAGACTATATATGATAAAACAGAAAGAATTAAAGATTTCTTTAAAAAAAGCTTGCTCGAAGACTTAATGTATATCGCCACCTTAATTGTCTCCTTTTTTCCAATCTTTGATAATATCCAGCTCAAAGGCACTATTTGTATCATAATCATTTTTATCTCTTACAAAAAACTCAATCAAAATTATGAAAGCTTATATGAAATTCTCTACTTAAAGGGATAATACCATTATGCTATAGACGTAATGTCCCTCATCATTTTGATCTTCTCATATGCACATGTTATGGCATGCATTTGGCACTATGTGGGTGAAATTTCAATGGATTAAGGTCAGTCCTGGCTAATTTAAAGAAATCTACAAAATAGTGCAGTATGGGAAAGGTACAACACATCTTTTTATTGGGCCACAATGACTATGTCAACCGTAGGCTATGGAGATATTACACCTACTAATCAATTCGAAACTTTGGCAGCTAATTTGATGATGATTCTCTCTAGTTGTATGTTTGGTTATTCAATTAGTCAAATAGGAATGATACTTAAAAGTTAATATGAACTCTAGTAAAAATATAAGTAATTATTCATTCACCATTTCTTAGACGTTCAATTATAATTATGAATGCATTTATGAAAAATAGCTAAGTTAATTTGTAAATTTAGAGTAGAATCAGAAATTATCTCAAATATTAATGTGAAACTGAAGCTAATGAAAATAAAGATGATATCAATAAAATCGTTGCAGATCTCCCCATTGGATTAAAATAAGAACTTGTATAAGATGTTTAGATGAATATAATGAAGAAGATTAAGATTTTAAATAATCAATTCTCCCAATCAACTCTAAAATAACTTTCTTAGTATTTAATAGAATTTAAATTTACTCCTGGTGATGTCATATATCATAGAAATGATTCAAATGATTAAAGTCTATACTACATTTAAGAAGGGATTGTTAATATTTATGAAGAAAATAGTTAAAAACTGTTGCAATCCTTAAAGGCTGGAGATACATTTGGCGAATATTAATTCTTTACTGGATTTCAAACACAAACTTCTGTAAGAAGCTAAGGCTTTACTAAAATATTCAAATTAAATCGTTCATCTATTTTATAGTTATTAAACTAAAACTCTAAAGATTTTTAGAGATTTCACCACATCAAGGACAATATTATATTCAATAAGAACTTTCAGATAGTATAAAAAAATTGTAATTTCTGTAAAATGAGTAATCATATTAACATTGATTGCCCACTGTTATCCTACAAGCCAGACATATTATAGAGAATTAAGAAAGCTGAATTACAGCCCACCATATAAAAAAGAGTTTTTATTGAAAGAAATAATGAGAAAGTGAGATGTCTAATGTTGCATGCAGCAATAAAAGATACTGTTGAAGAATACAAGGCAAATCTGTCTACTACTTAAATTGATGTTGATATGAAACTATTTTCTACATATGCGACAAAAGATTTAAATAGTCATTGCTAAAAAGAATCCTTATTAGACAAATAAATGCCTAAGTCTCCACCAGTTGCTCCTTTGAAAAAAAATAACTCGTTCTTGATTAGATAGAGAAATCAATCTTAATAAAAGAAGGTCAACCTCTTTGTAAATTTAAAATCAGTCGTCAGAGACTCTGATAGACAATTAAAATCTGAGTCTGAGGATGATCAACTCAATAATTCACCAAAGAATCAAGTTTCATAATAATTTCTCATTGATTTAAATGATTGTTAAATGAATCACTTTGATGATTAATTCCAAACAACCGATTTCAATATTGATAGGTTGATGAATTATTTTGGTTATATGCCTATGTCCAATGTGATTTATGCTTTGAGGAAATACGAAAAAATGTATAAGTATTCCAAAGTGAAGACAATTAATTATCCAGAATCAGAAAGCAGGAAATTTAGCATTCCCTTGTATTACAGTAGAAGGGAATCAATAAATGAATTACTTAAAGAGAAATATTGAGTAAATAATGAATTATATTTAATAATATAAATGTTTAATAAAAAATTTAAAAAACAAGTTTCTATTTCTTTTCAAGATCAGGATAATAAAGAATAAATAGATAATACTGCATAATCCAATACGAACTAAATAAAGAAACCTAAAAATCGGTTGAACTATGATGAGGAGGAAAATACAGATTAAATTAAAAAATATGTGAAAGTAGAAAATAAACCAATAGTAGAAGCTCAGAAAGATGTGATTCAAATAGAGAATTACGAGTATCTAAAGGAGTTAGAAGAGGAAAATAGAATGAATAATTACTTAGCTAAAAAGAGTTTGGAAAATGTAGAAGAAATCAATATTATAGATTTAGAAAATGATGGAATTTATGAGGATGATCAGCCAGTAAGGAGAAATTAAAATCAATAAAATGTAATTATAATAGACGAAACAGACAATAATTTAATTACTGATATGGATAACAAGAGGATGAATATGATAGGAATAGCTAAATAATAGAAGCTTTTTTATGAACATAATTCAGATGATGAGGAATTCAATAGGTTTGAGAAAAATATCATCAAATCGAATAAAGTTTCATATGACTATGCGAACAACGGGTTTAAGACTTTCAATTTTAATGATTCCCAATAGATGCATTATTGCAGTTTTATGGACAACTTCTCTTAAATAAATTTGGAATAAATTATCGGAAATCTATAGACTCTCATATCTTAAGAGAATTTCAAAAGAGACAGATTGCAAAAGGAATTAGAGAGATCAACATCAGCCATTCATTCTAGTGAGATGCTAATAAAGAATTGGTTAGAATAGAACTAGGAGTTATAGAAGCAATTAAGGGAGTTTGAATTAGTAAATGAATATTTTCAATGTTTCAATGATATGTCAAAGTAGAAGGTAAGAGTACATAATTAATTCTAGATACCAACTCTATTTAAATTATATGATGAATTCGATGAAATGCGTGATGAATATTACAATTTGATTGAGGCAAGAATTGAGGAAGAATAATTGATATTCTCTGAATTATTTTAGGGATTGCCAAATGATATCATTCTCAATTATGCTAAGGATATTTGTTTACATATGGATGACGTAGATGAAGAGTATGCAGATTTGGAGAAGATTTGCAAGAATTACTTTAACGTAATGTTTGTTATACCAAATGTCAAAGTCTTATAGCCAATTTTCGATTATCATGTTCTAGTGAGATTCATAGAGTTGTATTGTGAGAACATGGATGATTGTGAATCTGATTTATTTGAGGGTTTGGTTTCTGATTAATACTTACTCTGTTAATTGATAATGCAATGTAGATTCATTAAAGGATTATTAACACTAAATCCAATTCAAACCAAATTTATCCAACAATTTTTCAGATCCATTTTAAAACACACCTACTAATTTTTAAAATAATCAAATACCGAAGAAGCCCAACAATGTTTGAATTATATTAAATCATTGCTTGATTCAGTGTTAAAATCAATATACAAAAAGCCTTGTATTTATGGGCCACAGATAGTCGAATACTTAAGTTTGATGAAAGATATCCTTCCTAAAGATACAATTGAAAAGCTAATCAAAAATTTTTAATGAATTATAGTGTCAAGAATGTTAAATTAATTAATATTTAAATATTTGAAATTTATAACAGTAAGAGTATTCATTTTTTGTAATATTCAGAAGCCTGAACATACATCTTGGCAAATCTAGCTGAAGGAGTCTTTTAATTTGGTACAATTTAGGATTTGTCTCCAAAGTTTGCGATTTAAGGTAGTTCTACTCCTTTATTCGCTTTATCCTTTATTTTTGATTTCATAAAGGACTTATTTTATTCTTGGGTAGGATCTTCTTCAATTTTATTTTAATTTCCTTTGCCATTTCTTATCAGTTTCATTTATTGCTTGTCATAAACCAAATCTTCATACTGAGGTTATAATCTTGTTTAATAACTATCTTCGAAATTATAAGAATGCTAAATAGATCTATGATGTGATGAACCATCCTATTCTAAAGTATACTTTTATGAATCCAATTAGAAGTCAGTCTAAGTTATTAGATCTACTTATGTAAATTAATGTTATTTCTTGCTAGTAATCTTCTCAAAAAAACTAGAGTTATCATCAGTAGGTAAAACTTAACTTAATTCTGTCTGAATTAATTTCGTATTAGTAAATACTGGTTATGTTTAAGTTTGAACATCTTCCTAGGTGGCACTATATTATTATGACTAATCTTATTTTATTATTTCTGTTTAAGATTCGGTACTACAAAAATTCTTTTCAACTGTTTAAATAGAAGCATGTTGGTATTATTTAGTTTATTTTAGCATTGCAATATCACTTTATAATTATTCAACTAATTATTGCATAATTGCATATTGTTCATTGATTTCCTTATACATATCAGGGTAATCTTTGATTTGACTATATTTAATTTGATGCAACATGAGATTTTCTTCCATTTTCTTAAATTCTGCCGACTTATTCTTAAGTTCCAATGCTATTAATTTCAGTTGCTATTCAAGTTCTTATTTCTTGATAATTTCTGAGGAATACTTATTTTGTAATTCACTTAGATTTTAAGTAAGTGAGTTCACTTACCCTTCAAGAGTTGAATTACTCGCATTCAAGATTTTGATATTGCATTTCAGCTCTTCAATAGCTTCATCCTTTTTAACTATTTAATTCTATTAGAATTTGTTCTTTTCATCATTCTATTATAATTGAAACATTTGTTTCTTTTAGATTTCCTTAACTTAATCAAACTATTGTTTCTTTTCTTATTCAAGTTACTTTACTTAATCTTAGTATCTCTTTAAATCAAATTCAATTTTGAACTTTAATTCTTATTCAAACTGAAATTCTTTTTTTAATTCTTAATATGTAATCATGCATTCTTCATAGGTTTTAACGGATTAATTTTTTTAGATTATTATCTAAGCATTTTCAGTTGATAATACAGATTATCTTTGTTTTAACTATTATATTTCAATTTCTTAATCTTTAGCATTCTTATTAGTTTCTTAAGATTACAATGTAATCTCTTATAATTTAGTTTTTAAACACTCATTTTCTTAAGTTAACAATATTATTTAAGTTTCTTAAGTTGTAACTTTATTTTGTTACTCAAAAACTAATTATGTTTTTTATTAAATATCTTTATTCTATTCATTAAGTCTTTATTATAAATGTTCATAATTAGCTGTTAATTGTTTATTCAGAGTGTCTAATTTATTGTATTGAGATTAATTAATCGAAGTTTAATAATTCAATTATTATATTAATGAATAGTCTTTCTATTTCTTTTATTCATACTCCTAAAATTTAGACTCTAAGGATTAATTCATCTCCTTCAACAATTTGACTTATAATTCAGAGTCGAAGGTTCTGCATTTCAGATTGTCTAATCTTTGATCTTTTTCTCCAATTTCAATATTTAAATTTAAAATAATTTGTCTCTTCTGTTCTAAATCAAACTCCAGATTTTGTATCTATTATTCTGCATTTATCATCTTCAACTTTAACGATTCGTTAAGTTACAGTTACTAATTGAAAATACATTAGATATGATTAATTTTCGATTCGAAACTCACTCTTTTTTTCGTTTCCTAACTAAATAATTTATCTCTCTCTTATATTAATTCATCATATTGGGTGAGCTCTGATTTCTATAAATTTAGCTTATGTTGAAGCAAATGTATAGTTTCATCCCTCATTTTTATCTAATTTTATAGATCAATCAAATCCTGCTCTTTAAGTTGCATCAATGATTAAAATTAGTCATTCAGAATGTTAAGAGTGATCTTTTACTAACTTTATGCTTGGTCTATTTCAATCACTTGAGGTCTGCACTTCTCAGTCAATAGTTAGAATACTTTCCAAAGCTTCCCCATTATAGATTTCTTATCAAAACTTTAGGCAATCAACTCTTCTAAAGAATTGTACACTCCCTGAGAATAGATGAACAAGCTATTGTAAATTCTATCAGCCTATGTTACTCCAGCTGTTTTCAAAGAAGCCTTGTCAATTCCAAAGCTCTTCAATACATTTCTATGCTCAGCTTCATCCTTTAACACATTCTATATCCACAATTCTGGACTAGGTTTCACTTATTAAGAATCATATTCTGATTGTGTTCTTTGAGTTCTTAATGGTCTTAACTATTTGGCCTTCTAATCTACAAAAGACATAATATTGTTAAAATATAATTAATATAAGAGAAATGATGATGTATGTATATATATTATACTCATTTATTGATTATTTAACACTGTATGAGTTAAGCTCTGATAATCTTATATCTATCTATGGTATTATTGGAGAAGTATCTTTTGTAGAAGCAACGGACATCTAAAATTATTCGAAACATCTAATTTGAAAAACTTATTTCAAATAGAAAGATGAATAGCAGTAAAGTAAAAGAAAAGGAACATGATCTAAATTTAATTGAAGGAATTACAAAAAGATTATTTCTAATTTCGAACTTTCTACAATAGATTAACTATATCTTAATCCTAGGATTGTCCAAGCCTGTTCATATCCAATTCTTTAAAATTAATTAACCTTAGTCTATAACTTTGTTACTTACTTAATCAAATTCGAAGATCTTTTCGACAGTTGTATTATCATAAACTTCCTCAGCTGGATTCAGCAACTGCTGAGCCATTTAAGAAAGTAAAAAATTATACGAATGTAAACCATAGTTTAATGCCCCATTTAAGTAAGTATTGCAATATTAGAAATTAACAACTAAGTTTAAATTATGTAAATACTTTAGTTTATAGTTGTACATAAGTCTCCATTAAAAATATAATCAATTTCATCAATGTTGGTTTGATATAACTAGGATTGTAACTCAGCATTAGTTGCCACATAACCTTCTTGAATTTATTTGTAGTTATTGATATCTATATAGGATTTATTAAAGAAAGTGTATATAAAGATTTCTTTAGATAGAGTCAATGATAACAATTGTGTTGTTTGTTTAGTAAAATAGTTTGAACTTAATATATTAGACATCTAATTACTGAATCCCATAATGTAAATAAAGTAGAAAAAACTTAGAAATGATATGATTGACATAAATAATAGATATTTTAATACCATTAAAATCTAAATTAGTTAAAATATATACTTTTATTTTTTTCCATCTCTTGGACCATTCATATCGCTTTTACTTTTATCTCTTCAAATAGCTGCTTTTTTCATCTTCATCTCCTTATCTAATGATTGTTTAATTGGTTGATTAAAAATAATCTAAAATTGATTAATATAAATACTGTTTTATATTAGGCCATTTGCACTTCGAATACATGAAAATTAGAATTTTAGATTCGAATAAAATTTTAGTGATTCTTCGATTTATGTTTTGTCGATATAGGATAATTGCTTAGCAACTTTCTAGCGATATTCATCATAATACTTAGCTTTATGTTATAAGTTTGAGAAGATTGAAAATATTAGAAACTAAATAAAATCCAAATATCCCTGTAGAGATCATTATAACAGTAGAACAAATATAATTTTGGGTTTAGTAATTTTGAATTAGATGACTAATCATTTCATCAATGTTCCGACTTTAATAATCAAAGAGAAAAGGAATAAATATGGTTCGGAAGAATTCTAATTATTACTCAAAGTCGTAGTTATAATCTATTTATTAAAGACTTCCTATATTAGATTTATATTAGTTTATTAAATCAATAATATTTAGATTTTCATTGTAATTTTATGATTTGTAGATTTTCTATACAAAACTAGGCTATTAATATAATTTCGTAATCTCAAATAATTAGTCATTAAAACTTTTCTGTAAGTCTTGATAGAATTCAGATTCATTATGAAATTAAATGAGGAGGTTGTTTTAAAAATAAAAAGTGTTGATCAATTTATCATATGATTCAATCATTATATTGATAAAATCATAGTGCTTCTTTGCACTTTAAAACTTTAATTAATAATATATTATACCCCTAGTTCATCCATGTCTAATTAATTGATATTAGGACCCTAGTTTAAAACTATCAGGTCAAAAATGATTAAAAAGAAAATGAATATTCTATTTAAAATCTTTAAAATGCTTATTTAAGTATAATGCTTAGCAGGTTTATTGTTCTCTTCCTTAATAAAAATATTATTTGAGGTCTTGAGAATCAAGGATGTTATTTATTAAACGTTGAAATCCAATACTACTTGGTCTTCAGGCATCAAAGGCTTATTCGTAGTTCTATATGAATCCACTTCTGAATTTTAAACTATTATATTATTAATAATTAACCATTTGAATGGGTTATTTTTTTATAATTTAGCTCAACTTGTTATTGATAGTTCTATTCTAAGAATTATTAAAAATGCTGCAATTGCTAAGGATTTTAAAAAATACTTTATCTTGATTAACTGATTTTCTAGTTTTTTCTATTAAGTAAATTTACAGCCTATAAATTACAAAATCAAATTACTTTGGCTTTCTTATTTAAGATTTAGCTTTCGATCACATTGAGATTAATAATTTTGATGATTTAATATTTATCCATGATTGTATTTTTAGTAAACCGTATAGATGCTTCAATTTTGATTACTGTCTTTAACATTCTACTAGTTATGCAGTACTTCTAAAAACTAGTTTCTAGATATTGATGGATATTTTACTAAAGTGGTTATATAATTTCTCATAGTAGTGCTCTTAATATTGAAACAGTTTATAAAATAGTACTTACTTATCAATTTAGAGTTTTCCATTAGAATTTCTTTTTACAATTCTCTCATCTTTTAATTTATTTGATTTAATTGTCATTTGATCTAGGCCATTTAATAGTATTTCTTATTTAGTTTCAGTATAATCGTCTATCAAATATTTTATCTTTTTTGGTAAACGAAAGGTTAATTTGACATGATCTTCATCTACAACCTTATAAAATCTTTTAAACAATTAATCTTTCTCTTCCTATAAATCCTCATTCAAAGCATCATTTATCCAAAGAGGACTTTCCTATACATTCTTGTTATCATCCTCTAAAACCATACTAACAATATCTTAGGGTTACGATTGTTCCACATATAAGGCTTTGTAATTACTGGGAGCAATAGTAATTTTTCTATTTGTGAATTTGGCATCAACTATTGAGTCCTAATTATTATCTTCATTTTTAGATCTTTTTAATTTAAACAATTTAAGATCATCTTCAGTCAAAAATTGTGAATAATATGAATACTTCAACAATTTTGGACAGAGTATAAATAAGCATATGCCAGGCTGAAAGTATTCTGCAATTTATTCAGATACATAATCTATCTCCCAGTCACTGTTTACCAAAATGTAACTGGCACTTTAATGCCTATAAATAGGTCTAATCATGCATATGTATTCAATTTATGAGAGATGACTTATATGCAATTTCAAGTACTTTTTGCATGGCATAAGATACTTATCATTATTTAGAGCTAAGATCTTAATTTTTTTGTATAATGATTTGCTTTTACCAGTTTAAATAAATTGATCACTTGCAAATTAATGATTTCTAATAAATGTTTTAGGTAATAATTGATTGATGTTATTATATTCTTAAAATCCAAAAATATCATAAGCAGATTCACTAAAATTCACTATTTGTCCAGATTGCGTAGTGTGAAAGATGGCTGATGTGTAATTGAAGGCTTTTTGAAAAGAAAACTAATCAATCTAGTTTTAGTTATCTGAACCTGAATCTTCATCAATTGGTTATTGCACCATGTTTTAAGAATCACAATAGTCTAACATGCTTTACTTTAATTTTTTGTTTAGAACATACAAATAATACCAATTATAAAGGAATTGCCATTTTGGTCTTCTTATTAGAAAGTTCTTAACAATAACTTTATCTCTATTGATTATCTTGTGTTTACTTATTTAATTCCACAAGTCATTTGATTATGAAATTGTTAACAAAATATCCTAATTTATATTCCAAAGATCGTCTTCATAAATTACTTTTTAGTTTACTTGTCTCCAAAACTTTAAACTTAAATCAAGAAAATTCTAAATGTTGAGTTCAAGAGATTTAATTATTTATTCCATCTTATTAACATATTCGAAATCTGAATCATTATGATAGCTTAAACTATTATTATCAATAATTTCATTTTGGAATTAAAGTTAAAATTTATTTATGTCAAACTATTAAAGTAGATTCCTTTTGTAAGTGCTTGTTAATTTAATCTAAATATAAGATAAGACTTGATTGTTCATTTGGTAATACAAAAATAAAGCATAATTCATTCTAATGTCTACATCTTGAGGATGATGAAATAGATAAATTTCATACCATGCTTTAATTAGATATTTCAAATACAAACTCTTCTATCTAAGCATAGAAAATTAAGATGGTTTGATTTCCTTATGTTACTTTGGATCATATAACATTCTCATTTTACAAAAGCATCTTTCCTTTTTATCCTAAAGATATGTATTAGATAAATGTTGAATTAGCATTCCCAAATAATATGAATCAGCTTCACCAAATTGATGCTATGTGTTTAACTACTTTGTAACTGATTTTAGATTTATTATTTTTTGTATTAAATGATCGCCTGTAACAGTTGGTAAACAAAGATGCTCTATTTTTTAATTGATATAATATTAATAAAAACTCCATGTGATTGAAATTACACTCAATATACTAAATGAAATTGAATTATCACTTTGAGTAATATTAAAGTGGATTGAAAATGAATTTATTGTTAATCCCAAAGATATGCCAAATAAAGAGAATGAGAACATTTTAAACACTTACCTTACATATTGATTTGCAATAAACATCTTAAAATCGCTCATCTTGAATAGAAAACTAGCCAGACATGTTGATAAAACTATATAAATTAAAAATATTCCCTAAATTACTTTCAAATTTTACATGAAATTACTAATTCTAAATCGGAAAGGCCAACTAAATGTTCAACAAGACTCTAAAGACTTCTAAATAAAGTAATATAAATCTTGATCCACTAGATAAAGCATCTTTTTTAATGTTTTGATGATTTGTGAACAATAATATGATCATTATTTGAGTAATAAATCTAATAAATATTAAGAAAACTCCTAAAACTTATTAACCTTCAATGCTTATTCCAATATTCAAATAATTTTAATTTATTGAACAGTAGGCTAAGTTAAAATAAACCATCTAGGCTGGCTAGCAAGTGATCCATTAGTCAATCAATAAAAGTTAGGCTAACATCTAAATTAAGAATAATTAAAACCTTAGCACTGGACTAATCTATTAAATTCTACTTTTTTTGATATTTAACCTAAAAATAGCAGATTGCATAGAGCAAATATGTTATTATGCTTAAGGTAGTTAGCCACCAAAACAATATATATATTATGATCTCATTTTCTTAAATTATACTATTAACATCTGTATATTTGATTAAATTGACGATTTCAGAGATTTGGGAATATTATAAATTAGGGTAATGATGGGCAATGATTTATTAATACCTATTTTCTAAAATGTATTTATACTTTGAAAAAATTGCACTGATTAACTGGCAAAAAGTAATAGAAACTAGCAGCACCGAATAAGAATAGGAGGGACGTTTAAGTTTACCAAGGTTAAAATTTACCAATAAGTGCTCCATCTATTTAATTTAAATAATTGTATAATAAGAAATTCATTATTAAATGGATCAAATAATTTAACGTAAATATGAATATTTATTCAGCCATTTTTAAGTAAAAGCAAATAAAGATATGTTTTCTATAGCCCTAATTTTGGCTTTTGTTTGTAATGAAATATATAAAAAAAATCGAAATCAAAAACTAATATTCCATAATATAAAGTCCATTTCATATAAAGATTTATAATATATTTTATTTTATTAAGACTAGCTTTTAAGAATAATTCAAGTTTAACTATCTTGCTCAAAATTATTCAAAATTTATGTTCAAAAATATATTATATTTTAAAAAATAATTTTAATTTATCACTTATAATGATGATAATTAATTTGAAATAAAAATATAAAGGTATTTATTAAATTATTTAACTCGTGTGAAAAATAATACTATGGTCTAATTCATATTAATAAGACTAATTCTGAAATATGATGTTTTTGAGAAAAAAACCCATAGAAAAAAAATTAATTTAATTTGAATTACTTTATAAAATGAATTAATAGAAATCAGTTGGAAGTATAAAATTATTCCAGTAAGAAAAAAATTGACTCTATAAATATGAAATATTATATTATTATGTAATCATATCTGTTATTCATTACAATGCAATATTATATGGCTTTGATTTTTCAAGTTTTTACCTAACCTTAGGAAATCTTCTTAATTAGGACTCATAAGTGTCTTATACATATTTGTCAAGAGGGACTTCCTTCTGACGCCGAAATTTATGCATTTTTAAAATCTATTGACTAGTTTTCTTGATGGTTTCATCGTCGTCGTCAATTGTTAAGAGATACTTTATATCTTTTTTATTAATTTTGGTGGATTGTTCTTACTAAGGTTAAGGAATTTCAAAATTGTAAGTTTTTTTCAGATAGTCATAAAATTGCTTCTCATCTTTCTAGACATAATATTTGATAGTACATGTCCAACTTTTTAAATTAATAAAAAATGCAAAAAATTTCCTTTGCTCATTTGACTAAGCTTTCTTTTAACTTTAGGATCAATTCTACTTGAACTATGAGTTGACATGGTTTGATTGGCTTGTGATTTTGGAGAATTGATTTATTAAATACCGTTGATGGATCCAAGAAAATGTTTTTCTTATCTTGCAGATTGTTAAGCATTTTAGATTCTTGCTTTGTTGATAAGATCTCTAGATATAATTTATTTTTCAGTTGCTTGACTCTACGATCTAAAATTGCCTCTTGTATTATGAATAATATTATGATCGGAGAGTTGAGGTGACAACTAAGTGACAGCATTTGAAAAGGGAGATTAAACATCACGAGGAAGCCAAGCGGAGTTTGTATTGTTGGTGAATTGATTGGTGAAAGTGAATATAATTTTCTGTTATTAATTGAGTTTTTGGATGTCATTCAATGTTTTCATTTGATTAATAAATGAGTGAAACAAAATCAAAGGAGAGCCAACAAAAATAGAATTTAATAATGATAGGAGGACAATACGCATTGAAAAGCTGTATCTATAGAGGGAGAGTCCACAATCTGTATTTGGGTAATAATATCTGATGTATATTGAAAGCGATAAACAAATAGCAACCTGGAAATTACTTCATTGTGCGATTAGTAATGTAAATAAGAGTTTAAATTTATTGTTAGTTCATTTACCTGATAGGCTAACACAAACATAGATAGCATTTAAGAGGAAGAGAAGCTGTTAAAGAAATTGAATGTTGGTATAAATAGTAAGTTATGAATTTAAGTGACATTCATGCCTACAGTATTGGCATCGGGAGATGTGAGACTGCAGAATACAAATTACTATTATTAAGTATTTGACAAATATGGACCAAGTCTGAAATTATGCTTCTAATTTGCTAATAAGAACTTTACTCTAGGAACTATTTGTATGATAGGCATATAGTTGGTAAGGGTTATTCAAGATATGGATAGCTCAACATATTGGAGAAGATGCATAGTCAATTCATAGTCCATCGCAACTTAAAGCCTAAGAAGATTTTGACTATCCCTGGCAAAAATGATTTTGTCTTAATTGATTTCTAACAATGTGTTAAATTCAAGCATAAAAATGGGAAATACATAGGTTCAGGATCCAAATTCTCTAATTAAACTAAATTAACTAAATTTTCAAGTTTAAATCAGCATTTAGGATTGAGTATTTTGAAGTCTTGATTATCTTTTAAGCTGCCTCCCCAAAGGATGACTTGGAATCTTTAGGGTTTATACTAATGTACTTCTTAAAGAATGGAGACATGTTCAAAGTCAAAGAAACAGGATCTAAAAGTAAACAAATGGAAGAATAAAAGTTGCGAATGATTCCAGAAAAATTTTGTAAAGATATGCCAATCGAATTCCTGCAGTATTTTCAATTTGTTAGGTTGACAAACGTATAACAATATCCATTAAGTGATTATGAATTCTTGAAGAAACTATTTAAAAACATACTCCAACAACTCAATATCAATGAAAAAGACTTCTAATATGATTGGGTATAAACTTTGAGTAATTGTTAGTTGAAAAAGATGAATTTGTAATCTCAGAACTAATAATAACCCAAAGAGGAAGTACAAACGAAGATAGTGATCCATGATCCCTCAAACTTAGAAGGAATCCAAGAGGTTTAAACAGAATTGGAAAAGTCTTCATTCAAAAGAGATCAATTTAGTAAATCATCATCTTTTTGCATTAACGATGAAGATGACACACAATTTGAGAGTGTGAGTAACAAGATGATACGACTTCCAAATATGTATGATTTGATTAAACTAAAGCATTGATATAACTTTGTGTTTTCATATAATATACTTTATATTATTAACTTATCAGAATTCAGCACTACCGTGATATCTTGGGAAGGGAATAACATCTCTTATATTCTCAACACCAGTGACCATCATTACTAATCTTTCAAATCCTAATCCAAAACCACAATGGGGTACTGTTCCATATCTACAATATATAAGGAGTCTATTACTTTCTTAAATCCATATAGGGTCCATAATCTTCCAATTTCAATCCACATTCCTTGATTCTTTGGGCCAATACATCATATCTTTCCTCTCTCTAAGATCCACCAATCAATTCACCAACTTGAGGAATTAGCATATCCATAGCTCTGACGCATTTTCCATCTAAATATAATTGGACCTTAAAATACCATCAGTGACCTTCATATAAAAGGCCTTAATTTCTTTGGGGTAATCATAAAGGAAGACTGGTCTCTAGAATACTTTTTCTGCTATGAATCTCTCATGTTCACTATTCAAATCCATTCCCCACTTGATGTCACTGTTCTCGAACTTGGCTCCTGCTTATTATGCTTTCAATAGAATGTCAATTCCTTGAGTGTAAGAGCATCTTACGAAATCCTTGCTCACAATGTCTTTAAGATAATCTATCAGTCCAGGTTTGACTCTTTTGTCCAAAAATTGAAGATCATCCATGTTGTTTTACAAGATGTAATTGATACAGAACTTAACATAACCTTCTGCGGCTTCCATATTGTCAAATAGATCTGCAAATGCAAATTCTGGCTCAATCATCCAAAACTCGGCTAAGTGTCTATGAGTATGAGCCTTCTCTGCTCTGAAAGTAGGACCAAATGTATATACATTAGACATACTTATACAGAAATGCTATGATAAATTAAGTCATCATTTTACTTCCACTTATAATTAACCAGAAACTGTAAGATTCACTTCCTTCTTAAAGAAATCCTAAGTGGTATCTACTTTGCCCTTTATCTAAGGGATCTTTGAGACATCGTTATCGAAGATAGTAGAGATTCTGAACATTTCTCCAGCACCTTCACAATCACTTCCTGTAATTATTGGTGTGTGGATGTACAAGCATCCATTATTTTAGAAAAATACATGAGTTGCATAAGCCAAATTGTTTCTAATTCTAGTGACAGCACTAAAGAAATTGCCTCTTGGTCTCAAGTGAGCCTTTTATCTTAGAGTCTCTGGCTTCTAAACTCCCTTTGCCATAGGATATTCCTCAGGGTCAGCCTATCCAATAATGACGACTTCGTGTTTAGTAGGATCAGCAACAAGCATTTCTATCAATTATCCTTTGGCAGGACTCTTTACAATGCTTCCTGTCACTTTGAGTGAAAATCCTGTATTTAGTTTTAGCAACTTGCTCGAAATTGGCAATCTTGTCTTCAACCACTATCTAGAGACCACCAAAACTTGTTCCATCATTCAATTCAATGAAACAAAGATTCTTCTAATCTCTCACTGTCCTTGCCCAACCTGCTACTGTCACTGTCTAACCTATATATCTATAAATATTTTATTAATAGTATTACCCCTCACCAGCATTAAGTAATTCTTAAATTCTATATATTGTTCCGACCATTATATTTTGGTAGATGTTTCTTGTACAATTCCTATGGCAAATCCCAAGAACGAGGAAGTTTATTCAATCTCTTGGCCACATCAAAGTGGGGCACATCTACCTATTTTTATGATAAGATTCAATGTACTTTGAAACCAGCAGGCAAATGTGGGACATTGATTGGCTTCTCTATTTCCCCAATCAATTTTTCTGTTTTCTTGGCTTATTTTTGGGCTGCTGCTGCTGCTTATTTAGCTACATTTGTCAATGTTTTCACTCTTGTGTACAATTCATCTGATTCTAAGAATTAGTATTACATCTTATGATATTTCTAATTTAAATCATTTTTACATCAGATTTACATATTCATACACCACAATTCAATATTAAATAATTATAGAAGATTTTTAAAGATAAACTAATTGTCTCATTTTTTTACCATTTATTCGCCCATTACACAATATATTATTATTTATAATAAATGAATTATGATTTCGATGACAACGATATTCCAAATGAGAAATATGTCAATATACCTTCCCATATCAACAAAATATACTAAATTTTCACACAGACAGGCAGATATAATGAATCGGATATTAATTATGTAATTAGCCATATGATCTTAATAGTTGTTAAAGTTCTTTCTGGAATTCAATATCAACACCATGGAAATAAATTATATGACTATTTTTCGTATCTGCTTAACCAAGCTATCTACTGAGTTAATGCCATATTATGCCCAAATTATTACAAAAATACTTTTCCATCTGAAATTTGTAAATATAAATTTTATGAACATAGCCTTTACAAGCGCTCTCATTTATTACTGACTTGCACATTGCCTTTTTGCAATCCTGCATAATATCCTACAATTATAAAATTGGATATTAATTTATCAAGTCTAAAATATTTTTGTAATCCACTCTAGAGAAGAAAGATAACATTATGATAGAGTACTTTTATTATGCCGGATTAATAGCTAATGCAGTGAAAGTATGAAAAAATTGAATTATAAAAAAGGATTATGATGAAGCACTACGATGTTACAGGATAGCTCACAAATGTCAAGGTTCCAGTGCGTTTACTTTTGAGGCCTAGAAAATGGAATCTTTACTTTGTTTCAGATTGGGAATGGAATTGAAGAATTGGTCCAATCCCAGCAATCAACAATTAGTTGCTAAATTATCAAGTTTTATTGAGAATAATTACTATAAAGAAGTAAAGGATAAAGATCTTGACTTTTAAGACTAAGATGCTAATGTAATTGTCTTAATAATTTAGATTTGCTTAAAAGAATGGACACTTTTGGCTTAATTATATCGGTTTTTAAACAATGAGTAGGAACTCCACTCAAAAGTGTCGTTTGACTTAATAATTCACAATTTTCAACTCCAAGAGTATGAAACACTTATTAATTTGTTATTACAACTCAATAATATCCATAACATGTTTACTATTAATGAAGAGAAGCGTTACATTCAATTCAAATACAACAATCTAACCTATAAGGAAATTAATAGCAAATTGGAAAGCAGATATGAATTGCTCTATAAATATAGCAAATAGAAAATGAATAAAATACATTTATTAGAATTTTTATAAATAATTACATAGTAGTCATGCGTTTTAAGAGAGAGTTGTCTGCATATTTGGACTTTGAGCCTTGAATTATTGCTAGTTTAATCTTGATTCTAAATTGTAAGTTTCTGGTTACAATCTAGCTCTTCTTATTTTATCACTTTGTAATATATGCTAAAAGGGACGAATGGGAGATGTCTAAATGATGTTTTGCTTTAAGAATTGTTTATATTTAGGATTTAAATATGGCTACTTATTCTAACCTTAAATTAATCATCTAAAATACTCAAATATGAGACTGCATTATAAATTGTAAGGGAGGTTAATTCATTGTGATAATCGTGGTCCTTGTCCAATTTCTTAGTTTTGTCTGTTTTAGGGAAACTACTCTTGGGAGACTGCTCAGGTTTATAATAGACAAACAAATCGCAGAATTGTTCATATTCATAATCTCTAGATTTCATTTAGTAATACAAGTATGTGAGCAGAGTTTCCAATTTTACATGTAAAGGTAGTTATTGTCTTTGTAATAAGGTGTATGAGTCTATGAGTTCTTGAATTGGAGCAGGGCTGATTCTATCTGCAATTCTTCCAAGTGCCTCTACAAATTCAATGAAACTCATTCTTATATTCCTATCTAAAGTAAGTTCATCAATTTAGGTCATCATTGAAAAGTTGTAAATTATGACCTAAAGCTTTTCTGATAGATATTCATGGAGATTAAATTATTTGCAAAACTCTTTGAATTCTCTAATAGATATCCACTTCAATTTAAAATACCATTTTCGATTCGTGATGTCTGTTACGTAATCATAAAGCTTCTTGACAAAAGGCATCTTAATTTACAATAAATGGTCACATTCCTTTGTCCATAATCTATAAGATCTCCATTCTTGGATCATATCAAAATGTTGGTATTGTTCCTTGAATTCCTTCAGTAATCTGAAAATAGCATCTGCATAACTCTTGTAAATTTCAGTTCTAACATATTTGTCATTAGCAATTCTAAAGAACATCTCTAAGAACTGATATCTAATGATAGCTTTCTCTGGATTGTAGATGTATTTCGGATCAACATTATTTTTCAAGGAAACAATGTCAATTTCTACATCTTGAGATTTCAACAGGTCTCCATCTATAATGGAAAGCTTATTCAGCCACTTCATATATTAAGGGAATTGAATGCAAAACACATCAAATGTTGGTGGTTAATATCCAATACTAGAGTGAAACTTATAAACATCCTTGATCAATTAATAGTGCTATCTAAAATACTCCTTCAATTTTATCTTCTCATATTCACTCTTAACAAAACGACTGATTTTACTGCTATTCCAATCAAATTCAAAGCATTCAGTTAGTAATTCTTCTGTATCCCCATTAAATGGTCTAAAAATGGAGTCTTCCTTGTGCCAGGTAATAAGGTGGGCTTGCTTTCTTACTAGAAAGTTTGCAAACCTCCTTAATACATACTTCTTTTAGGAAGATCTGGGGAATACTTTTATTAAGGGTTTATAATTATCTTTATCATCTATTATGTATTCTTGTCTTGAAAAAATATAATTTACTTATTAGATTTTGGCAAAAGCTAATTTAGTGCCATCTGAAAAGATGTGCACTGCATGCTTAGGGTCTTTACCTTACAGAATGATATTATCAAGTGGAGCAGGCATATTCATAGCTCTAGGATCGATGAAGTATTCTTCCTTAATGGGATTGGAGAAGAAGTACAAGATCTTTCTTTTGGGTGGACACATTTAATAAGTAGTATAGTAAAACCTACTTAATTCTTGGATCATTTATTATGTTATTTCTTCACTTTTCTTGTTGGTTTCCTCTGCATAAGCCTCAGTTATAGCTGCCAAAGTAATTCTCTTATCAGTATTTACTAATTATTTTAATTGATGAATTATCTCTCCAGTTGTCAAATCGAAATAATTGCTTTTTATCTTTTAAGCTTCCATCAATTATTATCTTAATTCATAACTACTCGTCATTGGGATTGGTTAATAACTAATAGTTGTGACAGAAATTACTCTAAGAAATCCAGATGGATGAAAATAGGATCTTAATTATTATCATTCTCAGGAATATATTAAAATCTATACTCCATCCATCCTTGACAAATCCAACAACAATCATTTCCGAATAGATTATCCCCTTACATTGGGATGTAATTGACACCATCTATGGCAGTTTTCTTTTATTAAACTACTTTAAATTCTTCACTTTCATGAGTGAATTGTATAAATCCATATGGATTGACTCTAGCTGAACATTTATTCCCTTCGATGTGCAAACCATATAAGGTATTGTTCTTAGCTAAGGCTACGCTGAATAACTTTAATTATTTCTCAGTGAGCTAATTATAGGAGATGTCTAAATGAGCCAATGTGATTTGGGGAATAGAAATGGTTTCACACAAAGCCTACATAAAGTTGGTTCTATCATTCTGTCCCAAATGATTATAACTCAAATCAAGAACTTTAATTGATCTATTCTATTACAACCCTTTTGCAATCATGGTACCTGCTGATGGTCCCAACTGATTCCAATTCAATATTAGTATCTCCAAATAATTGTTTTGCAATAGGAACTAATAGAATACTGTTGAACAGGAATCTGTAATTTGATTTTCTGATAAATTCAACTTTAATAAAGTAACGTTTTTTTAAAAGCAATTCAAAAGCACAAATACTCCTTTGTCTGCTAATAGGTTATTTTGGAGATTGATAGATTTGAGGCTTGTAAACTTCTATATATGATTTGACAATATTAGTGCTCCTCTTCTACCAAGGACATTATTTCCTAAATTGATTTCTTTCAATGAAAGAGGGAATCCTTCAATCAAATAGAGTAATGATTTATCATCCAATTGATTGTTACACAGAAATAATTACTTCACTGTTTTACTTTTTACAGATTACAATAAGTTTTTGATTAGAGGGAAATACTTCTCTGTAAGGCCAAGATCCGAAAAATGCATCTCTTTTCCATTAACCAAACAATTTGATAAATCGATTCTCTTTGGGAATATGTTATCATTTAAACAGTAGAAATGAATTGGATCCACATTTTTTTTATTGAAATTAATTGCTAAATCTTTCAACCTATCTTATCGTTTAATAAAATAAAAGTAAGATTAATCTATTTCTTGATCTAAATAATATATATATCGATGTTACTTAACTTTTGAAAGATTTTTTTAATCTCCTATTGCAATTCAATTCCATTAAATCTTTTAGGTTCATCTTCACTGCTTACATCACTCATGATATCTTCATCCTCTTCAAATTCCATGCCATCTCCACCTTTCATTGATTCTTAGTCAGCTTCCATTACTTCTTTTGAAACTTCATCATTAATCTCTTAAGTCTCCTTTTTGACCTATTCTATTGGTGAAAACCTATGCTTTAACAATCCCAATGGGAAATTTTTCTTTTTAGCATCCCCTTGATCTGATTGGACTGAAGTATTGGTTAGAATTTATCTCATTTCTGTTAACTTTTCGTTACTCTTTATATAATAAGACATTAGACTGTGATCTTTCGAATATTAATTATCAATCAATAATTTCGATGCTTTGAATTTACATTCAGCCAACTTGTTTTCTGAAATACTACGATTAGATCTGAAAAAGGATTTTAATTTATTAGCTTTTTCTTTTGAATAATCCTTTAAACGAGGAAGTTAACATTTAGATCTCTCAATACTATTTTTCATTCTAATTAATATTATATATAATCTAAGTTCTAATCAATTAATTGATTCTAATTGAACTTCGGTTTGTTTCAAATATTAGATTAATATTGTTGAGTGAGTATCAAGTAAAAAAATTAATATTATAAGATTGAGTTGTCAACTTTAAGTTAAATACTTAACAAGCATAAGGAGAAAAATATATTCAATATCTCATTAATCATCATATTCTTCCATTACCGCTATCATATTGTTTTTGTATTAGGCTTGTTGCTATTGTTCAAAAATAGTTGTCCTTCCTGAAACTTATCTACTAAATCCATTATTAATAACAATATTAGAATTTGGATTCATCAGAGTTCGTTTTTTTCCTGTTTACATTAAGAAATTTCGATAATTTGGATGCAAATAGGGTTAATGATGAGAATCTAACAATTTAAATAAATAGAATTACGAAAAAAGGATATTGTGTTGTACACAGTTAATTATGTAGTTGTAATGACGAACTCATCAGTATTCTCTAATTTCGATTATTTTTCATATACTTTAGGCATGAAAATGATTCTAGTCTCCTATGCATCCATTATATCTTTACAAAATAAATCAGTAAATTGAATGAATTCAGGCTGTCTAAAAATAGTAATGAACCAATACCTTCTCAATTTTAGAAATATAAAAGTTAGTAACGATTCTAATTTTATATGTAATGGTAGTGTTTGCCTTGCCATTACAGGCCAAATCTAGGCATCTTCTCCAATAGGAGCAGGACTAATTTTTTCAGCCACTCTTCCCAATGCCTCTAAAAATTCATTAAAAGTCATTCTTAGAAAACGATCTTAAGTCACTTCATCTGCTTAGGTTTACATCGAATAGTTAAAAATGACGGTCACTTATTTTTCAGATAGAATATCATTAGTATATAATTTACAAAATTCTCTGAATTCTTTAATGGAAACCCACTTCAATTTGAAATACCATTTCTTACTGGTTAAATCTGAAGCTAAATCATACAATTTTCTTAAAAAAGGTTATTTAAATTAGAGTGTGAGATCTACCTCTTTTGTCCAAAATCTCTCCTGTCTCCACTATTGGCTATTATCGAGAATTTCATAATGCTATTCAAGTTCTTTCAATAGTCTATAGACTGCATCGGCGAAATTCTTACATTGTCCTGATCGAATAAATTTATCATTTGCTAATCTAAATAGGACTTCCATAAATTGATATCTAATAATAGCCTTATCAGGATTGTAAATAAATTTGGTATCTACATTATTTTTAATTGAAACTAAGTCACTTTCAACATCTGATTATTTTAAGTTTTCACCATCTATAATAGGGGAGAGAATTTTATGAAATTGCCCAAATTAAATACAGAAAACATCATAAACAGGTGGCTAATATCCAAAACTTGAAAAGTATTTATAGATGTCTTTGATCAATTGATATTTTTGCCTAAAATATTCCTTTAATTTCATTCTTTCATAGTCACTCTTAACAAATCTTTAAATTTTTGAACAACCCCAATCATATTCGAAAGCCTAATCAAGAATATCCACCGAATCCCCAATCATTCCTCTGAAAACAAGAGAATCGTCTTTTGACCAGATGGCAACATTCCCTTTCTTATTTTTGAACTTCCCTAAATATTTGGTCAATATATATTTTCTTTATAAGATTCTTGGTTTAACTTTAATCAAAGGTTTGTAATTATTTTTATCATCAATAACATATTCTTGTTTAGTGTTTAAGACATTTACAAAGTTGATTTTCTAAAAAGGAATCTAAGTGTTATCTGCAAACACGTGCATCTAATGTTTTGGATCTTTCCCTTATAAAATTAAGTCATCAATAGGACTTTAGACATACTCTAAAGTAGGATCATAAAAGTATCTCTCTCTAAGAGGATCGGAGAAAAAATATAGAATTTTGCTTTTCGGTGGACACATCTGATAGGTGGTGTAATACAACTTATTAAATTCTTCAATAATTTGATTTTGAGTTTCATTTTTAGTATTATTTTCAACATTATATGCTTCCTCAATAGCTGCCATTGTAATTTTTTTTTCACCATCAGTTATCGATTTCAGCTAATGGATAATTTCTCCTGTTGTTAGTTCCAATTACTTATTGCTCTTATTCTATTCCATCAATTATTATTTCATCTCAAAGCTTGAAGTCATAGGAATGGGCTTATAACTATAGTTAGCAATAAAAATACTCAAGGAAATCCAAATGCAAAAATATTGGCACTTATTCACTATTCTAATCGGGAGTGTAAGTAAATTAATGTTCTTTCCATCCTTAACAAATCCAACAGCAATCCATTAACAGTTCTTAACCATTGCATATAGGAATATAATTGACTCCATCAATCTATATTTTTTTTTGTTGGACTTGTTTTATCAAATTTTCTTGTTTTGAGAATTGCAAGAATCCAAAAGCATCTATAAAAGCAGGACACTTGTTCCCTTCAACGTGAATCCCATATAAATTATTATTCTTCATGAGTGACTTTTACAATTACACCATTTATTTCTCGCTTATTTGGTTGTATGAAATATCTAGATGACACAAAGCTAAATTTGGATTTTCAATCAATTAGCACCACTAACCTATACAATTACTCTTTTCATTAAACCCTAAATGATTATAGCTTAAATCTAACACCTTTAGATTCTTATTCTAATTCAAAGCTTTGGCAATACCAATTCCTGATTGAGGACCTAATTAATTCCAATTTAGAATTAAGACTTCTATTGATAGATTTGAAATTAAGAAATTTTATAATTCTTATGTTGCCTTATCAGTAATCTAGTTTTGAGACAAGTTCAATTTTTTAACTGTTTTAGCATTTTAGACAGCGTTGAGAATAGTAATTGCTCCTTGATCCCCCAATAAATTGCTTGCAATATTTAGGGACTTCAAGCTGAATAGAAAAAAAAGATTACTTTTTATGTTTGTCAAATAATTTGGCAATCAGTAGAGCTCCCTATCTTCCCAATTCATTTTGAGATAAATTCAAATCTTTTAATGAATCTGGAAAGGAATCGATAAATATTGATAATGAGTGTTCTCTCAAATGATTATTTGATAAGATGATAGACTTAACTTTTTTGCACTTTTTAGATTTTAACAACTATGATAATAGTGGGAAATATTTTGAATTGACTTTCAAATCTTTAAAATTCATTTCCTTTTATTCAATTAGACAATTCGATAGATCGATTCTTTTAGGGAAGAGATTTTAATTCATGCAATAAAAGTATAATGGATTGACAGAATCTCTCTTTCTAAATGTTTGGATTAAATCCTTCAATTTATCCTAATTCTTAATGAAACCAAAGTAGGATCTATTTAGATCATTTGCTAATGGAGTAATAAGAAATTCTGTTACATATTTTTCTTTGAATTTTGTCTATATCTTTCTCAAAGTCCTTGAATCTCATTTCAGAACTTTGATCTGAGTCATCGTCATCGGAGGATTAATTAGAAGAAATTTCATATTCTGATTCAGACTCGTCAAACAATTTAGTTTTATTTGAGGAGAAAGAGTTGTTACTACTTTGATCTTAAATTTATGTGTTGACTTAGCGATTAACTGTTGTAGGATTGGTTTTCCATTTTTATAAAAATAAGTGTCTCTAGGTTGGTTAATCAACCTTTTAAAAATCTTAATTTTTTTCTTTGCTAAATATTAACAAGTTTAATTACTAATTTTCTCTGACCAATCGTTCAGTTTAGGGTTCGTATATAAATTCGGGTTACTATTTTTTAGATTAATGATAAAAATAATGCTATTTTGTATCTGAAATACTTCTATCAGTTCGAAAAAATTGTTTTAACTTATCCTTCTTCATTTATGAATAATTTTAATGGATTTTAGGTAAGTGAATAGACTTTTTCGTTTGATTTGAATACTATATTTCCATTTAGTAATTTTAAAAACAGGTAAAAAAATTATAATAATATTGTTTATTAAGGAATGATCAAATAAATAGAAATTCCTATTCTAATCGAAGACAAGTGGATATTTTTAATAGTATGTCAAATTTTAGGTAAATATATATTGACTTCCTGAAATGGTAATGTAATATTTATTTCAAAAATAAATATAAATAAATTATTAAAACCCTTTTAAAAATGAACCAACTTGAAAGATTATTACATTAATAAGGAAAAAAAGTGAAATTACAAGAATAAGAGCTGGATGATGTGAATAGAAGGCATTAAGAATTGCAGACCAAATTAACTTAGGAGGAAGATAAAAATAAAATATTATAAGGCAATATCGACAAATTATCATTGATTGAGTATGAATTGAGAAGACAACTACAATTTGTTGAAGCACAAAGAGATAATCTATTGGAGCAACTAAAATCCCTACATGAATATAATTTCTCGATGTTCAATCTATAGTAAAAATATACAATATTATTTTAGAGAAAACCATGTGTGTAACAAATTTAGAACAGTTTAAGAGCTAGCACTCACACGAAATGAATTATAAAAATAATAATAACAATTACTAATTTTGCAAACCGAAAATGCTGGATTAATAAGCAAAGTTAAAGAGCTAATGTCCACCAATACCTCCTTAAACGAAAAACTACAAAAATACCCACAATAATTTGAAAATCTAAGAGAAAAGTACATAAAACTTTTGACAGAGAGAGATCTTCAGATATAATCACTTAGTGAGATAATAGAAAGGCTGAAAATATAGAGATAAGTAAAGGAAGAAAAGTGTGAGAAAATAGAGTTTGAGGAATCCGACTTAACAGAAGATACCAATTCAAACCAAGATGCTATTTTAGAGTAATAAACCTTTAAGGATAATCTTGAAATCATTAAAATTATGAAAAAATCTGATGAGGAAAAGCAAAGAGCCATCCTCTAACTCACTGAATAAGTTTCACAATTATAAGCTGAGAATTCAAAATAGCGATTACTCTTAACAACCGAATAGGTAATACAACTCTATCCTTAAGATATCCAATTATAAATTCGTCGCCTTTAACAATTAAGAGCATATATATCCTAATTTACTACAAAAATTGCTAATTTACAAATGAAATATTAAGAAATCAATGAGTTAAAAAAACGCAATTTAGAATTAGAAGAGAGATGCAAAATTTAACAGGAAGAAATAAATCAATTTGCAAATAAAAAGAAAAAATTAGAAGAAATTTAGGAATAATTTGCAATTGTATTAAAAGAGAATTGGAAGTTGAAAGGGAGAAATTAATAGAAATAACACAAGATGAAATAACTGTTACCAAACATTCTTTAGAATTTATCTACCGAGCTGTGTTTTGAAGAATATCCCTTTGAAAGTTTGGAAGAGCTGTTGAAATGCTATGAAAAACTTCGAAACTAATTGAGGAGTTAGTCAGAATAGAGACATAAAAGCCAACTTTGATTATAAAATAAATACATAATACATTTATATAAGGAAATTATATCCAAGAGAGTAAAATATTCCCATAATTCTCAACTTAATTATAAATATAATTATATCAAACATCTCTAAGAAATATGAAAAATTTTCTTGAAAAACACATCAGCAATGATTACAGTATCCGAATGAATAATGTGTCATAGAATCATGGTATTTAACTCATATGTATTTAATAGATTATCAATTAAACCAATACAAATGTTCTTCTCCTATGATATTTGGTAATAGATTTGCATCACCTTCGCCATTCAGATCAGTTACTCCTATTTAAGGATAATTGTCTCCTGCAAATCAATCTCGCAGAGAAAGTGCTTTTTCAAGAAACTCTGACAACTATGATTTTTCAGTTAAAGAAAAATCAAAAATTGTAAATAAGGTCATTACTTAACAAATCCAAAAGCAACAAGAATATTAAGATGAAGACGAATACAACATTGATTTCTTTTTCGATAAAGAGCAAATCATACTTGAAGAGTAAGAACTCTTACATGCAAAACTTAGAATGATTCGAGATGATTTCAACTTCAAAATCTAACAAATGGAAGATTGTAATTAATTATCTAAGTTTTAAGAGAATACCTGAGAGAAAGATAATCGATTTTACAAAATCTTTCAATTTCTATTAAAGAAGAACAAGACAGATTCAATGAGTAATCAAAACAAAACAAAAGGAAGAATAAATAGAATGAAATCCATGCAAGAACTGACTCCTTAAATAAGCACGATTCTAAAGGGGATTCATAAACAATCTAATAAGAAATATTCAGGGCTGCTACTTCTATAAAAGAATAGAGAGGAGATTAAAATCTTGAAAGGAGAGATGCCATTGACATCAGACGTGAATCTCGTCATGAATCTATCAATGATTATAGTTCTCATCATAGAAGAGAATCATCATATAAAACAGTCAAATTGAGAGAATCCAGAGTTAAAAGAGAGGAATCTCTGAAAGGTGACTCTGTTAAAGATGAATAACCATTGAAAAGCGCATTAAAAAAGAAAGATTCCAATAGACAAACATAAAATTGTTAGGATGATTCTTAAGATGATTGGAAATTTATTAAGGAGGCAAAAAATAATTTAGAAAAACAAAAAACTCAATTAGATGATAAATAATCTCCTAATAAAGTTAGATTTGTTAATTAAGAGAAATCTTGTAAAAAACAATAGGATAAGATGGTTAAGTCAAAATATTTAAATGATATAGACATTTTTTTAAAATGTAGATATTGAAATTTATATATATAAAGAAATAACTTAAACCAATTCATTATTAAAATTATTCTTTATTTTTCTTAACCCCAGTTGGTTTCAAATGTCTTCTCGAGGTGGAAGACATAATTAATCTCATACCACATGCTAATTTAGCTACTTTGTAATAAAAAGTGAATTTGAATGCCTTTTTTAAATTACTAGCATAGATTGAAGAAATCTTAGATTTTTATTTATTCAAACTTAAAATAATGCTTGAAACATTGCTTTAAGGCATGTAATTTTAAAATTAATAAATTTTATCAATATCTAAGTTTAAAGACTTACTAATATGCTTATTATGATCATCTATTTCAATAATGATATTTGAGGATAGACCTTACTTTAATGACTTTTACTGAATCAGTTAAGTACTTTGGCCATCTGGATTAATATAACTAGATTCTCTCTAATACCCAATAGATATTTTCCTCTTATCCTTATATTCAATGTGCTTATTTGATTAAAGTGATGTTACAAATTTACCAGTTAAGATGTGAGATTGTCTTCTTGAATTCAATTTTTATTATGCGACAGTATTTGTATCTTGGATTCTTTCCTATCTAATATCAGGTGATTAATCACTCAATGAAGAACCTTCATGAACTTCCATTTTTAAATCACTTTATCTTCTAGTAGTTGAATCTTTAAACCTTTTGGTGCCACTTATTACTGTTTGAGTTTCATTTTAATTTGATATCAATTCCTATTGCTAAAATTGCACAACTGTATTCATAATACCCTAAATTACAATATCTAATTACATTGATTGAGCTAAGAACCTTGAGTTTTTGTCTATCATTTCTTCTTATAAGAGATCGTTATTACAAAGTGAACCCCTCTCGTTTTATTAATGTTTCTAAATTTGGTTTATAAGAGATAAGGAAGCAATCGCTATTCATATGATCGGCTTTGTTGCATAAACTGCACTTCTTACCAATTAAACTATAGTCAGATAAGTAAATTAGATGATCCTTAATTTATTGAAATAGTTCTTTATCCTTTTGATTATTTTATAGAACTTTCATGAAATCTTGTCTTGAAATTTTGTAGAGTTATGTAAATTGAGAACTGACGATCATAAATTTTGAATCAAATCCACTCATAAATTGGTATTCTCCAAATGTCTATCCTTCATTGTAAGTCTGAACAATTTTCTTAGTTCTTATTTCAACTAATTTGACCTGGCCTGAGTCTATATAATAACTATTTGCTTATTGCATTCTTACATATGAAAATCTTTGTGTCTCTCCTCTGGATTGTAAATTATATCATTAGGTATACAATTTATTTATTCAATTTATTATGTCACTTAATTTAAAGTAGGCTTAGAGAAGTTATTAAATAATATTTTCACGTTCTTGATTATCCGAGCTTTGATATTAAAATTGACCTCATTCTTCAACCCTGTTGGCAATTTCTCTAATATCTATTGAGCCTATGATTTAGTTATTTTTATTACTTCTATTTTGTTACTTTTGCCTTCTTGATCAACTTAATTTTTAAGATAATTCCTTACTCTATTCTAGATTGAGTCATCCACTAAATTGTTCTTCATAAACGTATTGATGAGTATCAATTATCTTCTATTAATGTTATGATAAGGTTAATATGTACTTGTATTAATTTTTCTGATCGTAAAAGTTCTTAATTATCATTCCAATTGAATTCACAGAATATGCAAATACAAAACTACTGACGAACATTGTGAAATTAGAAAATAAGATCTCAATAGGATTTGAAGCTGTGATATCTCCGTATCCAACTGTTACCATAGTCATTGTGGCCCAATATATTGCATAATCATATTTTACCCAGTAGGATTGATTCTCTAGAGAATATTTACTTAACCAAGATTACTAATTCAATTATTCACACACAAGAGCTAAGTAATGCCAAAGGCATCCGATAATATGAATAAAATAATATAATGAGATGATTAAGAAAATCAAATCTAAAATTTCACTTAATCTTCCATTTAAGTAAAGACAATCAACAAAATTGTTAATCTTATTGTAAACTGTGAATATTATAATGATAATTTAAATAATTGACAAAGCTTAAGCAATCTGAATATTCTCTATTCCTTAATACATTATTAGCCAGATAATAAAATTAACTAAATCATTAACTATTTGAAATCTAAGATAATTTTGGATGATTCTTTTCCTGCTTACAATTAGCTAATTAATTTAATTTCTAAATTACTTCTCCTTGCACTAAAATTGCTTTGTTGTTTGCAACCAGCCCATCAATCAATAAATACAGAAAGACTATTTCAGTAATCCTTTAAATTTCTTGGCTTTATTATAATTAAAATGAGGCAATAAAGGGTGATAGCCACAAAATAAAAAAACTACATAAAATACTAAATAAACTCCAGACTTTAACAAATCTATCTTAGGGTAAAAAAACAGGGAATGTAAAACATTATTCAAGTTTACTAAAAGTTTATTTCTTCTTAGTTCTTTTCCCTTCTAATAATGCATCATCTAAAAATAAATAATTAAGTAAATTCTTTTTTTCTTCCATCATTTGCTTTGTTAGAAGATGAGCATTAGATAGCAATCTGTCTTTAAATTTGAGTAACATTTATTTGCCCAAGACTTGCTTTAATTATAACCCATCATCTTCTTTATTCTCGATTTGAAATTAACTATGAGTGTTTTGCAATTTCTTATTTACTTAATACTAATATAACTGATAAAAATACATCAAACTTTATAGATAAAATTTGGGAATTCTTTTTCATTAATTTGTTTTTATTAAGGGTTGTCTCCTATTTTAGTGATCTCATACTTTCCATGTTACTGATTTCTGATTGGAATTAAACATCTGAATTTGATCCAAGTTTTGGATCAACATGTGGAGTAGCTCCATCCAAAATGAACCTTGGAGATGTAAAATCTTTGAAGTCTTACTCACAAAAATAGCTTGACATGTATAAATTTAATAATAAGAATAATCTCTGAAAAATAAATTATTCATATTCTCAATATAATTGATATTTAATATTATTAGTCCTATGCTATAAATCTAACTCCAAAAATGTTGATTAATCCTCATATGAATTTCAATTATAAATTCTAACAATTACTTATTTTACTAGAATTCACAATCATTATTTACCTTAATTAAAACACAAAAACTATTTAATGTTCATCGTCCAAATGTTTGTAAATTTAATTAATGGAGACTTCCTTTGATTCTTTAATAATTTGATTAATCAATTTTTTGAATTTAATTTTAATATCTCTTGTCAAAATTGTAATATAAATAATTAATTTCTACCCTAATAAGAAAATTAATAACCTTTTTTAACATATGTTAAAAGAAATTTAAATTCGCATTAATAATTAATATATTGGCAAATCAATAATTGCTTTGTAATTGATATAAAAGAAATAAAAAATCAATTCTAGCTATTGACTCGATGCGATGACTTTCTGAAAAGCATTTGCCAAGGTATGCTTCTAAATAAATATAAATCTATATTTATTTGAGTTTAATCTGTAGATTTTTTGTAAAAACTTTAACTTTTATAGATTTTGCAAAATTCATTCTTCAAAAGCGATGAATCTTATACATAATATTAATTTGAAGAACAATGCATATAGTAAGAATTGAGAATATTTTAGATATTATTTTGTGTGAAATATATTTGAAATGTTCCATTTAATCTAATTCAAAATAACACAAATGGAATGATTGAATATACTCCAGCTGATTAAATTGATGATTACTTTTTGTTTAAGAATTATTAGATGAATTCATTCCTTAATATTGCAATTGTAATTAGTCACTACCTTAAAGAAATTATTATTTATTGGTAACATGCCTTTTCGAGGGATCCTAAGAGGAAAATTTTCAATTTTATTTATTTTTAGAGTATCACTACTTTATCGATTAGAATTTTAGATAGACTCTAAGTTAATTGAATTTATGTACTTTTTTCCTAGATATATTGTTATTCTATTCCCAAATTCTTAGGAAATACTAATTTCATCTTGATGCTAGATTTTATTATGCGTTTCATGATCTTCGTGATGATTGAAGATTCTTTAAATTCTCAAATTTTTCTCATGAACAATGATCTCTCTTGGTAGGAATAAAACAATTAATTTTTAACAAGAAATTCTTTATCTGGTTTATAGGTAAGAAAATGCAATCGTTAATTAGATGATATCCTTAACATGCTACACAATTAATAGATAGATCTTAATAATGAAATAAAATCTTGTTTCACATTTCACAATATTTTTGGAAGTCCATAATAAACCTTTCCAACATTTCTAAATTGTTTTATTAGTTTTGTTTCAATACGATTTTTTTCCCCCTTCTGGATTATAAAAATTGAATTTTCATTAGTAGATTTTGATTAGAAAATGATTTTCTGGGAGTAATTCACTAAATATTCATACTGCAAACGATTTGATGAATTGTAGACGATTGATAATTCTTATTGAAGAATTCAACACAAGTGAATGCTTTAATTTAGACATCTTCTAATAATCCTATTTTAGATTATAAGATACCTTCTCTATTTATTTAATTTATCTCTGATTTATTTCCTTTCACTTGTTGCTCATGATGATATTTAAAACGTTTCTAATTCAACTTTGCAATTACAAAGAAGCTTCATTTTTATCCATATATTGATTTACCAATAGTAGATTCCTCTTTTAAGATTGTTTTTGCAAATCAATATTTGAGAATATAATTGCAATTGCATTAATTTAAAATGCAAATACTACAATTGCAAAGAATATCATAATGATTGCACAGATATCTTCATAAATATTGTATGGAGTGACATCCCCATATCCTAAGGTTACCATCGTAGCAGTTTCCCATTAAAATTAGTAACCATATTTAGGAAATAATGCAGAATGTTATAAATTTTGTTGTTGAATCCATGAATTTGAGAAGGAAGATTATCTTATGTTGCCAACATAATACTGTTATGTTAAGTACTTATAATATAGAGTGAATTAGTAGAAATAAAATAATCACAATACCAAATGCATGCCATAAAATGAGTAAAGTAAAAAATAAGAAAATAAATTGAGACAAATTCAGTAAAATATGATTGAATGACAAATATTTCTCCATATCTATTAATGGTTTTTTTGAATTTAATGGAAATTTAAGTAATTGTATTAGTAAAATCATCTCAGTAAAGAAATAGATTGTGATTGATGCGATGGCATTTTGGTATAATACTTATATGATGTTGTGTTCACTACATTATATAACATTTACAATTTTTTATTGATCTATAATCCCTCTATTTGACTTGAATCAAATCCAAATAGATAAATCAGCATTTTTTCAATTTAATTCATAGCGTAAGTGTTAGGAGGATCAAAAGATATCTTGAATGGTACCCACCACAGTCAGTTTTAAGAATTACCAAAACTTACGGGTTGGATTATAATTGGGATTTTTGGATGTTAATGAATATTCTCAACACTCCTCTAAAAGTCTACTTGTATCTAATCGAATCTAGTTTCTTGTTACGTTGATGCTTCTTGCATTCTAATTCTATCTTATGGAAATTAAGAGGCTGTCTTGGATAGATACCTATAGATTTACATAATAATTTGATGCTTTCTTTAAAGTTACTCTGGTTTGTCTCATCTGCATATCATGTGCAATATCTTCATGCCATTTCTCATAGACAGAACTTTGGTCCTAACTATCCCATTTGTTCTTTTGAATATGATTAGTGTTTATTATATGAATTAATTAAGGTTAGAATTTATCTTAGTAACGCGAAGTACCTATACTTATATCAATTGAAATTTAACTTTTGTTGATCGATCTTGTTGATTCCTACTAATCCATATAAATTTAGATTGATTGGGAATTATATTAATATTTTTAATAAAATGTAAGGCAATATTAAAGAAGCATTCTTAAAATTAGATCATTTCTACACATCTTCTCAGAAAGGCAGGACCAAATACCTAATTCTGTTTACTTATGAACATAGCATTACTACTCCAGCCTTATTGCTTAGAGTCTATGAGGGCAGGACTATTTGGATATTGTAGATTCTCGAAAAACACATAGAGGAAATGAGATCCAAAAGTGAAATCAAAGGAACACTCAATTCATTTTTGGATATGATGTTATAAGCTTTGGAAAGTAATCAATACTAATTGACCCTTGAAAATTTAAATCTACAAATTTTATTCGAATTTTAACTTACTCAAGGAGTTTTCATTAAGAGTGTGTTAGATCTAGGGGAAGGCTTCGTCATAGAAAGTAAAGACTCAATCGAATTCTCCAAAGATTTTACGATAGATTTATACGAATCAATGCGATATAAATTTATTGCTTTGAAAAACCAAAAAGAATCAGAAATTGCTTTAGTTAAATAATAAACAATAGCATCCAAGGATAAGGATGTCCCAAAAGTGTTTTAATAGTTGTCAGAAGTAAAGGAAGAGCCTCCTAAGAAGAGGGTTGTCAATGGAGATATAGTGATGCCTAACAAGAAGAAGAGAAAAGCAATAGGTGCTCGTTTTGAATGAAGAATCATATAATTGTCTTTAATCATCATAAATAATCCTTAATACTATTAACGATTTAAAAATTGTCATCATTGCCTTTATCTTGTTCTTTATCCTATATTTAATCATCTTCTGTTTATTGCATACAGTTATAAGTGTCCTCCTGTTTTGTATTTTGAATTTCTTTTGGATGATTGAGATATATTATTAATCTATTTTAATTTATAGCATCTAATATAGTTTCTCCTTTTATTTCATGTACCAAATTATTAAGTATCAACTTGATTGAACTTGATCTTAGTTTCTCTATAATTTAATCTGATTCTTTGCTTAACTATAAATTTTCTAAATTATTATCAGAATTAAGTATTGATTCACTATTATTCTTAATAGGTTCTTTTTTTATTTTTTATGCTAATTAATCAAAATATTTCAAATTCTTTTTTGCTTTTTTCCATTTTTTAGAAATTATCGAAGTTAATTCATTATGAGTTGCATTTGGATATAGAGATTTAATTTCTGACAATTGTTTTTCATAAAAATCTTTCCAATCTTTTTTCTTTGGATTTCCATAATCATCGAAAGCAGATACTCGAATTCGTTAACTATGATATCTCTATTTCGTATATTTGTCAGTTTCTAATTTCCTTTATGTTGGTAATTCATTTGTAGTATGAAGGATGTTAATATGTATTTTTTTTGTTGTCATTTTTAAGAATCTAAATTGGTATTTTAAAATAGTTCCTATCTTAAGAGCAAAATATTAACAGGATTTTTATTGAAAATTATTTTGATCTCTTAAATGTATGACAAGTTTTTTATTTTTTTTTTTATTTTAATCTGCTATAATGACTCTTTGATAAACTAATAATAAATTTAACTGCTAATGAGATCTACCTATTCTCCTGTATAAATTTCATTTTATAACAATAGATTATATCCTCTCCTTGCAAATTCGATATTCCAATTACTAAATGTACAGAAATACAATAAAGATTGGATTATCAAACTTGGAGTGATGTCAAAAAAGGAATACGTGATAAAGTATAATCAAGAGTTCAAGGATTTGAAAATCAGAAATTCATCTAAAAGAGTGATCTCTTGTACAATTTTAAGAACTCAGATTAGAAATTATCATCCTAAGCATTAGCCTTACGATCATCAACATCTTATGTTAAAAATCATTTGGAAAACAAATTCCCAAAATAAGAATCTCCCATCAAAATGGGGTTGACTCATGCAATCTATTCTCCAAGTTAAAAACCATCCATTCCAGTAGATGAGATCAAAAGAAGTAATATCTATCCATCTGCTTTTGGAACATTAACTGAAAAAGACAACTGCAAGACCAAATCATCAAAAAGAGACTTGATAGGTTCCTTCTAATCCAGTTTCGACGTCATTAATTTCTCTCGAAAGAATAAGCCAATCACAGATCGAGTTTCTTTAACAGAAATTATCAAAATCTCTAACCATTTATCAGATCTCCAATAAACAGATATCACATCCTTAAACAATGGTTACATTTCAGAACTTGTAGGATTATAATAAAACATAAGCAAACTATTAAATCATGCAAATAGTAAATTAAACAAATGAATAACCTGTATAAATAAATATATTTTATTGAAAATGCCAAATATTTAAGAATCTTTACCCACATTAAGAAGAACATTAATTGGTGAAGTCGAACAATAAATGTTCATCTCTAACAAGTTCACCTATCAGATTGCTCAATAGCTCCTTCTATCCAGACCTCACAACACTGATTTGCATCCTCAATTCAAAGGCTATTTTATTGATTGCTTGAAGTATGTTTAAAAGGCTAATCTCCCTTAAATTGCAATTTTAGGATCTGAGCTAATAAAATTAAAGCTATGAATTGTCGAACAAATAAGAAATAATTCCATTAATACCAAATAGCCGTAAGTTGAAGGAAATGCAATTGGACAATATATCAATATTAAACTATTTCTCTTAAATATTGATTTCATGGCACTAGCTTATAAAATTTTACGGTTTCAATAGGCAGAATTAATTTATTTGAACTCTAGAGATATAAACTAAAAAAAAAAAATTCGGTCCAAACTGTAATTACTCTTTGAAAAGGATTAGGCGTAGTAACGTTAATCCTTTCCTTGTAACAGAATGTTATTTATGAGTGTAATACTTGGAAATGAAATTTAATTAGATATAGGCCTTGTGAGGGAGAAAATGTCGGTTATAAATGACTTAGAAATAGAAAATCTTTAATTCTCTAGAGAAAGGTTAAATGGGTTAGATAGATGCAGAAAAGGCAAGTTAGGATGTTCCATATATTTATCCACTTTTTAAATGAGAGACTAGGATTGGCCCCATTAAAATTACATTTTCAATATAGTATTGAGAAGTAAGATGAATTGTGTTAGAATGTTGAAAATTTCTTCTTAATTGAGGACTTCTTTTACTATATAATACCAAATAGAGCGGTATAATTGTTTGGTATTACATTGATTATTGTTGCCAATGACATCATTAATAATCCGTAAATCATTTTTTTAGTCATCATTTAATATCTAATATTTTTATTAGGACTACTACACCAAATAAAGACCTCATATACCTGAGAATTTCGATTTAGAAGGTGCTTTTCTAGCTACTTATAAACGATTAAAGTAAAATGGTTATATGGAAATTTTATTTACTCTTATTTTATAATATTGATAGATGAGGTTTAAAATAATTTTAGTTTTCTTTATTTTATTAAACTAATTATTATTATGCCTAAAAAATTTTAATAAATTATGCCATTTTCCAATGCATTACAAATTTATGGATTAATAAAATATTAAAGAAGATCAAATTTAGTAGATCATATTGTTTCTTAAATACTGCAATTTACATTTTTACATTAATTAGCCTTACCCAGTTTTATTTGCAAATTGAATTTTATTTCTAATTTTGATTGGCTTTATTTTGGTCTTTTTTGGTCTTTTTGCTTTGTTTGTACGAACTAAAGAACTCTTAGCTTAAGACTAAAATAGTTTAAAAATAGTATGGACATGTAAGATATATACTTTTAATCAAAATTAGGTTTTCATTCACACATTTGAGTTTTTTGCACTTCTAAGGTTTCAAAATAGTAGATGAATAACATGTAAAATTAGCACTTAGATTACCAAAAAAGCTGAATTAACGAAATGAAGAATACGAGTATTTGAAAGCATCTACATTTTAGAATACAATATAACATTCTGATTTATAACTCTATACAATAAAAAGAAACGATTAATCTACAAAAATGCAGAAAAAATTTAAGAATAAATAAGCTTTTACTTTTCGTAGACTATATGATTTTAATCAAATACTTAAAATAGATTGCTAGACAAGATTATTAAATTAGATGCCACCATATCTTTTAATAAAACTATTTCTAAGGATAAATACACAATTATTAAAATTAATAAATATGAGATTTTTGAATATCATTAAAGATAATTTTTTTTTTTAAGAAGTAATACATATACATAGATATAACATAGACATTAAATATTCTTTAAGAATCTCGTTAACTATATTTTTTATCATAGCGTTTGAATTTTTAATTCTTAATATCATTAATAAAAACAAGTTATATCTGAATCTTAAATAGACCATTATCAAATCTCTGCATTTATTATCAAAATCAGAGATAACTAAATCTATTTAGTAGATAGCATGGTTGAAGTTGCAATTGAGATTCCTCATTGACCTGGAAACCATGAAGTTTTTGAACTCTAAAACTACTCAAATATCATATTGTGAATAAATAACTAAGTATGATGATTAAGAATCAAACGTTTAAATTCATACTAAAGCTAATTCATATATTGAATCCGCTTAGTGGATTAGAATTAAAGTAATAATTAATAATCATCATAGATCTCATTTTACTATATTATTTAAGATTTATCGTCATTATTTCCTCCTTTGTTTTCTATTATTTACTATTCGTTCAAGCATTTTATATGGAGCCTTGAGTATATTCAGTGAAAATTCCTTTTGTCAAGATCAAGAACATCTCTATGCAATGGTGAGCAATAAAAAACTCTACATATATGATTAAAATTAAATAAATCTTATACATAGATAATTCTAATACAGCTATTGAAGTGATCAAGAAAAAAGTCGAAGAATTTATTAATTAAAATACAGGATGAATCAGAACAGATTTATGAGACTAATATTGATCAAGTATTCTAAATGTTTTATGGAAATTATTGTGAACTTTTTTTAGGTTTAATTTGATATAAATTATAGAAATAATGCCAAATAAAGGAGTTGATAATTATGATTCATGACAGTATAAATTATGTGGTGCATTCACTAGAGGACTAAATCAATATCATTTATTACTGAGTTAAATTGCAATATCTCTCATAAATCCTAATGATACTAGATATGATTAACCAACCCTAAATACTCTTTTGAATTCAGTGAATTAATTCATAAAATCTATCTTAGGTGCAATAAAAATGCATATCATATTAAACAACTCACCCTAAATCTTTGGTTTGAATAGTACTTTCTCTATTCAGATAATGAAATGTTTCTAGAAATTCTATCAATGTATTTTATATTTTAACAATGGATGCTTAATGTTATTTTTTCTTTTACTTTTACTTTTTTATGCTTTTTTATTGAACTCATCTTAGTCAAGAAATTAAAAATAATTATAAATAAACATTAAAATATATTCATAGATATTACTCAAATGAAGTGTTAAATAATCAGTAGAATATTAGAGTCAGATTTATAAGAGAAGGTTTTATTCAAAAATGAAATAATTTGTATAAATCGATCTAATAAAATGCAATAGTTAATGAATTCATCATCTTTTTACAACATGACTCGTTTTATTTTTACCCTAGTTCACATGAACGATAATTTTGTCCTCATCCTTTTTGACATTCTATAAGGAGCTAACTTTATCTTAGAGTTCCCTATTCCTACTACGCAATAAATCTTCCAGTTGTCTCACCTTGGCCAACAAGATCTCATAATTATGTTGTCTACTTAGAAGTAAATTGATACAGATCATCTCTTTCATTTAGTGAATCATCCAGTTAAGCTTTAAGATTAGCAATTACTTATTGTAATTCTACAATCTTTCTCTTTAACACTCTGATTTCCTCCGTTAATTCCTCATCATCAGATTCACTTTCGACTTTCTTTTAAATATTTTATTAAACCACAATTGGCTATCTAGCAGGTACTCTTTCTCTGATGATTCTTTCGACTGGGACAATCTTTTCAATTTCTATAATTCTTTCAATAGGTTTTTCAACGATCACTTATTAAGGAACATGCTAAATAACTGTCTGTACCTTTTCCTTCTTCTTTGCCAATTTGGCATCCTTGACTCTAATTTCTCTTTCTAATTGTTCAATTCTTAATTCCAATATTCTATCTCGAGATGGAGAATGTTCTAAAGTTTATGGTTTGATTGACTCCATGTGTTCCAATCTTCTGCATTTGGTTTTCCATTCCTCACATTCATGTGTTTTCTCTTATAATTATTATTTGATTTTCTATAGTGTTAATTAAAGATATCATACTTCTAATTCAAATAAAATTTGTTGATATTTTTCATCAAATAAAGCCAATTAAGATTTTAATTTATATATTTATTCTTCTAATGATTTCTTTTCAAATTAGAATTCTTAAAGTAATACTTGTTTTTATTAATTCTAAATAAAATGAAACAATATAGTACTAATTCTTTATTCAATCTCTCTCTCCAAAATTATTCTTATTCATTTAGCTTCTGAATATGAAAATTATTTTAATTTTCCATTTCTTATTTAAAATACTTGATTTTATCCTTTTTTTTAAATATAACTTCTTTCAATTTTGAGTTCTCTACTTAGACTGATTCTAATGTGCTTTCGGCTGCTTGCAATTTCTGAGTTAATACATTAATTTGAGAATCCTTTTAGTGAATTTAAGGTTCATATTATTAAACCAATTCATTTAAAGATTTTTACTATAAAATTAAATTAAGATTTTACTAGAATCCTTTCACTTTCAGATAGAAGATTGATTTTCAATTCTTCAATATCTATGTGATATCTGTCTTCCAATTCCATTAATTGCATTCTTAACTATTCTCTTTCATTTATGATAGCTCCATTAATATCGGGTTGAGTCGTTTAGACCAAGCATTATTATTAGGTCACACACTAAGTTAAAGGGATGTGACAAGATTAATATGGTTAACAAGTCGGATAATACATTCGTTAAAATTAATTTGAATTATAATTATAATTACGAACTAAAATTATTACTATGAAGTTCAAACAAAAAAGTACTATATTATTTGATATAATAGCTATCTTGATTTTGCAAGAATTACCAATATTAATATTTCATGGGAGGAAGAAAAAGAACTTTTAAAGTCCTCAAAAAACCTAAAACAATGAAACCAAGAGCATATTTTGATTGTGCAGTTTGTGGATGGAAAGACTGCATTATTATTAAAATGTATTCATAGTTTTATCATCATACTCTAGCAAGAAATGCTATAAAACTTCTAAGTTGGAATGTGAAAGATGTGAAACCAAATTCGATATGAAAGTTCGATCACTAGATGAACCTATTGATATTTACCATGAGTGGCTTCATAAATTAAAAACTAAAGCTATTACACCCTATCCAAATAGAATGTAAGATGAATATGATGATACTGGAGATGAAGCCAATGAAAATGATGTTGAATGTATTTCCTCTTATTATTTTATATTAGAATTACTGAAAAATCAAAAAGGAAAAAAAAATAAAAGAAAAAGAATTAAGAGGAATGCGTCAGAGGAAGATATGTCCTCTAAGAATGATAAAGTATCTGATTCAGAAGAAGCTCTAGATCGGGATTAGGACATCTCTGAAGACTCATTATTAAACAAATAAAAAGTTGAAGACAATATTGATGATAACTAAGAAGATGAAAAAGAAAATGACTAAGAAGATGAGAAAGAAGATTCAGAGGATGAGTCATATAATATTAAGGAATAATACAAAAGAAAAAGAGGTAAAAAAAAATGATATTCAATTCATCTTAATATATAAAATTCACTATTATTTTTATTATAGCTAACTCTATTACAATGCTGATTTTAGAGTTACTTATGATTCCGATAAGTTTATAGAGTCTTGTTCATTTAATTAAGAACTTAATAATTTTTTATCTAATCCCTTTGTTTCCTTAAATTGTGATTCTACTAGACTTTCAGTCAATAAAGAATCCTTCAAAAAATTGGATTCTTATTTTATTAACAATGAATTTGTTGATTGAGTTTAAGATATTCCCTTCTAATATTACAATTAAATTGGCGTTGAGTTTTTAATCATACTGATTTACTTTCCTTATTCAGTCATTTTTTGTACTTTCTCCTTTTCATTCCTGTTAGGATCCTTTATTTAATATTATTATTACATTTATATTCAATAGACCCTAAATGACAGGCTGCTCAATGAATTCCATATTTTAGCCACCCTTTTTTATTACAATTACCTCATCATTTCCTTAATTATCTTTATTATTAATCTTACTTTCATTTTGTTAATCAAGTTATTTTATGGTTTGATCTTCATTTGATATATCAATTTTATTGCTTGGAGAATCCTCAATTTTATTAATAGGAAGATCCTATTTATTTTGAACTTCCTAAATAATTTATTGATTCTCATTGATTCTATCATCCTTAATCATCTGTAGATCATTTTTAAAATATCTATTAATCGATAATTCCTCATTTGGTCTATCATTTGGTCTATCATTTTGTTTATTAATAAGATTCTCCTTAGGTTTATCTATTTAATTGCTGTGAGAATTATAGTCTAGCATATCAATTTTATTAATAAGTAGATCCTAACTTATTTAAATATTATTGCTGATTTATGAATCCTCATTTAATTTATCAATCACTATCTGATTATCAATTTTACTGTTATATAATTCTGTAAAATTTTTTAAACTTTATTAATTTTATTCTATTTTAACCTCATTTATTAATTCATCATATTGATCTTCCTTTTAGGGTTACATTTATTTGCTTAAATCAACTTTCTCTAAAATATCATATGTTGCATTCAGTTTTTTAGGTAGTGTTATTTTATTCAGATTCAGTGGCATTTCTTCTTAAACCCTTTTTCCTGATGATGAAGCTCTTACAATAAGCGTTTACTAATTTTCGTATTTTGGAATTTTTGGATTTTTAAAACTAGTGGCTCTAGTGAAATTTTAGGGTTTCATTATGATTCTTTCATCTGCTTTCTAATTTTTGGCTTTAGGGGTTTTTCTGTTTGATTTCCTTTCTTCTGAATATCTACTTGTTTCATCTTTATCTTATATTTTTCTTTCTTCTGAATAATAATTTGATTTTCTCTCCTCTTCTGATTTTAATCTTGAACTATAAGACCTCTAAGATTTATTTTATCTGGTTTAATTTATTATACTATTTTCCTTTTTGACTTTATCCTTATTTTAACTCAATTAATTAGATTTTACACTTTTCACTTCAATTTATGCCTTTTATGCTTGTTTTAGTTTAGAAGTATCACTTTTGGGTGTCTAGACAGTTGATTTTTATTTTGATATCGCTTAATGTTACACCTAATTGGATTTCTCCGCAATGGTTTATTTATTGATCTCTTATTTATTTTATATAAAATGATAAGATTAATTTGTGAGATCTTATTCATTTTATTTTCCTTAAAATGAGGATGGAGTGGCTGGTTTAAACATTTTTGTACCTTCTTATTGATGTGAAAAGATTGTTTTATTTATTGGAGTTAGATCAATTTTGGGATTTTCTGTTATTTTTGATGTATTTTACTATTATTCATAATTTCTAAATTTTAAGTCTTATTATTCCTATATCTCTTTATATCTCAATTCTTTTTAAATCATCTACTATTTCATTTATTTATTTTTTTTTTCTCTTTATTCTTTGATTTCCATGTCTTTTAACTCTTTTACTTATTTTTCATTTCTCTTTGATGCAGATTCTATGATATGTTACTGTTTCTACTCATCCCTCTATTTTTGAAACGATAATTTTGATTTTTATAATTCTTCCTCATCTTTTTTCTCTAAAGTTACCAACACATTTTTCCATTTATCAACATTTGCAAACACACCTTTATCAAAGCCAGAAGCATTTTATGATTATTTAGCAGTATTTACAATTTTTCTTGACCTAAACAATGTGTCAGCTTTTACCATTAATTTATTAAGTTTCTCAGTTTATTCTTTGCTCTTTGTTGCACTCATTAATCTCGATATATTTCTTTTAATAACCTTTCGGCCATATTCATCATTTTTCTCTTTATGATCTTCCTTCTCCTTGATTTTATGATTCCTAGGACATTTAAAAGGACATTGTATTTTAACTTTATTTTATAATTGCTCATATCGAGTAATGCACTCCTTTCTTTCATATGGATCATCCTAATAGGGAAACTTTCTTCTTAAAAGTTCTGTATATCCTGCTTTCACATTAGGTTTTTCAGGAGGAGGATTCAGTTTTTAAAATACTTTATTACCACTCTCATCCACAATAAATCTACATTTTTCCTCAAAATCACTAATATGTTAGTAAGCAGAAGATATCACTCTATTTTTGATATGAACAATACTGTTTTGGTGCTGTAATTATAAAGGGAGCTTTCTTTTCGTTTTTTTTCTCCTAATTTTAATCCATTTGTGTTAATAATAAATTATTCATGCAGTTTAGAATTAAATGAGAAAAACTCATTCTCCTTAAGGTAACTAGTACTTTATAATAGGAAGAGTCAAGGTTTCCAAAATTTAAACTTCAAGATTAACTGGAAACTTATGGATTGCTATCCAAAATTACTCCTAATTAACATTTCAGAATTGAAAATATCTAAAATAATTCCAATAAATATATATTACCTCACTTATAAAAAAGAATAGCAAATAGTTAATCGAATGAGAAAAATGTTGATTCTCGCATTTCAATTGGGAATACATTAAAATAGATTGAAAGAAAAATTAAAGCTAAGGATATCATATTAGCTTGAAATTCCATCTAGTAAATATATTAAAACTAGAAGTAAGTCAAAAAAAATATGTGAAGTTTGATGGAATCTACTTTGAAGGAGAAAAATATTGTTTAGAATTAGAGTTTTAAGATAAAATTGCAAATATTAGATAATATTACAATTACATCAACATATCAATATTCATAAAATCAACTGTTAATTTTTATAAGGCTTGCGTATCAAAAAGGAATAATGGATAATTAGTAAAAACACTACTTAAATTAAAATGGTGGTGGTTGGTTGAGGAGAATTACAAAGACAATTTTAACTTTTTATGGGAATCTTCACGAAATGACAATTTTATAATTACAATGCCATACTAGGAATAAGACAATAATTATAATTGTAATGTTTCAGAATAATAAGGTGACTAAGATATTCTATTGAATGACATCCTTATGGAAAATTGCTTCCTAAAAATTCACAAATTAAATGAGTTTATTTGAAAAAAAATTGGAAAATTGAATAAATTGTTAAATTATGAATAATGTGTGTGCAGTTTTGCAACAATTTTCGATATGTGAAATTAAAACATCAACCAAAATGCATTATAATATCTAAAATAATACGGGTCCAAAAAAGAATTTATTCCTCTATTTGAAAATTATTGTGAATTATATTCGAAAAGTGTCTTTGCGCTTTTTCCTTAACTTATCATATTAAGAATAAGTTCGGTTTAGAAAATTATCTAATTGAAAATTTCAAATGCAAAAGAAATTTGGATTGTCAAACCTGAAGAAATAACCAATCAAGGATATATCAACAATCCCTTGTTATATAATTAAAGAAAATTTGATATTCGATGCTTTATACTTTTTACAAGGATTAATGGCCAATAGAAAGGATATTGGTATTAGGATGGCGAAATCAGAACTTCTCCTCAAAATATTCAATCTAAACAATTTATCAAACAAAATGATACACTTAACAAATAGCTTAATGCTGTTTCTGAGCTTTTAGATCCATTAAAAAGAGAAAATACATTTGAACTATTTGGATTAGATTTCATGAAAGATGAATCCTCTCACACTTGGTTAATTGAAACTAATACAAATCCTTGTTTAGAATAAACAGGCCCATTAGATTGAAAATCTCCTAAAAATTGTAATTGTTACTTTAAACCCTACTCTTTTTTTTTCTCATAAAAAGTTTGTATCTGAATGCTTGAATAAGAAATACGAACTTATTTATGATACTTCCAAAATGTTGAAATTAAAAAAGAATTGTGAAAGACTTGTAACTTACTAGTTTATTTTAATGTAATTAAATAATTTTTTATCAACCTATAACTTAATTATGTTGAACAAATAATGCTATTTTAATTGTCTAAACGGTTTTTTTTAATATAATCGAAAAAATATTACTTTTAAACCAAGAAATTTAGTGCAATTTAATTATGATATTTCACAAAATTAAAATAAAGTGTAAATTTACTAGTATTTTAGTGATCACATGTCGATATAAATGTAAATTTTTAAATCTAATTTTGAAATTCAAGACATTAAAATGATAAATATTGGTAATTCTTAAAGGATATATAAATTTTTCATATTTTTTTGATTGTTTAGGAATTAATTGAATTTATAATCATTGATATGGAGTAGTGCTCTAAACCAAATTTATTGACTATGGGAATTTGAGTTATAATTATTTTTAAACTGAATCTATATTAGGTCTTTTGTGAGGTATTGGATCAATCATTTATGAAAGTAAATTTTTTAATTCTTCTCTGATTTGTAATTATTGAATTTCAAATCGTACTTATTGTTAGTTTTGGCAATAATTAAAAATTGATTATTATATTTCCCTTATAGATGAACCTTGATATAGAATAGAAATGAATACCATTAAATAAAGGAGATTATTTGAATATCTCAAAGAATAGACATCCTAAAGACCAAATGTCAACAGAAGCTGTATAATCATCTGATCCATTGATTATCTCTGGTGCTTAATACTGTGGGGATCCTACCATTTTTGTCTTTCTTAAATTTTATTCCCCATGTTTTACTAAACCAAAATCAATTAATTTGTATATGGAACCGACTTATATAAAGTTTTCAGGTTTAATATCTCTATGAATAAGTCCTAATTTATGAAGAAATGCAATTGATTAAGCAATCTAATATTTAATATATATGAATTACTTATTAACAAATTTATTCTTTTTATTATTATGGTATTCTGTTTGTTTTTAAAACAGAATTCATATCTTTAATTCCAAGTTCCATAATCAATACTTATTACTTTTAATATTCAAACCTTTCATAGACTCTAATCAAATTGCTTTTTTGAAATGCAGTTTATTCCTTATTTTTCTAGTAATCAATCAAATAATCAATAAATTAGAGTTCTTGATCTTTCATTTTTTATTAAATTTTCAATGCAACTTCTGTTGAGTAAAATGTTTCATTTACTGCTTTTGCTTAATAAACAGCTCCTTCTCCTCCATCTCCTATAAGTTTACTTAAAACAAAATAACGTTTTGGAAACTACCCTGTTGGAGCATCAAAAATTGAATTTACTTGCTATTGATAGTTATTAAGGTAATCTTAAATAAATTTAATAACTTAATTTAAATCAATGCTTGAATTTGATTCATCAATAGATTAAAGCATTGGTAGAATTAATTATTCAAATTGAATCTGTTTGATTTTATTTAAGATTTGTTCTTTCTAATTTAAATAATTACTTATGTCCGACTAAATTTGTCTTTTCTAATTAGCCTATAAGGATCTACTTCCAAATAACACACTTCCTTAAAGAATTTAATAAAATAGGCAGCCTAAACGGAATTTATCTTTTTATTTTGCATCCAACTCAAGAAAATCTGTTTATGGCTGTTGTTCAGGTTAGTATTTTGAAATTGAATGAAATTTGGCAAGTTTCCAATTATTATTAACTTTAAAATATTAATCCAAATGAATATCTGTGTGACAATAATTATTTTAATGAAGATACTATATGGACTTAGAAATCTATCAAAAATAACCTATAATTAAATACATCTAATATTATTAAAAGTTTTTCTTATAAGCTTAAATTGTTCTTCTGATAAAGATATTCTTACAATTCAATTGATAGTGATTCCATAACTAAATATCCTTTATTATCAATAATATGATTAACTTAAATATTAGTATGTAATGGAATGTCTATTTTGTTATCATGTTAGTGGCTTCTCAACCAATTTATAAATTCTTAGTTTATTGTACCAATCCCATAAACTACTAATGTATATTCTTTTTAATTCTCATATATTGTATAAAATTTATCTTCTCTATTTAAGTAGTTGAAGATATTTTTTCCGAAAGGAAGTTAATTATAGATATTTTAAATCTCATCAACAACATCTTTTATATTTGGTCTATTTTCTGGTTTATTAAGCATTTTTATGATTAGAATTTTCCAATGATTATCAATTTTATCTAAATTTACTTCTTCTAAATACTTTTCTCTGTTTTCTTTAAAACGTTTTTGTTATTTTTCTATCTCTTTATGGTTTTTCCCTAAAAAATACATCAAAGAATATCAAACCTTTAAAAAATGGCTCATTCTAGAATATTTCATAAAATGTGCAACCAAGAGACCAAATATCAATTTCTTGAGAGTATTTTTCCGTTTTGGTTTCAGGTGCTTGATATTATGGAGTGCCAACAATTGAATCGAGTCTTTACTAGATCGTCTTAGATTGTTTAGTCAATCCAAAGTCAGTTAACTTGAATTAATTTTAAAACTTAATAAAATTTTCTGGTTTGATATCTCTATGAAGATAATGATTATTGTGAAGAAATTGTATTGATTTTGAAATCTAATTATTAAAATCAGTCATACTTGAAAACATATATCTACTTTCTCGTCATAATTTAATGTCTTCGAATCCAGAAATTATTTTAAGGAACATTATCCTAATTCCATAACCAAATATGTTTAATTATTATACATTATACGTTCAAAAATTTTAACAAGAAACGATTATTTACCATCATCTTTTTTTTAGTATTCAAGAATCCAATCAATTAATTGTTCTTCTCTTTCTTTAAATTCTTTATATAATTTAATGGCAACATTAGTTTGATAAAATGATTAATTTTCAACTTTTGCTTCAAATACTTCCCCCTCAATCCCTTGTCCTATTTATTTTAAAAGTATAAAACGCCTTTGTTGAAATTCTTTTGCAGGGGATTCAATAACTTGATTAACAAACATATTTTTCGATATATATATTTAATTATTATAGAATTATGAAAATTATGAATGTTATTTTCACTATATTGAAAAAATCATTTTGATTTTTTTAATTTATATTATAAATTTTATCTGTTAATGATTTAAAATTGAGTTTATTATGAATTTGAATTGAGTTTAAATAAATCCATTATTTAAATATAAGAAAACAAATTTGTAATAAATCTATTATAATTCTAAAGGTAATTGTGTAGTAATTATTTATGAATTTTGGTATTTAAATTTTTATAACTATTATTTAGTATTAAGAGGTTAGATTTGAATTATTAAAGCAAAGTAAATCTGGAAACTTATGTTGATAATCAATTTCCTATAATCTACAAAAGCAAGATTTTTGCTTTGTGTAGTTCTTTTCAATGAAAATTGATTATTAACTTGCTTATTGATAAATGAGTAGTATAATCAAATAGATTCTTTTCAAGTGATTTTAGATTGGTTTTAATCTCTCTCCTAGAAGTTATGGGTATGAATATTATTCAAGAGGTTCAACCTGAAAAATATCAACATTGTTAGCATTAAACATGAATGATTCTAATAACGGATTAGTACTTACCTATTAAATGAACTAATTTAATAATTCAAGATTGATCATATATTTTGGTAAATCCGATTCATTTCCTCAATACAATTTATAAATTATGAAATAATATTATGAGAAAAGAGGAGCAGAGTTGAAATACTAGAGTCAGATATAACCCTCGATAATGATAGGCTTCCATTACACTTTTACTTCCTATTACTTATGGGTTTTAGAAAATCAAATTACAAATAAATTGGATAATCTAAATTTATTTTGATAAATTAATTAGATAGATTTTTAGCTTGATTTTCTAACCTCTTAATTTATCTTTAATAAATTTGAAAAGCATGATAATTTGATTATGGCAATAATATAATTTTTTTGTCAATTATTATTATTGAGAATTAGTATCGCTAGAAAAAAATTAAACAATAAAGTCTAAATCAATAGAGAAACACTTTTTTCCATTCATTTATTAAAAACTAAATGAAAAAATTCTGTTTATTATTAAAGAACAGCGTATGATTTATGATTGTATTTATATATTTAGATCTTCCTCTCAGTACTTAATTAGTTTTTATGAATTTTGTTAAACTGATTAGCTTCATATTATAAATAATTATGTAAAGAATGTGATATTTCAAATAATAAAATATCAATAGAGATAGATTATATATTTATTTTTGATAATTAAAGAGATGATTATACTTATATTAATTTAAGTAGTCAACTCATAAGTTTGTAATTGTGGTTAACTTAAATCTCAGTCAGATTGCAAGTTAAATACGATTTGCTAATGGAATAACAATAGTTGCAATGAAAAATAAAATTAAACAATCGGTACATACTGTAAGTAATTTGATCAATCAAAATGTACAACAATAACAGGATGCATGTATTACGATAGTTAATGTTAATAATTTACAGGATGCACTTCATTTGAATACAATACAGATGAATTATGCAAAAGTGTTTCATCATCTTGTATTAGTAACGGAGAAGTATGTATAGACTTGGGAGAATGCATATCCTATGTTCAAAAGAGCACTTGCAAATTAGATTTAAGAAATTAATTATGTTATTGGGATGGGTAAGCATGCTCATTAGCTGATGCTTGTTCAAAATTACCTTATACTACCGATGAGGCTTGTAGGAAAGCGAAATCAACATGTACTGTAAACTTTGCAGAGAAAGCTTGTATGGACGGAGGTAATTGTAAGGATATGCAAAAACAATCACAGTGCTTTTGGAATAAATCATAAACAATCAAGTGCAAGTGGATATCAGGGAAATGTTAAGATTATATATGTATGAATGCTCCTACTACAATGACAACAGATGCAGAATGTGAAGCATATTTATCGGGATGTACAACTCAAGCAGGAGGAGGTTGTACATTTAGAACCACATGTGTCAAAGCATCAAATCAAAATGCATGTGTAAGTGATTCAAATGGAGCCAAGTGCACTTGGATGGATACATATTGTAGTGATAGATATTGCTCTTAGGGATCAAAGTCATTTACAACTAATTCTCAATGCGATTCCTTTTTGAAAGGATGTATAGCTAAACCTTAAGGAGGATGTGTGTAAAATAAAGAATGCGATGCAGCTTTATCATAAGAAACCTGTTAATAAGATATTCACGGAAATCAATGTGTTTGGAATAAATCTATTTGTTAATTGAAAATATGCAAGAATGCTCCAATTATTGAAAACATAGACCATAATTATTGTGAATAATTTTTGAGTTCTTGTACTATGGTGGCCGGTTAATGTGCCACCAAAACCTGTGAAAATGCAAGTCTTTCTATCACTAATTGTAGATAATTTCTAAGTGGATGTGTTTCTAAACTGAATGGAGGATGTCAACGAGTAACAACATGCGCTTAAATCATAAATTAGGATGATTGTTTGAAGGATTCTAAAAATTAATTATGTTTTTGGTTTAATGACAAATGTATAGATCAACAATGCAATGTCATTTAAAAACAAGTCAATCAAGAATGCAGCTCTATTCTATAAAATTGTATAGATGATAAGACTGGAAATTGTTTAGATTATTAATGTTAAAATATTTGGAATCAAGGTTAATGTACTGTTGACTTTTACCAATCATAATGCACATGGAAGCCTGTCTGTTATCTAAAAACTTGTTATAATGCTCCAAAAACATTAAATACTCATCAGTTTTGTAATAATTATTTGTCAAGTTGCACAGTAAATAAGGATAAAAAAGGATGTATGGAAATTACTAATAATTGTGAGGCCTATAAAATTCAGGAATCCTGTGTTAAGAAATTAGATAACTCTTAATGTGAATGGTCTAATGAAAAGTGTTTATCCAAATCTTGTGAGACTGCTGATAAAATCAAATACGTGAGTATGGAATTATGCAATGAGTATTTATCTGGATGTGTTGTGTCGCCAAGTTTCAAAGGGTGCATGACATTGCCTCAAAAATGTCCACCTAGATTAATTGATGTTGTCTGTCTCTTTGATGATTCCTGTTATTGGTATTAAGATGAATGTATTGAAAAATCCAAGACTTGTGATAACACTCCTAAGCCATTTTGCAATTTGGGATGTGTTTGGGCAAATGAAAAATGTGTGTAAAATCTATGTAATGTTATACCCAATCAATCTCATCAAATGTGCAATGCTATAAATAATTCTTGCACAGTCAATGAAAAAAGATCTGGCTGCATAACTTTACTGCAAAAATGTTCAGATTATAAAACAAATTATTAATGTTAAAAGAGTAAAACATAAAAATGCTTTTGGAATGGTACTGAATGTTTAGAATTTTAATGTACAGATATTCCTGATGATACAACTAAATTTGACACATTTGAAAAATGCCAAGAGGAATCTTCTACTTGCACAGTTATTCCTGTTTTGAATTAAACTGGATGTTTGAGTAGATTATCAAAATGTGAGTTATATACATTAAATTAATGCACATACACACTTGGAGGTAAAGAATGTATTTGGTTGGATGGCTTATGTTAACAATTAGATAAATTAAACTGCTCAAGTATTGTAGACTATTCTAATTGCGATGCCATATTGTTTCAATGCAAATAATCAGGAGAAATTTGTGTGAATAAACTATGTAGTGAGATTTTAGTTGAAGATTTTTCATTAACTTTTTCGAAATGCCAAAGCTATAGTTAAACTTGTTCAATTCATGCTAGCTTAAATAGTTGTATAGATATATAAAATGATTGTAATCAATATTTAATAGAAGAACATTGTATTCAGAGTAAAACAAGTCTATGTCACTATTTCAATAATAAATGTGTCAATCGTAATTCAATTTACGGGTGTTCTACTGTAAAATTAGAAACCTATACAGATCTTAAATGCAAATAGTTTAAACAATTTTGTAAACTTAATTCTACATCTAATGGATGTGCAGATACTGGATGCATACTCTATTTTGGATTGACATCCTTGGCTGATTGTGAAGGTGTTGATAATACATGCACTGTGAATTCAGCCAGGACTGGATGTACTACTAAAGTCCAAATGTGCTCATCTTTAGATTAAGATAATTGTATAAAAGCATAAGAAGGATTTTGTGCTTGGGTTTCAACAAAATGTTAATTATTTAAGGATAATGATTGCTCATAAATAACATTATTCTAATATTCTCATTAACTTTGTAATTAAGTTAGCGCTAAATGTTCTGCAAATGCTTAAGTGACTTAATGTATTACAATGACTGATGATTGTAGTTTAAATTTATAATCTAATTGCTTTTAGTCAAAAAACTCTTTTTGTTTTTATAATGGAACCACCTGTGCTAATATAAGCACTATTACAAGTTGTTCAGACATTAAAGTTACTTCTAAAGTCATATGTGATAGATATGATGGATCCTAAAACCCTCTAGCTATATGTACTTTTGTTGCTGGAAATTCCAATTGTATTCCAAGAACATGCTAAAATTATCCTGATAATAAATTCTCACATTAAAATTGTTCAACTTGGTTGGCTACTTGCACATAAAACATTGCAAAAACAAGTTGTATCACAATGGAACAAACTTGTGATTTGTACATAGAAGGTACTTGTTACAAAAGTTAAGATTCATATTGTTAGTTTAATAGTACTTGTTTAAATGTGCCAAGTACATGTAATCAAATAGCAGCTGACGAAAGATGCACTTAGAATTCTCTTTGCATGATAAATAATACTCCAAAATGCGTTGATAAAACATGTGAAAATTATTAGAATAGTGCTGGCTATAATCATAATGTTTGTTCTTCATTTTTAGCAACATGCACAGTTTTGAAGGATTTGACTTAATGTATGACTTTACTTGATGATTGTACAAAAAATTTAATTTAAAATTAATGTACAAAATCACTTTCAGGAGATTGCATTTGGCTTTAAAATAAATGTGTAGCTGCAACTTGTGACACTGTTACTGATTGTGAATCTTATAATTGTATAGTTAAAAAATAGGCAGGTTGTACAAACTTATTCGAAAATTGCTCATTATATCCAACACATATATAATGTAAGAAATCAATTAATAAGATTTGTTATTGGAATGGTAGTATATGTGTAGATTTGACATGTGAGAACTTAAAAGGAGTGGGTTTTAATAGTTTTAGTGATTGTAATACTATTTTAGACAGTTGCACAATAGATGGATCTAAGGTACAATAATGTATGACAAAGAAAGAATGTTCATAATATTAATATGAGATTGAATGTAGTAAAGATGTTTTGAATAAAGAATGTTTTTGGAAGAATAATGCTTGTTATTTAAAATCATGCAATGTATTAGTGTTAAGTTAATACAGCCATGTTACTTGTATGGATTAAATAATTAATAATAAATAACATACATGTACTATTAATGACAATGGAGCTGGTTGCATTGAATTAAAGTAGTGTTCTTCATATAAGTCAGAAAATAATTGCATAATAGATATAGCAGGATAAATGTGTGGATGGAAAAATGAGATTTGCAATATTAAATCGTGTTAAACAGCACCAATAAATGTAAATACTCATGAAGATTGCTATAAGTATCTAAATGGATGTACAATTAATGCTACAAATGATGGATGCATAAAGATCCCTGATTAATGCTCTTTAATGAATGAATCTTAATGTAAGACTGACAATTGCACTTGGTAAGATTCAAAATGTTAAGACAAGACTTGTTCTAATGCTCCATAAGACTTAATTTCTGAATCATAATGTAATGCATACCTGAAAAATTGCGGATTTGTTAATAATTAGAAATGTTTCTAATTTTAATGTGAGGATGTAGAATTAAAAAGCCATCAGGAATGTTATGATAATTACAAATGTACTAGCAATGGATTTAGATGCACTGCAATACAAGAATAATGTTATTATTACACTACTTCAATTAGTTGTGTAATTGATGTAACAAAAAGTCCATGTACATGGGTTGAAAAATCACTTGAATGTTAAATCAGAAGATGTGATAATGCTCCTTAAAGTTTGATTACTAATGACTCCTGTAATATTTACTATCCTAATTGCACAACAAAGGCAGGAGGAGGATGCTAGGAATTACAAGAGTTGTGTACATCATATACAGTCTAAGAGGGTTGTTTGAAAACCCTTAATAAAACTCAATGTGTTTGGGATTCCAATTAATGTAGAGACAAATCATGTGTAGATTTATTTGGTTCCACTCATGCTTAATGTAATGGTTAGGACTCCAATTGCACTATAGGTTTATAAGGCAAATGTGCAATTTAAAACAATTGTTCTACAAAAGTAAATTAAGAAACTTGTATAGTTGGCGCTGATGGTCCTTGCTTATGGATCATTAAAAATAACATAGGCCAATGTTATTAATATAGTGATTGCTCATCATTAAAATGGAAAACTGACCAAGATTGCAAATTGATATCGCCTTTATGCACAACAAATGGTGAAAATTGTATTGCTGTTCAAAAGTGTTCATTAAATAAAATTTCTGGATGTTATACTGGAATTGATGGCCCTTGTATCCTCACTATAGATAGTAACAATATTAAGTCTTGTTAATTGTTTAAAAATTGCACCCAAGCGAAATTTACAATTCATGAAGATTGTTAACTAGCTAATATAAATTGTACCACAAATACTATTGACTCTTGTATCGCTCTGAATGATAACTGTTCATCGTACAAACTGGCTGGATAATGTAAATAAAATAACAAAGGAATATAATATACCGAAGATAATAATATTAATTCAACAGGAATTTGTGTATGGGAATCTGGTTTATGTAGAGATCAATCTTGTTAAGATTTGAAAGCCAATAACCATGATGAATGTTCCAAATAATTAATCTCATGTACTTATAATTCTATTGGATGCATCTCTATTGCAAAATGTTCTTAATATCAAGATCAAAATACTTGTTTATCTGCTGTTGCATCTGATGGAATATGTATCTGGGATAAAAGCATTTGTAGAATTAAACTATGTATAGATATTTTTGAACCAAAATCATAAATTGATTGTCAATCAAATATGAATTCCTGCATTTATGATGAAGCTAATAAAATATGTGTTCCAAAATCAAATTGTTCATCATATAAATCTGAATCATTATGTAACTAAGGTAGCATTACTGGATCATGTGTATGGTAGTCCACTAATTGCATAGATTTTACTTTATGTAATATGGCAAATTCATCAGAAACTGTATGCAATTCAAATTCTTTTTGTAATTGGGTCACCAAAGTATCAAATCAGCAAAATTCAACTAATACAACAACACAATAATGTGAAAGTTATACTTGTGCGACATGGTACAATACTAAAAAGAAATGTGAACCATTTCTATCATTTGATAAATCGACATATAATTATTGTAGCATGAATAATAATACTTGTGTTTCAATAAGTGTGTCATAATTCGATTAAACAAATTGCTATTTATTCAGTAAATATACATACACTTGGGATTAAACACTTTAAAATTGTGTGATTTGTCAAAAAGCAATTAATAATACTAATAACAATACAAATAACACAAATTAAACTATTGACTAAAAGGCCTTCATTTTTAAGTTTTACATATTAATAATTTTGATTATTTTTTATTGATATAAATTTTATCATAATTGTTTATTAAACTTAAATATAATTCTATAACATAATAAAAAGAAAATGTTGGATCATACTCATTAAATTTCAATACCATCTTAAGAAAATCCAAATAGGAACTATATATCTACACAGATAATTTCTTAAGATGGAGAAACAGTCGTTTATGAAGGGAAACTAATAGAAAATGAAAAAGAAATAAATGTAGTTATAAGGTGTTAGTGTAACAATAAAGACTCTGAACTAGAATTTATTGATTGGCTAATCTCTTAATAAAAACAGAATTAAGCAAGAGAGATAATAAAAATTTATGAAAAAATTGAAAATAATCATAAAACATATTTAATCACTGAATTCAGCAGCCTTAAATTATCAAACTATTTAAAAGAGAATAAATAATTGAGTCGACTTTAAAAAATCGGTATTTGTAATTAAGTATTTAATTTTTGTTTTTAATATAGACTTTGGATGTTATTTTATTCTTGCATCATAATTAGTATTTTAATGGAAATATCTTATCTGAAAATTTTGTACAAGTTGGAAATATCTTTAAATTAGCAAACTTTGGATTCAGGAAATTCTATTAAAAGACTGATGAAAATTAAAAAATAATTGATATACAATCTTTGGGATGTTTATTTTATGAAATTTTCAAAGGAGAAAAATTGTTTTAAGGTAAATGGTTTAGTTATTTAAGGGTAAATAGAATTAGAAAGCTAAAAATATAATGACTTTAATTTTAAAGGTATTGAATTTATTCCAAAAGTCAATGATATCTCATGGCAATAGATGTCAAATTTAATTTTAGAGATGATATAAAAAAAAATACAAGATATCTAAAAAATACAAGATGGCTTGAATAATTTAAGAGAAAAATAATTATAACCTCCTTTGCCTTAATTTTATAACTATCAATAGCAAGTAAATTCAATTTTTGATGCTCCAACAGGGTAGTTTCCAAAACGTTATTTTGTTTTAAGTAAACTTATAGGAGATGGAGGAGAAGGAGCTGTTTATTAAGCAAAAGCAGTAAATGAAACATTTTACTCAACAGAAGTTGCATTGAAAATTTAATAAAAAATGAAAGATCAAGAACTCTAATTTATTGATTATTTGATTGATTACTAGAAAAATAAGGAATAAACTGCATTTCAAAAAAGCAATTTGATTAGAGTCTATGAAAGGTTTGAATATTAAAAGTAATAAGTATTGATTATGGAACTTGGAATTAAAGATATGAATTCTGTTTTAAAAACAAACAGAATACCATAATAATAAAAAGAATAAATTTGTTAATAAGTAATTCATATATATTAAATATTAGATTGCTTAATCAATTGCATTTCTTCATAAATTAGGACTTATTCATAGAGATATTAAACCTGAAAACTTTATATAAGTCGGTTCCATATACAAATTAATTGATTTTGGTTTAGTAAAACATGGGGAATAAAATTTAAGAAAGACAAAAATGGTAGGATCCCCACAGTATTAAGCACCAGAGATAATCAATGGATCAGATGATTATACAGCTTCTGTTGACATTTGGTCTTTAGGATGTCTATTCTTTGAGATATTCAAATAATCTCCTTTATTTAATGGTATTCATTTCTATTCTATATCAAGGTTCATCTATAAGGGAAATATAATAATCAATTTTTAATTATTGCCAAAACTAACAATAAGTACGATTTGAAATTCAATAATTACAAATCAGAGAAGAATTAAAAAATTTACTTTCATAAATGATTGATCCAATACCTCACAAAAGACCTAATATAGATTCAGTTTAAAAATAATTATAACTCAAATTCCCATAGTCAATAAATTTGGTTTAGAGTGCTGGTAACAACTAAGCAGGAGAACAAAGAACCAAGCCTATATTTTAAACAACTACTGAAGTCAGGATTAATGACAACAAAAATAACGAAAAACAACAAAAATATAATGAAAACATTTCTAAATTAGACTAAATAGTTAAAGATATTTATGAACAATATTTTGATAATTCTAATTGGGATTGTTAAAAAAAAATAGCAGAAACTCAATAGAATTTCAGAGACCACTTAAACAATTAAATTATTCAATTAGGATAAAAATCCCTTCCTAATAGTTTAGGATAGTCTGTTGGATAGGTATAAAACTAAATTTTTAATAATTAATTCCACCCAAGCACATATTCTCCTTAGCAATAAACAAATATTATTAACAATTTTCATCCTGCATAATGATGAGTATTTACATAGATTATGTTATTAATGTACAAGAATATATATGAATATTTAAAAATGTCTTAGCTTTCATATATACTTTAATAAATTCTAGGGGTTTAAGTAAATTTAAATTCTTTGTTTATTTTCAAGTGTATTCTTCAAAACCTGTGTAAAGCATTAATTATATTAGATGATTAATAAATTACGTCATTTTTATAATGACAGATGGATATTATATATTAATAGTTCTTTTGAGAGTGATATATTTTTAATGTTTCTTGAATTATAAAAGCTAATAATGAAGAATTAAGCATAATTTTAAAGGGAATGAGGTTAAAGACCTATCGATATATTAATCCTAACAATGATAAGATGCATATATGAATTTAAAAAAATATATATATGGCTATCAAAATCTAAGTCAGAGAGTACCAATCTTTTTAATTATTAAAGTTTAGTTGCAATTCATTATAATAAAATAAGATTGAACTTTTCAAATTTTTAATAATAATTAATTTTAAATTTAATATTGACTTATTTAAGAACTGTAGTTAATGAATGCTATGTTTGCAAATGCTAATTTATTTGTAATCTATCTCCTTTTGGCTATTTCAATTCTGTAAACTTGAAATATATTTCTTTAATATATGACCGATCATTTAAATTCCATTACTATTCATATACTAACCAAATCCTAAAATTTATCCTTTTGTAAAAGTTCCTGTATAAAGAGAATCATCATTCTATTAAAAGGTTCCTTTCCCATTAAAGATGCTATTTTTGAATTAACCCTCATATCAAGAAAATATATATTATCATACTTGGAGCCATCACTCAAAATTAGAATACCTCTGCCCTCTTTATTGCCATATTAAAATTAACCAAAATATTTGCTTCCATAACTTTTAATTTCCTGACCTTCAATCTATATTGTATTATCAAATCGATGGTCCTATTAATTTTTTTCATTATTAAACCTCTCACTAATTTTTTTTAAGATTTAAAGATTCCGAATCAATTTGTTTTTCCTTATTAAATTGCATTCAAAACTGAATTAAATATAAATATTTATTACTTCTCTCCTTTGGCATAATTCATTCTACAATAACCCTCTAATTGATCATTTTCCTATTAGCTAAAATCATATAATATTCTTTATCCTTCTAATAAATTTCTTATTTTTATTAATTTTCCATTATTCCATAATAAATGCTATAATCATTTAGTTTATCAACTAATAATTTGTTTTTTGAATTAAACTGTCTAACTTTTATTTTTTAAATGTTTAGGTAGCTTACTGATAACTTCTAAGAGTCTTGAATCTAAAGCAGCGCTATATAATTTAGAATTGTCATCATCAGCTGATATTGTTTTTTTATCGAGTTCTTTCGCTTAATTACAAATGACTTATCTTTGATATTAATTCTTTTTATAAGTGCTCATTACTGTGAAACTTAAACATCGAATTTTTTGAGAATAACTTCCAAGATTAATTAGAATTAATTAAAAGATAAGGAAATGAGATATCTTGATATTAATTAATAAGGCATTTATTTTGAAATTTTATATTTCTTTTTTAGATGTTAAACACACTATGGAAAAAAAGAAGAAGCTTACTTTTATCTATAATCTCGTTTTATAACTTAAAATATTAATCGTTCTTGAAGGTAAATTGAAACCATTTATTTTCACTAAAAAGGAAAGAGAATTGTGAATAATTCATTAATTTTGTTTGAATTAATTATGATTTTATTTAAAAGAGCAATCTTATTTAGAAAATAAGAAAGAAAATCATAAGTATAAGGTTGCAAAACACAAAATCAATTGGAATAAGGAATTAAAATAAATTTGTTTATACTATTATTATTATTAATGCGAACAGATCACTTTCTTCCAAGGGAAGTTTATGAGGCCAATGATCTGACTTAATCTTTGAAGAGTTGAATAACAACATCGATGATAGCGTTTTCCTCTACAAATTAATTAGATTGATACCTTATCTTCTAACAGTTTCTGATGCATAGAATTCTCTCTTCTCTTCTAAATCAGCAGTGGCTCCGGCAACTGCATTTAATGAATCTTTCCACAATTTGAGGGCTTTGGCTTATTGAGCAAGGATAGCAGGGAGTTACTTGAAAAATAGATGTTACTGATACAGTTTCTAATTTTTCAACAAGGGAAGTTCTTCTTTCATGTTCTGAATTCAACCAGTCAACTTCAGCATTTGTATCTGAGACATATTTAGCTAAAGCGAAAGCAGCATGGATTTCTTATTCTTAAAGTGTTGCAAGGGTAGATTCTAATTCGCTTTATAAATCTTATAAGATTGCGAGAACTTATTCTCCTGTAGTTCCTTCTCTTTTCACTTCTGCAAGGGATTGGAATTTTTGAAGGGCATCCTATTAGAAAAGATGACTGTATGCAGATAATTTATCAGCAATTGTTTAAGCTTTTTCAACAAGTTCGACTCCAGCATTATTAGTTAGAAAACCTGCAACATCTTATTCCAAGAGTTACACAACACCTATGGCGTCAGCATGATCAGCAAGTGATTTAACAAAAAGTCCATTAGCCCAACATCTTTAATCTTGGAGTTGAGCATTTCTTCTTTCGATTTCAGCAAGTCTTGATTCAGCCCAAGCTAGCCATGAATATCCATCCTAAGAATATATCTGGAATATACTCTGATTTAGGCTTCAACATCTGTTCTGACAGCTCCTAAAGCTTCCCATTATTATTTGTTTAGTGAAGCGACATTTGTCAAGTCACCAATAACTTAAGAGAAGATTTCTAAAAGGATATAGGAAGATGAAGGTACCTTCGTCAGTGTTATTCTTTTTATCAGCAGCAGCTTGAACATTAACATTTTCTGTTTTAAGATCTCGCAAAAGGTTATATACTGATTCGACAGCATCATTTCCTCTTGTTCCTGCCTAAAGAAGGACAGCAAATTTGTTTGTATCTAAGGCAAATACGGCAGCCACTAAGCAAATTATGGTAAGAGCTCTCATAATTTTAATTTTTAATATTTTAAAAAACGGGCACATTATTCATGCTTTTAATAATTAATCATTTTATATTCTTAAATCGTCAACTTATTTACAAATTTCTTAATATTCTTAAAAGAAGTCCTATTTTTTTAGTCCATTAATTCATTTATTCTAATTAAGATTTCAATTCCGTTGTTGGCAGACTGTTTAAACTTCTATCTATCTTTTTATTTGCGATAGTTCATCTAATACACAAAGATTGACTCTTGGTTTATTTGTTTTGTTCTCAGATTTGCTCTTCAGTAATTCTAAATTCTCTTTTTTCTATTTCACAATAAGTTTAGCATATTCAACCCTGTCCAATAATTCACAATATTTTTCATAATTCTATTTTATAAATTATCTCAGATCAAATATATTATTTTAGAACAATTATTAACTATTGCAGTAAGCAAATCTTTCTAATGTTTCTTTTTTTTGTTTGATAGCGTTTCCACTCTTTGCTGATTATGGTTGCTATTTAAGCATTATCGTTAATTATTAATTTATATATGAAATAAAATAATTACAAAACTTCATAAATTGATCTTTCTAGTATTGGTGAAGAATCAAATACTCAATCAGATGTAGAATTAGAATAAATAGACATGGCTAAAATGAATTGTTATGAATATTATACTGCTATGGATCCTTTATCAACTCAAGTCTTCTAAATTGATGGTGAACATCATATTAAAGAATTGTTTAATCGCTTGATTAAGAAGGTAATAGTTAAAGCATAAGAAAATGAAATCTTAAGAAAGTTACCTACTGTGTCTGCTTCCAATTCATTAAATCTTTTAGTTATGCCTTTGGTGCAAGCATTCTGTAAACCTGAAAATCCAAATAAAGATATTCAAAGTGGTGGATTAGGAGAGGACTTCGAACCTGTACGCAATTTATTTAATTTAAGTTACACATTTAACAAGAATAATGGCTGACATCTAAAATTAATATGGAAATCAAGCCAGAAATTAGGCCTAATACTTGTTAGACTTCAAGTCCAATGACTTTTGCTAGATCAAAGGTTTTTGTAATTTAATTATTATTCATTTTAGGATTAAACTTAACCAATCAAAGAAAAGAAATAGCTTGATCCTATGCCTATAGACTTAGTAGATCCATTAGATATTAGTATTACAGAGGAGCAATTGAGAAATGAAAAGGAACGATAAACAAAGGAGAAATTAGAATTGAATGAAGCTGAAAAAAGAAGGAAACTAAAAGAAGAAAAAGAAGAATAATTAAAATACGAATTGATGGCAAAAGATAAGAAATCAAAGCAATATACTTATGATTATGATGGTAAACTGATATCTGTTAACTTGGCTAAAGGTACTAAATTGCCACCTCCAGCATCGACCTTGGGGTATAGTTGATTATTTTTTAAGATCTAAATTTGATGAGGATCAAACTGCAAAAGTAAATCCAAAAAAGAAATACAATAAAGTTCCCTGGAATAATAAGAAAACCGATGATGAAAAGGATAAAGAGAAAGATACATTCAAGTTCAATCAAATAGCTCCTTTAGTTGTAGAGAATATGAATTTATAACCAGGAATTGTAGTCATTCATGAGGGGAGAATCAAAGAGGGCACCAGACCAAATACTGTCGATTTACAGAAAATGAATAATCCAAATCTGAGAATGGCAAGGAATGAATATCTTAGTCTTACTTAACAAATGAATTCATCTATTAACCATAATGTTTAAATTAAAGCAGAAGACAAGCCAATAAAAGAAATTGATAAAGGAAAAGGATTCAATTATGATAGACTAAAGAGACTTAGCCAGTAATCAAACAATCAATTAGGAGTTATTAAGTAATATTAGTTAATAAGTGCATAGAATTAATTCTACTAAGATATTTGAACAATTGGCATAAGCTTTTTTTGAGGAGCCTGAAGAATTACCAAAAATCATTAATTAATAGACATCAAAGAGTTCTTAAGAAAACACATTAAAAGGAGTGAAAAGCCCCATAGATTAATTTAACTTATCTTTATATAAAAATAATGTTGTGGGCAAAGATTAATAAAATGAAATTGGAATAAATTATGAGAAATTAAAAACACTAAAAGCCAATTCACGGTATTACAATAATCATTTTAGAGAATTGAAATCCTCAATAGGATCAAGATCCAATAGACCAAGAGAAAGAAAAATGTTATCAGAACAAAGCACCCTACCTACTGTGAGGAGCTAAAAAAACTTTAAATTATGATCACTTTTGTTGTATATAATTTATTGACAAGGAGTGTGATTAATTATTTTATTAATATTATGGAATTATTAAGGGATCCATCGCATGATAGAGTTGTGAAAACCTTGAAGCCACCTCCTCATTATCCTCTCTCTCGCTAACTCATGTTTCCAGATAAACTAAAAAGTTACTTACTTTAAAATTATTAGACAAACCCGACTGGAGATTATTACTAGATCATTTATCAAAAGAGGGAAGAATTGCAAAAGAAGATCTTTTCAAATTAGTTTAAGAATGCAATAAAATATTTAGTAACATTTCCTTATAATAACAGAAAATGAGGGGAATCTCATATATTTGCATGATCCTTTAACAGTTGTAGGGGACATCCATGGCCAATATTATGATTTAGTTAAAATGTTTGATGTCGGAGGCAATATAGAATCCACAAAATATCTATTTTTGGGCGATTTTGTTGACAGGGGTTCATTTTCCATCGAAGTGATCGTCCTAGTATATGCAATTAAGATCAACTTTCCAAATACTGTTTTTTTCCTAAGAGGAAACCATGAATGTAGACAGCTCACAAGCTTTTTCAATTTTAAGGACGAATGTATACAAAAAAAAACCCTCTCATCAAGGCCTCTATAAGTATGACCAAGAAACCTACGATTTTCTGATGGACTCTTTTGATCTTTTCCCCCTTGCCTGTGTAGTTAACAACAAGTTTCTAGCCATCCATGGAGGTATCTCTCCAGATCTAAAAACGGTAACAAGGTTCTGTATTTCCGATTTTAGCTTGAAGACATCAAAAAAATAGATAGATACCATGAACCACCCAGAAGTGGACTCTTTTGTGATATTTTGTGGAGTGATCCTGTTGATAATGATTAAGGATCATTAGAAAATGGATGGAAAGGAAATGAAATTAGAGGTTGCTCTTGGTTTTTTGGGGTTGATGCCGTGCATAGATTTTTACAAAGAAACAATCTCATTTCTGTCATTAGAGCTCACGAAGCATAGTTAGACGGATATAAAATGCATAGATGGAAAAGCAGCTCAGACTTTCCAGTTGTTATTACAATATTTTCAGCTCCTAATTACTGTGATGTTTATAAAAACAAAGGAGCTGTAATAAAATTTGAAAATAACACCCTTAATATTTAGTAATTTAAAGATACTCCTCACCCTTATCTCTTACCAAACTTTATGGATGTATTCTCCTGGTCAATACCTTTTGTTACAGAAAAAGGTAGATTTCTGAATTTCATTTTAGTTACTGAAATGCTATATATGCTTCTTAAGCATGAGGATTAAGATTAAGAAAGCGGTGATGAAAAAATTAACCAAGAAGATATTGAAAAGTTTAAGCAAATCACATAGTCTGAAAAAACAAAAATTTTTGATAAAAATAAATCACTTCAAAAGTAACTCTCAAAAACTGGAAAAGAAAAACTGAGATCTAGATTAAAATTTGTGGCCACAATGATGAAAATGCAAAAAACGTTAAGGTCTTCAAATATATTTGTATTTTCAGAGAAGAAAACCAAAGTATTGTTTAACTAAAAGGAGCTTGTCCAGATAAACGCCTGCCTAAAGGATTATTGCTCCAAGGAAAAGAAGCTATTACTGATGGTATCTATTTATTTTGATGTTTAGCCTTGCAAGAATTTAATTATATGAAATTAGCTGATAGTATTAATGAAAAAATGCCTAATATACATATTCCTTAGCAATCAATATAAATTAAAAAGCCTGGTTAATCTTCAAAGAAAAAATGAATTTATTTATAGGTGATTAAATATCAAAGATATATATTACAAATTTTTTAGCTCAATCTTATATTTTATCAAATAACAATACTACGTTTTTTTAATATATATTTATTTTGTATTTTAAAATTGAGTTGTAAAATTCTTATATATAAAAAGTTACAAGTAAGCATTACTCTTCTCATTTTTTATGATTTTTTAATTGGTTGTATAAAATGATAATTTCATTCAGTTATCTCTAATCTTTTATATATCAGGATATAAAAATGATGGATTAGAGAGTTATATTAATTATTAGTTATACAATAGAAAAATATGAATAATTCAACATAATTCTAAATAAACCAATATCCTAAATTTAACACTAAAAGACTATGAGAAATATTCGTACAAGACTTTCTGAAGAATTAATTGTTCTCAAATTAATTTATTAACTCTAAATATTCTAATAATATGTTATTCATTGTGCCTAAATCTAAACACTATATTAATTCAATTAAATTTTTCTTTCATAATTATTTAATCCTACTTAGATCTTTAAGGTTAATTTAATATTATTGAATAATAATTAATTCTTTTGATATATTCTTTTTTTATTAGAAATCTCAATATAATTAAATCTCTATTAAAATTATAAAATGTTGTTTAATTTTTTTTCTATTATCCTATTCTAGAGTGACAACTATTAATAAATAATGATTCTATTAATTATCTTATACTTTAGATAAAATCTAATCAAACTAGTAAATAAATGATTCATTAATTGTTATAATTAAGTAATATATTGAAATGTTTTATTTTCCTATCGAATTAAATATTAAGTTGGACATTACTTTAATAACTTGAACTAAAATAAATAACAGTTATGATTGTTATAGAAATTTCAATAGACAAATCAATTTTATATTATTATGACTTCTGAGAAATTAGATTTTAAATAGAATTTACTATAATAATCTAACTTTAATAAATATTGAAGATATGATATCTAAAAATAAGTTGATGTTTAGAATATATCATAATTCTTTGAATTTCCACAAAGAATTATATTAGATACTAAATTGATTAGTAATTAAAGGATAATAAATTATTTTATTATTATTTCTCAAAATAAACATGATAAATAAAATTTAGGAATGTTTCTGCTAATTAAAAAAAGTTTGAGGTATTATATTATTTTTTATTTAAGACTCCTATTAATCATTTAATTATAAGAGAGAGTTAAGTTGGATATTGAATTTATTAATCTATTAATTACTGCCGATATAAATTTAATGAATAATTGAGCCTAGTGATACTACCTTAATATTTTTCTTGCATGAATAGGTCTAATGACTTATAAGCGCAGAAAATTTCTGCAGACCAAATTTGGTATTAAAAAATTTTTAATACAGGCTTAATTGAAATTGTGTTTAATTGTTTATCTTTTTTGATAGAGAAAAGAGGAGTTAAATTTGTGATTGTTACACCAAAATGATACAGAAACAATTTGATATATTTTGCTCAAAGCAACATTGTCGATTCTCTAAAATTCAAAAATTTTTAGTTGGATAACGAAGTTCCAAAGATTATATTATAAAGGATACGTTCAAATATCAATATCAATAATAAGATAAGATGTGATTATATTAAACTTTTAGAAAACTATTTCTAAGGGATAAACTTATAAATAGGTGTAGTTTAATATAAAGTAGTCAAAAGTAACATAAGTGATGTAATTTCTGTATTCAGAATATTGGCTTCATTCTTTATTATATCTTTTATAATTGAGAATCATTTTCATGTCTAAATAGTTATTAAAAATTAGCTATTATCATGAATTTTGATGTTAACAAAAAATTTAATTAATACTGATATAATATCTTCTAAAATAATTAAGAGTATTTTATGGGTAAAATTAGAATAGTAATATTAAATTAATTAATAAAGAAATATTATTTTTTTTGAAAACAATCCAAGTAAATTTGTAAAAGATTGGATTAAATTGAAATGCAAATTGTAAAAATTTTCGATTGAATAATATTAATTTTTCATCAGTTGGTTTTTTAATTTCTCTACAGTGGTGCCCCTTTAGATTTTCTTTTCTTTTCAACAGTTTCCCAACCATCGCTATCTTCATCTTCATTTTATTATGGTAATTCTTCTTATTATTATTATTATTCTTATTATTATTCTTACTGCTATTTTTATTATTGGACTACAGGTGGATTTCCCTTGAATAAAGAATATTAAATACTTTAGCTTTAGAGTTGATAAATGTGGGAATAGATTCCTCAACCTTCAATTGTTTCTATTATTCAGGGACTGCTTAAGAAGTTAATGTATTAGAATTTCTGGTGATATTGATTTATCTTTGAGGAAGATTAGATTTTTATGTTTCTTAAATTTATGGCTAAGGCTAAACCTAAGTTTCTTATTATGTTTTTTTGATTTATTCTTATTGTTATTATTAGAATAAAACAGTGTTTTCTTACTTTTTTGTATTTGTGAATGTTAGAGATCCTGAATTAGAATTTAATTGAGTATTTTTTGTTTAAACATTAGAAGCTGCTTAGCTTGAGGGTTTAGAACTAGAATTAGTAAATATCATAGCATTATTGGTGGTAGGCTAAATTTTTTAGTCTTGCTTTGGTTAATTTTGTAAATTCTTTTATTTTTTAGATTGTTTTGGTAATTCAGCAGCAACAGCAAGATCAGGGAACTCTTCATTCCTAATTTCTATGATAGGATCGTCATTCTTTTTCAATGATGAATTTGGCTTCTTGCCAATACCATTAGTTGGAAGCTCTTTAGACTCATCTGATTGTTACCAACCATCAGTTGATGTTTGCTAAATAGTGGGTTATCTAGACATGATATGGGCTTAAATACTTTTTTTCTGGTTTTTTTGCAACAACAACAAGATTGGTTTCTTCTTGTTCTTCTTCAAGATCAATAGAAGGCTTTTGATCATCCTTCTTCACAATTTTGGAAGCCTAAGTTTAAAGTTTTAGTTTACTTCAGGTTTAGGTGCCTAATTCTTAGGTTGTTATGAAGTTTTAAGTTTCAACATTGAGGATTGATTTGAGGGTAGTGTAAAATTTAAAAGGTATTTTTTAAAAAATATTTAGCAAAGAAAATGAGGAAAGTTTTTATTTAAATAAAGAAGGAATTACTCAAATTTAATGAGTTAATTCGATCCGTTTTTAAACCAATATTAAAATATAGATGTGAAAGCTAGCCATCTTGGCATTAGTAGTTACAATAACAACTGCTAAGTTCATTGACATTCATACAACATTGGCTCAAATTAATGCTAATCCATTCGGAAATGTGGTGTTATCTGCAATTAAGGCTCATCTTTAAGCCTAGACTCCAGCCAATGAAGTTAACATGTTGTTGAATGCTGTAGATGCTGGTATTGTTTAAGACTAAAATGATCACGATCATGCTTTTGAGTTGGATACAACAACTAACAATAGAGTAAGGTTTTTATTAATTGTCAGATAGTAGAAGACTTAGACAAAGAAATCTTGTATCATTAGAATTAAATAGCAGCGAACACATAATTGAGAGACGACACAATTGAATCACTTGCTGTTTCTGAAGAAGATATCAGAGTTACTATTCAAGATATTGCAAACATTGAAGCCACTTATGCCAGGGAAGAAACCACAAGAAATCAACAACACGAAACTTTTATTGCTAAAACTACTGCTATTGATGATGTTATTGATGCTATCGATGACGCTGCTAAACTTATCTAACATTTAAGTTTAGGTGCTTCATTTGCTTAAATAAAGACTAAATTCGACTCACTCCATAAGAAGTTATTAGATAACACATCACATACTGCTCTCTTACAAGTTTTATTTTATAATAATTTAAAAGCCCGTCATCACAGCTTTGACTGAACTTGCTACTCATGGTGTCAACTAAAAAGCTTTGACTAAAATTGCCCAACTTTTGAGCGAAATCAGATAATAATTAGTCTAAGAGAAAGCAGCTAAGACAGTATTAATATTTATAAAATAATTTAGGATGTTGAAGAAAGATAAGCTGCCCACTGGGCTGAATTTTCAGTTCATCTAGCTAATGAACATACGAGATTAGGCGAAAGAAAAGCATAATTAGAAGTCTAAATATAAGAATAAAAGGATACTATAGAAGATGCTATCTCATGGATAGAATTCCAAACTTTGGAATTAGAAAATAGTGAAGAAAGACTTGCTGGATAATAAACATGGTTTGCTGTCTAATCCCAAATATATGAAACTTAAACTGCTGAACGGTATTCAATTATTCTATTATGTAGAACTGCTTAATAAGAAATTATTGACAGACTCTAAGAACATATTAGTGAAAAATTGTCAACTACTGCTTAATTTATTGCAAGCAGAAACTGATTTTATTATCAATATCAATATTCATTAATATTTTTCCAAAAATAATTAACAAAAATAATTTTAATATTTCATTTTACATTTCTTATATTCTACCCAATATATTCATAAATATATAAACCATATAAGTTATTTTTATGCCTTTTTAAATTAAGCTATTTGAGAAATAGGTAGTTTTTATGCTGTCCCACTTTTTAACTTTGGAATACAAAATGCCTAAACTGTTTTAACTGCTCATTATCATCTATTCTGTTACCTAATCAATTTCTTATTCATTTTACTACTAGTATACTTAAGATGAGCAACTCAGACATAGCCTTACTAAAATTACCTCATTAACAAGATTGTATTTATATATTGACAATCCAAATATTAAATCAGGTTTGTTTTGGTTACTTGCTATTGTCCAAAATTTGATATTCCTTGCCGCTAGTATTGTTGCTTACAAAAATCAATACAAAATGGGTGCTTTATCTTTTTGGACTAGATTTATATCTGTCATCTTCACTTTTTATATCTATTATTTTTCAACTGCATTTTTTCCTGTTATCTTTGAAATTTGCCTTTTTTAATCATCAGATTTAGTATAATTTTGTGTTTCCATAATTGTAATGTTAGAAACACTCATTATTATGATTTTAGGAGAACTTGTTTTTAGAAGAGGCTTAATACTTAAATCAACTTCTCAATTGTATATTAATATGACCTCATACTCATACATAATCAAAATTCTAAAATTAATGTAAATCATTTTTTTTTTTTATTTACAAACAAAATTTCTCTCATAAATGATTTAATGCGTAATTAACATCCTAATATAATTATGCTTTATAGCTGAATAGATTAGAGCCAAAGTTTATGCTTAAAAAATCTATTCGAGCACAACAATTATTTTTAGTTCGATTGGATTAGTTCTTTCTTTTGATGTACTTCTAACCCAATCCACAAATAAGAATAATTATTGGATATTAGTTTGTATAATATTGATCAAAATCTTATTGTCATGTGAAGAATTTCGAATTGATAAAATTTCTAATTATGGAATCCATCAATTGAAATATTTATTTACTTTTTTAGATTTAAGTAATCATGAAAAATCAATAACAAAACTTTAAATTTTCATGCTTTTCTAAAGTCATTAATAGAGTTGTGATAATAAAAAAACATGTTTTTGTACCAAACATAAAAATGATTAATTTGTTGCACTGATAAAAATTATTGAGAGTAAAATAGAAGAATCACTTCATGGTAAAACTAAAATATCTAAAGATTTAATTTGCACTGATTATGCATAGATTTTATTTCGAAGTCACTAATATGTCAAAGCTTAATAACATATAACTAGATTTTTGACAAAATAATCTCCCAATTATGACAAAAAATAAAATCCATTGTCAAAAATTACAATATTCTTATTAGAATATCTAAAGGGTGAGGTTTTAAATTAAGTCATGATTTAAATTACAGAAAAAATTGTTTTATCCAATTAGCATAATAAATTGCTAAATGAATCTTTGAAATCTTTTGTAATAAATGAAAATTCCGATTCCGAAATAATAGCCAATTTAAAACAAATAATTCAAACTAAAATTTAATTTTATTATAATTTTATTGAGCATCAAAATGCTAATTTTGGAAATATCAATTATGCATTGCAATTTATCTAACAAATAAAATAATTTAAGGAGATGCTATTAGATCGATATAATTAGTTCCCAAGTAAAAATACATAATAAATTTAGCGAGTAGTAACTAAAATATATTAAAGTATTTCACTTTGCATATTCTAAATGATTACATCGATTCTTTCAACATCAATAGAGGTAAGGCTTTTGAGGACGATAAATTTAATTAATTCTCAGGACAAATGTATCATAAAATCTTCGGAATTAATCCTGCTTACTTTATTACTGAATTGAATTCTGAATTAGAAGTGATAATAACTAAGAAGTCTTAAAGGGCGTAATATTTATTGAAATAATGGAAGGTTTAATAACATGAATAGAAATACCATGCTAACATTGAACTAAACGCTTTCTTACCTGAGTATGTGCAATTGAAACATAGCAGTTTGATTGAGAAATTCTTGAGTGAAGGACAAAATAAATATTACCAATAATAAAATTTATCATTTTTAAAATAATAGGAAAAGGTAATGATGCCAATTCAAATAATGGTTAGCATGAATTAAACAAATTATGATAAATTCTCCTTTCTTACTTTTTTCTATGAATCGCTTGACTATCGATCATACATAGTTGTAGATAAACATTTAGAGATATTGAATATAAGTTCTAACATTTCAGAGAGCTTATTTTTAAATGAAGCCAAGGTTCATTCAAGTTGTGTAACTAAAATAATACCAAATTTTCAACAATTAGTATCTACTCATTAACATCAATTTTACAATCAAGAAATAAAGCTGGTTAAAGAATATCGCCATTAAAAAGTACCCTGTTCCTTTACTGGTAATATTAAAATTGACAGAAAATTTGAAAATCAATATAAGTGTTATTTTGTTGAATTAGATAATATTCGAGCGATATCAAAGAAATTTAAAGATGAGAATTCTACTTTGTATATGGCTTCTCTTACTTAATTTCCTGGATCAAGTTAGAAGTTACTCAATATAAATAGTGAATTTGATGATTCAGAAGAAAAGATGATACCCTATATAAATTTTGAAAATCATCCTATTCCTGAAAATTCTCTATGTATTATTCAATAAGAACAACAGCGTTAGACAATAAATTAAACTGATACAAATTTGGTCTGCACTCTATAAATGGTGGAATTAGGAAAGAGTCATAACATTTTTGAACCCTTATCATAAAAACGATTATTGCACAGTTCAAAGTATTCTCATGATGAAGACATGAAAAAATAAGTAAATAAAATTGTCGAAGAAGATGAGTTTCTTGAGATTGGATCAACATCTTCAGTAACTGCAATTAGAAGATCAAAATACTATAAAAAATTTGAGATAATAACTATTTTAATGAAATCAAAGAAGCAATCATAAAAGATTGTAAAAATGAATAAATTCATTTTTTTGTATATATTTGTAATATTACTGGGATTGATAATAGTAAACTATAATTCTAATTATTTAATAGCAAATCTTAATGGTTTAAAACTTGGAACAATTTATCGAAGATATCAAAACATTATCAATAAGATATGATGTTGTCGAGCCTTATGAATCCTTTTATGTTTCTAGATTTTCTTAGGTTAATTACAGAGAGCAATTAGGTGGGGGGTTTATAAATGCAAGTGTTTATGCTTAATTGACAAAATATCCATTCTCCACTTTTGGCCTTATGTATGATCATCTACGAAATAGCATGTACAGTGTATTAGAAAGAAGGGAGATCGATTAACTATCAGATAATGAGTTTATAACAATCAGTTTTTTGAATAAATCATATGTTGGGTATACTAAGAATGTTACTATCAGATCTTTAGCAAATATATTGATGAATTATTAGTATGATTTTAAGTTGGGATTAACTATTCGTAGTGTGGCGTTTGATAGTCCATTTTTTTACTTTACAAGTAAGAACTATCTAACAATAAAACACACATTTGATGGTTTAAATAAGATTGTTTTAGATGCTACTTTACAGAGATCTTAATTAGAGAAGGAAAAATGGATATCCGTGTTATTACCATTTATCACGATAAGTTTGTTTTTATGCATCATAATAATTAATAGTTATAGAGAATATAATTAAATAATGAATTCAATATTTTAATATCTCATGGATTTGGATCAGTAGATATTGGATGGAGAAAAAAAGAGACTTTAAAAGCATTTGAGTATAGTAAGTAATGAGTTAGAGATAATTAAGAAATTTGAGTTTGATATTGAAGCTATTGATGCTGAATTTGAGGAATAAAATATTGTAAGTAATAGGAATAATTCAAAGAGAGATGGAAAGAGATTCAAGATTAAGAATAACTTTTTAAGAACAACAGCTGCAATAGGATTTATCCATTTTTTGTTATTTCTCACATTCTATATGACTATATATTTGATTATTGAAAGATATTTTGAGAAATATGATCAAACATCTATCATTTTTTAAAGGATTAGTGATCTTGGAGTTGATATTCCAACTTTATATGCTCAAAGAGAAGTTTTATATAGAAGGACTCTAAGATACTTTTTTTTAACAGATGCTGAAATTGATGGAGTGTATGATGTATTTTTTTAGGCATATAATAAAGTAGAAGAGTTCACATAATTAAATATTGATTTAAGTTCGGATGACTATTTATTTGATGAAAATGCTGTCAATTTTTATTAGGCTATTAACATAGGAGATTTGTGTGAATATTAAACTGAATAATTTAAAGAGCTAGCTAATTCAACTTGTGGATTGGCGATGAATGGTAACTTATTAAAAGGATTATCATAAATCTTACCATACATTTTATATACTTTAAAAACCTAATATGATGATAGTAAAAACTTTACTATTTTACCTACAAACACTAGACTTGAATTGGAAGGAGCAACTATTATTGGTAATGTAATGTCAACTGTAATATCTGAACTTTATGATAATCTACTCATTTCTTGTTTAAAGTTGATTAATTTCACTTAGATACCATGTATAATTTTCTTAGTATTTCAATCTATTTGTATAGTGATTTACATTGCCATTATGAATGAAAATCATAAGTAACAATTTTAGTCTATTAAACAATCTATATTTTTATTTCCAAGACAGACATTAATTTTTGATGATTAGTTTTATAGGAATTTTAGATCAATCATAAAAGATGAAGGGATTTAATAATGAGATTAAATTTTAATTATTTATAATATATACTTGTGATGCCTTTATATGATGATTAATGATCATCCTATTTTCATCTCTACAGTGTATTTTTCTTTGAATAGTAATTGTAACAGTTCTGTTCATCGGTTTTAAGAAAATCTAATATGTAGAAATGTAAATTTTGAATATATCAGTATCCTCAATAATATATATTAGTATCTAATTAACTAATTCAAATTAATTTTAGATCAGAATTATTAAAAAATCATAAGATAAAAAAATGACTAAGTATTGTGATTGATTGAATTGGCGTAAATAATAATCAATATTATTTTGTCTATAGTAATTTAGAGAAGGCATCCATGCTATAGGATGACATTTTCTCCTTTTCAGTTTCCAAATCCTATAATTTCTTTTCAAGCTCATCCATCAACTCTATCTTGTCTCTTTTTGGTTGTTTGGACCGATTCATTTGATTTCTTGTATTCAATATATTTCCTTAAATTATGATTCCCTAATTTATGGTTTTATTTGTCCCCTATTCTAATTACATTTCCAAATATTCTATTTTTTCTAATGCCTCTTAGTATTTCTTCTGGAGATCATCTTAATCATCAGATTTTTATTTCGATCTTTGCAACTAAGCTTAAATATTATCTAAAATTTAATCAATAAATATACAAATTACTTGTTATGCTTTAAACATTTATTATTATGCTTTCCAAATTATTTGATTTAGGCCATTATAACAAGAAATCCCATTTTTCATAATTTTAAACTAATAATGACTTTTTAGGCATTCTCAATCCCAATTTATTGATTTACAATTCCTCATACATTACTTAATCTAAAGTATGTTGGGCATCTTCCAAAAGATATGCCAGCTGTTCAATAGTTAATTACTTTAATTAGTTTCTGCTTTAATCTTCATACTAACTCACTGGCACTAATTAAAATGATTAGATTCCTTCGTTCAACGGATATTTCTGAATCAATATCTACAAACACTGTTAATTCTTATATGCTTTCTCAAGAATAGAGTCGCATATCTCAACTTAAATTATCTATTTATTAATACATATTTCATCTATTAGTTGCTTCTTGGAAGTCATTAAACTTAAATATTTATAATGAAAATTAACAACACTATTATTTATAAAATGTCCAAATAGATCAAAAATTATTCAATCCTGCTTGTAATGTTTGGTAAAGTTTCATAAAGATGTCATAATCTTACTCCTTTGGTAGTTATTGCTGCTTATCTTATTCTTGTAACTACTTCCCCTCCTCAAATCTTTTTATCACTTCATTTACTAAATCCTCCAAATTCTATTTTTCTAAAACGTCCTTTGGTTATTATTCTGTTATTATTGGTTATTCTTATAACTTGGCATTTAAAGAACTTGCACTTCCTTGAAGTTACATATTGTTTTAATCTGATGCATGATTTTATGAAAATTATTGTTATTATTCTGTATTCTTTAGTTGCTGTATTAATTAATCAATTTCCTATGTTTTTTGTTCTAACTTCTATTCATATTCATTTTTAATATCTTCTATTTATTAGGTTTGTACTGCCTATACATTATCATTTAAATTTTGCATAATTCTAACAATTTCATTAAAAGCATCTTCAACATTATTTTAGTATTATATGGAACCACTTTCTGTGATTTCATTTTTTCCATCCCTATCTACTATTTGTTACTATTAATTCTAACAAATTTATTTTTTGATTTCGCCTAGAAGTAATTGACAAACTTATTCTATATGACCAGAAGACAACTATTATTAATGTTAAATATTTTATTATGGAAAGGGTGCTGCTTATAATTATGTAGGCTATTTAAATTAGATGGGTTGATTAGGTTATTAAAATTGTTATTAATATGATTAAACAGAATTTGGTGGAGGTTATAAAACTTGATTCATTTAGGGTTAAAATTGAAGATTGGTTTTGTTTTAAATATTTGGAATTATTTGAGTTTAAAATAATGGATTTATTGGTGGATTTCCTTGAGGTTATACTACATTATTTTATTAACCAGGACTTAATTTATTAGTAAAAGATTCTTAGACATCAGCTATTTTTATACGCTTGTATCGTTTATATTCCAACATTGACTTCAGATTTTCTTTAACATATGAAGGAACGCTTAGACTGTCAATTCTCTTTAAATAATATTGATTTGTTTCTTTATCTTTAAAATCTTTGATTTTATTTTTTAGATCCTCAATTTCAGCTAAAATTTCAGATAATAATTGATACACGAAACAAAAAATGACTTGCCAGCAAGGGTCCAATAAATTACACAACCTAAGGACCAAGTATCTACAGATTAAAGAAAATCAGGTTTTTAATTTAAAATTTCTGGAGCTTAATATAATATCTATTGAAAATCTTTAATTTAATGTTTTTTTGAATCTTATCCTTTTATTGCCTACCAAAAATTAATTAATTTAAATTTATTTTCTATAAGGATGAAGCTCTCTGGTCTGATTTATTTATGAAATATACCTTTAGAATTCATAAATTTAATAGATTTAAAGAGCTAATGATTTTAGAGAATAATTACATCAGTGCAAATTTCAATCCTTTTATCCATAGATATATTTTCGTTTTTTTAAATATAATCATATAGATTAGATTCCCCCCTCTCCATAAGTATTGTTTAAAAATTTGAGAATAAACCTGTTTCATAAATCCTAATAATTCCTGATGTCTTAATTGGATCGTTGTCGTTCTTCTCTTAATGATCAATCAACTCCCGAATAAGAGATTTTTCCTAATCAGACATAGCTTTATAAATTCTTATTGCAAACAATTAAGAATTATTGTTGTTTGTAGGTTAAGCATCAAACAAAGCTTCATTTCCATCTTGGTCTAAGAGTTTTATAAGTTAAAATTATCCATTTTTAGTAAAATTCAAAGTCTTTTTCTCTAAAGGTGAAAAGTTTGTGGAATTCTATTAATTCATTTCAAGGGAATTATTTAATATATATTTTTATTGATAAATTTGATTAGAATGAATGATTTAATTGTTCCAATAGTCACAGTTGTTTTAAGTCTTATATCAATTCTAAGTTGTGGATTTGTAATTTATATTTATGGAAGATTTAGAGAATTAAGGAATGATCAATTTACTATTGTATTACAGATTATTTTATTCGATCTGATATATGATCTCATACTATTTAGTGACTCCATTGGATACTTATTTTTGAGAAACTCTACTTTTTAATTGAGTGAGAAGCCTGTTTTATGTCAGGCACAATCGTTTTTCTCTGTCTATAGTGTTTTGTCAAGCACTTTTTGGACTTCAATTATTATTCATAGTTTGTATATTTCTTTAAGAGAGAGTGAACCTAATTAGTATATGCAGTCATATTATCCAGGATTAGGCTATGGAATACCCCTATTAATATCTATTATGTATGTATTGTTTGTGAAAAAGTCCAATAATTATAGATGCATATGGTCAATACTACCCAATGCCTCAAACAAATTGTTTCTTTGATATCTATAACGAAAATATGGAACTCTATATCTTGGTATTTTTTGATATCCCTATATGGACAATGTTCCTATATAACATTATTGTAATAATCCTTGTGATCAGAAGAATCAATTAGAATAGCACTATAAATTAATCTTTGTATTCCTTATTTATGTATCCTATGATTTTGGTTATTTGCTGGATAATTGTATAATAATATTTTTGATATTTAGCCTGGTTTTGTGAATATTATTGGAGTCAAATCAGTAATATGGAAAAGCATTAATTTCGGATTGGGAAGTTTGATTGGTTTTTTTGATGCTTATTGGTATTGCTACACTTCCTTGTCAGATAGATTGACTTTCGAAAATGGAAAAATGATACTGCGTATAAAAGAGAATGCTGAAGAATAAGAATTACCTAAAATTTGAATTATCTTATATAATATAGAAAATTTTAATTATCATCTATTTTTATTACATTGATAGTGATTAATAATTTGATGTTATTATAGAAATCTAAACTTAATGAAATCTATCCTATTTTGACATGAAATGAAAGTTATTCGAATTTAAGTTTAAATCCAGAATTTTTGTGATTATGAAGTTCTATATTTGTTATCATATAATATTATTGATAATTACTAAGAAATTTGAATATGAAAGACATTATTTTAGAGATCACTTATTGAGATGTTATGAATTCTAATTCCCATTCTGCATTCCTAATTCAACTAATACTTGGGAATACATATACAAAATTCCAGAAATTGATGAAACTATAGTATAGATTTACTCTATTAAAAGCATCAAGAAATGATTGATAATCCATTCGAAACTAAATCTGATAGTTTCTACTTTGTTGGAGATTAATTAGTTATGCAGAATAAAGCTGAATATGATTACTCTGAATGAAATAATTATATTGGCATTTATTTGTAATAAGAATCATTATTTTTATTTAGCTTCTCCTTTCTTTTTTTATATTTTAATCTTTATATTTATCTCTAATTTGCCATTGGCCTTTCATTTATGTAGTCAACCTTATATATATTTTAAGCTTGTCTATTTTTTATAAATCCTTTATGAATTCTATTTTTCTTAATAGGCCAATTCTTCTAACACTAGTAAAATATATATCGCTATATTTTAGTAACCCAATCTTCACAAATTTTTCTGATTATATTAACTCCAACAAAAATAATTAAGTTTTTTTATTTTTGATATAATTCATAAATCTAAATTCATATTATTAATTACAGATGGAAAACTACTGTTCCTCTGTAGATTTTTTGTTTTATTTTTCTATTATTAATTATTATTTTATAAATATGTATTTTCAATAATCCAATTCAAAATTAAATATAATTAGGAGTTTCTATAATAGGCTTTTAATATATAAACAACATTAATAAATGATAAAGATAAATACCCTTAATCAAAAAGAAATTTTATATTTTATTATTATCTAGATGATTAATGATTATTCTCATTAATTATTACTCATTTTTATGAGCAGGAGTTTTACAACGTCATTGCTAATATTTATCCAAAATTGTTTAACATAAATTAATTTAAATTTTATATTATAAAATCATTTTTGTTTTAATTTACATGTCTATTCATTTATTACTTAATTTAATCCAGCTGATTCGTAATTGTTATAAGTATTATAATCTTAATAATAATAATCTTCTTCAAATAGAGATCTTTCTTCCCTATCTTTAATTTAATCCAAATCATAATTTAATATCTTACCTTGAAACAATATCTCCATAATTTTTTTTTTCTTTATAGTATAATCCTTATCTTCTTTGTCGTAATATAATACAAAAAACTAGTTGTCATATTCACGTGTCTCAATCTCGACAAAAATTGGTTAAGAGATTAATGTAGTGTAAAGCAAATATTCTTTAGACACAATTAACTGTTAAATAATGTACTTAAATGTTTAATTTATCTTACTATCGATCATAAAAGTATCACAATCATATGGACCAAATTACCTTCCACATTCACATATAGGATCATCATTTAATTCTAATTTGATAAAATGTTTTAAATTATCCTACCAATCATCATCATTTAAACATATAACACTTTAGTAATAATTTATTGGATTTCTGATATGGAATTCCTAAAATAAATATAAATATTCATATCTATATTTCGGGTACTTATTAGTATTTTCAAATGCAACAAATCCTTCATAATAAAATCCTCCTGGCTTTCTGGAATTCTACACAAATAACCCTCTTCTTTTTTCATATTTTATTTTGTATTAGATATTATTTTTCGTAAATTATGAACTTATTTTTTTACCAAAACTCGTCCTTTTTGTTTTGAGTTAGTTATTAATCTCAGCATTAAATAATTCTAACTGAATTTCATCGTTTTTCTCAAACAAAACTACTTAAAATTGCTTTAATTTTTTTTATTAAATAGCTGTAGAAATTGTGTTATGAAATAGGCTATTTTTGATTAAGAATTGTATTTTATGATCTATTTTATGGAAGTAGATAGTTTCTTTATTATTTTCTATTTTACAAATTCCAAAATTAAGCTAGTGTGGATATAGAAGTATTTCAAACTTAGCATTATTCTGATGTTTTCTAATCAAAAGCTATCGGAGTTTCCAGAATAATAATATAACATAATATTCATCCGCATCTATTTTTTATATTTCATCCAAGGCATTTTCTGATTTTGAAATTTTCTCAACAATTACCCAGAAATCACAAAATAAAGGGTTTAATATCAGTTTATCATAAAATAAAGTTTTAAAAGGAATTTTAAGTGCTTGATTCTTTACAACATCAAATGACATTTGCAATTTAAAGGCATTAGGAACAATTACTCCCTTTATTTATTTCAATTAATCTTCACATAATTTTTTAAAAGCTTTTCTTGCTGCTTCAATTAGCTTTTTTAATTATTATTTGCGATATTTTGGTTATTCCAATTGAATGTCTTCAGAAGTATCAAGCTCAAAGACTTAGCCGTAAGAACATGTTGTATTGAGGTGATTAAGAATTTTTTTTATTAAATCTTCATCTTTCGACTAAGAATTGATCATATTACTACTAGTTAATAATTGTATTTTATTATGTGCATTTACCATTTTTAACATTATAAATATAAATATATATGAATGCAGAGTTTCTCTAAATGTAACAAGTGATTCTGATCGCTGTCTATTTAAATGGCAGTTTAGAATCATTTTAAATCGTTTAAATATCTCTTACCTAAATTTGCTTTGGCTAGTTTATTCTCTTGATTCTACATATTGTTCATTCTTTTTCATTCTAAATATTATAGCTTATATTTAATACTTCCTTTTCACCAAAATATCTGAACCAAAGTGATTTCTTGAATTAGGTATATTTGTAAAGATCTTAAATGCTCAACTTTACTGATTTAACATTCTTAATTTAAATATCACTTAAAAAATCTTCATATATTTGAGTTTAAGATAAGTTGATTTTCATTTAACTTTTCTCTGCCTAAGAATGGATTCAATAATAATTCTAATTTGAGATTATACTTTAATTCATTAGTTATTTTTTGGTTAATTATTATTGTAAATATTGCTTGAGATTAAAGATTACTTTATTTAAAGTAACATCCTTCATTATTACTATTATTAATATATTTAGTCCTCATTCAAAATGGATGGTCCTTCAATGTTTTTATTTTGAATCTGAAGAAAATTTTATCATATAATTAACAATCAGTTTTCTACTTATTGCTTGGCTTTTCAATTGTTAACTTAATAAAAGAATGAATTTTTAGACAAATTCGCATATTTGGTTGAAAACTAAGCATTTTATAGGATTTGACTTTATTTTTTTTTTTACTTTTTTAATAGAATTAATAATAAACTATCATTCCAAATTTAAGGGCATTTTAATCATCTTCTTCCAGCACTCATCTATAAGAATGATTCCTCTAATTTGGATCTCTTAATTTATTACACAAATTAAAAGCATATAAGTTATATCCATTGAATGCAGTTGGAAAAAACATGCCTAATAGGGCACTTATTTGTAGCCATGATGCATTGATTATAAACATTCCAACTAACATCAAAAACATAAATAACTAAGCGAACCAATATATTCTGCTATGAATCATTTGAACTTCTCCTTTCTATTAAGATGAAGTCTCAAAAACCCAACTCTCATTTCCAAAATCGATCAACCCACCAACGTAGTCTGACTAATTTTCCTAATTTAACTATTTTCTTATAGCTTTAATTATCCAAAAATCTATTGAGTCCAAAACTATAATTGTTTCATATAGCCTCTGATATTAAGGAGTAAAATATAGAGTATCAGAATAATAAATTTGAAAATGAAGCATAGCATACATCATAAAGGATTAGGAGATTCAAATATGTCTATATTTGCACTCTAAAACAGTTCATAATTAGCAAATGCTAAAGGATTCAAATTTACACTCAATCTCAACTAATATTATTCTTTCTCATTCCAATATTGTTTTGCATTTTTAAATTCATCCTTCAGTGATTTATGATGGATTCAGCTATGCTAGGACCTTATAAACCTCCTAATTAAGGGGGTTTTATGAAATTTAATGGAGACTGTTCTTCTCTGGTTTGATTGATATAACAGTTAATTAATAATATTATAATATTGTAATTATTGTAGATAATGACAATCTAATTGTAATTATTAATTTAATTTGAGATTTCTTGATAGTTTTCTTACTTATATGAAATAGGATAAAATTGCTTTATAATCAAAAAGAGACGTAATTTTGTATTAATAAATAATATAAAAAATTTATTAATCAAATATGGATTAATAAGTATAAGAGACATAGATGCATTATGAAATAATTATTAGTGAAGTGATTATCAAGTTAAAGAAAAACTCAGATAAAGGGTAACTATAAATGAGCGAGTCTGAGATATAAACTTTTAAAGATGTATAAATTTTTAAATACTTTTTAGCTTTGGTAAAGTAGTTTAAAAGCAATTTAAAGCGGCTAAGAATATAGATTGAAAACAAAAGTGTCTCCTTAAATAAAGCAAAATATTGACGACCCTATCGAACAAGAACCTGCTATAGTTAAGAAAATTAAAACTAATGTAGATACTTAAATCATAAAAAAAGTTTATATTCACCCTATCTTTATTTTAGGAAGAAGCTGATGTAGAGTTCACTGATGACTCTGGGGATGAAACTAGTTCAAAAGAAGAAAAAGTTGAGGATTTGAAAGCATCGAAATATTTGGATTACCAAATCTCAAAAAATGAGAGTTTGAGGGAGAAAACCCTGTTTGACAAGATTAGAGAGTTAGATCAATTAAAAAATCTTATAAAAGTGGAAGAAGAAGATGATGGCGAGACAGAAGAACCAAGAGTATTTGATACATAAGTCTATGCATAAAAAATTAACACTGAAAATGCAGTTAGTCGTATAAGAGTATTCTTACTTCTTTATATAGCCAAATAAATCTCAAAAAATGAGTTTAGAGTATGTTCTTATACGAGAAAAAAACAATTAGGAAGCCATATATCCGTAAGCTCAATTGTTATTTAATTTTAAAACTAATAAGAAAAAAAACTCTTAATGAAATTGTATTTATTTTTTGTGATTTTGTTTTAATTAAACAATTTTCATTAAAATTGCTTTTTTTCACATTCTTTCTTCCATCCTTTACAAATACTCATGACACCTTCCATTCCCTCTTCTCCTTTTAATCCAGTTTCTAATTTTGACAAGAATTAAGTTAATTTGTCATTCTCATCTTTGTTAAGTTCTTTTTTGTATTCATACAAATAGTATTCTTTTCCATCCACTTTTGCAGAACTTATCTAATACTGTATTTCGTCTATTTAAAATTCCTCATCTTCTTTTTTTATTTATTAATCCATCTATTTTATATTAATATTATTAATATTGAGTAAATTTTATCATAAAAATTGATACTCATAAATATAAGAATTTTTAATTATTCTGTGAATAAATCTCATTAAATAAATTATGGAATGCAATTTGATAATGATTGGAGATCAAAAGGTTGGAAAGTCCTCCATTTTGTTAAGGTTTGCATATGATTACGCATAATATAGGTTGTCCACAAACTAATTTTCTGATTCGTATGAACCAACTATTTGGGCTACAGTCAAAAAAAAAATCGACATTAATAACATCTCAATCAATTTGAATTTCACAGATATCTGTTGTCAAGAACATTATTTGTCAATTAGAAAAAACTCTTATATTAACAAGGATATTATTATAATTGTTTTTGATATCAATTAGATTGCAAGTTTCCATAATGTTTTATAACATGTAAGATATATACTAATCATAATAATTAGTGGAACTAAGAGACTTGTCAACTTAAGAATATAAAAAAGATAATTATAGCGAATAAAATTGATCTGAGAGAAAATGATGAGTAGATTGAAGATTATAAATTATAAGTAGAGTATATCTTAGCTTAAGGTTAAAGAATCATTCAAAGATTGCCATTTTTTCTCCTGTTCAGCCAAAACTGGAGAAAACATAGATGAGGTCTTCAAAGAAATAGCGAAAATCTTAATAGAATCATCACCAAAGAAGAAAGAGGAACAATTACATAGAGAAGAATTTTGTTCTTGTTTAATATTTTGATATATTTATTTATTTTCTTCATCCATAATTTGATAATAATATTTCAATAATAATAAATATATATATAAATCATATTAAAAAGTAAAGGAAAAGAGTTGATATATGATATTCAAATCTAACGAGGAGAATGATAATAATATTTTACAATTCTTAACTATGAATTAGATGTAATTATGAATGTGCAAATATATTTAATAGATTATTGAAAGGATATTTTCATTAGGAGTATACTTTATATTGAGAATATTTAATAGTCACATAATGTTATAAATAAAACAACTTATGTGCAAATTTTCTCATCAGAATTTTAAATAGAAACAGTATCAATATCATTAAATTTTTTTGTATAAGAAAAAAGATATATTTCTAAATTACCAACGTGTTGCTGATATCTTATAAAGCTATTGAATTTCAAAGCAAAAAGTTGAAGATTCATATAAAGATGTGATTCTAAATAAGCCATCAATAATTAGTTTGCTTTGAATTTCTGAATCCTATCCTAATAGTTTGTTATACAATTGTTATGAACATCATTGTAATTATATTTTTCAAATATCAATTCAAGAAAATTCATAATTGTACAAATATTGTTTTAATATAGTTTGTATTGATGATTTATTCTCTTATACCCTTATATTAATATTATTATTGTTTAAAATCTATATGATAGAAAATAGTTAACATCAAATAAATTATTTTTGTCATCTTCATAATCAAATAAAACTACCAGTCACAGAAAACATGGATATTAAAATGCTTGGATTTAATACAAAATCATCTATCTTAGTTATAGGTAAAACAGATGGTAACATGTAAATTTTTTAATTTAAATGTGGGGATTTAAAATTTATTAAAGAATTATATGGTCAGAGATCAATAGCTTCTAGTATAATTTTTACAAGGAAATCAAATCAAATTATATTTGTGAATAATAAGATGTAAATATATTCTGAGGTTGGTATTGCTCGAGGATCTCATATATTTCAAAGTGATTTGCATAAACCGAATTGTTTAATACTCAATAAAGATGAGAATTTATTAATTTATTCTAGAAATGATAGAACTATTAGATTGTTGAGGAAACATAATAATTAATGGAGTTTTGATTAAAAATTTGAAGTTTCTCACTATGGCTATATAATAAGTTTAAGTCTTAATGAGTCTGAAAATTTTTTAGTATGCTTATCTGAATTTGAAAATAAAATTTTTATTTGCCAAAAGAATCAATTGACAAATAAGTGGTCTATCTTTTAAACATTATATTATAAGGAGAGTCAGGCATTGTAAGCTTGTTTTGTTAACGATTCTATCTTTATTTTATAATTATACAGAGAAGAAAATTTTCGATTTTTTCATCAGAATTAAGGGAATTAACGCTTTGAACTATTTAAACCAATAATATAAGATAAATAATGTAACTCACTTAAAATTCCTCAACGATTTTAGTTGTAAATGATATAATAAAAATAATTTTTAATGTATCGATGTATCGAAAAAGATAATTGTATCAACCTATTATTGATTAAGCAGCTAAAATAGTTTTGAATTACAAAGGCTGATTCCTCTAGTTGATTCAAATTTCATCTATAGAGCAACAGATGATGGTTAGTATTTATTAATTTGGTAAAAAAATTATAATATACTACTCGTATTACTTTTGAAGGAAAGTTGAATCATAATTTAATGCTTCTATTTATAAGATTTGAATCCTTGATATTTTCAAATGTATTTGAAGTTTTCAATTAATTAGTTTAGAATTAAATGATCCCTAAAGCTTTCTCAAATTTTCATGATCTTATTCTTTTATTATTAAATATTTTATGAATTAACTATCTTTTTTAGAAAATAATGATAATATTGAATAACCGATAAGTTTGAACCTAATAGATAATACAAATTAATAAAGAGATTTTTGTTATGCATTATCATTTAATAATGATAACACAATTCTTATTACAAACTCAGAGAATTTAATATTAATATGGAAGTTCGAATTTGGTAAAATGGAATTAATCTAAAGCGTTTCTGGACACACAGAAGATGTTAATTGTTTAATATTTAGTAAAAAGACCAATAATTTTATCTCAGGATCAAACGATAATTGTATTAGATGTTGGAAATAAGTAAGTTCAAAAGAATGGGTAAGTTCATAAGAATTTGAACGTAATAGTTATATATACACATTAAAATTGAATAATAAAGAAAATCAACTTATCTCAGGTAGTTTTCATGGTTAAATAAATGTGTGGAATTTAGATTTTGATAGTGGTGAGAATGAATTGAAACTTATTTAATCATTAGATAAACATACCAGCACAGTCTATGATTTAAGTTTGAATTAATCTGAAACTTAATTTATCTCATGTTCTAAAGATAATACAATAATAGTTTGGGGATTAGGATTAAATAATTATTGGGAATTTAAATATATTGTTAAATAATCAATAGATGATTTTGGATGTAAAGTTCATTTTATTAATGATGATTAATTTATTTGGGTAAGTGGAGGTTAGGAAAGCTAAGATTGTATATACACCTTTGGATTAAATAAAGGAGTATTCGAAGAAATTCCAGAAGCCAAAGTTTAGCTAATAAAGGATATAACTAATTTTGACATATTTTAATTTCCTATTATTTATTAGGAATAGCAAAATATTATGATAATTCGACATAAAACACATATCTATGTTATTTAAAGACAATTGAATGGAAAATTTAAGATATGTTATCAATTAAATTATTAAACAAACGTGATCTTTGGAACATTAACAAATGATTCTAAATATTTAGTAGTCAAAAGTAATACTAACAATAAATATATGATTTATGAAGTAATATTAAATTGAATAATCATATTTTAATCAAACACTTTAATACTCGCAAAATTCAACTACATATATTTTCTATACAATTTTAATAGAATTATAATAATATTTTATATAAAATAAAACAACTTAGCCCAATAATTTAATTAAGTTAATGTAAGATCGTAAGTAAAGAGCAGATTCATTAATTGGCCAGAAAGGATGACATCGTTATCTATGGTGAAAAATCTAATAATGCTGGTGGAGCTGCTGGTTGGCATAAGTAAGGCTATTTTGTGCAAGATCCCAATGATGATGCTGGTATAATTACAAATGGATCACATGTTGGAGGGATAATTAAAGTTGGATAAACAGTTTACGTTTACATACTCCTGGGGCTAACAGTGAAAATTCCATCAAAGCATACCCATCAGATTTTATAAAATATTTTATAAATTATGGAACAGAAAGAAAGTTATGAATAAACAATCAAAATTTTATCAACATAATTATTAAAATAAAAAACGCATGGATGTATAACAACTATTTAACTAAAGTTGGACATAATAATTACAAATTTAATATCCTAAAAAGGGTTGACTTATACAACAGAAGTTTAAGAATATTGTATCCTTGACTTTCATATAGGCTCCATTTTTAGTCAAATGAGCTGTTGGAATAAACATACCAGCAATTAAAGCTTTTTGGTTTTAGTGTAATATAAGGCATTTGATGGATCAGTTTTAGTCAAAGAAATTTATTACTTTTACATAATTTGTCTTATTTAAACCTTGATTTTATCTGCTGATTTTAAACATCGATAATTAATGAAATTTTGATATAACCAATCAGAACTTTCATTGTGATCTTTAAATTATTAAACAAATTTAAGAATATAATGTGATCTCCATCTTAATGTATAAATTGATATCTAGCCTCATCAGCTTACTATTATTAATCCTTTGGTATTTAGAATACTTTTTTTTTGTACTTACTCTAAAATTATATTTTTTACTACCGATTTCTCTAATATCAGTTTTCTAAAGTTTTGATTTGGTAAATGGTAAATTCTTATCAACAAACATTATTTTAGAAAATTAATATTTTATTATATTTTTGGTAATAATTTCAATGTAGCAATCATCTAAATATATATATATAAAGCAATCATTGTCCATTAATTTCCATAAAAGCTACTTTTTATTGTTACTACTTTTCAATTATCTTTTATAAGTTTGTCTGTGTTCCTCTTAGTTTTCTAAATTTAAATTAAAATTTACTTTCTTATTTTGGAATTGTCTTATTTTATTTCATCTAGTTCATGAATCAGACCAGATACAAACAATAGCGATTCACTCCTTGGATTTGAACTGAAATGAGTATGAGTTTTAGATAGAGTAGTTTTTGTGCTCCTTAAAGGAGATGATTGCATAGTAAATTATTTACCAAATGCGGTCAATCCTGCAACATCTGGTAGACTTGAAGCCCATTTCTTAATGATATCTTTTCGTAGTTTCTTTTCAGCATCTTTAGTTTCTAATTTCTTCTTATACTCAAATTCAGTTTTTGATGTAAACTTGTAAGAAGGAGGGACTTCTTTTTTATCATCTTGTTCTTAATCCCATTCCCAATGAGCATACCTTCTAAGAACTCTTTTGGAAGGTTCTAAACTTTTTTAAGTTAATATAATTACTGAGATTATTTGAGATATTTATAAAGATCGAACTTTGGTATTAACTCGGTTATTTACATAGAACCTATTCTTGTTCTTGTACATATTCCTTTTAAGACAGGGCCAAGTCTTCTTGTCATCGATCAATTCTTATTATCTAAATGCAAATTTAGCAAATGTGACTTTACGATCTTGAAGTGTTGATTTCAATTCGTTAAATTCTGAAACATTTTTTTTAATATGAGATAGTTGAACAAATTTTTAAGCAGATTTTTCATCATTGATAGTCTTACCTTCAATAACATCTTTCAATCGATATTTACTCTAAGATTAATACTAAGCTAATTACCTTTTTGATGTTTTGCATATTAATAAATATAAATTTGTTATAATCATAATATTAATATTAGAATTATCGAATATATATGATATGCAAGAATAATATTGTAAGTTTCAAAATATTCTTAGAAACTATTTAAATGTACATATTTCTTGATTTTAAATAATTTCAGTGTCTATTTTTTAATTATTTCTATTCTGACATTCTTCGCAAATTTGTTATTTATTTCCATTTTAGCATTTTCTAGTATTAATTTAAGAAAACATACGCAATTAAAAGAAATATAATCAAAAGATGAAGCTCATTTATTAATAGATTAATTTTTGTTGTGTTATCACTATAAAGGCTCATTGTTCTACAGTCTTATTTTATTTACTTATAATAAAGTAAGCATTAAAATCCTATTTCAAATTTGAGATTAATCTAATGATATTGGGTTTTATACTCTTTGGACCTGAATATTGAAAATTATTGATAATTATATAATTATGTAATTAAATTATGAAATTCTTCAAGAAATTTATTCAAGTCCAAGAGTGAGGATTTAGAAAGTAAGATCATTGCAAGATAACCAGACTTATATTTAAAAAACATATCTATAAAATAAAAATGAAGGTATAGTTTATAATGATTGTGAGGATTGAATGCAATTAAAATGTTAGCTCAAATTAAGAATCAATTTGTATTATAAGTGATTGAATATCTAGAAAATGAAGAACAACAATTAGTTATAATATAAGAATACTGTGATTAAGGGGATCTTAAAACATTTACTTTACAACACATCGGTTACAGAATGCAAGAAAGTATAATTTGGTCTCTTTTCTTGCAAATGGCATATGTTCTTTTGTAATTAAATGAACTAGGGATACAACACAGAGTATTAATTCCTGAGAATATTTTACTACTAGTCAGAACTGAAGGGTATTAGATTCGAATTACCGATTTTCACAAATCATCAAGACAGACTCTCTGTTAATCCCCCTGTGCTGCTATTTATTTACCATATGAATACTTTTTTGAAGGACATTACACTCAAAAATCACAAATCTGGTAAATTGGTCATATCTTGTATTATATGGTATCACAAAATTTGCTATTCCCAACATCGACTCTAGAGAGTCAAGTGAAGGAACAATTACGAAGAGGTCGAATCTAAATCAATATCCCTGATACCTATTCTCCAGGATTAATATAACTAATCAATGTCTGTTTGACAATAAGAGAAAATCAAAGACCCAACATATTGTAGATTTTGAGGATGAAGGAAGTTAGAGAAGCTTTGGCAAGACCATATTATGAATTTTCATTGGATTAAAGGAGACATCTTATGTATTGGATTAATAGTTCGGAGACTGCTATTTCCAATCCAATTCAATACTCTTTTAATGAATTTGATTTGCATTCTCCAAGACAGATTCAAAAAGATGTAGTTGTCAAGAAGAATTTCAAAAATACTAAATTACCTGAGATCTTCTAGCAAAATTAAAATGCCAAAAAATCATCGACTGACAGATTTCCAGAATCTGATAACGCCAAAAGTGAAATCAAGAGAAAGGAAGATATGTATTTACAATAATAATTGTTGTCGAAAACCTATACAAATAAATATATCTAAGGTGTTGTCAAACCCATCAGTTTTCATAAGAAACAATAGGCAATTGCTAGTACTGAATTACCTAAATTTTCCATTCCTTATTAAAGATAATTAGACCCTGTGTTCTAAAATCTTCTGGAGAATAAAAAATAAGTTTGTGATCAATGGATCGGAGAAACTGAGTATATGTTCTTACGATCTTAGATTAAATTTAATGTATTGTATCATAATAGGTTTCTAGAAAACTGATAAATTACTCAATTACTTGCAAACAAAACATCCCAGAATTGACGGTAGTTTCATATTATAATAAATCAATGACATAGCGGATTTAGAAGAGCAGAGGAACCATTAGAAATTCAAAGTCTGAAATGTTATTTAATTTTAAATATTATTATGTGTCAAAAGCAGTTAAAATAAACTTATATATTATTTATAATATAAATGTCTTAGAGATTATTAAGAAAATCTCGAACTAATTTGGGTGAAATGAGTTAGAGCCAGAGTCATAGTCATACATCTCCAGTAATGAATGAAGACGGCTTGAGAAATTTCAGAATTGAATTTTCGGACTTATCCAGAAAAAGACTGAGTGATAGTGGAGAAGTCAAAGATCCCACCATCTATAGTCAGAAACGGAAATCAAGACTCTCTTAGTTTTCCAATTTCAATCCGAGACAAAGAGATTAGAGCGATCATAATCTGAGTGTGCATCAGTACACTGCTACTACGAAATAATATTATCAACTGAAGTGGAAGGAGCTAAGTGGATTGCCAAAACAAACAGATTTACAATAAATACTCAGGACTTTTCTGGTGAAACTAAAAAGAAATGCTAATATTTGGGATCAAATTAACAATAAGTATTCTTACTTTAAAGAAACTTATCTTCAAGATGAGGTTAGATTGCAATCATAATATATTTCATATATGAGACAATCATTTCATTATGTTAGATTACTATCACTTCTAACTGTGCCAATTCAGGCTGGAACTCTTTATATAGATCAATGGATTCAAGGTTTAGTAATTTTATTTTTGGTGATTGAATTTATTGATTAGTTACTCAAAATAAAATTGGTTAAATTAAACGTAGTTTGTAACTTCATTTACATAGCAAGTACACTTTTGTTAAATTTTGAACTAAATCAATAGGGTAAAATAGTCCTAATGATATTATCCTTGACTGGTGTTTAATATTAATTTTAGTGGAGTAAATGTACACTTGCAATCATACTCTTAATATATATCAATTATTTCGCTAATTTTTGGTTATTGATAAATGATAATGACAGCACTTACTTGGATTCCATTATTTGGACAATAAATAATTGTGTATAATATTCACTATAAATAGAAAGTTGCCATTTACTGCAGTTGATGCCCAAATAGAAAGCTACAGCAACAAGATTATCAGTGTGGCTTTTTAAATCATGTCCTTCTATTTTTAAATACTATTCATTTCAATTTTTGTGAAATTCTCATTTTCAACAAACGAGTACGTATCCATTATTTATATTCACTTAGATAAGAACTATTCATTGATTTTTTGAAGATCAATAAGGTTGATTAAAATCTTATAGATGAAGCACAAGACATATTGAATTCAAACGTTCATTCTAATGAATTGCAAACTGTAACCTATATAAATCTAATAAAATAGGTTAACAATTTGATGCAGTAATTACCAATCAATATTTAAAAACCACTATTCTTCTTAATCAAGAGTAAGAAACTCCAGGAAATTGAATTCTTTACTCAATATTTCTCAAAATAATCTATTGATGAAATAGCATTTGAATCAATATTAAAATTTTGCAAACCAAATGAAGTCATTGTAGAAAAAGGACAGCAAGATGAATATGTATATGTGGTCTTATAAGGGGAGATGGGGATATATGATAACAATATATACCTCCAAAGTCTTCCAATGAATTAGGCCTTTGGAATTGAAAACCTTATAATGAATCAAGGACACAATTTAACTATGAGAAGTAAAGGAAATTCAATCTTAATATAAATAAATCATACCAAATTTTTAGGAACCATCAAAAAAATCAATAGCGATTTAGAAACTTTTCACTCGATAAAAAATGAAGTATTGTTTATGAATAGAATCGAACTACTCTTACAACACTGTTATGTCTGTGGATCATATTAGCATCTGAGTTCTTTATGCAGTAGAGTGCATGTTAGTCTGAATAAGAATCTAGTTATCAGTAGACATTTGTATACAAGACCTTAGAAGAGAAGAAAGTTTGATAGGAAATGGGATCAGAGAGTGAATTCCCTATATAATTTCAAACTGGTTAGAAGTTGCGGAAGAAGACTAAAAAGGAATTATGGGATTGTCATGGGGGATGCTGAGGTCTATGAAAGAGGAGAGTAGGAGTATGACGAAGAGGAAGAGGAGGAAATCTATTAAGGACATCTTTCTTATAAAGACCTGACAAATCCATCAAGAGTAAGAATTTGATCTAATTTAAGAAGAGTGTTGAAGTAGTGTCAGGTCAAACTTTGAGAGATATTATCTATCATGATCACATAGACAACGAAGAATAGTTATAATATTATCAATAATAATGGCAATAGTAATAGGACATAAATCGTCATTAGGCAGTCAAATAAACCATATAAACAGCAGGATTTCAAAATGAAGACTTGTATTTTGGAGATGCAATTAACATCCCACTATAACACAAATAGTTTACTCAGAATAGCAATACTTTCAAATCTTCTAGTGGATAAACATACCAAAGTCAAAAGAGTCAGCAGGTAAAACAACAATAACAAAACTAATAATAATAATAACAATAAGGATAATAGCAAATCCCATTCTAGTCAAAAACATATGTTCAAAGTCCTTTGGGCACAAACCAGTTCTTAATAGCAAATAATAGGAATGCCTAACCAAAATTAACATTCTCTTATGACCCTTTCTATCATGAATAAAATAACAAACAAACTCTACCTCAGCCTTAGCCAGAATATCAAGCTATGGCACGACCTTAATTTAGATCATCTACCAATTATATTCCTAGTGGTCCTACTTAGTTACCTGTAGTTTCAGAAGAAAGAGATTCTTAATTGAACATTCCGTAGATGAATGTACCTTATGCATCAGCCATATCTATAAGTTCAGTTGGTATTTCGAGCATCGATGACATTTAAAGAAGGGATGGATAAAACAATACTTATACTGGGCCACGAAGGATGACTCAGAAGTAGACCAACACCATTACGAGTACAGTGAGTCCAGATATTTAGAAGAAGAAATCAATTTCTGGATCAAATTCAAGATCTTATTCTGCTTTGTCTTCTAAACAGAATCAGCATTATAGTGATTTAGATAATGTGATATTTAGATATGATGTGAAGGACAATTTCGACATTGATTAGATAGGAATATATTAGCAATTCAAACCAATGAACAACTACGATTGTGTGGTCAATTAAATCAAGATCTAATCTAAGAAATTAATTAAATAGAAGAAAATAAAATGAAATTTATACAAAATTAAATTTTAATTACATGTTCAAATTTCTTCTTAGGCCCTCATCATTGTTTTCCAAAAGAACAACCAAACTCAAGCATTTGATCTAATCAAAAGAATTGGAGTTTATCATGGAAGCTCATAATGGACTATCAGCTCTTATAGTGCAAGAAGCAGGTTTCAAAGGCATTTGGGCTTCAGGATTATCAATGTCAGCTTAATTGGGAGTAAGAGATTGCAACGAGGCTTCTTGGACTTAATTGTTGGAAGTCTTAGAATTCATGGCAGAAAGAACTACGATTCCAATATTAATGGATGGCGATACAGGATTTGGAAATTACAATAATGCAAGAAGATTAGTAAGGAAATTGGAAGAGAGAGGGATTGCTGGAGTGTGTTTTGAAGATAAGATCTTCCCCAAAAGAAACTCTTTGGGTGACGGGGCCTAAGAATTGGCAAACATTTAGGAATTTTCAAATAAGATCAAGGTTATGAACATCTTTTATTTTAGGCATGCAAAGACCATTAGAGGGATAAAGACTTTTAGATAGTGGCTAGATGTGAAGCATTCATTGCTGGATGGGGTTTGGATAGTGCCTTAGAGAGATGTGAAGCTTACAGAAAGGCTGGGGTTGATGCTGTTTTGATTCACAGTAAGAAAAGTGATTTTACAGAAATCGAGTAATTTTTAAAGGCTTGGAATAATCGATTGCCAGTTGTGTTGGTTCCAACAAATTATTACAAGACACCAACTGAGGAATTTAGAAAAAACAGTAAGGATGTGCCATTGATTTGTAGATGTAAGTTTGGCAATATGGGCTAATCACAATTTAAGGGCGAGTGTAAAGGCCATGCAAGACACAAGCAAACAAATATTTGAGAGACAAAATTTATTGGGATTGGATTAGATAGCGAGTGTTAAGGAGGTGTTCAGATTGTAAAATGAGAAAGGGTTAGAGGAGGATGATAAGAAATATTTATGACATAGTATTATTATTAAATGTTTTAATGAAATTCGATATATTAAATAAATTGCAATGAGCAGATCATATAAAATAAATTATAATATTATGTTGATGGCATCAATCAGACTTTGCTTTATTAGGAAATTTAAAGATATTTGAATAAATATTTGATAATAGTTTCTGCCATATTTTTATTTGTATTGATGGAATGTAAGTTAGGTAAATAGCTCTAGAAGATTTTGATCATTAAATTTAGATGGCAACTAAGTTCAGGAATAATCAAATGAATTTATTTCATTCTATAGTTTTTTAAAATATCCACTTCTTTCAGTTTGCAAGGACAACCTTTGGGATAATTATCATCAAAACTGTGATATTTGGAGTGACCATGAGGAGGAGCCTATGTTAATAGGATAACTATTTTTTGAGAATTTTTGTTGGACCAAGACAATTATTATTACTCGTGCAGTCCATCAAGTACAGCATTAGGATAATCTGATATGGCAGTGGCCTTTTTTGGTTTGACATCCTTGAGTTTTGATAGTAGAGTAGCAGAATCTGTGAAATCACTAAGGATGAATGTAGGAGAGGAGATTTCTTTATGAGGATGATGATCATGATACAAAATGATTGCGAATTTGGCCTTGCCTGAATTAAATTCTCCCTTGATACTATTACAAATAGATAACAATTTAAATGCGATTTGGATATTCTATTCATCTGTCCAATCTATAATCAAAGCAATATTGATTGATTTAATTTAATGAGAATTGTAGCATTCGAACTTGTGATTCATAGTATTGATACCTTTATCATGCCATGCCAAATAATTACAGAATTTGTTACATGTCTAACATTTGGCATTGCATTTTGAAATCTCAATTCTTTTACTACCTCTGATTGGTTATTCCCAGCCCAGGATTTCCCAAAACTATTTGCAGAGAACATGATCTAGATTATCTGAAACATGGACAGCCTTATAATATTTGGAAGTCTTATTAAGTTGTTATTGATAACAAAGAAACTCATCAACACATTCTACTGCATGACTATGTCCTCTACCTAGACGAATACAGTATTCATCACATGTTTCAGGTCTACAAAATTAGATATTTTCATCTTTCTCGTCCAATTTAAAACATGATTATTAAGGCTCTATCACATTATGATATATCGTATGATGAAGATTCGTGTGACCTGATTCTAAATAACAATAAGCTTTACATCCGGGACATTATTGATCACACAAATGTTTCCTATTTGAACAAGCATGTCCTAAATCATGACTGTTTTCTCCTATTGGAATTAATTTAAAACACTTTTCTTTCCTTCTGACCTACTCATAAATTGTCTATCCATATAATGAACCTGCATTAGACTTCCACATCTTCACTCTCTTCACATAACCATCAACTGTGCATATCCCAGGCAAATTGCATAATTTATCACATTAATGATGACAATTGCAAAAGTGCTCATTCTCTAATTCATGAGAGTGTTACTCTGAACACTGTCTTTAACAACCCAACGAACATGATTTATTACAATATCTCAAATTGCACATATGTTTATGTTCCACAAAAGGATCTTGAGTACATTGTTCAGCACAATATAGGCAAGTCTCTTAACACACATGTTTACTATAACAATAATGCAATGAATTATTGGAATGACCAATCCTCAGTATACATTGACTCTAACATAATAGACATTCTTTATCACATTAATCATCTTTTAAACCTTTAGAAATATGTTCTCCAAAATGTGATTATAATAATTCACAGTTCTTCTCTTCACATAAATGAGTATCACTCCAACAGATGTGTTACTTATTAAACTACTAGATCTACTCTTATTCTTTATTCACACTCTCCTATAACTCTATCATATTATTTAATTTCTTGATCCTCCCTTCTACATGATATATCTTCTATTGTATTTCCTTCAAAGCTGAAGCTCTCTAAACCATTGTACGATCTCCCTTAATCCTTGACAGACTTACCTGTAATTCTTATAAACTTAATCTTTCTGCTGCCTCAAATTACTCCAAATCTGCTCCATCCTCCAAATCTAATTGCTTCTAGATCATTTGGATCTTGGATTTCTTTTTCTAAATAATAGCTCTCACTTTCTCAATCTTAGTTCCATTCTTGCTTAAATGTCCATTATATTGAGTACACAATGCATAACACCTACTACATGTTTATCCACATAACTTATAAACATGTAAATGCTATTTTAACTCATTTTCACAATCTAATAAGATATTCTACTTCATATCTCTATCTAACTCATATATTGGGACTAGTTTTTATTCTATCTCCCTAGATATAATGCTTATGATATAACTAATTCTTTTATTTGCAAATGACTAAATCAATTTATCCACTCTCATAAACTTTTGCATAAAAGCAGAGTCCTATTCAATATTAACTCTTACGATATCTTATGCTTACTCCAACAATTTACTGAAATTATCTTCAATCGTCTGAGTTAATACTATTTATTATGATATATTGTTGCCATCCTCCTTCTTAATTATGTATGATGGCAATTCCAACCAATAGATATTTGACTATTCTTTTAACTTATGTATTTAATAGTTCAACTCATAATCCTAGACATTCCTAGTGTCTTTTACAGATAACTACAGCAAGGTGATCTTCATTGATGTAAATAGTGACTAAGCATCCTACCACCTGACAGTGTTTTTTGCATTTTCAAGGATTTACTCCCTGATTTGATTTACGTCTCTATCAAATTGTTCTAATTCAAAATAACTCATTAGTTGAGCACTCACTCCATTCTTCAACAATTACTTAAGCAATTCATTATTAGATGAATTAATTATGGAATCCATTTGACCATCTAATTCCTATTGAGCATTCTATGAACTAGCTTGATAAATGTCTCTCACCAAAATCATAAGTCTGCTTTTGAATAATTGGTTGCCTTTCAATCTAGTATTGGCTTCTATTAGATTATCAAAGAGCTCATTCAAATGTCTATCATAAGAAGAACATTGATTGAATATTGTCAAATCACTTATTGCTGTTAGAAAAGACAATAGAGTAATTTCCTCTATATTATTTCTCCTTTATCCAAACAATCCTTCACAATCCAAAATTAGAAATTAATGTCCTTGCAATTAAACTTAACTACACCAAATCCCATCTGTACACCTCGCTGATGAAACTCCAAATCTAATACCAAAGATTTAATTTAGCAAATAACTCTTACCACCAGATTGCTTACCCAAAATACTCACTACATAAATAGGCTTCTTGTAATCATCTAACAATTCCTCTATCATTCCAAAGGATATCTATTTCAACTATCTATCAATCTAAATACAATCAAAATTTTAATTTAATTTGTTCAATCCATCACTTAACACTATTAATCTCTTATATTCAAATGTACATAATTAGATCGGCACTCTTGATGATAATACATTAAGCAATGCTCTTGAATTTACACTTTTTATCTCAAACACTTCCTGTATATGTAATGTTGAATATTTCTACAATTAGATTTTGTAAAAACAATCCTAAATAATTTCTCCGCATTTTTATGAACAATAAAAGTTACTTTGAGTGTCAACAACATCTAACATGCTTGAGTTCTTGCCATACACTATAAATGATTATTTGATTAAGTCCAAAATGTAATTGGATGATTGTTTAAGGTAATTCTGATTGCTAGTCAATTTACTCTTCTTATTAAAGTTTTCCAATTGATAGAGTTCCTACTCATCTTCATTTTTGGCCAAAAGGATAAAACTATCGTATTGGTCACTAAATATGTAAATCTAATCTTATTAATATATTGATCTAAATTATATTGATGAAATTCTTGTATTATTAAAATCATATATATCTACTGATTGGATTTTAAATAATAAGTAAAACTTGCCTGATCCGCATACGATTAAGTTGTAATAGTCAGCATCAAATTCCTTTTCATTTACGAATCCCTCCTCATCTTGATAACTCTACAATTATTGAATAAATTCTTAATCATTAGCTGACCATTTGTATACTTTCTTGTCATCTGACAACAATAAAAAACATTCATACTCCTCAGAATAACTGTATTATATTATATAGATTGTCTCTTCCAATTCTATCACTCTTTCTGTGTCTATGCATTCCTTATCCTTATTCAAGGTCGAAATCACAATCCTCTTTGGCAAATTAAACTGATATAAGGTTTATTACTCTAAGGCATAATAAAAATAAGGATTATTTAAGTCAGTGTAAATCACAACCAACACAGGTTTCCTGTTTTCTTATAATAAATATACATGATAACAATTTTTCTTAGATTCTACCATGATACATTTCATTATCAATAGATAGTCACTCTACTTTCCTTCATTTAAATTATACAATTAAAAGAAGTCAATCAATTAATAACTATGATAATTTTATTATTAGAATTTAGTTTCCTTCTCCTTCGAAATATTCATGTCTTTGTCCAAAAATTCGATTTTCTTAAATGTATTGTCCATATTTCTAAAGATCTTAAATCTCTATAGTTTCATCTCCACAATGAATTCTTGACCCACTCCTTATTCTATCTCAATCTTCTCCATTATCCACTTAATCTTTCTGTTCACAAAATCCTACATCTTTGAAAACTCTCTATTGATATACTTAATGACAATTCTGATCAATTTAGCTAATAATTCCTTTGATTTCATTCGTATGTTGGATGTCTTGACCTCTTTGATCAATTCCGGACCCTTCAGCACTTCAGTATTATCTTTGAAAGAATTCAGTTTTCTAAAAGCATGATTTAAGAAGAACTTAACCAATTTTAAGAAGTCGAACTCTTAAGGTGAAAACTTCAACTGCAATTATTAATATAAACCATTTTCAACACTATCTTTGAAATGCGAGAAATAATGAGTCATTGAAAACATCACATCCTTATTTATTTTTTAAACATATTTTCTTTCTAAGATTGGATTCGGGAATTCTAATTCCTCGTTTAATCTCCCAAATAACATGATGTTCTTCACCTAGTCTTAATAATAGGATTCCACTAGCTTAAAATACTCCTCCTATTTTAGATCATAAAATAGTATAGAGTTCTACGAATTCTTATAATATAAGTTATAATTTTAGATTTGTTTTATGGCTAATTTCTACTAGACTTCAACACAACGACAACTATTAGAATTAATTTCTTCCGATTAATAATTCTACATTTTGTTCCTTAAGAGTTGACTATCCTTAATCGGAATCCATTTCTGAAGTATTTTTTCAGTCGGTAAGATAATAATGTTCTAGCATAAATCAATTAAAATTCTATTTCAAATAAATTAAATACCTAAATAAATTAGTTTCAATTGATTCCACAACTTAATCAACCTTTTTATTTTCAGGTATTAGATAACAGAACACTAATAAACTATCCAATTTGATCATCCCAATACAGGCTTAAGTATGATTCGATAGTTCAACATCAAATTAAAGGTTAGCATTGTATCTTGTTGTCATATAATTAATTATTGTTTCTAAATATCCGTAGAGTCCAAGAATGTTTAGGGCTTTATCTTAATCAGACTTTAATTAATTTAATAGTTATTTAATGTTCGATTTAATTTAAATCTTATCTTCGCTATACTCTTCAGTAAGATCTTTTTAAATTGTAAATGCCGTCTCAAAGTAAAAGGGCTGAGAGTTCATGTCTAAATAAATTCAGGATTTGATAATAATATTGGAAAATAAAAAAATTGTGGATTTGATTAATTCCTGATAAAAATTAGACATGATTATTTCTGTAAATATAATAATATTTATTTTATAAATATGGGATATTAAGCATATTCGCCTCCTATCGATACAAAGCATTATAGTAATTTAGCAATTGTACTAACCTTTATTGGATTCTGTTTCCTATCATATTTTGTCATGTACAACGAATTAATTACCTTAGATACCAAATTACATAGAATAAATAATAAAGATCATTGACTAAAGAATTATCAGTAGGATTATTTGCTTCATTATTTTTATCCTCTGGAACAATGTTTAGTTTTTTAGCATTAGGATTGTATTTTTGAATGAAAATTATATATACAATTTAATATAGATTTCAATTAATCAGATGTCTTCAAAGTCCCATCCTGATAATTAATTATTCTCCTCTTATTATTAACCAACCTAATCAAAATCAATGATATTATCATCCAAAGGTGTTTCTTCCTTCAGAATAACTTATTTTATTTCTTGATAAGTATTGATTTATACTAACACATCATTCAAATCATCATCAAATTATAGATCTGGTGTATCTTAATCATCTGTTTATTTTTATTACTCTTATAAGTCCTCCATTTTAATCAGTTGGGTTTATTAAGTTATGTTTTATCCTTACAACTCAGGATTAAGATCTGATAGTTTTAAAGATAATATATTTTCCTTCTTTGTGCTGTCATCTTCTATCTAACTCTCTCCCTCTAAATAAATGTTTTACTATTAAATTTAGTTATTATTATTTTCAATAGATTCATTGGCTGGTTCTTCTGATAACAATTCTTAATCTTTTCCATTCTGAAAATCAACTCCTTATCCATCATTATTATTATTATTATTATTATTCACACTATCATTCTCATCTGCATACTCACTTTTAGCCTCACAATCATTAGTTTCATCTATAATTTTTTTATAAGCAAAGTTATGATTATTATTTTAATTTTCTAGATGAGATTTCTATGAATTAATTACTTATTTTAATTATTCTGAATCTGCTTGATGTTGTAATTACATTTCTCGAGATTAAGATTGGAGTAATTAAAATTCAGCATCTTTTAAGGATAAAATCTTATGGAATTATTATTTTTCTTGAAGTAATTAATTTTAAGAAGATCTCAACTATTTTATCAGCTTGAGATTTGATTAATTTTGTGTTTCCATTTCTTCCAATTCTTTTCTTTAACCTATAAATACTTATAATTAGTCCAAGATTTAATTATTAAAATTATGTATCCTATTAAATTGAAATTTGAAAGATTATTTAATCTCAATTAATTGGTTAATTGATTATTTTATTGAATTTATCTTCTTCCTACAATTTTATTTCAAATTTAAATATCTTATCCGAAAATTCTCTTTTTAAATATGATTTTATTGTAATTATTACATCAGATGATCAACTTTTAATTCTAATTCCTTTTATTTAACTTTTTATTCTTTTATTATATTGCTAGAATTAATAGATAATGCTTAATTTTCTTAAATTAATTTCATAATAATATCTTAGTGATTATCACTTTAATCAATTACACTAGATAATTTAAATAATTGTTGTGTTTCTTATAACTTCTTTTCGAATTCGTTTCTTTGAACCATAAATTATTTTACATTTAATTCATATTCAGCCAATTTTTATCTTAAATTAAGTTCATCGCGAACTCTTTGTTATGTAATCCTTTATTCTAATTCATTTCTATGTCATATTTACAAATTACTTTTCAAGTTCAAAAAGTCTTTGCATATCAATGACTTGTTAGACACTGGCAAACAATTTATAACTTTAATTAACAAAATTGGGATAATTGGAAGCATTCTTGTTATCATCACCAAAAAAACCATAACAATTTTATTCTAAATTTTAAGAATTATTTTCTTCTACATTTTCATTCCCTTATTAAGTTTAGTAATAAGCATTTGCCCAATTATTTTGTTTATTTAATTCTAATTGTTCTTTTGAATATTGTTTTAATCGTTTATTACTCTAAACATTCTCTCTAAAATTTTAATTTTTATTACAATATATCAAACTTCTATTCTGATTTACATTCCATATCTGTAATTTTTAAACCTTAGTTGGTCTAATTGGGGCTTTCAAATTATTTGATTGCTTGATCAAGATTAGTTAAATTCATTATAAAAATATTAAATTTACAGAATTACGTTATAATAAATAATTTACTTAAAGAATAAGATTAAATTATATCTTTATAAGAATCTATTGCATATTATTCTCATTTGGTTTTGAGTATTGTTATTAACATATGAATCAGTAAATATAATGGAATTTGAAATTTGATATTAATTATAAATGATTGATATCATACTCAAACAGATTGTATTAAATTACTTAATAACTCTTATTGTTATTGATTTAATAATTATTGAATTGGCAATTATTACTTGACAATCGGATTGCTATAATAGGTTTTGAATTAGGCACTAAACAGTTTATCTTCATCATTCAATATTTTATCAGAAGTCTGTTATTTTAATATATAATATTACATTCCTAGCAATAACAGGTTTCAATGGTTGGAATCCAGAACTTGATGTCACCTCTCTATCAGTTACTCTTCCCATAAATTTAAGTGGATTTCTTTTTTTGAGCGTGATGTTTTCAACCATTGACTAGAAAATAAGATTCCATGATTATTAAGTTAAGAATCTAAAGTATAAATATGAATAATATACGTTCCAGAAAACAATAGAGCAATTAACATTGTGAATATTAATTTTCTCTCATTCCTTTAAGAAATAGACTTAATGATGCCTAGTTCATTAATTAAAAAGCTCTCTAACAATTGAGGAGATATCTTAGAGCATTCATTCACAAGTACTTCTACTCCATAAGATGTAAAGACATGAGCTAATAATAGAAATACTTCCTTATTGATTAATCTCTAACTCAAATGGGTTGCCTTTGATTTTGAAGATATTTACGGTTAGGTTTGCTATTGAATTTGGTATTACTCAAAAATGATAGTTAAAACTATGTTTGTCCATTGTGAATTAGATTTGATTAGGAATTTGGATAGTTCAGTGTATGATGGTGTACTGTGAGCTACAATTGATTTTAGAATTGCTTGTAATTAAGGTGTTGGTAAATTAGTTCCTTAGAATCCAAATTAAAAGAATATGATATATGCTTGAAACAAGGAGGAGTTAGACTCATTCCAATTTTAAATTTCAAGGAAGTTCTGTAATAGATTTTGATAATAGGAAGATGCATTAGTTTGGACTTACAAGAAGAGTGAATAAATTTGTAAGACAAAATTGGTTACATCTCCCTTATTTTCTCTTAGCAATTCATCTAATTGATTCAAAATACTTTATTGTAATTAATTGGCAGCTTCAGAATTCTTGGCTATTATGCACACATCAACTACACTAGCTATTACCTCAAACACCAAATGAACATTCTAAAATTCATATTCCAACTTGATGTTCTTCAATAGATCTTAAAGTAAATTGCATAATGCAGCAATAGCGTTGAAAATCTCTGACTTCAATAAAGCAATAAGTGAGTTAGCTAGTTTCAAACTATATGTTTCTAATTTCTATTATTATTTAATATTGTTATAGCAATCAGTCAAAATCAATTGCAAATATTGGGAAATGTTGACATTTTCAAAGTATAATTAATGATTAGTGTAGTTTTTGACATCCTATCTTACATTGATTAATGAATATGCTGTATAGCATGCAATGTTTGATAAAGTAGTCTTCTTGCTTAATTATAGTTTTGAGACTAGAGTAGCAAGAGTTGGTAATTCAACTTTATCAATCACATTTCTGAAATAGAATAAGTACCTGCAATAGAATGCTAATTAAATGGGAGTGAACTTAGATTCAACTGATTAATTCTACTATTACATTTCAAATATCTATCCTAGTTTAGGCTTCAAACAGTGAGTATAAAAACCAAGAACATTTTCTTGTGATAAAATGATATCTATAGTTCCATCCTTTGAAGTGAATGAACTTGTACTGGCTTCAATAATTAAATTAATGAGAATTATTTCATTATCGATTCCATTCATTCCTGATTGAATGTAAGCCTATCTAATCAATATATTATATAAGTCTTTACAGATATTCTTGAATGATGAGATTAACCTATTGATTAAAGTGTTTAGTAACTGTCTTGAAGAGTTCCACAGCTTAAGCCCTTCTAGATTCTAAGTCACTTTACTCGAAAAACTTCTCAATGAATTCTTATGGTTCATCTGAAAACATTCCAATTTCGTCCTCTAATAAAGAATATTAAGACTTAATTACTGGACAAAGACAGATTCCTTATAATTAGACTCTCTATTAAAATTTTGATGTTCTACTCAAAAAAGGCCTTCATGTCCTACCAAGCAATTAAAGTCTTAAAATATCTCAGAGCACATAAAACAATCTAAAATATAGTTGATTTAAAGAACCTTGTCACTATCTCTTCCAGTGCTAGTCTAAGTGCAAACATTCCAGATTTCACTTGAAAACACTTGGATCAGATCTCCGAAATCATCACGATATTTCATTGCATACAATAACACACATTTAAGAGCTTCACCCTTGCATTTGAACAGGAATTGCTCAACTCCTTAGACTGGTTAGAGACGTAACACGACCTTCATAAATTCCATCCAGGATTGGAGATTATCTTCGAAATTGGGATGCAAGTCCTAAATAATTATTATTTTAAATTACTTAAAAATTTAAATTGTAAAACACTTTTAGTAATGTCTTCAGAATTTCATATGATAATTACAGATTTTGAAGAGCTTCTATTTATTGTATCAATGATTTAGCCAGCAATAACAAATTGTGATGGATTGTGTCGCATGTTATAATGATTTCTTCATACAGAGGATCGCTCCTTGATTGATAAACATATTTTTCAGTCAATTTGTATATGAGTTTCACTGTTTTGTATACATAATCTGGATGAGTTAGGAATTGATTTAAATCAGCCATAAGAGTAGGCCATTGAGTAGGAAAGTCTCTTGAAGCCACATAAACAATTGCATCTTTTAATTAATGAATCAATGGTGCTTCAGACACAATGTAAGCACTTATTATGTGTTGTTTGATGACTTGCACTACAGGTTGTACGTATTGAGCTTAGTAGTCATCAAAATTACGATATTCCTTAAACCATAATTTTAATTCGATTGCCGCTCGAAGCCCTAGACTTATTTCGTAAGCTTGGAAATAATCAAATAACACTTTGGGATATTGTATATCACCTCTTATTTGTTATAACAGTTGCTCTCCTTGTCTTATTTTATCATTAGTGCCCATATTAATGAGTTGGAATGCAGTATTCAGGTCATTCACTATATTTGAAGTGACAATCATAAATTTTAATTTAAAATATTTTATTAAAACCATTATAGGGCATGGTATTTAAATGTATTAACTCAAGGAATCAAGAAAATTATCAAATACAGAAATGAAAGAATGTCTTTAGATATCAAAATCAGAATTCCTTGAATAAATCAATCTAGAATGTTCTGGTTGCATATCAGCCCTTAAAGATTTCATCACCCTAAATCGGAAAGACTAGTTTATTAGCATAGACCAAGACATAAAATTGAATGATGATCTAATCAATTCTCAAAGGATATTCAAGACCTTTGCAAAATTATAAAGTTTTGGAGAATCAATAAAATCTATAATATCAAGCATTTTCAAAAAGACAGCTCCACAAAACAATAAAAAGAGGTGTTAATTACACTCGTTGAAATAAAACCCAGAAATCAACATCTAAGAACATGTTCATTATATTTGCAATGAAATTGTGAACCAAAATGAAGATTGTATTATCTAAGATAAAGAATTTGATTATCATTTATAAGTAATCACAAATTAATTGGATTTAGAATTATTTGAAAACTAAAAAATTCTGTCCATCTTGTAAAGAAAATATTTAGGCGGCTTTAAAGCATTTTAAATTATAAGTACCTTAACCTGATTGTGCATGCAGTATTATTTGTTTTATAAAATATGATCACTTGAAATGTGAAATCCACATTCCTTATGATGTATAGATTATCTTATATTCTCAGCCTATCTTATTGAATGCATTATTGAACAAGGCACAAATACAACCATTTTATTAACACGCTTCAACAAAAGAGGATGCTTAAGAAGAGTTATTAATTTGCATTGGACTATTAATAAAAGATAGGTTGTCATCTCTCTACAGAGAAACACAAACTTAAGAAATTATTAAATATATTTTCTACTAATAAATAGGAGAAATATTCAAAAGAAGATTAGAAAATTATAGTAAAATGAAGGGAGAGCACAAATCCTAATTGGAAGAGTTGGAATAGTACTTAAAAAAAGAAGTTGAGTAGAAGGATAAATAAAAAAAGAAGAGACAATTAAAGAAATAGAAGAGAAAGGAACAATAATTAAGTTTTGATGGGTCAGTTCGTGCAAACTATCTGTAAGAATCTTCTCGAAGATCGATTTCTCCCTCTAATAGTGAGAAAAATCTGTTGAAGTCTTTTGGTTGGTAAGGTAGCCCATCAGTTTCTCCATAAACAAGAAAGGAATTAGAGTTCTTGTAAAAGGAACATTTATAAGAAATAAACAATAGACGAAAATAATTAAGAGAATAAACTAAATAATGTTGGTGTGAATGGTGTCACCATCATAAATAAAAATGATAATTATGATTTACATATTCATATGTGCAATTTTAAATTTAATCATTATACTTTCTTTGAATTTATTATATTGATTATTAATAAAAATATAATTATCAGTGTTTGATGGCTGTGCGCTTTTCAACAATGCCATCATATCTTAATACTAATTCTTTGTGTTATTCTTCTTCTACTTTTAATTCAATCAACTTCTTCTCCAACACATTCTCTAATTATGTGATCAACTATTCATATTCCTTCTACATTTATAGTATTTCGTTATCAGTTTTCCTATTAACTTAATGAAGAATTTCTTATCTAGTCTTATTCCGAGCTTGTTTTCTCCAACTAGTAAATATTTACCTTGGTACTCTCAATCTAAATTATTCTAATTAATTAATACTTGGAGTAACTAGCTGCAAATATCTTCATCCTGCGAATATAAAGTTAGTATTTTGTTTATTGTCTGAGTGCTTTGAAGACTCTTTTTTATAAATTTTCCATATACAACCTTCTAGCTATTGAATATGAAATTCTCAATTTATGATGAATATCGCCCTTTGTTTTTGTAAAATCTAATTTCAATTTGATTCATATACTCTTAAATAAGTTCTCAAGTATTTGTAATTACTCCTATGTATCATTGTATCCATCATCAACCATGGTTAGATTTCCTGAATACATTTCTTCTGTGAATTTTTTAGTCTGTTCTAAGAATGCCTAGACTGTCTTTTCTGACCACTCATCCAATAATGATTTGTTTTTTTTAGTATACTCATAGAGAACTTTAGTCTTTAATTGAGTAGTGTCCATTAACGATTTAATTTAAAAACTAATTTTATAATAATGTTTGGAAAATGAAAATAATATATTAGAATATTCATTAATTAAGAATTATCATTACCCACATTCGAATTTGAATTCGCAGTTTTTGATTTCTGTCCCATCCTTATTTGTAGCAGTAGCATAAATACAAGTATTGCCAAACAGAAGTGTAACCTTAACAGTTTTATCTTCAACAGATTAGAGTGGTTTCCCGATATCAATACACAATTCCCCTAATTATTGAACTCCTTGTTCGTCAACAAATTCCACTTCTCTCTTCTCAGTCACATAAAAGATTATCCTCATTATAGTTTACCTCGATCTGACTGGACAATATATTTTAGTATGTACTTCATCACAACTAAAGAATGATATTTATATTATACCCAACAGCATCTCCTTTTCTCACAAATGCATCAAATACATCTTCACTAAATTCCTCTCCTTCAATAATAACCTTCTTTTTTATTGGATGTCTCTCTGCATCAAAGGTTGTTAGAGTATTGATCCCATATGTCTTTTTGGCTATCCTACTTGTAATAGATCTTGGACTCAAACCAAATAGACATGCTCCTCTAATTACTGAAACCTAAGGGCGTCTAGGAACCAAAATTTGAATTGCATTATTCTCAAATCTTTTTATGATTTCTGATTTCAAAAATGGAGATTCACTGAATCCCCCAACCATAAAAATGAAATTCACTTTCTCTTTTTTCTGTTCAACCTATTATAAGAGTTGAGCAACTTTGTTTTTTATGTTTTCAAAGAGAGTCTAAAAGAATGATGCCATTAAAGATGATGGAATTTCTACATTAGAAAGCCCTTTCAATTTAACCTAATATTCTGCAGCATGTCTTGAATTGTGTTCTTTAACTAATTGTGTTAATTTGGCAGTATTCAATTCTTCACCCAAATATGAGAATTTAATCATGCATCTTTCATCCTTACTTCCTTTAAACTTCCTCTTTAGAATTTCAAAATCTCTCAATATATCCAATCTTGCTATTGCATTCTACTAATAACATCTAAATAGTTTCTCTCCCAGAAATTCTTTTAAAAATTCTTCAAAATAGAGATCTACATATTTTGATCCCCATTCGCATCCTCCTGAAGATGGAATCAATTCATTGCATAAGAATTTCTCACTAGGTTCACATAACAATTTATGAACTGTGATATCCACTGTGCCACCTCCACAATCAAGTACCATAACCACTGAATTCTTGCCCATTTATTCTTTTAATGTATGTTCCGCATCTTCTCTGCATTAAATTGATGCTCCTTCTGGTTCTAAACACAATAATAAATTAGAAGAATTGAGATTTTCAACAATCCCTGCTTCTACTGCTGCCTTTCTCATAAATTATTTATGTTCTTCACTCCATAATGCAGGAACTGTCAATACCCATCTAATTTTAGTAGATATCACCTTCCCCACTTGTTCCTTCAATTTTTATATTGCTCTATTGCTAATGTATTTGAGAGTTTCCTTGATCAATAACATTAAAGGCAACTCTCTATTATCAAGTGACCTTGCTTGATTGTGCATATGGTATAAATGCATTTTATACTAATGAACTTAAATGTTAAATTACATTTTAAAACAGATATGCCGAATCACCGTCATCCAATATACTGGCGTATTTTTAAAGAGCTTGTGATCCAAATTCGATAAATTAACCATTGTTATCAAATAAGATAGCTGTGGGGGTTTTTTGATCATCTGAATCATCGCAAGGATTAAATACCTCAATTCTTGGTTTGCCCTCCTTATCCAAAACTTTTGGAGCTAATCCAAATCTAAATTAATTTAATTCATACCCTGATGCCCCTGTACCAAAATCTATTGCAATTACATGAGTGAATGCTGTATCGTCCTTTAATAAGGCCATTGTTATTAACTGCTTTCTTTATTTAAATTTAAAATATAAAATATTCTTTTAACAGCATAATTTAAAAATGAAGAATAATTATGTCAAAGAGAATTTCTCAAAACCTCAGGACTATCTGGATGGGACACAGGATGAATTAAAAAGCAAAATTAAAATTCTAATGAATAAATTACAAATCACAAAGAAAGAAAAAGAGATTTTGACAAAAGAAAATCAAAACCTGCAACTAGAAATACTACAGATGCAATCAAATCTTAGATGCATGGTTTCCGGATTTGCAAATACAAGCATTACATTTCCGATGGCAAATGAATTAATCAACTCAATTGCAGAATTTTACAAATGTGAATGTTTTGATATTTTTTTTGATGTTCTTACTCAAGAATTAAACATGCAAGGAATTGTCTATTTTTTCTAAACTGCCATGTTGAGAATAGATAAAATAATTAATGATTATTTTTCACCCTCATTCAAAAATATAATTGATGTAATTCTATTTATAATAACACACTTAAGGTTAGTTGTTTAACTACTATAGACGGACCAATCCTCAATGTCTTGAGAAAGTCATTTCAAAGTAATTACAAATAGATTTATGAAAAATGTATGCTTAATTTAAGTAGTGTAAAATAAGAATTGCAAAAAACTCTAAAGCTAAAAAATGGGGATATGATAGAACAATTTTTAAGTATTACCACAATTTAATAGCGTTAGAGAAATTGTCAGAAATTATGTTTAACTGTTTCATCAGTGATCCCTCTCTATAATTCGATATTTAATCAATTGGACAAAGACACTAATTTAATTAAACAAAAAATGATCCAATTGATGGATTTCTAAAAAATAAAGAGGAATGCATTATCTTAATGCCAGGAGTATATAAACATTAGGAATAAATGGCAAAGTCATTAGTACTATCATATTCCTATTAATTAGAAAATAACTGAGATTATATATAAATAAATCTTAATAATTAGATATAGATAAATTTTGTATTATTTTCAAAATATCTTTCATTTTATAAGTATCCATAATAATTAGGACTCTATAAGCATTTTTCTAATTTTTCATTAATTTGAAATGCTTTTCTTTAATTATAAATCTTACAATGTATCTAAATAGCAGTTAGGTGAAGCAAACTCCAAAAAATGCACAGAAACCAATTATTTATTTGAGAAATAGAATGATTCTCATATTTAATTAGGAATTAAATATGAAAGGATATAATAGAATAATTTATATTCTAAAATGTTATTTTTGTTTATTCCATAGCTATTGTTAGTTTAAGTTTCTATATTTGAATTAATGAGTATGATAATCAATATTCACTTTGAAATAATGTATTTTTAAGAGATTCTCTGTAATTAATGTTTAATGTTATGTTGTAATACCTATTGTATGACAGAATAATTTGAATAAAATGAAAATTAATAGCATCCAATAGCTATTACCATTTTAAACAGATAAGAGGATTAACGGTAACAAAAATTTTGAGTTGAGTTTGACCTCATGCTTAACCAGCATGATTTCCAGCTTATCATTTATTCTTTAATCTGTACAAAATCAAGTTAAATCATTAGAAGTTTACATTATTAATTTTATTATATTTTTAACGGAATGAATAAAGAAAATAACAATACTATTCTCACTTAGAATTAAATGGGTAGAAAAACGATGAAAATAAACACAAATGACATGGACTAATTTGTCAATTCAAGAATTGTTCAATTATAAAAATAATTATTAGATAAAGAATTAGAAATTGAAAATTTATCCAAATTAAACTAAGATCCAAAAAATTAGACTTCAAATAAATATCGATTATTAGAAATCAAGCAGTCAACTCTTATAAGCGAGAATTAATAAATGAAGACTCAATTATAGCAATATGAATCCTTGAATAAGACATTATAAAATAAATGCGATTAATTATAAGCAAAGATTGAATATTAAAATGCTGTTTTGGAAGAGACTCAAAAACATTTGGAATAAGAAAGATAATCAAAATACAATATGCAATTTTACTAATCATCCAATCATATGGATGTCTAATAAGAGAAGATATTAATCAAAACTCAATTAGACAGCCTCAGAAAAGAAAAGAGTTAATTGATCTCAAAGGTTAAAGAACTAGAAAATTCCTTATAATTACGTGAATTAAATACTAATTCAAATTGCTCAGAACTATCCTAATTGAAGTAATAATTGCAATAGTAAATTCAAAAGTCATCAGACTATATTGAAAAGACTCATACTTTGGAAGTCAAAAATACTTTATTGGAAGCATAAAGCAAATCCAGTCAGTCTCATAATGATGAATTGAGAAATTTAAGATCATAAGTGATCTAATTATAAAAAGACAAGAATTCTCATCTTGAAATATAATAAGATTTAGAAAGCAAACTAAGATTGTAAACAGAACATGTTTTAAAATTATAAAATCTATTGAATGACAAAACTAAATAATTAGTCAAATGTTAGGAAAGATTAAGTTAAGTTGAATCTATAGAAGAGGATAATTCAATTTTATAATAGGATTTAGATAAGATCACTAATTCAATGGAAGAGATTCAATTAGAAAATTAAAGAATTGTTAAATTTTAATAGCAAAAAATTGATCAATTAAAAAGGGAACTCTCATAGACTGATTTTATTAGAGAAGAGAATAATAGAAAGTAAGAAGAAATTGCATAATTGAAATATTAAATTGAAAGGAAAACAGGAGAGTAAGAAAAAGAAAAAGAATCACTTGAAGAAGTAAATAATTTTAGTAAATTTTAGCTATAATAATTAAGAGAATCTTCAAAACAATGGGTTTCAGAAAAGGAGAATTATTAAAAAAAGATTTTTCTATTAACTGATGAACTAGATAAAATTGCAAAGCAATAATGTGATTAACTAAGAATTTAAGTGGAAACTTAGATTCAAATGAAATTTTCAACTGAGAAAGTATAGTTAGAAAATCACATTTGGTAATTAAGTTCATAAATTAATGATTTGTAAGCATCATTAGAATAATATGCTACCAAATTTGGTTCATTAAATATTGAGAATGATCAATTAAGGGAATAATTAAATGAAAAACAAATAACTTAAAAAACAGTAATAGTACTAGAAGGTTAGCTAAGAAATTATTGTAATGAACTTGAGAAATTGAAAAATATGTTCAATCAAAGAAGTCAAGAACTCGAGCTAGCTAGAAATAAGATTTTATCTTTAGAAAGTTGTGCTAATTACGCTTAAGAGTTAGAGAGGAAGGTTTCAACTTTAATGTAAGATAACCAAAGATTAAATTCAATTATAATGGATAGATGTAAAAATAATTGGTGAAATTGTGTATATTATTAAATAATTCACTTTTAAATAAATAATTATTATTAAAATCATAATTAGAGACAAAAATCATAGTATAAATAGAGAATGAATTAAATTATTGTTATTTTAAAAGTGGTTTGAAGATTATTATATATTTTTTTGTGTTTTTCATAATTTGATATCATCTCCTCCAATAATTGCTTTACAAAATTATATTTAAATATACCTAGTTTATGATATTGGTGACAGCCGGATCACTTGAATTGTAGAAGCAATATTGATTAAGTTCAAAATAATCAACATTTATAACACCCACTCCTGAGAACTAAAAAGTTAATAATAATAATAAATGTGATATAGAATATTTAATTAAATCATATGTATAAATTCTCGCATTCATCTATTAGGTACTTTAAGTCGATGGTTTCACTAAAATATTCTATAATTTAGGTTACTTACTTATATAATTTTTTAACAATATCTAAATCAGCTATGAAGTTTGCTTTGGACTTCAATAAAATTTTTAATTATTTTCTATCCTTAATAAATTTGGAATGATTGGCATTCTGAGTGAATAGCAAAATTGGAAAATAAAACAATTATTATTCTTAATTGAGTTCTAAGGATTTATTTCTTTAGATAAGGGAATTAGCTGCCTTGATTTTGCAAACAATTTCTGCCAATTATTTTTTTTTGAGTTCAACAGTTTTTTACATAATAGTCTATTTAATATAAAGATGCAGATACAAGTTATTCTTTTTGAAATGATTTTTCCTGTAATATATTCTTTCCTAATACCAAAGTGTCAAAGTCGGCTTTAACCTTTTTACCATCTTTTTTTAAGACTCTAGAGGCAATCATTACATTAAGCGCGTCATACACTCTCCTTTTTATATTCTACTCATCTTTTGACTTTGAAATTAATTTTATAATACATTATCACAATCTGAAATTCTACCTTCTTCTTAAATCAATTCTTAAATAAGTCTTTCTGCGACATCCTTGTAGGACGTGGATTTGAATTCGAAGACTATTTGTTTAACTTTGATTGATAAATGTTTTAGTCCTACAGTTAAAAAATCATTTTAAGTACCTTTTTAGGATTTGAAGGGTTCTTTTTAAGATTCATAATTGGGCATTCTTAATTGTTATTAATCGTGACAAGACCTATGAAATGATAAAATAGAGAGATACCTTTTTTGTGGTAAGATTGCAGGAGGAGTGGGTTTTTTGAGATTTGAAAATTTGGATGGTTTCACAATGATTTATTGGGAGATTGCTTATTAAAAGGGTAGATTGTCGAACATCATCTCCAATGGTTGTGGTTCAAAGGGCAATTGGGAATAGACTTTGTCGGATTGATTATTGATTTCAAAAGGGTTATTAGGGAGAAACAGATGTTTTTGAGAAATGCTAACGAACTAGGACTCATGAAGCATTTATGAAGGGTTAGGAATGACAGGAGGATCATATGATCTAGAGTTAACATTATGATTAGTTATCATTATATATTTGTTTAATTTGAGTTATTACCCAATCCGAACTCCTTCAATTATTCATTTAATTCAGCTTCCTAAAGAAAGTAGATACACAATCATACTTATTCCAGCAACTATTCGTATTGTCCTAGCTTGCTTATGAAATCGTTGATTGCCTGTTGTTTGACTTGTAAATTCTATTTTAGCTTCACCATATAATCAGCCACAGCCACTTGATTTTGATCCAATGAATTCAATAGAATCATATCCTAGTAAAGTTAATAAACATTATATTACTGATTTGCAGATCTCGACCATTACATCGATATGATCTCTATGGAACACAATGATTTCATCTTCTTCTTGTAATACTTTGTTCACTAACTCTTAATGTTGTTAAGACAATAATTAGTTTCTTTATTCCTATATCTCTTATTCTGGATCCACTTCTTCCAACAATAGGTTGTCTACATCCTCGCCTTGAAAATCGTCATTAACAAATGGATCTTATTGTTACTAATTTAAATTGTTATCCAAGTAGTGCGGCATGAAATTGTTTGGCTATTGAGGAATTGGATTCATTCCAGGAATCAAGGGTTGTTACTTTGGATAATACTGATTGTTGTTGACATAGGTTTACTGAGGGTATTGCTAGAACATTTATTGCTAAGGGAATTGGTTTTGTTATTGTTGATATAACAGTTGGTTTTGCTGAACAGCATTTTATTTCTGTAAATTGCTATACATCTATGGTTGTGGCTAAGGTTATGGATTTATGAATTGCTATAGATTTGGCTATTATTATTATTAATAAATGTTGGGTTATTATGGGACCATCATTGGTTATTATTACATAAAGAATTGTTGATTTGGCAATTGTGTTTATGATGATGATTACTATTGTTGCTATGGTTGATTGGGTTAAGCACTTTTGGATTTTGGAAGATTAGGAGGTTATTGTTATTGTTATTGTTACGGTTATGGTTGTTTGGCATAGGGATTAGTGAATTATTAATTGTATTATTATTGTTATTATTATTATTATTATTATTATTATTGTTGCATCTATTATTATGAATTAGCTGATAATGTTCTCGCTGGTTGTTAGGGTAGTGGTTAAGGAGGCAATTATTATTACTATTACTATTAAGCATATTGAAATTATTGTGAGTACTGTTATGAAGATGTCATGTTATTATATTATTGATATTTCTGATTGTTCATCTGAGTCAACCCACCTTAAGATCCTTGGGGTCCACTATATAAATCATCTCCTTCTTCATCTTCAGAATCAGGATTTTTATATTCCTTGCGAACTACATTTGTATCTAAAGTAATAAAAATAAAGTAGAACCTGTTCTAGCTAACATCAATTCTCGATTGAGTGCATCTCCTCCTGATTTCTATTCTTATGGTTTCTTCAATTCTTTGACTCTGTCTGCATATCTTAATGTGTTTAGTGTATGTTCACTATTAGCACTACTTGGTGAGATATTACCAATCATGACAGTTCTACAATTGCCAATCAAACTATCTTTGAGTACTAGAGTAAGTTTGCTGCCTCTGAATGGAGTGTGATTCTTATTCAGATCCAAAGCTCGAATGCACTCTTTCAAAGCCAAGAGAGATTTATTAATTTCAGCTCCGTCGACTCTAGTGGTTTTGTCTTAGTCCCTAACATCAGCTCCTCTTTCACTACCAGCCAAATCAATAAATGAGAGTTTGCCATGAACTAGCTTGCCTTACTTTAAATTAATTTATAGTAAGGCATGAGATCGTGAGGATTCAGAATTTGCAGAGTTTTGTGAAGTAACTCTGGAGTTCTATCCATGTTGTATGATTTGCATGAGTTGCTGAACATTTTGAATTTTTTTTTCAGTTAATCCTTTGATTTAAACATTACCTTTGGCATCCTCCTGAGCAGCCAATTAGGTTCTATCATTTAAGAGATCAAACAATTTGCCACAGTAGATTTCATAAAATGAAATGGTCACGTATAAATTGCCATACTCAGGCTAATTGGATAATAGGGATGCTAATTACTCTTTATAATATGTTGAATAGGTCATAACTAGCCATCAGATAGAGTCCTGGCACATTGGCTTCAGGGTCACCAAGCATTGTGAATGTTTTACCACTGCCTGTTTATCCATATGCAAAACAAGTGCACTTTGCTTTATTGAAAGCTGCTTCGATTATTGGACGCACTGCAGTAGCATAAACTCCCTCATTATTTACACTCTCATCAAATGCTAAGTCGAAATTGAAGTGATGCTATTCAACATACTTGGTCAGATCAACTTTCTGCCTAAAAAAGAGAAAGTATATTGAATTTCAAAATGCATACTTGATCTCGCTCAACAAGATTGTAGCTTAATCCTTCACTTGCACAATATCCTAATCACCACGCGCAAGCTCTTTCTTTCCCAGTGGTCTCTTTCTGATTACGACTGTTATTTTGGGTCCCTCCATTAATTAATGTAAATACAAAAAGATCTCAAATCGAGAATACAAGAAATACTAAAAAAACACTATATTAAATAAGTCGATTTGCCATGAGAAACAGGCATCCATCACAGGACTCTCTCCCTCTGGATGTAGAACAAAAAACAAACCAAGAAAACAGGACATCTTCAATACAAAAATTGAAGAGTTATTGGATAGATTGATTACCAGCTTTCATACCAATAAAGGGCATCGAATGGGCACTGGTTAATACAAACCGCTGATAGCAAAGCATCTCAATTCGGGAACATTGGGGCACAATATTTAAGTATCCCATCACACAGTAGGACCTGTTTTGCCTAATTCTAAATTTCACATCCTCAGAAATCAATATCAAAATTCCATCACATAATTAAGGCAAGAAATCATTTGTTTAAGACTAAAGAATAGTTAAATAACACTCCCAATATTTCATTAGAATAAGCATTAAATAAGACTGTGTTTCAATCTCTTATAGCTTAATAAGGATTAAGACATTCCCGTTGAGACATCATCAGAATATTAATAATAAGTGCCAATTACAATAGATTTTGAACTAGATATCAAAATGATCTACAAAACCTTTTGTTTAAAATCTCAATGAATCTCATATGATTCTTAAAATATTTGCTAGAATAATACCAGATATGAACAATACTATGAATTCACCTGAAGGTTTGACAGAATAAACAACCAAAGAAATTTAAATGCCTGAATAATATGAACACAAGATAGCTCATGCGTAGAGAGAATTGATTTCGTTTTTGCAATGATAAATTGGAACCGAAAACTGGGGAAGACTTCAGTAATTTGAAGAAAAGCATCAAAACTTTAATTTAAAGCAATGCCAATATAAACCAATTGAAAAATGTTATGTTTTCGAATTAAATCAATGATAAAATTGAGTTAAGTTGAATTAGAACATGATAACCAATTCAAATGGAGATCTTCAATTGAACTTCTATATTCGAATGTCCTTATGAATGTGCAGAGGAGAATCGCAAAACCAGATATGTAAGGAGATAAAGATGATCAGCAATATAAATTCATTTATTTTTTAATATAAAATAATAAAACTGATGGAAGAAGCTAATCAGAAACAAAATTTATCTTTCCAGATAGCCTAATTGGAAGAAGAGTACAACAATTACATAGAGTATAACATCATTTAATTTTAGCTCTTCTGAGGTTGTTATGGAATACTATAAAAATCAGTAAACAAGTGGATTGGATAAGCATTTTCTGAAAATCGAAGAATGGTTGGATTAGGATGTTGTAATATAACTTTAATTAATTCAAATTAGAAAGGCAAATAAAATCTTCCATTGGTCATAGAGGCAGAAGATGGTGTAGGCAAAAAAACATTACTTGTCAAGTGGATTGGATATCATAATGCCAACAAAAAAGGAAGGTATTAAGACATCATTATTCCCCATTTTGCAATGGTTGGAGGAAACAACAGTAACTATTTCTATGCCATATATCGAATATTGGTGAAATTGAGGGAATTGCTGAACATAGGATAGAAAGTAGAGTTATTAGAAGAGAAACTTCGGAAATACTTTGCATATTGGTTGGACATCTGCAATTCACACATAGAGAACCAAATTCTCAAGGAAGCCAAAACTCTTTATAATAGAATCATCCTTATCTTTGAGGGTGTTAATCACTTTGTTGACTAAGGCAATGGAATCTCAAAAGAAGCTAATGTTTCCTTCTGGTTACCATAATTCTTTCCGCCCAGAATCAAAGTTATTTTGACAGCTTCTAAGAATTCAGGAGCAATGCAATATCTATAGAAAATCAATTCACAAATCATATCAATCAAAGTGGAACCTAAAATCATTGAGAAGATGATTGAGACACATAAAAAAAGAAAAACCTTTCTTGTAATAATTCTAAATTAATATTATATAGTCTGACTCACTTAAGGATAAATTATTAAATATTCTGACTCAAACTAAATGTGAGATGAATTCTATATTTTGTAAGACATTTCTTTCACTTCTGATTCCATATCCCAGTCTTGGAATCATTGGAGAAGGTGATGTTAGACCAGACACTATTGAATCTTTGGTATCTTAAATCGATATGGCTAAATTGTAAGAGGTTACTGGTTTAGAAGATTTGGTGAATTTTATATTGGATCATTTTCAAACCAAAATGTTTAAGGATTAAGAAAAATTTATTAAATTGCTTCTATGCTTTACAATAACTTAAAAAGGTTTGATGATCTAAGAAGCATTGATTATTTGTCAATTGAATGAGAATGATTGGAAGACATTTTTGGTGTTCTTTAAAGTGTACCTTATGCATTATAAAGAATATTGGATTATTAATAATGATCTGTTTAAGAGTATCATCTAGAAAAGATATATAAAAGAGAACTCTTTAGTTCCTAAATTACATGAGGAAATTGCTGATCATTTAAATAAATCTACTAACTCCATAAGGAAATTAGAAGAGCAAACATATCATCTATTCATGGCTAAAACATACTTTAAGTTAAAGGAAATAGTGTCTGCAATTGAGAATTTCCTATTATTATTTAATCCCAATAATAAATACGATTTATGTCGATATTGGTAAAAGCTGGAGGAACAAGGGTTTGATCCAGTCATAGAATACAATAAAGCTATAGAAGGTTTTGCTATGCAGTATCATCCTAGTAGTGAGGACATTTTTAGAATCATAGTGCAAGTGTCAAGATTTTTAAAAGAGTTTTGTGATTTTGAAACTTATTATACTCCAAGTTTTAGACATCCACCGATTTAAGGAATTGAAGATGAATTAGATGATATCGGATTATTAAATGAACTTTATAGAATGAATCTATGTTACATAATTGATGCCAATCCTAAAAAAATTGGGAATAATGATGAAAATTATAAATCACCATAAGAGAGAATCAATGAAAAGATAGAGAAGCTTAAATCTAAATAAGTATTATAAAAAGATTAGAAATAAACCAAGAAGCCTGGGAAGGAAGAGGATGTTAAGAAAACATAACCTACTATCAGTCTGTTAGAGAAAAAGAAGAAACCAGAAATATTGACTAAACTAGAAAAATTGAATGTGGATATTCCTTATAATAGAGAATAAGTAAAGAAGTTCTTTGAAGAAAAAATAGGGATTAGTAATTTTCAAGAAGAGAAACAAAGAGAGAAAGAATCAGAGGATGCTAAGATCTATTAAAAATTAGAAAATGGGTAGGTTTCAATGAAAGATTTGGACATTAATTTAAGCAAGGACGAAGATGTTCAATTGAAAAAGCCAGATTAACTAAAGCTAACACATAATTCAATTTAAGTTAAGAAATTAGAAGAGTAATCATTAGTTAGTGAAAGAAAACCGACAGATTATTATTATAAGAGATGGATTTGGATTCAATTTCCATGGGTTTGCTTATCTGTTCATAGTGATTATTCTGCCAAAATGAAATAATGTTTTGCCAAGGCCACTGAGTATATGAGTGTCTAAGAAGAAAAGGCCTTTACAAAATAAGCATTAAAGATAGCTATTGAAGCTAAATTGAAGAAGAAGATGATGTATCAAAAATAAGAGGACATAAATACTACTCTATTCAATGACAAAGAATTATCTGTTATTCCAGTTAAATAAGAATAGAACACATCAATCTTGACATTGATGAAATAATAAAATGATTTACCTGGTGTAAAAGGATTTAAAAGGGAGAAATCATTAGCAGATAATACTATAAACAATTTGAACCAGAAATCTACGTATAGAGAAGTCAAATCCACAAAAATGCACACTACTAGTTTGCAATTCTTCATTACCGAGGATCAAATGAGTCTCTCTCAAATTCACAAGGAAATAGAAGAATAGAAGAAATAATAACAATAAAATTAAGTTGATAAAAAACAAACAACTCTCCCTTCTATCCATAAAACTCAAGAAGTTTCTTTAAATACAACTATGAGGATTATTGACAAATCTAAAATGCAAAAAGAAAAATTCAAATAGTTCAATCCAGAAACCATTAATAAATCTTCTTAATCAATTTTACCTAGATTAAAGAGTGAAATTGCACTTCATAATGGCAAAGAACTGTATATAATGTTATAATAAGCAAAGGATTTGAAGAAGGAACTTGACAATATAATTTATTAAAAGTAATCCTATTAATTTATTTTAGTCAAACCGCTACAAAGAAATTAGCTAATTTAAGAACACTTCAACATAACGAGGGATTCGGAACGGATGTAGATACGGTTTCATAAATTTAAGACAAAGTAAATTCTATTGATTTTATTCTTTAAAGATTGAAAACCTGAAAAGATTGAGGGAAGAAGCAGAACATGACTATTTATTGAGTATGGTATAAGATAGTAGATTGAGAATTATTATTAAAATCAGTGGTGACAATAGATCTTATAATGAAGAATGGATCAGAGACTTAAACTATTTATAATGTAATCTAAACAAATTAATTAAATATGAGAAATAAGAGATCATCAAAATGGAGACTGAAATAAAACAAATCCACATTATACATGTTTAATATGTAGATGCCTTTAATAACAATATGAATTATTCCAAATAAATGATTGATTAAATCAATAAAACTGTTAGACAGAAGGAAGACTTCGATCATTACTTTTAATAATCAGATTCTATCATATAATAATAATCATCCGAAAAGATGCAAAAATTACAACAACAATATGCTTAAAATGAAGATAAAGAACAGTAGAGAGTAAAAAGAATTCAACTTGAAAGAAACAGTAAAGCTATCTCTGACAAGCTTGAAGTTCTTAGATCAACAATGGCGCATGTTAGTCAATACATAGAAGTAATTAAATATATACTACCTAATTTATAGATAGAAAATTCTGATTATTCCAAGGAAGAGAGGTTCGTTGAATTTTTAAATCAATTAGAAATTAAAACATCACTCGAAGCCAAAATATCATCTTAAGAAGATCAACTGAGTGACTTGTACCTTAAATTAAATAAATAGAAGATGTATTTAAATGTAAGTATTAATTATTATTAAAGACGTTCAAAAATGCTAATTCAAATGAAAATAAGAAATAACGTGAAAAAACAATTAAATATATATAAGGGAAAGTGTAAGACAATGAAACAATTTAAATGTTATTGGAGAAAAGAGATTTCTAATTAAAATAGAATTAAGCCAAGGAAAAACAAAAAAATAAATTACAGCTTCAATTATTAGATTACAAAGTATCTAAACTTAATTTTTAATATATAGATAAGCATCAAGAATATTAGATCCAAAATGTAACAGTCAAAATTAAAAAGCATCTCTGAACAAGGAACTGCTGTAAAGATAACATTAATTAATGATGTATTTATTGAATTGATTTCTTTCAGATATATGAAGATTTAACCAAAAGATAAAATTTCATCAAAGAGAAGCTGGGTGAAGAGATGTTTTAATAATTCTTAGCTAAAAAACTCGACTTTAATAAAATGTACAAAGCAGCATTTAAATATCATTAAGACCCAGCTTTAACACAAATGGAACCTTATTGAAGTTTTATTAAAATATTTTATTTATTTATTAGATATTAATCAGGTTTCAATCTTAAACTCATTAATATTTATCTTAATATGAATATGTCAATATTCCACAAGTATTTCCGGACTTAATACGAATGAAACCATTTTCCCCCCAACCTAAGCCCCATGAGTTCTTAACAATCCAATTTCCAGACTCTTCATATCCAACCACAACAGCATAATGGTTCAAAGTTATACCACAATTTGAAAAGATTCCAGAAGAATAAAATTACCAATTTTAGGCATCCAAACCAGCTGAAACTGGATGGCTAATTAAAGCTTATTTCATATTGTATTCTCCAAATGCTGATGAATATTTTAATGCATGATAGGTTCCGTTTAATCTCTTACAAGTTTAATTATATCCAACATATGGGTACTCGATATTAGTAGCAATTCCATTAGATATTGCAAATTTATATCCATTGATATTAGAACCATCGGTACATCCTCTTGACAATTAATCACAATCAATCAAATGCTATTCAGATAAAGATACATTCTTTTTTTAATATATTTTCTAATACACCTCCAATGTACCTGTTACAGAAAATGCCCATCCAGAATTGCATTGTCCTTAATCCTTAACAATTGTATGGTTTCTATAATCAATCGAAGCGTTCAATTATATATTTCCTAATTAAAGAATTTCTGGTTGATCTCCGACATAATGCTCCTAAATGTTCATTAAATGCAATGATTAAAACTACTCCTGAGTCAAATGCATAAACTTATTCATTCCCATAGTGTAAGTCTGGCTTTCATCAGAATTGTGCTGTTCAATTTTCTATAAATTTGTTTAAAAAATCTAAAATCTGTATTAGTTCTCTTCATTAAGAAATTGCATTCCATGCTTTAATTTCCAATCTTCAAATTTTAATTACAAGCTTGTAACATTTTCTTGATTGTTTTAATTGATAGATATCAATAACAAACTTGAAATCAACAAAATACTTAGATATTTTATCATATTAATTTTTAAATTAAATATTTATGAGAATTATATTAATTTATTCCGATGTTAAAAATTAATACACAATTTAAATATAACGAAAATGGTTTAAAGTTCTAAAAAAACTTGTAATATAATTAAGCCAAATCAATAAATAGACTCTAAATTTATGTTTTTTTATTGTATCTAATTAAATATATCATTATCTTAAAGAATTGCTATTTAATACAACAGATCAACCTTTTCCTATTCCTCTTAATAATCATTATTTTTCGATTTTCGGATTCTATGCCTTTCAGACCCATGGAGATTGGTATTTTCTATCCATTTTCTATTTTGATTAGAGTTTAATATAATTTTAGTTATATTAAAAATAATTTAATTTTCGAATTCTAATCAAACTTATTATGTATTTTTATTGGTATTATTTTTTCTCTTAATCACAATAATTAAGCTATAGAATGAATAAAATATTCTATAAACAAATTGTGTAATTTAAGGCAAAACTATTAAATAGCTAAAAATTAAATAAAATAACTATGAAATAATATTTAACTACAGCATTTGTGGCCTTGCTAATGGCAGCTGGATATTACAATGTTTCTTATGAAAATAAATCAGACTTTGAGGTTTGGGCAACACAAAATAACAAGTTTTATACCGAATCCGAAAAAATGTACAGAATGGGAATATACTATTCCAACAAGAAAATGATTGAAGAACATAACAAAAGAGACGATGTTACTTATAAAATGGGGGAGAATTAATTTATGGCTCTTACAAACGAAGAGTTTGTTGACCTCTATTTATAAAAAAGTATTCCTCCTATGGATACAATCGAATTGTTAATCCCAAAAATTTAACTTGAAGGATTAAATGCAGTTGATTGGAAAAATTACTCATCTGTCAAATATCAAGGTAATTGCCATGCAGGATATGCCTTTTCTGTAAGTAATTCAGTGGAAGCCTGGTATGGAATAAAAAAATATTAAAAAATATCTCCATCCACCTAACAAATAATAGACTGTGATTATAACTCTTCAGGATGTGATGGAGGTTATAATATGTACGCTATGGATTATGTACGCAGTGTAGGATTGACATCAAACTAAAGTTATCCATATGCTGACAAAGAATAGGTTTGTAAATAATCAAGAAATGGCTCATATTTTATTTCAGGCTATTTATTTGTCGGAGGGTATTAAGAGAACTTATAGTATTACTTATCCAATTATCCAGTGTCAGTGGCAGTTAATGCTAATAATTGGTAGTTTTATAATTCAGGAGTATTTTAAAACTGTACTTCAAATGAGACTAATCATCATGCATTGGCAGTAGGTTTTGATAATAATAGTAATTGGATTGTTTAAAATTCATGGGGATCTTGGTGGGGTGAAGATGGACATATCAGATTAAAAGAATAGAATACATGTGGTATCTTAAATTATGCTTATCAAATCTATTGAAAGATTAATATTTATCATATATCATAAATGTATGTTTCGCTTACCATTAATCATGTAGGTGAATCCTACATATCATTATTTCATATTTTATCATCTTTAGAAATTAATACAGTTAAAAAATAATTACTATTATTAATATTTATTCTAATACTAAATCTTCAACCAAATAAATCAAATGGATTAAGATAATAAATAAATGCTCATTCACATTTAATTAAAATGAAAAACCTGAAATAATTAAAAAAATGGAAAGAAATTATAATCAATTAGCAAGATACAAATTTTTTAATCAACTTTAGATTATGTACTATACCTTCAAATTTTGCTAGACATTTTTAATAATTTTATAATTTACCCTCTAATCAAATTGTATTTTACTATTTTAAAGTCTTCTTGTTTTATTGTGCTAAGTTCAAAAAACAACAGTTTTATAATTATAATAATAGTATGGGGACCATTTCAGGATAGGTTTAAACCATCTATTTCTAAAATTTGCAATCTTCATATAATCACAATAATTTAATAATGAATGCCTTGCTGTAGAAAATTGTGTCTAATAGTTTGCGCTATTCAACAATAATATCATTAACTTAACTCTGGGCAAATTTTTCTTTATCGCTGTCTTACATGGCTATGCATACAATGTTTTAAAATAAAGTTTACCTTTTTTATAATATTGTAGTTTTTAATTAACATTCTCTTAACGATGAAGGTCTACATTTCTAAATTTCTTAGATTAATCAATAGTGCCTTTTCGCCTTTTATATTAACCTTCATTTTTCAGATAACTATTACTATTTCAATAAAAATGAATTTAGGGTTGGGATTATAACTTTATTTTAGATAATTAAGACTTAATTAATTGTAAATATCTAATTATTTTAATTAAATGAATAAATATTTTTATATATTTTACTGTGCATTAATATATAATAAAATTAAATACATATTAATAAATAAAAAAGAATTTTTGGAAAAGAGGTTTCAGTTCTATTTACTTTTTGCTCACTATGGTAATTATTTAAGGTTGAAAGATAAGATTTTATTTAAGAAAGTATATAATATATTATGGGAGTTTATTAAACAAATTGTTGCTCAATTAATAGTATTTTTAAATTATATGTATATTTTATTGGGATCATTCATTATCTAATTCAAGCACACTATCAGGTAATTCAGTTAAGTGAGGATGCCTTCTTATTTTAGGCTGTGCTTGACCTTTTAAATGTCTCAAAACAACTACTCTATAGAGATGTGCTATTTCCCATTGATCCATGGGCATTTTCCTAAAGCGTAAATATAGAAAGTTACCATTCATCACTTGGTGGTTTGACCATAATTTTGAGTAAGTCAGAGTGCTTTTATTTATATTTTTCAAAGAAGTCAATGAAATTCAAGTTTTCTATTATTTCCAGATTATATTCCTTAGCTTTCTATTCAAAAGCTTATAATTCTATCAAATATTCAGGAACATATTTAATTTAATTATCTTCTTTAAACCCAACAGAATCTTCTAAATAAAAGTAGTATTATTATCCAAATGGCTTATTTTTGGAAAATTGTAGACTGTCAAACTTTATTGAAAAATATTGGTTTCTAGAGTATACATAGTTACCTTCTATATCTTTTGTTGTAAATTCCCTCATTTTTTTCACTAGCACATTAGAATCAGTTATTGTCATTAAAACAATGCCTTAATTGGTCAATCTACAGGTCATATTCTTGAGATAATACGGTTATGTATACTTCAAACATATTTTCTACTGCTTATTCTGAGGAGAATAACAAGTTTGCCATAAATTACATACTTACAAAATCAAAATATATATCTTATGGTAATCTAGATCTGAATAAAGTAGAATCTGAATCTGCTTTTGTCTCCATCAAATATATTTTTTAAATCTATTTCTTCTTATCTTCCTTTTGAGTCTTATGTCTTCTTTCAGCCTCCTTTAAACTTTCACTTGATATGTCAATTCCAAACCAAAGCCCAGTCCCTGCCTTGCTCCATTTATACATATCTCCACCCTTTCCACACCCCATTTCAAAAACATTTAATAACTTAAAACATAGCTTATTTTAATTACATTTCTCTTATCAGTAAAGTTTTGTTTAACTGCACTACTGTATTCATTAATTAAAACAGCTTTAACCCAATTTTAAAAGTTTCTTAGATAATATAATTTACTAATTCTTCTATGAGTTTCTGTATTTTTAAGTTACTAATTATAATAATCTTTAGCAGTAACAGTATCTTAAAAATTAAAGAATATATATACTTTTCTATTTCTGATCTATTCTTTTATTATCATATTCAATTTCTTACTGTATTTGACCAATTTCTGGTTCATGTCCAATGTGCACCTTTTTTATAGGAGCTCTCTCATGCGATTCGGAATCTGTAAATTGTAGAGACTAAGAGCTAGAACTCATTAATTATTGCTTTAATTTATTTTTAATACTATTTAATTATCTGTATAAAAATTAACCAGAATCAAATTTTCGACAATTATCAAATTATTATCTAAAAGAATAATTTCTGAGAACTCGATTAAATTTAATGTAAGTCCGAACTCATATGTAGAAATATGGGTGCTAAAAAATAATATATAAGAAAGAAACAATTTGGTTCAAAATCTCAGAAATCTATTGAGATTCTCTTGTGACGTCTAATTAACAAAAAGAATTTAGAAGATTAGCTTACAATCTTCCTATAATCTTACTTTTTGTTTGTGAAATTTAATTTGCAGAAATAAATTTAGAAATTATTAGGTGTTATTTAAGAAATTGATTTTACATTAATCAGCCTTGAGAAAACCTGTGGGTATAAAAAAAACAACATATTGTTTTAATATGACTTTATTCTGACTACAACTAATCAATATTCAAATCCTTTATTTTATCTAATATTACGAAAGGATCTCTCGTGATTTATATTATGTTTTTATTTGGGTAATTTAAAAAGAGGCAGTGTGGTACAACTTGGCTTTTAATTTAACTTTTATAGTTGATAAGCATCAGCATCAGTGAAATCTTCTACTTCGTTATTGATTATCTCTTCATCCTTTTTCTTATTTTCTTAAGTAAATGTTAGTTTAACTCCTGGCTTCAAAGGAAAAGCATCAAAATTATACGGTTCATCATATTAAGTTTTAACTTTAGTAGATACCTTCAATTTAAACAAAGCTTGTTGACTAATAATGTTGTATTCAGCAACAGGTTCCTATTATTTTTGATCAACTTTTTCTTATAATTTACTTTTGACTGTATTGACAATGGGACTTAACTATTTAACTTATTCTCTCCTTCTCATAATACTGCCATCAGAATCATATGTTTAATAATCTTTTAATGGTTTTTTCAATAACAACAATTTAACTTAAATTTGTTTTGCAGGATGAATGTATTCATCATATGGTAAGTTGTGATCTCTATTTTTAGCATTTCGTTTATCCTTTTCTTCATCATGGCTTCTAATCTATATTTATCATCCGATTTGTCTCTATCGACAACAATCAGATAAGGCTTAGGTTCATATGTCTCAAACAAACCATAATCATTTTTGATTTGAAATTCTTATTAAAAGGTATTCTGAAGTAGTGTTATTGATTATCTTTTTCCATAACACCGATTAAACATGTTGAGTGGTATGTCTATCAAAAACTGGAGTTTACTTTAGTTTAAATTCTAATATATTGGTTCATCGCCATGAACATAAATTTCATCAGGATGACTAAATTCAAGTATATATAGCTCTAATAGCTATTAACAATGCTCTAATGCAATCATTAAATAATTAAAGATAATTATAATCAATAATCTAACTAATTATTATAATCTGGTCTGATTTTTAGATAATCTTCGTAGTCTTAAGGTTAAGCATGATGGGCATATTCAGGCATATCCTCTCTTTTGAGGTTCACATCATAGAAGAATTGTTAATACTCAATTCCATTAACCATATAAGGATGATAGTAAAATTATTTATCAAGCATCATATAAAAAGGATCCTACTCAATTATTTATTCTACAATATTGAAGTATTCTTACCATCTTTGGTGATATCTGTCAATTGATTCTTCTTTTTGCGTCCGGCTCTACTTCTCTCATTTCTTGGTAACCTTTTACCATTTTCTCCCCTATGAGCATAGGGGTTGAATTTCTGATGATGGCTTCTACATTGACTAGGAGTGCGTGTACCAATCAGTTCACTCATCTGTTTAAATATTTTTGATGTTTTCTTCATCATTGAAGAATTCATTATGTTTTCGTATTGTGATAGGAAATTCACATATGTAGTATGTTCAATTGCTGACCAATGTCCTGTATTAATGTGCTCTTTTTTGGGCTTTTTGATTTGATGGTGTTTGCTGGATTTTACAGTCTGTTTTGAACCAAGAGGTGAGCCATCTGTTACAATATCTGATTGTAATTTAGGTAATAAGGTACTCTAAGTAAAATGTACAAGTGGATATTGTGGCTAAACTACTGTTTTCAAACTAAATAGCGATAGTATAAATAATACAATTCCTCCTTTTAAGGTTCTTCTTGCAATGCTTTAGTTTTAGGAAGCAATTCTTTTTTGTCATCCTTTCTATAATATCAAGTGTGAATAATACTTGTGCTTTTTGGATTTCTTGGTCTTGCTTTGTGTTTTCTGATCAGCAACAATATCGTAGTTGACCAGTTATTGAGGGTATTAGAATTGGTGGTATAAGGGAAAATCATTGGCATTTTAATGCATGGCATATTCTATCATTTGATTTTTTGGCATATTTTCATTTTCGAATTAATAAGCGGGTTGATAATCAACGGGAAATGAATAGTGAGGATGAATCATAATGGGTGAAAATATTTTAATATAAATTATATTTATTATAGCAATCTGGCTAGCCAATGAAGAGAATAATAGAAAATCGATTACATTTTAGTAATATTATAATATATCAATATCTTTAGATGGGACTATTTCGAAGTTAGGACTTAAGGGTAGCATCATGGATAGACTTGTTGGCTAATAATTCAGCAGGTATTCCAATTCTACTATTGTAGGCAGCTCTAGACACTAGGGTTTCTGGCAAGAGACTCTTATCTAATATTGTGTATTTTTCTATCATTTCAGTTAATTCTCTGTTCTTAATTGCCAATTGATTTTGAAGGTCGGCGATCTGATCTGAGAGTAACCCTACTTATGTATTGTAGGCACTCTTTAAGTTCTCAAATTAGTAAGCGGCACCAGAATCCATCTTATGTCTTAATTCATCGATTTCTAGATTCTTTTCCTATTCAAAAAGATGTAATTTTTCAATCAATTTATCATTGTCATCTTGAATTCGTTTTTGAATGATTTCAGCATTGTTCCTTTGAATTGTTAGATTCTCACATTCCTTGATTTTATTGTTATACATATCGAAAGTCTTTTGGATTTCATACTTTTAATGATCAATTTACTATTCCAATTACTTTTACTTCTCTCTGTTTTATGTATCAATCTCTTTAATAAGGGATTTTAAGTCTTGGATTTCTTGAAGTTTTGATTTTTCGGTTTCGAAAGCTTTGAGTTTGACAAGTTCTAAATCATTTTATAAATATCTTAATTTATCTTCAAATTCTAATTTGATTTAAGAATAATTCTTAAGATTTTATTAAATTTCTAGGTTTTTGTGATCTAACAAATTCTTTAAATTAATGATTTCTTGATTCAATAATTAAATCTATTTTTAGAGATCAATTTGCATATTCTCATATTAAATGGTTAATCTTTCAATTCTAGCATGTTGATCAGCTATCTCTCTATTTTTTTCATTTTCTAATAAAATGGTTCTTCTCTTTTGATCTTCAATAGTATTGATCAATCTTTAGATTTCTCCATCATAATAATCCTTTTGTTATTATTTTTCAACAACCAATTTTTGGATATCCTAATTTTTATGATCAATAATTTCCTTGAGTTTCAAGATTTCCTTATGCAAAGCTTACAATTAATTTTCATGTGTTAATTTAAGATTAGTAGTATCATTATTATGCATATTATCTAAGTTGGTTTAGATATTATGATTTTCTTATTGATGTAGTTGTTCATTACTCAAGATTTGTCTTCTTAGCATTTCAATTTCATTTCTCAATCCAGAAATTTCTAACTCAGATTGTATCTTTTACTTTTGATTTTGATTGATTAATGTTTCAATTTCTTGGGCTTTGATTTCTAATAAGTTTTTGATTTTGACAATCTCTGACACTTAAACATCTTGTTGATTTTCATGAGCTGTCTATTGATTTCTCAAATTGGTTTCTTGATATAATTCCAATTTTTATTTTTGTGCCAATAATTCATTTTGATGATCAATTTAAATGGCACTTAATCTAGACTTTGTGATATCTATTTCATTCATTAATCTTAATTAAGTATCTTAGAACTCTATTTTTTAACGTTCATTCTAGGATTACAATTAAGCCACTTGTAAGGTTCTATCTTCTAACATATCTCTAAGTTTCTTGAGTTATGCCTCATACATATCAGCCTGGGTATTATTTGATCGTTTAAAAGTCTCCTAGATTTAAGTTGTTTGGTTATCAGCCACATTTCTCTAATCTGATATTATTCTATTTTTTTCTTGATCCAACGCACTGCTTCTAGCATTGGCCTTTTGCACTTCCAAAGTAAGAGCTTTGATCTCAGATTCATAATTCTATCTGATCTACATTAGAGATCCCATTTGAGCTTCATATTTTTATTTCCACATTTCAGATTCACTTTTTCTTTACAAGGCCACCTTCTAAGCTCTCTCCAATTGACCTTAAAGAGCATTATTGGACTCCAAGACTTCTACTACTTTGTATTCTAAGTCACCGCTCTTTTGCTAGACAAGACGTTAAAGATCATTATCAGCCTTATATTTGGCCACCTCTCGTTCAAGTTCGTAGCACTTGATTCTATAATTTTCTGCGTCTTCTGACACAATACTAAAGTTCATTTTATTTTGGACGGGTGAATGAATGTAGGGTGATTGATTGTTGAATGGATGTGCTTTCTTTACAGTTCCTGGCTAAGAGAAGTCCTGACTTGCTAGGACTTACGAATATTTGGTTGGTGAAATAGTTCTTGGTTACATACTGAGGTTCATTGACAAATTATTTATAAAAATTATTGACAGCCACCTTATCTTAACGAATACTTTTAAATTACATATAAAAATTATCAATATAATTTATTTATCAATAATATATTTTAACTCTTTTTGTAGTTTTGTTGCTTAACAACTATAAAATATATAATAATATATTATAATTTACAAATCAAACAAAACCAATATTACATCACCTTACATGATGGCTATAAACAACAATAAGAACTTCAGCAATAGTAAATTTAATACATAAAATACGATGGGTGAATGCATCAGATCAAAGGAAAATCTAAGAAAATAATCATCCTTGGATTAGCATTCATCGAGCTTACCCAAGAAGATATTGATTCACAAATAGCAATTCAATGATCTTCAAGAAAATCTAAAGAACAGAAAATTAAAAGAAGCCCACCAAACTCAAAACCGTTTGCCGTCTCCAATTAATTTGAAAATTCTTATGCCTCCCAAATCTAAGTCCATACAGGAAAAGAAATAGGAAACCTAAAATTAGATTGATCTAAAAGTCTTGATTCCTGAGAATTCAAACAGCTTCATCGATTGGAAGGAATTGATTTCAAATTTAAATGGCCCCAATTACCCCCTGAAAAAATGGATGAGAGACATTATCATAAAAAATAACATCATACTGGACTACGACTTTGCTATTTTAATACGAATCCTGATGCAATTATATAAGTTTAAGCAACCAACTTTAGTTAACATATTCTCTGAGATCATTGAGGAATTGGAAAAATGAACTCTAAACACTATTTGTCACATTAAGGTTACATATATAAATATTCATAATAAAATAAAACTTATTTTGATAAAATATATATGATTAATTTGGAAAATTTTGATCAAATAAAATTCAAAAATCCCATTCTTGATAGGTATGTTATCTCCAATACAAAAGTCCACGGTCAATTTAAGCTTGTCGATTAATTGGAATCCTGCCTTAAGAATTAATTTAGATAACTTTGTAAGAATTAAAGCAAAGACGACCAGATTTGAAACTGGACAAGCAAGATTGGTAAAAATTCTGGGAACATTAAGAAATAAAAAGATAATAAAAATTAGAAGCTTGTATTGAGACCAGATAACAAATTATTTAAGCAGGCAACATGTAAGGAAATTATAATGACGATCAAAACTTTAAGGATTCGAGAATTTCAGAGCAACAGAGCAATGTAATTGAGAGAGAGAAAAAGGAATTGGAGAAGATGAAATAGAGACAATAAAAAGAAATAGATTAAATGTTGGAATATGAAAGAAGGATGTAAGAAATTAGATTGAGGAATGAGGAGAAATAAAAAATATAGATGGACAAATAAATGAGAAGAGAGTAGGAATTGTTGGAAAAAAGAGCATAGTAAGAATATGAGAAACAAATGAGAGAGGAAGAGAAAAAAAAGAAATAATAAGATGAGGAAAGACAGTAAAGGTAATTGGCCAGTGAACATTTCAGAAGAGAATAGGAAAGAGCTAAAATGGAATTGGAAAAACAAGTCTAATTAAAAATGGAAGCAAAAAGGAAGGAAGAAGAAAGAAGATTAAAATAATTGCAATTCTAGTAATAAACGCAATAAATTTAATAATAATATGAAGAGGAAATGTAGAAGAAAAGAATGATCATGTAATAAAAAGAAGTTGAACGACTTCAAACTATTGAGATTTAGAGATAATAAAGAATTTAAGAATCACAACAAGCTTAACAAGAGTTGGCTATTAAGTTGGTAAATGCAAGAGTCAAATAGGAGGATCAATTGAATAATATGAAGAAGGTATTTCATAATATCATGACTAGTCATTCGATTTGAAGTAATAAAGAATTGAGTAGAGAAGAAGAGAATTTGAAGAGATGAAAATGCAGAAAATGTATGAAAATCAGATACAGGCTTTGTAACATCAAGAGAAAATAAAGGAAGTGATGGAAAAGAATTAGTTTCAAGAGGAAAAAAAGAAATATGATTATTTTCATAAACTCTAAGAAGTTGAATAAAGAAAGGAAGAGTTAGAAAGGTTGAAGTAATAGGAATTAATTTCCAGGAAATAATAAATATATGAAAAAGAATTATAAAGATAATAGGTCTTATAAAATAATGAGAAATAATTGGAATTAAAGACCAATGATTTTCTAAGGAAATTCTAAGAAAAGGAATAATTAATTTACGAGGTAAGCAATAATTCAATTATTTAAGAAATAATTTGAAAAATAATAAATCTAACATGAGTAAAAAGTAAAGGAACTTTTAAAAGAATAGGATAAGAAGGAAGCATTAGAAAGAATTATGAGATTGTAAGAATACGAGAAGGAATTACAAAGATAAAAATTATAAGACAAAATGAGGAGAGCCGAAATTTTATAATTGGAGAAAAACTAAATGTTAGAGCAAAGAATGTTAATCAAAAAAGAGATTGGATTTCAAAAATAAGAATTAATGTAGAAATTAGAGTTGGTCAAATTAGGAAAATTGGATCCCTCTGCTTTAAATCCTGATGGCAATAGCATTCGAGCATCAAGTAGTTTGCAAAACAGTTATCATAACATTAGACGTATATAATAATAATAATTATATAAATAGCATCAACTGCCAAATATTAAAATACTTTATCGAACAAAGATATGCGTCACAATGTTAGACCTAAATCTTAGTAATAAAAAATATTAACGAATTCTTCAAATACTTAATAAGGTTCTCAAAACTAAGGAAAGTTTAACATATCAAATAAATACGAAAATTAATTAGATCAATTAAAGGTTCGATAAAACTAAGAAATGATAGATGTATAAATTAACTTATTCTGATAGGTGTTAGAAGAAGAATAGCAATTAGAATTTGAAAGAGAATAAGCTATGGCTAATGCAAAAAATCCAGAAGAATAAAAGAGACTTGAGAAACTATTTCAGATAGAAAGAAATAAAACTAACTAAAGACTTGATTAAATTAAGCGGTAATATTTGTAGATTAATAATTAGAGAGCATTAGAGATAATTGGAGGAATTTAGAAATTAAGGTTGAATTTATAAATTTATTTTTGTAATTATATGTATGTATTTTATAACAATTTATTTGGAAGACAGCTAATCTCTACAGTTTTTGTAAAATAAATTCATTCCTTTTATTAAAATTTCATAACTCTTAAGATTAAATGATTTAAGAAATCATAAGAATTTTTGAAGAAATATGTATATTTCTCTTTCTTAAAAGTTATTCTTTTAAAATGTTAATCTAAATAGAATGAGTCTATGCTGTTAGTTTGAATCAAAATTAAGTTAAAATTGAATGTATTATAGAATTCATTTAATCTCTATTTCATCAACACCATTTTATGGTCCAGATTTTTTTAGATTAGATTCAGTTCTCCATTTTTAAGCCCAACTTTTAATTTTCATCAATGAAACTAAGGAAAATGCATTATCTATGTCAACTTATGAGACTTCCATGACCTTTTCTTCTTGAACCCTAGGATTTAGTTATTGCAGTATAATACATTTCATCTAATAGGTTGGCAGAACTTTAATTAACCCAAGGATGCTTGGCAATTTCATTGACGGTTGGTCTTTATTTTGGATCTTTATTCAATATGAATCTAAGAAATTCTTTAAGTCCATCACTGATGGCAGAATCTTCAGGAAAAACCACTCTATATATTTGAATAAGGTTATACTCATTTTATGATATGTTCTTGAGTATGTCAGGAATGTTGTTTCCAGTAAATGGGACATTTAAGTAGGTGAAAGCGAAGAAGGTGATACCAAGTGCCCAAATATCGGCAGCCCTGCCAGAATATCCATCTTTGGCTGTTTCTTTATCGCAGGCTTCAGGAGGCATGAAATAATAAGTTCCTTGTGTATTCTCGAGTACATCATTTTTGGAACCCACAACTTATGAGACTCCGAAATCAGCAATTTTGGCAGTTTTGCCTGACATCAAAACATTTTGAGGTTTGAGATCTCTGTGTACTATTTTATTTTTATGGACTTATATATATATATTGAAACATAATACGGAATGCTAAGCCTTTAATGCAATCTCGAAAAAGTGAAGAAAGTACGTCTTCTGTTAATTCTTCATCTTCATTCAATTTATAAAATTTGCCCTCATCCTCATCCCATTCAATCAGTTGACCTCCTTCTGCGAATTCAAGAACTTAGACATAAAAATGAGGAAATTTACCCATGAACAGTTTGTCACAAGTCGGATTGTCAATAACTTCATAAAGTTAAATGAGGTTCTTGTGTCTGATTTTCTTCATGATAGCAATTTCTTTTCTGACGTCTTGCAAAGCATCTTTAACGACGAGATCTACATTTGAATAGAATGGGTAGTTATACTTCCATTAGCATCCTTAACAAATTCCCTTTGTCGTTTTAGCTTGCTCTTTTTAAGTATTTTGATAGCATATCTTTTGGAGGGATCTCCTTACTTGTGTGCCAGTTTGACTTTGCCGAAAGCACCTTGACCCAAAAATTCATCGAAAACGTAATCATTCAACATCTTTTGTCCCTAGAGATTGATAGATTTTGATGTAGATATACTTCATTGTTTTTCAGTGTGACTGCCTTGACAGTTTCTCTGACTTTTTTGTTTTTCTAAGAAAGAACTAATGAGATTGGATTACCTTAGGGATCTTGACCTAAACTAAAGTTTGAGGCTGTGTCTTTTTGTCTCTGAGTAACAAAGAAGTTTGTTGATCAGGCATATAGGGCGAGGCAGATTGGTCATGGATGACTTAATTAATTCTTGCTTCTTTTTTCTTTGCACAAACTGATCCCATTATTAAATTATATAATTGGGCTAATAAACTGGCGTTGGGAGTGAAGATTTTTGTAATTTAGGAATTCAGAAATTGGAAATGTAGGGCAGTATCATAACTTGCATACTAGATGTCTTAAGAATGTTGATAATTATTATATTTGGTATCATCATTTGAGATATAATATATTAATATTAAAAAAATGGAGGATCAATTGAAGAAACTGATAGAAGGAGACGAAATGAGAAAATTCAGCGACTATTTTCAGTACAAGGAAACGATTGGACAAGGTGCCTTTGGTATTGTGGTCAGAGCAGTTAACTTGACTACCCAATAAGAAGTGGCGATAAAAGTATGTTCTGCCAATCTATACGCATAGATAATAAAGAAGAAATTGGTGAATCGCTACGATCAATTGAAATAGGAATCTACCATCTTGGCTAGTTTAAGACACGAGAATATTGTGAAGTTCATAGATGTCAAGGAAACGGACACTAGGATCTTGATCATTATGGAACTGATACAAGGCGGTAAGCGAAAGCATAAAATCATAGGTTCCCTCGAGGATTTGATGTAGAAGTTGCGTAAGAGTGGCAAATGGTTTACAGAGGAACAATGCAAAACAATTATCAGGAATATTTTATAAGCATTGACATATATGCATAAGAATAATGTGGTGCACAGAGATCTGAAGCCAGAGAATATATTAGTGAATGAGGACTTGAGTTGTGTCAAGTTAAGTGATTTTGGGTTGAGTTCCGTTTAAAATTAATTAATGACTAAGCAATGTGGCACTCTGATCTTCATGGCCCCAGAACTCCTTATGAATAAAATCTATAGCAAAGTATTGACTCCGATTATCATTAGAATGTAGACATTTGGGGAGTTGGTGTTATTATGCATATGTTACTGAATTAAGGATAGCACCCATACTATAAGTCAGGGGACACTCTTGAATAGATTTTGCAGAAGACCAAAGTGATGCACGAGCATGTCACTCTTACTTAGTAACCATTTAAATTGATATAAGAATTTTAGATTGTAATATAGTCTATTTAAAAAATTGACTGAATTGGACCAAACCAAAAGATACAGAGCCGATTAGGGACTGCTTCATCCTTGGTTGAATGATTAGAGTGACGTTGAAGTACCCTAGACGATGGAGGAAATCTTCCACACTTGGATTTAGTAATAGAAGCTTCTGAATCTCATCAAATCAGTAATGTGTTTATCGAAACTGGGTTACATGAAGAAAATAGAGAACAGAGAGATTTGCAATCAGTATTCGGAGGAAAAGTCCAAATTGAAGGAAGATAAGAATAAGAAGGAAGGGAAACTTACCATCAATAAGGAATTTTATGATGAGTTGTTTGAGGATTATCAGAAGACCTTGACTGAATAATAGAAGAGATTAGTTTTAACAAGTAAATTCAAATAAAATATCGATAGCCCAAAAAGGTGAGAGCGATAAATAAATTAAATAATAGGTCCAGAGTCAATAACTATCAACAGTCTAGGCTAAATTGCAATTCATAATTCAAGCAAGATAACCTTCCACAAGTTCGAAAAATTTGGAAGAACCTATCAATGATCTTGAGAATGAAGAAGGCAAATTAGAGATGAATGAATCTTAGACTGATATGCTTGCACCCGAAAACGAGTTGTAACATGATACAAGTATTTTTGAGAAATCAGATCACAATATATCTCTGAAAATCAATCCCAATGTGAAGTCTCCAAAAAAGAAAAGAAAATCACCACTCAAAACCTAAACCAAATTGTACTTCTAAAAAAATGATAGTCTTAACAATTCTCAATAAGGAATCAAAGAAAAACCTAATAATTCCTAGGTCTCCAGTCCCATCAAAGTCATGAATAATAGCTTAGTTAATGGCAACAATACGACCAAGCATTAAATCAAGCTGAAACCATTGCTGAATTAAACCGATCCTCCAAAAGAAATAGTCACGAATAATACAATCCTTAATCCTAATCCAATCGCTTATGAAACCAATTTTCGATCGGCTATTAGACCTGTGAGATAGGCATATGTCCCAAGATTGTCCAGACTCAGTGTAGATAGAGATTCAGTCTAACCAGCAGTTTTAGATCTCTCTAGTATGGCTATGGGTGGATTCAGTCCTGTTCATAGCAATCAATTTTTATTCCCTACGAAAATCCAAAATTATGGTTCTTAAAAGAGAGCATATCAAAATGAGTTTCATCCTTCAAAAGTACTAACATCTTTGGCATCGAAAAAATCAAATGATCATTATAATTTTATTAATGGCGGGCCTAAATGAGATAAATTAAATATAATTTGTTCTTAAATTAAATTTATAATTAATGAATTAAAACAATACAATAAATATTAGAGCAATCAGAAATAAGAAATCAATTAAAAAGGACTTGTCATTATAACCAAAGAACATTCATGATCAATACTACTAAGAATCTGATGACAGTGAAGATGAAAAAGTATTATTACTCGATTCATATAGATCTTATCAAAAATTGGAAGATTGCAAACAAAGAAATACAAAGATAAAGATTTCATAGGTTATGATGAGAATCTTAACAAAATTCAGAAGAAAAAATAGTTCCAAGATACCATTGATGAATTCATTAATAAGACAGAAAACAAAGATTGGTGGAGAGTGGTCAGAGATGAAATGAACAACCAAGATGTAGTATTAAGTGACAAGCAATTGTAATTGTTAGACAGAATTAGAACAGGCAAAACTGCAATCAAATTAGCAGATGATGTAAATACCATAATATATATCAATATAGTATTACTTTGAACATGAAGATTTCAATCAATTTGATCTCCTCTCGTCATACAATCCAAAGCGTAGGTTCTTGCCTTCAAAATGGGAAAGAATCAAAATTAATAAATTAGTATAAGGCATTAAATTGGGGAGAATTGTGTTGAATCCACCCCAAAAAGTGGAGAAGATATTTGACATCTGGGAGAATGTAGCTGAAGATCAAGTGCTAAGCAAATACTTACCAGCAAGAATACCAGCTTCTAAGGCTCAATTGCCATCTAATGTTGCTAGTTATAATCCTCCAGAAGAGTATCTCTTTACTGAATAAGAAAAGCAACAATGGTTGTAAACTGACCCAGAAGACAGAGAAATACCATTCATCCCATAGAAGTTTAAACATTTAAGGAATGTTCCTTCCTCAGAACAATTAGCAAAGGATTTATTCAATCGATGCTTGGATTTATATTTGGCACCTAGAATTAGAAGAAAGAAGTTGATGATGAAATCTACAGACTTTCTACCAGAAATTCCAAAACCAGAGGAATTGAAACCATTTCCAACAAGATTGAATTTTGAATTTGGTTAGATTGATACCACCAAATCTGGACAAGTGAAACAGATCTCGATATCATAAGATGGTTAGATCTTGGGAGTGTGTTATGAATATGCAGTTGCATTCTTTGACGCTAAAACAACAAAGTGTTTACTTACTAAATGGTAATCAGAGGATAAACAATTTTTGGGATTGGATTTCAGTTAATCTGGATTAATTTGTATTCTATAATCAAATGGATTCATAATCTTAAATTCGTATATCGATAAGCGATAACATCCTAATGTTGAAGATGGTGAAAAAGCAAATAAGCAAATTCCCAAAAATTCTAACAATGTCTTTGAGTGGAATTTTGAATTGGATGACAATGTGTTTCAACAATTACTTGAAGTGAAAATGCCTTATGATCCCTTGTATGCTTAATTTCATAGTAAATCTGATTACATTGTGAGTACATAACCTCATACACATGTGAAATCCCATTGCATTTTGGTTCATTCCATCAGTAAATCATCAACATCGATTCCCTTTTAAAATATGAAAGCATCTACTGAAGTCTAATAGACTATCTTTCATCCTACCAAACCAGAACTATATATCATGACTAACAAAAACATTTTCATTTATTCACTAACCAAATAATAATTGATGAAAAAGCTATTGGCAGGTAATCAATAAAATTCAACAATTGCAATTCACCCATACGGAGACAATTTAATTGTTGGATCTAATGATCAAAAGGTGTGTTGGTTTGATTTAGATATGGGCAAAACTCCTTTCAAGAAGATGAGTTACCATAAAAATGGAGTCAGGCGTGTGATATTCCATAAGACTTATCCTTTATTTGCCTCCTGCTCTGATGATGGTAGAATATTCTTCATATCTTAGGAACTATCAACATCTTCCATTGTCGTATTAGTACTGATTTGAATTAAGCACCAGTAATTCTACCTTTGAAAGTGTTGAAGTAAAAGAAGAAGGAGTCTGTAATGGATGTTGCATTTCATCCAACTTAGCCATGGATTTATTCAGCAAGCAAAGAAGGAGTAGTAAGTCTATGGACTTGATGTATATAAATAATTATAATAAATTTGTTACGCATACAACCGAAAACAGTGTCAATCTGCATAAACATATTAAAATTAATTATTCCATAAAACTATCATTTGATACATCGATATAGTTCTTGCTCTAAGCACAATAGTATATTTTTATCATCTCTCCTTAAATCATATAAAAGTAGGATTATCATGAATACATTAACTTAGTTCTTCCTGTAGTCAATCCACTCAATGAATATAGAATAGATTCTACAATAAAACCAACTCTTGAGTATCAAAGATTGGATTGGGAAAGTAAATAATATATGAAATCAGAATTTATCAAAAATGATTGACTTTTAAAGTTTAAAGCACTTGAAACATTCTAGTTACAACAATGAGTGTGTTGGAAAGGATATAAAAATTGGAAATGAATCAAAATAAAAAGTAAATTTATAAAAATAAGGGGAGCATTTGGTTGTTTTGGTTTAATCGATGAGTTGATGTCATGGATTAAAATAATGCAAGAATCTAATTAAAAATGGGGTTTAAAGAATTGAGAGATTAGTGAATTAGATTGATTAATAAATAAAATATATATTAATGACATTTTGTGTATTGTTCATAATATTTGGGGCCACAATGGGTTTTCTAAAAGTTCAGAGTCCGATTAAGATTGATGAATTTTCCGAAATTATGTAGGCTGATTATTCCATTTCAAATTTCGGTCATATTCCTTATGGGAAAAGAATGGTTGCTCAACTATTTGCTCCTCCTGTGGATATGGAGAAGGATAAGGAATTTAAGTTATGCGAGCAACCCCCATTTAGTATGGGTTTGCAATTTTATTAACCTTCTGGTGATAAATGGTTGATTGCCAGGAGAGGAGGTTGCCCATTCACTCAAAAAGTAGAATTCGATGTTAATTGTAGGCTATCAATGCATAGAACATGAAGGCAAAGCTATTGATAATTGTGGACAATAGAGACGAGAAGGTGGAATCAATAATGATGGCTGACGACGGAAATGGATATCAAATTGATATTCCATCTATCCTAATCTCAAAAAGTGATGGAGAGAAAATACTTACTTATTTATCGAAATCCAATTAAAGATACTTGATCGGAAGTGTAGAATTTAAATTAAACTAAACCTCAAACCTAGTACTTATAAATTCATTTATGTTTAGACGAATGTGCTATTTGGTTTTAATATCGAAAACAAAGACACCTTCAGATTAATCAATGAGTTCAGACCCATCTACGAGGAATTGAAGGGTTATCTCAATTTCACCATCTTTTACGAGGTGCTGCGTTGTCTTTCCTGTGAGACAGGAGGTTGGAAGACTGAAAATCAAGATTGCCTTGGAGGAGGAAGATATTGTTAATTTGATCCAAACGGCGTTGCTTTTGGAACAGGATCAGACGTTCTTAAAGAATAGTTGCGTTAAACATGCATTTGGAAATACAATTCTGAACTTTGGTGGTCCTACATGGTATTTCATATATAATAACAAACATAGAATCACTTCACCAAGAAATGTACAAAGGAGAATGAATATGATTCATGTTTTGAGAAATTTGTAAAACCCGACGAGTTCGCAGCAGTAGAGAGTTGCATTAAAAGCTCATACAAGAGTCCTGTGGATTCTTTAAAAGGAGAGAATACCATATTGGAAGAGCACTTCAGATTGAGATATCAATCTGGTATAATCTTCTATCCTGGTGTGTCAATTAATAATGTGGCATACAGGGGCAACATCGAGGCATTGGAGATCAAGGAGGCCATTTGCGCAACTTATACTGACAAACCTGAGGCATGCGAGGAGAAATTAATATCTTTTGAACCCAATCGTTAAATGGAGAACTCTTACTTTTGGTTGATTGTTGTAGTTTGCACTTTGAGTGTTCTCTTTATTTTGTTTATTGTGTTCGTTTATAGACGTTAAATGAATAATAGCATGTAGAAAAACATCAGAGAACAGGTGAGTTAATAGGTGAACAATTACGTAAGGTTTTACGAAAGCAGAAGTGAGAAATGATAGATTGATATTAAATTCTATTAAATTATTATGAATCATTCAATAATATGTCATTCTAATAAAAGATTAATCGCTAATATTAATGGGTATTTTAAGGGCTTATAAAATTATTTACGATGCTCACCCAAAATTTAAATAATATGTTGGAATCAAGCTCAGGAGTGGTCCAAAGGGGTGTCTCTGAACCCAATATCGAGAAACAGGAGCAAAAGCCTAAGGCTAACCAAGATCTGGCCATGTAAGATTTTGATTTACACAAGTGGCCCAATCTGCAAAGCTCCTAACCATCTGAAGGATAAGTACATCAAAAGGGGCTACAGGATCAATTTCAAGAATAATAAGGATGTATTGAAGAGTCTGTTCATGTGGCACAACGAACTCGTGAATATTTGGACACATTTGATTGGGGCTCTGATCATCATCTCCCTGATATTTTATTTGTGGTTGAATTATGATGGATTGTTTAGATAAAAAGCAATCAATTCATTTCATGGTAATTCTCAAGCATTAAGATAGAATCTCTTCATAATATATATTAACAGGCATATGATTTTGAATAGCAAATCTAAGGGTAATTGGAACTAGGTTTACACATTTTACAGGATGATGCTCAGAAGGTTCAATAACAATTGCAGGAAAATATTGAAAACGTGAATAAGTTTATTAATGAAGTGGCCCATTAGTATGATTAGGAATTTCAGAAAATCCAAAAGAATATAGCACAAGCATTTGATTGGGAGAATTTGTAATGGAAGTACAACATATCAGAAATTATTTCTGATTACAAAGTTAAAGCAATAGAAATAGTTGAATCTAAAGATTTTGATTGGATAGATTTATATTTAGGATTTCAACATTTAACTGGCGGTTAAACTATTGATGAAGAAAAGCTTCACAAACTAATATCAAGATGGCCATTGATAGCATTTCTATTAACAGCCATTGTATGTTTGGGTTGTAGTACTGTATATCATCTTTTCTATTGTCTCTCAGAGAGAGTGAATAGAATACTACTAAGATTGGATTATGCAGGTATTTGCTTCTTGGTTTCTGGATCCACATTTGCTCCATTATTTTATGGGTTTCAATGCAATCCTCATTACGCAGTCATTTATGCGAGCATTTAGGGATTCTTTGCGATTGTGTTGTTCAGTTTGTGCCTATTCGACTTTTTCTATAAGGAGGAATGGAGAACATTGAAGAGCAATTTGTTCGCAGGACTCGGAGTCACAAGTGCAATTCCCTTTATTCATTTTGCAATAGATGATGCTAAATTGGAAGGGTTTAGTTTCGCAACCTAATTTCCATATTATGTTGCCATGGCAATCGCTTATCTGTAAGGATGATTAATTGATTGTAGTTCTGGCCTGTACATCTATAATATAAGGTTCCCTGAGAAGCACGTGCCTGGGAAGTTTGACAACTGTGGACAGAGTCACCAAATCTGGCACATTAGTGTAGTGGTGGCAATTCTATTTACGTATGTGGGTTCCTTGAATGCCTACTATTAGAGATTGGATCAGCCGTGTAGAGAGTGATGAAAGATGTTTATGTAAATAATTATAAATTATATTTAATAAAAAAATATAAAATGATAAAGAGAAATACCTAATTAAAGAAATAAATAGTATCTTCTAGAAATTAAGGGACCAACAATAAGGCGTGTCTGAAGCCTTAGGTGTTTCAATTCCCACAGTTAATGAATAAAACCACTACATTTTCTGAAGCAATCAGATTCTAAGGACAGATTCAATAGCCATTGACACCTGAGATTATGATTCGACAATCCATGAACAAACCCAAGATGATCGAGCAACCCAAATTCAAAAACAATTATGGAGTTTAACGCTTTTCGGCCAAGGTTGTTTCAAAGCAATAAAATGTGAAGGAACCAGTCATCATAAAAATAACTACAAGCAAGAATCAGCAGGTGATTCAATAATTGGAAGAGTAGAGCGAATATCAATTGAGTGAATTGGGTACATTCGACGATTTGATTCAGCAAATCCAAGAACGGGTGTTGGCTAAAAATTCAAACATCTCATAATTGGCATAAGACATCTGTTCAATAGAAGCCATTGATTTGAGAGGTCTGCAATGCATACCCTAATTGATCAAGCATCTTGTGATTTCATCAGTTTAGTAATAACTTCAGATACCTTAAATTTTATCGATCTTATTCACATTGAGTGAGGAAATCATGACCAGAGATGATCTGGATGAATCCTTAATGGAAATCATCAAAGTCTATTTGCAGAGGGGTTATGAGACCAATCTTCAAATGATTGTCGTCTTCATCAAGCGTTGTGGGTAGATGATCTATTATATCAGAGCCAACAAATAGAAGGTGTTGAGTGAACTTCTCATAACACTCTTACTCAAATTCAATGGGTTCAATATGTAGGAAGAATCTCAACTGCAATTGGCATTCAACATTGTATTGAGACACAAACAATTGAGATTGTACATTAAGGATAATAAAGATATTGTCAAATTGAAACAACCCACATTAATAGAGTAACTATAGAAATTTAAAATTACAATTAATTGATAAAATGAACTTCGTTTATATTATTATCTTAAATTAAATGCATTCCTAATACTCTATATAAAAATCAAATGAAAATGCAAAACCATGAAAGGAACATGTAAAACAGAAATATGGGATACACAGAAATGACCTTCTTCTCCTCGTTCATCATACTACTCATAAAAGACAGCGAAGCTATTCAATAGTGTCAATAAACTCACAAAATGTCGACCACAGAAATGCAACTCCAACAATAATCAATCTCAAGAAAAATCCAAAATAAGATTAAAGGAAAGTTATCACAACAGCAGCTACGTTGATTGGAAATACACAATAACCAAGGACGCAAACACTCTAAAAAAAGGATACTTATCCACCTAACAGTTTTGCATTTACTCTAATTTCAAACTTAAATTTACGTTATCACAGCAGACCCTCCCCACATTATTATAAAGATTGTGCCAAAGATAGTGTCAGCTAATAATCAAGTCAATCAATACATGACTGATTCGAATTGATGCCCAGGGTCCTAATTGATAATCAATATTGTGTGTACATCGCTAGCAACAATGATAGGAGTAATGGTCCCCATAAATCCCCTAGATGTAATGTAATCGATTGTCTTACAATTCCTCAGCTTCCTTCCTTGGGTCTCCTTCATCCTTGGAATGATCACATAGGACAATTTATACAGGATCATGTTGATGTCTCTCAACTTTACATTACAACCATTATTACTAGAGTATCCAACACAGGCTCATCGAGAGTGTTCACTTACACTTCTTGTTAATTCATGTGAGCATAATCCACGAATTTGGCTTGTCCTTAGAACATCCCACTCCCGAAAGGGTGATTATCTGTCATTTTATATATATAAATATAATTAATCTTAGGAATAATAATATAGATTTAATTCAAAACCTCATAAAAGGCCTTTTAGTCGGTGTTTTAGACTGTGCTTAGAATGATCTATTGTTAGGAGATTTGCTTCTGGCATTGTATTTGTCATTGAGTAATTCTTTATACTTCATTTCGAAGGAAGATTAAGTTCTTGATTTGATTTGAAACTTAGAATTTTATTGTGATTCTTCCAAATTTATCATAAATCATACCATCTTTTATCGCAATGTCTCTGAGATAGAACAACCCCAACATATTTTGATATCCACATTGTATCAGCTTCTTCTCCTAATCAATCTTCACTACTACCACCTTATTGCCGGGTCTCAATGTGAAAATGTCTCCACTTAGTGATTTGCAAGTATTCAACACTATCCCCTGTTTGCAGTATTAAAATTGATTTTGTTAAGAAAATTGAGAATATTGCTGTGAAGCTGAATTCGGAACAGTTTTCTGGGAAAACAAACTCAACCTCGCCTTCTAAGGAATGTTATTGGCTTACAACTTAGACAAATGACTAAGAATGGGATTGCAATTCTATTCAAAATTAAGTTGGGTTTGCTCTGGTTAATTAGAAGTCTAATCATAATTACCTTGTTGACTTTGCTGTTGAGAGAATCTTGGTTGAGTGTTTTTATCCAACAATCTCAGGAGGTTGTGATTTTCATTCCTTTGATAATCCTTCGAGGAAATCTCTGAGGATTGTTCAATGGAGGATTTGGAATGATCGGAATCCAATTGGCTGACTTGGATTCCGATTTCTAATTTGAAATCCGAAACAGCCTATTAAGAAGATTATTGGGGTTTGAAATAATTCATTTATTTTGCTAATTGCTCTTGACGATCAGTGTGTCTTCTAGAAATTGGAATGTTTGGTTCAAAACTGTCCTGACTATTAGAGTGTCTGCTGTCATCTTGTTTCGTATAAGTTTTAGAATTGTTCATTTTGCTATTGTTAATTTCATCTTAATATTTAATGTTTGCATTTCCAACTCTCTACTTCTTTAGATGCTGATATCGTTGGATCGTACTTTCTAAATTTGAATCATGAATCACATACCACTCATCTTAGCCGATTACCCTTCGTTGTCGTAATCCTCTTCCATTATTTTCTGTAACTTTTTAGTTTGCAATAAGCCAGCCTCACTGCTGCTATTTGAATCCTAATCGGAATGGACCTCGTTCTTTTTCTGCATTTAAATGCCTTCCATGAAATTCCCCTTCCTCTATTAAGACTAGTTCTGCAATAAATCCAGGGCATTGTTAATCGACTATTGTTGGTTGCCATTGAACGAACTCTGGTACTTCTTGTTTTCATTGGATTGTGTCTTATCAGCCTTAAAAAAATTATTCATTTTCTTGATAGACATTTTGGTTAACCGATTAAATTATAATCATTATATTTTTTATTACAAATTTCAGATATAAGGCTCCTCACTTCTATCATTACCAATTATTTAATAATGCACAACGAGTAATTATAAAATGCAATCTAAATTCTCGATTATTTATATATATATATTTATGACTGATAGTTCTGGAATCAAGTATTTGGAATAGTACGTTTGCTTCAATTCCATGTAAGTTGGATCAAAAGGAACAGTATTTAGAGGATGTTTATTGAATAACACAACCGAATGCTTGGCAATTAAATAATGCGAATTGCATGTAAGTGTTAAAATTAAGTAAAAAGAGTGAGTCTGAAAGTTTGAAGACCTTGGATCTCATCAAAATGGAGTTGAAGAGATTGCAGAATATCAAGCATCCCAATTTCATTAAAATATACGATGTCATCAAAAATCACAATATGCTATACTTTATCCAAATGTATTGTGAAGATGGCAGTCTACAGGATTATCTTGCTCAGCGAAAGGACAAACCCCTAAGCGAAGTACTTTATGTGTTCATTAACTAAGCATGAGGCAATACAATTCATGTAACATATTATCGAAGGATATAAAGAGTTAAATTTGGTTAATATCATTCATAACAACTTAAAACCATCCAACATCCTCTTAAACAAAGGAGTGGCTCTGATCTCCGATCCCTATTACGCAGGAATTCTCCAATAAGAAGTCATGAAAGGACTAGCCATCTAAGATGCCAACACCTAAAAGAATCTTCCATTTCCAAGTCATTTGGCTCCAGAAGTTCTGCATGGATAGCCTTACACTAATAAATGCGATATCTGGTCTTTAGGCTTGATATTTTATTAAATGCTTTATGGAGTACAGCCTTGGTATGCCTAAAATATCCACGAATGGTTGGATAATATTAGCAAATTCGTACGTACTTATCTCTCTTAGTTAGCCATTGCAATTCCCACCTCGACCAACTAGAAAATAGAATATTAAAGAACTCCTTACCAAAATGCTCACTTTCTCTCAGGAGGACAGAATCTCTTTCCAAGATCTGATTCAAGATCCCGTACTCATCATCAAGCAAGATGAAGAATAAATTGATTTCTAGGGTACTTCAGATAAAGGTACTATTGATTTAAATTTAAATTAGATGAATTTTTGTATTTAATCAAAGCAAACGGGGTTATTCTCGAAAAAAATTTAGTGGTCAAATACCTAATGAAGGAGCAGGTAGTGTTATCATTAGAGGAAAATTAATGGAAGCAGAGTGATGTGGAGGCGAGGATCTAATAATGTTATTATGAGAAGGAACCAGATATCTCGGTAATTGTTAATATCTATATAAAAAGGTTGAAAGGATGGCCATTAAATACAAAAACGACAAGAAGAAGAAAGACATTTTCCAAAAATACTATTAGTATTTCATTTTCGAAAGAAATATTGCCTTCTTTTTTAATTTCCTTGTGCAAAGGATTGTGAAATTGCAAGTGGATTGGCAGATACAATTACAAATCGACTTTTATCATAGGTTGATTTACTTAATAGCCAAATATTAAATGATTATTTTAACTAGAATTAGTAACTAGCTTCAAGCAAATGGTAATCATACGTTTGATCAGGATCTTTGGGGAAGATTTCAAAAATCTTAAGTATTTAAGATTGTGTATAAAACATTAGTAATATCAACTATTGGTAGCGTAAATAGAATAAGATGGTCTTAATTCTTTGGACTTCTATAAGTCAATTTCAAAAAGGTGTTAGCAGGTACTAAGAGAGGAATTCGAGAATAATAAACACAATCAACTGATAGTGGGCATGATCAATAATTTCTCGGCAGTCTTGAACGAGAATTTTGAAGCTAATGAAATTTTTAATGTGCTCTTTAGAGAATGCATTATGGAATGTCTTAAGGTTGTCAAAACTTTGGCAAGCAAATAAGTAGACATCAATCTATTAAATTACTATCTATTGGTCTCACTCAATCCCTACGATGAATTCAAAGATATCAATTACGATTTCAACACATTTTATGAAGATTCAGAAAATTATTCATTCTAAGAATTACAGGAAAAACTAGCAAAGAAAAGCAATAAATGATTGTATTCAATATTACAGAAATTGATATATAATAATATTATTCTGAAATTTAAAATACCCATCTTCAGGAATTCTCAGTTTTTATAAATCTTAATTTACTAACTTTATTTTCTATTGAAATCAATATGGAATCGAATTATATGTTGTTTAAAAATTGAATAAATAATTAATCAAAAAGGATAAATAATTATAATGTAGAAATCTTTTGAGAATGATTAATAAATTGGTTAAGCTTAAAACTTCCAAAGTCAGGTTGATGAATCAAGGGGTATATTGCCAATCAGTAGGTTCAGTGATCAATTAGACTTTAAATACAGTCCTTATCTAACATAAATCCAAGAATCAAATAACATTGTAATCCCTTTTACTCCAGAATAACAATAAAGTCCTAATTTAGAAGATAAACTACTCGTTAATGCCACTGAGGATTAGAAATTGAAATTCTTTCGGTCAACACTCTACTTGTGGCTGACGTGGGAGTCTGTCATGTTTGTAATTTTGCTTTTCAATGTCATGCAAATAGAAGTCTACTGTAATCAGATAAAAGGACTTATACTATTTGGATTTCTGTTATTCGGTGCATATGCTTTAATCTTGATAAAATATAAGATTGAAAGGAAAATAGGATGTCTGGATGTCATAAATAATAATAATATTGATAAACTAATCCTTTTTATGGTAATGGTAGTGGAAGGTTTTTTCCATGTTAAGTTAATTGCCGTTATTGAATGCTTTTGTGTGGGGAATAGAGTTTATGGAAAAAATTTTGATTTTTAGATGGAAAAACAAATAGTTTATTAAGGGATATTAATCCACTTATCGATATTAATATCAATTGGTTTCATTTTAGTTACGACATTGATATAATAAAAGATAGATCCAAAATGTAAATAAGTGAGTTATATAATTAGAATATTTCATAATTTCTTCGATTATTTCCTTATTGCTGGGAATAATGTATTAAGCAGCTTCGCCAGAAATTGAGATAATTCCAATAATGGTAATTTTTGCTATATTTTGTTTATTTGGCACTGTAACGGTTATTTCAGGTTAGCAAATTACCAATGGAAAAGTAATAATGTATTTGATATTTCTTTAGTTTGGTTTAGAAAAGAATCGAAATTAAATGGGATCCTTGTTATTGTACTTAAACTTGTTCAGGCTTTGCTTTTGATATTACTTAAATGTTTATAATAATTATAATATCAATAATTAATTGTAAGTATTCTGATCAAAAATATAATTAATGGAAAAAAATTAAAGTTTAATTAATAAAGTATCACCATTTGCTTCGATAAGTGAGGGATAAAAGTATATAATCACTAAAAATCTACCTTAATTGATTTAGATAGTCTTGAAGGATGCTGCTGAGTTTCAATCAACTCAAATATAGAAATTAAAGGCTCTGCAATAATTGAAGATGATCTGTTGCATAGGTGACATTGGAGAATATCTAACTCAAGTATTTAAGTTGTTGGCCAAGATTTATATGAATGACGATAAATATTATTTGAATGAAGTAAAGATGAATTAGATTATGAATAGTGTAGATAAATATGTTATGTGATTGGATTAAAGGTACAAATTGATTATTATTTGCCAACATTGATAAACTAGGCGAGATTCGAATTGTAGGCTCAATAATCGAAAACATTATGCAATCTGATCAATATTATAAGTGAGACGATAGTGCATGAGAATGACAATCTTGATCTTCAGAGTTTGGTTCATTTGATTGGAGATATTGAGAGTGTCTATTCTGATTGTTGGGAAGTGATGGAATGCATTTATTACTTGGAAAATCGAATAATAAGTTAATCCTAACAGGAATTACCAATTTATGTGAGACAATTGTTCTAAGCACTTTTAACGATCAGATCATTTAATAAGTTGGATTGTGAACCGTTGCTTCATTCATTGTCAACGAAGTGCGGATACACAAGTGTAACTGATTTGCATGCAAATGAAATAAGTTTGATTCTAGAACAAATAGTAAATTAAGAGCATTTTAAGACTTGGAAACACAACACTAGAGAATTCTTAAAATTTAAGGCAATCGTAACAGGATGTGGAGATGGAATATCTAAATACATGCAATAGATAATATAGATAATGAAATACTCTTTGGGTGGTGACTAGGAAGTTGAATTGCGTTTGGAAGTGCTTTTGTTATTGGACAAAGTAGTATAGATAGAGTCAATCAAAGACAGCATAAGAATGTATGCAGCAGTAATGATTTCCTAATTGTTAATACAATCAATGGTTTGGAAAGCCAATAAACCAACGGTGAAGGTGAGAAAGGCAGCTGTAATAATAACTCTGTATTTGAGTGAGATGCTGAGTTAGGAGGAAATATTGGAGTTGTTCCCAGCATTGGCAGCTCCCTTGAAATCATGTATGACTGATGATTGGGCACCTGATTTGAGATTTGCATCAAGCAAATTGGCTACAAGTTTAATAAAGAAGTGTTAGATTTTAAATTATGAAATCATAAGAGATTTCTATCCTTCTTTATTGGAGAGATTGGATGACTCATAAAATCAAATCAGAATAGAGATTACTTTTGCAATTGCAGCAATAATGTAGTAGAAGTACGATTCAACGACGATATTGGAATACATTGTAAAGGCGACATTGATTCATTTGGACGATTCAAGTGAAGAAGTGCAGAGGGCTGTTTTCGAGTGTCTTTTGAGATGTCCAGAGAAAGGAGTTGTGTTGAAGGAGGCAGAATTGGCAGTGAAGAATTTCAAATATCCACGATTGTGTTAGGAGTTGATTAAATTGGTGAGTTGAATATAATTGTGACATATATATAAATAGTTAGATTATAATGTAATCATTATTACAATAATATTAAATAATATGAAAACAATAGATAAATATACATTGCTCAATTAAATAGGGTAAGGACAATACGGCAAAGTATACAAGGCGAATAAGCATAACACTCAAGAATATTATGCAATCAAAGTCATCAAACTGACTCGATTTAAACAATTACCGAAATTAACTTAATTCACAATGAACGAAGTGGAAACATTAAAACGAATTAACAACCCAAATGTGATCAAATTTATCGAATTATTCAATTCTAAGAATAACCTATATTTAGTTTATGAGTTTTGCAATGGTGGTAATCTTGAAGAGTATATTCAAAGAAGCCGGAACCTCAGGGAAAGCGATGCGATGGATAAATTTGCTTAATTATTGAATGGGTTTGAATCTTTGCAGAAGGAGAACATTCTGCATCGAGATTTGAAGCCTTCCAACATTCTTTTGCATGACAACATTGTGAAGATAGCAGATTTCGGTTTTTGTAAAAATATTGAACCTTTCGATCTCACTTAAACAATGGTAGGATCTCCAATTTACATGGCCCCTGAAATCTTGTTGGGAGAACCCTATAGCTTCTCTGCTGACATCTGGTCTCTTGGAGTGTGTCTTTACGAGATGCTGTTTGGAAGATGTCCCTATGAAGACGTGACCATTCCAAGATTAATGTACCAAATCCAAAATCAACCTGTAACGATGCACACCATATTAGCTGACATTCCCTTACCAAATCGGAGAGGGAATCGAACGACTGTTGAGAAGGATGCTCACTGTTGATCCGAGACAGAGAATATCCTGGCAAGAACTGTTTCAACTCAGGATCTCCAAAAGTCAGAAGAGTGTCTCGCCACTCACCAACAGTAATAGAAGAGGTGTATCTCGTAAGTGTAATATAATTTAATATTAGCAATTAGATAAAACTCCTCGCCCTATCAACAAGTGTTCCAGAAGAAGAACAGTCAGCACTTCTCCTCAAAGATGACTGAGTCATCCGAAAGTGGAATCTACACTAACATCAAGATCATCCTGCAACAAAGGAAACAATTGCATGAGCACATTCAAGCCATCATCAAACTCTTAGAGGTCAATGACAATGTCCACGTCCCCTTAATGGTACTCTTCATGATTAGACACATACAATCTCAACTGAAATTAAATTTCGACTCTCTCATCAGATTAAGAGAATTCAAGAACACTCCTCAGTTCGACAAGATACAAAGTATTTATAAGGAAGACGAAAGGTATTCCTTTTTTAATTACTCTCTCTCCTTTTAGCTAAATCTTCCTCGTCGAAAAGCAGATAGTCCAGGAATTGAACAAGTCCCAATGTCCTTCTGACAACGTCACCACCGAAGAATTCCAATGGAATACTAAATAGTTCTTGCGTACCATCTCCGATGATATCCAATTGTCAGAATTGCAGAAATATTTCTATCGATTTTTAGATTCACTTAATAAATGATATAAATATAATATTGATATTTCATATTTTCACCTTTTTATTTATGTCATCGCCAGATATCCAAGCTTAGATTTATTGTTAACACTTAGTAAATGCTTCATACTCGATGTTATCAACAATTATTTAATATTTTTCCCGCTCTATTTCAATAAATGCAGTTGGAGACGTATTTTATATCATATGCACAATCAATCCTATCTGCTCCGGAGCCAATTATTTTAAATTATTCGAAAATTCCACCTTGTCATTATAAGTCACCTATTCCTAAGGTTCCTCCTGATACACATCCGATGTAATCTCCTTTGTTTTTGGTACCACCTAAGGAAGGTTCACAAGAGGCAGATAATTCTTCACATTCTTCTTAAACAACCTTTCCAACTTCTCAGCGATTTTGGTTATCCACTATCAATCTTAATTCAAATTATTACACTCTGCGGTCCATTGTACAATTTGCAATTATCCCAAATTAGTGATATCTCATCCAAACACTCCTCTACAGTTTTGTATGCATTGTTATTCAATTTCAATTGTACCGTCCCTAAATCCATAGGTCTCTTAACTATTTAGATATAATCAGGCAGATTCAATCTCTTATAATCTACAGGCTAACGAAACTCGACACTATCATTTGAGTCAATCAATTGTTGAACTATTTAATTCAGTCGTTTTTATTCATCTTTATTTAGTGGAGTTTGAGTATTTTTTATCATTCAGATGAGATTGTATATAATATTTATATAAAAATGAGATAATATATCTTTTCCTCTTTTAACCTTCTGCCTCTCCTCAAATTCTAATAACACCATTAGAAAATGCTTTCATCATACCTTCTAATTTCAGCATTCTTTCATTCTCATTTCATTTATATAATTAATAGAAATAAATCTTAAAATGGATCCAAGAATGCTAGTTAATTATAACATTGAAGCTCCAGCTCCGAATTATCCAAATAGAAGTTTTTTCCTTGAGAAATTAATTGGTTATGGAGCTGAAGGATTTGTCTATTAAGGGAAAGTGTCAAAGTGGAACAACAGGGTAAACGATAGAGTTGCTTTAAAATTGCAACCAAAAATTAAATAAGACGAAATAAATTTCATATTGTCCCTTATTTCAATTTAAAATAAATGCGAACAAGCAAGCAACCCAAAATTATTGTCGTTATCAGAACAGGCATCTTGTAATATTATCAGAGTTTATGAAATAATTAAATGGAATAATTATATCCTCATTCTGATGGAAGCTGGAGTCTAAAACTTGAATAGTTATTTGTTATCTGAAAAGAACCTAACTATTTAGACTAAACTAGATATTATGAAATAAGTATTGCCAATTTATATAAATTAGATCACATAATCTATTCTATTCTTGCACCAGATTGGGATAATTCACAGAGACATTAAACCAGAAAACTTCATGCAAGTCGGTTAACAATTCAAATTAATTGACTTCGGCTTGATTCGCCAAAACAGTGAACTAATAAAAACCGCTCATGTTGGAACTCCTCTGTTTGCAAGTCCAGAGATCTTTGAAGAAACTACTCACTATACGTAATCGGTTGATATCTGGTCATTGGCTTGTGTTTTCTATGAAATTATTCAATCTTAACCCCTTATTTCAGGTACTCTATTACAATATATATGTATAGGAAATACTATTGAGGATGTTAAGAAAAGAGTACTAAATCATAAGTACCAACCAGAAGCAATTTACAACAAGATTGAATCTTTATAAGTATCTACCTCATTGAAAAGTTTATTAAAGTAAATGCTCAACCCTTCTCCCTAAAAGAGATGCTCAATAGAGGAAGTTTTGGATCAACTCTAAAATATCATGAAAAATGATTATTAATTAGGGTAATAACGCGATAATCCTAGATTAAATGATAGCAAAGATAATCCTTAATAATAATAATTTATGAATTAATCTCCTTTCAGATAAAATAAAACTGATTAAAACTTCTTTGTTTTTCAGAATTAAAATAATTAACAACAAGGTTCGATCTAAAAGAATGGAGTTTTTCCAATCAACAATTAGTAATTTGAAATGTAAAATTTTGTGAAAGGTGGAATTTCTTAAATCTAATAAATTTTGGGAACTCAAGTCTAGCAAGCGTAGGATTAGAATAGGGAATTAATAGAATAGACTATAAGTTTAACTTAATAAAATAAATCATTAATAGAACTTACTGAGAAAAATTAAAAATAGATAGAATATTTGGAGAAGAAATTATTTGAAAAAGAAAAGGATGACTCGAAGGAAAAATCATAGATTGTCTCAAACAGAAGCTAATGCAATTGCGAAGCAGAGAATAAAAAATTATTGGCAGAGCTTTAAAAACATATGGAAAAAGAAAATTAATCAAATCTTGAATAAATTAATAAAATGAATAAAACTTTTTCATATTTCTAAAAATCAATAGATAGGATTTCAACAAATCTTGAAGAAATTAAAAAATAGCATAATGAAGAACCCACTAATTCTAAAAATAGTCAGTAATAATCCACAAGCACTTTAAATAGTATTATTGGTTTCATTTAAAACTCTGAAAAGAACATGTAATAATCAATTGCATAATTACAATAGAATATTTAGTCGTATTAACAAATTTTAAATAAGTAAATAGAGAAAAATGAATTTGATGAATTTAATAATACATAAAAAAATTCAAATGATAATAATTCGAAAATGATTGCATAAATTTATAAGCAAAACTAACAATTGAATAACAATTTATATGCTGAAATAATCAGTAAATTTGAGAAATTATTGTATGAATCATCTTTAGGCATTATTCAAAATCTTAAACACGAATTTACCAAGAATTATTCAAAGATTGCAGATAGAATACAAAACAATACTGGTCAATCTCAATAGCAAAATACACAAGCATAGACACAGGTTACATCACACCAAAACCGGTATCAATTTCAACAAAATCAAGTTATATAATAGACAAATTAATAGGAAGGAGTAAATTATAGTATTTATATTTAATAATTAACATTAGGGTCGTCGAATAAATAGGAAAAGCCTAAAACTTTGAAATGAATTATATATATTATCTATCAATCATAACATTGTCTCAAGGTTCTTTATCTTCATTTAACTTAGTTTTACCATTTGCTCTTAATTTTTTGCAAAGGCATAAAATATATAAAATCATTGCGAACAAAATGAATAGAAATATGATAGATAATGTTATCATCCAAATAGGAACTTTCTCTTCGATCTAAAATTTAAGTTTAATTAATTTAGTACAATTGGGTCAATCTCAACTGAGCACTCTTTTTCAAAATCTCTCCTTTAATTTTCAATCAACTATTTAAAGATTTTATAGGAACATTTCTTCGAATCCGTATTACATATGTTCATTTCGGTGCCATTATAAAGGACTTTAATGTAATGATCATGGGTCTGTTCCTCTTCCCACAATTCCCAAATAATATTAGAAGCAAATCCAGGATAAGTGTAAATACAATTTTTGTTACTGACTTCTTGTCCCAAGTAAACCTAAGCCATGCATTCGGCTGATGTAAAATTTAAAGCTGAAGCAATCAATTACACATTTATATCATGGGCTGAATAGATGATATATTTTTGACTCTTATCGGTCTCTTATTGGGTCAATGCTGTATCAAAATAGGAGAGTAAAGATTCGAAAAATGGTGAAGAAAACACATCTACCTGACTATCTTAATAATTAAATAATTTACTGCTTGGTTTGATAGAGCTGTAAGGCAATAGTTAGGGCATAGAGAGAGTCAACTTTAAGATATGTTTCTTTTGTGAGATTAGGGGGCATTGGATAATCATTGTAAATGCATGAATAAAATGTATCCATATATTCTGTAAGAGTGAATATGTTGAATTCAAGTGGATCAATATTCATTTCATTACAAAATTATAGTAAAGTGCTTTAAGCTTTAATCATTACAGATATAGTTAAGTTGGTTTGCATGTTTTGGACAAACATTTCATACCCTTTAGGACAAATAAGTATTGATAAGAGTCTATCATCAGTTATTGCTTCTCTCATGTGAATAGGTAGTATTTGAATATCATGTTGAATGGCTGATTATCCAATATCAGTCGGTGTTTCCGCTCCTGGGTTTGGTGGAATCAAATAACTATCCTTAACATTAGGCACTTTGGGTCCATTGTTTGAATACATCCCTTGCAAATTACTCATGGCACTCATGATTGTTCGATTAACATCTGTTGAGTAAACAAGGATTTACGAGGCATCATAGGTATCACTTAGGAATTATAACTCAGTTATATATCTCTATCTCATCCATTGACCTAACACAAAATGTTATCTCATTCCTGTAGGAGTTAGAAAGCCATTCAACAAATCATTATACAGAAAGTATTCACAATTCCAATTGCAATTTACAGGCGTTCTTGATCCATGTCTCCACATAGCCTAAATAAACAACAATTTATCAGCACACAAGCATTGATATAAAATAATTGAGATGATTAGAATAATTTTCATGAGTATCTCGAATATTTATTTATGGATATATTTATTTAAGTTACATATCAGATTAAACAGGCATACATATATAAATTCTATATTGTCTATCTATAATATTATTAAAAATTTATGTAAATATTTTTGTAAAATAATTTAGTTTGTATATATCTAAAGGAAGTTGATAAAACTTAGAACTATCCTTTGATAAAATTGTAGATGTAAATCAAAACTATAAAAAATTATATTAATTTCATTTATTTTGAAATAAATTTATTTGTAAAATAAATCCTCAATGCTCTTGTCAACATCTAAATTGACTTCTTCAAAACTTTAAAGATCTCAGATATCGAGTCCTCAAAGATCAACTGTCAACTATCTAAGTCAGGACTTGGACTCCCCTTCTAGATAAAGAATAAAGCTTCTTTCAGACAAATGGAATCACATCCAAAATGGAATTGATAAGGATAAATTAGAAAAGAGGGAGGTGTTAGAGGAAAGAATTAAAATCATTGAAGATGTTTTAGCATCAGAAAAACCAAAGGACGAATAGAAGTTCAAAGTGCTTAAGGATTCAGTATTGAAGTTGTAAGATTCTGCTCATAACTAAAAGTCCGAAAGAGAGGTTTGACTATCTCTTATGTTATATAGGCCTTTGATGACAAGAAAGAAAGAGACTTTAGAACTTTATCTGATAATATAGCTCTTTCTTTTGAATAGGAGAAGAATGCAAGAAGTCAGGGAGAAACCAAGCTACAAAAATAAATTGATGAGAGGTTTTCATAGATAACATTGACAATAACAAGGAACACACATCAATATGAGGATAGAAGTCAAGCTAAGATAGCTGAAGTTCTTCAGTAGATTTAGATAGTGAAAAATTAATTGGATTAAGAAAGGAGATCAAGGTAGAACTATATACATATTGTTTCAGGGAAGAGTCCTCAGAAAGTTTGAGTGATTAGATGGATAGTGAAATCAATAAGTTTTCAGACTAATTGTTGGTTGAGAAAAAGGTGAGAGAAGAAACATAAGGGAAAATATTCAGAATGATTGAAGATGTCCATGGGAAATTGTAATAGGACATTTCATTTGAAAGAAGAGAAAGAGAAGCCACGACTGAGGCATTATTGAAACTATTAGAAGATGCTTGCATCAAAATAGATAAAAATTTTAGATATTGATATGATTATATCTATGTCATACGGTTTTATTTGGCCACATTTATTTATATATTGACTATAAAAGATGATGTTATTTCAAAATGACAATTTGAATGTCGCATGTATTATTTATAATGATAATGATTTCTATAATTGATGATATATCATGCCTATTCTTATCCAACCTAGAGCTCAAGTTCAGCAATTCTTCTTTATAATCCAAGTAGTTGTTATTGTAAGGCAGTTTTCTCTCCTTTAAGAGCAGTAATTTACTATTATAATCTAGAATTCTCTGCTTTCTGATGAGCAAAATGTCTATTGTTATTAAGTAATATGTACCTCTTCATTTCTTCTTCGATTCTCATGAGTTCATTAGTTAATGTTTTCTTAACATCCTAAGTTTTCATGCTCAAAACTGATTCGAGTGTATCCTTCTCTGATTTCAATATTTAGACTTCTTTTTTGTGGAAATTCATCTCATCCTAGATGCCTTTGATTGTTTCCTGATAGAATATATAATATCAGTTTCATTACTTCCAAGCTCATTAATTTCCCCTTCAAGGATGCAGGGTTTTATGATCCTGCAAAACTTTGACCTGTCTATCCCAAATCATTTCCTTTGGCAAGTGTATTTCCAGCTGACTTGAATGCGTTGCTCATTGAGGATGTCGAGTGTATATTTATAAATTAAAATTATTATTAATTTATGAAATCTCTTATCACAATATAAAATTCTCATTATAGTTTATTATTGATTAATAAATGTTATTCAATCATCACAAAATTAATTTTAATTAGTTTTTTTATTGATTCACATTATAAATAGTGCAATCAATATATAAATGTAAAATTATAAATAAAATTTTAGAACATTCATAAAGCATCTTATATTAATATTAAATGAGTTCTGAAAATACTAATTATATTCTCATGGATGCTTTCAATTTGTTTGCAGTGATTAAGATTGAGTAAGATTTTCTATTAGTCCTTCTACATATTGTTTAATATTTAAAAATCAGTATTATTATTAAAATTATTAAAATAAATGAGCTCTAATCCAAGTTCACCTCCAACTCCATATAAGAATGGATCCATACTTTTAAATAGTTACACCATTAAGGACATCCTTAGACAATCACCTAACAAGAAAATTGACCTCTATGCCAAGATAATTGTAATGGAATTCGTTATTTTAGGCCATTTCTGAAGCATAATAATGTGATACAAAATATGGGCCACAATTCACCAAAAATATTTGTCTCTCAGACGGTACTGATATCATTTGGGTATCAAGTAACGTAATTTGTTTTAGGCATCCTTACAATAGAAACTTTTAAATCAGCATTAGAACGATTTTATTCTAGAAAATCAGATAGTATTAAGAAACATGATCATCGAAGAGTAGGAAGGAGTAGTTTAATTAATTGATGACATTTGGACTTCAGTGTAGACTCCTGAGTCAGTGGAAATTAATTACTTCACTTTATGAAATTCTTTATAAATTTTTTATATAGATACTTCACTTTATGATTATTATTTTTAACTGCTTGTTTTTAATTTATATTATTAAAATGAATAAACCAATTGATTAATTCCAGTTTGAAGATTCAGACGACTCCCTGTTTCATTCATATCCATTTTAATTCAAAATTAAGGCTTTAAATCTCCAATATTTTTATGACTCTAAATCATTAATATATTTATGAAAAAAATTTTATACATAGCTATTGCTTTAGCTTGTATTGTAGCTTTCATGGCATTCAACGGCAGCATTTAAGAATCTGTTTTTAAAAGAGTGAAAAGACACGATGTCTGGGGACCAGCATGCAGATAGAAATGCGCTGACAACAAGGGTGAAATCTGCGGATTTGTTTCACAGGGTTGTTGCACAATAGTATTGAAATTTATATGTTTAGGAACGTTGCTCAACAGGATTCACTGGGTAAAATTGCGAAAATAATTATAAATTACATATCCCAGGATGTACAACAGATTGATTTAGATAAATATTATTACATTATCGAAAATTATCATTATATTTACTTAAGGCAACTAAATTAATAGAGTTTATATATTGTTGATAGTAAAATTTCAAATGATAATCGTAATCGATAGCATTAGATTTACTAAAAATATTTTAATTGATCTAAAATATTAATCTAAGTATAAATAGACGCCTTTGAATAAAAAACACCTAAATATAAATCTTAATCTAATTTTAAATTTGGGTCATTTTTGGTTTATAATTTGATTTGAAATACAATTGGTTTGCATTTAAGATCTTATCTAAATATATTTATACAAAATTATATAATTTCAAAATAAAAATAATTGAAATTCCAGTGACATCAATATACCTCCTCAAAATTCACGTTCTTTTTTTTCATTAACTCATATAGTTAAGATTTAATAGGTTCTGGATTGCTGTTAAACTATTCAGACTTTAATTCAAGAAATTGATCATCACCAAATGTTGTGGTCGTGTTCTAAATTTCAGCATAAAGGATTATTATTTAATATTGAATCAAATAACAATTACAACGGAATTCCTGTAATTATTGATCCATATCACATCCAATAATTTCTATCATATTTCTGATTATCATAAAGATTTTTTCATTATTAATTTACATAAGAGATAGTAAGTCATAGTAATTTTCAGTATCATCTATCTCTGATAAGTTGAGCTCTTATATAATATATACCTACTGATATTTATAATTCATCAATTGTAAATTTTTTAATGAATCTCTAAACGATGACTAATATTAGGAATAATCACTTTTTTAATTAAATTTTTTTTTCTACTCATTAAGAAGCTTTTCAACTAATTTATAGTAATAATTGAAGCACCCTATGAATGAATTCTAATACTCATATTGACGGATCTTATCAGGAATTTTTTCAATGATATATTTTAATTTTTTACAACAGATTAAAATTAAATTGCAGACATTTTTTTAATTTTACCATCTATAAATTTATGGCACTTATATGATTTCTATTTTTGACTCAATTTAAGATGGATTGGGGATTTGAATCACTGAAAATTCCTGTGTCTGACTAAGCAATGATTCCTGAGGATCATCGTTTGGCGTATTTATAATATAAAATTCAGAATTTTAATTATAGAAATCCTTCAAATGAACCAATTCTGACTCTGACGAATATAACTCCTAGAATGTCAACCTTAAATTCACATCATATTATAGCATCTATTTAATGTTATCTCTTAGTAATTGATCATTTATTGAATCAAATTTGGCTTTTTATTTTTTAATCTCTTTATATTGTTCCTATTAAGATTTACCTTAATAGGGATACTAACCAGTAATCATTTAATATATGCAGACTCCCAAACTATAAATATCTGCTGGAAAAGAATACTTTCTTCCGCATAAAACTTCAGGAGCTAAAATGTAAAATAAAATTAAATCTACCCATATTAAAATAGCTTCCGGCTAAAGTTTTTGTCTCCTCTAATAATTATTTAGCGAAGCCAAAATCAATTAGTTTATAACTAGCATTTCTAAAAATTGAGTCATAGAGAGATTAGTTTTTGTTATTCAGATTTTTTAGATCCTCCTTCCTAATAACTACTCCTATATTTTCCAACTTCAAATCTCTATGAATGATTTTATTTTTGTGTAAATAAAATAATCCATTGATTAATTGTTTAATAATAACAATTACAATTTTTTCTGGTATCTTGTTGTTATAATAATCTCTACTCATTTTCTACAAATCCATTTCACAATACTAAAGTTATATAAATAATAAAGTTGACTTCTAAGACTAAAAGTTGTGCCTTGCCTAATTCAGCACTTTCATACAATTTGATAACATTTTCATTGTCGCACCGCTCTAATAATGAAGTTTCATTTTTCAAAATATTGGTAATGTTTGCAGCTCTTTCTGTATCAATCACCTAAAAAATTAATAAGGAACTAAAGACCTTAATAGCTACAAAGTTTCCATCTTTTTTTTTACACTAATAGACTGTTGAAAATGCTCCTTATCCGCATTACTCTGGATTTGTATACTTATTTCCAAACTGTTCCTGTATAAGCTTGTAATGATAATTTTACATTGTTTTTAATAGAAATACTAATTTGAAAGTTGAAATATTATTGAAAATAAATAGAGATATTATATATATAGTTTAAATTTTGTGAAATGTAATAAATAACTAGTGAATTAACTTTAATTTGATTTAGAGTTATTAAAATAATATATCTTATGTAATAAAGTTAATTTGCCAATGAGATTTCTGAATTGAATGTTGTAATATGATTGAGATCAATAGGGAAATGAGGAATGGGGTGTGACTATTATGTAACATGTATTTATGAGTTTGATAATGAATATTGGATATGAAATATTTAAGAATGCGAATATCATTATATTAATAAATAAGAATAGTCGTTTTTATTATTTAAAATAAATGAGAACAGGATTATTAATTTGCCTGATTTTGGGAGTGTTGAGCGTTGAACTCAATATGGAGAGACATTCAGAAGAAGTTTTGGCCAAATTAAGAGAATCTAAATGGGCTTCCTTCATAGTTGACTTCGCAGAGGTGGAATTGGGAAGTGGAGGAGCCTTGACAGAATTGGTCGAAGCTATCAATTAATTGATTGACTAATTAGAGGAGGAATTAGATGACATTCATCATGTTTACTCCAGAAGAACCGACGAACATAACAGAGATGTCACAAGATATGAATAAGAAATTTAAGATGCTGACAGAGGTTAATGTTTAAATAATATTGTTAGATATTTTCAATGGAGAAGATTTCATTGACAACGTTCTCATTCCATAAAAGTAAAGATTCCAAGATGCTCTTGCTCAATTGAAAACCAACATTGAGGAAAACAGAAGAATTCTTGATTCAGAAACAGTCAACAGAAAGAAATAACACGAGTAATTCTTATCCAACATAGCTGAAATCAATGAAGCTATTGGTGCTGTCGATGAATCCTTAGGATTACTTTCTTAAATTACTAACCCATCTCTTGTCTAATTCAAGAGAGTCCAAACCAACTTGGGTAGAATTCAAACATCATTCTAAAACCATTCTTCATTTGCTCCAATCATCAAAGCCTTACTTGAATTAGCAACAGAATAAAACTTCGCCGATTAAGGATCAGTGTCATAATTGGTCAAGATCTTCAATGAATTGAGAGTCCAATTCGTTGATACCTTAAACCAAGAAACAGCCGATGAGAGTTCAGCTGAAACCAAATTTGCCGAAAGAGTAGCCTAATTAGAAAAGGAATTCGCTGAATTCTAAAGAGCTGTCCTCATCAAGAATTCTGAAATTGCCGCTAACGAATGTATCAATTCATAATAACATTTCAGAAAAACTAGGAGAAACCATCGTCTATGTCGGATAAAGAAAAGATGACAGAGCCACTCTCCAAGCATAATTATAAGCTGAAAACGACAACTACGCTTCTGAGACCGATCTCTACAACAGAACTGTTGCAGAATACACCAAAGAAATCGAGATCAGTAAGCAAGCTCTTGGTTTATTAACCTAACCAAGCTTTGAATAATATGTCAAATCTAAAGTTGGCATTTGATCCATATTGGCACATTCAAATAATATATTAACAATCATTATTCCAATCTCATCATTACTTTAAGTGATGATTTATAATCTACTATTGCTAATGCGTTTCTCCAGTAGTTTTCTTCATTTCCTCAAATATATCAGCCCTTATTTAAACTGGCAACGAGGATTCTATCCCTCCAAACAACTTGTCATTCTCTTCCTCCTTCATAACTATGGGCTACTACTAGATTGAGTGGAGCAAACTGGGATTCATATACAAAAAACTCATCATGGGAGTTTCAAACTTGTACATTCGATTCATTTCAGGATCAGATGAGGACTTTAAGGATTCCTTTAACCAATTTTAAAAATCTTAATACTGCTTCAAAGCCTCAGGGTATTAATTTACTCTGTAAGAGTCTGATCTTATGGAATCTTAAAAAAATGAAAAGGGGTCTATTATTTACGGGAATTGTGATTATTATATTTGAGAATGTTACAATGAGGGGAATTGTGATTAAGAAAATTACATTTATTATTGCTATTACTAAGATTATTAAGTTTAAAACTATGTAAATGGTATTGATTAACATTGAGACTCTGGTTACTTTTGCTATTATTTGTTTTCCTGAAGAATTCCTTTTGGCATTTCCTCTTATTATTCTTCCATTTTGAATGATTTTTAAATTTTCTTGAATTTTCTTATTTTCTTCATTCCCTGACTCTATTTCAATCCTTCCTCATCCAAAACCCTCACTTTACTAGGTACGATATAATAAGGGTTCTACACTTTTCCATATTATTTTCTTATAAATGAATAAAATCTATTTTTGATCATGTTTTCCTAAATTTTATTTAATTATTACAGGCCTTCCAGGCATTTTCTTTGACATATCTGACCATCTTGTACCCATCTTCTAATACATTTCCCAAATCTTTTTATCTTCCTACTTAGTCCAAGGCGTTTTTATGATATTGGAATCTAAATGGTTAACATACCTCTCTCTTATTTATCTGCCAGTTCTATTGGGTATCTCATTAGCTATTTATTTCCAGTTAAATTAATAAATTTTTGTAAGTCTCAATACTTCTTTATCCTCCTCCTCAGTCCACTTTTGATTTCTTTCATTCTACCCTTATTTAAATCTTCTTACTTCTTTTGGTTTTATTCTTTTCCATCTTTAAGCGCATTAGGATGCATTCCTACCCGGAACAAACTCAGCAATCAGCTTCCAATTTGAACCGTGTTTAGAAACTGCAGCCTGCAATTTATTGTCCTCTTCCTCTTTCCAATACTTTCGACTTTGTAATTTTTGATCGCAATCTTATTCAATAACTTAATGATTTCCTCTTCTTTTCATTCTAATGAATATATTTGTTGTTAAGTCGTACCTTTATCTTCTGGGAATAACAATGTATATTAATTTGTTAAAGAAATTCAATATTAAAAATTGGAGGAATTCTTTAAATTCCCCGATTTTAGCATTTCTTATAAGAAAAGATGTTCCTCCTTCATTTAACAACTTAAACAGCATCACTTATATACTTATATAATGAAAAAAAGCCAAAAATATTCAAGATTGATTTTTATGAATAAACATTCTTTTTAAATTAATTATATAAATATACTGAATTTCTTGATAGATCAACATAAACTGAAAGTCGAATTTTTAATCTGATACACCACAATAAATCTCTTAAATGTTCAATTTAAATTATAAGATCATAATTAAATCTATATCTTTTATAAACTAATTAAAAAGTAACATTATCTTAAAGTAAAAAGATATGATAGCTTCATTAACTCTATAAATTCTTAAATCAAGTTATTTATAATCTCATTATTTAATTTAGAGAGTTCAATCTCTATATGTAAAATATTTTATGATTGAAATAAATTTTTCATAATTAGCTATGGAATGGCATATTTTTTAATTAAAATTTTAATTAAAAATGAAGAACAATTTAAATATTATTTATTTGCGTTATATTCCATCTTATTATTTCTACCTGCCTGATTTGAATGTTTGCAAAATAAAAAACATAATTTTATTTAAAACATTTATCAATTATTCATTTATTCATATTGAAAGAATTAAATTATGAAGCATAGAATTATCAAATGAGAATAGAATAAAAAATGAATTTTTTTATAGATCGTCATGTCTTCAGTTTACTAATTTCTTTATATTTTTGCTGATTTTTTGACAATATTTTTTTTTAAATTTCTATATGTTTCTTGAAGGATTTGATTCTAAATAATTTATTTCGTCAACTTCCAAAATAGTTATATCTTCAGAATTAATAAAATTACTCTAAAGGACTTTATTTGAATTTGTCCATTCTTATTCTATGTTCTATTCCAAATTTTATTTTTATTCAAAAAATTAATTGCTTTACGAGTAGTTAAAGTAATTTTGCTTCAAATTTGTAATGTCCAGTTTGGTTTATACTTTCTTTGATTAATTAGCATCTTCAAATATGTCCTTTCCCATTCTTTTTTGTAAATGCGAACCAATGTTGGAGCCATCTTCACATCTTTCAAGAATAGTATCCACCCTATTAAGTGGAAAGAAATTGCACTTCTTTCTTTAATTAGCATATAAATATGTTCTTTAACAATCCATAAATATATATTTATATTAATATTTTATTTTTTATGAGCAAACATTAGCTATTAAAATGAAAGATTTATTCTATTAATGAGTTCTCATTAATTTATAAATTAAAGTGGATGAAGCGGTTTAGAAAACTTTATTTGATGCAATGATATATAAATTATGTCAATCTAGGATTTTATTGGGAAATTACTATTAGAACAAAATTCTGAAATTAGGATCACTAAAACCCTCAACCACTAATAAAGCCTTTATTTTCTCACATAAAACCCTTTAAAATCTAAACCTATGTAAAATTAGTTTAATAGACTCATTCAGGATAATAAATAAATTCATTTAGAAATTATAACGGTTGGTGGAGAAGAATTCTTATTATTCAATTATGCCATATTTTGAGGATATTAAATGGGGAATAATTCGCACTCATGAATGAATATAAATAATTAGAATTTCATTGCAGAAATCTAATATAATCTCAAGTAACAAATATATATGTTATTGATGATTAATTATTGAGTATAAAATTTGAGTCTGTGCAAAGATTCTTAGATTTGAAACAATTCAAAAATATTCTGATTTTTCTCATGTTATCATTTTATAATATAATTAAATTTTTATAAAAAATTAATTTTATTAATGTATACAATGATTTTTATAAAATTACTTTAAAAACCAAAGCTTTCTTATTTTTTGAAATACACAAATTCTAACTAATAAATTAGATGATAGTTGTGATAAGTTTTATCTTGAAGATATTAATCAACTGAATTTTATAGCCAATTGTTTAACAGTAAAAAATTCCTATATTATCTTTTAGATTTTAATATCTTTCTTTTTTTTTTTCAAACTATTATTCTCTTTAATTAACATATTTGTGTCGTTTTAATACCATAAATATTCCACTCCTATTTGAAAGCATTAAAATTACATCAGCACTTTCTGTTATTTCATCAATGTTTAAATAAGAATATAAATGATTTAGAATTTTATTGATCTATTCTGATTGTATTTAATATTAATCATCTAACCCATCAATATATATATTATATATGACTATATCAAGTAGTATTGTCATAGATTAAGCATTACCTTTCCTAAAGAATGGAAAATGCTTATATGACTTTATTCTTGAGTCTTAATTTAAGGAATGTATTAACAATAGCATGAACGTATTCAATTGGTTATTTTAATACACAGATTTAGATATTTATCATTTATGATTTGTTTCTTTTTCTTTATAATATTGAATTAAGCAAATACACATAATTGGCCTTATCTGCCAGTCATTAGCTACTACAATGTATTGCAATTAACTATGTAGATTGCTTTCATGTTGGAAGCAGAAATCCACGGTACTTAATTGTACTTTATCATTGATACTGGGTCAAGTGTGACCATGATAGAGTCTATTTATAAACAATCTCAAACATTTCAAAATCTAAACTAAACTTATGAGCAGCAATATGACTTAGGTAAATGCAAGGGAGTTTTTGGAATGGATAGACTAGTGCTATCAAAATAATTGTATATTCCTTAATTTACGATGGCATATGGGACATGTTAGAAAATGCCTGTACACTTATTAACGATATTAGTTCTTTGATTAATACATTGGACTGATGGGTTTGTCAAACAGATTTCAAGTGAAACATGTTTTCGAGGATTAATAATTTCATAGTTCCATCTTTGGATTGGAGTTTAGGAAAAACAGTGAGTCGAGACTCTATTACAATATCACAAACATAGAGGAGAAGGTCACTTGGCATTAATTGAATGTAGATCACAGATGGATGATCAAGATGCTGGGTGTTTATGTTGACAACGAAGACGTGACTGATATATTTACAGGCAGTGCCTTTCTAGACAGCGGATATAGTTGTTTGGTTCTGACTTAAAGTAAATGAAGATTGCATATAATAAGATTAATTTGCGTATATTTGGGAAAAGAATTTGAAATCCTTATGTAAAATAATCGATAAATCAATATATTGTGATTGCAACTATAATAATTTCCCCAACTTCACAATATATTTTGAAGGTGCCAAAATTATTATTGAATCTTAGAATTACTTTCCATATTCATATAGTAATGCATAAATTAATTTATAGATGACAAGCTTTGTAAGTTGTGTATCAGCCAACATAATCGAGATTATTTGATTTTAGGATTGCCATTCATAATGTCCACAACTGTGTTATTCGATAAAACTAATCAAAAGATTGGTTTAGTTGAGTAAGCATCATACATATATTTTTAGTTCATTTGACATTCATTAAATATCTCCAATATATTTTCATCTCCAACTCATAATAGTCGGCACTTTAACATTAGTCATTATATTCTATGCCTCATAGAAGGAACGGACTTTTGTTAAAGTTGATATTGAACTTCGAAATTTGGAATATTTATGATTCTCATCAATGTTTATAGGTTTATAAATTCAGTAAATAATAATTCAATTCTTTTTTGAATAACTTGATATTCTTTGGGCCAAAGCAGAGTTCCCTTTGAATTACTCAACGAGTTTTTAAATGATTTCGCTGTTCTGATGTGAACTGTTATTATTGTGATTAGTGGCTTGATGAGAAGAGCTATTATCAACACTATAAAATAAATCATAAAAGAAGTCGATTACCTAAATTCTGAAGTCTTGTTATAGAATTATTGTCTAGTATCTTATTATGGTTATTTTTTCAAAGCATTTGAGCCATTATTAGAATTTCTATGTTAATAAATGATACTTACTTGGGAGAATTCAAAAATTTTAATGTTGGTGATGGATTATGAGATCTACTTTAAGGGGAATTTTAGGATTTAAATGTTTTTCTAAAATAACTGATGAATTATTACTTGATTCCTTCTTGTCTTTGTTTAAGGGATTCTTTGATTATTTTTAGATCAATCATGGAATTAGTTTGTAAGGATCGTACAAATTGTGATTGTTTTCTAAGAGTATCCGTTTGGGATAAATTATCTGAAATATGATTATAATAATTTACTTAATTTTGATTGCAATTCATTGATGATTTGATCTTTAGATGCCAATTAATTTTGCAATTTAGTTGTCAACTCATTTAATTCTAATTTCTCCTATTTGATTCCCAAGATTTATAGATTAAGTTCATTCATTTTTGAATCAACGGATGTATCTACTGGTTTTCTATTAATTTATTAATCATAATCTTAGTAGATTTTTGATAATTATGCTCTAAGTAATTTGATTTCTCCTAATTCAGCCTTGAGACTAGTAATTAAGGTTCGATGTTCATCCATCTTTTCTTCTTCATCCATATTGAGAATCTATTTAATCTTGTTTTATAAGAGTTGGATCAAATCAAATAGATCTTTTTTATTAAAATCAATTGATTGATCTATTAATCGTAAGATTTGTCCAATTTTATATTGAACACTTTCGTATTAGGTTTAAGTTAAATAAACTTCTTTTTGATTTTTTACATTCATTTCAGTGAATGATTAAGATAACGATACATGATAAGGCTGTTTAATTGATTGTTGTTGATTGATGTATGGCTGTTAAAAGGTAATTTAAGATTTGGTTAACAATGATTGATGTTATATTTAATCTTGTGGTTGTGACTGAGATTTTAGCATTGTAATTTAGAATTTTGCATTATTTAGATCGTTCTTTAATGAGACTAATTATTTCTTATAAAACTCCTCTTAATCATACAATTATTCATTCAGTGTTGTAATTTTATATTCAGTTTCCAATTGGATTTCAATTTATTTGACTTTTTCTTGATTACATTTCTTCTTAAGTATGAAATTCTCTTTTTCCAACTCCTTGGTTTTAACATCCATGACAGCAATTTATTCCTTGTACTAGAGATAGAGAAAGGGCTTACTTCTTCTTTCAATCTGCTGTTCTCAAGTTCTAGACGAGCTATCAAGTCTTTTTCCAAGTACTTCTTACTGAACTTTAATTACTAACTATTGACCATACTCATATTGTCTAAATTAAAATCTTAACTTGAGGGTTTGGACAGCTTAATAGATGAGAGTTTAAGATTACATTTTACAATTGACTTGGTGTTTATTCTTCTGGTATTTCTGAAAGGGGATTGTTAAAGACTGACTTGGAATAGAGCATGTCATCATCATCTTGATTCATACCCATAATTTAAGAATGCGTTAAGAATGGGACTCTAGGAGATGAAACATCTATTTAAGTCTTTGGAGTAGTTTCTGTTGGAATCTCTTGCTCTTCAGGTTCTAAATGTTCAATATTCCTTATGGCAGTTTTGGGAGTGTCCTTTTGTTATTGGTTGTTGCAAGAGGGAAAAGAAACTCGATATGGTATGTTGATGTCCAGTTCTCGCTTGATATGTAAAGGAGATTGCTCTTCTTCATATATCATCTCCACTTAATCCATTTATTAATAAACAAAATAAATTAATATCAAAATTCATTGAAGACAGTGAGATCTTCGAAAACATATTAAATCATTCTTTATAAATTTTGTAATTCTTTTTCCATATTGAGCCTATTGTCTAAAAGAATCCTTTAAAAGTAAGTTATAAATAAAGAATTTAATTAAAATTCTAATGGGAGCTAATCAAAGTAATCAACAAGCATAACACGAAAAGAAGCGTCCAAGAAAGAGAGATCTCTTGATGGGCTTGTGTATGAGTTAACTACAACCCAAGGATGCATAAGCGAGAAGCAGATTGTAGAAGAGTCTTTCTGAGAATATGAAATGTCAAACACAGGACATATTAACGTAATTTATTTGTTTACATTCTTAGTAAGATGAGTGATGAGGAAATGCCTAAACATTCAATTAAAATATTACAATACTTTTTAAATTTCCTTTCAATCAAGGAGTGCATACAACTCAAACTGGTTAATAGAAAACTGAAATTCATGATCGAAATGAGTAGTAACATTTACTCAAACTTTCTCAGCCAGTATTATTTGAGAAAGTTGTAGTTACACTGTTTTGTAGAATATGGATTACATCGGGGATTTGCGTCTGTATTCTCTGAACAATTATTGAATATTGAGACAAACTAAGATGAATCCTGGATACGGATATATGCAAATTTCCATAAAAGCATGTAATTAATTTTTTAGATTATTCCTTAGATCCTAATTGAGGAGAATTGAAGAAGAAATATCGTCTCATTTCAGCATAGATTATTCCATAACAGAAAAAATACTAGAAATCTGCAGAAATCCCACATTCCCTATTCCAATTTTGACTGATGACGTACTTAAACAATCAACCACAAGTTGGTTTCAGTTAGAGCTTGCCCAAAAAACAACTGACTACAGTGCTGTAGAAAGAGTCCCTCTCTTAGATTAATTGACAGATAAATTATATGCAGAATGTGAGGCCACTTTCAATAAAGACAATATAATACACACTCAATTATTATTTGAATTAAGATGGATTATCATAGACAACTTCATAAAGGATCCAAGTTCTTTAGAATAACATAATGTTCCAATATTGCTTAAGTTACTGGCTCAACTACTTCATTTCATTTATCAAAGATGCATTTTTAGTAGAAATGTCTTGACCATCATTAAGCAAAACAAGAAGCCAGCCTTATTTTTAAATATGTATTCAGTGTTGTGGGAATCATTCATCGGAATTGTTTGGGCACTAAATAGATCCCTTAAGAAGATGTATAATAAATTGGATTAGTTATTTAATAAATACTACACAACTTAATTTCCTTAAATCACATTCACTAGTGCACTGGTCAGATTATGGACATAGATTGTTATCAAAGGAACCAAGAATGTTGAAAATGATCCTATAGAAAATGAATTGTTCTTATCGTTTGATACAATTTTGAGAAATAAAAGAAATTTATTATTTGAGTATTTCACCAAAGATTAAATCCAAAACCAGAAACAATCAATAAGTCATATTGTTGATGATGATTATTTTAAATACTGTTCAAGTGCAGTTGATAGTTTGTTAAACAAATTTACCTCAAATATCCTTGACTTGTCCTTGCATGAACAAAGTATTCATTGGATTGGACATTCTTAAGTTAAAGTTGGATAACTCTATGGATCCATCTTAGAAATTGTAGTCAAATAGACAAATGAACTTTACAATCAAGCATCCATATAATTCTCTACAAACTTTACCGTCTTTAAAGATTACATATAAGGTATTTAATATCATTTATATCTTAGCTGAAACCAGATACATGTAAGAAATCCTGAATTAATGGACTGTATAAGTGTGCATCTTACCAATCGGAATAAATTACTTGTATGACAAAATTAAAATCAATCTCAGACAATATGTTCTATCTTGCTAATTAAACTCCTGCATTGTAGAGTAAAGTAATTTTGAGGAGAATATTTTGGAATCTTAAATTATACCCCCAAATCTTCAATTTATCAAATTTAATGAACCAGATGAATTATCTTCAAGAATTGAGAGAGAAGATTCTATTTTAGAAAGTTTCATTTGCTAAATATTGAAAGAAGAAATGCCACAAACTGTAGGAGTGTCTCAATTGGTTTAATAACATCAACAATAATCAATTTACTAGCAATAGTTCAATATGCCTAAAATCTCCTCAACTAAGCAGCAAAGCATTATTGAAGGAGATTACAGTAAACTCAGAATGCTTTCAACTTTCTCTGCAAGTACTAGAGTTAGTTAAGTTACATAACTTACTAGTGTTCTTAGTTAATAGATACTTTCATCCATAAGATCAAACCTCAATATGTTCTAAGTTAAGGATATTAGATATAAATTGGAGAACAATTAATGGGCCACTTATTTGAAGGACATCCATGTTTTGGAAGTAGAAAACAAAATCAAAATTGATAAGAGAAACAACCAAATCTAAATGAGAAATTTCATGAGACAAATACCTTAAGATTTAGAAGAATCATTCAACAATATCATCGACTTTACAAAGATTTGGAATTTGTTAGATACTCAAAACATCTATTTATCAACAGACGATTTGGCCAATATTGAAATAAATAAACAGTTTCCTTAAAGAGTTTTCAGCGAAATCCAATTCGGAGATGGGCTGTTTGCATCATATTTCTAATAAGTATGATTTACTGTATTAGAAGTGATTGTTTATTTAAGTAATTCATTATTAATTATTCTTTATTCTCTATTTGAAATTCATCTAATAATTTTACTATTCTAGCCTTGAAATGTGTAAAATTAACAAATATACTAATTCTAATATTAATTAATGATCAATTTTATTTATTTTGATAAATGGGAAAAAATTTCAATATCTCCAAATAGCTGGTTTATATCCTGATATCAACTGCTGTCGTTGGAGAAATAGCCTCCATTATTAGATTCTGCTTCATTTCTAAAAGCTAACCCGTTGTTGGAACTTCTGAAGGTAATTTAAAATAATTCTAAATAGGATGGTTTGGCATTATGAAAGACACTTCCGATCATTAATGGAACGCTTATCAGTAGAATCTTTAAACGATCCTTCTTTTTTAATTTTTTTGTCTGTTAGGATCATTTTTAATTAAAAAAATCTCGAATAATCAAACTTAACTTAAAAATCTATAATACTTCAACATCACAATAGGTTTGATTTTCAGTTTTGTGGCAATGAGTTTTGGAGTTATCTTCTAATTTGCAGTTTTGATGATTTTCTATATTTTACAAAAGGTATTTTAATCACTATACTTAGTATTTAATTAATTTTAAATACTTTGTTTTATCCCTATGGGCATTTGTTATGGTATTTTTGTATCTCAACGAAACACTTAATGGATTCAATTAAAAAATGATTTCTCCTCACTTAGAAATACTTGATTAAATCTAAGAGGAATAATAATAAATTTAATGGCACCGTCTCTTCAACTTAGTTTTATTGAGAATCATAAGTTTTTCCCTTGATCACTATTGGGCAGTCTAAGAAACAAGAGAGTATTATATTTAATCGAATTTAGAAATTAAATTAAATCAATACCACCCAAGACTTCTGGATAAGAGTATCGAGACTTAGTAAAGTAAAACTAGGATATATCTGAATACAATTTTCTTGGGTACCTTGCATACATATATTATACTCCTTTATTTATTACAGGACCTACGATTACATTTAATGCATTCAACGCTTAATTAAAATAGAGGTAATAAGCAAATAAAAATCTCAAAGAAGTAATTTATTATGTACTTCGTGTGTATGTATTGAATTTGTTAACATTTGAAATATTTCTGCACATCTGTTATCCTAATGCTATATCAAATATAAAAGAGAATGCTCATATTTGGTAATCTTTATCATTTTATGATTTTCATGTTATGTCATTTGTTAATTTAATTTTCATATGGTATAAATTTATGATTATCTGGCGAATATCGAGAGCCTGGGCTTTGATTGACGGTATTACATTAGAATTAACCTGTATATAGGGATAGAAGTACCTGAGAATATGAGCAGATGCATCTATAATAATTACAACTTTAGTGGATTTTGGAGATCATGGCATAGAAGCTTTAACTAATGGTTAATTCGATACTTGTATATACCTTTGGGCGGTTCACATTACAAAGCATTAAACATTTGGGTTGTTTTCTTGTTTGTTGCATTCTGGCATGATTTCAAGAGTGATTTATTCTTTTGGGCCTTTATCATTTGCTTGGCCTTATTACCAGAGATGGCTGCAATGTACTTTTTTAACAGAGAACAATATTATAAATTTTGGTGGTTCAAATATTTAACTGCAATAGCGGCAGGATTCTAGATTGAAGTCATGAGTCTAGCAAATTTTATTGGATTTGGGTAAGGAAAAGATTGTCTGAATCATATTTATTAAAAATATTTCAATTTAGATTGTATGATCATTTTTATCTTGGTGGCCATTTTTAGAAACGGTAGTGGTGTTATTTTAGGATTGTACGTTAGATAAAAAGAAGAAGAAACATAAAAAGTTAAGAAATATTGAATGGATGTAAATTAATCAACAATATATTATTATATTAATATGAGATAACAATAATCAAATAAATCCTTTAATATCTCAAATCCTACCTTTTACATATCATTGGCCAGCATGATTGCCTTTGAATCTTATTCTCTCTATCGATTTTCATCGATCTGTAAATCAAATTAGGTAGAGGGAATCGAACAAGGTATTTTAATATTTAATTATAAAGGCTATTTTGGATTCTTCAGGGATCATTCAGATGCTCAATGGGGAGAGTTTGCTGGACATTTGGCTGAATTAATGGCTTTTCAACTCATTTTTTTGATTGGCTCATATGCTGTTAAATATTATAGTAAATTAGAAAGCAAATAAAGAAACTTATAATATTATAATATTTGTCTAGGAATGAGCTACGCTTTCTATTTACATAATATAGGAATGATTTTTTAATTATCCATTATCATAGGGTTTTATTTATTCCAAAAAGTAATTAAATACTTATCTTAATACTAGATATTTTATAAAATGAAATATTTCATCCCCGTTTTATGGACTCTAGCATTAGTGACTCTATGGTCTAACGAGACTTTTCAAGGATACTCATTTGCTATGATATCACCTTAATTAAAATTCTTAGAAGATTTCAAACATAACAATTAACTTGTGAGATGGAACCTAGTATTTAACATGATTTTATTGAGAATTATTAGTTTCTCAGTTGATAAAGTTTGGGCTTCTTAATCAGATGCCAAATACAAGTAAACTTTTGATAATTCAAAAAGATATGATTTAATACATGAGAAACAAATACTCAAAACATATAGGGAGAGAGTATAAGAACCACAACCAATAGAGGAATATAACTTTTTGGGTTATCTTAGCTTTTTATTTTATGTTCCTCTTCTTTTTTCAGGGCCATCTATGGGTTATAATGCTTTCAATTCTCAATTGAAAATTCCCTAATAACAGTTGAATCGAGCATAAGTCTTAAAATATATCCTAAGAGTCTATTTTCTTGATTATTTAACTTTTGAACTTTTTCTACATGTATGTTACCCTAACGCTATTCCAAAAATTGCTGGTAATTTTAAAATTCTGAAAACTTTTTCTGTTTTTGAATTACATGTAATGGGTTTCACAAATCTCATCTTTTTATGGTACAAATTTCTGACGATATGGAGAATAGCTAGAGGATGGGCATTATTGGATGGTATTTAATATTCTATAGTAGGAATTGAGACACCTGAAAATATGAATAGATGCATTTATAACAATTATAATTTTAGTGGATTTTGGAGATCTTGGCATAGAAGCTTCAATTAATGGTTGATTAGATATATATATGTTCCATTGGGGGGCTCCAAATATAAATCATTGAATATGTGGGCGGTCTTTACTTTTGTTGCCTTATGGCATGATTTCAAATTAGACCTTTTGCTTTGGGCTTGGATTATATGTTTAGCTTTGATTCCAGAAATAGCTTTACAAAAATATTTCGATAAGGAATATTTCTATAAAAAGCCATGGTTTATTTGGTTATGTAGATTAGGAGGAGGATTTCAGATTGAAATGATGTGTTTAGCTAATCTTATTGGATTTGGTAATGGACATGAAGGTATGAATTTTGTGCTTGAAAAATATATGAGTTGGGAAGGCTTAATATGCTTCATATTCTATTGTGTTATTAGAAATGGATGGGCAACAACTATTCAATTTAGAATAAGGGATGATGAAAAAGCAGAGCAAAATGAAAAAAACTTTTGAGAGGTTTTATTATTTAAATTTATCCTTAATATCTGTTTTTCTAAATCAAGTTCTCGATTGTTGGCCTTATCTTTATATTCCTACGCTATTTCCATATTTATTAATTTTGGTGTTAAATCGTTTTTAATTAACATCTTTTGCTCTAACAAGAATTAATATTAGAATATATTATTCTAAAATATAAATAAATTTTAAGATTAATCCTTGTATTCTAAATTCATCTTTTCAATAATATTAATTCTAGACTATTTATATTGACTCCTATTTACTCTTCGAACAGTAAATCAGTATTCATATTAATTTTGAAGGTATCTCTTCAAATCTTCTATAATACAAATAATTATTCCTTCACTGCTTATTTAAGATTTATACTGTTCCAATTGATAATTAATCTATTACTACTTCTCAATTAAAGTTGATAAAAATGTGTAAGTATAATATTATATACTCATATAATTATTTATTATTTTGACACTCATTAATTAATAATTTCTCAGCTGCATAAATGGCTTCCTTATTATTAGATATAACTAATTTGAAAATTTATTTTTGTAATGTATCTTCTTTGAGAAATTTTTAAATATTTTATAATTGAGCTTTATTAAATGGAGAATTTATCATTTTCAAAAAATATCAAATTATATATATATTGTAGGTCAAACTTACAAGAACGAATAGGAATAATTTAGATATGATTTAGTATTAATATGCTTATTATAATCAACTTACACATTTCAATCCGATAAATCCTAAATCTAAGTTCTTACTGTTCGACATTTCTATTTAATGTAATAATTATACATTACTTTTTATAGATGTTTTTTCAGGATTTTGAACGTATTAAATAGATATTGATGTTTAATATGTTAAGTTTCGTCTAAAGTGTGAACTGGATCATACTATGATGCATATTCTTTCAATTTCTCTGGTTTAATAATTTATTTATTTTGAAATATTTTTTTTTCCAATTTTCGAGTCATCAAAACTTTGAAGAGTATAATATAACCTAGCATTCCGAAGATCAATATTGGGTTATTAAAAAAGAAAAAATTTTACAAACAATACATTATATAAAAGAGTAAAAACTACTACTTTTATATTTCTAAAGCATTATCATCTCCCCATGAATTTTAGAATGGAATACAATTCTTAACAAAAATAAATTTGTCAATCCAATATATAGTACAAAGAGCTATTATGATAATAGGGGCAATCAAAGGTAAGTCGATAATAAATATTTACCCAATTAAACAGATTTAGAAGACGTTATATTATTTTTATTCAAAAGATAATTGTCTTGCTTCAAAAAATTTATTAATTTCTATTTATGCTAAATTGTTCTTTTAATATCTTCTCATATACAGTTTGTTAAACTACTTAGATAGATATTTGAAGTCAAATATTGTAATTAGATTCGGTAAAAGGATATTCAAATAGCAAAGTACAATTAGATTATCAATAATTCCATTTTCTTACAGATATGCTTCTTAATTGGTTGTAGGATAAAATAACCTATTTATATTTTTAAAACCAATGACTTGAAACTACTTAAATAAAGATAAATACAGTGAAATATATTTACTGGTAATTGTTATGATGAAGCAACCTTTTGGCTATCATACTTGAAATATGCATTTATAAATATAATAGAATTTAAAACAGAATTTTGAGGAAATTTCCTTCTCCTAGAGTAGATTTTGAGTTTAAATAATTTGCTTATATGTAGACATTTAATGCCAAAGATAGAATAGTTACTAAAGCAGAAATGACAATTGCAAATATTTTTAGAATGGCTTCCCAAATAGTTTTTGCATGATTTTAAGTTATATAACTTTGCACTCCATCTGGTACAATAATTTCAGTATTTTCTGTTTAGAAGCAAATTTTTTCGTTCTATATATAAGTCTATATTTACTTCTGAAGGAAAGATGATTATGGTTCCTTATTGTATTAGTTAAGGATTTATTTTTTCTTAAAATATAGCTTTCTCTAATACATGGCATTAACTATAAAGTATTCAAAAATTGATACTTATCAAGATTAAGAAAAACGTAATTTCCTTCTGCTTGGACTTAAATAGACTCTTAAAATTTATCTAAACTATGCACCTTGATATATGAATGATTTTATAATGTTTCCATTTCTTTATTTTGAACACAATTTGTCATTACTGATTACAAAAGAACGGCTCTCGAGTATGAATTGCTAAGGAAGGATTTGTATTGATTTCCAAATATCATTAGATAAACCCCTATCGAGCTTAAAAATATTGTTAGAAGGTAAAAGGTTTATAAATAAAAGTCATCCAACTAAAAGTAATCTTAAGTTTAATTCCATATGGAGAACTTATTGTAATAGCTTGGTATGCAATTTTTCATTTTTTCACATTAATCACCTTGAGAATTGAAATATAAAGCATAAGGCAGAAAAATAACACTAATAATAATTATTTAATACCTTGAAATGCAGAATAGAAATATAAACTATTGGAGTTGTAAAAAGTATAAATATGCAGCCCGATTATGTTTGAATTCTTTAATATTGCAAAATAAGTTAAAATAGTCTTGAATCAAATGAGAATTACAACACTAACACCTTTAAGAATCAATTTGAAAACCTTTATGAATCCTATATACTTTCTTTAATCAGAAAAAATTGTACTCCATGCAATTTTGCTTGTTGTAGGTTAGGGGAAAAATAGTGTTTTTGGAAACCATCTGTAGGTAGCGCTTGAGTTCCTATATCTAATAAATTCTTTTCTTCCATTTAAGAGAAATTTTAAAAGATGAATAAATTTCTCTTTTTAAAATTCTGAAATTCTTACTTTTATTTTTTGTTAAAAGGCGTTATTCATAAATTGCAACAAGAATTTTGATTATTTTCTATTTCTGGCACAATAACATTTATTTTCAATACCTTCATTAATTGGTTACTTCTTTGGTTTTCTTCTAATTGAATTTTCAATTCTACACCTAAATTCTATAACCAATAATTACAGAATCTTCATCATTAGAAAATATATTTTTCGCTTACTAAGAGTTTAAACTATTCTACTTTTACAATTCTAATAAGATAATTTTGCTTGATTAATTTCAAAAGAAAAGTTAAGCTTATTTTAGGAGCTAGAGTTATGATTAGACTGTAGCAAATAGTTGGATCATGGGATTAAATTGAGGAAAATAGAACTTGATGAGTTCTGAGGAATTTTTGCTACTCAATAATTCTGATTAATTCTAATTCTGTGTTATTTTATGATTGAAACCATGAGGCATTAATCTATCTCAAGCATTGGAAGATTTATTGAATTTTAGAACTCCTAAGATATAACTAAATTCATTTTGGAATAAGATAAAAATTTATAATTAGGCAATAAATCGAATTAACTAAATATTAAATTCTAATAAATATAAGTCTATGAATTTAATAGTTAACGGTGTATGGGTTGCATCAATATGGGACAACTTTAAAGGTTGAACATTTACTTTTCATTTTCTTAATTCTGAAGGAAGGAGGGACTTTTAAAAAGATTATTTGGAGAGTTGATTGAAAGAAATACAATGGAAAAACTATAGGTATTGATTATTCTCCAATTAAGAAACCTTGATTCAATATATCTTTTGATCCCAATAAATGAAACATCTTTTAACCCTTAATTTAACAATAGGCTTATAATGAAATTGCAGAAATTAAGTATAAGACTCCAAAAACAAAATTTCCCTTTGAGGCTTTCACTCATTGAAAATATATAAAATAGGAAAAATATGAATTGTTATTTTAAATTACGAAAAGAAATAATCATCATTTAATGTTATTAAACCATTGACTCAAGATATTTTCCATCATCTTTTAGTTAATAATAAAAAACCAATAATTACTCGAAAGAATTTCTAGGTTATAAATCGCAACTTTTAGGAGAGTTATATGATGAGACAAAACATATAAGTATAAATAGAACACAATTGATTTTCCTTAAATTAGGCATTTACACCTTATATAAGCGCGCAATTTGGGATAGTTTTAATTATAAATTCAGCCCAAAGGAAGTTGAAAATTGATTCCATTATTGAAGCTATTATTAATAAGATACAAATTTTGGATGTAATACTAAAGATTTCTTAATATGAAAAATGAGAAAATTCAATTTTGATCAAGAATAAGAGAGAGATCTAAGATAGTCAACAAAAAATAGGCGATTCATATTAAGGAGCCTTAGAAGAACTATTGAGATTACTTCTAGGTCTCTTTTGTCATTTTGG